AACAGGTTGTTGATCAGAAATGGGAGTGTTTGCCTGACAACATTTCACCACTGGTCACCAGTCGCCGCGTTGAAAATTTTATTTATTTTCATCATGCCAGACAACAAAACACCAGTCGACACCAGATGGTCCAGAAATAGTCGGGCAAACAAAGAAGTCACGACCAGCGAACAGTAAAACCAGCCGGAGAGCAGTGTCAGGCTTGTTCGATCTTCGATACCTTCACATTTAGCTCGTTCGTCAAATCTCTTAGCAAACTGTTCCAGCAGTCACGTTCACGAAGACAGGCGCATTTCGCTGTCCTGCCGCAGCGACGTGCGACATGCAAGCGATGGCTTCCGGCAAGTTTTGCACGGGCCCAGCCACATCGGCGCCCACAGTGTTGGTTGCGCCTGTAATGTCGTCATACGACGAGTTGGCAATTTTAACAAGCGTTACCAAACAACGTTTTACATTGATCAGCGAGTTGAACAGTTTCAGATGGATACCAGCGATATTACATTATCACTGGCGACTATTTGGACATATGAACGATTCGTAATTTGTAACGACATTTTCAAAGAATGAGCTCTGCTTCATTACAGCCAACAAAACTGTCGTGCCAGTCATTTTGGCGGCTGGCGATATTCACGCGATTTCTGTATCCCGTTTTAGCATCGGGCCATAACCGATGTGCAGTTGCGTAACACACCAGCCACTTGGCTTCGCTAAACGACGCCCTTTCAGTTCGCTGGTTTAGTTGATTTTTTACAAAAGCAGTCGTGCAACAAGCGTTATCGACTGGAACAAGAAATTTAAAAACCAGGCTCCTGGACAAGAAAATGGCGGTGTCGACTTTGAGCGAGTTTAGCAGTGAACGACACAACATGGGCGCAGAGTTTTCAAACTTCATTTATTCATGATCAGCAGATCGGCTGACCATGAGTTTTCATTCCGGTTATTTCATAACAGCAGATCACCTTTTTCTGTCGAGTTGCTCGCGACTGTTCTGACCGGGCAGACTGCCTGCGCACCCGTGATCGCCGATGGAGCCAGGATTCGACGTTTTCGAAAATCGTTCATTCGACAGCGAAATGTTTTCTTCGTCATGTTGGCTGAAAGAGAACAGCGTTCCATCGCGCCAGCCTCTTCTAATTGCCGATAAAAGTCGCTTGCTCAGCAGCGTCGGAACAGCGAGCCAGCGCCAAAGACATTGAATTTCCGAGCGGCGTTACCTGTCTCCTGACGCCTCAAGGAGCACTTTCCTTGAAGAGCCTTCGTACCGTCTTCTGCTGGCGATCTTCCTTCGCGTTGATCGTCGGTGAACAGCCCGCCTCGCAAAACGTGGTTAACAGTCGTATTTGTTAGTCGTAATTCGAATTTTGAAATAACATACGACATCAGAATGAGTTTGTCGCTTGAAACGTCCAAAAGATCTCATGTTGAACAGCTGAAGTGAATTCTCATTTTGAGCTTCAATCGACTAGCGAGCTGCACGAGTTTGTCCAAATTGAGATAAGTTTTGTTAGAAATTGATATCTAAAATTTGCAAAAGAAGTTTGTCGGAAAATTCAGTACCAGCCATCTATTATTGAACCGATGCGCCTGTGTCTCTAGTCCAGCAACGGGAGTTTTGTTGAAAGAACCGATTTTCCGAAACCGGTCCGCAGTCCTTGGTGAGTCACAGACTTCATCGTTATTTCAGAAACTTTTCATTCAAATTTTATCTTTCGGGAAAAATCCCCATTGTTGTCCACAGCTCACCGATGTTTATTTTGAGACCACCGAACCTGATATTAAAGCGGGTGAAGATGAACAGTCCATCATCGATAAGCTTCACGAATTTTACTGGTGGAGTCAATGGCTCTGTGCCTGAGCAAAGTACCTTCCAGCCAGCCATATAGTTGTTTTCTATTCAGAATGAAAAAATTAGAGTAAAAGAAAATTTAAACCCAGTCATCTGCATAAAAATTTTACCATTTTGCGACAGTTCGGCGCAAAGCCTGGATAATTTCATCTGAAACAAAGAAACACCAGCTCGTTTCGTGAGAATCCCACAAAATTCAGCGTTCGTTTTTTCACCTTCGCCATTGCTTCAGTCACCGACGCTGTACGTATTTTTCAGATTTATTGTCCAAAGAGCCGGTCGGTTTTCACGCATTAAACAAGATGCCTTGCGCAGCCTCGTCAGCTTCGTTTCACGCGTCGAGCCGATGTCGCTTTTGAGGGTGTTCGAATGGGCGGCTCATTTGTTGAACTGAAGAAAGTTGACCCTATCGTAGCTGGTAGGGACCCGAGTGAAATTCCTGTGCTCAGCTTATAAAGTCTGAATTTGTGCCGCCATCAGCAGGTTGTGCTTAACCAGCGCAGTGTCATAGAATTGTTGTTTGCTTTTAGCCCGTTATCACAACATTAAACCGTGGTGACATCCTCAAAACTTTAACTCGCCAGTAAAGTTTCATTGTCCGCCAGCTGGCAGACAGATTTTCATCACCAGAATGTCAATTTTTAAATCATGGAGTAACATGAACTGGCCCTGTTGAGAAAGAGGCGACGATTTTCTGTTGTTCGCCCACCGCTTTCAAAAAATAATTAACATTAACGATGTTTTGCAAACAAAATCAGAGAAAGCCAGCAGTGGTTTTCTGATGATATGTAATGTAATGGAAGAAATCGTCAACAGCAGCGATTACGCCGCTCGATCCAAAGCGCACCGTAAATTTACCTTTCAGCTTCAGAAACTTTTTTAATCGATTTGATTGTTGAAAAATTTTTTTGAGGTTCTTCGTTAATAAGCAAGATCACAGAGCAAAGAAAGACCAGTAAACAAAAGAGCTGCGAGATTTCATCAAACGGCGTATTTCATTCCTTTTTGTTTGAATGAGTCTTGTGTCGCTTTAAAATGAAATAGTCCCAGCCTAAAATATCATCAGATCACAAATTTAATCATGGCTGGCATGGTGCCTTCGGCTTTTTATAATTCGTCGATTTATTTTACAACATCGTTGAAATATAATTTTTCTGAAAGTTTAAAGCGCAGACGGAAACAGTGGCTTCTTCATTGTCAGCTAGACGGTATTCGCACGCCTGTATGATGACGCCGACTTTGCGTTATTACCAATTTGCTGATCCCTTCCCAGCATGGCACCCTATGACGAGACGCACGTCGATTTCCGTGTTTGTTCATCCACCTGAAGAAGGTCTTCAGCCTTTCATTGATTAGAGAGTTTAGTCGATCTTCTATCTGCGATTTGCGCTTGACGCCTGCAACGCCGAAAGACGAATCGCTGATTTATATGACACCGGAAGAAAAATGTCTGGCGAGCGCTTTGGTGCTCAAAGAGCAATTTCACCATTGCAGTTTGCTCAAACCAATAATTATCTAATATTTTACTGAGTTTTTCAGAACAAACGTAAACACCGGAGTTGCCGCGTTTTTGTCGCTCAACGCTTCGGCGTTATCTCTGACATGCCAGGTAAATACCATACCAGTACCTTGTTAATTCGAAAATTACCATGAAATTAGCAAAAAACTTTTCTTCAAATTCCAGCCATTGCCTTGTTCGACAGCAGCGCAGTATGAAAATCATGAAGAATTTTTCGGTTGAAATCCTCTTCACAGGTCGCGAGCGGTTAATGCGCAGCTGATTTCGAAAATCAAAATAGTCTGCAAAGTTATTTTGAAACAGAGTAATTATTTCACGCGTGTTCAAAGGTAATTCCGTCCTATTGCCTGTTACCTGCGTCACAACAGTCAGATCGCTTGCCTGCCTGTCGAAAGATGAAACTGCTTGTCTTGTCCATCGGAGTAGCGAAATGGAAAAAAATTTCTGAGCAGTCGCTTCGATGTTATTTTTCAAAATCGTCAGATAAACCTTAAACCAGAGCTCCCGTCATTCAAACTTAGCTGAGAACAAGCGAAAATGTTGCCATGTTTCACATTACAGGTACTTTCTCGGAAACTGTTAAGACTTCTTTTCAGACCTTTCCACCGTCTGGTATCGCTCACTGCACGTAATGATCTTTGTAGCTGACCTGAAGCTCATTCTTTTTCGTTGACTCATTGTCATCTTCGTCTTTGCCGATTTTTGCGATCTTCACCAGTGCAGTTGTTATCTGGTAACGATGGCGCGAGTCGGACGCGCTGCCTGCGAGCGGCTTCACGGGCATACGGGCGCGAGCACACGGAGCGTAATGGTTTGTCGCGCCAGTCATCGCTCGTGAACGCTCAGACGGAGCTGGCGCAAGTCGCTTCCTTTCATTCTCCCGAAATGAAAGAAATGTGCCATCGTTTCACATAGTCAATGTTCAAATCACTCTTGGCGAAAATATTTTGAATCACTTTGCTTGCTTCCCGAAGAATGCTGTTGATTACACTTTCGAGCTCGAGTCTTCGCCGCGCTGGCGCAGCAACAGCGTCGTGAGCCGTATTCGGGAAGTCGTCAATTTCAAATCTGCACCTGTTCGAAATCTTATCGTATCAGGTAATCGCAGTTCGATACAGCGAGCCGCGAAATCGACTACGTTGCATAAATGGCTTCGTTAATTAGGGGTCGCTTGATCAATTTCTCTCTTTCGTGCGAAACTTTTGGTTCAGCCCAGACCACTATGGGAATTTTTCGAGTTTATCGCTTACCAGTGAGCCAGCGATGTAACATCACTTTGCCACGAAAATAACCCGAAGTTTATTCAAATAAATGCCGCGTTTGAGATCGCCACAACCATTTGCAGCGAGCAGGCTCATCACCTGTTTCTGCGGCGCACTTTCAAACCTTTAGGAAGCTTGGTTGGCAATAAGCGATGCGACATTGCAACTTTTCTGTTGTAATTTTTCGTTTCATCCTTCTAGATTTTTCTGATTTGAATCTCTCATTGCCTGATGGGAACATCTAGAATTAAAACAGTTTCATCAACTTCGAGTCTTCAGTCGCTTCCACTTAAACAAACAAGTTTGAGTTGTGAGTTTTCTGTCTGGTTATCGAAGAGGCCGCTGCAGGTCATTTGGTCGTTAAAAATATTAGCCTAAAACCAATTTTGAGTCTCCGAGTGAATAAACAGCTTACCAGTTGCTCTTGCCGATTGAATATTTTTCTTATTTTCGGGTCATCACACAGACACGTTCAATCGTACTTAATTTGAAGTCGTTAACAAACTTGATATCATTCAGTCGTCCAAATGATTATTGTGGATTTCGCAGCTCGCTGAGGAGAAATTTCATAGAAATGCCGGTTGCGCAGTTCAATCGCTTCCTTCAGTGCTGGCGTCGAATGAAGCTGGCAATGTCGGCTGGCGCAGTCGATTTGCACCCTGTTGGCGGTTTTCGCGGGAGTGCCCGAACGAAAAGAGCCAACCGAGTCAGCAGAACCGCAAAAGAGCATTATTATCAGCAGCATATCACATGATCTTTATGGGTAACAAAGATAAAGACGAATCGTGGGTTGTTTGTCTTTATTTTGGCGATGGCGCATCGGTGAGCAAGACGGCTTTTCCTTCTAGTTAAATTGTGATTTTCAAGCAGCCTTCTTCAATAGCCTTGTTGCAGCCCAATGACTTGTCCGAAACCGTTTGAGCTGGCAACAGCTTAACGCCGCACAGCCAGCACATTCTGACTTCGATTTCTTTCGATTTCCAAAGCAGAATAAATTGTCATCTTCTGAGTTCCGGAGAATTTTCAACAGGTTTATTTTGCAAAATGAATGGTCGAATGAAATGCTTATTTCAAGCTTACAAAGTGTACTATTCTGTCATTACGTGCAATGCAACATAAAGCCTAAAGCATATCGTCTTCTTTGAAGCGACGAACACTTTGGTATACTGATTAGTACTGAAGGTGTTAATCTGTCTTGTCACCATCATTATAGCGATTTTAAAGTTGTTATTAGATCAGTTCCAAAATATCCCTCAGCTTATTTCGCTTCCGTCACCCCAGAAAGAACCACAGCAGTTCATTTATTATTTGTTGAGTTCGATTGCGCTGCGTCACTGATTCGTTGCTTGAAATTACCTTCCATTGCGTCATTCAACCGGAAATTTGCAACGCTGTTGAATAACTTTGAAGATTTTGCTTATCTACGATAACAGCAGGGCTTGCGGGAACTTTACTGCGTATTCGTGGTCTTCTTCATCAGCTGGGAATCGTGTATAATGCCGCTTCATTTTGATCAGCGCCGTTACGAGCGCAGGAGTCCGACGCAGTTGATGCTCACGAGACAACCTGTCGATATGGCTCGAGGCACAGCTTAGTCAGTTTTTCGTGAAAATTGAATTAATATTGAAAAGTCATCAGGTTAATGAATAAAATACTGAAAGCAGGAATAAAAGAGGTTTGATGTCAAAGTTCTTCTGGGGACAACGACAGTTTTCCAGATTTTTCAGACCCCAGTGAATGCTTAGTGTCCGCTGGCAATTTTCAATATATCAGCGCAAAACGGGGAGTTGTCGCAGGCCCAACTTTTACTTTTTTCTTCTGATTTCTGTCTTCAGGTAATGAAATATCAAAAGCGTCGCGTGTCGTGGACTGTCGCGCCACGCCAACGGCAACGCATATTACAGGATGTCGCAGGAATTTTTTCAAACAGTTGAAGTTTACGACTGCTTGACCGGTAAGCCCAACCGCAATCTAGCAGGAGGCGCCCGGTATATGACTTCTCGAGAATAATTCTAGCCTGAAGAATAACCAAAGTTAACATTCCATTGGGTCATATGTTTGTGGCCCAGTATCGTACTATTTTCGGCTTTCATTGTAATGATTTCTGATTTTTTCATTGAGCAAATGTGGAATACAGTCGAAAGAACGAAGAAAAGATGACCGCCGACATGGGCGAGCGGTAATGTACCAGCTGATAGAACTTCTTCAGAACAGCGAGTTGATGAAACCAAATGAAAATAGCGTCAAAACGCCTGTGTTATCGCACTTGATCACAGTTTTTCTGAAATTTCGACAAACACCACTTCCACTAAACTGGCGAATGGCTGACATTGCCCGGCGGGTTGTTGACTTGACAGCCGTCAGCAGCCTGGCACCTGAAATATAATTATTTTCGACTTTACAAACAGTGGCCTTGGGCAAAGCAGATGGTCTTCACCATGTGATGGAGAACAGAGAGTCATTTTTACTTCTGAGTTTGTCCAGCGAGTTATTATTACCATTTGACTTCGCTTTACCATTGCTGCCCGCCTAATCGGCATATCGTGTCGAAAGTTCGCTGGGCAAACTTATTGTCGATTGATTGCTGGAGCAGCATTCTAACGCCACGACGGGGAATACCGCGCCTGTTGGAAACTTCGATTGCCATCGAGATAACTCGGGCCTGCATATCTCTTTGCGCATCTTCGAAAAATGAGGATGTCGAAATATCTTCAGGCGCTTGGACAGGGCGTTTCTCTCGTGCTGACGACAGTGCAGAGGTCAACCTCACAGTCAAACTCGAACGATACATCGCTTGAACGACCGCCAGCCCGAAGTAGAGGGACCAGCAGTTTGTGCGCAGCTTCAGGAGTCCGCGAGGTCATGCGGTTGATCAAACAGGGACCGCGCATGGGAACTTCCGAACCCTTTCTGAGCAGCGAATTTGACAGTGACGCCGGGTGTTCCCAAAGTCAAATGGCAACCCGTTTCTACTTGAGCTGGATTGCTGAGCGTCGTCAGCGTAACCGCTTGTCCTGCCAGCGGTGAGGCTGATTGAGAGTTTACTGAATTAGGCATGAAATTTCATTAGCTGAAAATAGAGCTTGGCCAGCAAAACATCATAATGAACAAACATACTAATAAAGCCAGAATGCGAACTATTCCTTCTTTTTCGTGTTATGAATAAAGTTACTTTGAACTTACCAAAGTTTGCCGATTGGCGGCCTTTCTGTATCACAATATTTCGCGCATTTTTCATTCCCTGGCGTCGGTTTTCACGGAATGTTGCTCATTTGAATGAAGTTCACTGTCGATGATTGAACAACCAAAGTCCCGAGTGTTATATTGAAATTCCTCTAAATACTTAGGTGCCGTAAAGGAACATGAGCTTCAAAGTATCGAAACAAACAGCGACAGGTTGTTTGATTTCTAATTACCGGAAACAGCAGCAGGTGAAAATTGAGCAGCACGTTAAAGAAATATTGCGAAATATCATCGCTCGTCGTTGATTGTGAGATCAAGACTGAATATTTTGGTTATCGGGAGACCACACGTCACTACGTGTATGATACGGTCGTAGCAGATATCGAAAGAGAGCCGATGTTTGAATGAGCAGCTCAAAGCCATTGCGGATACCCGCGTCGCCGTGAAAACCGCAGCGGACCATGAGTGATTTTAAGCCAGCAAAGTCGAGGTTGCCGAGTTTAACATCACGAAAGATCATATTGTCCATTCTGAGTCACAGATTACGGAGCTTCGACGATAATGCCTGATTCTGCTCGCAAAGCCGCCACGATTCAGCGAGCCAGCCTGAGGACGAATTTTTCAAGGCAACATTTTGAGAATCGCAGACCGAGTGTTTGCGCTTTGGGCGCTTGAATGCAGTCGCTGGAATCAAACCTTTAAACAAGAAGCCATTTTTCGAAAGCTAAATGGCGGTTTGATTTCGATGAAAATTTCCTTGTGGTCGTCGCCGACGCATATGCCTGACCGATCTTTGCAGCGGCGATGCCAACAAACACGCAGGCTTATTTCAGGCATATCGTCGATGCGAATTGCGTTTCGCCATACCAACTAGACCAGACATTGCGCTTGAATTGCCAGATTTGCGGTCTTCAGCCTGGAGACTAGGTGTTAGCATTGTTTCCACGAATAGATAAAACTTGAAATAGATTTCACCAGCGGGACCGCAGACGAAACGCCTGCGGTTAGATTCTTACCTTCGGCTGCGCGTTTTCATCTGACGCTGATTACCCGAAGATGATGAGGCCGTCAGTCGACCAACAACATTCTGTTGGAGTTATTTTGGCTCAAAACGTGATTTCTACATTTCAGCCGTTTTTCTACAGTTCTAGCTGGTTTATTACGCCGCACGAAGAAAAATATTTAAGGTTACTTCTTTCCAGTTTCAAAATTGTCAAGAAGAAAAAAGGCAGGGAATTTCTTAACCGCAGGCGGTTCTCTGTCGACGCCAAATCGTTTCGAGCGATTCTCCGTCATGATCGGAGATCTAAATATCGACGGTACAGCCAGATAAGCAGTCTGGGTTTTTCCATACGCGACGGGTACTGAGACTGCCGAGGCAATTTTACCAGGAACATGTGGCCTTTGTGTCCCTAAAGCTTGAGCCTATAGTTTGACATCATGTCTAAGAAAATTACTACTCCATCTGCCTGGTTAAACTCGAGCTAAAATAAAGAGGAAGGTCTCAAAAGTGGTCGGCTTTCTGATTACGGACGATCATACGACTGCAGGCCCAGCACTGCTTGAATAGCAGCAGCTTTATACTCTGCAGACTTGAACCTTCGCTGAGTATCCGAAGCACTGGAAGAAATGCTTGCTCAGGAGGTCCTGCGCTCTCAACAGTGCCTGCTCAGGCACAGTAGAGTCATTCTCGCCTAGGGGACAATCTATTTTGACGGTTATTTTTTGCAATCGATGATTACCGACAAGCCTGAGTACTCACAGCTGTTACCTCTGCCTTGGCTTTTGCAGAGCATTGGGAAAACCCCAAACAAAGAACAGGCTGTCCATCCTGTTCAGTGCTGGAAATGGCAGACTTCGCGTGAGACCGCAGCTGAGCTGAAGCAGCGCATTGCCCATTTTTTCCATCAAGAATGTTGAAGGTGCCAGCAAATGAGTGATTGCTGGTCAGCGATGGCGTCCAGCAGAGTTTTGTCTTCTGAAACATTGGCCCGCACACGCCGATATTTGGCGTTTTTTTCTTCGATCGAGTTCCCTGAGCCGACTGTCACCACAGTGCCGGTCTTCACTGCACCACTGGTGTTTGGTCGTTTACCGCCTGGCTTAGACGCCTGCTTGTCGACCTACGGTGGCGCACATGATTCCAGTGATGCTTTTTTCGAAAGTAAAGATCCATTTGGCGTTGTTAGTAGTGTGAATTTCAAGTTTTTTTGAATTCCATAGTCGCCTATACAGCTTTGTGCCGGCTATTGCAACAGAGGGCACGCCATAACCTTCGCTGTTGTTCACAGATAGCCACCTGATAGAATGAAATGTCAACTAACATGAATATTTGCGAATAACCGGCTCATTGACCGTGAATACGAAGTAATACCGGACGGTTATCAAGAAAACACTTCCGTAAAACGGTCGTGGCAGATGGCGTTTGCGAAAACATAGCGAACATTGCCGCGTCCGCACAGCGCCAAAACAGCAAAGAAAGATAGTCCCGATTTATCGATGGCTGTCCTGAGGACCACCTGCGGTAATTGCCGGTTTTCGCCACCGAGTTCAAGAGCGGGTTTGAATTTCTGGCTGAATGATGGTCGTTAATGACTTCTTTCAGGCTTTGGATTGTTGGTTTCGTATGTCAACCTGGCTGTTTGCTATTAATGAGATTTTGAGAGATTTTCGGTCACTTCATCACCGGATGAGTTTAAGCCCGACAGAGCAATCACAGTATTCGATAACGATATTTATTCACCGCCATAACAATCGGAAACAGGTCAAATGACTGTTTTTTTTTAACAGAGCGATGCCTGAAGCCACGTGCTGCGCAACACGTCGTTATCAACGATTGCTTATCTTTGCGTTATTTACGATCGCTGTTATTTTTAACTATTTTGAATTGCCAGCTGGCATGTTGCCAGCCGGGAGTTGTTTTACACGATAATACAGTAGCGGAGTTTATTCAGACTTTGTTGTCCTTGTTTTTCGATTCGAAATTTCAAAAGAAGTAAATGAAGAAGTTTATATATTCACGAGCTTTTTCGAGTCGTTCCAGTTTTATCAACTGTTTCTATGTTGACGTATTGGATTTAGTTGTGGCTGGCTTTTGAATGAACAGGAAAACATTCTGATTGTAGATTCAAAATATTTTTTTACCATTCGCACACGATCATGCAAAATAAATGTATTTTCGAAATACCTGTCGCTTGATCGAAGAGGCGTTCGTGCCGTCATCAAATCGGCCAGAAGAAATTTTTATACCACAGATTTTACGACCGACAGCAATTGTCGCGTTCATTTATATAACGACGGTTGAACTGTTTCAGAATAAACGTTAGTTTGATAGTAACAAGAACTGTCATCCGCTCGCTTAACAGCTGTTTCCAAAAGTTTGCTCGTTTTCGATCACCCAGTTCATGTCGACGCTCGAATCGTCGGGTTGTTCGTCACATTGAACGCTCGCAGTGCCAGCGGTAATGAGATTTTGAACTTCCGCAGTCGAAAGACAGAAATCGAGGTTTGTTTGAAGTTTCGTAAAGTCAACACCGTTGCTTTTTGTCTGCCACCCAGGTTGGCGTTCATGGATCCTTTTTCAGCCGTCCTCTCCGTCAGATACGCAGATCTTGTACCTGACCAACACGCTGGACCAGCGGCGCTGAAGGGATCGCCCGCCTCATATTTAGTCGCAAAGAAAAACAGCAAAAGATGACGGAAGAACGGTCATCATCTGCTTGTTAAATTTATCATCAAAACATCGGATAGATGAAGAAGCGATGTTGAGGTTGAACCGGCAGCTGATGTTCTCCCGACTGTTTTTTGAGGACCATCGCTGAGCATTTCAGCCGATTTTTCTGCCTGGCTGAAGTATTGGGAGGCTGCAATAAACAACAGGTAACTGTTGATAGGCAGCGATTGAGGTCTTAGTTTTCATTTATTGTTAAATGTTTTTAGCCACATTGCGGAGAGGTGCGAAAAGTAATATTTTTTTCGTGTTTTTCGATGTTGGGACGGAGCTTAAGTCGTACTGCGTCGTCGATTGAGACGTCGTTGTCTTCGAGTTCGCTATGCGTCATTTTACCTGCTGACGCCACCTTCTCAACGGTGACGGGATTGAAAACAAAGATTTTCAATACTTTGTGAAATCTTCCCGGATAATATCACAGCTTGTGATGCTTGCACGTAGTCGCAGCCAGGGAGTTTCAGTAAAATGTTCGGTTCTTTTGCTCCAGTTGTCGTGTCGGGTCGAAAGAAAAACGAATTATCGAGCGAAACATGGCGTTGCTGATCCTGAAAACAGCCTTCAGTGAAAACGACTTGCGATGTATCTGCTTGAGTTTCCGACTTCATGGCGATTTTGTCCGAATGCCAGGAACGTCGCGAGAGATCTTCAGAGTTCTAATCTGCTTAGCTACGATCCTGAAATGTCAACCAAATGACCCAACCCCAGGTATCGGAAATTTCCATCGCTTAGTGCTGACAACATTAGGATTGGGCTTAGGCTTAGGCTTAGGCTTAGGCTTAGGGCTTAGGCTTAGGCTTTAGGGCTTAGGTTTAGGGCTTAGGCTTAGGCTTAGGCTTAGGGCTTAGGCTTAGGCTTAGGCTTAGGCTTAGGGCTTAGGGCTTAGCTTAGCTTAGGCTTGCTTAGGCTTTAGGCTTAGTTTAGGCTTGCTTGGGCTTAGGCTTAGCTTTAGGCTTGCTTGGCTTAGCTTTAGCTTAGGCTTGCTTAGCTTAGGCTTAGCTTTAGCTAGGCTTGGCTAGCTTAGGCTTCGAGCCTAGGCCTTGCCAAGCCCAAGCCCAAGCCTGCCCAAGCCTGCCTGCGCAAGCCCAAGCCTTGCCCAAGCCCTAAGCCTAGCCCAAGCCCAGCCCAAGCCTAAGCCCGCCCAAGCCCAAGCCTAAGCCCAAGCCTAGCCTAAGCCCAAGCCCAAGCCCTAAGCCTAAGCCTGCCTAAAGCCTAAGCCTAGGGCCTAAGCCCAAGCCTAAGCCTAAGCCTGCCCAAGCCCAAGCCCAAGCCCAAGCCTAAGCCCAAGCCTAAGCCTAAAGCCCAAGCCTAAGCCTAAGCCTCAAGCCTAAGCCTAAGCCTAAGCCTAAGCCTAAGCCTAAGCCTAAGCCCAATCCTAATATTGTCAGCACTAAGCGATAAAATTTCCCGATACCTAGAGTTAGGTCATTTAGTTGACATTTCAATTGTGCTAAGCGAAAAAAATTAGAGACTCTCAGAGATAATCTCCTTGACGTTTTTAATCATTCAGACCAAAAAAAAAATCATAAGTCAGAGCTCAAGCCAAGAGTTTTGCATTTGTAGTGCATCCCTCCAAATTAAAGTTTTTTTTTTCACTGGGAAGAAGATCTCTAGGATATAAGAGAAAGAATGTTTTCGCTTCAAACTCTTAACAAAATTCATTTTCTTTTTCGATTTATTTTTTATTTTCTTGGAATAAAATTCGAACATTTTTACTTTAAACCCTCTTTTGCGACTACGATGTTAAACATCACAAACAACATTGTATTTATTATCCAGGAAATTTACAAAAAATTGAAAAATGTCTTTTTTTTGTTTTTTTCAATCCATTCACGCCGTTGAAGAGTGGCGACGTCCGTGAACTCAAAAGAGTATGAGGGATTTTTGACGTTGCAGGAGTCCCAAATCGGCAGACCGTCAAGAAATTCAACGACGTGTCCTTTGTGCATCACTCTGTCGGTGGCCTTGAAGCCCATGAGGTACGACTTAAAACCAGGCGTCCCAGAAATTCGCAACATCGAAAACCTGAAAGAAAAAATAATTTTACTTTTCACTTTCCATATTATACTGTCTTGAGCAAAACATTTGATTTTGTAATAAATAATAAGATAGAAACTAAATTTTCCAAATCGGCTGCCTATCTAGCAGTTACCTGTTGTTTGGTACGCTCCCAATGTAGACAAACGGTACTTCAATATTATGTAGGCAGAAAAAATCAACTTTGTGGTAAGAGTGAACGTGTGCTCTCAAGACGATGACATGTTTGGTCCGGTTCATCAACTTGTTTTGATAGATCCTCAAAAAAAATGAATCGAGATTTTTTATCAAAAAACTTGCCAGTTTCCGATAACCTCCAACATCACTTCTTCATCTATCCATTGACATTGATGCAAATTTATTAAAACTGGATTATTGTCCGTCTGAAATTTCCCGTCAATAATCTTTTTTTTGCTGTTTTTTAACACTGACTTCTGCTTCTTTTAGTTTCATTTTCAAGTAAAATAATGGTGAATGAAGATCCCATTCCACGAAAAGAGCAGAAAATTTCACGCCGTAGTCCAGGGCATTGTTCAATTGGATCAGGTGAGCACAAAGGTCTGCAGTATCTGTGGAGAGGTTGAAGCAAGAAAGAAAAGGATCAAAAATGAATCTTAAATAGAACTTATACTATTTAACCTGGAATTTGGAGCTTTTGAATAAAAAAAGCAACAGTTGTTGACTTACGAAAAAGAACTTCAAACAAGAAGAAAAATTTGAACAAGATTTTCGGTTCCACAATCTTCATTTCACCGGAAAGTTCCAAAAATCTCATTACCTTTTTGCTGGCACAATTCAACGGAATAAGCGAGCGTTCCTGTGTAACGAACAAATAAACCCGACGAATTTCTAGAAACGTCGGCCTTTATGAACTGATTATCCAGGTGATCGAGAAACCTGTGAAACCAAACTTTTTAGGTAGCTTGTTAGAAACGAGCGTTGAGCTTGAGTTTCTTTATTTTGTCAAACTATCGCGTTTGACCTCTATGAAAACCAGTTCAAGCACGTGGTTTAGCATAGAAATGAGGCACTCCATTTGAACGCTTTTTTGTCAGTCGTAAAATCCTCAATGAATTTATAAAAAGTTTCTTCACAGCCAGTTTTATTGACAGCTTTTCTGAATTTTTGGGTCCCTAACCTCTTCAGTCTTAAGCGGTAAGGTTATTTCGAGAAATACATTTATTTTTTGCATGATCTTGGTAACAAGTCATTAATGCGAATGGTAAAAATATTTTGAATCTACAGTAGTAGAGTGTTTTTCGGTATAAATGACATTCAAAAATCAAGTACAACAAATCCAATACGTCGTAGCATAGAACTTGGATTTGATAAAAGCCTTGCATCTCCGGGGCATTGACTCGAAAAACTTGTCAGAAACGCTCATTGGAATCTTATAAACTTCTTCGATTTGCTTCTTTGGAATTTCAGATCAAAACAAAAGTTTCAACAAAGTCTGAATGAAAAACCTCACGTACTCAACCGTTTCCGCTACTGTATCTAATATTATCGTGTGTAAAAAAAAACAAACTCCCGACAGCAGCGCTCAATTTCTAACTGGCAACCCTCATAGTTTCAAAATAGTTAAAAATAACCAAGCGATCATGGAATGAGCGCAAAAGTTCAAAGCGCAATCGTTGATGTTGTTCTGGATATCGTGGTTTCCTAACCCAAGCAGCACGTGAACTGGGAACTCTGACAACCATCCTTTCTGTTAAAAAAAATTAGTCATTTTTGATAATATGTTTTCCATTGTTAAATATTAGCAGTGAATAAACTATCATTATCGAATAATTTTTTGTGGTGCTTCTGTCCATGAACCTTAAACTCATCCAGTTGATGGGAGTGGCCGAAATTCGTCAAATCTCCATTAATAACCAAAGCAGTAGGTTTATTCGACATACGAGAAATTAACCAATCCAAAGCCTGAAAAAGAGTCATTGAAAGCGGCCATCGACGCCGAAATTTCAAGAAAATTCAAACCCACTTCTCTTTGAACTCTATTGGCGAAACGACTCTCTAGCTGAATGCACCGGCTTTTTCCGCGTCTTACTGTGAAATTACTACCACGAGGTGTTTTGTAGTCCTCAAAAAAAAAGGACTGCTCTGTGTTATCTTGATAAAATCAGGTTCTCCAGTAGCTCTTCTTTTTGCCTATTTTGAGCGTTTGCTGTTAGGTTGTTTCCTAATCCTTTGGACTTCTTCATATGACAATGTTCGTATGTTTTTCGCAAACGCCTTATGCCTTTTGATGACCTATTGTCAATGTTTTTACGGAGAGTGGTTTTCTTATTCTTAAAATCCATTAACATTCACTTCGTATCGATACGCAGTCAAATGAATTGGTTATCGTTTTTGTTCGCAAAAATCTTCATATTTGAAAGTTATTTATTTCATGTTCCTATCAGGTTCGAAAACATCTGAAATCGAACAACGCTTGAAGGGAGTTTATGAAAAGCGTGCACGCTCTCCCCACACAATTCGATTTTGGTAGCCCGACAAACAATACATAGGCGACTATGGAAAGGTTCAAAAACTTGAAATTTTTATTCCGCGCACTTTGAGCTAACAAGACTTATATCGCCGCATAGATGGGATCTTTTTTACTTTCGAAAAAAAAGAAAAAAAGTCATCACTGGGAGGAGTGGATAATCATGTGCGCCACCATGAATGGGTCGATAAAGATAGTAAGCTACAGAGCGTCCCCAAACCGGGCATATACGATTAGAAAAACGGTCTTTTGCAGCCGTTGGTCTGTTAAACACCGGGTGTTTTTGAGTGAAGATGGCACTGTGAAGAACGGTGTCTACACTAGTCAGCTACGCAAACTCAGGGTTCATGTCAGACTCAGTCGAGAAAAAAAACGCCAAATTTTTCTATCAACATGATAATGCCGGACCAGATGTTTCAAGGAAGACAAAAGCTGAACTCGCCGGTTATGGATGGGCTGCCATATCCCCCGTATTACCCTGACCTTAATTATATCATTTGCTTCTTTATCTCCAACGACATCTTGATGGAAAAATTTTCAAATCTCGAGATGAGGTCAATACTTGCTTCTTCAACTTGCAGTCTCACACGTTCTGCCAGAAAAGAGTCTGCAAGTTTCCCAGGCGCTGAAAGAGACTGATAGACAAGGATGGACAGCACCACGAGTTCAACTGTTCTTTGTTTGGGGTTTTTTCCCAATAAAGACATTCTCGCAAAAAAGCCCAAAGACTTAGGGAACAACCTAATGAAAAACAACTGTGAATTCTCAGGAAACTTGTCGTGAAATCATCAATTTGACAAAAAAAAGAGCTCTTAGAATCAAAATAGATTGTCCCTATAGGCTTTTGAGATGAAGCTCTACTGTACGGCCTGGGCCATTCTCTCTCACCAAGATTTTTGACCCCCCTTTGAACTTCTGATGAAACTTTGTTGAAGAGTACTTTAGGACCTCCTGATTGCGGAGCAAGAAAAACATTTCTTTCAATTGATTTTGTTCTCAAGTTACGAAGGTTCAAAGTCTGCAAATGCGCAAATTATGACAAAACAGCGCTATTTCAAGCTTTTGAGGCCTCTTAACGTTTTCTAGTCAGTATGATCGTCCGTAATCAGAAAAGCCGACGCCACTTTTGAAGTTATTTCCTCTTATTTTAGCCGAGTTACGGTAGGCAGGTGGGTAAATGCCTATCTGAGAAAATATGAGTTTTAACTAGACATGATGTATATCAAACTATAGGTAAAGCTTTTTTAGGAGTTTTTAAAGTACATGACATCATGGGTTACAATGAAAAATTTTTGAGTTAAGGTACTTTTTGTGTCAGCGGTCTCAGTTTACCCGTCACCCTTATGTTATATGGAAAACCCAGACTGCTAACTTTCTTAAAAAATTATCCTGAGCAATACCTACAAATCGATATTAATTTGATCCTCCGATCATATTGGAAAGTCGCTTCGAAGAGGCGCGATTTGGCATTCGACAGAGAGAACCGCCTGCGGTTAGAAATTCCTACCTTTTTCTTCTTGAACTGAATTTTGAGCTGGAAGGGTAAGCGCTAAAGCAATTTTTTTCTTAAAAAAATTTTGTGCGGCATGTGAAAGAAGTAAAAAAATTTAGAGTCCAGGCTCAGTAGGACTAAACTCAGAAAAAACGTAGAAATGTAGAAATCGCTGTTTTTAGGCCAAAATCGGCTTCAAACGGAATGTTGTGTTGAAAGGGTCGGCTGATAGTCGGAGGAAACCTCATCATCTTCGAGGTGAAATCCAGCACGATCAGATGAAACAAACTTTAGCACTGGCTCTGACCAGAAGAGAAAGGTAAGAATCTCTAACCGCAGGCGATTCTTCTCGTCATATGCCGAGTCCGCGCCTCTTTCAAGTTTTTTTCCAATGTGAAGGGTAGGAAAGATCTATTTCAAAGTTTTATCTATTCGTAGGTATTGCTAACACACAAGGTCACGGGAAAACTGAGACCGCAGATATTGAAAACAACGCAATTCAAACAATGTCTACAGTTATCTAAGTTGGTATGTACTGATAAAGTACTTGAAATTGAATTCCTCATCGATTGTTATACCATATGCCTAGTAAAATGCATTGTTTATTTAACACTCAGGGACGCACCTGCCTACAGTGTCTTAACTACTATAAGAGGAATCGGTCGGAAAATATGCGTCGGCATTTTTGATGACGGACTACCACAAAGGGGGAATTTTCATCGAAATCAAAAAATATTCATTTTTATCGTACCTACAGCTTTCGAAAATGACAGCAAGTTGAGCCTCTTGATTGACTTTTTTTTAAAAGGTTTGATTCCAGCTGTTTTCAAATCTTTTTTTTGCATTTTTCTAAGAAGCACAGCTTTATTTAAAAGCCATAAACGTTTTTTTTTTCAATTCTACTGATTCTCAAAAAAATGTTGCCTTGAAGAGAAGAAAAGGTTCGTCCTCGAAAGGCAGCCAACTGAAAATGTCACTTGGGAATCTGGCAACTTTGTTGCGAGAGGATGGTCCAGGCGGGTACAGGATTCTCCCTCGATATCGTCGAGAAGCTTTTTTCCGCGTAGTCGCCTAATATAAAAAGAGCTCAAGCAAAAAAATAAGTCCGTAATGTTTCTGAATGGACAAATAATTGATCTTTCGTGATATTCGTTTTCAAAAACTCCTTCAGCAATTTTCGAACTTTGCTGGAAAGCCTGAAAAATGAAAAATCACTCATGAATTCCGCTTTATAGCAGTTTTCGACTGGCACTCGAGGTTATAACTCCACCCAGTGAAACTTTGAAACTGCAAACCTCATTCAAACCGTAACTTTCTCGACACTTTCTCGATATCTGCTTACATTGCACGTTATCAGGTTCACACATGAAGTGGTATTGTGGATCTCCCATTAACAAAATATTCAAGTCTTGATCTCCTCCAATCGAAGAAACATTTTGTTTTGAGCGTGAAATATTTCCTGTAAAAATATTTCTTTTTGAAAACTTAAAAGGAGTGTCTCCTGTTTTTAAATATTCAGTACTGCTCAATTTTTTCCACCTATAATTTTCTTTGTTTCCCGATAATTAGAAATCAAACAACCTTCTGTCATGACGACCGATCGAAAACAGAATAAAAAGCAGAGAAGCTTTTTCATCGCGGAAAATATGGCTAGTGACGCTTGCGACTTAAAAACTTCTAAATTGTTTAGAATTTCAATATAACACTCGGGACGGCAGTTTGTTTCCAATCCTGTCGTTTTTCATAAACAGTGAGACTCGTTCGAAAAATAGATGAGCGAAAAAGAACTGATTCCGTGAAGAAAAAGTTATGGTTATCATATTTGCCAGAATGAAAAAATGCGCGAAATGTTTAATGCATTCACAGAAGATTTTTAGCCAATCAGCAAACTTTGAGTAAAGTTCCAAAATTAGTACGACTTTTTTTATTCCTTTCTTTGAAAAAAAGAGGAATGAACGTTCACTTTGCATTCTGGAAACTTTCGAAGTTAGCTGGAGTATATGTTTTTTTGTTCATTATGATGTTTTTGCTGGCCAAACTCTCTATATTTTCAGCTAATGAAATTTCATGCCTAGTTCAATTAAACTCTCAATCGGAAAAAAAAGTTTCATTTCTTCTCACCGCTGGCGCTCTCTGTAGAAGTAGGACTACAGAAGCCTGTTTTGCACTGACAGACCTTCAACTAATCCAACAGCTCAAATTAGAAACGGGTTTTTTTCTGGTCGCCATACGATTGATCTGGACAACCATAAGATCCCCAATTTACGACTTTGGAACCACCCGGCGTCCTTGAAAATTCAAATTCTCATATAAGAAGGGTTCGGAAAGTTCCCATGCGCGGAACACGCTCTGTTTTTTTCTTCTTTCTGTTTGATCCATTCTTTGTCTGAGGCCCAACCCATTGTACCTTATTTTCACCTTGGATCCCACATTAGCACGTACAAACAAAGGCAGCGACAATGTCGCACTTTCCGTACCAAACTCTGCGCAATTATGCATTTGTTCTACTTCGGGTAGTTATGTGGTCGTTCCCCCATAAGAGCTCGTTGATATATTTTTCAATATGTTTTGATATCGTTCCGAGTTTTATTTCTTGGGTTGAATGCGAAATTGATACGCAAATAATTCGTGGATGAGTTCGTAGTCAATTTTTTGAAACATATATCCAAGCACTATAAGAAGATATTTCATTTATCCTCATTTTTTTTCGAAGATTCTTAGCAAAGTTATGCAAATATAAAATTTCGAGTTTATCCTCTGTCTTAATCAAGTTTCCAACAAGGCTTTTTTTGCGGAAAGTTTTGAGCTATTCTTTCGAATATTCCCCGTCAATGAGCGTTAGAAGGTCACTCCAAAAAAATTTTTTTAATGCTAACTTTTCGGTTTTCAATTTTCTTTCCCAACTTTAGTCAATCAAACTCTGACAATAATAAGATCAAGATAAGCTTTATTTGGAATTCTAATCACTTTTCTCGCCGGTTGAATATTGACTCTATACGAAAAGGATGATTTTTTTTTACTTATGAACTTCGACTGCAGGAGACATGCCGATTGGAGCAGGCCGAAGAAGTAATGGCCCGTTTTGCCGTTCTGCAGCGCACCGGGATTCGCGAAAACGGCTGGCAGAGAGGAGAAAAGTCAAATGGGCAATGAGTAACTCGCTGGACAAAGCGAAATTCTCAGAAGTAAAAAATGACTCTCAAAATGTTCCTCCATCACATGAGGAACGAGGTTAGTTGTCATGGCACCGCGCGCATCCCAATTTTTTTTTAACTTTCCCTTTTAAAATTTTTTTTCTTTATGTTAAAAGTCAGAAAATGAAGATTATGAGATTTTCAGGTTACCGAACCTTTTTGACAACAATTCAAGAGTCCGATGTGTCATCTCGAAAAAACGCCGGGCTTACAATTCTTCAGCTCGATTCTTCGCCAGTTCACCGTTTGAATTTGGAAGTGAGTAATATTTTTATCGAAATTTCAAAGAAAAACTATTTACAATGATCAAAGTTAGCATTAACAGTTTTTTAGTGTTTTTTGACTGAAGAAAGCTATTTTTCCCCTTTTTCATTTGAAAAGTTTCATCTCAAAGTTTTTCTCGCTTCGACATTCTGAGAAAAGTTCTATCAATAATTTTGTTCCGACACGCTTCGCTATATCCACGTGAGTCTGCATGTCGAGAAGGCTAATACAATATTCCTTCTTCTCTGGCACGCAGTTATGTATCTTTTTCTTCGTTCTTTATGTTGACGCTTTCTTGTTATTTCAGTCTCTCTTCCTTTTTATTTGCTCAATGAAAAAAAAAAATCAAGTCATTTTATTAGAAAGCCGAAAATGAACTACAGTCATGCTATTTTAGATTTTAAATATATTTGTGGTCGATTGGCGGCTTTTAAAGTTTTTATTCTTTCAGCTAGAATTATTCTCGAAGTCATATATACTTTTCCCAGACTTCGAATTTTATTTGAGCAGTTTTCACAAGAAAGCACCTTTTCTTTGACATTCGCCTCCTGCTAGATTTTGCAAAGTTCAAACCTCTTCATTACCAGTCGCTTGAGAAGTCATACTTCAACTCTGTAGGAAATGTTTGAAAAAAAAGAATTCGATTACCTTTCTCAAATTTTACCGACGATGCTCCGGTTTTCTTAATTATCACGTTGCAAGACGTATCCAAAGAAGGAAGATTAACGTTTTTGAATAAGCGTGAAGCATTTGAGGGTCCACATTTTTGCATGACAAAAGCTGGCTTATTTTTATTCCTTTTTGAATATTTCATTTACCCTGAGACTTTAAGATAAGATAAGTATCAAGAAGAAAAAAGTAAAAAAAAAAGTTTTAGATTTTCTGACAAAAAACAATATTTCCCGTTTTATGCTTTTTCTGCCTTGATATGGTAGAAGATTGCGAAAAAGCAGTTTTAAGCTATTCACTAGAGGGTCCTAGAAAAAATCCTAGAAGAACTGTCATTAAAAGATTGTCCCCAGAAGAACTTTGACTTTTATCAAAATTTTCTTTTGATTCCTCTTTTCAATTATTTTTATTCTCGCATTAGCCTGATAGTTGTTTTTCAATGTGAACAAGTTTTTCCTGTAGAAAACGGCCAAAAACGTGTACCTCGAGCCAATGCTACGGCTCTTAATCGACCAGGACGTAGGAGCTCTCGTGAGAGCCTGTTCTGCATCAAGCTCACGTGGACTCACCAAAAAAGCTCACTCGTTACGCTCATGAGCCTTCGGCGGCTAGTCAAAATGAAGCGGCAAATGAACATTGTACATTTTGATTTCCCGAATACATTTGCTCGCTGTTAGAGGAAGACCACGGAGCATTCTCCAAGATTACCTGAAATAAAAGTTCCCACCAAATTTTTCTGTTGAAATAAATTAGGTCGCCGAATCATAGTGAAATTTCTTATCTCAAGGATTTTATTCAACTTAGCGATTTTAAAATTTCCGGTTGAGATTATTATTTTTAATAGGCAAGAGGTAGATTTTTCAAACAACAGATCAATTGTTTTTGCGAAGCACTTCTTATAATCGAACTTCAATCAACTTCGTGAAGCCAAAACAGAGACTTTAACCATGGTTTATACTGCAAGAGTTGTTGAATGAAAGGAAAAACATCTTTTTGTTAAGCTCTTCTTTGGGGATATTTTGGAACTAGTCTACGTTCTAACTCTTAACTTTTTAAAAATCATATAATGATAAATTTGACCCAAAGTTGAGATTGAAAAATGTTTTAGCTTCAGTACTAATCAATTACCAAAGTGATTTCGATCTAGAGCTTCAAAGTTTGTGTAAAAGATTATGTTTAGAGCTTTATATTTTAAAAATTTGCACGTAGAGTATTCAAATTAAAAAAATTTTACACTTTTTTTTGTAAGCGAAATAAACATTTCATTCATTCATTCATTTTTTTGCAAAAATAAACCTGTTAGAAATTCTCCAGGTTTTCAAAAGAGATTGTGAAATTTATTCTGCTCCCAAATCAAAGAAATCGGAAATTACAGGAGTGTGCCTATTTATTGTACGGCGTTAAAATTGTTATAGCTCAAAACGAGTTTCAGACAAAATTCATTGGAACCGTAAGCAAAAATTTTCATTTGGAGAAACTCGCAAAATGATCCGCCCTATGCTAAAAAGCGAGAATCCTTGGGTTGAAATTTCGAGGAAAAAGCCGTCTGCTCACCGGCCATCAGTTTTTTCGACTGATCGGGCCAGTGGCCTAATTGATATCTGGCAGACTCGAGGCTGTCATAATCGCCAAAGAAGGTCGAACCAAACAATTTTTGATTCGTCTTATCTTTGATACCGCGTATACAAAAAAGATCATGAAAATTTGTGTATAGCTCTTTGATTAATGAGATATAACGGCAGTTCGCACTTTGACAGTTTGTGCTTTACCTTTTTCGATTCGAAGTTTCAGCACCGTGCGGTGGTGCACTCCCCTCGCACTGAAAAAGACCCAAAATTGTGAGGTGCAAATCGACAAAATGCACCGAGCACGTTATTTGTAGAGTATTGCCGAGCTGGTTCTGCATTCATTTTGGCACTATCGGAGTTTTCGAAAAACCTTTTTCGAGAGGAAAGCGCGGTTGAGCCAAAAAAAAAAAAATAGTAACCGGCGCGACGACAGTAGCAGTACAAAACTTTTTCCTATAGGAATTTCTCCTCAGCGAGCTGCCTTTTTTTTGAAAAGTATGAAATCCCACAATGGCTTCGATTTGGACGACCTGAATGAGATGTTATCAAAAAGTTTGTTAACTTTGACTTCAAATTAAATTTTGATTAGACATTGAATACTAATGAACGTTGTGTCAAGAAAAATAAGAAAAAATATTCAATCGGCTGAAGAATCTGGCTAAGAAAGACCAACTGGAGATGCTTGCAAAAACTTAATGTGTTTTATTCACTTCAAAATTATTTCAAAATCAGATTTCTAGAAATTTGGTTTTGGAATTCACAGACATGGTATTTTTTTTTTAGCATTTAGGTATTTTTCTTTTTAAGCAGCGGCTTAAAGACTCTTCGATGTACCAGACAGAAATAAGGAAACTCACAACTCAAACTGTTTGTTTTAAGTTCAAACATTTCAAGGACTTTCGAAAAGTTGGTGAAATGACTTTAATTCTAGATGTTCCCATCAAATTAAAAAAACTTAAATAGGATTCAAATCAGAAAAAAAGTAATCTAGAAAGGTTAGAGCGAAAAAATTACAAACTTTAGAAATGTGAAAAGTTTGCAAATGAATCGCTGCACGTCATGGCTGTTACTGTTGTAAAACTCTAAAAAGTTTGAGAGCTATAAATATAAACTCCTTGCGAGAAAATGGAAACAGATTTTGACAAAAAGTTTTCTCATACTAGAGTAGTTTGCTATCAAACATCTTTTGCAACTGGCAGTCCCTATAAAGCGCGAAAAAAGATTTATTTTGAATCGACAGAAACAAGAAAATTTCAGATTATTTTCATTGGCTTGAAATTCCAAAGTGATGAAATACTTTTTTACATCCTTGGCTCACTGAATGACTTCTGTAAAGCAGTCGCTCAACGAAAATTCCCATAGTGAGTCTGAACAGTTAAGTTAAAAAGTTTCACTTTTTTTAGAAAAAAAGAAGAGAAATTAGTCTTAAAAAAATGACCCCCTAATTAGCAAGAAAAAAATTATTTATACAAGCGTAGTCAAGATTTTCGACGGGAGAACTCATAATATCAGACTACTTTTGATTACCTGATACAGTTCGTTTTCAGTTGGTCTGAAACGAAAACCTACGGAATTTTGATTTTTCAAAGTAATGGCTGGATTTTGAGAATTGACGGAAAAATTTCCCGAATACCTTTTTGAAGTCTCACGACCTTGTTTGGTAGTTAACTGCGCCAACTTCTTATTTTGAAGACTCGGAGTTTCGAAGTGTATTGAAATCAACGAAAAAAATGGAAAAAGATTCTTCGGAAACAGAAGCTTTCCATGTCAATAAAGGGAGGAATTGTTCAAAATCGTTATTTTTTCCTTAAGAGTGTGATTTTTTTTGAACATTGACTATGTGAGCAAAAAATTTGACTCTTTGTTTCTTTCATTTTCGGGAAGTCTCGCTTAGGGAGGTCTTTCTTCAAATGAAAGGAAGCTGACCTACACGCTCTAGCTCACGTCTTTGAGCGTTCACGCATGAGCGGTGGCTAGTAGTGAGCGCGTGTGCTCATTACGCATACGTGTGCCTAAAGCGCCCGCGTCTCTTCCATGCCCCGTAAGCCGTTCACAGAGAGCCTCACGAGGCATGCTGCCTTCAACAAGCAATCCATTCCCTTCGCACTCTCCATTTTCGTCATTTATACACATTGCTTGGATGCCCTTAATTGCTAACTTTTTTCACACTGTTAAGGAATGCAAAATGTTTTGAAGGTCATAAAATCAGCAAAAGTTGAGATATTGAAACAAGGTCAACGGAAAAGTGGAAGAAAACCAAGGTCCAGTTTCACCCACAAAGAAAGTCAATTTACGTTGCAGTTGGGCGTTTTTGATAATTATATTCTTGGTGGAAAAGTAAAAGGTCCTGAAAATCGAGGAGTGCCCAACTTTTTGGTTTCCGAGAAAGTACACCTTAATGTGAAAGAAAACCATGAAAAATATGCTATTTTGAGACTTTCAGCCTTGTTTCTCGAAAACTAAGTTTGATTGGTAGAGACTTCTCGTATCTCCGCCTGGTTTATCAAAGGTTTATCTGACTGATTTTTTGAAAAATCTCATTAGAAACGTCAAACGAGCTTCTTTCTGAGCATCCATTTTTATAGAAATTTTTTTTTCCACATTTTCCTTTACTCCATTGGACTTAAGACAAGCGGATTCCTCGCTCTTTTTTTTCTGACCAAGGTAAGGCTAAATATGATCTGACTGTTTGTGACGCGAATTTGACGAATAGAAATAGGACGGAATTTATACCTTTTTTGAGCTACGCTTATTGAAAATGAGAATTACTCACAACTTTTCAGAATAGCTTTTGCAGAGATTTTAATTTTGATTTTCGAATCAGAAAATTTCTGCGCATTGCGATTATTTTTGAATACTTTCGCATTTTTCGATATGGAGGGATTTTCCAACCAGAAGAGTTACTCACTTAATGCAATTTTCTGTGCTGGGCCAAACACTTATCAGACCAAAAAAAAAATTGTGAAAGCCTTGACTCTCACATCTTCTGGAATTTGAAGAAAAAGTTTTTTTTTATAATTTCATGGTAATTTTTTTTAACTGTCTGTTTTCGAAGACTAATAAGTTGCGCAGATTGAAACATGAAAGATATTTACCTGGCATGTCAAGAAGTTAGCTGCTTAATTTTCAGGATTGAACGACTAAAAAAATAAAAAAACCTTTCTGGTGCCGACCCCTATTTCTTTTTTTAACTCCGATTGTTTTTGTTTGATTCTGAAAAAAAAAAACTCGAAATAGAAATATTAAGATAATTGGTGGTTTGAACAAGAATTTGCAGTCAGTATGCCATTTCTGATGGAGAAGGGAGCTTCTTGCCTAGTTTTTTTCTTTGAGCACCAAATCAAGCTCGCCAGACATTTTCAATGACTTCCAGTTGTCATATAAATCGAATAGCTTTTTCGCTTTGAGGTTTCTCAGCTCTGATTCTTCGTCTTTTCGAGCGTTGCAGAAGGCGTCAAAAATTTTCATCGTATTGGATAGAAGATCGGCTAAAAAAATCTCTAATCCAATGGAAAAGGCAGGGCAACAACCTCAGATTGAGTTAGACATATAAACGCACGGAAATCGACGTGCGTCCTCTCGTATAAAGTTGCCACTCATGCTTTAGGAGGGGATCAATAAATTTAATTGTGTTCGTGTGCGACGCGAGTCCTCTATGGCATTCAGCAGCAACAGCTCTCATACGAATTTGTGCGGGGAGCACGCAGATTCTTAAGACGCCTTTTTCTTGTATTCAGCATCTATTTTATTGTGAAGAGAATTTTTCTGTTTCCGTCTGCGCTTTTAAGAGCTTTTCAGAAAATTATATTTCAACATTCTTGTTTATTTTTTTTTCAAAATATTCATCGATAATTTTCAGATTACACTTATAAAAAAAGCCAAGGGGCTCACATTCCAAAGGCTTCCTCTTTCTTATTATGATTAAAAAAATTTAGTAGAGCGATTGGGTTTTCAAAATCGAAAAAGTGATCTACTGTTGATAATTTTGTTTAAGGTAGGTTTAATTTCATTTTAAAAATATGTGACCTTAAGATCATTCAAACAAAAAAAGGAGTGAAAATGCACCGTTTTGGTCTAGAATCTCACCTTCTTTGTTTACTGAATCTTCTTTCTTTGCTCTGTGATCTTGCTATTGTTAACGAAAGAACCTCAAAAAAGTTTTTTCAACGAACAAATTAAAATCGATTAAAAAAAAAAGTTTCCCATTGGAACGAAAAAAGAAAGAAGAATTAAATTTGCAATTCAAACTTGGATTATATCGAGCGGAACTCGATGAAAATCGTCTGCTGTTGTTGTTCTTCCCATTTGCATTTTTGTATCATCAGAAATTACTTTCTTTGCAACCTCGTAACTATCTGGTTTTTCTGTTAATTCTGTTTGCAAAAACTTTAATGGGTAAATGGTGTTGAAAATTTATTTTTAGAGAAACGGTGGAGCGAGTTCGCCCAGAAGTCGTTATTTTTCCTTTTCTTCAAACGGTTAGTTCATGTTACTCCATGATTTAAAAAAGAGTGGCTGATGAGAAAAAAAATTCTGTTAATTAGAAATCACAAAAAAGTGTATCGCTGCCAGCAGAGAAGGCGGACGGTGGAACTTTGCAGAAATAAAATTTGAGGTTCTCAAAAAAAGTTTTGGGATGTCACCACGAACCCTCTCTCCCTCAGTACAATGAAAAATGGTTTAATGACCTAATGACCTAATAACTGGGCTAAAAAATAAACAACGAATACTTTGAGAAGAAAAATAATTCTATGACACTTTTAAACGGTTAGAAAGCTTTTTTTTTTCTTCACTGATATGGCAGCGCACAGATTTCAAGACTTTATAAACTGAAAAAAGGCACAAAGTAGAATTTCACTCAGATTTTTTCATTCAAACACGATTAAGTTAGGCAACTTTCTTCGAAGTTCCATAAAATAAGTACCGATTAGAAATTCAGACACGCGAATCTTATCTGGAGACGGTTCGCCAACTTTTTCCTCGGATCTTAGCCACTCCAAAAAGGGCGACCGTCAGCCGACTGAAAACATGAAAACCGGAGAAACGACAGGAGCAAGTTCTGCGCAAGACTCTACTGCATCTTGTTCCAATGCGGTGAGTTGAACTCGATGAAGGGAACATTTTCTCTTTTGGGACAGCAAAAAATCTGAAAAATTACAGTACAACGTCGGTGACCAAGGAAGTAGTGGATACGCCGTTGGGGAAACGAATACGTCTAGAGAGATGAAGGTGAAAAATTGAACCTTTTTAGTTTTTCAATGGGATTCTCACGAAAACAATTTTTGAATTGACTCTTGTTTCAGATCTTCAAAAAAGTGCTCCGAGACCCTGTTTTACGGCAACCTTTTCAAGATTTTTTGGAACAACAGTTTTGCGCCGAGAATCTCAATTTCTACATCGCCGTAGAACAGTTTCGAGAACAAAATTTTTATACGGATGATAAGGTTTAAATTTTCTTTACTCTATATAATTTTTTTTTCATTCACAGATAGGAGAACGGGCTGTAATGGCACGGAGAATATATGAGAGGTACTTTGCTCAGAATAGCACAGAGCCGGTGAACATTGACAACTCCACCAGTAAAAGAATTCGTGAAACTATCGATGATGGACTGTTCCCTCGTAACACTTTCGACATCGCTCAATATCAGGTTCGGTTGAGATCCTCTTCAATCTCAAAATAAACATCAATTGAAACATATTAGTTGTACTAGTAGAAGGAAGTTTTTTCCCGAGAATAAAATTTGAATGAAAAGTTTTCTAAATGCTGGAAAAAATTCTAAGTCGCCCAATTTGACTCACCAAAAAGTTTCTGATGTTTACAGGGCCGGTTTGGTCCAACATCTCTAGGGAAGACTTTTTCCGGAAAAAAATGATCGGTTTTTTTCATTCTTTCTCAACAAAGTTTTTTTTTCCCGTTGCTCAAGTTTAGAAATTTTTGGAAACGAGCTTTCAGTTTCAATAATAGGATGAAAAACAATTTTTGAATTTTCCCGACAATCTTTTTTCTGGTACCACAAACCTTTTTGCAAATTTTTTCGTTATCCAATTTTCTAACCAGAAACTACCTATCTCAGAAGTTTGGACTTATAAACCTCGTACAGCTCCTTAATTGATTGAAGCTCTCTATAAAAAATGAGAATGTTCACTTCAAGCATAATTTCAACATGAGATCTTTGGACGTTTCAAACGACTAAAAAAAACTTCCATTTGCCTGAGTGGTCGTATATTATTTCAAATTCAGATTTTGCATTTGCTTAAATACGACTGTTGGCCACGATTTTTGCGGGCGGGTGGCGCTCAACCAGATTTCACCGACGATCAACTTGCTGAGGAAGAAGACCGCCAGCGACGAATCGAACTAGGAGGTTATTTTGAAATCTTCTTTTTCCTCCAAGAAGATAGTCTCCTTGGGAACGTCAAGGACAAACTAATTTCAACTTGCCACTCAGGTTCAATTAATCTTTGGATTTAAAAAACGCTGAAAAACCGTATTTTCCGGCCTTTGGCTGAGCAAACATTTTTTTTATCAACTAATGAAAGTCGTTTTGTAGATGCAATTAAATGAAGGGAAGCAACATTAGGTTGCTTCTTGATTTCTCTTTCAATTAACGTAATGAAGAGAAAAAGAAATGTTTCAAGCTAATGGATGAACGGAGAGACACTTTCAGAAAACGTCGAATCCACAACTTTCCATCGAAGGTCATCAGGACGAGCGCTTGGAAGGCAGTCTACTTCGAGTATCAGTGCGGCCAGTGGAACTGGTCCACTCACAATGAGAACAGCTTCCGATAAGAAAAAGGTGATCTAACGATTATGAAAGGGGAAGTAGCCGGAATACAAAGAAAAGAAAACTCATAATTCAAGCCGATATCGTTTTGAGAAAAAACTATGATCATGAATAAAATAAGGAAATGGGAACAAAACGAAAGTTTGAAACTTCGATGCCTGCACTTTCGTGAAGCACTTATGTGGTTGTGTCGTGTTCACTTTTGCTAAAACTTTCACTTCTCAAAAATTCATTTTTATACATTTTTCTTGTCAAAAAAGATTTACAAGTTTTTTTAAATTTCTTGTTCCAGTCGATATAACGCTGAACTTTTACTTTTGACTGCTTTTTGTTTAATAAAAAAATCCAACTAAACCGAAATAGAACGCTGAACCCTGAGTTACTTCAAAAGAAGGGAAGAAATTTTCGTTTGAAGTTTGAAAGTCTTATGAAAACGCTGCAAAATTTTTAAATTATTGAATTGTGAGTTGTATTGCTCTACGCAACACTTTTTTTATCGATTTTGAAAAAAAGTTGTGGTCTTATTTTTGTGCTAAAATAAACTTGGGATGCCACACATCCTAAACTAAGAAGTCGCGTAGATAATCATAATGTTTTATATAGAAAAATGTTTATCTAACTTTCGAACAGTTTTTTTTTTGTTGAACATGTGGAAACTTAAGAACTTCCATTCTTTGGAAAAGTATATCGTTACAAATTTTGAATCGGACCGTCATAATATTCAATTTAAAATAATTCATGAGTGATGAAAATTAACAATGTAGTCAATGAGTATCCATCTGCTGAAAATGACCGAAAAAATGAATCCGCTTGATTCCAAATGTAAAACGTTTGACTGAAATATTAAAAAAACGCTGATTTCGGTTTAAAAGTGCCAATATCGTCATGTAATGTGAAAAGCCTATCGCCTGACGATTGCAGAGAAATTTCATGGTACAGCCAACACTGTGGAGCCGGATGAACCGTTTGGCAGGCAGACTACGTCGAGTGGATACCGACGAAACTTGCCAGAGCTTATCTAAACTTGCATGTCGCTCACGTCCTTCTGAAGGCCTCAACGAAGACCAAAATCGTTGGACGGAGGAGTCTGGAAGTCTGCGCGTAAGCCTACCACAATCTTCATGAACGTTGTGCGTAATAATCTTATTGTTTCTGCTTCGTTTCTATGAGTTTGCTTCTAAGTTTGACGAACGGGTACAAAAATGTGAGAATTATCAGAAGATCGAACAAAATTTTTATTTTCGCTTCTGTTGACTGTCAATTATTTGGTTTTACTTTGTTTGTAATTTTGTGTTTCGTGGCTTTTCTTTATTTGTTTTATCTGCTTGACTATTTTCTGGATACATCTAGTGTCATTTGAAATGTTTTTTGTTGTCACAAAGCGCATGATGGAGAAAAATAAATAAATTTTCAACTTTCTTTGTGCGGTTAAATGTTGGAAATCTTGATAAAACAGTTGACCGATTGGTGAAATGTTGTCAAGATGTGATGCTTCGCTAGAAGAAGTGAGTCAGAAGTATCTTAACACTATTCAGTTTTCCCATTTCTGATTATCAGGATCCTTTTCAGCTTGACAGGTTTTTTTTATTGTTCCTTTCAATTTTCGAATTGGATTGCAAAAAAATGTCAATTTATTAATTCTTCTAGAGTTTCTTAGAAATTAGCTTTGATGCAATACGCAAACAAAAATCAAAAAATTTATTTTTTTTTTTAATTTTCTAAAGTTCAAAAACATTAGAAAGTTAAAATGCAGACTAAAACAAATGTGTCAGTTGAAATCGTGAGAAAATTTTTTGTGTATGATTGAGTGCCTCTAGAAGGGCCTTTAGGCTAATACCAATCGTTTCGGTTCTAGAAGACGACTTCAATCACAACCACTCGACAGCATTCGCTGTCACATCCCAACTCCCCAGCGCCTTCGGGTCCGCGGTCCAACACAGCTAGGACGCAACCAGTTCAACTAAAGTTTTGTCGATTAGTGACTGGGTGTGGAGATGCATCTTCTGCCGTCAATGAAATTATCATCGAGCTGAGCGACCCGGTAAGATATAAGATGAACAAAGAAGAACGGCTGAAAGCGAAAGAAAAGAATTTTTCCTCATATTCGAAGTTGAATAGATCCGGTACGACAAGCATAGGAAAAATCTTTCAGAAATTGAAAGAGAAATTTTTAGAAGCTATTCTTATAGTGTCTGCGCTCTTTATTTAGTCGCGATACAGAAAATAGTTGTCATACGTTTTCGAAGCGTCTCAGGTTGAAAAAAAGGGAAAGTGGAAAGACTTTTCTTTCATGCATTTGCGCGAATATTATCATTATCAGGTTTTCATCCGGGTAACGAACAAAATTCTGTTTAGTTAGATAAAAAGTTATTTCTTTAGGTCAGACAATCCATCAAAAACCATTCGTTTTACGCGATTTCGTTTTACTCGTGAATACTTTGGACCGGTAGAAAAACAAATAAAATGAATGACATTGGGAAACTGCGAAAATTTGTCCAAAAAAAGTTCTAAATGTTAAAGACACAATCTGTACGAGCGTGGACGCGTCAGCAAGCTGCCACTGTAGGGATGGACGTGCGGAACACGCAAGTGGTCGACGCCGAGACCGGCACCTCGATTGACCCAGCTCGACAGGCTCTCGATGCTCTTCAGTCGCGAGCCGTGCGGCTGGTTCCAGTAGCCACCCTCGTTGTTGAAGTCCTGCCGCCTAATTACTCATTTCGGCATCCCACTAGCACGCCGACCAAGTGAGTTTTCACTGGCGCTATAATGTGTTCCGCGCGAGACGGTCACGTTTCAAGAAAAGAGCAAAAACATAATTAATACTGCTTTTTTCGCGCATTTGCTCCACGAAACTGCGAAAAAGACAAAGATCTTGAAGGTCAAGTTTGGTATACGGCCTGTTCTTTTTGAAAATAAGCCAAGCTGGCCCAAAGTTTGCTATAGTGTTGAAGGAGCGTCCCAGCTATAATTTTTATTCATTTGTAGAATTGCTTGAATAACACATGTGAACTTTAATTTTGCATTTTTCTGACGTGTTCAATTTTTTTAACAGAAGAAAATGGCTAGAATTTTTTTTCAATATCGAAAACTTAGTAACCATTACTTTTAATATGCTAAAAGAAGTTTAAGAGTATTCAGGGAGGATACCAAAGTTAGAAAGTAATGACGTATGCGGTGCCTATTTTCTCAAAGCCCATTCAGCTTTTTTATTGGCTCTTATGATTTTGAAACTATTTTATAGTTTTTTTCAATCCAACAAAATGTTTAGATTTTTGAAAAAAATTAAAAAAATTTTTTTCAAAGATTTAATGACGTCTGTTCGTTTGTGTTCCACTCAAAGTCCTCAATTAGTTTGATAGCCAAAAAAGAATGAAAGTTCACATTTATTTTTATCCTAGAAAATTTTCTCTTCTATGAAATATCACTCTCCTACAAATATATTTTTTGAAAAATATCGATTAGTTGTATTAGTTACAAAAAACCTGAAATTGTAGGAACAAAAATACAGATGACTTTCATTTTTTTTTCTGAGAGCTTTGCATTTTCGATCAAATGTTATACAGTCAAAAAAAAACAGCTTTTTTTCTTCTTTTTTTAATTTTTGCTAAAAAAAGCCCAAATAACCAAAAAAATTTCTGAACAGTTATTAAAAAAACTGGTTTATTCGAACTTGCTTGAGAGTTTTTTTGATTTTATACAAAAAAATTGGATATTAGCGTAGAAAACGTTTCAGAATTGTAATGATTCGTGCTCGGCACTCCTTGTCGACGGGTGGAGCGTTGAGACCTCTCCTCGTCAAATGGTTCTCCACGAATACACCCGGATCGGCTCCGAGCGGCGCATCTATAGTGATCGTCTACAATGCAACGCTAGAAATCATCCGAGGCAGCGTGGCAATCGGACGCCTACAGCCGGGAAAATCGTTAGCCGTGATGTCTCAATCGCAACACGAAGGTTCTGCAACTGTTCTCACTTCATTATTCAGATGATTTAGTGAAGCAGTTTTGTTTCTGTTGCAAAAGAGACGTGTTTTCATTAATAAAGCGTCTTATTTCCGTTCTAACTAAAATTAACTTTTTAGTTGTTTTACAAGCGAGGGAATTCTTTGAAACTTGATTAAAACTCTCCCCCATGAATCTGTGCGCATTCGCAAATTCTCAGATTTTTGAAATGAATCTCTTTGATTTTATACTCCTTGACTAGCTTGACAACTCACAGATTTTTTAACCTAAAATCTTCGTAATTCAAAGAAAAGTTTTTTGTCGACTTGTCAGAAAAGTCTATTCAACGTGCACTTTAAATATTTGGTTAATTTTCAAGTTGCATCAAAGCTTTGCAGAATGCTTACAACTCGGAAAAACTGAACTTCCTGAGCCGCGAGATCCGATTGTCCTTCAGCCGTCAATAATTGACGAACAACGCCTACAATTCCATCAACACGGCGACGTTTCATATTGCGAATTACCCCCGGCAGGCTCAGAGGCTCGCGTGGCTTTGCTTCAAAAGCAGCAACCCGAAAAAGTGTGTTTCAATACTGGCTCCCCAAATTATTGACAGAATGGGAAAGTAAAATAATTAGCACCTTTTCATAACAAACATTTTTTGTGCATTTCTTTGAAGTTTTGTTCAATGTGAGCACTATTTTTTCAAAGCAATATCTTCCTCATCTGTTTGTATGTTTTAGACAGATTTTTCCAGCTCTGCTCTGAACTTTTTCCAGAGAGAACTTTCATCAAAAACAGTAGCTTTCTTCATAAAAACTCCAGATTTGAAAAACAGACTTATTCAGAGCTGATTTGTTTTCTTCCGATTTCATTTATATCTTGTTTCATCTTCTATAACTAAAAAAACAGAACAAATTTGAGTTTTTTTACAAATACTACAAAATGCGAAACGAGACAAAATTGTTCGTTTAACGCTATCACATTTTTATTTCGAATAATCAAAAAAATAGCTCCTTAATTTACATTAAAAAGCCATTTTTCTCTTTAAGGCCTGAGGATCTGTTCTACACTGGAAAAAAAGAATAAAACGGCCACAAACTGCCTTACTCCCCCAGTCAGAAAATTTCGAACAATGGAGAAATCTTTATTTGCAGGAATTTGGGAATCCCATTCACTCGCTTGGTCTACTCAACAAATTGGTTCGACGGAAAACTACTTCGTCGCCGTCATCGACAAGCCGCGTAGAAGAGGCCGCTCCAGTGGCGCGCGTCACCTCATCGCCGCCGCCAGTGCCCTCAAGTGGTTAGCAACAACTTCTATTCCTTTTCATGAAACGAACATGTGTTCTACTTTCATCTTTTTGCAGGGGAAACTTCGCCTCGTCAACAGCAAGACGTCCTGTCCAACACTACCAAAAAAAGACTCAGCATCTTCAAAAACGTACGATTCGTCTTTAATTTCATTAAGTAGAGGGGGACATATTTTTCATGAGTTTGGTTCAAAGATAGTCTGAGGATTAGTTATAATTGTGAAGAAATGGTAATTGTTTTGATAAAAAAGCATCCGTTCAGACCTCGGAACTTTTCAAAGAAAGTTTTTAAAGTTGCGGTAGTAATTATTGAGAGGTCACAGTCAATCTCTCTCTAATTTCTCAGCATTTTATTTTGAAAAAAAGATTTTGATATATGTATTATTTTAAAATTGATTTATGGACTTGGAGTTCGCACTAGTTCATGAAAGATTTCCATCTAGTCTTTGTCAAAACTTTTGTAAGCTAGTTTAGAAGAAATATCAATTTTCCCTTTTAGAGAGGTTTCTCAAAATTTTCAGACAGAAAAACTTTTTTTCCTAAGAGTTTCTTGCAGTTCCAAAAAAGAGCTAGCTATTAAAACAAGTTGATTTGAGAAAAGCTTCTTATTTCTCCTAGAAAGTGTCAATTTGCAGAAGAGCAAGGAAGCTTCCATCGAAAAGCCACCTTCGTCGGCTTCAACGCCGAGGACGGCGATGCAACCTCGTCCAGCCACGTTCAGCGCGTCAATTTCAGTTGAAGCGCCAGTTTCGCTAAAGCCAACTACCAACACCGCGTGTGTACCTTCAGCTGCTACATCGACAAAACAAAACGGCACATTTACTTCGCAAAATAGCGAGCCTTTAACCGAATCAGCGCCAGGCTTGCCCAGAATTTTCTCAACCAAAGTTTGTCAAGCCGACGGTAGCGAAGGCAGCACGGAAAGAGAACCTATCGCTTCATCTCCTAGTTCTATGACTGGCGGCTGGCAACCAGCTGCTTACGTTTGAGTTTGTATTTTAGTACCAGACAGTATTTCTCCGCCTTTTGAAACTCAATGGTCAACACCCACTGAATCTTTGCCGCACACTGATTCTGAGTTTTTTTAGGGTTCGAAGTTTTAAAAGATTTGATGTTTCTGAAGAAACTTTTACTAGCTTTCAAAAAAACCCTGAAACATTTTTTTGTCCAGAAATCAAAAAAATAAAAAAAGAGAAACTCGGGTTTTTGAAGACTGACTTTTATTCTATTGAACAAAAAAACAATATAACAAATCAGTTTTTTTGAGGCGCCGCTGTCTAGAGAAATAACTGTAGGAATGGCAAGACCGTATTTTTTAGTATAGCTTATTAAGGAATCTGAATATGGAATCGAAAATGTTTGGGATCATCGGAGTCTCAAACAACAATTAATCTTAAACGGACATTCGGCATTGAACTTAAAAACCGCGGAAAGTAAATTATTTTCTAATTTTTTTTTCCGAATCATCTCCACGAACTTTAATCCTTTTATCTTTCTTCATACTTTTGTGTATACCCAGAATGCTCTTTTTTGTATGCTCCTATGTTATTGTTATAAATCGGTGAATTCTCTGCGGTATTTTTAGGCTGTTACCAATTGATATTTATTGGTTTTATTATCTCCCGTATTGGCAAATCTCGTGTCATTTTCGAATTCCCGTCTCGCCAACCCTGGTACATTTGAATATCAAGTGGTTCTCCGCTCTTTTTCCCGTATCCGATTGCAACTTTCGGTTTTATATTACATTATTTGATTATAAACGATTTGCTGGTTTTCTGAACATAAAATTGCAATAGCATCAACAATCCACAAAAGTTTAAACAATCCTTCATATCAATAAAATTACTTTTGTACACAAGTGGGAATGTAAGCAAGCGAAAGTGAAATTATGACTATATAGTTTGAGATCAAATTGCACCAAAGTCGAAATTATTATTACAGGTCAAAATAAATCCTGATAATCACTACGCTTTGAAGAATTATCATTGTGAAATCCCGATCACGCCATTGACATTTTGGTTTGCTGCTTCTTTTGACAGCTCGATCGTCACCCTTAAAACCATCAAATCATGACAAGAACAACAAAAATCAGACGCTCGAAATGATTAGAGCGCTTGAGTTTTGAATAAAAAATTCCAAGTGATGATTTTATGAGAAGCTGCTATTAAATCAAACAGTTTTTTTATTTGAGGAGCGCAAAACTTGATTTTTTTTTTCAGAAACTTTTTGAAAAAATCAAGAAAACTGCAGTCTCTCACCCTCGAAGTACAGCAGCGCGACTCATCAAACTGCGTTCTCGAAGTTTCCAATGTTCCGATGAGCTTCTAATCCCATCGATTTCCGCCCAATCGCGTTGCCAACGGAAAAATAATCTCTCCCAAATAAGCTGAAAAAATCAAAAAACGCCTGCCAAATAAAAAATCAAGTCTCACAATCGATTGGGGAGCTACGGTGGGCCAAAGAACTTTGGGCCTTGGATCGTACAGTGGATTTATAAACTGCCGCAGCGTCTCGGGATGGTGAATATAAGACCAAAGCGAAACTGTTCTTTTCTTCACCTCGTTTTTAAATTTTTCCTAAAAGAAAAAAACATTGTCTCGCCTTGAGATTCTCCCCTCGCCTTTTCGTTATTGCCCAAGAAAGAGCCAAACTCGCTTGCGTAGGCGTGTTCAAACAAGAAAATCAGAAAACTCTCGGTGAACTCGAACGTGAGTGGAAATTGAGACAAGAGCTGAAAAAAACAGAGAGAAATGAAAAATAGAAACAATTCTTCGAATAGTTTTTTTATGAAAAAAACTACATGAAAGTTTTTTTTAATATCAATGGTATAAATATGTTTCTTGTCGAATCAAGGTTTTCGAATTGATTTTCACAAGGACACTATTTTGAAATTTCTGAATGTTAAAAACAACAATTACGTGCCCGAAAACTCTAAGAAGCACTTGGAAGTTGAATAATTATGTTTGCATTCAAAAAAATAATCTTACAATAATTAATATTTCTCCCACCTGATGAACACAATCGAGAAAAACCAGAAAAACTGGGCTTTCATACTGGCCAGTGTTGAGGCCTGCAGCAAAAGCGCCGTGCGCGTTGCGGAGTCTGAACGGATGCCCAGCCGTGATCCACTCTCTTTCGATCAAAGACTCAAATCTGGAAAAAGACTCTACTAAAATCGTTTATTTTCTCACGGACAACAAACCCTCGAATTGTACGAGCGTCCGAATCGAGTATCAATTGAGCAAGTGACGTAGTAATAAGAGTTGTGTCTGTACCTTCTCCTCCGTGAACAATCACTGGAACTTCTGAGAAGAAAATTGATTCAAACCTGAACGGGATAGCCTGCTTATCATGCAATATTTATTTCTAACTTCCATTTTAAAAAAGAATCCAAAACAAAAGTAATTGTATTTGGCATACAAGGCGACCTTATTGGGGTTTTTCATATTTAGTGATAATTCATTTGCAGCCGGCTTGTGATACTTTGAACTAAAATTGACAAAAAAAAATGAGTGATGGAATTCATTTTAAACTTTTTTGCCGCAGAATGAGCGTTTAGTAATGCCTACCAAAAACTGCTTTGAGCAACTATTTGTACAGAATGAGGCCTGGGAAATTGAACTGTTTTTTCCGTATCAAATTTTGTTCTTGTTACGCAACCACCCACATGAAGTCGCGATACACGTTATCTCACCCCGGTTGCTTTCGCAGTGAACACATTGAGCGACGTTGGCGGCCGAGTTCAAACAGTCGGAAATGCATTGGAGCCATCCTGAGTTGGACAATCTCATCAGCCACTTGTCTGTCGATACACTTCCATCATTGCAAGCTGAAAACTGGTTTTAAAATGAGAGAAATAACCGCTAAAATTTATGAGAAATTATCCTCTTCCTGGAGAGCAGGAAGTTCCGGAAAACAGCTCACAATTTGAAACCATTTTTTTAACTTTCAGAAGGCGTTTTTTTTTTGCTTCCTTTTGGGATTGGAAAAAAAGCGGTGAATTATTACCTTCAACCATCCTCGCCAAAGCGTCGTGCATTTCCTTAATTCTTGGCGTAGCACAGTGAACATAGCGGAACTGAGCGTAACAACCTTGAGGTTCGGTGCCTCCACCTGAGTTCATAAAAAAGATGACCATTGAATATGAAAAAAAAACCTTTAGCTTTCGCAGCGTTGGCAACAGTTTTAGAGCGAGTGTCAATTATGAAACCTTTGCTGATAGTCAGCAATGAGTTGATTATCACTTCATCTTCACGGCAACGACGATTTGTCGGCCCAATGAGCGGTTGACCACAACGCATGATCACAGACTGCAAAAACGGCTCTTTTTATGTATGGATAAAACTTCAAAAGTGAAACCGATTTCATGATCAAACTTAAAGAATATGAAAACGTTGGTAAATTTTTTGTGATGTGAAAACAAGCAGTCAGAAGTAATCATGAAAAAAGGGATAGCGGAGTCTCGTATTCAATAAAAAGAAAGGGTTTCTTAAATAAAAATTGAGAAGATTTTCGAAGGATCTTTCAACTCGAAAGTATTTCATATTTCCTTATATCAGAAACAAAAGCTTTAATAATAACCTATAACTCATGGAAAACGGAATTTAACCTTAGTAAGGTTGTGATAATAGCAAAAAACAGGAAAACGTCCGCCCTCTCGAAATGTGGCAGAAATTCGTAAATAATCATCGCCAATTCCTTTGGGTACAATTACCGTCGTCGGATAAGAAGGACAAATCTGAAAATATTCGTTCGAAATCTGAGATTTCCGATTTCCTGCTCACCGAAAAATGTTCATTGACGCGGGAAATTCGAAAAGCGTCGGTTAACAGGGACAAGCGAGCAAACTCCTGTTCAACATCAAAAGAAATCCATCCGTCGTCAAGCACGTTGAAAGGAACTTGATAAAAAAACGGATAATCGTGGACGATGCCATCTGGAACCGTCAAATTCAAAGAAAAAACTTTCGTGTGTTCAGAATGTAAAAAAAACGAACTCAAGTTAGAAAGCGCCTCGATTGATCTAGCCGCTGCTTTACAGTGTTCCAAATTGGCAACTTCAAAAATAATAATCTAAAAATGAAAGAAAAATTTTCAAAAATTTCAAGCTAAAGCCACCAAAAAGTTTTTGCATTTCAAGGCTAGCAAACCGCCTTTTGAAGGGTATTCCTTTGACACCGGCTCACACAAAACACGATCAATAGCTCGATGAAGAATCTAAAAAAGGTCATCTGAGTTGTAGAAAAAAGAGCTTACCCAAAATTCCTCCGATGGATTTTCACCAGATTTGGAGGTTTCAGTTCCTGATGGAGCAAATATTAAGTGATGGCCTGCGAAATTTCCACAATTTCGTTTTCGAAGCAGCTTAAACTACCAAAAATGCAAAGTTCTCCTTGTTGGGAGGGCCGAGGTCCTTTTCTCATGAATGCGTCGCGCACTCTTGTGATTTCTATAGCCTCCGACAGTTCCATTACCTGGAATCAAACAATGAAAATAGTCAGAATAAAAAAAACATTCAGTTTAGAGGTAAAATTATGGGATATTGTTACATATCAGTATAGTGACTGAAATTCGTCAAAAAAAAGTTTCATTTGAGAGCTCTTAAAATCAACATTGATTAAAACAAAACCAAAGAAATAATTAAACAGAAAAACAATAAGTAGCCGGATAAGGCATATAAAAGGAATTACAGTTGGCAGAAATGCATCCTTGCAAGACCCATTCAATGAAAGTACGCCCTGCCGCACCCTCATCTCTATTTACAAAAATTTCAACGCAATTTTATTCTCTTGCGGGATCTTTTTTTTTTAAGCTCTCTATGTGAAAACGCGCATTTTTTTTGTTTTTGGTAGTAGCGAAACAGTATCTATTTTCCGAAAATTTTAATTATTCTCGAAATTATAATTTTTCAAGTTTTCGAAGCGTTGACAATTTGACATCACTTAAGTGTACAAAAATCAAAGAGTTTTGAAAAAAATCAGGAAAAAAATACTTGAAAGAAATAAGAAAGCTGTTGGGATAGTTTCCCGAAGCGTAAATAGTTACTCTTGTTTTAGTTCTTTTTTTCGCAGGGTTTTTTTAAAAATGCCAAAAAAATGAGACCGATTCTGGCACGCCCAATAAACCGTTATATTTCATTTTCAAGACAGTTTTGCAGAAATTTCCTTGTATACTTTTTCTAACCAATTTTTGACAGATGACTTGGGCAAGTCTATTTTTGATTTCGGTTTTTTAGGTCGCTATGACAGTTTTCACAAGAAGTACAAACTCATTTTGCGGTTGGAAAATTTCTAAAAACTTTCTTGATGTACAAAGGTGTATTCGAAAAATTTAATCTTGAAAAATATCTAGTTTTTTAGAAAAAAGGGCTCGAGCCGCCAGATGAGTCTGTTTTAACGAATTTTGAGGTGTCTTCTCTCAAAGACCAGAGACTTGTGCAGATTGAGAATTTCAGGATTTAAATCTGGTCGAAATGTTCTAGTTGTATTTCCAAAAAATCTCAACCGCAATGCAAACAAAGCTTCCTTATCAGACAGTTTTTCCACAAATATGACCCACATTAAAAAAAGAGAGTTCTTGAGAGACAATAACTGGGTTGCGCGGCTAATACTCCATGCTTACTTTATCTGAAACTCTTGAAAATGTCTCCAGATGAAAGTTTTCATTTGCCTTGACTTCAAATTAAACTTTTTGCTTTCGAAATAATGCCTCAAAGACACGTTGCTACGGGAATTACCCTAGTTTGTGTAAATTATGTCACGTTTTTATTGCTTCTTCTCAATAAGCCATATTTGAACGTTCTAGTACATAATAATTAAAACCTATAAAAATAACAATACACTGTACTTTGCGAAGTCATCGCAAAAGACTATAAACGGCAGATTCATTCACAAAATGTTCATATTAGACGACCTAATAATAGCTGAAATTGAAGTAACAATAGCCAAGAAACGCTAAACAGCACTATACGATTGATTCACAAATGGATTTTAAATTTGAAAATAAATTATGAGACCTTCCCTTCAAAAAAATCTGTAAAAATCTGGTATGACATTTGACTTTCTCTACTTCCATCCAATGTCTTGAACTTTTGTAATTCATGAGAGTTGTAAAGAAATATTTCATGTGGTATGTGAAATGATCTTTCCAGACAAGTTTATGTATACATTGACCATGCAGAACAATTGAATATTGGTGTAAATGCCAATATGTACAGCGTCAGGGTTTACAGTTAAGCTCCAAAAATTAGTTGAATTAAGGCAAAGCGACCAGAAAACAGCTTTACTTGAATGTTTCGTGACAATGAATTATCACCCGCTCTATTTATTTTCCTGTACAAAGATTGCACAGAACTGGTTACACTGGAGGGTAATTAAACGGGAAAGGCATGGGCCCTGGCGGAGCGCCAATCGCTTCTTCTTGGGCCAGAAGACGGTAGGCGATTGTGTTTTGGAAGCCAAGCCTATCGAGCTCCCGAAGACGGCGTTGGCGTTCTGTCAATACCGGCTGTGGAATGTAAACCGGAGGTTCGGGAAGATTCAGAGGAGGACGATCCGGAGGAACTGGTCTGAAAAAAAATTTACAGTTTTATAGTCAATTTTCTCAGGTTCTAGAGGCAGGTGGGTGGCTTGTCAAAGGTGACATGTTTTGTACGCAACGCGGCCTTTGGCCGAGAACTCGAAATCAAACACGAGCTTCCTTCTTTTTTTCTGATAGTTCTTCAAAAGTAAAAACATTATGGAAAAATGTCGTTTGAACGAAAAAAATTATATCAATAATAAAAAGTCTTCTTATTTTCCATGGCCGCAAAGTTGTTCATATCGGTTTTGGTTAGCTTGAAGGTTCCTCAAAAAAACAACCTGCCAGAAATTTCTACCTCCAATAAGAAAGGATATTTATTATATTTATTGAATTTCAAAACTTAAATATAAATGAGGAACACAATCAGACGCAAAAAAAGCAGAATTACACAACACGACGTTTTTTTCAATATAAGCCGATATACGCACTTTTGAGACGATTATTTTCTGAAGCTTCGAAGTTTTGAAGTCAGGCTGCTTATAAAAATAGATTTTTTTTTTTGCGTTTGAGTTAGCATTCAAACACCGCCAAAACTCTAAATCACCCAGAGAACAATTGTTATGACCTGAACAGTTCTTAGTTTTTGTAATTCCAAGTTTCAGTTTCCGGTGGCTTTAGCGCTTCGAGAGATTTCAAACGAAAAGCTAAAAACTGGTGCAGACTGGAATTATGTTTTTTCTGTGTTGAGTTTTAGTTATTGAGTTTGAAAGCTGATCTCAGATCACCTACCCCCACCGTACCGCGTTTTCTCGATGAGCCGTTGTGTTGATCGGTGGTGTCGCAGGGAAGCTTTCAGAGAGCCCACTAAACTTTATCAATAAGAGTACGGAAAAATAATCAAAAGATAGAACAACTATGAAAAAGAAAATTACTTGCCGAGGTATCTGTGGAGTTCTTTGACGAACGTTAATTCTCATCCCATTGGTCAAATCAGGCGTCATCCGGCGAGGACCTTGCTCTGGCGATTTGTTGTTTTCCGTTTCCATTCTCGTCTCTTCCTCTCTTCGTGGAGCCGGTCTGAAAACATTTAGTTGTTCATCGAGCAACGGCCACCATTTTCTGCAGCAGTTTTCAACCACAGAAAAGTCTGAAAACATTTGCGAACGTTTTTAAGTTATTTCAAAAACATTTCTTTTGGCCTACCAAATGGACACAATCTGAAGAATTGAACCTGAAATATAAGAATATTTTGCAAAGCAACTTTGATTCACCAGATTTTGATTTTAAAAATTTCAGACTAGATCCATGTTCAAAAAAATGACATTTAATTTTTTGTCCTTCAGAAATCGAATAACCATACTTTATCTGAAAATCCCACCTTGCTCGCGGAGACCATCGGTCGGGCATTAAATAATGGTCTCCCGCCCTAACACCTGGAACACGGTTCGAAGCCCAGAAATCGTCCGATTCTGAATCCCTTCTGGACTCAAGATTTCGAGGATCGTGGCGGAGAAGGCCTTCAAAGACAACTTCTACGGCAGGTTCTTCCGGCGCGAAACGTCTTCGGTTCAAAAAATCAACTTCGTCGTCTTCTTCTTCTAGTTCCAGCTCCGAGTCTTCTTCATCCGATTCTTCATCTGACTCTTGGTCGTCTTCCACTTCTGAATCGTCCGACCCATCGTCTATTTCCTCTTCTTCGCTGTCTATGTCGCTGTCTCCAGAAGCTTCAGACTCTCTTTCCGGAGTATGGGTCTTTTCTTTTCTGGGATTCGAGTTGCCATTGGTCATGGACGTATAGTTGTGAACGACAGGTCTTCTGTCGTCTTCCTCCATTTGCTCCAAGTCCTCGTCATCGTCGACGACTTCTATTTTTACCTCCGTCTTTTTTTTCATTTGTTTGGGCAAAATATTTGTCATTCGACTAGTAACGGATGGATGCAGCTGCCAAATGCGAATTGTGCCATCTTCGGAGCAGCTAGCCAACATTCTGAAACACAATTTTTTGTGTCTATTGAGTTTTCAAAAAATTTTGATTTCGCTGCTGAATATTGAACAATAATTTTATTATTGATAAACGATTGGAGGCCGCAAATGAGAGGATAAGTTTCGTCGAATTTGGAAAAAAACCAATAAAAAGTCCTCACATTTCACTTTAATTTAAAAAGATCTTAATCTTTTTGCAGTTTCGATGTACGAAACTGACTCGGTGCCTTTTTGTGAGATAAAAAGTGGTAAAATTTAATAGAAAAAAATTGACAAGACGTCTTCTGAGTTTTTTTGCGATTCGTTCTAAAAAGCAAGTTTGCAAACGCATTTGTTTGAAAAATCATTTTGAGAATAAGTTTTTTTAAATGTGTAAAAAAAGATAACTTTGTGACTTTTTGGAGTAACCAACTTATCCAAACAAATTTTAATAAATTTTAGAAATAGACAAAAAGTTTTAGTGAAAAATTGATGCTCAATTAAAAACCATCAAACTCTCATTGTGCTTTATAACAAACTTGAAAATGCAGAGTTTTTTTTTATTGGAATAGGGACCTCGGATTGGTTGGGTGCCACGAAACTGCGTTCACGACGCCAGTGTGGCCTTTGAGCCGCAACGTAGGTCGGCTGTCGTCAAAGTCCCAAATGCAGACACGGCCGTCTTTCTGGACATTCTTGCGGCTTCGATTCGGTTTCCCGTTGTGTTTTTCAAAAGAAGACCAGGTCCTAACAGAGCCCGTTGCAATAAATCCTTTGTTAGCCCCGCCAAATGACGCATGGACAATCAGCGCGGAGTTGTTGTCGTATTGGCAGGCTCCCGAGAAGTAGCGCACCAAAGTCTTTGTTTTCATATCATATAAACGCAAGTTCAACGTCGTTGTTGTGAGAATTAATCTGGAACAACCACAGGAATTTTTCCACCTTTTTAAGGAATTATTACCTTTCCGTTGGATGCACTTCAAATGTTAATATTGGAGCTTCCTCGACAAAAATCGTTTCTCCGTCATTCTCATTCATTGAGTACATGCGAATCCTGGCTATGACGGTATCGGGGAAGAGATCTTCGAAAAACCTGTTATGACTGTCAGAAGCCAAAAAACGTTTTCCGTCCTTGAACCCATAAATGCACCGCACACGGAATCCGTTTACTTGCTTAACAAGTTGTGCGCTTTCCGAGCCGTCCATATCCTACAAAATTTTTGGATGAAGTTGTTGGATACTTGTGTAAAAAATTTTTAAAGAGATTTTTTTCCACAGAACCTTTTTCCTGTATTGGAGCTTTTTGAAAGTTAACTAAAACGAGCGGTGAATGAAAGTCGAGCCGTACATCATGAAAGACATTTTATATTTAAATCGGGTTGACTGAAACTCTTGTATATCTAGATGAAAATTCATCAAGCTCCAAACTACTTCTTTGCGAATCCTTGTTTAAATTGGTATTGAAAGGTTTTTTTTTCTATTTTTTCAAACTTACATAGACTCTCAATAGACCTCTTTCGGTTCCAGCAATAAGAAGTCGATTTGTTCCGGCGAAAAACGAGCAGCAGGAGTAGACTGTGCTGGATGTGATAGAAATTCCACGCTCCCCGTGAGACAAGCATTTCACGATGCAATGAGTAGTTCCGTATACAATATTGTATACAAGAAGCTGAAAGCTATTTCGTTGAGCCCAAGTGCGAAATGAGTACACATACGTTGAATTCGCTTTGTTCCGACCCGCAAATTGCCAACAACGTACTATCGTAACTCCAGACCATATTGTTGATATGGCCTTTTGACATCATCGTTTCCAACAATCGAACTTTTTTAATCGTTTTCGATTCTCGCACCTAGAAAAAAAATTTATCGAAATCGGAAATTGATTTTTTCACCTTCCAAATGATGACATTGTTGTGTTTCGATCCACTAGCCATCAAAAGTCCATCTGGTGAAAACTTGACGATCCAAACTTCGTTTTCATCGTCGCGAATAGTCTGAAAGTTTTTTTCAGAACAGTTGAAATGTGAAATGAAAAAAACCTGTATTAAACTGTAAGATTTGTGATTATTGACAAAGCATCTGTGATCTTCCAAGACGCCCGTATCATCAGTTAACAGTTGTTCTTTCATGTGTAGTTTGCACTGGTCAAGTTGGTACTTTTTCGCTGAAAAACATCAAAAAACTGAAAAATCAACTGATTGAAATTTCAAAATTGAAAAAGAAAAATTCATGGAGCGTACCTTGGTCTACAAGAGTCTTTAGCCTATTGGCTGGAAGCATGAAACTGTGTGGCAGAATTCGTTGAATAGTTTCCGCAATTTTTTTTCTTTCGGTTCTCGACCTGTTTATTGATATTATCTTGGATGTCAACTTCAGAGTCTTACGTGCATCGAGCAGCATCAGGGTATTTGTGGATTTTGCGAGGCGAAACGTACAAATGCTTCAAAATTTGATTTCGTTTTATTTCAAAATCTTTTCCTTGCGGATATTCGTGTTTCATAAGTTCTAGAGCCTCGAAACTCTGAAATTCTTTTTGTTCTCGATCTCTGTTACAAATATTTCACCTCTCCATTTCGAACATGTTGATAAAATTTTTCTTCTAGAAGAATCAAACGTGTAGCATTCTGCTCAGCAGATGTCAATAGACGACCAGCCTCGTCCAAAACGTACAATGCTTCAGCCCAATCACCTCAAAAAACTTTTTGTCACGAATGTTGCGAATAATCGTAAGAAGAGAAAAGTTTGATGTTCACCTTGACAGATGCTTTTTCGCATTTCCATCCCATAAATGCTCTCAATCTTTGTCTGCGTTTCTTTGACAAGTGCTTGCGCAGATTCTCTGAGATTGAAATATCAGATTATCGGAGATTGAAGATCAAGAACTTACTGCAAGCCAGAGTCTGAAAGGAACTGTGCGATGACTCGCACCATGCACTCAGTTTTCGGCGTAAGATTCGGTTTTTCTTTGGGTTCATCATCATCATCTTTTTCGCCCATGAACTGCTATAATCTGCCTGATATTCCGCCGCGAGTTCAAACATACCATCGATTGTTGAATCCGTTCGCCTACTGTCAAACGACTTGGCCCGGCTTCCTGGACACCCGCACGTCGACCAGCCAATCCCACCATTCTGAAAAACAATTTACCTGAAACGAAACACTTCCATTCCAAATTATGATTTAAAGTTACGTTAGGACAATTTTCAGTTCCAAAACGTCTTTTAAAACTTATATCTCATACTTAGCTGAAAGTTGGCGAACTGGTGGAATCAAATGACAGAGTAAGGTCGAGAATTTCTGCGATATCAGGAATTTTTGGCAATCATTGCTCTGAGTGCACGAAAAGCAAGAAGAATAACCCGGAGTTATAGCATTATGATGCTTGAAAAAGTTTTTCAATAAGAAGTTTCTAGTTGGCGTGGTGTAACATTAATATGTGAAAGTGAAAAAAGGAAAACGTATCCAACAGCAAACACACACGCCGATCGAAAGAGAGAGAACGGCGCAAGTGTGACCTTCGTTTGTTTTTTTCCGACCGTTCTACGTGAAGTCCGCAGTCTGCGTACTTGGCGCGAAAATCCACGCCATTATTGAAATATTTTCAAAAAAATGATTCTTTTTTTAACAGGAGCTAGAAATTGATCGTCAAAAAAATATTACAATCCCACTTTTTTTTGCAATGATTCTGATTTTATCAAAAAAAGCTGAAAAAAGCAAAACGAAATTAAGATTTTTTCCATTTTTTTCATAGAAGGTATCAAAAATACTTTTTTTGATTTTTATTTCTGGAAAAATAAATAATTGTCTATTTTTGATTTCAAATCTTGATCTATTTGGTTATTAAATATACTGAAATGAAAAAAATATTATTTAGTAGAAAAAAAGGCATCGAACGATAATTTTTTTCCTTCTCATTGCACATCATTCTTCTCTCAAATACAGTACTGGCCATAAAGGTATTTCAAAGTGGTTATTCGAGCATAACTTCTCTGAAACTGACTCAAATGACTTGAAACTTCGCACAGATTTTAAATAGCTACGCAGTAACTATTTCTCAAAAGGAGAACTCATTTGTTCAAGTCAAACAGGATTTGAGAGCAAAAAACCGAAAATCGTGAAAATGAAGATTTTACTTTAGAGATTCGAAAAATCATATCTTCAAAGAAACTTCGATTTTCAATTAGAAACTTTTTTCCCCAGTAAAACAAGTCTTCGACTTTCCGAAAAACCTCATCAGCCCCCTATCAACCCGGTAGCATGAGCGTAGTGACTTTTTTTCTCCGAAAGGCCTTTGCGTTTTGAAGCCTCGTCATTCAAAATGGACTATACGAGGTCATTTTTTTGTTTGAGAACACCCTGTATCATGTTGAAAAAAACTTCAAAACCTCCTCAAGAATAGTTTCACACTGTTTTTCCTCAGCTTTCTCACTTTACCCGCTCTTCAGAACTCACTAACTTCTCTGGGACCGATTTTGAACCTCTGATTTGAAGCGGTTATGCTCGTTTTTTTCAAAAATCAGAACACTCTCGATTTCTCATTTCAGATTCCAAAGCTTTTCCAAAAACCTTAATGAATGAAAAATAAAAAGGAGACTCACTGTGTTTCGCTTACTTATTCAAAAAGATATAGTGAGTTATAATGAGTTCCTCCAAGTTCTCAAAACTCCGTTTAAGCAAGTGTTGCTTAGAAGGCTCCAAATCTCGTGAAAGATGATAAAAACCCCTTTTTTTCATATTTTTAAATGTTTTAGATCATGAGATAAATTTGTAACTCCTCTTCCTAGCTCTCAGATAGAAAAATAGGCACTGTAAAAATGTTTCTTTAAATCTTATGGAAAAATAAGTTTTTTTGGTCTTGTGAAACTAATGCTTCAGCAAAAAAATTAGCAGTCTTTAGAAAGCAGGAGCCTGCAATTTATTCATTATTTATTTTCGATTTCACGATTGAAAAAGCGACTGATCAGATAAAAAAACTCCTTTGAATGCCCGAAAGTCCAGAAAAAAACTGTTCGAATCAGAGGTTCAAAAATCGGTCCCAGAGAAGTTAGTGAGTTCTGAAGAGCGGGTAAAGTGAGAAAGCTGAGGAAAAACAGTGTGAAACTATTCTTGAGGAGGTTTTGAAGTTTTTTTCAACATGATACAGGGTGTTCTCAAACAAAAATGACCTCGTATAGTCCATTTGAATGACGAGGCGTCAAAACGCAAAGGCCTTTCGAAGAAAAAGTCACTACGCTCTTGCTATCGGGTTGATAGGGGGCTGATTAGGTTTTTTAGAAAGTCGAAGATTTGTTTTACTGGGGAAAAAAAGTTTCTAATTGAAAAATCGAAGTTTCTTTGAAGATATGATTTTTTTCGAATCTCTAGAGAAAAAAATCTTCATTTTCACGATTTTTTTGGTTTTTTTGCTTTCAAATCCTGTTTGACTCAAGCAAGTAAGTTCTTTTTCTGAGAAAAATGTTACTGCGTAGCTATTTAAAAATCTGTGCGAAGTTTCAAGTCATTTGAGTCATTTTCAGAGAAGTTATGCTCGAATAACCACTTTGAAATACCTTTATGGCCAGTACTGTAGATATTTCTCAATTTTTTTGAGAAACTTACCCTTAAAAAATAGACCTTTTCTTACCTGAAAATTTTCTTTTTTTGATAAACGAATGTTTGGTTTGAGCGTACTTGGCCGGTTTAATTAAATAAAAATTTAAAGGGATTTAGAAGCTGGTTGAAATGTTATTTGATCAACTAGATTAGGTTTCTGAAATACGGAACTTGCTCAGACTTCAAAAAAAAAGAACTTTAAAACATACTTGGCTCGTTTCGCGCAGGGGGCGTCCGCCTCCGGTGAGCCGTCGTGCTTTCTAGCGCGGTGTAGCAATTTGGAATCCAGCACCTGACAGTATCAAGTCGATAAAAACGAATTTCAATCAAGCCAGCGATTTGAGAAGAAACGGGCCGAACGCTTATCACGAGGACGAGGGGCAGTGATGAGAGAAAAAACACATATCTTTGAGTTCAACGTTTGTGAGTTTTTTTTGAGGAGACCGTGAGTGATGAGTATTTTAAACAAAGAACAGAAAAGGGAGCAAAACTCCTTGAGAAAAAAACGTGAACTGAACGCCTGGTGTCATGCTCTTGAAAATTCCTGCTCTAAACTTTAGAAGACGTAGGGAGTTTTTTTTAATAACGTTCGGTCTACTATTGAAAAATTCAAATTTTTCGAAAGTGTGATCCTATGAGTCATTTTTCCCCCTATGCTTTTTTTCTCAATTTCGAAAAAAATCTACTTATATGAGTTATCCATATCATTTTTTTTATGAAATTTATACTGCCCGCATACTTTTTTTATATAAATTTACCAACTGAAAATGATTCATATTTCAAAAAAACATTTCATTAGGTTAGAAAAAAACATCAGCTGAAGTCAGAGACGCAGTGTAAGAAAAGAGAAACTGATTTTGCTGTTTTGATCAATCTGAGCTTGAAACCGAATTCTTTTTTTTCCTTTTTTTTTCAAAGGAAATACTGAACTTTTACTGTTTGGCTATAATTTTTGAGATTTTTGCAAAAGGATGCGTAGAAGTAATACGATTTTTTTAAAATTGATTGATCCCTTAAAAAAATAAAAATATTTAATATATCTTTATTCCAATTCAGATAGTAAATGGTTTCTGATGATACCATTCGTCACTCCGAGACGAAAAGTAGGAGTAGAAAACATGTACTTCGGATTTTAGAAGAAGAGTTTGAAAGAAAGAGAATAAATACATCTCCGAAAAAACATATGACATCTTGCGAAAAAGGAAGACCTCGCGTCCACCGAAAAAATCGATAAATGCGAGTGTTGGGGGAGAGACGAAGGAAGGAGTATAATGTGCGCCATCATAACGTCGGATCAAAAAACCGCAGTTTTCTGTCAATAAATCAGGAAAAAAAAACTTGATTTATAGATGAAGAAACGTTGAAAAACCAGCTGCTAAAAGATCAGTTTTTGAAATTTTTTGTCTTTTTGCGATAAATCCTTATAAAGAAATGCGATTTTCAAGCGGAAGATCAAAAGAACCTCCCAATTTGTAAATTTGTTCATCAAAGTACTATAAATATAAAGCTTTTTCAATCACTACCGCAATAATCCATTCAAAAATTTAAAAAAATGAAATATAATACTCTTCCAAAAAAAAAGGAACGAAGGCGCTCAGATATAGTTCACTCGCCAAATTATTGTTTTCTTCTGACAATTCGTGGTCTCCAAACGAATTTCTACTGTATGTGTTTCTTACATGGCAAACCATTCCTGCCAAAAGTTTGGAACTTGCTATAAATCTGCTCCACCACTCTCAGATAGACGAAATATCTACTTCTTATGGGGGTTATTTGAAAAAGCTTTTAGTTTTGCAGCCAATTATTTTCAATTTACTTCATTTGATTGATTCGAAAGTAATGGTTTTTCTCACATCAAGTTGAATAAATCACCACGGCAAGCGATAAATAATGCAGGACATTGTGGGTTTCAAAAAACGGAAAGTTTTTGAGCTTTCTTATTGCGTTGTTTTTGTTTTTTGCGTGTTTCAAGTTTGAGAGGACCCATGAGGTCTTCCAAAATTTGTTCTTTATTTGTAATTTCTAGAGGATTCTCAGTGCGCACCATCTCTAACGCTCTTCAAAAAGTTCATCAGTAGTGTTCCTCCGGTCCCAACGGCAGCCGAGGGGTCGGTAGTCGATTGAGAAATAATGAAACGGGCTACCTGAAACATGATAATGAGAATGAAAAAAAAACTTGAGTCACAGTTATGAGATGTTCAGATCGGAAAGAACGCAGAGCGGAAACGGCGTTATTTCGAGAAGCGTAGACCAATTCTCCTTTCGATATTCTCCCTGCTTGAACCTTACGAACATACTGGATGAATTCTCGATGCTCTCGTGGCATGTAGTTCAGTTGTTCGTCCAAAAAGATTTTTTGCTTTTCTGAAACGTTTTGGAAGTTGTTTTCAAACGCTCCGAAAGAAATAATTTTGTTTCAAATCGATGACCCACGTTCCAACTCTGAGGTCATTAAATCACAATTGTTTTCATAAAGACCTCGTGGAAGAAAAAAACTCAACCCTGATGCTCAATCCCAAGAAATGCGTCAATCAGTTGCAAAGTCGAGCTTTGTGCTGCACTGGCTCCATCGTGAAGTTGGGGTCCCATTTCTTCGTAGCCTGAAATTTACGAGGAATACCTCAGAAAAATGTTTCTTCACCTTCGAAATAAAACCCTTCGCTTTCTAAATTTGATTTGTTATATCCCCACAAAAATCTTCTGAAATCTTGATAGAAAAATGAAGGTTTCAACTTCTCCGGCATTCTCTGCAACTCCTAAAGCTGGAAACGAAATTTCAAAATGATTTAACCTTGATTGTCTTTTTCGCCTTAATGAGACTCTCAGATATGGCAATCAAACAATCCGTCAAAGATTCTTCGTCCAAATCAATCTTTTCGGCTTTCGCAGTGCATTTGGCGATTTCTACAATGGCTGGCGCAAAATCTTTTTCAATCTGAAATCATTGAGTTGATGGAAAAAAATAAAGATAATAACTTTTGCCGTAACAGTGAAAAACCATTGTTCATCTGTGTTTCCGAAAAACTTGAAAGCTATCGTTTCCAAGTTATCAGGATCAAAATCTTTATCAGGATCAATTTCGAGCCAGTTTGCTAGACAAGTACTACAGTGGGAAACTACCGGCTTGATTCCAAGGTGTTCAGATACTTCCATCAAAGGCTTGGAAAGGCTCAACGGAAGTACTGAGGGTACCTAAAATGTATAAAATGACTATGAACAGGAAAAAGTGAAGAAAGAAGTTTCCCTCACACACCTTTTCTGAGTTCCCATGCCATAAGTAAGCTGATGTCATGGTAATGAGCAGCAAGTGGGCAAGACGCCAATCTTCATAAGTTTCCAAATGACTTGTATCTAAGCTTTCCATATCACGAATCTTGTTTCTCAGCTCATTAGTATCCTTGTAGCTTTTCAAACTGTCTTCAAATTCGCCACTGTTTTTTTTATTCATTTGAAAAAGACTTACCACACATTTTTACCCAAGACTCATAGTATGAAGAGAGTTTTGAGGGATCACATCGCGTTAAAAACCCGTGATTCTTGTCCAATCGGTAGTGATCCAGAAGTTTATCCAAATCAGTTAGTTTCATTTCTTTCATTCTGCACTCAAATCTAAAACCACGCATTTGAAAAAAAGTTTTCATAACAAAATTACTCATAGAGAACAAGTAAGAAAAGTAAGAAAAGTTCCCCCGATGAAGTTTTATCAATGGAACTATACGCATTCCTATCAATGCATGATTTTTGGGGTAGATAAGAGTTTTTTGATCAATGAACGTGAACAGTCCTACACTTACTTCTCCCAAAAAAAGACAATTGAAATGAACAGGTTTTACCTCCAAAAACCATGAAAAATTTCGATTGTTCTGAATAACTGAGCGCAGAACAGCCGCAATTTTCTTGAGTTTTCTATCCCAAATTTCTTTGAAAAAATTGTGTTAGAGAATAAAGTTAAAGTAGAGAATTGTTTCTACTTTTTTACTACTGTGTATCAAAATCCCTCTTTTCATACGCACACGTGACCGCGTGGTATGCAATGAATTTGCAGCTCCGGTAGCCTGTGAGCACGTTCACGATCGTGAAGGATTCTGAGCTGAGGGAGATTCGTGACGAGAGACAATTTTGGGGCAACACGGCTGGTCCATCAAGGATATTATTGATACCCCGCTTTAGAATAACTATTTCTTTGATGGTATCACAGTCGGAAAACGTCTGTGTCGTATGTTGAACTGAATTTATGTTGAAAATTTGATAAACTGTGATTTTTATCCACAACAAACCGGAAATGTTTTCCAGATTTAAGTATTCTGCAGCTAAGTTTGATCAAATATAAAAAACGTATCAAAGCTATAAAATTGACAGATCCAGCCTTCAAAAACCAATAAAAACCATCGGAACGGAGCCACGAAATAAGTGAATTTGGGTTTATCCGGCGGCTCTTCAGAAATACATTACACTGAACCGAAGAAAAGTTTGAAAATTCAATCCATCGAAAAATTTTTCACTAAAAAACATAATCCCAACTTGTGTGCCAAAAAAACTTGAGTTTCATCATTCAATTTTCAAACTTTTGTTGAAATCAGTTGAATCAATTTTTGAAGAGCCGCGGGATAAACTCGAATTATTTTTTTTCGTATGGGCACTGGGGTTTCACGAGTTATGTTGCTTTCAAAAATTGTCACGTGCTGAAATCGAAAAAGCTATTGTGGGAACATAGTCATCCATGGATATGGTAAGTACATCTCAACTTTTGGAATCCTTACTGTCGGAAAAACATGATCGTGTTCTACAAAATATCTGATTTAGAGAAAAAGCTACAGTGACGCTCTTTTTCTTCAACTCAGCCTAATCGCAAAACGTTCTTTGAGAAAATTATCTCATTTTTCGAAGTTTTTATGACTATCTCCAATTTTAATGCGATTGTCTGGATGGAGCAGATGTTCTTGACGTCTTCTGAAGATGACATCCTCATGCTACTGACCGGAGAAAATAATTTGAAAATTTCATTCGGGCTTCGTCATAGGTTGCGGGACGAATTTTCATCCGTGAGATTTTTTTGTCGTACTGGATTCAAAACAGGGCGCTTCGAAGAACATCTCAACACAGACTTAGGAAGTTTTGAATCTGTTTCATCTAGACTTCCTTGTAAAAAAGTCTTGCCAGAGAACTTTCTCTTCAGCTATTGAGAAGTCAACCACTCAATACATACCGTTTTTTCTTTCCGTTGTGTGTCCCAAGTGACTTGCTTTCCCGAGACATTGTGTGCTGAAAAAAAGACATAATACGTCGGGAGGTTGTTCGGCATCCTGCTATTATCGTCGAATAATGGTTACCGGAGGTTGAGCACTGCGCGGAATGAAGTTTCTCTTCTTACTTACTTTTTCCCATTTACCAAATATTACTTTTATTTATCTCGCAAAGCTCCAATTTCAGGCTGGCCAGTGAGTGAGCTCTAATGCTTTTTCAGTTAAAGATCTTTCTAACAACTTTTTTCGATGAATCGAATTGAAACTCATAATTCGAGAAAAAAATGGCTATTTAAATTTTGCAAATGACATTTTTGTAACCAAGCGTAGTTGGCAACGCTCCAAGCAACGTCGTTTTTTTATGGTTGGAAAAAAACTAGCTCTCGAATAAAATTAATCATTAACTCTTTCAAAACGATTTTTTCCTCATCAATTTTGAAGAGCAATCAAATGATTTTTGAAGGGGGTAGTTTTTCTCTGATGGAGATCCTGAAACTAAAATTGCAAGAAGTCTCTGTTTTTTTAATTCACTTTTTGTGAGGATTTTATTATCACGAAAACCTTCAATTTCCTTTCAACATAATGCAGGAGCGTTTTCAAAATTAATGAATGCTTTTCAGTATCGATCCATAATTCATTACTAAAGTAGAACTCAAAAGTCTATTACCGTAACGGCTGCTCTACACGGTTCTGAGAACTGGCTTTCTCAAGAAAAGCGTGTGAAGGTAAACATTGCTGTTCTGGTTCAAACTTTTTGGTATTTCTAGGAGTATTAGAAAAAAAAAGATAATTATCTCTAAGGCGCCGTAAATTACTGAAGAATGGCGCTTCTGAAATTACTTTTTTTTTGTTCATAAAAAAGTTCACATAAAGCTTCTTCCCCAAATACCCAAAATGGTGTTTTTCTAATTTTTCCTGTACATTTGACGGGCTATTTCTCCGTATCCTATGGCGCTTAGCACATATTTTTTTGCCGGTTTTAGAGTATTCATTTCTAGGACTACCACAAAAGTTTGAACCAAGCCTACAATGTTCACTTGTCCTCGTCCGGTTTTGTTTCATCAGAACAGTAAGATTTCCCGATTAGAGGTAGAAAAAAAACTTGCGAAGGTTTTCCATTTGGTGCAGGCTTTCAAGTTGGGGCTGGCAATCTCGTTCAAGCACTGACAGCCGAGATTGAGGAGGTCTGTTTTCAATTAAAAACGTGCCGTCTTGTGCTCCCTTTTTCACCATTTATGTGCTCTTTAAGATTAATAGATCCGAGGGTTGTGATTTGGGCAGTTCAGTTGAAGGCTTTTAGGCGATATATTTATATCTGCTCAAAACACTCCTGCATTTGAACTCTAAAAACTAGAATTATTTTCTGTTTCTCCTTCCTTTTGAAAAAGGAATGTTTGTAATCTGTTGTGAGTTACTCAGTGGTTTTCTTCTCTTAGAAAAAGAAGAAATAAAGCAAGATTGCGGGCTACAGGTATGAGTGAAAGATATCAAGTTACTCATTCCTTTGGATTGAAAGCCTTCAATAATTCATCAAATCTCATAAGCAGACACATATTTCCGTCGTTTGTACACATTATGTAACTTATTTCTCATTCTCACACCCACCTTTTGAGTTTTCGAGCTTTTATTTCGTTTTTTGATTGTGGTTCAGGTAAAGAGCTTTTACACTTGGCTTTTTTGAATTAATTAAAAGTTATGCTCTTTTTCATACAGAGACAGTTCGATTAGTCGTAATTTTTCTCCAAAGAATTTAATCTCGGTTTGAGAAGCTCTCATTTATTTAGGAGTTTCTGCTTGATATCTAAATAGTTTCGATGACACAGACTATTTGACAACTGAAGTTTTTATGGAATATGATAGTTTTTCAATGATTAGCTTTCAAGATAACACAGGGAAAAATGTAGAAGCCCAAAAAACATCTTTTTGGGTCGTCTCTAATTTTTTATTAGAAATAGAAGCGAAAAAAAGCGACATAATGAATTTTCGTTCAATTTGAAAGCTTCATATTAATTCCAATTAATGTGGACCATGGACTTTACTTTTTTGGATGCGATTGGAGGAATGAAAAATTCCCGCAAGCTGAATGCAGGCATTCCATCTTTAGCCTACCTATATATATCCGAGGGCTCCTTTGCACATGTGGGAGCCCGTTTCTCTGAGACGAGAAATAGCCGTTACTGAGAATGCTCCTTGTTTTCTATATCCTCCAAAATTGATTTAGTTTTTTTGGTAAGACCTAGAGTACTACTTTGGACAAGGATGGAAAAAATTCGCTTCATTTGATACTTCGAAATTTCTAGAAGCTTTTCTGAAAAACCTTCTTTTAGGTATTTAAACATCCAAATGGTGCCTGAATGAACAGTTTCTTAGTTTTTGAAAATGAATGTCTCTCATACGAAATGATTGATTTTAGACTGCAGTTTTTTTTTGAATTTTTTTTATTATTGAAAAGTTATCTTCCTTGTAAATACGAAGACTGCCCGAAATTTTTTCGTAATTTATTTTATATAATATAAAAGTGATTTCCAGAAAACCGAAGCTATGGGTTCCTTGATGGAGTTTGTCAGCTCTTATCGCAACAATAGAAAAATACTTCTACTTATCGTGTACATCGCCCTTTTCCTTGACAACATGCTCTTGACGACCGTCGGTACGTTTTTTTCAAAATAGAAAAGTCTTTGAAAAAATGAGTTCCAGTGCCTATCATTCCCGAATATTTGCTACGTATTGAACATCCTAATGATACTGATTTCCTGCTGAATAACATGCCACGTTCAGATTCACGATTCAAACGACAGGTTTTTCCTTTCCCAGCATCCCAATTTTAATTTTAATCTAGTGGAATCGATTGCTTATATTTATATTTTAGATTGATTGGAATGATCAGAACAATTGGGACGTGCCGATGAGAGTCGATAGTTCGGATGAGATTGACTGGCGAGACAGTCCGGTTGGACCTAGAAGGAAGCAAAAACAAGGACAACGTACTTCAAAACCAAAACAACGTACCAAAGATCTGATGCCGGGTGATAGGTTCGATACTTTTCAGAGTGAAAAATGGAAGTTCAAATAGTCATTTTGTTAAATCTTGTGCAAATTATGTTCGAAAATTTTGTTTTATACCTTGCGGAAGTGTGGAATTCTCACAATAACAAAATTAAAAAAGTTTTTTATCCACCATCCGCATAAAAAAGCCGAATCACAGAAACGATACTATTACAAACAACGGAATTGCAAGACCTGAATGTTTTAATCAAAAATGAAGTTGAAGAGGTGACATGAAACCTGCGTCGAAGTTTTCTCCGAAGGCAGAGGCGCCTCGTGATGAACTAGAACGTCATCGGGTTCTGGCAGCTGAGAACGTGCATGTAGGACTGATGTTTGGCTCGAAAGCGTTGGTTCAACTTTTGGTCAACCCATGGGTTGGACCCTTGACAAACAAGTTTGCAATTTCTGAGGCTTGAAGCCAATCGTTGTCGGAAAAATCAACAATATACCATCTACAAGTAAGCTCAATCGAAAAAAAGGGAATTTCGCAACTACGAGTGCTCATTTTTTACCTTCGCCTGTTTTTAATTTCAAATTAGAAACAGTTCATTTTACAGATCACGCAAAAAAGAGAATAAAAACCAACTTTGAAAACCTCAAATTTTTTTCCTCAGAGTATACATACCTTAAGTTTTGACAAGGCAGACAATTTTCCTCATTAAAGGATCGGCTACACAGTACCAATGTTTGGAGGATTTGTGATTATGTTTCTTTCAACGATACTTTTCGCATTTGGAGAGTCCTACCCGGCTTTGTGGCTAGCCAGAGCACTACAAGGCGTTGGTTCGGCATGCACGAGCACTTCAGGTAAAAATTAGTTTTAATTTCTCGCAGTCGATAGACTTTTAGGAATGGGTATGCTCGCTCAAGCTTATCCTGACGATCTAGAAAGAGGAAGTGCAATGGGAATCGCGCTCGGTGGACTTGCTCTGGGAGTTCTTGTCGGGCCTCCTTATGGAGGACTTTTGTACCAATGGGCTGGAAAAGAACTTCCATTCATACTTCTTGCATTGTTGGCTCTTTTCGACGGCTGTGAGCGAATTCACAAAAAAAAGATTGATGACGATTTCAGCCCTTCAATTTCTCGTACTGCAGCCTAAAATAAATAGAGGAGAGCCGGAAGGATCAACGATAAGACAACTCGCGCGCGATCCGTACATTATTGTCGCGGCTGGTAACCATATTTAGCAATATAAATTATTATTCCAATCTTCATTTTCTCAGATTTTTTTCAGCTTTGCTTCCCTTTAATTCATTTTTTTAATAGAATTATTGAAAGTTTTTTTCGATTCCTTTATACTTTCTCGTAAGAGCCGCCTTCATTGAATCGAATCTCTCTTTGAGGATAATGCTTTTTCAGTGGGATGGAAAAATATCAGCAAAATTTCGAACGGCGACTTTTCGATTTTTTCATATTGCGAGGGAACTATCCGACGGAGAAGTTTCCGACTAATCCTTTTCCGACTTTTTTCTTGATAAATTTTTTGTTTTGAAACTTCCTATCTAAAGTAGATAGTTGATTAATGATTAAAAACACAGAGAAATAGGAAAAAAATATCAATAGATGTTTTATAAAACCAATAAATACAAGGAAAAAAATCGGAAAGGGATTCTTCGGAAACTTCTCTGTCGGAAAGTTCCCTGGCAATATGAAAAAAATCGGAAAAAAATCGCCGTTCTAAATTCGCTAGTTTTTTTTAAAAATTTTTTTCTTGACAAAAATTCAATTTTTTTGAAGTTATCGGGAAGGCCGCTCCAAACTTTGACGTTTGAAAAAAATTTCTCTATTTGTTGTAAAAAAAGTTTATTAGAGTTTTTCACAGCTCGAACTTCTCCAGGATTCATCACAGCATTTTAATAAAGATAGGAAGCTTTTTCATCTAATTAAAAATTTTATTTTTTTAATTTATAGTTTTTTTCTAAAGTTCTCTTTGAAGACACAATTGAACATTTCACTTGATTTGATTGAAATAAAACGGACCAATTTTTGAACACCAATTCAAAACTTGTACAGGAGCCATCACAATTGGAAATCTTGGTATTGCAATGTTGGAACCATCTCTTCCCCTGTGGATGATGGAATCTTGGGGCGCCAATTCGTTGGAACGTGGTGCCGCGTTTCTTCCCGCGTCCATCTCCTACCTTATTGGAACCAACATTTTCGGACCACTGGCTCATCGTATCGGAAGGTTAAACACAAATTTTATTCAGGAAGAACTTTTATTTTGATTAATTTGAAAGTGGCGTGTATGCAGCTTTATAACCCACGGTATCAAACTTAGCCAAAACGTTCAACAACTGGAAACTGAATTTTCTTACAACTTCCAATGAAGGTTTTTCCTACTAACTTCTAGAAAGTATGCTTCTTTCATGGTGTCAACAATGAAGCTCGATCATAATTAAAAATAACGAAAAAAAAGGGTGGTTTATAGATGGTTGTCTTCCTGTATCGGCCTCATCGTCATTGGTTTCAGTCTGCTCGCTATCCCGTCAGCCACATCCGTTGGAGGATTGATCATTCCCCATTTCTTTTTGGGATTCAGCATTGGTGGGTATGGAAGAAATTAATTCAAAGAAAGTACAAATTGCTAGTTTTTTTTTTTTCAAATAATGACGTTTTGAAAAACAGTAAAAATGCGGGCTGTCTGTAATTTCGTATACTAAATGTTTCAGTTGGAAACGTTGTCTATTCAATTTTGAGGCGGGTCCTTAGTTTGTTTTCGTGGCGATTTCTAAGTCCTTTCGAAGATTCTATTCAATTTGAGTATCATGAAATTAAGGAATGAACGGTTTAGGCATGATCGACGCATCGATGTTTCCTTTAATGGGCTACCTAGTCGATATCCGCCATGTTGGAGTTTATGGTTCAATCTACGCCATCGCCGACGCCGCTTTCTGCTTTGCTTTTGCCTTGGGACCATTTTTCTCCGGGCCTCTTGTCAAGTCATTAGGATTTCCAACGTTTGTCTCTCACTGTTTTTTTAGACATTCAAAATTTTTCAATGAAAGCTGTAGATTTCAAAATTGATTTCATTAATTAGCGTTAATTGTAAAAATTTTTTGAAATTGACAAAAATTAAAGCTTGAAAAGAAATGTTTGAAAAACTTTTCTTATGTTCTGTTCATTTGAGAAAAAAATCGAATTTTTTTGATTTTACAAAAAATAATTTTGACAAAAATTCAGAAAAAAATTTTTTTGAAAAAAACTTGATAGTAAAAAATGAATCCGATATAACTCGAAAAGTCAAGAAGGGAAATAAGAATAAGTTGGAAATTGAGAAATTGAACCACAACTTTTCAGGATGATGTACTTGATTGCTATCATTAGCTTTCTGTATGCTCCTTTGATGCTTCTTTTGAAAAATCCGCCTGCCGTCGTCCAAACCACAACTTCTACAACCACGGTGAGTAAGCTTTGCTTAATCTTTTGTTCAGAAGGCTTTTAGGAACTACAGCCAACTCAGCCTCCATTGACCGATGATCGCTACGAACGCATTGAAGGGATCAACGTCAACCACTTGCAAAACTATCAGACTGCGTATTGAAAACCCCATTTTTTTTCTGATAGGTTGTATTAACTATCACTTCATTTCAATCATAATCGATGAACCGAAATTGTAGCAAACTATTGATATTTTTCTTCATCTTCCATTTATAACCGCCCACGCTTTTTTTTCCTATTGATCTTTTATTTCTAGGATTCTCATTGTTTGCAGTGCTGAAATATGAAAGATGCACAGAAATAGCATTCAAGTTTTTTCAAGATACACAAAACTTGAAATCGTCTACGTTTTTGTTGAATACTAGATCAAAACTTTGCAACTTGTACTGAAATTTAAACTCCAAAGTTAGAGAATGATATTATCCCGTCATTAATCTCTTTGAACTTTTCAAACTTGATAAGATCTCCCACTTTTTTCGAAATGGCATCAAGAGAGTGCAATGGAGCACTCTTCCTCTTTTTCAAATTTAACCGCCTTTTTGTTATCTCTGGTTCCCTAGTTCAGTTTAGCTCCTCACTATGATAATTACTGAATTCATAATGAAAACTTGAATTTAGATGCAAACTAATAAAGTTGAAATACTTCGTGAGAATTCTTGAAACATATTAAGTTAAGCCTTTTTTCCTCGAAGGCAAATGTTTTTCTTTATACATAAGTTTCGAAGTGGAAAATCAACTGTTAGAATTTGGTCAACATCTTCAATCCCAACAGTTTCACGTCAAACGCGATTTCATCATTCCAACACAATGCATCGAAGATAAGTTCGAGTGAAAACTTTGATAACTCCGATAGTCAACAATATAATTCTTTCTAGTCGATTTCCCTTCAAAGATATGGCGTCTTTCGAAAAAGCTTTTTCAAAAGATTTTCTTTCGTTTCTCGGTGGCGTAAACAAAACCTTCTCATGAAGATTCATGAAGTTCTTTTTGAAGTTATAAAAAAACCCTTTATTTTTTTCAAAAAGATTTTTTCTTCTTATTTTTCTTGTTGTAATCGTATTAATTTTTGATTGTCGAGTTCTTCCAGAAAAAAAAAACAACTCGAATGGCCGCTTTCAAAATAATCAGTAACCCCGATGGTAAAAGTAAACTGTGGAAGGAATGGAAAGAAGAAGTGGATCGTGAGAATTGGACGTCCGACGACAATTCTGTGACTCTTTTGACGCCAGAACTGCCTTCAACACGCAGTGTTTTTGCCGTAGACGAGTCGGGTGAGTTTCTTTTTCTTCCAAGAAGGAAGGAAGTGTCTTCTCATTAACGTCGTAAACTGTAATTGTTTTCTTAAAAAGGGTCAAGAACGTACCTCTACTGTATTTTCTTCCAGGAGGCAGTTTCGTAGGTGCTGTCATTTGGAACGAATATGACGGATTCGCTTTTCTCGGATTTTACATTTTGAAACCTGAATTCCGTGGACGAGGGATTGGAACTCAAATCTGGGAAAAAGCAATGAGCAGTATCTCGAAAGATCTTGTTCTCATTCTTAGAGCAGGTTCAAATTTTTCATTTTTTCTCCGAACAAAAAAAATTCAGTGCCAGCGTTAGTCGAAAAATACAAAAAAGTGGCGACTCCAGTGGAAGGTTACAAATTGATTACTCATCAGATGAGCCCACAACAGCTGTTCGACATTTGCCAGAAAAATTCAGAACTGGTATGTTTTGAGTCTATCACTTCAATCACTCAAAAGACTGAAGTCGTATTTTCATCTCGTTTCAGAAATCTGACAAAACATTGAAGTTTGTGAGCTACTTGACTGATTCTGAGAAAGCGGACCTGAAAGCTTTTGACAAAGAAATTAGCGGCAGAGATAGAAGCGAATTCTTGGATCTTTTTTACAAAAAGCTTCACTTCACTGTTGGTGCAGTTCTATTTGATCAACAAGGAAAAATAATTGCACATGCTGCAATTGTTCCTACCGGATCTGATGGTTTGAAAAAGAGAAAATCTCATTATTGAAAAACTTCCATTACAGAAGCAAACACAATGAAACTTGCTCCAGTTTATGCCAACTGTCTGGAAGACGCCTTACTAGTCATTTCGAAAGTGGTTGAAGTGGTGAACGTAAAAAGAAGACCGCCGACTGTACTCCTTCATTTGCTGGAAAACGTCGCAACTATGGAAAGCTTGTCCCAGCTTCTGGCCAATTTCAAAAAACCTTCCGCGTTCGGTCTCACGCTTTCCAGCCGCGAATACAAAAACCCTTGTGATTTTAGCCGTATTTTTGTGCCACATAACAACTCTTGCCATTTTGATGCGTGAGTTTTTTTGTTCCTACGTGAATGAAAAAAATCTTCTTCATTTTAGTTTATTTTTCTTTTTTTCGCACTATTTTTTTGAATTTTTTTAAAAGTTATCCTGAAACTTTTTGTTGCCCATTGAATAAATAGTTTTGAAATTTGGTCAATTCCGATAAAGCAAAAGAAAATAAAAAAGCGAGAAACACTGCTGAAGTTCATGAAAAAATCTGAAAAATCTATAAATAAATCTGAAAATGGACTTCTGAGGAACTACTTTTTTTTAGTGTTCACCCAGTGCTGCGTATTGAAGAATTGCAATTTTACAGTTCCCTTTGAGTAAAAAATCTTGAAACTCGTGATTATGAAAGTTGGTCGTTGAAGCCTTTTCCAGATCACACTCCAAAGACAAAAGTGTTCTTTGACTTCTTGAGGATTGAAAAACCACGTTTTTCCAGCAAATATCGCTGACAATTAATCAAAAGCGAATGATCGAAGCAGGCAACCTGATAATAATAACGATAAGATCAGTCTTTCCGAAAGTTGCTCTCGATGAGGCTCACAAGTGCCGTAGGGGTTTTGCTATTTGTAAGTTTTTTTTTTGAAAGAATTATTCAAAAGCTCCTTCTAGTGCTTCGTTGCGGTCGTCTGGTGCAGAGATGTGAATAATCCAGACTATCCGCCCCAATGCCTCGTTGGCCAGCCACAAGTTTACGATCCTGTTCAAGCAGAAAAAGTTGAGTTTTTTCAGAGTTGAAAAAAAAAACTTTTTTCTTAGGTTGTTTGGTTTGATATTGACTTGGACGCGCCACCTCGTCAGCGTTTCAAACAACTCGCTCGCGCTTACAAAAATGAAATCCAACACGTTTTCGACGTTCTCAAGGTATTGCGTTTTATATTTCTCTCAAATCGATTTCACATAGTACTTCTTCACAATCTTTCCCGGAATTGACATTTGGGGAATCTTGGGCGACGTCACTGCTTCGGCTCTTGAGAAAGGAATGATTATGAACCCATATCGCGACGAGATTGAAGTAACAATCTATTATTTACAGTTTTCATGGAAACCCTTTAGGGAATCGCCGAAGAAATTGGTGTGAACATTGGACATCTGGCGTTTCTCAACATTTTCTATGAGATGTCGCGTTTCTGTACGTCGATTGTGGCTCAAACTGAAGACAACAAAGATCTGTACCATGCTAGGTGCGAAACTGATCTGCTATACTTTGCTCACCGAAATTATGCAGAAACTTGGACTTTGGCCAACTATTCGTGTGGGACATCCCAGCCCAGTCTTGGGGACTCACAGAATCTCTGAAAAAAGTCACAGTAAACCTTAACTTTTTGAAGGGCGGAAAAATTCTCTTCAAAGGGAGCACGTTGGCTGGTCATGTTGGTGTTCTGACAGGTGGGTTGAAAAATATGTTCAGGAGAATTTTTTTTTGAACAACAAATAAATGCATAAGAGGGTTGAAAATCATATAATGTGCCAACGTGATACTTCAGCGCCAAAAAATTTAAAAAATTTTATTTCACAGAATCTTATTCAAAATAAGAAAATTCTCTCAAATGTTGTTATCTTCGATTTCAAACATTAAGGCAGTTGAGGTCTCAAATAGCAATAAAATAAAATCTCATTCTAGCCATGAAACCGTACGCGTTCTCCCTTTCCATGAACGCCAAGGTGCAGCCGGATCTGTTCAACGTAATCCGTTGGTACATGGGCGAAAGACCCAACATCAAGTTTGTCATGTACTTCGAGCGTTGGCTTTTCGAAAACTGCGACGACTTCGAGGTTAGACATTATGAAAAAATAGCGAAGACCAAACTTTAGTGCGCACGCGAAAACATCAAGAGCGCTGAACTGCTCACGGGAGCGTACTTCATTTTGGGTGGAAACAAACCAGGTAATTTTTAATGAAATATTACAAAAATGGTCAAGTTCATCAAGTGTGCTCATGTCCTCACAGAAAAAAACAAATCGGTTTAGTGAAATAAAAACTTTTCAAGTGTCTTTTTGGAATATATATTAAAAATTTTGCTTAAAAAAATGAGATAAATATTTTTTTCTCAGAAATTATTGGAAAAATTAATTTCAGCTTTTTCCAGGACAAGGCTCAGTCCTCGTGCGCAACACCACGGACATTCAATTTGAGCGAAAACTATTCGACGGAGATAATGACTGGTTCTTGTTGCAAACTAATTACGATCCTGATAAGGCATGTAGACGTCAATGTTATAGCAAACGTCTGGAAACAGTTTAGCTGCCTCTCTTCATCGACAATCGACGAGACCCTGGTAACACGTGCATGAATAAGCTCACGCGCAAGAATGTGTCGATGGCAGGCATTTATCAGGTTCGAGGACGATAAGCTTCTTAGCGATAATGAGAAAATATGGTGCCATAAATATTGCATAGTTTTTGATATCTCTCAAAGTTGGAAAGAGAAGATAAATCATGAAATAATGAAGTAAGAAGAATGGTTCTCTAAATTTGTTGCACGAAAGTTGCCTCAAGTTGGACGAATCGAAGAGAAGAAGCCTGTGAAGTCAATTTTCAAACCCACCGAGGGCATAATCCTAATCACTCAAGTTTTACTTCAAAATTTTTTTCAAACTGAGTTTCATTATTTGTATTCAATGTTTAATATCAATTTTTGAAGAAGCTCTAAGGAAATCAAATATAAACTCCAAAATTTCCAAATCCTATCAAAAATATTAGCGATAACTTACTTGAGCGAGAAAGTGTTCCAATTGACATTGAGAAATCGAATAGTCCAGTTCTATAACTTTTTGGAAATAAGCTTTTTGAAATATTTTCAGGTGCTTTCCTCCAAGCCGACTATCAACAAGACCACGGTCCACACCGTTCTCATGTCGGTCACCAAGAATTATTTCGAATCTTTCGTGCGCACCTGTCCAAATCCTTGCTGGGCTTTCTAGATCGAGAAACTGGACAATATTGCTTAATAAAACTTGAATCGCAACTTTTGATGAACTTTTTCTTTTTTCAAGCACATTCAGAAAGTAAAGACTCAATCGATCATTTTGAAATGTTTCTTTTCATACTCTGCTCAGTCCCCAAGTTTATATACCTTCTAATGATTATTTTTACCACTGCGAAAAAAGATGAAATTCTATACACTTTTTGTAGTAACTAAAAATCGAAGGTTCCCTCCATAGATGATGGAACTATAAGAGTATTGAGACTCGCTCAATGAGTCACGTAATCAAACAAAATGGATTCCTTTTCAAAACGGTCTATCTTCTCGATAAAAACTCTCTAACAATCTAATCTCTCTCGGCGTCCTTTTTCCCATTTCATGCGTCAGAGTACCTTGACATCTTTCTACGACGGGTAGTGAACAAAATATTGCGTTTCAAAAAAAAAATCAATTTTTTTACTAACTTACAATTTTATCTTTGTTCAGAGAGGACATGGTCTGTTAACTCTGCGTTTTCTTGATTATCGATTCGAATTTGCGCGCGCGCCGGCCAAACTGCTCCCACGTCAGCCTACGCCATGCCTCCTTCGTCCAAAGTGGCCAAAAAGACTCCCAAAATCGAGGAAATTTCGACAATCGGGAAGAAACGTCGTCGCAAGCGCAAGGAGTCGTACTCCGTTCATATTCACCGTGTTCTGAAACAGGTTTTTTTCACAAAAATTATTAACTTTTTCTCTCATGGAATCAATAAATTTCAGAATAAGAAAATCAAAATCAATAGTCCAAAGCTGAAATATTCAAGGAACCAAAAGATAATTGAGCCAAAAAAACCAATAAAACCAAGTTTGAATGGTTGAAAATTTATTTTCTGATTTTCCTTTTGGAGAGATTTTTTTATGCTGAGCTGCATTTAAATAGCGAAAATTTTTTAGACTGTTTTTACATGAAAATATTTAAAAGTCTTGGGCGATTCAGGTCCACTCTGACACTGGGATTTCCTCGAAAGCGATGGGAATCATGAATTCTTTCGTGAACGACTTCTTCGAGCGGATCGCTTCGGAAGCCTCTCGTTTAACGAAATTGAGAGGAAGATCCACGCTTCTGCCGAATGATATCCAGACGGCGGTCCGACTTATCCTTCCTGGCGAATTGGCCAAACACGCCGTGTCCGAAGGCTCCAAGGCTATTTTCGTGTGTACTTCCAGCGAGTATTTTTCCACTTGTGACAAATCTTGAAAAAACGGACAAAAAAGGAAAAATTTTAAACTGTATTGTAATGTATAATTGTAAATAAATGTTTTCATTCAGTTTCACAAACATCTTTGCAAATATTTTTGAAAAGAAACATATTTTTTTGCTTGAAAAAAAGTAGTCTGAGTATTTCATTGAAAACCTCCAGCATGAAAAACTGAAAAATTGACAAAAATCGACTTTCATCTTTGAAGGCATTGTCTGGCCGAAAAAAAACTTATTATTGTTACCGAGGACTCGTTGATATATCTACCTCTTTTTTTAATCAATAAGTGTCACATACACTAAGAAATCCAACCAAAGCCTTTCAGAAAAGTTTTTAGTGAAAAAACCGCGGTTTTAATATTTTTTAATAGTCGTCACACACAACGACGAATGTCAATGGAGTTAGTTTACTGAATTTCGCTGATATCAGGATAGGACCTCGCCTCAGACGCAGCTCAAATGATACAAATGTGTATAAAAAAGATGGAAAAAAAGGAACTGAATCTTTTATTAAAATCAGCTAACAGGTTGATATTGCTTCTCCGTCTTTCGGTTTCTTGCCGTTGCTTTCTTCAGTTTGGTGCTACTGTAATCATTCTAAATAATGAAAACTACGTGCAAAAGTTGGAACCGAAGCATTGACTGCTGCAGTCGTGCATTATGACCCGACTGCCCTGTCTTGCGTACTCACAGCCCCACCAAGACGCTTCATCACCACAGTTTTGATTTTTGAACGTCAGTTGGTAGCATCCAATGTATTGGGAGAAGTGGCTAAAAAAGTCTTTGTAGATATTTCTTTGAATCTTAAATCAGTTCATTTTAAGCTTGCTCAAAAATCTTCCTTGAAAAAATTTGAAAAAAAAACTGTAGGTGAGATCCGCAAATAAAGGTTTTATAAAAACAGTTTTTTTAAATCGCATTGTCAGAATATACCAACCTACAGTGCTCCCGGTAATTGTAAACAAGATTTCTCTGAAACTGGTCTCTGCACTTGTTCAGAGCCGTTTTCTGAGTGGAAAATACCGCCGACATGCAGGCGTCGTTGTTAGCAAACGCTAAAATTGAAAAAAAAGTTTTTCAATATCCCTTTCTGTCACCGTCGAGGCCGGCACCGCAAGCAAATCCAAACTGTCTGTACATAGAGGCCGCGTTAACCGAGTCTCTGTCAAATTTATAAATTTTTCTACCTATTTCTAATAATTTCTAAGGCTTTTTTTCCTTTTTTTCTCAAAACAAGAAAGAAATAAAAAAATTCCAACCAAACCTTGGAAAAAGACAAAAAAATTTATTTTTCAAAGAATCTAAAAAAATAATTATTTTTGTAACCGAAGATTTGACTTTGTTCTATCTTTTTTCTATCAAAAAATGACACATACCCTAGAGACATTCCTAGTTTCATATGATATCCAACGTTTGTGCAATCTTGTCGAGCAGAGCCCAGGCAAGTGTAGAAGTTATTAAAAGCACTGAAAATAAAAAAAGCTTTTGCGTATAGTTTTGTTTTCCCTTTTTACTTGCACACTTTGAAAAGTCCAGCCGTTCCGTTTGCATACATGTCTTCAATTTCTTGACGGTGACAGTCAGGCTCATAAGCAAGTTGGCCTAAACGGATTGCAATAGAGAGAATTTTTACATCGGCCATTACCAGGACAGTTGCTCAAGCCCAAGTCATTCTTGAGTTTCATTCCGCAACAGCTGAGCAAATCAGGACTACAAGAACTTCCCGTTACGGTTGGACAAGCATTTTGAGCGAAACTTGCTTAAAAACAAAGATCTTTCTAGTTTCTGTAGCACATTACTTTTTTTGAATTTCAAATGAAAATTTTCAAAAGTATAAAAAAATGGCAAAATGTGATATCCTTATTCATTTTGAAAAAAATGGAATAACATCTCTACAGGTTATGAAATGCCTAAAATTACAATTCTCATGAAATATTTCCCGGAAAAACTTACAGAAAAAAACACAAAAAAACGAACAGTTTCTCAATCATTACTTTCCAGTTGACTTTAAGAAATACAATTTTTCTACAGCTAAACAAATAACAAAAAAACTGTTCCCGTGATTTTCTTTCTATTTGATTACTATAAAATTACCGTTCTTAAAAGAAGAAGATCTGCCATAAAAATTTCCTCCGAAGAAAGTTTTCATCTGGAAGAAAATCCAAAGAAAATTTCCATCTTCTTTCAAAGCTTGACAGGTTTATCGAATGAATCGCCGAACTTTATATGAAACTAACCGGTTATTCCAACAAAGAGCAGTGCGAACAGCATTCTTGCTGGAATATTTGGTATCGAAGCCAACAATTCGCTCAAAGGCTTATCAATCGGCAACTATCTCATTAGCGTTTTCTTAAGCGCGACGCTAATCCGACACGTCATAAGTTAATGGCCTCACGATGAAATACAGGCATGTGTCCTCTGGCAGTTGAGTTGTACGAGGAAATGGAATGGAGATAAGAAGTTGAGTTTCTTCAAACTGCACATTTGTTTTCGGTAAAAAAAGACATATTGTTAGCATTAGGAATTATGTAGAAAAATCTGAGCCAAATGTGAAAAAAGCTCGAAATAAAAAAATTGATACGGTTCATTTTTACTGACAAACTCAAGGTTACATAAATCAACTTTAGAGTTATTATTGAATCCGAAAATCAAAATAAACTGCAGAGTCAACTTCAGAGGCATTTATACTTGTAGGCCTTGAGAGTTACTTTTTCAACAAGAATATACTCGCATCCCGTTTTTTGCTCTAGCTCACGGAAATCTTTTTAAAATTTTCCTTGAAACGTGCTCCAGCTTTTTCAAGACTGAGATAGTCAGAACGCTACCAACTGCTGGTAGATGAACAAAACTAATACTGGGAAACATTTTCAAAAGTATCAGACAACCATTTCGAAAAAATTACAACTTTTTTTGAAACTAATCGACCTGTAATACTCTTCGAAAATCAAAATGTTCAATTTTTCATATTGATAGCCACTTTCCAAAAAAAGGTACAAATTTTTATTGTCAGGTGCAAAGATAATACAATAAGAAATTGGACAATCGTTTGAATTATTTCCACGTAGAAAGTTCTCATCCGATGATTCCTCCAGCATAAGGCACTGAAAATGATGATACTTCAGATGTTTAATAGATTATTGAAAGAATACAGTACTGGCCTTAAAGGTATTTCAAAGTGGTTATTCGAGCATAACTTCTCTGAAAGTGGCTCAAATGACTTGAAACTTTAAACAAATTTTAAATAACTACGCAGTAATTTTTTCCCAAAAGAAGAACTTATTTGCTCAAGTAAGACCGGATTTGAGAGCAAAAAAACCAAAAATCGTGAAAATGAAGATTTCTCTCCTGAGATTCGAAAATCGTCTCTCTGCTTCTATTCCGATGGTTGGAGTCAAGAGACCTAATCATGGCAAGGTCTCTTCTCCTAAGAGGGCTCGTACGCCGCGTCTTACTGTTGCGTCTCAATTGGCTTCTCTCATTCAACAACTGGCCGATACAAACAAGAACATGGCTGATCTCGTTCTCTCGTTCGCTGCCCTGGCTCAATCTCTTGGTGCTGTTCAAGCGACACTGGCCGTCGGTTCTTCTTCTCCCTCCGCTCAACCTCTGGCTCTTCCAACCACAACTTCTCAAGCTGCGGCCGTTCCTGCTCTGGTCACTCATGCTGGTCTCGGCCTTGGTTCTGGCTCTGGTGTTCATGCTCGCTCTGGTGGTCTCGCTCGCTCTGTGGCTGCTCCTTCTCACCGTGGTGCTTCTACAACCGCTGTTCCACATCTTGGCGGTTCCTCTCTCTTGCCTGGTCGTACTCAAGCTGTCCATTCTCTCGCTCAAGAGACGCCTCCTTTTCCAGTTCCACTTCTTGGTGGTGCCTCTCTCTTGCTTGGTCGTGCTCACGATGTCCATTCTCTCGCTCAAGAGACGCCTCCGTGCCCAGAACTTAATTTTTGTTTCTGATTCTGCCAAATTTTTCTGATTTGATTTCTTTACCTGACGAAGCCCTCCATTCTCTTATAAATCGCTTATCTATGTCTGAAAGCTTTGTTTCAAAATCAACTTCAGCTGTTCTTGAGAAATTGCAGGATTCTGGTGACTCAAGCCAGGATCCTAAGGATCTTCAACTTGTTTATTCTTTATGTGATCATATCTCCCTTCCTCGCCCTGTCTCCGTTCATCGTCATGATTGTAAATCTCTTCCTCGTCCGCTCAAAATTAAGTTTGCCAGTGTCGAATCCCGTAACCTATTCATCTTCAAGGCTCGACTTGCCGCTCGAGCTCTCCCTCAGAATCCTCCTTTACCTTTCTTTAGAGTTAGACGTGACCTAACTTTGCCGGAACTTGCTCTTCTCAAACGTGTTCGCCATAGAGTTTTTCTTCTGAATAAGGAGTCTCCTAACTCTTTCTATGTCCGTGATCTGTCTATTGCGCGCAAAACTGTCAAATCTTATTCTAACCGTGCATTTTCTCCTATTTCTTCCACTCATGTGAATACTATTACTTCTGGTGTGAATACTATTTCTTCTGGTGATTCTAATCACATTGTTTCTTCCTGTACTCTCACTAACTACAACTCTGTGTATCCTCCCCTTTCCTCCGATGTTCCGATGTCTTCGCCTTCTTGTCATGTTTAACAATTCTGAAATGCCCATTTTTGATCCCTCTAACACGTTTTACGAATTTTCTTGCTCTAACCCTCTCGCCCCTCCTCCTTCCACTAACCCTCTCGCTCCATCTAGTCTCTCTCCTCCGCTATCTATCGGTTCTCCCGCGCCAAAAAACAATTGCAATATTTTTGATCTCAAAATTATTCTTTCTAATATACGTTCGTTGCGTTCTCCTAGTAAAATTCAACTCTTATTTGACCATCTTTCATTTTCTTACATTGATTTATGTTTTATTTGTGAAACTTTCCTCACTGCTGACTATCCTGACTCTTTGTTTAATAATCCAACTTACAGCTTCTTTCGTCGGGATCGTTCAATTTCTTCTGGTAGAGCTTCTGGAGGTGGCGTAATAGTTTTTTATCGAAAGACATTGCCCTTGGTCGAAGTGGATTGCCTTCTGGACAGGTTTTATCCTTCTCATTTTTGCGATCTTATTTGTTTTGACATTATATTTCCTAATACTTTTAATATTTCTAAAGCCCGTTTTTTTCTGGTTTACCGTCCACCAAACACTTCTAATGATTCATCTTCTAATTTATTTCAGCATATTTCTCGTTTCGTTACCTCTCAGAATTGTACTATCCTTGGAGACTTTAATTATCCAGGAATCAATTGGCTTAACTTATCTTGTACTAATCTATGTTCTCAAAAAATGTTAGATTTTTGCCTTAGCTCTAATTTAACACAGCTTGTTCCCTCTCCCACTCGTATAACGGATCATTCTTCCAACATTCTCGATCTTATTCTATCCAACTCGTCCAATTCAATCATAGACGTTAATGTCTCTGAACCTCTCCTCAATTCTGATCATAATACGGTCCTTTTCAAATATAAATGTCCTTTGATTCCCTCGTCTCCTACCACTATTCGTCGATTGAATTTTTCCAAATGCAACTTCGATTCGATCAATCTTTCTCTTTCTTCGCTTAACTGGGATCGTCAATTCAGTTTTTTTTCTACAGTGGAATCTAAATTTCAGCATTTTCTTCGTATATTTAATGAATTGATTCGCGACAATTGTCCTTTCACCTCACTTTCTCACCGTTCCTCTTTTAATTTCAAATCTGACCGTCTAATTCGTCGCTTACTTCAAAAAAAAGCCTCTCTTATCAATAACGGTCTTCATTCCACTCACCTCCGGCAAAAGTTCAATCTCACTGTCAAACTTATTCGTAAAAGAACTGCTTTTTTATTAAGGAAATTCCATACCAAAGTTGCTCTATCCTACAACTCCTCTAAACTTTCCAAATTTATTTCAAGACAGCTTAAGATCGATTCTGGGATCCCCAATCTGCTTTTCAATGATAATTATATAATTGATGATGAATCAAAGGCCGATGTCTTCTCATCTGTGTTCTATTCCAATTTCTCTAACACTAACCCTCAACCTTTCCCAGCTCTTCCCTCACCTGAACCTATTAACTGTAGTATATTTTTCTCCCCCGATGTTGTTTATAAATTTCTTGCCTCTCTACCTCCGAAATGTGGATTTTCCACTGATAATATTAACTTTCTTGTTCTTAAAAGATGTGCTAGATCTTTAAGCCTTCCCCTGTCTCTCCTATTTAATGAATCCTATTTAACTGGTGTTATCCCCTCTTCTCTAAAACACACTACGGTCATACCTGTACATAAAAAAGGCAGTTTGTCTGACCCTTCCAATTTCCGTCCGATCTCTCTCACTCATCCTATATCACGTGTATTGGAACGTATTATCGCCCATATGGTTAGAAATCGATTCGCTCATAAATTCTCTCGATTTCAATATGGATTTTTTTAAACCGTAGATCTTGCAAACTCTCTCTCATCTCTTCTATATCCGACATAAAAAAAGTCCTTGGCCTCCAATCTAAATGTCGATGTTATTTACTTTGATTTCAGCAAAGCTTTTTGATAGAGTAGATCACAATTTGCTACGTCTTAAAAATGCTAAACTTTGGTTTTGATAATACTCTGAGCCGTTGGTTCTCTAATTTTTTTATCTCACAGAAGTTCAATTGTTAAGGTCAACAAGTCTTTTTGCCAACAATTGCTTTCCCAACCCTTCCGGTGTCCTCCAAGGCACTGTCAGCGGCCCTCTCCTCTTCCTCATTTTCATCAACGATATCGAAAAATTACATTGATTCCTCTACTTCTATCTCAATTTTTGCGGATGATATTAAAATCTATAGCTCCTGTCCCAGATCTCTCCAATCAAGCATTAACGGTATCCTTGAATGGTCTCATATTTGGTCTCTCCCACTCGCCTCAAACAAAAACGTTCTCTGTTCACTTTGGCCCAAATAATCCTCGCACCCTTTACTATGTTGACCTCCTTGAAGTTCCTCAAAGCTCCATAGTACGTGACCTTGGTTTATTTATCGATGACAAGCTTTCCTTTAAACAACACATCAGCCGTATTGCTGCTTTTGCCACCTTACGTTCTAATCAAATACTGAATACCTTCAAGTTCTCTTCACCTTTTAACTACTTCCGTATGTTTCAAACCTACGTTAATCCAGTCCTTGAATATTGCTCCGAGCTTTTCTCACCCGCCATTTCCTCTGAGGAATCTCACAAACTTGAATCTTCACTGCGTCTTTTTAGTCGGAAAGTTTTCATTCGTTGTAATGTTAGTTTCACTTCTTACTCAGATCGCCTTAGTCAATTTAACATCAAACCGTTATTCATTCGTCGTGAAATTTGTGACATTATCACCTTGCATAAAATCATCTGTGGCTCTGATCATTTTCTCGATCGCAATAAGTATTTCACTCAATCCCTGTTACAGAGAAATCCACTTCGACTACGGACTACTGGTCAGTTTTCTAATGACTTTTTTTCTAGAACTATTCCTCTTTGGAATAAACTAACTTCTTATTTAGATTTTAACGTTACCCCAGAATAGTACGTGACCTTGAAAAATATCCCCTCTCGTCTCCTGTGAATTTGCCATATTTCCGGGTACCCGTCAACTCGTTGGGGTTGACTCTTTCCCGTGTATTGTTATTTCTCTGCCTTTTCCTTCACTTGATCATCTATTCTTCAATTATATATATTAAATAATGGCAGTGAATAAACTATCTATTATTATTATTATTATTATTATTAAATGTGAAAAAAAGCTCGAAATCAAAAAAATTGATACGGTTCATTTTTACTGACAAACTCAAGGTTACATAAATCAACTTTAGAGTTATTATTGAATCCGAAAATCAAAATAAACTGCAGAGTCAACTTCAGAGGCATTTATACTTGTAGGCCTTGAGAGTTACTTTTTCAACAAGAATATACTCGCATCCCGTTTTTTGCTCTAGCTCACGGAAATCTTTTTAAAATTTTCCTTGAAACGTGCTCCAGCTTTTTCAAGACTGAGATAGTCAGAACGCTACCAACTGCTGGTAGATGAACAAAAACTAATACTGGGAAACATTTTTCAAAAGTATCAGACAACCATTTCGAAAAAAATTACAACTTTTTTTGAAACTAATCGACCTGTAATACTCTTCGAAAAATCAAAATGTTCAATTTTTCATATTGATAGCCACTTTCCAAAAAAAGGTACAAATTTTTATTGTCAGGTGCAAAGATAATACAATAAGAAATTGGACAATCGTTTGAATTATTTCCACGTAGAAAGTTCTCATCCGATGATTCCTCCAGCATAAGGCACTGAAAATGATGATACTTCAGATGTTTAATAGATTATTGAAAGAATACAGTACTGGCCTTAAAGGTATTTCAAAGTGGTTATTCGAGCATAACTTCTCTGAAAGTGGCTCAAATGACTTGAAACTTTAAACAAATTTTAAATAACTACGCAGTAATTTTTTCCCAAAAGAAGAACTTATTTGCTCGAGTAAGACCGGATTTGAGAGCAAAAAAACCAAAAATCGTGAAAATGAAGATTTCTCTCCTGAGATTCGAAAAATCATATCTTCGAAGAAACTCCGATTTGAAATCAGAAACTTTTTTTCTCGGTGAAACAAGTCTTCGACTTTCCAAAAAACCTAATCAGCCCCCTATCAAGCCGATAGCAAGAGTGTAGTGACTTTTTCTTTGGATGACAAAAAGATGATAAAAACCCCTTTTTTAATTTTTAAACGTTTAAGATCATTAGATAAATTTGTAACTCCTCTTTCTAGCTCTCAGGTCAATAATAGGCACTGTAAAACGTTTCTCCAAACTTTATGGAAAATAAGTTTTTGATCTTGTGAAACTAATGCTTCAGCAAAAAAATTAGCAGTCTTCAGGAAGTGGGAGACTGCAATTTGGCCATTATTTATTCTCGAATTCACGATTGAAAAGCGATTGATCAGACAAAAACTGCTTTGAATGCCCGTGAGTCCAGAAAAACTGTTTGAATCCGAGCTTTCAAAATCAGACCTAATGAAGTAAGCGAGTTCTGGAGAGAGGATATAGTGACAAAGCTCAAGAAAACGGTGTGAAACTACTCTTGAGGGCGTTTCGAAGTTTTTCAACAGGAAACATGGTGTTCTCAAACAAAAATGACCTCGTATAGTCCATCTGAATGACGAGGCGTCAAAACGAAAAAGGCCTTCCAAAGAAAAAGTCACTACGCTCTTGCTATCGGGTTGATAGGGGGCTGATTAGGTTTTTTGGAAAGTCGAAAACTTGTTTTACCGGGAAAAAAGTTTTTGATTTCAAATCGGAGTTTCTTCGAAGATATGATTTTTCGAATCTCAAGAGAAAAATCTTCATTTTCACGATTTTTGGTTTTTTGCTCTCAAATCCGGTTTTATTTGAGCAAATGAGTTTTTCTTATAGGAAAAAATTATTGCGTAGTTATTTAAAATTTTTTCAAAGTTTCAAGTCATTTGAGCCACTTTCAGAGAAGTTATGCTCGAATAACCACTTTGAAATACCTTTATGGCCAGTACTGTAAATGAAGTCCTCAGCTGATCTGTTGCCTTTCCAATCATTTCGAATCTGCTGATAGAGAATAAAAGTTTTTTTGAATTATGTCTTTACCGTCCATTTTTCAAGGAAAAATCAAACTAAGAATGAAACTTTGAAAAATCCTAGACACAAAGGAAAGTCTTCTATTATACTTGAATTTTTTTTTTTTGAAGTTTTGGAACGTGAAGCCTAACATAAATTCATTTTTCAATCTCTACATCGTTTTGCCTAACTTGGAGGTTTTATCGATCGATTCGAACTGTTTTCGATTTGAAGTAGCCACTGAAAAGCTTAAATAACTATTGTGCAACTGGTCTTCTAAAATGTTTTGATTTCCCTGATTTATCGTTCCAAAAAAAGATTGTGGGCTTCAAAACATAGTCGGGAATCACGACTTCATGACCCACAGCCGTCAAACACAAAGACGGAAATGTCACTAGAGCGAGTCCGGCGCATCTTGATATCAGGACAGAACTGTGCCTCATCGGCTTGTGGCGCCGACGGCGCTTTAGCAGTTTAATGACGTAAGTATAAACTCGTTATAAAGAACTATATGAACTCGAAAAGAAACTCACAAACACATCGGATGTTGCATTGCGGGAATCTTGTGAAGACCTCTACCCGAGCGTATTCGCAACCCCAAAAACTGAGCGTCGTTGGATTTGTCGCCGCATCCGCTCTTGAATTTGTTCTCAAAGCAAGTCAGGTAGAGGTTTCCTTGACTGTAAAAATATTCTTGAGTATATCGGAAAAAAAATTACAGTTTTTTTCCGTGTAAAGTGGCCTCCAAACAGTGAGTGATTCCTATTTTGTGAATTTTCTCCTATCTAATTCTACTATATCTCTGAACTTCTGAGTGAATTTTTTTTTCAGAGGAATAGTTTAAACTAAATCTCATATTGAACCTTTCTAATCGTGAAGTTATTGCGGAAATTTTTTGAACATTTTTCACCTGCACGCCTGATCTGGATTCGTGTCGCTTTTCTGCTCAAACGCGGTTCTGCAGGCATTTAACTGATCGCCACTATCTCCTTTCCAAGTTGAAGACATGCAATTCTCATTAGCCAAATATGCTGAAAAACTAATTTTGATGTAGTCTACCCACAGGCTGTTTTCTCACAAACGCTGAAAAATCTAAAAAATGTTTAATCAATCTTTCTGACTTTCTGGATTAAATGATTCAAACAATTACGTGCAAGTACAGAATAATCTCTGTTTTTCAAGTATATCTAAAGCCAATACTTCGGTTTCCGGTCAAGCATCGAATTTTTTTTGTGTTGGAAAAGTTCAAAAAAAAAACCAACTCTGCAGGCCGGCTCCGCAAATATAATGCATTTGATTGAAGAGCCCTACAAATTGATATGCATTCAAAGGAGTTGCGGAGAGAGAGACGAAGTGAGTAGGACTCATGCACACGGTGTAGTTGCCACCCATACATTGCTTGAACTCTCGAAAAGCTCTGAATCCGTTGAACTATGAAATAATTGCGTTTCCTCCAAATGAAGCCAAAGCTCCGTGTCAAGTTCCGTAAAGTTGGTGAGCTTATTTCAGTACTTCCGTTAACATCGTCGCTTTCTTTCTTTCTATTGCAAAAGTGAAATGCAGCAAAAATGCAGTTTCTCGAAAAACAAGTAAATTAAATATATTTTCTCACTTGCAAACTTTGCGAATGCCGTTCACTCCTTGACTTTGATAGTAAGACTCGACCTAAACAAAAAAACATCATATTTTTTTCGTTTTAATGAAAATTTTGAAAAACCTTAGTTCTGAACGCTTCTGGGTTATACCAAGGCTGAGAATCTCCATAATCAAGAGTGCTATCCAAATCTTGTTGGCACAAGACATAGGTTGTCGAATCGCAATCGAGGCCAGATTGCGCGCTCACAGCTTCATGAAATGAGTTTTATGTTAGAATGTTTTTGGAATTTTTTTCCGTGTCTATGAGAGTTGAAAAAAATTGAGTGACAAAAAAACTGTCCGCCGACCTTTCTCAGTTTCGCTTTATTAGAAGTTTTTCAATTCTGAAAAATGTTGACCTCTAGAGTAACTTTGATGAAAAAAATCAAGAAAAAAATATTTTTCATTCAATTTTTTTAAGAATTTTTAACTTACCGGGAACAGCGAAAAAGAAAAAAACCACAAGAGCGAAGGCAGTAATTTGCTTCATGCTGCCTGAAAAATACATTTTATAATTTCTAAGCAATTGTACATTTTCTATGTGAATACTTGGCTTTTACAAAATCTAGAGTCTTCACGTCCTTGGCATGTCCAGCAAGACAGCACCTTTTATGGATATTAGCGATAAGTTATCAATAATGCGGAAAATGGCATTTGTCGGCAACGCCTAAACTAAACGGAACATGACGTGGATTTGGGATTGAGTTATCATTAAAAAGCATGACAAACAATAAAGTAAAGACATTCAGAAGAAATTGGAAAAAGTACCCAACAACACAATTAAGATGTTAAGAACAACGTTGAATGAAAAAATGATCGATTCCAAGGTATAATCAAAGTGCCAGACAAGCACTGAAACAACCAAAAAGTTCAAAAAAAAAACATTTGAAAGTTTATTCGCCAAGAGAAAAATGTTATGAAAAAAATATACAAAAGTTGAAAAAATTAAACTTTGAAACGGGACTGTTGCTCTGGAGATGCTCCAAGTTAATTCAGGATTTCGTGGACTGAAAATTCACATTTTTTGTTGAAAATCAAAAAGCGGAATACAGTTTTCTTGTTTCCACAAAAAACTTAACGAATTGAAAAAATTGAGATAAACTTATTTTCTGCGGCCGAAAGAATGCATTTTCTGTTGCTTCACCGGTGCAAGTAATAATTATCTTAATGTGAACTTGGCACCACTTAGATAGAACTGCAATATCGTGAATTTTTTATTTTCACGCCGCAGGCTGAAACTGGCCAGAGTATCAGTTTGGTACGGGAGAAAAGATTGGTGGAAAGATTTTAAAAATTTCCTGAGTTTAAAGGGAGGGTAATGAGTTTTTAAAATGAATACATTCTTTCTTGTGACCTTCACGTTTCCGTTTGAAAGGAACTATATTCTTCATTGAGAAAATTTTTCTAATTTTTTTTAAGCAAGAACGACATTGTTGATTTGAAGTTTCCGAAGTTTCGTACGAATAAGTCTTCAAAGGACTGAAAACTTCAAAAAAAAAATTCCTTAAATCTTTACTCGAAGTGGTAGCTCTCACTCTGAGACTTGATTGATTTGAAATAGAGCTTAAGTGACTCCGAGCTGCGTTTCTTTTTCAATATTTAAATTGCGTTCTGTGCAGAACCGTTGCTCCTAATAAAAGCAGCGCTTTTTCTGAGAACACGAAAAATTGGAAATTGCTCAAATAGCTTACATCAAAGCCCTATAAAGAGATTCAATTGAATGTTAGAGCACGTTCATAGAGAAACCTAAGCGCACAATTTTTAGAAGTTTAGACAGACTTTTGAAGGATGTGAACTAACATGTGCAGTATATTTGAGTGCATTGAGGGTAGTTGAGCTGAGTTCCGACTCTCTCGTAGTTGCATCCCCACCATGCAATTTCAGGCTTCTGGCAAGCTTTCCAGAACGCTGTTTGGTAGCAGTTCGTGGCAATTTCTACGTATCTGCAAGACTTGTATTGATAAAAAAACTTGATAACAAGGGCGTGATGCCATGCAATATTGAGTAGACAGTGCATTCTACTGCCGTTAATACAATCAAGCTCAAATGAAGCTTTAAAATAAACAAAAATGCAGATAACTTCGCAAAAAAAGAGTAAAAGACAAATGGAAATCAATTTTTCAAGAGAACTAACGAGCAAGCACGATCGGGATTTTGCTGAGAATTTGTATTGAAAGCGTTGTCGCAGTCCCGCAGGTCTGTTGTTCTGTTTCCAAAAACAGAAGAAGCACAATCTTCAGAGTTGGCAAAAACTGAAAAAGTTCATTATTAAATTTTTCGAAATTTGCATATATCCCAAATTTTCAAAAATTAAAAACCAGCAGCTCAAAAATTGAAACTAACTTGAGAATCCGGCACCGCAAACAAAAATCCAACTGATTCCAGATTTTCGTGTACCCAAAGGCTTGGTCTCTTGTGATGTCCGATGTACCGTTAACTCTGAAAAAAACTGATGAAATTGAGTCAAACCAGTTGGATTGAACCCCTGAATCAGCAGGCCGAGTGGATTTTCAGCGCACGAGAAGTATTCGTTGGAGTTGGCACTTAATAACTAAGGGATAAAAAGAACCAAGTGGTTTAAAATGAAGAATTTTTGATTATTAATGTTTTTTCCCAATTATAAAAGTCAAAAAGCCGTTTTTTTTTAAAACTTAAGACATTTTTCTCTGTGATCTAAAGTTTCAACAGAGTGTTGAAAAAAACAGTCATCTCAACTTCAGAAAGTTCCAGAAAGATTGAATTTCTTACAAGAAGTTATGACCGAAACCCCTTCTTGGGTACTACTGACGGCTCTATGTGTGAATTCTGCATTATAAAGTTTCGAGCTCATTTTTTAAATCAATCATTTTTCCCATGACTCACGTAGAACTTCTCAGTTTTCACCGTATGTGTAACGTTTAAGAAACTTGTAACGTGCAAAAATGAGTTCTCTCAGACACATTTAGCTTATAAAAAGGACCCAGTTAAAAAAAAAGAAATTAGTAGAGGTGTAGATTCTTAGGACTATTGTATAGTACAAGCAGTATTTGAGTACAATTTCCAAAAGATTTGAAAAAAAAAGTTGACACTTCTTCTTCTTTGTATGCGGGTTCATATTGAAAGTACTAAAATCGATTCTCTTAGAATCGAGTTAAAATAGAAATTAGGGAAGGTATTCAAAACAAACTAGCAAAATTTGTAGTTTTTGAAAGCGGCACAGGTTTGCAGAAGACCATAGGCCATTCCACTGGCAAACTTTTGCTCGATTGCCGTTCTCAGGTCAGGATAAGTCAAGATACCCAAAGAGGCTGGAAACGAATTTGGTGATTTTTTCAAAATTTTCATAAGTTTCATACCTCCGATTTGCAATTCATCGTTGAACTCAGCTTGACAAGTTTGCATATGCTGAGCGTTGCAAGCATTAAGCAAAGGGTTTTGAGCTTTAACAAGCCCTGAAAGTTCAAATGACATCTTTCTGGATGTTGGCATGATGGCTAGATGAGAAAGGAAAACTTAGGACATTTATAACCACAGTGACTTTCAAAAACATCTTTTTTTAAATCTTCACCATGATATTTTGAGGAGGTTCGAAGAATCAAAGTTATTTTTTGGTTTCTTAGCATAAGTCCTACTAACTACTTCTATATTATTTTTAAATTGTCACAAAAATTCAATAAAGCTTTCATTGAGCCTGGAAAAGGTACATCTAAGTTTACTCTCGGAAGGAACCTACCGATGAGGATCACCCAGAAAAAGGCAAAAGCTCTGCCTGCCATTACGCCAAAAAATGGAGCCACGTTGAGCGATGAGCAGCGAGAGGCACAAAAGTGCTTTTATCTCCCGTGGCCATAAAAGGCCCACATACGTTTACGATGGTATCATCGCACGCTTAATGATTCCACACTTTTCTTTGATTTTTATGAAGAGTAGATGTCTGAAGGGAGTTTTAAGTATTAATACAAAGAAAAAAATATTATGACAAAGAGTTGATCAACATCCGAATTTAGAGTATGAATAGGTATTTCGGTAGTATTATATTTTATAATATTTTTTTGAACTTATACGATATTTGATTCAATTTCAGAATTGATAAGCAATAGCCTAATGCTAAGCGTATACGGTAATGAACGAAGTTCGATCAGCTGCTGAACAATTCATATTGAGAGGCGACGGAAAGCCTTGAAAAATGCGAAAAAAAAAATTATTCAGGCTAACGGTGATATTAGTTCATAATAGTTTCTTCACTGACATTATTTAACAGATAAAATAAACAAAAGAAAATAAGTGACACAATTTTCATCAAATTCAAAAAAAAAATTGCATTTTGAAATGCAAGATTTTTTCAGCAAATACAGGATATACAGCCACCATAAATAGAAGAGCAGTTTATTGTTGGACTTTCTCGACCTTCTGAAAACAAGGAAAAGGTGATCAACAAATCATTCTTGGTCAACGCGATCCCGCAAACCAACGACCAGCTCTTCATTTCATCAAATTTAGATCATAGTTTTTTCACAACCGACAATTCTCCCAAGACTTCTCAGAAATTTAGATTTCACCGCGTTTCCTTGTTTTCAATGAGAAGGAAAAAAAACAAAATTAGATGTTAACTCGGAATTTTTGAAGTGGAAGAAACCAATAAACTATTTTTTCAGAAGTCCAAGAACGACGATAATAACAAAGCGGTTGATCAGACGTAAGTTTTTCGTGCCCATGAAAGATCCGTGTTAAAATTGTGTATTTTTAGGTCAAACTTGAGATGTGGCGTGATTATTTCTAAGTTCGAACATTCTTTCGTAGAAAAAGTTTTTTTCCAAGGAAGTTTGCAAACCGGCAGCGCGCTCACAGTTAAAAGATTTTTGGCGGAAGAGTCATCCACGTCGTAACGCGACGTCGCGTTCCCAGGCTCACAAGTCGAGCGTCGGCCTTTAGAAAGAATAAAATAACAATCGCTGAGAATTTTTTTTCGAGAATCGGAAAAGAAGTGAGCGAAAATAACAGAATTATATTCCAATTTCTCGGACGTTGAGATGTGGCATTCACCTTGTGTGCAGAGGGATCGCGATGCGTTTTCGGCCCCTTCGGTTATTTTTTCTCACGTTTTTTGGGAACAATAAAGAGATTCACATCAATACATTTTGAAAACTCCACAAAATAACTTTTTTTTTTCATATATGACTTGCAGAAATTTCAGCTATCCTTGAATGGAATCTAATATAAAATGAATTTGTCACGTCAAACTCTTCTGGTCTTTTATTGATTTTTTTTCGTGATTTTTTGTTGAAGGGCTTTTTTAAGGAAGTTGAACTGGTCTGGAACAATGAAAAATTTAGCTTGGTTTTTCATCCGTTCCACGCGTCAACTCTAAGAGCAGTTCATGTTCGTTTCGACTTACTCAGGCTCGAAAAACCTGAGCTGCTACAGTTTCTAAGAGAGAAGAATGAATAAATAACCTTGTTCTTCAGAAAAAAAGACTTTTCTTTAAACCGTTCCGTTGTTTGCTTGCGGAAGACGGCATCTATTCAAAAGAAGAACTGATTTTTTTGTTATTGCATAGATGATTAAAAACCATTTGATTTTTCAGCTTTGACAATTATTTCATATTAAGACCCAGCATTGTTAAAAAGAAGCGTTTCATTTTTTTTTCGGAACTTTATCATTTGAAGGCAGTGTCAAGGAATAAAACCTCTTGTACACCCTATTCTTGATCCTTTTCACTGTTTGAGGCTTTTTTGCCATTTTTGAGCGGAAACGCTTCAAGGGGTTCCCTTAATAGTTGGCTGCAGGAAAATAAAAATTGAGCTTTCCACTTTAATAATGAACGTTTTAAAACTCACTTTCGAAAATTCGAAGGCGGTTTCTAGTACCATTGAAAAGAGAAATACAGTTGCAAAGACATTGATTGATTCATCGTTGTTTAATAAATAAGTATTACAGCAATCTTATGGATATTTGATTGAAATAAAATATTTAAACTGAGTGATGATCCAATCGGGAAAGATGACTAAGGGACGTTGCAAAATCTCGTTTTTGTGCGATCGTGCACAAAAACTTTGCTTACATTATGTACAATCAATAGGAACAATCTTCGTTCAATAACAGCACTCTGCTGCATTTCCAAGACTTTTCCATTCTCCCATCATATTAACACGACGCTTTTTCTTCCGATATGTCTCAAATCGAAAGTTTCGAATAAGAGAAACTGCAATTCTATTTTCTGAGCGTTGAAAATATTATTTCTTCTGGAAATGATCTCATATTTCTTCTCTGATTATTTTTATATCAGCAACTTCACTTTGTTAGTTTTAGAGATTTCAAATTCATGAATTTGTTCTATACCGCAAATGTGATACCGCTTTTCTTTATAAGATGGATTATTTTCTTCTTTTGAATTATTGTCAATTTTCCTGTAACTATGAAAAGCAAAAAACCAAAAAAGTTTGATTAATATATTTTGGATTTTACTTTTACCGGAAATTTTTTTTTGACTCACAAATGATCCGTTGCAAAATTATCTTTTTCCGATATTTCCCTATACTCTGGTTTTGAAAAAATAAAGTCCCGGATTTTTGTTTCTCTGACTGACCTGTGATTAATCTAAGCCTATTTCCTCTCTAAAATTGTTTGACGGAGAAATGAACTGTTTTTTTGAATTTTCGATTGAAAATTGCAATTCAGAGGTTCTCGCACTCCGATAAATTTATACCAATTTACTGCAACTGAACCTGATTGCTTTGAAAATTTTACGTCCAGAAAAAAAAGCATATTTTCATGTTTCGAAGTTTGTTTTTATTCCGAATTTTCTTTTTTTTTTTCTTCTTACGCCTTTCTACCGTTCGAGCGGCGTCGGCGCTCCAAGTCGATTAGTCGAGGATCTATCTTGATATCAATAATAATCAGTGGACTTGCTCGAGTGACATATTCGCCCTTGTGTGTCACGGCTGCGGATTTTTGAAGTCGTGGTTTGCTACTACCAACATTTCTTAAACCCCTTGGTTGGGTCGAGACGGGGACCGAACGCATCCCTTTATTCCGAGCTTTACACGTTTCTATCTGTTATTCAGATGTCTAACAATCCAGAAATTTACAACGACCATGCGAACTCTAACATCAAATCCTTGACTTGTAAGCCCAATCTTAAGAAGGTTCTTGCGGTTTTCCTTCAGACGTTGACTCATAACTTCAGCCTCTTTCGCCGATTAAGAAAATCCCTTCTGCGGTCGAGAAAATATCAACTAGATCGGTCAACAAGTTCCACACGGAGAGAAAAGGGAAGGTGAGTCGAATATTCAAAAACTTTTTTGAGCTGCAAATGCAAAAATATTAACTGCGTTTATATAAAAAAACATTTTCAAATTCGACTGACAAAACTAAAAAAAATGAAGTTCTGAGCATACATTCAATGCAGTGAAAAAGAAATTTTTTAGAAATGTGAAAAATTTGCAAGAGGTTCCGTTACTCTTTATGGGATGAGCAGTTTCGTTTTGCGGTCTTCTTTTTTTCAAATCATGTTTCTTTTTCTAGAAAAGGTTTTTAGCAAATTTGTTTTGATGAATGAGAGTTTTTTCCAATCAATAAGTATCTTCATGAACACTTAAAAGAAAAGTTTTCATAGCTTCGCGTGGCGTTCACCACAAAAAAGGCTCCCCCCAGCTGGCTAGTTTACCAACGTTTCAATCAGGAAAAGTATGCAAAGGTATGAGCAAATTCTTTTTCGAAAAATTATTCAGTTTCAGTGTTGAACTACGCAATATATAACAACTTACAGGTGCTGATCGAAGCTCCTTATGAAACTTTCTATGGCAATCAAGAAATGATAGACCTATGTCCGTTAATTGAAATTTTTTTAAATGGGAAATTGAACAATTTTAGGCACTTTACGCTTCAAGAAACACTTGAAAAAACAGCACAAAAAGACAGTGGAAAACTCGCTTCATCAACAGATGTGTAAGTGTTTTTCGGTTTATTTCTTCTAAAACAATATTTGCTCCACGAATTCAACCGCAAGCTGTCGTATCATAAAAAAAGAGCCACATCAGAACGATCTTGGTTTGCAAGCGCCCGACAATTTCGGGTTTTCCGTCGGTGAAAATTTCTTTATTTCCCTTCGTTGGAGACAGCGGAAGATGTGGTTGAATTTGAAATCTTCGGTTTGATGCTAAAAGCGCGTCGCACCGCATTGCATTCGGTCATTAGTGGCGAGTCTAAGCCGTTTCAAGTGGTGATACAAAAAATTTTCTCTTGCTCAGAAAACGACAGAAAGTCTACATCTTATCAGGCGTTCATTTTTCAATAATATATCTGAGGAGTTTTACCATAACTTCAAAGACAAAAAAAAATTTAAAGTGGTATTTTCAGACACTGTTGGATGGCAGGCCTACCTGCAATGGTCTCAGATTGCCGCGTTTTGTTCAAATGTGAGTTTTGAAAAGTCCAGAAACCATTGTAAACTTTAAATTTTAGTCTGATTGGAAAACGAGGTGAATTAGTTTTTCTGAAAAAAACTATCTGCGCTTGTAAAACGATAGGAGCAGCGACTGATTTTTGAAGTGTTAGTAGAGATAGTATCATCTTTTTTCGGAAAGCATGGGCAGAGCCGAGTACACTAAGACGATACTTACTCCTTTACTTTTGATACTTTGATGGTTCAAAGTTGCTGGCGATGTTCTCAGTGTGGACCACACGTTCTCCAAAACGGTGTTTCCCGCGTTGGATGCGCTCTTCGAGGTTGTGAATTTGAGACAGTGGACGGAGGTCTATGCTCCTCTGATTTTTTTTCCACTGCTCGAAGCGAGTGATGTCGAAGAGACCACGTTCCAATTTTCGAAGAGCGGCCGCGGTGTTCTTCGTGTCGGGCCAGACTTTGGTTGCACTGGAGATGGCAGGGGACCCGGATGCTTCAAAGATAGGGGTGCGCACTGCGCAGCTAAGGATCCTTCAGCTCATCGGTCGCTTCTTTGATGGAGGAAAAGACGGCCGTGCCCGCGCGTGTACGCCTCCCACTTTCCGAATTCAGGTCGTCTTTCATGTTCACTTCTCGGTCGAGGTAGACGTAGGATTTAACCTTGAGCAGGTCGCAGCCTTGGAGCGTGACGTTGCCTTGGTCGCACAATCTGTTCTCATTTACTGCGTCTTCTTATTGTTCATCTGGAGCCCGATTTGTTTCCCAACAGCGTCAAGCTCTTCGAGCATAGACGACAAGTCGGCGTTGTTTTTAGCGAAAAGTACGATGTCGTCGGCGAATCAAAGTTGCGCTAGGACCTTGTTGTCAATGTTCATGCCTTTGACTTCCCGTCCGTCTTTGCAGTTTCGGACAGACGTTGTCTCTTTGTCGGATGCCTTTTCCGATGGGGACCGAGGGCTTCCTATCAAATAGCTGAATCGTTGTTGTCGTTCCCTTGTTGCACTTCTCGATGAGGTTGATGTAACGTAAGAAGGCTCGAACTGTGACGAGCGAGTTCAGGACCACCATGCTTTCGACACTGTCGAAGGCTTTCCGATAGTCGACAAATGCCACAGCCAGGGGAAGGTGGTACTCTCGATGTCGTTGCACAACTTGTGTCAAGGCGTGAATGTGGTCGAGGCAACAGAAATTTCTTTGGAACTCAGCTTGGAACGTCGGTTGGAAGCCGTCGAGCTTCGTGAACAACTTGTGAACGACGGATAAAAGTGGGAATGGTCGGAAATTGTTCAGATCGGTCAGATTGCCGTCCTTCGGTATGAGGATGGTTTTTGAAACCTTCCATCAGTCCGGGATCAACGTGTTTTTCAGATAATTGGAAAATTCTTGGGCGAGAAGATGGTTCAGGGCGTTTCCTCTCGACTTCAAAGCTTCTGACAGGATGTTGTCAGGTTCAGCTGCCGTTCCGTTTCTCAGCTTTTGGATCGCAGAGTCTATTTTTTCGGCAAGGATTGGAGACTCTTTTTCTGACAATGGTGTTGCTGTTTGAGGTGACACAATGCTTCTCTTCAAAAATCCCAAGTAGCAGTCGGTTAAGATGATTAATTATCATGATTAGTTAAATAATTTCGACCAATGACATCAAAGTCTTTCCTCAACCAAATAATTCAGAAAACGAAAACGACGTACAACGAGCAGCCTACGTTGGCCGGGGAAAATTCCGTTGAAGAAAGTGAAAAAAAAATCAGAATTTCTAATATTTTTTTTGTCTCTAGATGCTCTCGACTGGTACGCTCACATGCAAATTCAGAACTATGTAAGCTTTTTTTCACAACAACAATAGGCTTGAAAAACAAAAAATTTCTACAAAAATGAGTACTTACTTAATGAAAAATACCGAAGGTTTTTGAAAGTTTATCAGTAGAACTAAAAAAGAAAAAAACAGTATTACCAAAAAAAAAAATTCAGTCACAAAAGTCTAAAAAAAATGTTCAAGCAAAAACTATTATTTTTTTCAGAATCAAATAACGGTTCACAACTGGCAACTCAATGGTATGGTGACTGGAAACGGGGACGATGTCGGAGAAGGTGAAAAAAACTCATTTTTTTCTATTTTCTTTTTTTCGTAGATATTCTTCGCTGGTATGCCTACCTGGCAGAGTGCCAACATTATGTAAGTTTTTTATAAAAATAAATCAAACTAAAAAAATCTGAAAAATCAGTACGTGAATCGATACTTTATTCGAAAAAAACATTCTGAAGGCCTGTTATAAAAATTTTTTTACTTTATAAAACAGCGGAAGCAAGCATTTTTTTAAAACTTTATTTAAAAAAACCTAAAAATGAAAAACAAGGAGAAAGAGTTTCGGGAAAAAAATTAATTAATATTTTTTTAAGAATCAAATGACGTCCTACAACGATCAACTTAATGGTACGATGACTGAAAACGGAATAAACGTTGATGAAGGTTGAAAAAAAGTTAAACCTTTTTTCAAGTTTTTTTTTGTAGAAACTCTCCCCTGGTATGCCTACTTTGAATGGTATCAATACCATGTGAGTTTTTTTGCTCTCTAAATCAAACTGAAATAGTGAAGATAGGTACATAATTTAATCCAAAAAAATATAATGTTAATCATTCATGATAATAAGATATTTTTTTGTATGCGAGTTCAAATGACCCAATTGATTTTCATTCAGAATTTATGCATTTTTTTAATTTTCAATGATACGTAGAGTTTCACCTAAAAAAAGTATTCTCAAGGATCCTTAGTGAGAAGAATATTTCAAAAACTCTTTTCAAGCTTCTCAACAGGCCTTTCTCGTTTCCGTCAAACAAATCGGTTGTAAGCAAAACATTTGGCGCAAAAAGTTCTTCAATTGTGTATATATTTTATCTTTTCCCATATTCTCAAGAAAATCAAGAAATTGATATCTGTAAGGAGATAAAGTACAACTTCACACACTTCCGCATAACTGGCCTATTTACGTTGCTTTTTCATGCGTAAAATGTTTTTTCCAGAACCAAATGGCGGCTTACTATAATCAAAGCGTTACGGTGGCGAACAACGGGAATGTCGTTGATAAAGGTGAATTTTATATCTTTCTATAATTTTCACCTGTACAAAAGTTTTAGGCGAAGCCTTGTCAAACTACAACAAGGCAAACGATTTGGTAGCTGGGACTATAGATCTGAGCGAAATCCCTCTTCCGCCGGAGCCTTACCCATCGGTTTGCTTCTGTTTTTTTTTCAGTTTATTAAAAAATTTAATTAATTTCATCATTAAAAAAAAAATTTTTTTTAACTATATTTGTGATCTTCACCTCACACACGAAGGAAATGATGAACATCGCAGATATGGTTCAAACTTTTGTGGTGGGTAGTCCTAGCTATGACATAATGAATCATGTGCTAAGCGCCCTAGCGTACTGAGAAATAGCTCGTTGAAAATATGTAGAAAAAGCATGAAAACGAACTCTCTTTGGATTTTTGTTTAGAAGGTTTCTTTTTCGTATTTTTTCATGACATAGTAAATAACAGTAGTCGTTTCAAGAATATATAAACCGAAGAAAATCAGTTTTCGAGCTTTTTCCTTATCTTATTGTCAGTACCCTCTACGCTTGGCAGGTAATCCTTTCCATCAAGTACTCATATCTAGGTCTATCTACCAGAGAAGACCAGATCTGCCTTCATCCCCTCATACACTTTTTTTGTTAGAGGTTCTCTTTTCAACTGGAAAAGAACTCACACGGAGGTTCATTTCAATTTGCGTTCGAGAATTTTCTGGAAATCAACCAAAATATTTCTTAATGTACCCAAAGATGATTCTGTAAGTTTCCATTTGCTCTCCCTTAACCCTTGTTTTCGAAGAAAGAAGGCTCGAAACACAAAAAAGTCTTCTTCATCAGATTTAAAGGTTCTCCTTTTTTCTTTTTTTCTTAGTCTTTTTCAAAAACTTAAAAGTCCTGTAAATTGACAATTTCATGATCTTCATTTCGTGCATCAAGGAAAGTATTTCTGGCCAACTTATACAGGATTTCCAACCACAGAGTGAAACGACATCTTTTTTTTTCAAGTTATTCCGACAGTCTATTTTGCTAGCTGTCAATGGTTTTTCTTTCCATGAATAAGAAATTTCGCTAGTTCGAATTTTCCGAATATCCCTCTAATTAATCAAATAACGTTCTGACTTTTAAAAGTCTTGGCTTTCTCAATTTCTTTCGTTTCTGTTTGAAATAAGTTCTGCTCAGAATTTTAACGGTTTGTTTTTCTTTTAGAATGATTCTCGTCTCTCTGGGCCAAAAGAAGTTTCTCGCGGATGACCGGCAACACCCTGAATCAACTGCTTTATTCGTATCTTGGCTTTCACTTATAAACTCATGCATTGCATTAATTATCCTCAAGATTTTGAGAAGTCGGGTTTTTTCCCATCCATAGAAAATTCTTTCGCTTCACTTACTGTATAAATGCATTTCTTTGTTTTCTCTCTTTTTTCTCAAATTGAATAAATGTTTTCGCCTCAAAATATCAAAAATTCTGCAAATTGATTTCTGTCGCCTGAAAAAGACGTATGATCTTAGAGCTTATGAAACATTTGATTTCAATTGAGTTTTTTAGGTAAACTGAATATTTTGAGAAACGCTTTGAAACCAGTTGTTCAAGTGTGAAAAATGTACAAAAAGTTTATAACTGTTAGGTTAATAATATGAATGAATGAAGAAATAATTATAAGTTCGACTCTACAATTTGGAAGACAGAAGGGAGTCTTGATCGCTTTTCTGTTTTGAAATGTTTTGGGTTCATAGTCGACTTGAAATGATGTAGTTTTAGAATAAGAAAAAACCGACAAAAAAAAGCTCACCAGGGAATGGTCTCGGGACGCAGTGGGACTTCTGAATAAGACCAATTTCCCTAGATGCAGTTTTTCACGCTTTCTGTGAGTTTTGAAAGCGTGGTCATGATTACTTGGACCATTTCAACTTTTTGAAACAAAAGAAAAACCAAAAAAATTTTTTTTTCGAAAAATTTTCATACTCCAACCCATGCTCATACACATGGAAAATCACGAAAAAATTCATGAATCAAATTTTTGACAAAAAGAAGTGTAGGTGTTTATAAAGGTTCAAAACAAAGTTTTCTCATGTTTCTACGCTTCAAAACTCAAGCAAGGAGCACTTACACGAAAGTTTCGAAAAAGGAAAAAAATGCAAAAAAATTTTGCAGAGGATGGGAACCGAACCCGTGACCTCGTGCTCGCCAGTTCGTCGCCTTTCCACTGCTCCTTGCTGCCGTTGCTTCGACGGTCGCCGGCTAGCAATACCACACCGCGCGCGCATTCTCTTGTGTTCGGCGGGGCTTTGAAGGATCATATCTGGGCTGCAAAATTTTTTTGAGAAAAGTTTAATGGTTTTTCGTGACCAGAGAGACAAGATCTTTATACCCTCAAAAAATGAGCTCAATCGGAAACACTGAAATTTTCGACTTTTGAGGGTCCATAACTTTTTTTACAGGCGTTATGGGAATTTTTTGAAAGCAGATTTGGAATCAGCATGAAAAACTGCATCTAGAGAAATTGATCTCATTCAGAAGTCCGACTGCGTCCCAAGACCATTCCCTGGTCAATTTTATTTCAAACGGTAGAAACAACAACGGAAGTTGAAAATTTGCATTTCTCAAGAATAATTTTGTAAAGTACTTATTACAATTATTTTTACAAAAACCAAAGTTTCGGCAATCAACTTTTCACTTTACTCAGTTCAAGTTTCTCCGCTCTTGTATTTCTTTGGTGATCATGTAACACTTGACGGCTATCATGTGATAGTATTCTTCCTGGAATTCGTTCAAAAATTACAAGTTTTCGATGCGCCCACTCTATCGTTTGCCGTTTCGAAAAAGTCCTTCTCGGCTTGCCGCGCATGGACCAGGATAGGTCGAACTCTTGGGTCGCGCACAGACTCAATGTTGTCCAACTGGACCGATGTCTTCACGAGCTTGCCCATGAGATAGCTCCGAAGGTCCTTGCAACATCCCGTGTGCCAGTCCTTGAGAAAATCAGGTTCGAAGTTAAGAAGGAAAAGTGAACCTTCACGATTTCCGTATTCAGAGGTGTAGAGATATCATCGATGTCATCGGCGGCTATCGGCTCGCCTTCAGTTGGATGAGCGCTGTTTGCCATCTCCTACAAATCTTTCAAAAAAAAAATCTATTCCAATGATTCTCCATATACCATGACTAAAGAAATATATATGGAAAAAAAGGATAAATCTTATTTGTTTTATTTGTTATAAAGGTTTTACTTTTAAGAAAAATAAATTTTTTCACAGTTTCGATTGTTAGCTTCTACAGGTGCCTTGAAATTGCAGAAGCTTCAAAAAAGCGTACGATAGCTTTAAAAGAATCAAAGTCGAAAGTTGAAAGCCGTGATTTCATAAAATCCAATCAAATATTTTTTAAAACGAACCGGCAACTCGGGATCATCAGGCTCAGTCGTGTCGATAGCAGTAACCATTTGAAAAAAGCCTCTGAAAAAAATAGCTTTGGAAAGGATTTTCAACAAGACAAGACAGCCGGAAAAAAAATGAAATGAAGAAGCGAAAAATTGAGCCCGGATAAAAAATTCTGGAATTTCTACTTAAGAGAGTAGTAAATGCGATGCGATGCGTATGGAACACAGGGATTTATGCATAAATCATGTAATCTTATGTTAAGAACATCAAGCTTTCAAGAAAATTAAAATCGATATACGTGTACAGAACTTTGCAAAAAAGGCATGTGATCAACGATGAGAATCAATGATGAGTCTGGTAACCATAGCAACTAATTTTTTCTCGAAGTAACAAATTAGAATTTTTCTTTTTCAAATATTGGGACGCTTACAGTACACAATGACTTGTTTTCGACGTTTGAAGCACAAATGGTACGAATTTCTTTTCCATATCTTGTAAAAAGCAACTTCACCGTTTCAAATAAGTACCAATGTCCCTTTTTTCAAAAAACAACAGAATGTTCTTGGAAATTAGCAAAATTCATCATAGCTGCAAGTCAGAAAATTATCATGATACTTTCTAGCAAAAAAAAGAATCGGAAGATGAATTGACCAATATGTGTTTATACCATTGAATTAACGGGCATTTACCTGAAACAACGCGAACTTGTATTTTCGAATCGAGTTCAAACTTTGGTGGTTTAAAAACCTAAGTAAGGATACTTCAAAAAAATGGAAATAATATCTGTTGAACATGAACAGTTCAAGCAAAAAGGATCAAATTTCTCTTTTTTTCATATTTTTGTTTGAACATAAGTTTTTTCAATATTTATCTTACACAGATTGTTTGAGGCGCTTGTGTTAAAAATATAAAGTAAAAATAAAAAAAGCAGTGTTAGAAAAAAATTATCAAAGCCTAATATGCCCATATTTCAATCTTATTTATTCAACGGCTTAAGCAGATATTTCTTCTGAGTTCAAATATATTGACTTGAATCTGTAAACCACCAAATTTTTGAATTTGGTCTGCAAGTTTAAGTTCGCGCAATTTCACAATTAGTCTCAAAAAAATCTGTTGATGAATCAAATAATCAGCAAAAAAAAAAAACGAATCTCAGCCTATTTTGGGTTACAACCAGAAGGAATTCGCGCTCTAATATTGAGTTAGAACAAGTTTTACAAAAAAAGTTTCTCTATAAGATGTGAAAAAAAGGTTCTGATCAATTGTTGTAACATGGCCATTCAGATAACTACTATAGATAAGACGAATAACAAGAAAAAGCGAACTTTTGTGTAACACCTTATCAAGTCTCTATCATGCGCAATGAGAGAAAAGATAACTAGAAACGCGCAAATCAAGCGTCTCTATGACCCATGTTAAGTGCAAAAAGGCAAGGACACCTCAATGAAAAAGCTGTTTGCACAATTACAAAATTTCCAGAACTTATTTTAAATTCAGCAGAGCGCCTTTTGAGAAAATTTGGCAAAAATTCAATTTTTTGATATTCAGTCTAGAAAAAATCAACATCAAAGCTACGATTCTCTCAATTTTTGAAAAAAAAACTAAATTCCAAACGATTGAATCCAAATTCAAAAAAATTTTTTTCATTGTAATTTATTTTTTTGCACTCAGTTTTTTTCGAAAAATGTTTGAATTTGCAAATTGTTCCTTTCCTTAGTTTTTCTCAAGTTCAATAACGTTTTCTGGAACCAAACTAATTTTTTTGTAGATAAAAAAATTACTATAAGTTCATTTTGGACCACATTACAAATTTTTTTTCGAAAATATCGAATTTCTCCAAAAGTTGAAGCGTTTCTCGATAAACGTGGAACCCACAATAAACTTTAAGATTATTTGTTTTATTATAAAAATTATATTTTTTTTCGTCGTTTTTGCGGTAAGAAGCATAAATTTCTAGATAACCTGAGCAGAAAATGCGCGCCATCGCTAACAGGTGTTTCTCCACTCACGCACATCAAGTGTTGTTTTTTTTTCATGCTGCTTGATTGAGCGGTGGCGGTTCAATACTTCTCGCTATGATACACCGAACGATTTTATCTTGAACTTTTTGATTTCAGACTTTGTGTCAAACATCCGTTCACACTCAACACTTATAGAATTATTGTAATATATATCAGTTAGTAAAAATGTTTTGAATTCTATAATTAAAAGCAGGAAAAAAAAAATGCAATTCCAAACTTCTGATCTCTGAAGAGCTGGTGTTGATCTCTCACGCGAACGCGCGCCAAAAAATCAATCTCGATAGATAGATCATAGGACCTTCACTCATATGAGAGGACCATTTCCTGTTGCATTCACAACGATCTTTGAGATGACAGAAATAGTCTTTTTCTCGCCCAAAAAGTTCTTTCGAAGGTATGAGTAATTTTTATTTGTTAATCTTGTTAATATTTCAGAAGTTTTTTGCACTTTTGTATTATTTCGAATACTATCTTGTAGTTTCTTTTCATTTCAAAATTGGTGAGAAAAATGTTTCTTCACACTTTTTTTTTGAAAAATTCCCGCTTCATCTCATTGACTTTTTGTCAAATAAAAATAATATTATTACAGAGTCGTCTCGTATGCTCCGAACTTAGAGATTAAAATGGACGTCGGACAAAAACTCCGGCGGATGAAGCACAATTTAGTGAAGTACAGTTCCGTTTTTTTTTTCCTTTTTTACAAGGTTTACTTTCAGCTCCTCTAAGAAAGAAGAAGACGTGGAGATCAAAGCGATGATGCCGGTCGAAGTGAGAAACCAGAAGGTTTCTAATTAATCCTATCTTGGTATCGCATTGGTTTTCTTTTCAGATAATATCCGCAGTAGGTGTCTTCAAAAAAGACGTAGCTTCAACTATAAGGACGGGTCTACGAGAAGACAACGTGGATAAAAGAAGAGTACGTCATTAAACTCACGTTAATTAAAAGTTTCCAATTGCAGAAAAAGTTAGAAGAGCACGCCATGGCGTTAAATCTTAGGGAAATTGCTGACGAACTCGATGCGGCTAACACAACTTGTATGCACAAAGTTGTACGCAAGGTCGCAGAAGTTATGCAAAGTGTCGCTTCTGAACGCGTAAGACCTCTGTTTTCCTATTTTACCATTGTTTTGGTTGCAGGTGAAGCAAGAGTTAAAAATTGAGAACCGTGTTTTGGACGAGCTAACAAAGTTCCAAGAAATAGAAAAGCAATTGTCCAAAAGCCGGGAAAAACTGTCAAACGCGTATACAGGTTTTTGTCAAAATGGCGAAACCCGTAAAATGAACTTTTTGAGATCTTGAAATTGCGCAAAAAGCTTTGGAAAAAGCAGATGGACAAACGGCAGGTCATCAAGAAGCCGTTGATGTTTCTCAATTGAAACTGGAGCATCAAAAAGTTAACGAAAATTGTTTTGTAACAAAAATGTTTTTTTTATAGGATAACGTCATCACAGAAGTGTATTTACTTGCAACCAAGGAGAAAAATATCGCCCTGGTAATTGAACATTTTCACCTTTGGTAATATTATTGATTTTTTCAGACGTTTGCCGCCTATTTAGAAGAGCAACTTGAGTATCATCGACAAGCTCTGACAGAACTTCAAAAAGTTCTTCCTGAAATACGCCAAGATATTCGTTAGTGAGAAGATATCTGGCTACATGCGGTTTGGTTTTCAGACCATGCTCGGCCCTGTCCTGTTTTTGGCGTTGACCTGGCTGAACATCTCAGACAACACTATCCTTCTCGTCTTGCGACGGTTATAGAAAAATGCTGCACTTTACTTCGGAAAACCGGCTTTACCGAGAAAGGCAGGCTGACCCAATCTATCTAGAATTAAAAAAAAATGTTTAAGGTCTCTTCAGAGTTAATGGCAACAATTCCAAGATTCGCCGAGCAAAAGCAGCTTTTGACGCTGGTCATTTCGATGTACGTATTGATTATGAGAATTTTTAGAATTAAAGAAAAATTTGAATAAGTTTTTTTTTGCTGTTTTATTGAACATTTTTTTCAACTATTTGATCCGAAAGAAATTATAGAAATTAGTCAGTGAACTAAAGTTTTTTTGAAAAATGTTTAATGATTTTTTTGAACCTAAGGTACAGAAAATGAGGACTGTTTTTTTGCAAATTTAGCAACCCTTGAGGTCGTGCTCGGAATTTCAGGTTCATAAATATAAGCTGAATGGGTTAACTTTCAGAAAATTTATTTTTCAAAATAAGGAAACTGTAGATACTCCACACAAATTTGATTACCGCATGAAAAATGTTGGTTTTTTTAAACTTGAAAAACTTTGACAAGAATTTAACTTTACCAGGCTGATGAAAAAGCTTCGATCAATGATCCAAACTCGATCAGCTCCGTCTTGAAGCTGTACTTGAGGGAGTTACCTGATCCTCTTCTCACGAGACGCCTTCAAAATGATTGGTGCACTGCAGTTGCGTGAGTTTCTTGTAGTCCGTTTATATCGAAAATAATAATTCTACTTGAAGGTTGGAAGGTGAACAACGCCTTCGTGCCTTGGAAAGTTGCATCGCTAGTCTTCCTCAAGCAAACTTCGATAATTTGACTTACCTGATGCATTTCTTGAGCGACATGCTTTATCACCAGGATGTAACTGCGTACGTTATCCTTTCTCAATTTCAGACGTGGTGAAATTTGTATAAAATTCAACGCGCTGTCTCTGTAATTCTCAAAATCAATGGGTACAGAAAAAAAATATTTTTTGATTTCAATGAAATTTCAACCAGTGTTATCGTATCCCGTCAGGATTGCGGACACGATTTTTCAAGCCATTTCCAACAGCCGTAACCTAACACATCTTTTAGAGTGGTAACTTTAACAGCAAATGACTATTGTGAATAGGGTGACCAAAAAACCAAAGTCGCAAACTCACAAAGTACCGTATCTCAAAAATTTTTACAGTAACCCAAGATGTTATGCACTGAAAAAAATTCCTAAAATTAAAAAAAAATTCCTATCGATTGGTATACAATTTGCCTTGAGAAAACTCGTCAATTCTTAGATACCCCGGTGACCACCTGCCTACCGTAACCCGGTTACGGTGGTATGAAATGGCTTGAAAAATTGTGTCCGCAATCCTGACTTCATAATATTTATCCAAAAAAAGTGAACAGTGCAAGAGTTTTTTTTTCCTTTTGAGGTTTTTCATTCTCGGCCGTTTCTCACAGAAAAGGGAATTATTTGTGTTTTTTTTTGCCAATTCGTGATAGGAAATCAAAAGGTATTGAGTTTTTTTTTCCTTTTATCTGTTTCAAATCAATTTTTCATGGAAATTCTAAATCTTTTTTTTTCAGGATGACAGCTGGCAATTTGGCCATCGTTATAGGCCCAAACCTTCTAGGTTCCGATTTGGACGGCAACAATGCTATTGGCACAAAGGTTATATTTATTCTTCTTCTTCTTCTTCTTCTTACGCCTTTATACCGCTTGAGCGGCGTCGGCGCCCCAAGTCGATTAGCCGAGCTCCTATCCTGATATCAGTAGACTGGCTCCAGTGACATATTCGTCCTTGTGTGTGACGGCTGGGGATTATGAAGCCGTGGTTTGCTACTACCAGCATTTCTTAAACTCCTTGGTTGGGTCGGGGCGGGGATCGAACTTGTGACCCTGTGGACCGTAGACAGGCACAGAACCTGTTGCGCTACGGCGCGCCCCAAAAAGGTTATATTTATTATTAATTTTTTTCTTCAATGAATTCAAAAGAAATATAATGAAAAATATTAACTTCTCAACATTTTCTCGCTATCTTTTTCAATATGAGAAAACCTCAAAAAAAAATAATAAAATTTTTCAGGTCGTTGAAATGCTGATTGTGAACGCTGCTAGATTTTTTGGGATTCCATCTCATGATCCGACACGGGGCTTCTCTCCGCAACAAGAAGAACACCATCGTCTGACGGATTCGAGGTAGCTCTGATCAATTCAAACCATTTCCTTTCAGTTATTTGTAATTCATTTTGAATCACAGAGCCGATAACATCAGTACTGTCAACATAAATCCAATGACGACCAGCAAAATGACACGACCAAAGGAAAAAGCGCCGCCTCCTCCTGGCGCTCATGAAACAACAGCAGGTTATTTCTTCTCAATAAAAGTTCACAAATTCTGTTTAGACAACTTGATCGATTTGTCAGACACGTGGAGCTCTGAGAACAGCTTCAACAACAGTTCACCACTGGAAAAGAGATGTATGATTAATTAACGTTTGCAACATTTGGAAGCTTTTGCCTAATGTGTTCCGATTTCGAGTATCGCCCTTTTCAGATATGTTGGATAGGAAGGTACCCGATCGTCCACCTATCGAAAACGAAGGCCTTCAAAGAGCTGCATCTGCCGATTCTGTTGACTCTTTCGATGAGTATTTTTTTGACGACACCTCGTTGACCCGAAGTATGACGGACAAACCGCATAGACCACCGCCGCCTGTAAGTTTTGTGATCCAGAGAGAAAAAGGCCGCAGCAATTATCAAATATCGTCAAAAAAACTTTCATTTTATGCTTATAATTTTCCGACAAAGATGAAAAAAAAAAGATATTCGGTCTGCATTTCAAGGAGGTTTCAATTCACTTCATAACTCTTACGATTTACCGTTAAAATCAGGGCACATATTGATGCAAAACGCTTTGTTAAAAACCCAAAACTTTGACTCTAAAAAAAAATGATATTATGAGGATTCCTGTTTAGACGTTCCGCTCGCCGGTCGAAAATCCTCATGGCCGACCGATGAGTTACCATTTGGCTGTTGGTGCGACACCTAGTGGCCTATCCGAACCAGAATCTGCAGTCGAACCAGGACCCAGTCCCTCATTGCCTCAGAGACAGAGGAGCATGGTTGTCGCAAATCCCTTGGCTATAAGGAATCCCGCGCAAAAGACCATGTCGACCTCAATGATGGCCAGTCCTCCATCAATTGTTAATGGAGAAAATAACAAGTACGTTTTTGTGTTTTTCTATATCCAGACTTATTTTTTTTTTGTCCAAGAGATTTGTCCGAGATTCGCTCAAAAACTTTTGAAGGACATGATATCAACTTCCTATTTTTCGAAGGATATCAGTTCAAAGATTTTTTAAAGCGCTAACAAGCAAAGATCTTTGAGATATTCTTCTTTTTTTTCGAATTGCTCCAAAATTTGAAAACTTTGTAGTCTAAAAATAAAAATAAATTCCGGACTATTGGGAAGTTTTCGCGGTTCCGAAAAAAAAGAATTTATTCGTTTTTTAGCTCTTTTTTGCTCTTTTTTTTTCAAATGCCTGAATAGTTAACAGATGTCCGATCATCCTAAAAAAAAAATCATGGAAGAATTTTTTGAACGGAAAAGCTTAGTTTCATCGATTTTCGTCTTTTTCAGAACTGTCGTTAACGTTGACGGGAGCGCTTCTCTACGTGTGAAGCCTCCTCTTCCTATCAAACCGAAACCGGATTTCGGTGAAGCTTCTCGTCTGTGAAATAATGAATAACTCAAATAACCTCTATTCTTTTATAATCTCTATATATCTCATTTTATACATCCACTTCTCTAATTTCATGTATTCCAGAACTTTGCTGGTGAGTGTTTTTACGCAATTTCCGTTTAATGGCTCTCAGTGTTCCAAGATCGAATTTTTTTTAGTTTCAGCTTATATGCTAAGCTAGCTGCGCAACGATTGAAAACCCATTCTGATATTGCCACTTCGTCTTCGATCTTTCAGTTTAACTTGTCCTTTTTCAGTTATCACCAGGATTTCCGATAAGTTCACCGTAGTGTTTTTTTTACAGGTAGGTTGCTTTAAAAGTGTAAATTCTGGAGCCTTTTTCTTTCGGTTGTTACTGGCAAATTGTGATGTCTACCCGACTTTTTTTTGTCTCTAGAACGTTTTTATCTTTTATTCTTCTAACTCACCAAAGTTGTGAAAGCTCACTCTGCTTTCAGTCGTTTTAGTCAATAAAAAAATAACACCTCTGTATAAATAAATTTTTTTATTAAATTTGATGAACAGGGAAAGAAAAATAATTAAAAAAACAACTAGGCTGGAAATGGTCATTTCTTCCTTTGAGGTGCTTTTATCTGGTGGGATCGTGCCCAGGTTTCCTCCTCGTTCAGCTGATTTTGAAATTGGTCGAAAAATAAAAGAACTTTTTCGTCCCTTTTGATGTCGTAGTTCCTGGAAAAAAAATTCTTTAACGGTGAAGATAACAAAAGCAAACACAAACCATTTTTTGAGTTTTCTTATGCTGTCAAGTATTGCATATTGATGCCATCTTTTCAAAAAGTTCAAAAGATCCGTTTTGCCTTCCACAAGTTTTGCTTGAAGCTTGTCGGGGTTGCCAGCATGAACGAACGTTAAATCTTGCAAAACAACTCCGCTGAAAAATGGGAAATGGAGGCTTCAAGATAGAAAAATGAACTCACACATATGGAACACAAGGTGGCGGAGCGCTCTGAAGAAGCGTTCGATAGTTTTTGTAAGACTGCGATGTGTCCATAACAGAGATGTGCTCCTGGAAAAATTATTTTTCGGCTTTTATTGAGGGTTCCCTGGAAAATATCGCAACTAGGTTACAGTTGATTTTTCTAATATTTTTTTGCTCCTTCAGCAATAAGCTGGAATTTTTTTGCAGGAAGTTTTATCGGGCATCGAAGGAGTTATATAAATAATTGCATCAAATTGGCCGTGAATAATGTTCATGAGATATTTTTCATGAAACAAACCTTCAAGCTATCTGAGACAGTTTTATTCCATTCCAACCTAGCCAGAGGACTAGAAGCAAGTGCACTCAACACAGCCAAATACGAGTTGAAGTTGCTCATTTTGCGTAAATGCTTAATCAAGTTATGAATTCAGACTAGAAATCACGCTAGAACGAACCCTCATGACTTTATTGAATTTCATGAAATAACGTTCTCTCTCCTTCTGCGTATTTTGCATAAGGACCTGCGTTCTTACCCAGAAAGATACCTAAAAACTTAAGCATTTTCGATTACAAAAAAAAACAGACATTATTGAAGTGTTCCGTAAAAAGAACGAGGTTTGGACTTTTTACTTCGCTCTGTTCTTGGGCCCACCACAACAGCTCAGCGGGCTGTAATTTCAAAGATGAATGAAAAAAAACTCCTGTCTAGATATTGCCTCTATCCGGTGGAACAAACTGGCATCAATAAAAGTGAGTTGAGAAGCCAATTGAGAAGATCGGAAGTCAAGAATCGTGTGAGGCCTTAAAAGACAAAAAAATTCCTCAGTTACAGAAAGTTATGAGATATTAAACAAATTGAAACTTGAAAACTTGAAGAAAGATCCGATAAACTTTATCTCAGACAAATTATTATTGTTTTAGGCGTTTTACCTCCGTGGAACTGAAAGCTTCGTTTCGAAGAAACTGCTTAAGTTGAAAGGTTCGGCTATGCGGTCCAGTAATCGCTGTCTGCAGAAAACAGTTGAGTGCTTTTATAAATGATCATAAAATTACGAGAAGGTTTCAGTAGATTAGACTTTCGCTTGTACAGCTTTTTAACAATATTTTTTTGGACATCCGATTGATTGAATAAATTTATTCAAAAGTTTAAAAAAACATTATCTCCTTTGCTCAGGGAACTTTCATCATTATTTCAATCGGAAAAAGTTCTTGAATGCTCCACTCTGAATGCAGACAATAATCATTTCGGTTCTTCGAAAATTTGAAAGATGCGTTTTTGAAATTACTTATTTTATGACCGAAAATCAAGGAATAGCTAACTGTTTAACACGCTGTCTCTGTAATTTTCAAAAGTTTTCAAAAAGAGTGGGTACAATAGAAAAAGTATTTTTTGATTTCGATGAAACTTCACCCACTGTAATAGTCTGTCATCAGAAATGCCGACGCAAGTTTTCAGACCGATTCCTCCTACCGTAGCTAGGTTACGGTAGGCAGGTGCGTCTTTTCGTATGTAAGAATCTACGCGCTCTTTCTAGGCGTATTGTATATCAATCGATAGGGATTGCAATTTTAGGAACTTTTTCAGTACATACCATCATGGGTTACTGTAGAAATTTTTTGAGTTACGGTAATATTTGTGTCTGCGATTTTGGTTTTTCCGTCACTCTGTGTGTTAGGGGAGAGACCACGGCTGGTAACTTTCCTGAAACATTCTTCTCAGCAATACCTACGGAGAGATACCACTTTGAAATGGATCTGTCCTACCGGTCATTTCGAAAAATCGCTTCGAAAAGGCTCAACTTGGCATTTCTCGGGGAAAATCGCCCGCGGTTAGAGATTTCTACCTCTCTTTTCTCGTCAGATCCGGTGCTAAAGTTTGTTCCATTTGTTAGTGCAGTGTTGTACTTCATAGATGATAATGTTCCCTCCGACTTTCAGCCTACCCTTCTAACATAAAATTCAGTTTGAAGCCGATTTTGGCCTCAAAACAGCGATTCTCAGATTTCAACGTTTTTTCCTAAGCTCAGTCCTACTGAGGCTGGGCTCCAAAGTATTTTTCATTACTTTTACATGTTCCATGAGCTATTTGATCAAGAAAAAACGGTGTTTGAGCCTACCCGTCTAGCTCAAAATTCAGTTTGAAGACAATGTTTGGCCTATTTTTGCTTGAATCCCTGATGAACGAATTCACAAAAGAGTTTCTCAGCGCCTTGATACTAGAACGTATTCCAAATTTTGTGAATGATATGTTTCGAGAGCAGAAACGTTCATGAAAATATTTATTTTCTCGTCAAAATCTTCAAAGTCATAAATCGCTCGAAAAAAACAGGTTCAATTTGGATTATTTCAATCTAAAGCAAAATTCAAATTTTAAGAGACAGATTTTATCTATCAATAATTTCTCCAGAAGAGTGATATAATATCGAAAACCACTGTTTCTAGGCCAGACTCGGCTTCAAGTTGAATTAAGAGCTAGACGGGTAGGCTCAAACACAGTTTTTTCTAGATCAAAAAAATCATGTAACATGTAAGAGTAATAAAAGACACTTTGGAGCCCAGCCTCAGTAGGACTGAGCTCAGAAAAAAACGTTGAAATCTGAGAATCGCTGTTTTGAGGCCAAAATCGGCTTTAAACTGAATTTTGAGCTAGACGGGTAGGCTCAAACACCGTTTTTTCTTGATCAAATAGCTCATGGAACATGTAAAAGTAATGAAAAATACTTTGGAGCCCAGCCTCAGTAGGACTGAGCTTAGGAAAAAACGTTGAAATCTGAGAATCGCTGTTTTGAGGCCAAAATCGGCTTCAAACTGAATTTTATGTTAGAAGGGTAGGCTGAAAGTCGGAGGGAACATTATCATCTATGAAGTACAACACTGCACTAACAAATGGAACAAACTTTAGCACCGGATCTGACGAGAAAAGAGAGGTAGAAATCTCTAACCGCGGGCGATTTTCCCCGAGAAATGCCAAGTTGAGCCTTTTCGAAGCGATTTTTCGAAATGACCGGTAGGACAGATCCATTTCAAAGTGGTATCTCTCCGTAGGTATTGCTGAGAAGAATGTTTCAGGAAAGTTACCAGCCGTGGTCTCTCCCCTAACACACAGAGTGACGGAAAAACCAAAATCGCAGACACAAATATTACCGTAACTCAAAAAATTTCTACAGTAACCCATGATGGTATGTACTGAAAAAAATCCTAAAATTGCAATCCCTATCGATTGATATACAATACGCCTAGAAAGAACGCGTAGATTCTTACATACGAAAAGACGCACCTGCCTACCGTAACCTAGCTACGGTAGGAGGAATCGGTCTGAAAACTTGCGTCGGCATTCCTGATGACAGACTATTACAGTGGGTGAAGTTTCATCGAAATCAAAAAATATTTTTTTATTGTACCCACTCTTTTTGAGAATTACGGAGACAGCGTGTTAAGTTGAAACAATGGTTAAAAGAAAACCTTAGAATTCGAGCAAAAGTCAAATTTCCGTCATGGATCAGCCGGTAGACAAACGACGTCACAGACAAGATTAGATCCTCGTCGAGGTCAAATACGGTGAGTTCGTCGACGACTCGCACCAGTACAGAAAACGTATTACGCGCTGACGTCTGCGAGTTGCTGTCTCGAGCCATACTCATGTACAAAAACCTCAAAAAAGTCACATTTGCGTGGCATTGCAGTTATAGAATGTTTCTGGAAAAGGTCACGTGTATCTGTGATTATATAGTTACTGAATGTTTTCATAAACATTTTTTGAAAAAAGTGGACTCCTAACAAGGGGTGTGTGCGCAATGAACATTGTTGTGAATTGAGGTTTTAATGGTAGATAGACCGGGGGGGGGGATGCTCCGAAACGAAAAAGAAAATCTGCTAAGCGCCATTTTGATAAGAGAGTGTAGAAAAATGAAATGAACACGTGAAGAAAAAGTTAAACGTCAAAAGGAACCGAACCTAGCATAGCGTCAGCGTCATTCAAGAGCACTGCCACTTCCCCACGCTTCTAGTTGCTGAAAGGGCATATACGCGCCGCCAAAACTCTTTTTTCTCGGTACCCAATAGCGTTTAGCAAATTTTCTTTTTTGTTTTGAAGCACTCTCCCCTCGGTCTATCTACCATGAAAGCCTCAATTCACAACTCGATGTTCGCCGCACAGACACCCCTCGTAGGAGACTGGGAAACTAAGCCTGAGCCTAACCTACTTTGCCGCTATAAAAGTTGCTATAGTCTCATTACCGCTGGTTAAAAACATCTAATGAAGTTCTGAAGACAAAAAAAATTTGCGAAAAAAACAGAGTATTTGCTTTTATATGTGAGTACTTCTTTTTTTCTCAAGCTAGCATGGGGTAATTCTTTGAACCGAGACAAACGCAGTAAATAGTGAATTAGAAAACGGAGTAACTACTGTTCTACATATTGCGGCTAACTCCGGCTGAACGAAATTTTTTTCGAGAAAAATCAGCTTTCAAAAATCTATTTATCAATAATAGGTTTTAGTTCGGTTCATGTCAGCATTTTTTTCATGACAGTGCAATTTTTTTATTCAGACTGTTTGGATTATCAAAAAATCAACATATTTTTGGTTGTGAAAATCCGCCTATTTTTGATAGCGCTTTTCAAAAAGCTCGCGTTCTTCAGCCACTCGGTGGGACACTTCGTTTTATTGTCTTTTTACGTCTTTATAGATCACGATCATTATAAAGCCGTATCAGTCAAAAGTAGGACGCGTAAAATCTCACCTTTTTACAAGCTTATTGATAAGATCAAGAGATGAAATAAAAGTTCGATAAGTGACAAGAAAAGCTTCTTGATAAATTAAAGATGCCCGATTCCCTTGTGTTGCGAAAACAATAAGAGCGTCGCGAGGTCCTCCGCGAACCTGAAGAAAATAGTTACGTGGAAGGGCATACTCAGAAAAAAGGTTCATTTTTACTTACTTCACTAGCATTTCCATTTCTCTCCCTGTAGACTAGATAGTCTATGACGCTCAGGTTGCAAATAAGATCGTTATGATACGTTATAGCAGCTCTTGCCTGCCAGTCGATTGCCTTCGGTTCTGCCTGGAACTCAAATTAGAAAACGAGTTTAGCTTGAAATAGTGTCAAGAAAAAAAAAGAAGACCTTGTCTGGCTGTTCGGCGGCCCACTTGATGGGAAGTTTCAAAGGACCGAGGTCGTTTACTTCGAGGAGTTCGATTAAATTACCGAAGTCGGCAAAAGAAGTCGACGCACCTGTATAAACAAATAACTTCAAAGTATACTCAAAACGTTTGGAGAATTTTTTTCAACGAGTGAACAGTTTTTTGCTTAATCTTATTGTACCAATCAAGAATATGAAAATTCGTCGACCCCATTGAATATGGCTTCAAACTGTCTAACCTGTCTGCGTCTTCTCTTCTATAATCGGTAGAGTCAGGAATGCAAGAGAAAAGCTCGAAAATACAAAAGAAGATAAAGCAAAAGTATGTAATTGTCAAAATTTGTTACAAAAAGATGTGTATGAGAAAAAAATTTTTACGAAGTGAGCTGGTTCGTTTGAATTCAATTCTTCTGAAATTAAAAAATCTCATTCAGAAAAAAAGTCAAAGAAGTTAAAATATTACTCAACTGGATTTTACTAGGATAAAACGCGAACTAAGCCAATTCTTATATTTTTAGAGCGGTTCTTTTCGGAAGCCCTCTCACCTGGTACAAGGTTCAAATACCAATGAGATGGCACCTCTTGTGGACAGCCAGCGAGTGAAAAACTGTTTGGAATATCATATGGAATTTTTTCTTCCATAGTTCAATTTCTAGATCATCAAAAACTGGGCAAAGAAACATAAATAGCAAGAAAAAATGAATGCCCAAAAGCGCAATTCGGTTAAGAAGCGCAGCGATGGGAAACGAGTTATTGGGCTACGTTCAGACCAGCCTTCGAAAACATCGGAAAAAGATGTTTTCTGTCAATTTATCGCGCGCGCTGATATGAATCGTCAGTTTGATAAAACTGCCGAGAATTTTTGTAATTTTTGTCGTTTTCTCCCATCAAAGTACATTTTAACAAAGTTTTTTTTCTTGATTTTTTTGTTGAAACGGGATCGAAGAAAGAAAACTAACCAGAAGTGGAAAATTCAAATTGAAGCTTTTTGCAGAATTGCTCTTCATGAAATCTGAAAAACCAAGTTTCACGTGTCTGACATGGAAAATTTCTTTATCCTGCGATAGTTCTGAAATTTTCTGATCTAAAATTTCACATCAAAAAAAGTTCCAGAGATTGGACTAAATTCCTAATAGAAGTATTTCTCTATGAAACAAAAAAAACCGCAATAAGAATTTCGTGATTGAGAAATCTGAATTTGAAAAAGTTTCACCTCAAACTATCGTTCAGAGTTATGTACGAGGAAATGGTCGATCCTCTCAAATATTCCAGTTCTGGGCTGTCGTCAGCTCCTCCAAATGTCTGAAATTGAAAAAGATGATCGAACATTTCATCTACGAGGTGGATTCTGTTAGTAATTTCTTAAAAATTTTTTTCGATATTGCAAACGGAAGGAAAAGTTTTTTTAGAAACCGTAAATCAATGGCCTTGAAAAAAATCTCAAAAAGTTAAAAAAAGAGATCTTTGAAAAAAATGTTTTAGAGAACTTATTGTAATTTTTGAAAAATTCTGAAAAATTTAAACCTTTTTTTCCGTAAAGAAGTAATTGCGGTAAAGCTGGGGACCGCAGACAGATTTTTCAAAAAAAAATTTTTTTCAGCATTGACCTTTGTATGGTTTTGATAACTGTTTTCGATTCAAAACTCAAAACCGTTTAGTTTTTTTCGAAAAAAAGATTGAGGATGAAAAAGTTATGACGAAAAAAATGTGGCGCGCCGCGCACCATTTTTAGTACTGAAATTTTGGTATTATCCATTTTTTTGACATTTTTTTCTCGATTTTTCTTCTAGAACAAGTTTTGATACTGGTCTATTATGATGTAAGAAATCATAATAGAGCTCTAAAATGATGAAAATTTGCTGGTTTGCCGAAAAAGTCGGTATTTTCCAGAAAACAAAAAACTGACGCTTGCGGGCATCGAACTCGCGACCTCAAAATGAAAAATCGCAGCGCACGCGCTGCGCGAAGCTGTTAGGTCTAGCGAGGGGAGCTTCCATCCGCCATATCCTTGAGCCGTTTGAATAGCACAGATTGCCTATTTCAAAAAAGAAAAGTTTGAAGTAATTTAGCTATTTTTATCAGAATGTGTTCGCAAATCTTTACTCAAACTTTCCGTGAAAATTCACTGCGAAAAAACTGTTTTTTTTAGTGCCTTTTGCCTCGTTAAACGATCGCTGCATTTAAACGACCCCTAAAATTTTTGGCAAAGACGAAATTTTCATTTTATTTTTTTAATTGAAAGATTTTTTACTAACAAATGTATACAACCGTGCAAAAAACTTGCGTTCGACCGCTTTCTGTATGATAAACGCCGCTAATTTTATTCTCTAGTTTCAAGAGCATTTTTGCGTATTAAAAACTTTTTCAAGCACATATGCTGTGGAGAAAAATTTAAGTAAGCCCATGGTCTAAATTTTGACAAAACAAAAACTCGATTATATTCGCTTATTAACGATTTTTTGAATTATGACTTTCGGCACTCCCTACAATTTTTGGCAAAGACGAATTTTTTATTTTATTGTTTTAAAATTACCGTTACTTGAATCAAAAATCATTATTAAAAAAAGAAAGAGTGCGTTCGACCTGAAAAACACATGAAAAAAAGCAAAAAAATTACAAAATTTTTTTAGTTCCATTCACGTTTTTTTGTACGACATTCCGCGAGAACGCATCAAAAAAGCGTGAAATGTTTTTTTAAACGAAAGAGGAAGCTTTTCTGTACATGTGTGTCAAATTTTATGAGCCAGTTCTACATATTTTGCAACTAAAACAAAATGAAACTTGAAAACCAAAAAAAAGCCACTTTTTCTATCGCGAAAAGGGGCGTGGCTTTGCGATCCCTAGGTAAAGCCAATCCAACTTTTTTTAAAGTTGACTTTCTGAGTTCTTTTTTTCACCTGAATGTATTCAACAACATGTTTCCGAGGAGCATCCGTACTGTCGCCCACTTCGGGAGTTCCCCGCTTGACTATGCTGCTTTCTTCGTAAGTTCCTTCTCCTTTTCGGTCAACCAAAGTTTTATCCTGAAAATGAACATGAAAATTGTGGTTTTTGAACTAAAGCGTTTTTTTAAAGTTCTGAATGTTTGATTAAACAAAAAATATTACCCGAAAACTTTCGGTTTGCCTGGCTAATAGCTTCGAAGTGTCCACTTTTGAAGCAGCGTTCTCACCGACAGATCGCCCATTTTTCTCCTTTTTTTGAGAAACAAATTGAGATATTTCGCTTGTCCTTTCAATTGATTTGGTTTTCATTGATTCACCTGTAAATATTTTTGTAAAGTTTTCTTTTTACAAAATCACCGGGTACTGCAACGTCCATGCAACTTTCATCGTCTTCTTTAGATTTCAATCGAAATCTGAAAAAAGTTCTATAACAAGAATATTGTTTTAAGGTTCTCGTTGTGATTTCCAGGTCTCACGAAAAAAAAGAAATAACTTTTAGAGTGAAGATCTCATTAATTTCAACTTTTGATTTTATCTGAGCCAAAAAATGTTCCTTTTTTGACTTAGAAACTGAGCACTTTGACAGAAGCTAATTGTTCCATTTTTTAGAGTTTTATCAATAAAACGACCATCGTTTCTTCGGATAAAATAACGCAATGAACCATCATCAATTCGAATAGCCTCACAGTAAGTTTTTGTGAGCAAAATTTTAGTTGTTCCTTGATTCCCACAAACGCATGCGGTTGAATTTGAACGGTGAGAATTCATGAGGATAAATAGAAAAATGAAGAAACCTCTCAAAAGGATCTGGCCTTTGGAATCTGTGCAAACTGAAGTAGTCGGTGTGTTCTTCATCGTTGTCCTCGTCCACCTTACGGTCGCCCGTCGTAAACCTTCTCGATACGGCTGGACAGCCACCGCCCCGCGTGGATATTGTTATCTAAAACCCGGAAATTAGATTTAAGTCTAATTACCAAAGTTTTCCGCCAACTTCTTGAAATACGGACAGAAAAATATGAACCAGCTCAAAACTTTCGGTATTTTTTTTGAGAGAAGTTGAGAGAAGAAAATTCAAAAAAACAGGCATGATTTGCATCTTGAAATTCCGAATGAATGAACTTCAAGCGAAAAACCTCACATGTTTGGAAGTTTGCTGAACATTGACCGTCTTGGTTTTCTTCGTTCGTACTTCTCTACCATCTGGTAGTTTTTGGACTTCTTCTTCGCAAAGCTGCAACTTTTGATTTCAACCAAGTTTTGACAGAGAAAGGATTGTAATACGCTTACCTAAAAATTTGAACTCATAATTTGAAAAATCGAAAGCTTAACAAGATCGAGCCCACTTTTTGTCCATGTTTCTCTGCACGTTGTTCTTCTTTTTCTTCTTTCGTAATGCCCACATCGTCATCCGATTCATTTTCGAATTCCGGAAAAGTTGGCGAGAAAGCTGGTACTTGCCTAAAATAGTTGCATAAGGGAAGAAAATTCTTTGAAATTCTCTAACCTCAAGTTCAGAGTGCTCAGCAGTTTGTCCAGGTTTTCCTCCTCCTCATTTTGTGCATTGTCCGACACTTCGACTTCATTCCCAGAAATCGTGACACTGTATTTTTCTGCATTGTCGGGCTTTTGTTGAGTGTCAGCGTCAGATTTTTCCGGAACTTGTGAAAGGGCCTCAAATCTCACTTTTGAAAACAACACTTCATATATTGTTTTCTGAAGAAGTTTGCGATGGTTTAAAAAATAAATAGCTCTAGAATATATTTCTTTTTTTTTAAAGAAACGTTTCTTATCGCTTTCTCATACACTTTGACAAATCATTTTTTGAAAACTCTAAGTACAAAACCTCTTGAAGTTGATCCAAAGCTATCTTAATGTCGGCGACATTTATATGACGTTTTTGAAAACATTTTTGGTCCACCAATTGCAAAACTTTCACGATTTTTTCCTGAATTTTCAAAAAAAAAATTGTATTTTGAGAAAGAATCGACAACTTTGACAAGATAGTTCGAGTCCACGCTTGAAGAAATTTCCGCCAAAAGGGCACTGGAAGACTCTGAAATCATATAACCATGAGTGAAAAGGACAAAAGGTACTTACGCAGTATTAACGGATCACTGTTGGAAGAAAGAACTTGCTGTAGGTATCTTAGGGCGACAGCTGCACCCTTTCCCATCTTGCGTTACTGCAAGTATTTTCTGCAAGAAAGCAAACTTGGATAAAATGTACGAGAAAGCGGGTAAAATGGGACGACTATGCGAAGGTCCTGTCAATCAAGAGCAGAGCCATTTGAAAATGATTTGAGCTACACAAGTTTTAAAAATTGTTTCAATGAAAATTCAGAAATCATTTTTTTGAATAAGATGTTTCAAAAACGGAAGCTTTATAGTTTGTCCAAATAAAGAATATACCTGAAGCTGTCTGAAAACTATTAGCCTTCTAAATATCGCTCTTAAAGTTTCGCGTTCAACACCAAACGAGCACTTATTCTAGGTATTCTGTCACAAATCTTGTATTACACCTCAAAAATTTTTCCACTGAATTGAAACACCAATTCAAGCTTTCTCCATCCTAGTTGAAATCAAAAATATTTCAAATTCTGAAGTTCTTGGTAAAAGTAAATGCAAGATTTGGTTTCGGAAAGACATGCAAAAAGAAAATTTTCGTGATTCAGCTCGATAAAACTTCATTCTGACCGCTGAAATGTATCAAAACTCGTGACAGATAGAACAATCGAGATGTTGACACTGTAGAAGAAGCAAACGAAAATGCGGGGCAAAATCGCTAGGAAAAGATGTGAAGGAAGGTCAACTTGCATGCGGCAGCCCCGTTCACCAATGTTTGACGAGAGGCTTTTTCGAGCCGTAAGGCGACGCCCGGAACTCCCACATGTGCATCTTAGTCATTTTATTACCTTTTTTCTATATATATGAAAAATAGTGAGATTCAATTGGTTTTCAATCTTTTGGCAAAAAAACGTCATGAAAATTGTGTTCGAAACGGCGATACTAGACTAGAACAATCGCTAACTTGCTGTAGTAGGAGATTTCGAAAAGTTTTGAGATTAGGTCTTTTTGAAATGTTGATCTTAATGGTCTAGAAATTCTGAAAGTCCAGGACAAATACATGGAAAATTGCATTTAATTGTATGAAACCTTTCAGAGCTTTACGTTGAAATGAGGCTATTGAGTTTATGCTTCAACATCAGTTTCTTATAACTTGAGCCCGAATTCAAGCAATTTCTCTCGTTAGAATACCGCTTGTGAGTCGTTCTTCCTCTCTCATTTTGTCAGGCGCATAAAAAAGTTTTCAGAAGAAGCTAAAGAACGAGGAAGGGAAGTCGAGATACTAGCCAAATGTTTTTTTTTTTGACATTTTTCGGTCTTCCGAACTTCTAACTGGTTTTAAAATTTCAAGTTGGTTCAAGGTCGGTACAAAAAAATAATGGCATTTCCTCAACACATTTTAAAAACTTTTTATATATTAAAAAAATTACATTTTGTTTTCATCGTTTTCAGCAGAAATTAAAAAAATCTAAAAAAAGAAACGCGTATTGCGAACAATTAATCATTTGAAAAAAATAATATCGAGAGAATCTTCGCAGAAAAACTTCATTCTGAAAAATCAATAGAGTAAATTCAACAATGCAAAGATAACGAAGCAATTAACATCTTATAATGATTTCAAGGGAAAAAAATAGTAAAAAAAAAAGTTTTTTTCTCTCGGGCTCAAAATGATGAAACTGAGAAAAGACTAAACTTTCTCTCTGCTCCTAAGGGATTTAAGAAATGCACAAATCATCAAACACGAAATGCCTAACGTACAGCTGGCTAGAGCAAGAGATGAATGATACAATTTTCGAGATCATTTTGAGTTTCGATAAAAATAATTGATGAAAATATATTTTTGTTTTTTAGAAAGAAAAGGTAATAAATGGAAAAAAAAATTGTGTTTAGCGAGTTAAATCACCGCCCTACAAATTCAAGCGTTTTAAAATCGAAAAATGATGTTGTGGGAAAAAAGAAGAAAAACATTTTAACAAGAAATGGAAAGGAGCACAAAAAGAGGAGCAAAAATGAATCATGAAAAAATTGTGGGAGGATGACAAAATTTGCTCGAAACGTTACAGAGCGATGAGTCATTAACAACCACTTCAATTTTGAGGTTTTTCAAGAAGTTAAATAAAGTATTCTTACTGTCTATGTGCTCGAAAACACAAGTAAGAAAAGCACCACACGAAAAGTCTTGTTGCAAACACCAACAAACAACAAATGGAATTGATGACAAGAAAAAGAAATAGTAGCCAATCAGCTTGATTAAGTGGCTCCGTGGCACAATAAATAACAATTTGTCATTTCTCTTTTTTTGGATAAATTCTCAGCTCGAGCAAAAAAATCCAATTTGAACAACTTTATCTATTTTTTTGACAGAAATTTTCATTTCAGATCCTTGAAGTATAAAATTTGAAAATTTCCAAAAAAACAGTTTTTTTGAGTGAAAAAAAGACTGTAGAACTCATCATGATGGAAATTTTATATTGATGGAATCTGTAAAGCTGGAAAGTCCTGCATTTGTGCGTTTATGAATCTTTTGGATTTTTTTAAATATTGTTTTAAAATAATTTGAATGACAATAAACGTTTCGAAAGAGAGTTTAAAATCAATGAGTTTTATGAACCCACGTTCGTGCAGCACACTCTGCGCTAGTGCTCGACGTATCCACTCAAGATTGTCAACAAGCTCTTTAGGCACACCTTACGCTAGCCTATTCTTGACAGAAACGTCGGTATCTTTTGAAATAGCCAAAAGCGCTAAAAAGAACTCATTAACATAGAAGTTCGTTGCAACAGAAAAAAGAGCTTGGTTTTTTGAGTACCTTTTAGCCTTTTTCCACGTGTTCTCAAAGCCTTCCAGCAGATGTTCAAAAGCCTCGTTGTGTAAAGTACCTGTCTGAAGATTCAAAAAGTTCCTCGTTTATTTTTTTTTCTGAAATAGTATTTTTTCTTAGCTTCACTAAGACTTCCGAAAACCGTAAAAATAATATAATAAGTTTTTAAGTTACAGAAGATGATCTGGTGATGCAAGCGGAGCAGTATGTAGCTGGAAAAAAGCCTAATCAAATGAGAACAGTGTTGGAAAAACGCCTTTATCAATGTTTGGATAATGACCAGGGAGTGATTGACAAAAAACTCTCTTTCATTAGACAGACCAGTGGAAAATGAAGTCCAAAGCTTATCCAAATTGTGTGGTACTTGTACGCTAAACACAATTTCTACCTAAAAATAAAAACTATAAAAAAATTAGAATTCTTGAGACTTTTTTCAATGGCTTTTCAGAGTTCAACATTATCGCTGTGAGAATTTTTTTCTTTTTTCGTTCTATTTCTTATGATCGTGTTTGTAATTGCTACCAGTAAGAAATCTAGTAGTATTGATATAGATGGATAGTTTAATGATTCAAAGAATTCAAAAAAGAAAGAAACAGTTATATCTACACTTAGATGAAAATATATTTTCCGAGAAGAAAATATGTAAACAGCGTCTAAACTTGAGAGTAAGCCAAAAATTGGAGTGGTAAGCTGGCCATCAAGCGGAATAAAAGCCACGATTCATGGGAATATGCGGCCTGGAAGCACTCAAAGAGGCTGGCTCTTCCATTGTTTTTCGTGTTCCCAAAAGTTTTTCCAATTTTGGAATGACCAGCTCGGGTGCTCTTGGGAGCGATGAGTTCTAGGGAAAGAAGTTCGAAAGTTGAGAAAAGTCAAATAAGAAAGCATGATTGAAACGACTGCAATGAATATGTTCTGCAGTGAAAAAAAAAAACTAAATCACAATATCTAAGTGCATTGGAAAATTTAACGATTCCATTTGCTGAAACTTTGTAATTCAAAAAAAAATTGCAGAAAAAGTTTTGAAATATTAGCCATCCGAGTTTTGAAAATATGAAGAAACCCTGAAACTGGGAACATTCCTAATTTCAAAGAAAACATCTTTTTTTATTGAACAACAAAGCATCGCGCTCTACAAATATTCAACTTAAATCCATCAAATTGAGCTGATAACAAACTCATTACTAATCTTTTTGCAGGTATTTTTTTAAAGTTCCGAGTTGGCTTACAAATGAGCGTTTGTAAAGAAAAAGTTTGAAGAAGAGGAAAAAACTGAAAACAGCTTATTGGTGTGAACATACTAACACAGTCGGTTTTCAAACTTGTTTTAGCCGGTGCTGTCCTTTCCAATCTTCCATGTAAATGCAAACGTCAGGCGGCAACATTACATTTTCATGCGTGGACGCTCCTCTCGTATTCTCCTTTTGATCCGTATTTTCTTTTTAGATCGATAGAATGAAACGGTTTGGATTTTGTAGTTGATAGGTTTTTTCAACGAATTTGCGTAAGATGAACATTCGAAAACTTCTTCTCAGCGGGAAATGTATTTAATGCACAAATTTCAATGGTCAATTATATAGAATGCTTCAAAACGTGAAAAAGTTGAGCGATTACGACTAGGACAGTAAATTGTAAAATTGCTCGTCAAACCTCCAGAAACGTTTGAAAAAATTCTAACCGATCCAGAAACTACAAATATTTCATAGTTAACAACGAAAATGAAAAAGAAAAATATCAGGAAATTATATTTGTCACATTTTCTGAAAGCCAACCACAATTTTTACACCAAGAGATCGAAATGCTTTTACGACAAGAAAAAGATGCGTTGGTTTATTTTGATGATGAAACATTTCAATATTTTTTTGTTATAAGAAAAATTGTAATCTCATTTCATCACGTCGACTAGTCGGTCTTATTGCCGCTCTCTCATGGGATAATATTCCGACGCCCGTCGGCCTTGGACAAGCGCCGTACTGTTCCAACATGGGGAAGCAGTTTATTCGCTGGTACTACCAACGGCCCAACATTATCTCCCAACGCTAGCTGTCACGCCGGGACTTATTGGACAACGATTGTAGACCGTAACCCTCGCCGACGACTAACTCTTCGATTATACCATGATTAAGCAAAGATTTTCTACATCTTACTCTGAAGACTGAATAAATTGAATTGAAATTAAAATTGAAAAAATTAAGGCAATCATAGAATAAAAATTGATCGAACAAATTTACTTTGAAGCAAAAGCATCAGCGGAAGGAGAGGCAATTTCGAATCTACAACAAAAATGCGTATTTAGGCTGCTTTGAACACACTCCGCCGTTTCAAGCCTTCAAACCGAACATGAATTATGATAGTTTTTTTCCATTTGAAATTGTCAATCTTTTTCTGTCTAAGAAGATTCGAATTTGCTTGGTGAGTTTTTTTATTGTGAGCGACAGTCTAATTTTAGAATTCTCCTGACTTTTAAATGACCAAAAAGAGAAAAATTAAATTCTTTATTCGTTCGACACATTTTATCACCAATTGTTGAACTAACACGTGATTTTGTTAGGTATACTAATGATCAATAGTTTTACTGAGAGAAGAAATTGATGAGGCTTTCATAATATCGTGTGAGAGTAGGAACTTGCTCTGTGACGGCAAATCGCGAAAATTTGTCTCGAACAGAATCGTCGTTCGCCAAGTTGGCCAAGTACTGCTCCTGCGCTCTCAGAATTCCTTGACTTTTTGTTCTCGGCAACTGAGATTCGTTCGGGGAACCGGAAGAATGACTTTCGCAGAATGTCTCATCTAAAATATGGTTAACGATAGAAAATCGATAAATTTCAATTTTTCCTTGCTCAGAACGCTCTTTGGTGAAATTCACTGATTTTTAGCTAGATGCTAAATTTTCTCCAGCCTGGCTTGAAGAAGTAGTTTTAATCCTCTCAGAAAGAAGATTTTCCAGCTTTCACGTGAGCACTGACTTTTTTTCTAAAAATCAAAAAAACGTGATATTTTTTTTGGAAATTATTTGTTTTAAATATTTATCAGAATCCCAAAAACATGATGAACAATTGAAAAATTCAACAAAGCCCTTAATTTGATGTAAAAGACTTTCTCTTGAAACAAATAAGTAAACCAGATCAAATGCTTGGTAGCACAGCCTTCGAGTTTGAGAACAGCTTTGCATCTTCGGGGCATCGACTCAATAAGTCTGTGCAACACGCTCATTGGGATCTTCTTCCAAACTTCTCAGATATGCTTCTTTGAAGTTTCATGTCAAAACAATCGTTTTTACCGAAGATTTGAACAAAAATCAAAAAAAAAAATGCTCACACATCACTGTATATTTTACTCCTCACTCACATTTTTGTCGATTCAAAGTTTTCAAAAAGAAATCAAATGTAATGCACAATTAGAATAGAAACAAACCTTCATAAATTGTTCTGAAGTAGAGGAAAAGGGCAAGAATACAGGTTCCAACAAATAAAGGATGACAAATAGCAATATATACAGCTAAAAATAAGGCTAAAATCAAGAAAATTTCGAGAGACTGCATAGGAAGCTGATGACTGCAGTCGTTTTGAAGGTGACTCTTAAATCTGAGGCCAACACGTGTGACAGTTGTTCTTCCGGGTTTCAGCTTTCCTTGTTTTTTTTCTCCATAGTCTTTTTCTATTGAATCGAATTCAATGATTTTTTTCGGGTTACATCCTGTTTGTTAAACACTTTTATCATCCGAAAACAAGTTTTACAATGAAGTTATTACAAACCGTTGATCAATACATCAGATACCTGTGAAAATGATTGTTGGAAGAGATTCCTCGTGACCAAATTGATATTACTATAAAACTTTTATCTCTCATATTTCTTGAGCCCGTTGTTGCTTCGGAGAAGGGACAGCTAGAGCGACTGCTGGAGCAGATTGTCGTCGTTTGCGAAAGCTTTCAAACGTTTCTGGTTCCGAGTCCATGAGTGGAGAATTTCGTCGAGACCAGCCCGTTCTATAAAAAAAGGATTGAACATCTGTATACCATTTACTCTGAGAAAAGATACAAGATTCTCAGGTTTTCTTAGAATCTTCATTTGTTATCAGGAAGTTTTCATCGTCAGTTGAGGAATTGAGCAATATTAGCAACATTTCTGTAGGTCTGACTCTAGATCATGAAGTGTTTATTACTTTTGTCATGCAGTAGAGCCATGGATAATTGGAACTACCGATGTAGTAAAAGGCAAGGTTTTTTTAGATTTTTTTGAGCAAATTTAAATTTTTACAATATTTTTTTCAATCAAACTCTTAACTACCGATCTAAAAATACTTTCCTCAAAAAAAGCTCATTTTGAGAAACCCTGAAACATTTTTCTCATTTTAATAGATTCTAACGATGAAAAAAAGGAATATCTAGTCATTCGAAATTTATTTTCGTACTAGAAGTCTTTCTTGCCTTTTCGGGATTATAATGACATTCTTACTTGCTAGCGTGTTGCATAATTGTATGTGAGTATTTGCTGATTGAGATTCTTGCTCGTCGCGAGGCTTCGAACGCTTTGTTCCGTATTTCTTCTTGCAGTATGAAGTAACACATTGAGAACAGTACTACTCCTGAATCGAAAATTTGATACTTCTCAGAACGAACATCTGAGAATCTCTTTAGAAATTTCATAGTTGGTAGGAGTTGCAATTCACAAATTCCTGTAAAACAAACCCATAACAATCAAGGGCGCATTGATAAGAAGAGAGGTAGAATCTTTGGGAAAAACATCGCCAAACCCTGTAAATATTATTTCTTTTTTTGATACGCAACTGCTTCTTTTCAGAAAGATTGCAAACTGGAAACATGCTCAACGGGGGCTTCTAAAAATTCCGGGAGGTGGGGGAGGGTTTGAAAAAAAGTTTGGTATTTAAAAAAAGTCGAAATATACATTTATTTTTTTTCAGCAGTTATTTTGCTTGCTGATTATTGAACTGAAAAGCCAAAAAAAGGAACAAAAAAGCTAAGAAGTTTTCACTTTCTACCAAGTTTGATATAATCGTGTAATATGAAAGTAATTCCAGAATAGCAACTTACCGATGAGAGCGACAGAATTGAATAAAAAAATACACGGAAGTCAAGTAATCGAATTCAGAAGTGATGGAAAACAGAAGAGAGCATGAGAGCACGTAAAGGCCAAAGAAGAAAACACCAGCGAAGAAAATTTTTCTCTGTGCTGCCATGTGTAAAGCTCCATTTTGTCCTGAACAAGTGATTCGAATAGAAAAAGAGACACAACAAACCAAAAAGGGAGCCGGAGCTTTGTTTCCTGGAGAACCGGGCTCTTTTCCGGTTTGCATCCGTAATAAATATTTCTGGAGTTGTCGCTCCATCTCTCACGATGCTCATCAAACCATCGCCATCCAGTGAATCTCTTCCCGATCCCACAACTTGCATTTCCTCCCAGGCTGCAAACATTCGGCTTAAAATAAATGATAAGAAAATTAAACATTTTTTGTTTTTTTTGCTTCCTTTTCTCCATTTGCCAAGCCTTCTGCACATGGAAATGAAGATGTTGCGGAATAAGTTGCCTTCTTCTTTAACAAACGCAAAAAATAGAGGGATCCCTGAAAAAAAAGGCAGACTTATCTTTCGAACTTTTTTAGATACCGAAAGCACCGTAAATGACCGTGGCTAGTCGACATTCGTTAGTATCTGCCGCCATGTTACCGTAACCTATGGTGGTGTAAACGCTATAAGAAGAAAATTAAGATTCGAGACTATTTTCAGACGACAAAATGACAAAAAAGAATATCACACACCTGAAAGCGTACACCAAAGCGTTTTTGTAGTCATTCATCGAATGGGTCATGGTTCTATTGGTAGCATGCCACCTGTTAATTGAAAAAATTAGCATTGGGAAAATTGAGGAATTTCCGGATCAATTGAGTAGTTTTTATCTTCTTTGTTATTTTTTTGCATTGCCCAATTTTTCAAGCTAAATATATACAAAAATAACAAATTGCTCATCAAAGTTCAAAATAAGTAAGAACTCACACTCTATAACAAGTCTCAATATCATTCAAGAGATCTTGCATCTCCTCAAAGCACTTTTTGCCATCCGACAAACAAAGTTTTTCTACTTTATCCAGCAATAACGTTCGATTTTCTTGACACCTAAAAAATGTCTGAGAACGGATTTTATAGAATTCCTACCTGGCTTCGTATTCTTTTAAAACCCGGTCGTCATGCTCTCCATCTAAACCCTATAACAATTGGTTTAGTTTCACAAACTTCTGCTCACGTAACCTTAAAAATTAGTGCGCCTATTACAGTATAACATGGCAGCACGAGAAGATAAAAAGCGTGAAAAAGACGGGTTTTGCGCAATTTCGAACCTGAAAAAATGTTCAAGCGCAGAAAAGAAACTCAAAAAACTTGTTTTTTGTAACTTTCTCCCCACTCTCATCAGCGTTCGAGGATTTTCGCTCTGTGGATGAATTATTAGCTCAGCAGTAGGTGACTGAATGGCTGACACTTTTATTTCTGAAAACAAAAAAAAATGTCTTAAACGTTTTCAAAAGATTTCTCTGAAATCTGAAATAACCGAGAGAAGCATCGTTTGGCAACGATTTCAAAAACTCGGATTGCTCTGCTTTTTTAAATTAAAAAACTCAATTACGCGGTAACATAAAAGTTAAAACAATACGGGAAAAAATTTTCTGGTAAAAAATCAATGGACATGGACCTGAGAGACTTTGTTAACCTAGTTGGACTCACAAGGAAAATGTGTGAGGTGAACATTGCAGATCTGGTCCAAACTTTAGTAGATAGTCTTAGGTAACCCATCTTAGCATCTTAATCTCCATGACTGCTATCCAGAATAGCGGACCCCGCAACCTAGAGGGACAAACGCTGGAGCAGAAAAAAAAATAGTCCTAGATATAAGTACTCCAAGACAGAAAGAATTATCCGCTAAGCGCCATAGGGTACTTAGACGGCTTTTGGAAAAAAGAGCGGAAAAGGCTTAAAAACTGATTTTCTTCAGTTGCCATTTATTGTACATTTTCGACGGGCTATTTTTCAGAACCCCAGGGCGCTTAGCAGAGGGTTTTTTTTGTTTTTAATTACTCATAGCTAGGACTACGTACAACAGAAGTTTGTTCAAGATCTGCGATGTTCACCTCACACACTTCCCGCGTCAGCACAACGAGGACGGAATAATTTTGAGGTAATTTATTTTCGGCATTAAAAAAAACCTTAGAAGTTTTATTTGCAATTGGGTTAATGTTGTACCGAAATTGCGATATATTCTTTTTTATTTCTGTTTTCCACGTTGCAAAAGGTAAGGAACTTTTCTTTGAAAAAAGTTCTACATTGAGCTATTTTCCAGAATAAAAATGAATGTATGGCACACCAACGCTCACTTTTTAAAGTTATAGTCCTTTCAATTCATGTTTGCTGAAAGATATTTCAAAAGTAAATTGAGAAACGAAGTTTGACGGAGAGAGCAAATCAACTAAAGTACAAAAAAAGGTTCAACAAGAACGAAAAAAAAAATGCAAGGATAGGATAAGATGAAAATTCTGGTAGCGGTCAACTGGAAAATGAAAAGAAAAAAGAGATGAATAGCCAGAAATAAAAAGATGGGGATACAAGACATATCCAACAATGAGAACAAAATGAGCGTCGAGCATTTCTCAGTTTGTTTTTCTGGCTGTTGCCTTTCGTTTCACGCCATTTTGACGTCGTTGGCCTAAGATTCGTTTCGACTGCCTTCTGAATGTAATCCGACACACACTCGAGTATTGAAACTGAACGTTCCCATGCAGAGATATATGCCTGTGTCGGCGGAACAAATACTTGCCCTGAAGCAAGCCAATAAAGAAAGATTTTGCTTCATCTTGTCGAAGTGTACCTTTACTGTTGCGACTTTCCAACCTGGGCATTACTGAGAAAAATAAAAATTATGAGCAACCTTATTTAACACGAGCATCGAAGTGAAGACTTTTCGAACTTCGAGCAAGAAAAAATGAAGAATTGCTTCGATATGGTTCACAAGAACGAATTATTGCATTCATATCAAATTTCTCATGTTGGAAATTTTCTCAGCCGACTTTTTTTGCTTTCCTTCCAACTTAAAAGGGAACTGGAAGAAAAAATTCAGGAATCTGTCAACATTGATGTCCATATGTGAAAAGATTGCGTTTTTGGAGGAACATCCGTAAGATTCTTTGAGCCTTTTTTGGCTTCTCAGAAGAGTTTTCTAGCAGAAAATAGGAAATAACTCACACAAAGATGCACGAAAGGCTTTTCTCAATATGATCAATTAGATGAGACATTCGCTTTTATTCACAGCTTTTCTCAGGCATAGGATATCCGAATGTATCAAAGTATCCGCGTATTCAGAATTAAAAATTTTTAGAAACGATTGAAAAATATTCCTAATCTTTATATAAAAATTCAGAAACTTGTTGCGAAAAAAACTTATTTTTTTCTTAGAAAAAAATAAGAAATTTCTATAATGTTGTGCGAAAGGCGTTCGATTTTTTGAAAAAATTTGGACTTTTTAATACCATTTAGAAAGCGAAACTAACAATGACAATATTAGAAAAATCCAGAAAAAAGCGAAGCCTTGAATTCACAGCTTCTTTAACAAGAGACACATTAGTGTATAGCACGCGATTCTGAAAACTAATACAATGGAGCAGGAGTTTTTGCACGAAATTTTTGATTAGTCTTATTCGGAACAAGCGGAAATTGAACTTAACGTGGCAATTGAGTTTCTATTTTGGAACAAAGTGTTGCTAATAAATGGCGCTGAATTCGATGCGTGACAAAAAAAGTTTCGTTTGAACACCTGCTGAAAAAAAGGAAGCCATTGAAGGAGATCGAAAGAAAGAACGAAAACAAGAAAAAAAAAACGTGATTTTGAATCAGTTTTTCCGCGAATATCAAAAAGCTTTTTGAAATAACATGGTTTTTTGGGAAACCACGGGTCTTTTCAGAAGTCACTATTTTGCATACTGCAATATATAATCTATATAAATATATAAAAATTTATCTTTGCTGTTATTCAAAAATAATTTTTTTCAAAAAGATAGTGTCAAATGGATTTGGGATGACTTTTTATACACATACACCGTTGCAAAAACAAGTTGAACAATAAATTTGAAGCGAAATTTTTGTGGTTAAAGCAACATGTAAGATGAGGGGGCGAGTCGCATCTGGGTCGTGTCAAGTGGGCATTTCCACATGCGTTTCTTGAAGAAATGGCTCGTCCTTCCAAACATTTTTATTCCTTGTGGGCCCATCGTTAAAATAAATGAAAAAAAAACCGGCGAGAGGTCAACGAGAACGAACGCGGAATTTCAAAACATGAATAATGTGTAAACGGGTGTAAACGAAGCTTATAAGTCCGTGACTACCGCTACCGCAATTTCCTTTCGCGCAAGCTCTTTCCTGGGTAATTATTCAAAAATGATGATTGTCTGTGCAAAGCAAAAAACATGAAAAAAGCGTAAAGAACTGAGCATTGTAAAAATATAAAATATCAATTTTATAGTCACTTTTGAGAAAAATTATGAAAAAAAAACCAGAGTGCCGCTGTCAAGCAGTTGCTCTGCATAGCACGCAAGATGCTGAAAAATTCTGAGACCAAAACAATTTTTCCATGTTATCAAAAAGTTGCCAAAACTTTTCGAAAATGTATTTATTCACGCAACGAACCCGTTTCAGTTTTCCATTATACACTCAGATTTTCTCAAAAAATCTCTTATATGGCTTCTTTGAATTGACGATATTTGCTTTGACATTTCTGACGAGGTCGTATGGCTGTAGTACCATCCAGAACTCACTTCCGGCGGAGATCTGAAAAAAAAACGCGAGAATAGATGAGGTGCGGGAAATAATTTTTTTAAAGTTTTTATTTTGAAAAAAACCTTCCTGTTTTTTTAAGCGGTTTTTTTCTGAAGCAACTAATCGAATTGCCGCGACTTAGATATTGATGAATGCGCAAAAATAGCTTGCATGCAACAGAAATGAAGCTGGTGAGTCGTTTTTTATTCAGCCCACCAGACAATACACGGTTGACATTTCCCTCAGTCTTGCGTTGAGGTATCGCACCTCGGAAAAAGACAAATGAAATTGAAATTTCGAATCGAATTTTAGTTTTCAAGTTCTATTTTTTTTTTGTTTTCTTGAAAATAAGAGAAGCCAATAAGTTCCTGGATTTTTTTTTCGGAGAAAAAAAGCTCACATTTTTTAAGAATTTTTCGAAGGTTTCATTCTTGTCGAAGGGGCTCAGTCGTTGGCCGTCGACTTCTGTAATGACGCAGTGAGTAATTCCGTCGCGAAATGCGCTTCTCATAGAAATAGGAACACCTCGGCGATGAGCTATCGAATCTTCTTCTATAGCAGCTATCTGAAGTTATATTAATGTATATGTTGTTTGTTATTGGGAAAGTTATTTTTACTAGCGAATCATATGAACTCTGTGTTGGTTAAGTTGAATCTTTGATGGTTCATAAACCTTAATGGAAATGGCAAAAAAGTAATTATTTTAATAAAGTGCTGAAATAAAGTTTGTCGCCAGAAAGTCTAGAAAACGTATAAGGTTATTGTCTCTCCAGTCAAAAAGGCTCAGAAACTGTCGTAAGTTTCGTGAAAAAAATATCTGAATAAAAACTGAAAAACAATATTCTGGAAAATTTAAAGTCCTCTTTTTGCAACTGGCATTTTTTCGGTTTTCTATGAGGGTTGGCTGTTAGTTCTTTGGTTTTTTTTTCAACTAAAGGTTTTGAAATTTAACCAGAAAAGTTTCAATTGGTTCCAAAGAACAGCTTGTTAGAGTTTGGCTTGGACAAACTAATAGAAAGAAGAAAAGGTAAATTCTGGCTGAATCTCGCTTGAAGTGTATAGATTTACGATAAACGTCAACCGAATGTAATTCTCTTTTCAAGAATTTCTTCATTTTTGTTTTAGTTAACATATTTAAAAAAGATACATAAAAAAAACTTGATGATTTCACTTTTTGATGATCATCTCGTTTTAAGTTTGCGCTTTTTTTTTACACACAAAGAACTTTGAACAGGAAAAATACAGCAAATGGCTGAAATAACGTTTAAAACTGTGAAACTCTCGGTTTCTGTTATTGTCGCGACTAAGTTGTTTCTGTTTTTTTATTGAGTGATTAAACAATTTATTTCAAGCTTAAAAAAACTTTCGAAAGTTCTGACTTTTTTTCCATTTTCTCTCTTGACCATTTTGCTTTTTTTGAAGAAAAAAATTTGTTTCTCTCAAATTTTTTTTTGTTGCTCCACCCGACAAATACATTTCAACCATAATATCCCATCTCGCACTGAATGCATGAAATAAATAAAGTAATGAAGCAAAATATTACTCACCCGATTTTTGAGCTTATAAAAGTGGATTCCGATCGACTTGTTTTCTGCGATAGGCTTCCTCAAGCAAACGAATTTGGCGTAAGGAGCTATCCGGAGCACCAAAACTATGGGATCGCTGCTTTCTTTTTGAGATTCGTAAAAAAGTGCCGGTAGATCATTTATCCCTTTCACATCCATATTACCAACCTGAAAAGAAGTTTCGAACATCAAAAAAAAAACCCTTACTGAAAACCTTAATAAGCTCATCACAGAAAGAAAACGTATTTTTATACCCTGTGAAATCTATTCGATGCGTCCAACCAGCGACCCTGAAAGGACGAAATTACATTAATCAAACTTTACAGAAGAAAAAGTAGAAAAAACTAACCAAACTCGGTTTCCTGCCTCGGCAAATAAAACATTCTCAACTAAGAGTGACAAACCAATACTAACGGTTTTTACCTGTAAAAGAATTTTATCATTTTTCGTTCGATGATTTTCCTTTCAAACCTGTTGAAACATGCTGGATAGGGAGTCTTCATCCGTCGGCGAGTCTCGAAACGACCCAGCAACATTTTCAGATGTTGTATCTCTGTAATACGTTTTCATAAACTTCTCTATCCGTTGAAATGTTCTGGAAATTACCGGGAAAAAAAGAGATCTGGAAATTACCGAAAAAGATCATTTTCTGGCTATTACCGGTTTTTTTTTGATGTGAGTTTAGTCTTGTGAAAAAATTTCCTTTTTATAATGGTTTTTTTCAGGAAAAAAACAAAGTTGAAAAAAACTATCAAAAAAATGTAATAAACTTCATTTTGATTAGATCCTCAAAATACAAAGAATAATTATTATTTGGAAAAAAGCAGATTTAGTGAGAAAAATTGATAGTTTTTTTGCAAAAACTTTAGCTGTAACCAAAAAAACTTCACAAGGGAAGTGTTTAACTTCACAATCAGCACGATTCTATACGAAAAGATATAAAAAAATAAAAAAAGAGTTTCCCTTGTGAACCTAAACTTGGACGATGACACATGGGAAGGTTGTCTCAAATAAGTACAGTATAAGGTGAAAAAAGTTTGTCAATTGATGTCATATTAAGGCAAAGAAAGAATACAAAAATTTATGAACGTTTTTGTAGAAGTCAACCTAAAACGTCAAGTCAGCTAGTTAGGCAAGTAACACCCACGTTAATGAACTTGAAGAAATTGTATTGATTGGCGTTGAAGAAGATTCGGAGGTCGAATTGAATCTCAAAAAAGAGCAGTGTCTTGAATTTTGTTCGCTCCTCTGTTCCTTGTCACTCCGATTTGTTTCAGCCAGATTGGCGACATCGCAGTCGCTGAATCGCCTTTGCGACAACCGGTCGCCAAGGCGGAGGTTGCGTAATTCCCGCAGAATGTCCGATGAAATTCCTGGCACGTCGGGATCAATTTCCGGGGTCGTTGGGTTTTCCATATTGCCAACCGTTTGCTGGAAGTTTCTTGATTTTTTCAGATCCAAAATCTTTTGTCAGAATTCGCAAGGCAATAAGTGAATTTTAGGCCCTTTTGTCCTCGCCGGTTAATAAGAACATCTTATATTTCACTTTTTTTGAGAGAAAAACAGTGGAACACAATTCGTCTTTATACTTGATTCAATCATGGGCTGAATCTGAAAAATAAAAAAAATGAAGAAAGGGACAGAAATGCTGATCCAGACAAACTTTTCAAATTGAAACCCTCAATTCATAAATTTTGCACTTTCCTAAAAATATGTTGAAGGTTCTGTTCGTTTATGCTTCTCAAATTGAGTTTCTCACCTGGGAGAAACTCTCTCTCGGAATCGAAGATGAGTTTCGGATGGGAATCGAAATGGAGCAGGATCTTCTGTCAAAGTTTACATCTAAGTTTGTAGAGCGACGTTGTTTTTTGTCCATTCTGAAAATTGATAACAATTGCGATGTCTGTAAAAGAAGAAAAACAGTCGTGCATATGTGGTAAAACAAAAGAGAAGCTGCGGAACAGAAAAACATGAATTTTTCACAAACTCAAAAATAACTCAGAAAGATCAGAAACCATGTTCAAAACATTGGAAAACGTAAAAACAAATTTTGGATTCCAACGCTAAAATTCCATTGAAGCGTTTCCTGAGCCGAAAACGTAGGCTGGAAAGTGCAGAGGCGACCAGAGAGAAAACGGCCATCAAACTCGAGAATGCTTCTTTTTCAGTCTAAATGTCCTCCAGCCAACGACGGGATTGCATTTACAATGGAATTGGTTAACGAAGGAGCGCAAAATTGATGAAATGATGCAGAAAACGTTCAGAGAGCAGCTTTAAAAATAAAACTTCGAGAAAGGTCTTGAATTTTTTGCGTTGTAATGGAAGCAGTTTGGAAAACGTGTACTGCCAACTTCATTGTGTCGATTTTCTCAATAATACGCACGTAAAAACGATAAAAGCTTGTCAAAAAGCTGCAATGAAATGTTTTCATCGATGATTTTGAAGCTTTTGCTGAACCAATTCAATTATTTTGCATTCCCCCGTCAACCAATTCAATTTTAAATGTTATTCGGAGAGTTGTTTTTGTGACGTCCTAATTTGCTCTTTAGCTGAATTTTTGTCCAAAAATTGCTATAATTGAGCATTCCAGCCGGAGCTTTAGCTCTTTGAAGTGAAATTTATATAAAAATAAGACTTTGAGTGATAAGCAAAGTATTCCCGGCAATATCAACGGTGCCTTTCATTCTAATGCGCAAGCCCGGTCAAAGTAGGGGCGCACAAAAAAATTCATAAGTCACGAAATGCCCTCTCCGTTTTTTTCGCGAAATTTGCAGTTTTTTTAGGATTTTTTTAAGAACAAATGAACAGGACGAAAAAATAGAGTGATTCGTGTATTTGTATTTTTTGTGAACACTTGGGTGCACAGAAAGAAGAAAAATTATTTATGAAAAAAAGTAAAAATTTTGGTGGAAAAATGAAATTTTTTTGACAACTTTTACAATCCATTGAAAGTTTGTAGTTGTTCAGTCTCTTTTTCCAGAAATAGGACGCGTGTGAACAATTCAACGTGCACTCGCGCATGCATTTGCGGTATTTGTCAGATCCTGGAAAAAGTCACACTACAAAAAAATTTTTTTTATCGATAATAAAAAAATTAACTTTCTTATAAAACCCACCAATAGCTACTCTACGTTCGGTCGTCGCCCCCGTTTCTATTTCCAGAATCTAAATGAAAATTGGAATTTGAAGCCCAAGCTTTTGAGCTCACTCTGCAATAATAACTTCCATAGTCGGTGTCTGGGTTGTAATCCTTGATTTCAAGGATAGCGCCTCTTTTGTAGAGCTTGTATTTCTCAGATTTCAATTGCTTGTTTCCTGGAAAAGCTCTCAATCGGTCGATATGTGCAACTTACGATATTCAACATTAGCCCCATCTCGAAGCCAAGTGGTGTAGATGCTCTTTGGATCTTTCTCGACCTGCAAATTGAAACGAGGCCTGATTTTTCCTCTCTAATTTGGATGCATTTGCTTAAAAAAAGATTAGCAACGCTGATATTGGAATCATGCGTGACTACAGTGCACTGAAGCAACTTGTTCACACGGTTGTTGAATCTTGAAATCTTTGAACCCATCAAGACATTTCAGGTTCCGCCAAAATGTGTCAAACCAAGTGAACAAAATATGCAAACCTCGCAAGATAAGTTCAAGGAAAAGTGCTTGAGCGGAGGCATAACTTGTACTTCTTGGTTGACAAAGACCCACTCTTCTGCAAATTTTTTTTTAGTTTGCATTTGGTCCTTCTGAAGTACCGTAAACGTGAATTTCAACCGTTTGCGAAATTCTTGCGCCACCATATGTAACAATGCAGCTGTAGACTCCGCTATCCCGTGCAGTGACGTATTTGATCAGAAGAGAAATCGTGTTATTATCCAGCCGTTGAACTTCGATATTTTCTTCACTGTAATTGACTTTTTGTTTACTGACTTGACAATTTAGAGCTGTGAAAAAGCTTGCTTTTTCACATCTCTCGTCTGAAGTTTCGTAAAATTCAGAGAAATTTTCCGGTCAATCGCTATTTTGAGCCATTTCAATTACAGTTAGAAAGACTTCATTTTGCTGTTGAAAAGAAGCAAAAACTGTATGAAAAGTTTATCATCACCTGCTTTCAAAGTTTGAAAGAAGGAAAAACCTACCCAGAAAGACCACTGCCGTATTTTTCCCAGTGCATTCCGGGAATTTCGTCTCCGATGTTGCTGATAGAACAGACCAGTGAGGCTTGCATAGCCGGGTGAAGATGGAGTGGTCCGCTCGGAGAAATTCTCGGCTTTGAAACCTCATTGTCAGCTGATTTGGAAACACTGTTGTTTTTGTCTGAACGTGAATCGACCGTTTTTAACCGCCAAACGTACAAAAACGAATTTTCAAAAAAACCTGTTGACATTTCTTAAGTCCGGAGAAAACAATGTGAAAAAGTTTTTGGGGTTCAACTAAAATCGAAGACTCTGTTCAACATTTTCCCTTACAGTTTTTAAGAAATACAGTTTTAGAGATTTGAAAAAAATGCTGAATGGATGACTGATGGGGCTTTTTTTTTTGAGATTCAGCAATTTTTGAAAAATTTCTTTTCTGCAAATGTCCGGAATAAATCATTTCTTTTTGCGAACTTCAAAAAAATACCTTCAACGTTTCTCAGAACAGCGGCCGGAGTCACGCAGCCTTGAAAAATGAAATGCGGTCACCGAAACTCTTCAAACTGACCTGCTCCAGACGCAAGAAGAAGTAAAGCCAAGGCAGCAAAAAAACGACTGGAGCCCATCGCACTACTCGAAGAACTGACTACAAATTGGAATTCAGTTGTGTGGCGTCGTAAATTGCAATGTGTAAGGCGTAAGCGGTATCTGCTCGAGGCTCGTGATATGGGACACCATCGGCTTTGCCGGACAGTCCGTCTCGTTTTTCATCGTGCTATTTCTCAAAACTTAGGGTCATAGGACGAAGCCATTAGGGTGGAGCTCGAAAAAAGCAACTGTTTTCCGGCTTCCCTCCTAATTTATTGCCCGATAGTCCCCTTTATCTCAATGGACACTTTACCGACTTGAAAAATGACCCAGTAGTACTTTTGGTAAATGAAAACTCAAAATTTATCAAAGTTCAAAAAATATAAACATAACAAAGATAGCATAAAAATCCACCTATTGGTCGGATAAAATTTTTATCAAAGTAATAAATCAGGCTAGAAGCATTTAAGTAGATTCTAGATCCTTGATCTTTCATAAAGAGTTCTTTAAAAAGTACCTAATAAAACTTCAACTGATAATCTTTTTGATATAAAAAAGAAAAGTTTATAACTCCTTACTTTTCAAATCTCATAACTTGAAAGCAGTTAACACCTTTATGCTGAAAAATAAACAAATTCTAAGATTTTTCGTTGTCTTATAATCCATCAGTATAATATGGTTTTCAATATATTTATGAAGCCTCACCGCGACTACTGCAGTGACGTTTTTTCTCCCGCAATCAGATCCGAGAAACTTGAAAAACTATATAGGTAGTTCACTACAAAAATTTTCATGCGCAGAAACATAAGATTCAATTCATATTCTGAATTTTCTGAAAGTCTGCTCAAGCTTGTAACTAAGGCTTTGTTCAGAAGAAGGCTCAACCTCGCATTCTTCGCACTGTCCTCAACATAGTTTTTCCAAGCGCTCACAGGTTTTTCAGAATCTCTCATTCGGATCGGCATCCTCCGGTTAATTCAGGCTGGTCCTTTTTGTGACTTTTTCTTTCCAAAACTGATTCCGATTTGGAACTAAATCTGGTCTAGATTCAACGTCTCTATTCATCCTAAAATTTTCAAATCTCATCTGGACAACATCCCCGACAATGAATTGTTCGTCAGCATCCCTAGACGGCTACTATAAATAATCCCAAAGATCTCAACTACGTGTACTTTTTCAACTGTGATTATCTATTGTATACCCTATCCGGTGAAGTCACTTGTGAGGGCGTCCTTAAACTGGTTCCAAACCTTATTTATTCTTTTTCACCTTGTGGATGAATTAACTATTGTTATTATTATCGAGTCGAAAAAGCTTTTGAAAGAGTTTGGACGGCTCTCTGATGTAATTCGACTCTATAACTTCAAGCTGAGAAAAAGTTTTTTAAAACTATAAGTATAATGGATTTTTGAGAGAACCTATGATTTTCTCTATTGTTTTTCTATGATTTTATCAATTAAGGTGCTGTAATATCATTTTTTCTATTTGCTTTAGATCCTTGAATGATCGAAAATGCTTTTAATCAACACTTAGGGGAATAACTGCTATTTTTTAAAAAGTAAAAGACTTTTTTCTCGTTTTCTATTTCTTCTGGCCGAGATGTAACACAAGGCGAGCCGCTGGAATCAAAGGGAAGTTGCGGATGCCAACTGTGCAAGAGCTGTTTACGAGAATCGGAAGACGAGCTGCTCTCCTGAAAAACTACTTGACGAGGAGCTTCAGGTTATTTATCCTATCTTGTCACATTCCCATTCCTCTGACGTGCTTTTCTTCTTGTGTAAGAACTACTTTTTTTGAACATAATAAATCTTTTTCAAAGTTTGAAAATAAAATTTTCTCTTCGATTGTTTACTTTCCTCCGCTAAATTTTTCATTCGAAAGTTTCTCAGAGCATTTCGAGTATTATTATTTTGTGAAACAAGTTTAATTGATATGTAACTCATGTAATTGGTGAATTTAATAACCATAGTCTCAAAAATTCCCTATAAAAAAACGAGTGCACAATAAGTTTCCACATTCGATATTTTTTTATCTATATTTCCTCAGTCTTTTTTTCGGGTTTCTTGCTTTTTAAAACACGGCTGGCTTGTTCGGTGAAATATTGAAAAACTCATTTTTTTTAGAAAGGGTCATATTGATGGGAGAAAACTTTCGATCTCACAGTGTATCGCTTTTCAAGTTCAAAGGTCGCTTCCGGTATTTCGTCGAGCTGAAATAGCCCGGAAAAAAAAAAGTCAATGATCTCCACACTGCTGCTTTTTAAATTTCCTGAAAGCTCGCGATTTAAAAAAATCAATGAGCTGATGCTCAAAAATCTTCCAGAAGAGAAAATAATTTGAAAGAGTAAAAATGAAACTAGCATTGCCCGTTGGGAATGTTGAAAATCATGACGACCATCTGGAAATAATAAATCGAATTATTGATCTTATCACTGCGAACCCGAGTCAGTTTCCAATTGAAATCTCGAATATTACAACAGCAATTGCGCCCAGCGCGTCTGGGGCCACTTTTTATTCTTTTCTACGTGCTTCCGGCCTTTTCGTTCCGCGTTGATTGGCAAAGATCAACAATCGCATGCGAGTGAGGAGCACAGTTGCCTCATCAAATTTATTTGCGTGGTGTTGATGACGTTGTTTTTCAAGCTTCCCAGGGTCAAATAGTCGATCAAATTACAAGTTGAGCGTACTCCAGCAAGTGTCAAACTAAAGGAAACTGGTTTGAGCCTTTTGCTGAGATTTCCTCAATCTTATAAGAAACGACGGTGTATTGTGTCATGGAGAACACTTGGGACTTCAATATGACTTCTCAAAAGTGAAGTTCACAAGGTCCTTGCAGAATAAAAAAAACCTGACACGATTTTGGGATTTATCAATATTTCTCTGAGATAAAAAGTGAAAATCCAAAAAGTCTCGATCCGCAAAATCCCTCCATTCAGGACACTTTAGAATTTGAGATACCATCTGAAGGCGAAATAGGCCGTTATGACACTTTCAGCTCTTATCATTGAGAAAACGGAGATTCCTGCAAATTTAGCCTTGCGAAACCTCCAGCCGATGCATTGAACTGCAAACTGGTTCAGGAAAGAAAAGAGAAACATTTAAATACAGCCCAACTCCTATTTTGACACCCCGTGGCCAAACAAGCTCTTAGGTGAAGATGTCATAATCCTCAGTTTCTAGGTTCAGCCGAAAAATAAAGAATAAAAAATCTGCAATAGTTTGCTTGATTTAAAAAGCAAGGTTGGGTTCCTTTTTCGTCGATTCCCTCTTAAAAATTATTTTACTCCTATCAAGGAACGCATTTCTTATGAATAGTTCATTCCAACCAATCTGAATTGGTTATAAAATGCTAGAAAAACATCAATTATACTAAGTAGCGTAACTTTCGAACCGAAAAACCACGAATCTGAGCTACTCCGTTGAGTAACATTGCATCTAACGTCGGATTTTTTCCAAATTTGCTTGTAACTTCATTACTGAGAAAAATCAAAAAGAAAAAAAGCAATTTAAAATTTTTTTGAGATTGATGATAGGAGACCTCATTAGGTTGAGCAGAATAAAAAATAAATTTTCTTTTGACTACAGTACGGATAATTGCGTTTTTTTTTTTGCTTATTTCTCCAAAAAAAGAAAGCTCTTAAAGCCTGGCCGAATTGAAGAGCTGTGAAATAACTACAGCCAATTGGAACGATTCCGCTTGGTCGAGATTAGAGTTGTGAGCAAAATTCGAGAAGTGGTGAAATTTTTTTTTTAGCTTTTCCACATCTTCGAAAATGATGAAAAAAAAACGATGGTCAAAAAACTATTTTTCCGGTTTAGAAAAAATCTCTGCTTATGCGAGAAAATGGGTAAGGCTTCTTTCAAGGCAGGTGAAGCAGTAACTTCAGCTTTGGGAGCTCATTCCTTAGTTTGATCACATTATTTAGAGGGAGTGGTTGATTTCAGTCCGAGAAATTCACATTTTGGAAGTTTTGGTATCACTCATTTATTCAATTTTTGACATCATTTTCAGAAATAAACATAGTGCACCTCATAGTTGTGCTTTTTTATCATTGATATGTCTAGGGAACGCAAAAAAAAGTCCCTGCCTTTTCACACCACCAAATCGACGATTTTTTGTTTGTAAAAAAGGTTTTGAGATGTGTTTTCTAGTTGTTTAATTATAATTATTCAAAAAGCTTTTCGAAATTTTTTTCAAAAAAAGCTCAAACCTCTGTGAAATCAAAAAAATAATCAAAACTTCCTCTGAGTTTGGTCAATGTGGCTTCATTTTTTTTTCAAATGGTTCTAACTAGTTTTCGAGAAGTTATTACTATCAAACTATTGTGTGACAATTCATGGCCATTTCTTCAATTACCATTACATAAGTATAAGAATGATCAAATTTTCAACTTGATCTGAGAAAAAAGTTTCGTGTAGTTTTTAATCGGATGAAGAAAGCCAATCGCAATCAAGCTCAAGCGGACTTTTTTGTAGTTCACCAAGTATATTTTACATATTAGCATTTTTGGAAACAAGGTGACTCTAAAAACAGTCGATGACATGGAACTGCACGTCATGAGAATTGCAGATATAATTCAGGGCCTTGATGCCAGATGCAAAGCGCGCAAAATGGGTTTCATTCGTCCCGTCTGTTACACAACCTACGAGCAAAGTCACGCCTGTGAAGAACTTGCGTGCACGTATTTTTCGAAATGAAAACATCAAATGTTTTTGTCTCAAGATATGTGCTTTTATTCTTTTTCCAGACGCTTTTAGATTTCTTCGTTGGTTTGATAGAATCACTCGTTTTCGCTTTTCATACCCACTTTCTTTTTTTTCCAAACTTTTTTTGTCACTATCCTCCGAGACAAAGCTTTCCATTCCATTTTCTTTCACAATCTTCTTTTACGTATTTGATTTGTTCTGCTTTTTCATAAACGTAGCTCAACCTTGCGGGATAAAGATTTTTTTTCTGCTTTTTGGCGGAGAATATCTAGGCTTCCAGGCCCAGATGTTTTTGAGGAGACTCATAAAAATCTCGACTCTAGCTTATAAGAATAGTACGTAGCGCGTACATATGTGAAAGCGAGTTCTTGAAAGCAATAGAACTGGGTCAAAGACAGAACAATTTTTTAAAATATATGAGATAGATTCAAAGAGGCGAGCTGATACAAAAATATTTATATGTGCATTTTGCTTTTTGATTTCGCCGAGTCTAAGCTTTCTGGTCACACGTAGATCCGTTCAACTTATTGAAAATTTTTTTCTGAAGTTTCAGTTGATACTATTGCGCGCAAATAGTATTGTGATCGGTTTCAAACATGATAAGAACATAATTTTTTACATGTCTACCATGAAGCTTTTCAAATACCGCTGCTCATTTTTGGACTTTTCTACCGAACTTTCAGTTTTGAAAATAATTGGCACTGATTGGGAATTTCAAGTCTCACTTTAAATTTAAAAAAAGTGCTTTTGACAATACCGAAGTAAATTCGAAAATCGTTGGAATTACCGTAAGAAAAAGATGTCAAAATTTTTCTCGAAAAACCAAGGAACATTCTATTCAAAAAATAATCATGTTTTCAATTAAGAACTTTTCATAATAGATTACGGTACAGAGCCCTTTTTTTTTAAATTCCACGATTTCCTACAGATTTTGTCAAACTGACTACCATTAAAGTTAGTCATCGTTTAAAATTGTAGATAACAGCTCTTTTTTTCAGATTCAATTTTTTTGCTTCCTTTCTTTAATGTTTAAAAAAATGGAACTTTTTTCTATTTTAATAGTGATACAAACAGGAGACAGACGCACAACTGTTTCTCAGCCTTTAAAAAATTTTGCAAATTTTGCGTTGGAATGGGAATGGGAACGCCATACAATCAATTTTGGCTGAACGAAAATCCCTCAAGATTCATCATGCTGATTTATTTCAAACGTATCCAGCAAAGAGTTTTTCAATTGATCACGCTTTCTCTAAGTACACAGCAAACTACAAATAGTGATTTTTTTGCCAAGGTGCCGATAGCATTTTTCAAATGCCCTGACTCTTGTCGTACATTGCTGCTTCTTCGGCGGCTCAAAGATCTCTATCATGGGTGGGCGAGTCGTCTCAGACTTCAGGTGCAAGGCTCAGTTGTCGTTTTCCTCCCATTCACGCCACGCTTGCCGTTATTTCTTTCTTTTCGTGTTGATTTTCCATGGCAAAATCCAACTTCTGGAATTTTTTTTCTGTAAAATCTGTTTTATTTTTTCTATTGAAAGAAATGAAAAAAAGAGTTTTTTTCAGGACAGGTTTCCTCGCAAATTACCTGGGTCTGCGCATTCTGTGCAGTGTTTATTTTTTTTTTTGTAACTGAGGTCAGTTTTTTTCCATTTTTCGTCAAAGATCATCACTTGTTTTGCAGATGTCAATATAGCCCTTGTACATTTTATAAAACTTCAAATGAATTCCCTCAAATGCATTCCTTCTGATAGTATTGTAAGTTGAAAACAAAAAAACAAAACTATATTCGAGATCATCCAGAATAATTTCATTTATCCAATATCCGAAACTAATGGGCAGAAATTGCTGAAAGCCTGTCAGAAGATGATTCAAGAGGCTGATAATGAGCAGGTGGCACTGAAAAGCGGATAATTGACAAGAAAAGCATATCTTTCAGCTATTATCGACCAGCATGATGGAGCAACACCAAAGCTCCGACCAAAATCCTCAACCATCAGTTTTCTTTACCTATGCAAACAATGGAGATAATGTAAGTTGTGTATCTTCTGAATATTCAACCGTGGGAAAAACACACAGTAATGGGAAGAAAAACGAACCTTTCTGCCAAACCAAAGCTATTTTCAGACGACAATGTTTTTTGAGAACACATCCATGCCAATCGTCCTCGAGGAACATAGCGCTCCTACGCCGATCGAACCGCAAGTGAGTCATTTTTTTCCGAAAATCTGTTTCTTTCTCTCTAGATTTGTCTATGTGTTGACGCGAATATTGATATTCTAATGTTCAGCGCACAAAATTCATTTCTATTTTCTGCGCGTTTCCCATCATGAGAAATGATATTGTTACGTAGAGAATGAGAACAACATCGTGGTTTTGAATGTTTTAACATGCTTTTCCTAATGGAATCGAAGGTTTTAAATGGATATGCATTAGCTTTTTTTTGTGAACAAAAGTCATTTCGCGTCTCGCTTCCATAGGCGTGTGGCGGCTCACTGCTAGCTATGTTGCTCCTGAATTCTCTGTTGAAGATGGAAGTTCCTCAACGACGCTACCAACCTTATCGTCGTCGTATGATTGACTTCAAAGTGCAAGAACTCAAAGCTGAGTGCAAAAAAAGGATGCTGCCCGTTTCCGGTGAGTTTCTTGTGCTTAAATTTAAATAAGGGTTATAAATTCGGCATTGCAGGTCCAAAAACGCAATTGTTGGAGCGCTTGCGCCCATATGAAAATGAGATCATGAATGATGAAGAGAGGAACAATCGGAAAAACTCGGCGAGCGACGTGAGCCAAGAAGTTCGCAATATCGAAGAGATCATCTCCAACTCTCCGCCGTCGCTTTTCAACATGCATCAGGAACCGCAAAGAGAAATTTTCAACACCAACGAGTCTGGAGTCGCTCTTCCCACTGTTCAAGGGTATGACTTCCAAAGAGTTGGATGAGAATTTTCTCAGTCTCGCCACAAAAATCTTCAATCACGGTTTTGTCAATTTTTAATCACTCAACATTACGAATCTTTTCCATAACCGGTATATTGTGTAAAGTATGATCGATTGTTCCAGATATACAACTCTGGCAAGCAATGTTTTCGAAAAATGGGACGGTATCCAGCAGGCGCAGCCCGAGCAGCCGGCCCAATCGATAAATTTGACGGCGCAACAGTATCTGCCGCAATCTTCTCCCCCAGAAGCGCACAATCAATCCAGCAACCTCATTCTGCAGATACCAGCGCCGCAGAACGGGCAGCCAGCTCCTCAGATGGTGCAGGTGCGCTTGTTTTGGAATGTGAAAAAAAAAACGGAAACACGGTAGTTCTAAGAGCGTAGAAAGAGTTTTCTGAAAATTTGCTCAAAACCAGCTATCTTGATATTTTGCAAACTTTCAACAATAAATATACGCTTTACTGCGTTTTGCTCAAATTATAGTAATCAAATCTTTATCTTTGAAGTTGATTTTCGAACTCCGCAAATCCCGGAACGATTCGCACGCGGCATTATTAGAGAGCGGTAAAGCGAATTGCCAAAGGCGGCTGGATCTTTTGATCTCCGCTGAGCAAAAATAAATATTGAGCCATCCCACCTGCGTCTCTTCTAGAAGCAATGAAAAGCAATATTGGGTATAAAAACGCGCTTTCAATATTTTTTTATTTTGGCTGAGTACAAGCATTTAAAAGGATAGCGTCGTAAGCTGCAATACACTATTTGTGAAATTCTTTCTCTTATCTAATTATCTTCATATCTCTTTGCGAAAAGAACAAAGACCTTTTGCTCGCTGGATAACGTGGAGAGGAAGCTTGGGATGTCTGTTCATCAAACATTGGATGATTTCTGCCCCTTAGCGGCAACAGTTGTCCTTGTGAGAAGAAAGGCAAGGATGTGTTTTCTGCAGGTCGCTCAAAAAAAATCACGCTCGGAAGTTTTTCAACTTCGAGATGCAAGAAATACAACTTGTACCTTGTTTACAAACCAAAAATTAAAAAAACATTTTGGAACGGATTGAATTAATTTTTTTCTGATGAAAAGGAGGCTGTGCGAAACTCTTTTTTTTTTTAATTTTCTGGAGACACGCGAACGAATATTTCACGATATTCTCGCGGTTTTTTTAGGTTGAAAAAACTCTTCAATAATAACGCTAGTAAATTATTTTATTATTTTTTTGCTTTTTTTCAACTTTTCAACGTAGTTCCGAGAATAATGTTCCTTGTTTTCAAACTCACGTAAAAAAAAAGGAAGTGAGGTGATTGGATCACGAATTCGATCTTACGATCTGAGTTGAAGCCCGAGGAGACACTTGCAGTGGATCGACAAATGTTTTCCCCACAAGCGCCGCGTTCCGATGAAACAGTTGTCGCGAACTTGGCAAAATAAAGTAGAAAAAATTCTAGTTTGATCAGCTCAGTGCAAAATAATATTTTCCGGAAAACGTGGAAACTTCCTGATAAACAAGAGAGAACGTGAATCGGATGAGAAAGTGTATGGTAGAGTGAAGTATGACAGCAGTAAAAGAGCAACAGCTAAAGTCTCCAATGAATCTCATCTCTTCGAAGCCAAGATTTTCAAGGACTACGAATGATCTTGTCAGAACTCAAAAATTAAATTACTCATCTTAATTAACAAATCTCTTGAATTTTTTTCACCCGACCAATGATCTCTTGAGTTTCAACTGTTTTTAAATAGTAGCAAGTATTTTTCAAAAATTTTTGGGGAAATGCGAATAAAAAAACGAACTTTAAAGTTTTTTTTGTTTTTCTTATAACTTGTCACAATTTCAACATTTTTTTTAAATGTCATCGCAAAAAAATTTTTTTGAGGTGCTCGATGCTAATGGTACGGTTCTTGGAATGGCTTCGGTTCAATATCCGGTCATGACAACTTTTCAAGAAAACCAGTCAAGTATCATACACCCATCCGTTTTTCTCAAGTATGTGGATCAGTTATTTCGCATAAATATCTTCGAATTACAGCCAACAAGAAAATACTTCGGTTTTTAATGAGGTTAACACACACCAAGGACGGGTGCAGCCTGGCCAAATCATTCAGAAAAACGATAAAACTTACCAGTTTTCTCAAATGGGTTCTGGAGGACAGGTGTGCGGCAATTCAAACCATCGTTATTTTCTTTTTCAGTTTACAATGGCGCCAAGCGAGCACACTCGTCACGAAATAATTTCAAGTGTTCATTCCGCTGTGCAGACTTTACATTGTGGTACGATTTTGCAAAAAAAAATTGATTTATTGGCTGCCAACAGGTCCTCCAAAGACAACGGCAACTGTGTCGAGCACCGGGCCACTGCTCCTTCACAAACGTTTGTTGAAAAAGAAAGAAAAGAGAAGGAAGTAAATCGATATTTAGCGATGCAACAAGGGAGCGTTCAAATCAATCAAGCGGTTGTGCAGCAGCCAGTTCAGTGTCAGCTTCTTGTTCAGGAAAAAACGGTACAAGGAGGCTGCTTAAAAAAATGAAAGTTTTTAAAATTATAGAACGAAAGTCAATCGAAAAATGTGCATCATGTAATGCTCTCTCAGATGGGCAGTATCGCGCAACAATCCGCCAATCCGATGTAACCAGAAATAAATTTTCCTTTGAAAAAAATAGTCGATTTTCTAGAAGCCCACTTGCTGCGGATCATGCTGGAAACTCTCCAAACATGCCTGGATCGACTAATCTGTGCGTTGTTAATGCGCCGAGCGGAGAAATGACTGAGATTGTCGCTGAGTCGGGCGACGGATCCGTTCAGAATCCAATCACCCTTGAAACTGCTGATCCATCCAAACTGTAAAATCGAAAGACGTTCTGCTGGATAAACTTCTCGATTCAGGCTGACTCCTATGTCACTGCAGGTACACGAAGAAATGCTGCGAGAACAGCAGCGTGATATTGAAGAGCTGATCCGGAAGCTGACACAAAATCAAACAACTTTGAAAAAGCAGCAGCAGCTCATTCTCACTGCCAAGAAGACTCAGGTACAGAGGACCTATGATTTTTTTAAAATTAAATATAATGTTTTTTAATATGATAATTAATTCGCTCAAATTTCAGCAGCGTCTTCGAGAGCAGAAGCGGGAACACGTTCCAGCAGCTCCCACAAACGCTGAAATCGGTGTAGTCAACAAACAACACATCCAACAGTTTTTGCAACATCGCCTCCATCAGCAGCAGTGTCAGGTATCAGAACTGAACTTTTTTTTTCAAAGTATGCCAAAAACGATATCATCCAGACTTTGATCTCTGAGCACAACCGACTTGCCAAGAACGAAATTCGTCTGCAGGAAGAACTTCATGTTGAACAAGCGGTTAATGACATTGTTCGTTTGATAAAACAGGTGAGTTAATGAGAGTGATGAGATGGACAGGAAAACATGTTTCGAATTTGAGGACGCACGCACAGCTCTATTGATTGTGCAACTCTTGCGCCGCTACCAGCTGGAACGAGATCAGAAAATAGAGCAGGCCGCGCCAAATTCGAACACTGCCAATGTGACTAGCCTTTTTGAATCTTTCGTCTGCCCTCTTTCAAAACATTCTTTCAGCTTTTATCTATTATTAGTTTTTTTTTTACAGGCTACCGACTTTAAAACTCCAGCAATCATGGAATATCAACAGAGCAAAAAACGCAATTCGATTGGTCAACCAGTGCCCGTTCAATTGAAAAACAACTATGCGCTTTCTGAGGTTGTTTCGGTTTTTTCTAAACCAAATTTATCTGAAGATTTTTTCAGTCGACAAACTACGTGGCACCAATTCAAACTATTTCGATTATCCAAGAGCTTCCTCAAAGGTTTCTAACCAGATTATTGAAAATGACTTTTTTTTGGAAACTTTCAGCCCTTTGTCTCTCAAAAGCTCAACCAAGAAAGAAGTGAAAGATGTTACCATGGAGGAAATTTTCAGAACCGTTATCGAAGAAGCTACCCGAGCTTCTGATGCGCCAACGGTTAGTTCACTTTGCACAAGCGAGAAAGTTTTGATTGTTTCAGACTGAAAAAGTCGATGACCTCTCAGCCGAACAGAATATCTTTGTTCAAAGCGCAGAGCACAGTATTGAAGTTCAGGTGAAAGACTTACTCTTTCGGTCTTTGAAATGATTAATTTCAGAACAATGAACCGTACTCAAACATTGATGACGTCGTGGCATTTGTGCATGGAGAATTGGGGATTCAGAACAACGGCAATGGAAATGAGTTCTCTGAAGAAAATATGGAGCATGGTATCATTTGAAAATTTTATGAAAAAAAGGGCGCTTTCATAAAAAATGCATAACGAAACATTATCTGGCACTTCTGAAAAAAAGGGGTTCTCAAAAAAATAAAACTAAATGGAAATAAATATTAAATTCCAATTTAATTCATACAGTTTTTGTAAGACGATTCGTTTGGAAGAAAGTTTCTGAAATTTAAACGCAAAAAATTGCAACATGCGAAGTTTTAACGATATTTGAATCGATTAGGAAATATTTGTTGAGTGAAAGGAAATTTGTCATCTGTACGCAGAAATATTTGAACTTTAAGCAACGAATGACATCATTCGATTCAAATTTGAATATTTCAGACGGGTTGTACGAGTCCGAATCTGGCTTGACTGGCATTAGCGTAAATCTTGCCGACATAATTGATTGGTACAGTGAGGACTGGGTTGACAAGGCCTTCGAAGAAATCGGTGAAAAAGAAGAGAATAACGCGATCACCAATGCTTCTCAACCGGAAAGTCGAAACTCCATTCATGGTTCCAGTGTGCAGGACAGTAAGCCAGAGACTGAGGTTTTTCTTTCTAGAAACAAAAACCAAAGCGAAGATTTCAGAACAAGAAGTGGGTCAGCCCGGATCTGCGCAATTCTTCCATCAAAAACCACCGCAATTTTTAAGATTGGAATTATTTTCAAATCTAAAAGTTTTTTTTGTTGTCTTCTTTTCATTATTCTTTTTCTTTCCAGTCACCGCCTAGACTTTTTTTGAAATTTAATTTAATAAGCAAACTTCCAAAGTTTCATTCCGCTTCGTTTTTTTTTCGGACGATTGGCTTTTCTACACCTCTGTTCATTTCCAAGTTTTGATTGATATTCTAGTAGCTTACGCTAAAATAGTGATCTAGACGGTTTAGTTGTTTCCCGGTTTAACACAGAATATTCCATTACCGCTTTCCATATGATCAAAATTATCCGAACGCATTATTACCATTTCCTATTTATACATTCTCAAAATTAATGAAATTCCATTCCTTCTAATAACATCTTATGTTATTCCCACGGATTTTTTCTAGCTTCCTCTGTTGATAGAAATTATTTTTGTACACTAAATCTTCTTGAACCATGTAGTTTCATACAATACATTCCCTTTTTCAACAACGATTTAAAAATTGGCTTTGTAATTTTATTTATGCCGCTGATTCTGTTCTGTAATCATATTAATACGTTTAAGGGCTTTTTAAATAAACTTTTCTGCAATTTCTCTTGTTGAAATTGGGAAATCAGAGAAAACCATGAGTTTTGAGAAAAAAGAAACTATGGAATTTGACAATCGTTTTTGTTGGTGCAATTTGAACCAAAATTTGTCCATTTTAAAAAAATTGGCGAGAAGAAACTCATTGTTTTGGTGTTGAGCCTAACGTCTGAATATTACCCTCAAAAATATCTACAAAACTAAAAATCCTAACAAAAAAAGATGGTAGGTAAAGTCAAGCTTTTTCATAATGAAATGACCCATGGATTCTGCAACTATTCCCTAGTTCCGTTTTCTTTTTTTTCTTTTTTTTTGAAATGTTTTTGCATGCTTCAAGAAGATGGATAATGGCTCGAGGGTGGAAATTGACTCCGTTATTTTGCAAAAATATTTGAGATACATGCTCACCCAGTAAACATTCAGAATCTCTGCCAAAAAGAGAAAAACGGATTAGTTTATTTTTGCTCCAAGCAAACTTGAAATGAAGCTAACCGAGTATTGAGCCTTTTTTGAAAAATTAAAAGTAAAAACGTCCTTTTAGTAAAAAAAAAATTTCCTTGACTTGAGTCACACTGAAAGAAGGTATTATCTCAATTTGTTGAATTATTCTGAGAATATAAACCTTTAAGAGTGTTTGGAAGTTAGAAAAATTTTACTTACTTCTCAAATCCTCTTAATAAAATTAAAATCGAGAGACGAGTATTGAGCGTGTCAGTTTTCTGCAAATCCATCTATTTGCGCAAACCTATTTCGCTCCATCGCAAACGCGTCTGCGTCCCTGTGCGCATTCTCTTTTTTCGTTCCCACGCGTCGCTTCTAATTTACCTTAAAATTTAGTCGAAAGGTTGTTATTTGATTTTCTTTTTTCTTGGTGAATTTCATTCTTTTTTGTTTGCGTTTTTCCGTTTTGATGCAAATGAAAAGCTTACTCGTTTATGAAAAAAGCAAGCTTCAACAAACTACCTATTTCTTTCCTGCAAACCCAATGTCTTCTTGTTCAAACTATCAAAGTTTTGCTACTCTTCTATACAGTGAAAGTATTTTTTGTTGTTTTCTAAGCCATATGTGCTTTTCTTTCCATTGTCGTTACCGATGTCCTCAAACATTTCCAGGATCCAAAAAGGTTGGGCCTCGACTATGGCTAATCGAGTGGAAATTGAGGTAAAAATACTAAAGTTCAGCTCTTTCCAACAAAATAAATTTAGGATCCCGTACAAGATCGTGAGGCGTTTGCAGAAGACAGCCGGTAATTACCCTTTTTCAAATTATCTAGAAAAAAATTTTTAATTTTCATCTTGAATTTAGTTGTGTTTGAAGCCTTCCTCTGAATTTCATATTTGCATTGAAAAACCTTATTTCGTCGTTTTTTTTTTTTGAATCTTTCTCAAAACGATTATTTTTTCAGAAGTTTCAAGTCTTCTATTTATTTTGATTCAAAAATAAAAGAGAAAGTTCAAGTTGTTGAGGAAAATCCGTTGTTTATTAGTTTTAAACATGGAAAGTTCAGAATTCCCGATGATCCGACCAACTCGGCGGCCTCTCCTCCACCTCCGACACCTTTCATGGACAACCACAGATACGCACGCTACGAACAAGTTGGAGAGAACGTGCCGGTCGGAGAGCCCATGCAGCGCAACCGACAGCCCGATCAATACCGGAGAGAGGAAGTATCGCTTGATCCCGACAGATACGAAGTAGATTCTTTTTTTCTTTCTGATACCAAAAGTTTCTACTATACCGTCAATTCCACACAATGTTTAAATTGTATATTTTCTTTGGTGAGAGTTTTCACACGTCAAATTATGTTTTGGTCCGGAAAAAAAACCAAATTTAATTGGATGTATTTGCTTCCAATTTTCTTTTCCTTTGTTTGCGTGCTCCACTATAATTAAAATAAGTTTTTTTGCAAACAGTTTATGTGCTAAAATTGTTTAAGTTATTCCAAAAGAATTATCATCTGCTTCTGAAAGATCACAAAAATATTCATCACGAAAACATCACAAAAAAATATTATATTAGAAGATGATGTTTGGTTTTTAGTTTGAAGGTTCGGGAGACTCTTGTGAAAGAACGCTTTAAAAAAATCACAATTTTTGTTGCTTTTTCATTTTTCATATTTGGCATGGAGCGATGAAAACTGGAAAGTAAAAATAGTCAAGTTTTAGTGGTCTGATGGATTTTGGTTCGATTCCAAATATTCCCCTATGATACTCTCATGTCGGAAAAAGGATTATACCATACTAGAAATGGTTTTCAGGACGAAGATGGCGTTATAGTAATGGGACCACCTCGGAGTCCTTCGCCTGAGTACGAGATTCAAAGTCCTGACCCAGAAGTCGAAGAAGCGGCCGAGAACGATTCAAGAATCGAGGACCCAACAGGAGATTTGGACAATTCTGCAGATGTTTGCAGTGTGAGTCAAACTCGAATGTTGTCAAAGATACTTGTGATACAACTGGATGAAAAAAATGGCAAAACTGTCGATTTTTTTTTCGATGGTCATTATAGTTGAATTATGACAGATTGCTGCAATTCTGGAAAAACCATGGTTAAAGTTTTTTCATTTTTAAAATATCATTTTCTTTACTATTCCATTTTTTTTAAATTGACTAGAACACTTTTCGATACTTTTTTTCTTGCTTAGGAGTTGGAGAGTTAAAAACTCTAATTTATTTTTTGCGAGATTCTTTTATTTCTTAGAGTTAGAAATATCGGTTTTTTGAATTAGAACCTCTTTTAAAGAACTTTTCGCAAAGAACTCATTTTTTAACACCTTTTGACCAATGCTGTATACCAAACTGTGTATGACGGAAAAATTTATCAATCGAAAAACTTCACGCTACAGAGAGTATTCTTCCAAAAAAAAAATTGCAAATACCAACAGACTAGTACTCTTCTCAGAAGAATCTCTCATAAAAAGATGTCAGAAAAAAATATTTTTTTAAACACAACTAAAAATTTTTTTAGTAAATCATTTTTTTGCCTTTGGAAAAAAACTAATAACACGATTTTTTTGGATATAACAACTTCAAAATGAGAAATTTTTATTTTGGAATAGAAACAGTTAATTAGTTTCAAACATTTTTGAAAATGAATGTGTTGCCTTTCAACAAAATTCCGGTTCAGTGACCGAAAGTTTAAAGCATGAATGAAGGTAAAACTCTAAAAATGATGAATTTGCTGAGATTTACAAGGAATCTTTATATAATGTCTGATGTTAGCGATTCAAGAAATTTATATTTTGCAGCTCGAACTCAGCCCTACTGGTGCTGATATCGGTAGAGGTAACAGCGATCGGGGGAATAGCGCTAGCGGGAACTATTTTGCCTCGGCTGATGAAGACACGATGAGAGAACCTCTAACTCCAGTTTCAATGGAAGATGACGAGGAAGGACAAATTCAAGAAATTGAAGAGAGGGTGAACACATTTTCCTCAGAAATGAAAAGTCAAAAAAAGGAAACGAGACCTGTAACCGAAAATAATTCAATAAGAAAAATAAACACTCAACCTTATTTTTTAGATTAAGATTAATTTCTTTTATTCAACCAAAAAACGAAAAAACTTTACAGCGGACTCATAGAAAGAGGTCTGATGACGATGATGTATACATCGCAAAGAAGAAGAAAGACAAAAGCGAGAAGAAGAGGAAGAGAAGACATCATCGAAGGTATCATGATTTTTGGGAATTTCCTTACTGCGAGTACAACTTGCTTGTGCCACTTTTTGATTCCGCCAATAATGAGAGACATACTTATCTATGAAAGTGAAAAAGGTTTGATTCAAGAAAAATGTAATACATCAGTCTGAGAAACTCTCCTTGTCACATCGATGAAACTGAAAAACATTTTTCTAACTAGGGAACGTTTTTTACCCCCGGTTGAACTTTTGCTGAAACTTTGCTTAAGTGTACTTTAGGACCCCCTGATTCCAGAACAAGAAAAAAATTTCTCGCAATAGATCTTGTTTCCGAGTTACAGAGCTTCAAAGTGTGCAAAATACGAAAGTTAGGCCAAAAAAGCGTTATTACGGGCATTTGAAGTGTCCTAACTCGAAAACGAAATATATTGCGAGAAATTTTCCTTTTGTTCTGGAATCTGAGGGTCCTAAAGTACGCTTCAGCAAAGTTTTAGCAAAAGTTCAACCGGGGGGTAAAAAACGTTCCCTAGTAAGCTGTTTGTAAAAAAACTGACTATATATTGATAATTGAGCATTTTTTTATGCAAATTTTTTTTCATTTTACTGCTCATCTGTGAAGATGTCAAATGTCATTGGTTCTTTAAGTATTTAGTATGTTTTTTTCCTATGTCGGACTTCGAATAGTATATTAGCATTTTGAAGTTTTTCATATTTTTTTGAGAAATGGCTTGCGGGAAGAAGTTTTAATCCCGGATGCAGAAACTTCATAGTTTTTCCCCGAGCACTCAGCGCTCAGTTTAATAAAAATTATGAGCTTTTTGAAATTTAAACTCTTCAAAAAGTCATCATCCTCGCAAAATGACCCGGTTTCTTCTTATTTATTTCATTTATTTATTTCACTCAAACATGAAAATACAGAGTATTAGAAAAGGAAGAATTTGAGTGAAAGGGAACCCGATATGAAAACGCCCTAACGAGCGATTTACCGGGATGGAAGACACGTATTGAATATTGGGAACAAAAAGTTCAGATTTTTTAGAGAAGCCTGTTGGGCACACTTGCAAATAGTTCATTGTTGTCGAGAGAGTCGACAAAATTCCTGAAGCGGGTGACAGAAGTGTTCATGTCGAATGTTGAGCACAGTCTGTTCCAAATAGGAATTATTGTGCTGAAAAAACTGTTAAAACGAGGACCTGTCTGTATGAGTCTCATTGGAAAACGAGGTGAATTCGTTCTTCTGAAAAAATTATCTGTGTTTGGAAAACGGTAGGAGCCCAGGACTAATTTGTGGATTAGTAGAGAAATTATTATTCTTCTTCGGAAAGCTTGGACAGAGCCGAGTACACTGAGACGGTTTCATTTCATAAGAGAAAAAATTTTGAGAACTTCTAAAAACTTTTTGCAAATTTGTAAGTCTTCTCATTGGCAAATAGAGAACCGTTAAAACAAAAACTATCATCTTTTTGAAACACGTCAGATGTTTTTGCCATTTTTTTTGCAATTCAATAGACTTTGTAGAACTATCCTGCGCGTTGAACTGATGAAGTAATAGTCTTAGGTTTCTTTCTTCTTTTGGCTGTCGCTAATTTCGGTTCTCTTGAGCATCAAGAACGTTCTTCTTTTCATTTCGAAACATCTCGAAAACTCGAAAAGAAGCGCGACATTATGAGGTCGGCAAGCTGTCGCTTTCTACAACCTGAACATTACAGCTGACAGAAAGCTACCGAAAAGCGCGTAGTCGTAGGCAACGAAAAGAGCCGTCTCATATTTCGGTGCAAGTCATATGCACCTTATGATCGGTCTCGGCAGACGACCCACCAACTGCCTCGAATCCTGCGAACTTTTCTTTCTTTGTTTTGAGGTCAATCAGAACCTGGTCAATTTTTGAACTAAAAAGAAACTAATCAGTCAAGGTTTTACTTCAATTTACTTAACGTGTCCGTTTAAATGTAATTTTTTTAATGTAGTTCAAAAAAATTCCGCTGTAGTTTATATTGTAAAAAAACCAAATTACTCAACTGCAAAAAATTGACTTTCTTGAACTACGAATTTCTTAACTTTGCTCAATAAAAAAATCGGGCTCAAATTTGAAGTTTTCCAATGTTTTCCGAAGGGACGACTAGAAATCTCATAATTTTAGAAATTTTTCGTCTTTTGGATAAAAAAATTTTTTTACTATTCTTTAATATTTTTTTAATATGGACCCAAATTTATTTCTAATTTTTTTTGAAATTCTAAAGTTGCAGAAGTGAATAAACAATCATTTTGAGTGAGCACTTAGGTCTTGAAAAAAATCGTATGACAAGCTATATTGACGTATTTTCGAATATCTTGTGAGATATTAAGCATCGAACGCCTCGCCCAACGCGCGAAAAATATTAAATAAACTCTGAATTATTTTTTTGAATAGATAGGTACTTGTTTATTGCGCGCAATTGTAAGTTTTTCTTGGAAATTCAAAAAAAAAAATCAAAGTGATGCGCCTGTCAAATCCAGTCATTTATTTTCTTGGGAAGTTACTGGAACAACGCCCAACTCCTGCTGCCTACGTGACCTGGTGCGACTCTAACCGTCTAGTTGGTTTCCCTCTGCCCGCTGTCTTCGGTTATGTCGGTGATCAGAGAAAAAAGTGATTTCTCGTCTTTCGTATTTCGATTTTTTCGCTCGCTCCTGCTCTCTAATTGTCTTGGTTCTTCTCATTTCGCATTCTTTTGAGCTTGGCGTCAGAAGAGTTTTTGACTCCAGGTTTAAGTTTTCTGCCGCAATGGCGATACTCTTACTTTTTCCTGCTCTTCACTAATTTTGGAAGGAAAAAGAGAACTCATCCGAAGTGGATCTTTGTGGGTTTTTACACATCCTTCATATAAGGAAGTTCATCTTCTTTTATTTTGAAATGAAGTTGCGAAATTTCGTCATGAACCAGGTTTAAAAACTTGTTCATTAATGTTGTTTCCATTTTTAATTTCCAGCTCTTGCAGAGAATTATTTTGTCCATTTATTTCAGTGAACAGATAACAATTTTTCTTCTCAAAATCATTCTTTCAAATTCAAAAATCTGATCAAATCTAAACTTATGATGTTTTTAAATATTCCCCTCGTCAAAAGTTTCTATTTTTTACGAGTATCAGAGCCCTCAAAAAACTGTCATTCAGTCTTTTTATTTCAATATTCCTCCAGAATTTATAACTTTAAAACATCTTTCCCTTTGTCTCACGTCATTTCGAATGGACGTCCAACTTCCACGCGAAACCTTCACAAAAAGGGTGCCAACGGAGCGATTTGTTTTACATTTCTGAACAAAGAGGCCGATGCGTTCAACGTTTTTTTGGATCGCCGCAACACCCCAATCCAACGTCTCATGCACTTGGTTTTGTTTTCGGTTTTCTTAGTTTGTCCTGTCGTGTCTGAAAGTGCAATTTTTGTTTTCTTCTTACAGAGAGATTTCTCCCTAGAATTTTCCTTTCTTCCATCGTACTGCAAAAAAAAACTGCCATCCAATTGTCAAAACATCTATTTTTCTGTATCCCTTAAAAAACAACCACCCAAAGATGAAAACACGACGGAAACCGGTTTCTGAACTCACCTGGAATTACCTTTTTGGAACTTCGAATGTTGGAAAATTTTGAGCAAATTTTTGTTTTGAGTCTTCCTTAACTAATTTTTTTCTAAAAAGTTGCTTATAAAAAAATGAAGAAATCATAAATTTGATTGAATTTCATAGGAATTTTTTTCGAGTCTCAAAATTTTTTTCATCATAGCTCAAACTCGGTTCTAAAAGAGCTGAGTTTTTCTTCAAATCTTAAAACAGCTATAAAAAAATTCCTTGGAACTCTTAATTTTTTTCGATAGTTTTTTTGTTAGTAAGAAAAACTGTTTTGTTCGAGTTTTGCATCTTAAACTTATCAACATGTCTTTTTTTGAATTGGCACAGTTGTTCGGTTTTCTTAAACCCGTGACTTTTTCTCTCCACAAAACGAATCATCAATTTGGCCAAGTTACATTCAACAATGCTGCCTCTAGACCGCAAAAAACGATAGAAGAAAAAAATTATTACAATTTTTTTGGGGTGTCAAACAGGAGCGCTGCTGATAGCTTGCCACAGTAGTGTTGACCCAGCGACGTTGCTTATTGGCTCTTCGTTTTCTCAACTGCGCGGCGAGTCTCAAAAGTGAAGACAAATACGAAGAGACGGTGGGCTCCGGACTGGTCATGTGTTATGCTAACATGGGCAACAGCCACTCCTACTCGGCTACTTGATTATTGTGTGCTCAGAAACCTCGAAGTCAAGTGGCATTAGTATTGCCAAGTAAAGTTGTTTCTCCTTTTTCTCAATTTATCGACCCGCTCTTTTGAAATCACCACTTTCCAGTCTGGTCACTGCAGTCGGCTACATGGCTGAGCTAAGTTAACCGGGATGGGAAATTATAACACTGGCCCGGATTTTCAAAGATCGTTCAAAGAATCATGATTTTAAAAAAGCTGTAGAAGATTTTCAAAAAATTAAACAAATTTCACTACTTTGAAACCAAAACTATCTTTCTCTTAAATTGAAAAAGTTTAAAATTTAAAAAAATTAATACGAGTTCGAGGAGTTGAAAAAACTAAATCAAAAAATCGTGCTGAATTTTCAATGATTGTATTCTGCAAAATTTCTGTTTTGGAGCTCTGTGCGACCGTTTTGGATTGAAAAATTCGAAGTGCTTCAGATATTTTAGAAAAGTAAAAGGTCTCCTTTTTTGAATATATCGCTTAGAATCCTCTGAAATCAAAAATCATGACGCAAGCTGTTCAATCAATCACGAATGTTTCAAGGATCTGACAAAAAACCTACACGCAGTGACGATTTCACTCTCTAAATCCCATGCATAAAATTCCACAATCCGCAAACAAAACTTATTTCTCTGAGTTATAGAAATATACTAAATTCAATTCAACTAAAAAGTCCAAATTTAAGCTGAAAAGTTTCTGCGGAGGTCTGAGATACGTTATTGAAGCTCGAAGACTTGCTCGAAGCATGTGAGAATCTTTGATATTGAATCGTGGCTTGAGAAGCTTTCAGAAAAGTTATGAGTGCATAGTGTGATTACCGGGTTTCATGCACAAATTACAATAAGTTCAATCGAAACTGATTTTTTCATATCAAACCACAACAAGTCCCGAGAGGAATTTAGAAACTTCATGTGTTTAATTCTTGCAGGTTTCCCGTGATTGCTTGAGAAATAACTTTTGCTCATCATTATTTCTCTTTTTGCAGGCACGAGAGAGAACGGGAACGGGAACGCGAGAGAGAGAAAGATCGCGAAAGAGAGAGGGATCACGAACGCGAGCGGAGATCCCACCTTGAGAGTCCCAACTCGAATGGCAGGTCAGTTGGTTCTCCTAGTTTATTCTTTTCGATTTTGTTCTCCTCACGTCTTTTGTACCAGAATCTTTAAAATAGAGCTACGACTTTGCTTTATATGGTTATATTACACGTTTCCTTGTTCTTGGTTTTTTTATTTTGAAATGAGAGTTTTTTTGAGCTTGTCTTAAATAATTGTTTGGTGGACCACTTTTAAAAAAATTTTTTTAAATAGTATCTCATGCCAGCGTTGAATGAACTTATAATTTTAACTCTGCTTTTTAAAAAAGGAAAAAAATTCTGGAATAAAAAAACTTGAGCTGTTATTGTGTTTGATCAAAGAGCGGTCAACCTGACGTGATATGACCTCTTAGGGTGAAAAAAATAGCGCGTAAACTTTTTTTCACGGTCGGTTTGCAAAACAGCCTTGCAAGTGGCAAAACATCTTCTCTTTTCGTATTTTTAAACCAATTTAATCCGATTTCTGTGCACGACACAACTTCTTGCAAATATTTTTCTTAAAGTTATAAGCAGAAATCAAGAAAAACGTTTCAAACCTCTTTCAAAGATAATTACTTTTGTGCGTAGTATTTTTTGAAGTTCAAAAATATTTTTTTTTTATACATTTTTTTCGGTTCTTTCGGCTTGAATTTCTAATCGATTTGCTCGTTATCTATTGTTTGCATTGTGATAATCGCGGGAAGGTGAGTTTTGCCTGCGCCCGATTCCCAGAAACAATTTGTTGAAGTGAATCGCTTTCAAAGTTTTATGTAAGCCGATCCCAAAAAAAAATACATTTTTTTTCATGTCCATTCTATGACATATGTGATTTACAGAGAAGACATCATTCAGTGTAGGTGACCCGTTCAATACAATATTTTGTATTTTTTACGGTAGCTTATAGCACTAAGAATATCTGCCGAGATGAAGGCGAGACGCTGGCGGTACATTGACGAACTCGCAGACATCTCGCTTTTTTTCTCGCGCCAGTCTCCCATTTTTCTAGGCGCAAGCTCGCATTCATCTTGCAATTTGAAAAAGTTCCGAAATGCAAGGTTGCGCCGAGAAAATAGCGAGATCGCGTCTAGAGAAAAGCGACATATATGCGATTTTGTTAATGTACCGCCACCGACCATGCGTTTATCTCGGCAGTTATTCTTAGTGAGGAAGCGGTCATGTTCTTCTGACTTCGAGCTCAGTTACCTTTTTTCACAACGCGTCGAAAAAAAAAAAATTAGATAAAATAGAAAATCGAGGACACACGTAAGTTTTTTAAAAATCATAAGAGCATCAATGCAGAAAATTTGTGAGATACTGTCACTGGGTAGCTACAATAAGTCATCGAGCTTTTCTCCACAAAACGAAACAGAAATTATTTGCTTGGTGAAAATCTCTCTTCCTGTTGATCGAATCAAACAAATTAACAAACTTGTCTAGCTGAATCAAAATTTCATTGCAAAACTTTTAAAAGAAAATATAAGGCTCAAAAAAATAACGAGTATCCTTTTTAGAAATTTTTTTTTGAAGTTTGTGGTCACGAACGATTGCTTTTTCTTTTTTAATTTTTCTCGTTTTTTTCGGAATTTGATAGCTAAAACTGTCTTCAATTCTTTGTGATCATAAAATACAAGAAAGCAATGTTTGGATTTTCCTGACCCATAGATGTCGCAAGGACGGTTTTTCAGAAGATCAAGCTCTCCTCGAGAGGACTACGGTCCTTCGCGCAAACGACGCTACGAAGAAGAGCGTGAAGAGCGTCCGCGCCGCTTCGAAGACGACCGCAAGGAGAATGATCCTCACTTTGAAAGACGTCCACATCGTCCGCCGCCGATTGTTTCTGGCCCCAATCCGGAAGTCGTACGAGTCAAGTATGAGCAACTTCTCCAGCTGACGGAGAACCACGTAAGTCTACTGACCTGTCAGAAACAGCCCTGCATGAAGAGATGGAAAGAATCGTTCGATTACTAGATCTCATTTGACAAAAGAGGGATGAACATTACATCTCTTTGCAACAAATTGTGCCGCAGTTGAGATATATTACTCAAAACTTTTGATTGGTTGCTACAAAGCAAAAATTAATAAGTTTTAAAAGAAGTTCAATGTGCCCTCTGGATCATCATCATGCCGTGCTTGTAAAGGTTCGCTAAACTCAGTGAAAAAGAATTGTTATAATGGGTTACTGTAGCGAAAAATGGGTGGGTTATTTTTTTGGTTTTCCATCAATAACTTTGTCAAAAACATCCATTTTGACCTGAAATTTTAACCAATTGAGTAAAAGGATGTTATTGACAATTTCAAATAATGTTATGGACCGATTCCAAAAACTGCAGAAATTTCTGGTTATGAATATTTATTAAAATTGCAAAAAACACGATTAACTAATAAAAATTCAACAAAGCCAGTAATCCGGTATGATGGACTTCCAATTAAAACAAATAAGTGAAACAGATCAAATGCTTGGTAGCACAGCCTTCGGATTTGAGAGCAGCTTTGCATCTTCGGGGCATCGACTCAATAAGTCTGTGCAACACGCTCATTGGGATCTTCTTCCAAACTTCTCAGATATGCTTCTTTGAAGTTTCATGTCAAAACAATCGTTTTTACCAAAGTTTTGAACAAAAATCAAAAAAAAAATGCTCAAAAATTTCCGCAAGTGTATATTTCTTTTTTCAGTATCTTCATTAACATGTGTGCGAAAAAAAAACTTCGTGTCAAATCTGTTTTTTCTTATACTGTAGTTTGAATCAGTCGCAGGAATTCAATGAGCCGTGTTGCATAGAATTTGAGAAGAAGACCTTTTACGACGGCTCGCCGCAGTTGCGATTGTAAAAAATGATGTCCATGTTTACGGTTACATAACGAGTTCATTTCGTGGCATTTTTTACGACTCTGGGAACGTTTTTGAAATGTGTCCGTTTTGAAAAGCGAGCCTGGAATCATTTCTCTCAACTTTTGTTTCCGGCTTTTTTCAAACATTTTCCTCACTACTGCAGGAATAAAATCGAAGAGTAGAGCGCAAACGCCTTTTTAGTCAAGAAAAATGGCGCAGTCAATTGGATGGAGAAAATTTAGGATTAGCCTGCGCTCTGAAAAATGTGTTCCGTTTCATTTCCGTTTTCTTTGACTTTCGCGAAACCAATTAGCTTAAAGAGCCGATAATTAAGGTTTAGACCTGAAAATGGGGGAAAGGCTTCAGAGAAAATTTAAGTGAGTAAATTTGGAGCCGGAGCAATGCGCCGGAAGAATTGAAAAAAAGAAAGAAAGACATTTGCTTTGAAGGAACAAAAAGCTCAAAAATTTTTGACTTGTTTTGCTCTGCTTTGATTCACGCAGCTCGAACAATTTTCTTTTCACATCTCTTTTTCTCTTCTTCTTTCACTAGGCTCGCCTTTATTTTCCGAAAGTTGAGCAAGCAGGTTCGAATCTTTTTTTCTTCGAACATGAAAGATTTTCATCTATTGTTCCCGTGTTCTTTTTTTCAAATTGAAAACTTACACAGATTCCAAAAACGTTCTTTACGACCTTCCATCACACTAATCGGCAGAGAAAAGTCTTCTAAGGTGTAGAGCATTTCTGGCTTTGCGAACGATAAAAAAAGAAAAATAAATTTTTCTATGCACAATAGTTTTTTTCCTAATAAGAATCCTCGCCAAAAACTTACAAAAATTTTTGAATTAAGTTTTTTTTATTGAGTAATTTTAATTCGCAAGGATACTTCTTCTAACTTCTGAGTCAATAAAATTCGCCGGTAAATTTTCTATAGTTTTTAGCCAACTGTCACTAAACTTTAGGTGCATTTCCCATTTCTACATCGGAAAGCTTTTCTTTGTGCGCGTATTTTCATGATTCCAAATCAGATTTGCATAATTTTTCACTTTGTATGCAAAGTTGGAATATTTCGGCCTGCGCACGGTGCACTTTAGTTGGCACGAATTTGTGAAAATTCGATAAACCTAATTTTGTCGTATATAACAGGATGACATTGGGATGTTTGTTTAGTCTTTTGAAGAAGTTTGGTTTTGAACTGATTTTTTTATCATTTATGAGCACCTCATTCAAAAAGTTTATCTTGTTTGTGAATAAGTCATTGAAAAAGATTCTGAGCGATAACTTATTTCGTCAATCAAAAAAAAAAAACAGTTCTAATCTTTGAAAGCCAAACTTTTTGGTTCAAGGCATTCCCTCGAGAAGCTGCGAAAGCAGAATGCCTGAGAATTATTTTTTTCTTTTTTTCTTGTTTTTCCGAATCGAATTCTCTTTTTGCGTGTAGAAAGCAATTTTGGCAAAATTGCCACCTAGCAAAAATATAGAGTTTTCCGTTAGCTTTTATTCAATCTTTTTTTTTCTTCTCTTGATCTTTTTTTCCCATTTTTTGATTATCCGTGAAAAGGAAACCTATAATTTCATATTGAAACGAAAAAAATCCACGGGTTAAAACGAGAAGCTCTCTCGCGACTAGGGGAGTGTTGTCGTGATGTGAGCGCGGGGATGGACGCTCTCGCGAGTATATATTTTCGCCTCAAGAGCACGAGTGCTCGAGGTACCTCAGTGACGCCATATGTCGACAAATCATTATCACTTATCTTTTTTTCTGTAATTCCTTTTTTTTATTGCAACCAATAAGCAAATTAAACCGGTAATTCCGGATTTTGTACATTTTTTTTTCTTGAAGAATCATAATCGATAAGATTGAAAACTTTGTAATTTGTGGTTTCAAGGTCTCACAATTTTAACACAGGTTTTTAGTGTTTTTGAAGTTTAATTTTACTTTTCAAGGTATGAACCAAACTATCTCTGTTGCCAGTTATCAAGTAACTTTTTCAAAAATTTTCCTTCGTATTACATAAGCGTTCATGGCGTACTTTTTCAAGAAAGCAAATTGGATCTTGTTTTTTTAATCAAAAATAAAATATGTAAGAGGCGGAGCTTGGTAGGATAGGTTTTTTGGTAAGAAAGAAGAGCTACGCTTGTTCAAAACAAAAAGTTTCTTTTTTTCCGGATGGCTACGTTTGCTCCATCTTTTTTTCTGTTAATATTTAACATCTGTCTAATCTTTTCAAGCACATTGCTTCGCAATTTGCAATTGAATTTGTAGACTCTTGATAATTTTGATACATACAGTAGCGGAAATGGGTGAGTATTGTTTTTTTTTTGTTTTGCCTTCCCTAACTTAAAAAAATGACTTGAACTTTCAACCAATTGGCTAAAAGGATGTTACTGACAACTAGAAAAAATGGTTTGAATGGAATCCAAAAAAACTTTGTTTATCAAAGTCTCAAAAAAAAAAAGATCGTCAAATAAAAATCCAAAAAAGCCATAATCCGGTATGAAGGACTTCCTATTAAAAAAAATAAGTGAAACAGATCAAATGCTTGGTAGCACAGCCTTCGGATTTGAGAACAGCTTTGCACCTTCGGGGCATCGACTCAATGAGTCTGTGCAACACGCTCATTGGGATCTTTTTCCAAACTTCTCAGATATGCTTCTTTGAAGTTTCATGTCAAAACAATCGTTTTTACCGAAGATTTGAACAAATATCAAAAATGATAAATAAACGCCCGTTTGCGCTACTGTATATATATGTATGTATAAGAGAATGAGTGTCAGACATTTATTCCATCTTTTCATTTACAATGATCTGCTTGACCTCCTTTTTCAAAGTTTTTCCACGGAATCTATACGAAATAACTGATGTTAATTTTCCGAATCACATGGTAATTGCATCGAATGGAGAAACTATTGATAAAAAGGTTGCGTTTTTCGCGTTGGCGAGACCTCGCCGACATGTTATCACCGATCGGCTTCTATCGTGTGTGCGTTGAAGGACAGAACTCATTCTCCGCCTTCTCGCAACGGTTGGCGACGTCCGTGATGCAACGCATGCGCGCCAGTCATATCAGATTGCTTCTGTTTCGATTTCGCTCTTGCACAATCTTTTTCTTCATTTCTTGCACTTCCTGAAGCTGGCGAAATCTCCATTTTTCCGCTTGTTGGCCTTGAATTCTTTCGAATCATGATGTAACAACCACGCATCTTACTCTGTAGGTTTACGCTAGTTGTTTTTATTGCGGTTTAAAAAACCTGTCTTCTGTTTTTTTTTCCATTTGTTCTTCCATTTCGGGTTGCATTTACTCTTACTGGAACAAAGTACATCGAGGCTCAGTATTGTTTTGGTGCACCCTAAGAGTGTTTCCTATGCGTGTTCTTTAATCTCATGACGGTTTGAGGTTTTTATTAGAGAACAAACATTGATATCAAAGTGTTAGTGTACCATCTTTTTTAAGCCTATTCTATCAAAGCTCCCATGAATTTAAGAAGAAGTTATTCCTGAAAATTTTCCCTGACTCTCTTTTATAGTTTTTCTTCTTATCTAGCCTTTTCTAAGGTGTTTGTACAAGGATATCAGTTTTCTGAATATGAACTTGTAGTACCGATGCCATTCGAATTATATAGGATATGTTTTATATTCCTTGCAAAAATTATTTTGCCCAAAAAAATTTTTTACGAAAAATTTTTGTTCGTGCTATTTCATTTTTTTAACTACGCAAGAACACGACTTTTTTTCTATTAACTATAAAAATTTTTTTGCATCAGTTCATGAATACAAAGATAGTCTTTTTCATAATGATTCTCTTTTATTCTAATTTGATGATGAGCGGAAGCTTCACAACTTGAAAATCGGAAAAATTGTGAGTTTTCGGGATAAAATTTCAAACTTAACCATAAAGTGGCGATGAGATTGACAAGGTTCAAATTTTTGCAAATCACTCAATCAAGGACCGCGTAAGGGTGGATTATTCATTTTTCATCCAGCGAATTTACTGAACTAGATGAAGCGGTCTGCTGCCGGTAGCTTCTTGTTCTGCTCGGGCGAGAGAAGAAAGACGAGGTAAACAGCTTTGCGTAGTGCGCACACGCACTTCTTAGCTCATTGGCGACACGCGTGGAGTGGAGAACAAATAGAAGCTCGGAGCAACTATAAGTTTCTGGAATTGAAGAAACCTTCCCCACCGAACGTGCCAAACTCCTTGTCACGCGCCATATGATCTGATCCCAAATCATCTGTTGTTTTCCCTTGAAGGTCCGCTGCATCTCCAATCAGTTGCCTTGGAACACTACCAAACACGAGCCAAGAATAGAGGCATTAAGAACATTTTTGACGCCTTGGTAGTATTCCTTCCCATCGCCAACGATGAATCAAACTTGGCGGTGGGATCGATTTTCAAGTTTTCCAAAGTCTCACTGCCAAAAAAAGAAATGGGATTAAAAATGAGAACCGCAGTATTCTACAAAATTTTTCGAGCCAGGTTATTTTCGGAAAGTCAATCCGAATGTGGCCGTGTAAGTTCTGAAAGCAGAAACTACACTAAGTTAATTTTACTCAATATCAAGAACACTCAATTCAAAGGCTGCTATAACTTTTTTTTACAACTTTGCCATTTTCACAAAAAGCTTTGAAAGATGCCTTTTTTTCTCGAGAAATTAGCTTTTCTTCCAGCGACTCTATCTCATAAGGGTTAGTCACGCACACGAATCGCATTTTTAGTTAATCGTCCTTTGAACTCGATATACTTCTGGTTTCTGCCTGTCAATCTATTATCTTCATTTTTCACTTTTTTTCACTGAGTCAAAATCAAACTGCTGAGGTCGTTCTACTTTGACTTCATCATCAAACTCCTGGAATATTACCTCATGATTGAAGGTTTTGTAACTATCAAGCTTGGTCCCCACCGAATTCAAATGATCAAAGATGCGAATGGCAAAAAGTCGAATCTTTAAAGAATTCGAATCTTATCTTGTTGGATGGCGGCTGGAAATTTCGCATGCTTATCAATCAGCCGACCTTCACATGAGTCTCACTATTGAATTTTTTGATGTACTGAATTCCGGGAAGAAATGTTTCCGATTTTTTTCAAGTTCAAGCGGATATTTTCAATCGTACTCTCGAATATTCATTTTCATATGTTAAAGTTTTCAGGCGGCTCAGATCAGCGATGAAGAGTTGCGAACTTTTTTGCGCGAAGCAGCCACTGTCGAAACCGATCTTCTCACCATCAAAAGCAAAAGGGACATACTCATGAGGTAGTTTATGATTAACAAGAGAACTCATCATTTTCAAAAAATTGAACATAGAAGCATCACTCACATTCTCAAAAGCAACAAGTGAAAAAATGTATTTTTGCAGAGAAATGGAGGGATTTGTTGGATTGGAGACGGAAACTATTAAACAACTGCACAGCGAGTTGCCTCGACACATGCAAAACGTCGTCCGCATTGAAGGAGGAAAAGTCATCATCGCCCCCGTGCCAGAACGTAATTCTAATACTTACTTCGTATCAGACTTCCTTAAAAACACTTTTGTACTTCTTTTTTCAAAAGAGAGGCAAAGCTTTTCTAAAAGAGTTTTTTTTATTTACTGATTTTACTAGTTTTCATGTGTTTTGCCTTGTTGTTTTAGAGTTTTCACCCTTTAAAGATATTGGATTAAGACAGGCATTAACAATGCTTTGGAGAAAAATGATTATTTCAATTTGAGAAAGCATAAAAAATATTTTTTTTTGATGAAACAGTGCTCTTCTTAAGTAAGTGTCGATAAACTTAACACTTTTTTTTTGCTGCTCTTGTAAAATAGATTCCAACATCACTAAGTGTTTTTGCTATTTCTATCTTGTCATCTACTGTATATAAGTCTTTCAAAAATCAAAAAATTTTCGTTTTTGTTTTGATAAACCTAAAGAATATAGCTCTTTTTTTGCAGCAATGCAAATGAAAGGAGCACCTCCAGGCATGCCATTCATGCTGCCGCCGGGAATGCTACCTCCTCCACCGCCAGAGTTTTTCGTCAATGGAAAGTGAGTGAACTCAAACCCGAAAAATGTACCGAAATTTGAATTCAGACTGGTTCTTCCGAACTTCCCACCGGATCTCAACTTTGTTCAAAACATGGGTCCTATGCCACCCATGCCGATTCCGTCAATGCTTGGACCACCGCCAACTGTCATGGGTCATCCAGGTATTCACTTTACTTCATTCTTCGGTGGAAAATTTACATTGAGACAATGTACATATGGTCAAGAAAAATTGTTTTTTTTTCAGTTATTAACATATTTCCGAAATCGAAAACAAATTTTGCATTTTTTTTTTGTTTTCAAACCGGACGATAAAATGATTTTTTTTACTCTTTCACGATTTTCAACTGTTTGTTTGTTTATTGCATCTTCAATGTAGGAATACATGTGCAATCGACTTTCATTGAGTTAACTGTGTTTAAACGGCGGCAGGAGCTGTGGCTTAGGCAGAGAAGTTGTGATTTTTGCTCGTAGAACATCAGGTAGAAGAGAGGTCGTAGGAAGAAGTACGGTGCCGGCTTTCCAAAGGCCGATGGCAGAGATTGAGCCTTTTCGCTGCATGCAGCTCCCAATTTTATCTACCCCGGAGGGATGAAAGGCTTGGTCGACCTCGGGGGGACTCGAACCTACGACCTCGCGGACGTTAGAAATGAGTCTTATCAGCTGAGCTAGGAAAGATTAAAAAATAAGAACTTCTCGTTTTCCCTTTTTTATTTGATTTGACCAACAAATTTATGAGTAAGATTTTCAGGACCCCCACCAATTTCAAGATTGATGACTGGAAATAGACGTTCGCCAGACTTGGATGCACGTCCCATAACTCCGGTTGAGCCGCCGATGCCTCACCACATCTTCAATTTGCCACCACCTGCTCCGAACTTTTCGCAACCGCCTCCAATGGCTCCTCCAATGGGCATGACCACGGTATTTGATAATTTAACTTGAGTGAAACAAAGAAAAACTCATTCAGGCTCCTCCTCCAGTTCCTAGGATGCCGGATTTCTCGAAACCACCACCTATCCCGGTATTTCTTCATGTAAAAGTTGAAATCATCATCTCTTAATGTTTAGCCTTCGATGATGGATATGTCTATGTCTAATGTCCCTGTCAAGCCTCTTTCGCAAACTCTCGACACAAAGGCGCCAGGTGAAACTATAAAATATGTTTTTTATTAGAATCTCTAATTGCAGAAAAGCTGAGCATGGAAATTTCCAAAAATCTTACAAACATCCTTACCAATGCTTTGAAGGTGACATTCAATATTACAAAAAGAAAATTGAAACAAGAAATTCAGGCAAAACCAGCACCGACAAACGTATTCGGGAATCATTCCCCGGCGCAATCGAAAAATCCCCAGAATTCAAAACATCAACCTCCCAGTCTAATGAGCCTTCACACAAAAGAACCGACTCACCTTCGCGTCGGCTCTACCAACTCAATGCTCAATCAGCTCAAGCGTACTCGGGGTTGGCTTTAAGTTGATTAAGAGAAAACTCCCAAGCGCAGTGCTTAGATATAAGCTCTGAGACTTGCCAGCCCAAACAATTTTCTTGCTTTTTGCTGTTAGTTCAAACTTTGATGATTCAAAGCTGTTACCGTAATGGCGATAATTTGCGCATTTTCAAACTTTATCACTAGGCTGAATGGTAAAAGACAATAAAGGTTTTTTCGTGTCAAATCTAACAAATCCCTTTCGTTCATACGGAAAAAAATTAATTATTGGCTGTTAGTCGAATCCTGAGATATATTTGCCAATTTCGAATGGGTATGCTTTTTCTTATAATAAATGATAACTCAGAAAAAAAAACAATAAACGATATTTCAGAGACCCAACAGCCATTCAACTCTCCAAGAAAAGGATGACATCTTTTTATTTTAATCTTCATTTTATTTTGATTACTCACATACAAATGTAAAAATTTTTTTTATTTTTTTGTTTGCTTTTTTTCAGTTTTTTTCCTACGTTTGTTTCATCTCAATTGTGAAAAATCCAACCAAAAAGAAAGTTTCATATAAAAAGTGAAAAAAATTCTATTCGAATCTATTATCTGCTCCTCGAAGGTTGTATTTTAATGTTTTGTCTCAATTTAAGTATTATTTTTGCTTAATAAAGAAAGATTTATTGAAATGGAAAAAAACTGGAAATTTTTTTTTTTCAATGGTTCAACAATCCTTGATATTTTTGCCTGTTTTTCCTCTGCATTTGTGTAATGAATGAAAGAGCTCACTTTCAGCGTAGCTGCTGTTCAGTACAATCAAATCGTGATGTACGGTCCCTATTGTCCGCCAGGTTGGTTTTTTTTTTGATGAATGAGGAACTGATTGAAAATTTCAAATGGTGCCGTTTTTTTGCAGAGATGTTCCCTCACGGAGTCTTCCCTCTGGCAATGATGGGCCGTCAAGGAATGCCTCCACCACAGTTGGTTCCCGGCATGCCGATGCCTTTCATTCATCCTCTTGAGCTCCACCAACTTCTCCGTGTAAGAACTCCGAATAAGATCGAGAAAAACATTCGAAATCACGCGGAATCTATAAAACTCTATCAAGAAAAAAAAACAGATAGAATCGATAATTGGCCGCTCATAGAGAATAATAAGGGCCTTGACAGTACAGGCGAAAATTTTTTGAAACACAGAAGTACGAAAAAAATTGATAATGAGCAGAGAAAAACGTGCAGCAGAGAATCTCAGAATTTTTCTATCATTATTACCCAAATCAAAAAGTAACCAATGTTTAAATTTGAAGGCGCATGACGCAATCCAAGAACGAAACTATTAAAATTTAGCACAAAAACCTTCACTTGCCCCATAAAAATTTTCATTTTCGTAAAGAACAGACAGTCGAAAGGAATTCAACCTTTTTGAAGGGGAACAATGCGAATCCCAAAGCGCAGTCAATTTCATGATAATTCCTTTGTTCGGCCATCGAGAACGCCTCATAAGATCAAAAACCAACTCAAGACAATATTCTTTGATGAGATGCGCGAGATAAAAGATTGAGCGATAGAAGTAATGACGTGAGATTACTCAACACCTGCTGCCGCTTGGGAGTCCCAAGCGCGTCTATCGACGCATCAAGACGCAATAAGAGCAATTATCGGAAAGACGGCGTCTTCGCACATCCACACGCGCTCTCCTCCTCATTTCTTTGTCTGTTCTTCGCCATCCGTACGGTTCACTGCGGCTCGCTACTGCTCTATCAAACCAATCTCATTTATTTTCCGTTTTCGAAAATAATGACAAACGTCGAGTTTCACGATTACGTGCGGCTTTTGAAGGTAGCTCACTATTTTTATTTCATCCTAATATCAATCTGAGTCAAAATGATCAATTTTCATTCAGTCACATTTTCGGTTTTTGAGCCTTTTTCACTTTCAAGTTTTGCGTGAATTTAGTACCTTTCTGTAGATACTTCAAAACAATAGTGTTGAAGAAAAAAACATACGTTTTGAGCGAAAATCTACAAGCTGTCGCGCCTTACAACAGCATAAAAAATCTCTCAAAGATAGTCCCCAAAAGAGTTCTTATTTTTTCCTCTCCTTATATCGGTCTAATTATACACAAGTCAAACTTCTGACACATTAACATATGATTAAAAGCTTGTGGAAAAAAAGAATAATTATTTTCGCAATTTCTTAACCGAAAAAACCTCTCAGCTTTCTTGAAAGTTACGAAAACTTTTTTGAAAGCTTGATATTTTCAAGTTTTGTGGATTGCCTGATAAAGAAGCGGTTTGTAAATTTTATTGGTCACAGCTGTAAAAGGCCGCACACAAATCAACTGAACACTTTGTGTTTGCTCTCTATCTCCAGACTTTCGAAGTTCATTACTAAACTTCTGTTATATAATCTGAAACGTAATTTTCTATTTACAGCAAGCTGGAATGGCCGGAATGATGCATGATAGCCCGCCACAGCTCCGCAAGCTGTTCATTGGTGGGTTGAGCCACGACACGACAGATGATCAGGTGAACTTTTCGAAAAATCATTTTTCATTCGAACTCAATCCAATTCAGCTTGGCACCTACTTTTCTCAATGGGGACCAGTCGTCGATGCTATTGTCATCAGAGATCCCAACACAAAGCACTCTCGCGGTTTTGGATTCGTCACTTTTGCTACAGTATTCAGCGCGGAAGCTGCTATGAAGGACCGTCCCCACGTGGTTGGCGGCAAGACGGTAAGCTTTGCAGAAAAGTGGCGTATCTTGATGAATAAATTCATAGGGTTTGAAAACAATTTCGAACTAGCTTTTTATTGGTTATTGACATGACAAATTTATGAAAGCAGGCTTTCAGAGCTATCAAAAATTGTTGACCTCTTTACTTCTTTTGAGCTGAAGTTTAGCGAGCTCCAACTGAAACACTTTCAGCAAACTTTTTTATTCGACTTGAGAAAAGACAATTGTTCACATCAGTTGGTTCAGGCCACGCAACAAAAAATAGACTCCTCTGTTATCTTGTTTTTTGGACCATTCATTCTTTCAAGTCGTGGCCAGCCTACCAAACTTTCATTCGGCAGAGCCTCCTCACGGCTTTGACTTTTATCTTTTCGACTTTGCACGTCATTACGGCTCTTCAAATGGTTCAAACGAAAAAGGTGCTAACGAAATATCCTACAGTCAACTTTGTAATTAATCCTTATTAAAACGTCATTCTCCTTTATGATCAAACATTTTCTGTAGCTATTACCTGATTGTTTTTTTTTATTGAAACAAATCATGCAGTACTGGAAAAAGGTATTACAGAATCGCTTTTTGGGCATAACTTTTATGAAAATTTACGGCAATTCAAATCCTTTCTCAAAACTTTTGAGTCTTGAAACAGCTGTTCAGGATTAGCAAAGAGTATTTTTTCTCAGTTCCAATTCAAATTTAAATACAAAGAAAAAAATAACTTGTCAGTGATCAATTTCAAAAGTTACCTGCTGTGAAAAATCGATTTCACAAACAAAAAAAAACTGTTGGAACAAAATGGAACTTATTCATTTGATATTTCCACGGAGCAATTCAGGTTGACTCGAAAAGAGCGATTCCTCGTGAACAAATGACAGCAATGATACCTCCGCCGTTTTTTTCGAATGCGACCCGGCACCAGGGTGTAAACTTCTGCTTTCCGGTTTTTCTTGGTAAAAATAATATAAATTGATTCAATTTTTGTCAGGAATCATGCCCGGCGTTCATTCTGTAGATGCACTCAGAATCTACTTTGAGACGTTCGGCATGCTTGATCAGGTAGAAATACAAAAAAATAATGTAAGCTCTTTCTCTTCTCCTCTCAATCACTTTTTATATTAAAAATTAAAGCATTATCCATAAAATTTTGACGAGAAAGAAGAAATAAACAGAAAAAAAAACTGAAGAAGATTATGGTTGCAGGTGGAGATTCTTGGACAGCCGCGTGGTTTCGGGTTTGTGATTTACGAGGAGAAAGAATCAGCTGACAAGTGTCTCGCTCATAACAACGGACGGCACATTGTCAATGAACGCAAGATTGACGTTCGAGTGAGTCGCAACGAATGAAAATAAATACCAAGCTGAGAAGATAACATGCATAAATTAAAACGAACAAAATCTAGGATTTTGAGATATTTTGAGAAATTTTAAGAACAGAAAGCTTGTGTGGTCCGAAACACAGACCGCACAATGCTTCTGTTTCGAGGTTTCAAGAGTCCAGCTCCCTGTGACTTAACATTTTGGAGTATTTTTTTATTGACCTTCATTGTCTGGTGTTTGGAATTGGTTCTTCAAAAAAGTTCTTCTTGCAATGTGAAGTCAGATAAGATTTGATATTCTGGTAAAGAAAAATGAGTGATTTTTCGCCCTCTTCTGACAGTTGAAATTGCAAAGACTTGTTTGAAAAGTCTTCATTTTCAGATCTTTGTGAAGCAAACGAGCAACAGCACATATTGGAAGCGCCCGCAGCCTCCGCAGCAGCCGGCCTTGTACGAACAACTCTCGCAGATGCAAATTTCTCGCCAGAATCGCCCGACCAACGCCGGCTCGCCAGACAGTATGCCGGCGAGCAGCGTCCGAACTGCTGCCACCACCAACAGCAACGCTCGCGACAGTGTCAAGAACTTTGACGAAGACAGCAATTATGGTGGAACAACCACAGAGGTACACTTCCAATGTTTTTTTTTCCAAAGTTCGAAGGCAACATCAGCACAAATAGATTTTCATTGTCAAAGGAATGATACTTGGAAGTTCAAATTTTTCTTGGATTCTTTTGTTTAGTTAAATTGATGAACCATTTCAATAATCAGATTCTTAGTTATGGGGGGCTTCTCAGAACCGCCCGACTTTTTGGTTCTTTCAGTTTCAAATTTATTTGATTTTCAGGACGATTTCAATCAGTACGAACACGACGAGTTCAGCACGTCTTCGGTTGACAGCGATTCGACACATCCTGCTTCGACCTAAATTAATTCCTAAGTGAAAAACTGTCACCCACCGCTACAAGAAGTTTCAAATCATACATTCTATCAAAAACCAAAATTTAAAAAAAACCGCAAGTGGCCTCCAATATTTGTGCTGAGCATTTGCCTAACCTTGTTTTTTTTCTTTTTAATATTTGATGCCCATTATTGATTTTGAGCGACATTAATCGTCTTTTTGTGTCTTAATTTTGAAAGCTGCTCTTTCGGGGCCATTTTTTTTTTGAGACTTTGTCGTCATTTTTATTTACCTTTCGTAATAATTCTAAAAAAGCCTTCTAGTTTCTCAGAAACTAGGGGAAACCACTGAAAGAGTAGACTTACTACGGAATGTTGCTCTTTTCGCTATTCATGGATTTTCGCCAAAAAAAGCCATTTTTATAATTTTCCTTTTTTTCTGTTTTTGGTTTCAACAGAACAGTACATTTTCGGCGATCCTATTTTTTATATTGTTTCGCAAATCTATTCATGTCACAACTTATCAGACCAGTGTGCTCATTATCCAAGACATTCGCTAGAAACTTCTGATAGCTCGAGTCCAATTGTGCCTAGTGATTAAACACAAATGAAAAAAAACAGCCCTAAGCGATTTTTCCTTCTTTTTAATCAATTATTCTTCTAAAAACGATGTTTTAAACGAAATTATCGTCTTTCAAATAACCAATCTTTTCCATAAAACCTTCAAAACCCCGGGAGAAGTCAGCTGGCGTCTGTATCCGGGTTAAAAAAATTTTCATTTTTTCTTTGTTTCATGTCCTGAATTTCAGTTTACCATATTAATTGAAACAAGGTAGTCCTGAAGTGACGTGTAGTTTTTGGACTCGTTCATTGTTACAGTATCCCTCATCGAGTGCACGACAACCATTCAAAAAACAGCTAGTGCTCCATTGAAACGTTTCCTACTGGTTTTCCATTTGAAGTACGCAATGCTTTGAGCAAAACTGAAAACTTTTTCTTCTTGTTTCTTTTTCATCTTGAGCCAAAAATCTCATTTGTAACGTTCTCTCTCAACCAAATACCACACTTCTCTCTCTCCCAAGATTTTTGAAATTCTCATCCAAACTTGTATTAATATTGCTGTTGGTGAATTATCTGAGCTGATTTTCAATAAACGATCCCGATTGATAATAAGCTGGATTGCAACTTCTGTTTGCATATTCACCCCGTTTGAAAAATTGCCTTTTTTCATCCAACTTTGCCATTTTCCCAACGCCTGTCTGGCAAATTAATTTGTTGGATTCAGTAAACTTTTTTGTAATGTCAAGAATCAGTTCATACAAAAAAGGGCTTATAGCACAACAACAAAGTTTTCCACGAACTGAGAACAGGTGAGCGTTTGGAAGAGCAAATGCCTATTGAAAAATGCCTGAAAAAAACAAAGATCGATTTATACAATAGAAATATTATTGAAACTCTTTGAGAAATTGAACTGACTAGGAGTGAGAAACCAGCATAATTAATTATTGAATAATTCAAGGTAATTACATAGTAAATTATGATTTGATCATTATTATACACATACAAACTGGCAAGTTAAAAACTTAAAACTAATTTATTCTTTGACGACTTGTTCAATGCAATCCTTCCAGCGGATAATGTCATTGAAAGAGTCGGTCATCAATTTGTAGCTCCGGAGTTTGGTTTTGAGCTGCAAAAATTGTTTGCTGGAGAGGACGATCAAATTGTGAGGAAATGTTCTGCTCGAACCGACCTCAAAAATGGGTCTTCGATGAACCTCGTCGATATCCATTCCAGTGAACTCGGACAAATCAATACACCCGCATGGCTTCGAATTACGTCGCCATTGATCAAAGTCATCATAATACCAGATCTACAAAATTAAACAACCCCCATTTTTACATCGGCGTTTCAACGAACCTTTGGAACGTTAGAATAGAGTACGAAGTAACGGGGAACCCAAAGTTTGAGCTTGGCGCCACGTTTGCTCAAGTATCCAGTGCAAAGCGGAGGGACCGGCACTTGGAGAGTCGAGGCCACTCTTTCCTCGGCCAAGTTCAACGTATTGTTTCTCGAGTTCTCTGGAATCGGCACTTCAACATGAAAAATCTCTGTAGTGCCTAAACGGGAACTTTCTCTGAATTCTCAAGAGCGAGGAAAACATTCTTTCAACTCAAAGCCATGAGCAGAACAAATATTTTTTTTTAAAGAAAAATCTCGTCGAAAGCCATTCAAACAACTTTTCTCATTGAGGTTATTCTCAGGGAACCATTTTGTTCATGATTTAATTTAATATCATTTACCAAAAAAACAATTTGATTCCCTAATCAGATTTGAAATTAGGTTTTTAATAACGGCACTGCAAAAGTTATTGATAAAGCTCAGTTTTTCTGTTTTTTTTTGACTTTTTGGTTGAAAGATCTTAGAGGAGTTTTGTCAAACATTTTGTAGCTGTCTAATAGAAGCAAAAGGGTTTCTCTTGATAAAACTCTGTGGAGAGTTTTCGTAAGCCACATTCCAATAAAACTTCAAGGTTTCATAGTTATAGTATAGTAAAAAATGAATTTTTTTTTCAATTGTTTCGAAACAAGGTGTCTCAAAATTGTTTTCATAAAAGACATGGGAGGAGTTAGAAAACGAAGATTGAAATGAAAATGCCAATCACACGGATCAGAAATGCGAAAAAATTCGAAACCGGCATTTCAATGTGTGACAAATACTGTAGGTCTCACCATTTTCAATAAGGAACGAGGTTGATGGACGCATCTCTGCAATGGCTTCATTCGGGACCGGAACTTCTTCTGCGCCCTCCGAAGAGCTGTCCAATTTGTGACTGACGCCAAAAGAAATGAATTCGTCACGCACACAGTCCCGATGAACGTGGAAACGACACTTTCGGCATTGAATCGCTGAAAAAATTCATTTATAATATCAAATCAATGATAAACCTCTGGACCACTTGGTGATCATGAGGCCGCAACGACCGCATTTTGCAGGAATGAGGCCAGGAACGAAGTTTACGAGTTTATGTTGTTTAAGCTTCCTGGAAAATTACCAATTTAGGTGAGGTCTCAGAAAATAATCACAATGCGTCATCCGTTGCGGAATCGAACTCGTTGTCATTCGAAGCACGAAAAAGCTCCATGGCGCTTCTTCGTTGGAGATGTTCCAATGGGACTGACTCGGAGAGAAGATGCTTCTCAGCATTTCGGTGGACCTTCAAGACAGATTCCAAGTTTTGTTTCCCATTACAGCAAGGTACAGTTTTGAAAGCTAATCGATCTATTCTTACAAAAAAAACTAGTTTCACTTAAAACTTAAGTTTTTTGAAAAAGATAAAGTTTTTATCTGACTATTTTATCATTATCATTTTTTTGAAAAACGCACTTCTTTAAGAAATGTCAACTGCGAAAGATTCAAATCAGAATATTTTTTTATTTAATTTTTCGCAAGCATGAACTTTCAAAACCCGTATATATTATTCTAAAAAGCATGAAAGTTGAAAAAGTTTTCTGAATTTTTCCAATATAGGCATTTCAAGTAAATGGAAATAGCCTGGCAATAATAAAAAAAAGTTGCTGAATCATTAAAACTCACGAAAGGCTTGTTTTTGTATTTCCCGGGATCTAAGTTGGTCTCAGTAATCTTGTCCTGGAAAAAAAGACGCTGTTAGGATCCATATTTTCTCTCAGAGAAGTTTATTTTTCGCTCTTAAATTTTAGAACTTCTTCTGGGAAGGTATATGATGTACTGGATGAAGGTTTTGAAAAATCGAGTCATACCATTTTTTTTTTTAGAAAAAGCGCTTTAACGTTTTCAGGGAATTTTCCGATCAATAAAGGGAAATTTTATCAATTAGAGGCATTATTCATTGAAATTGAAAGAGTTTTTTGTGCTTTTAGGATTTTTGTCTCTAAGTTGTAGAGATTTTTCTGGTAGAGAATCTAGAGATTTTTTTAAAATGACCAAAACACATGAAACCTCTGAAGACGTCAATGGATCGAGATCGCAGCATCGCTTGGTCAAATCAACAGTTTCGGAGGTTTTGTCAGTGCCCCAGCTTTGCAAGTTGCTACCCACAATTTCCATTTTCACGCATTCTGAAAGAAATCAACTGTTTCATTATTGTGTTTGATAAACTCACCGAGGTCATACTGTGTCCCATGATGGAAGTTTTCCTCTTCGAAGTACTTCCAAATCGCAATTTGAGAAAGGGAAGAAGATGGGAATAGGAAGAAATGTTGACCTTCAGCGAACAATGTGTTATCAAAAACGGATGATTCTTTCCGAGAGTTCTGCAAAAAAAATAAGACATAAAGTTGTCAAAAAAGGAAAAAATTATGTTCTCTTCGTCCGAATTATCAGGAATTTTCAGCAGACCACGGCAACATAGACAGTTTTTTAAGCTCAATTTTCTCGAAAATGGTCATTTTACTTTGAATTACAGAATTTTCAGGAAAATTTCAAAACACTTTCTGAAGTACAAGGTAAAAGTCTTTGGAAACTCCCCATCGGAATTTCATCCGATTCGCAGAAACAGTGTTTGAGCAAAATTAAAGATGTACTACGCTGCGAAAATTAGACAAATGGGCTTTTCCACAACCAGCTGCTAATATAGTTTTCTTTTGTAAAAATCACCTGAATGTAAGTCCAAATAACCATCCCATGTACACTGACTGATTCTGGCGCTATAACTTCCATTTTCATTCTCTTGCTCTCATTTTCTTCCAGAAAAGTCCGAAAGAAGCCGGAATTGGAGTGATAGGCAACAAAACGTATGTAGAACTGAGAAAACTCAAAAGCGCCGGGAAATTGAGTATGGATCTGAAAAATGAGTAAGTCTGACTTTTTTTTTCCTTTGCACTAACCTGATGAACGCAGTCCAGAAAAACCAGGAAAGCTGGATTGTAGTGTTCAGAAGAATTTCCAAAAGTATGACCAAATGCAAGCCATTCTTTTTCTATCAGAACCTGCAAAAAGTTCATTTTTTGCTACCGCAAAGTGTTTCGAAAACCTGGAACCCAGCAAAAGATCGATAAAACGCATCACTTAGTAATTGCACAAGAGAGCAAAAAATGGCTGTTGAATTGCGACCTTGTTCCAAACAAATCGCAACCTGAAAATGAATGATTGAAAAAAAATATTAGAAAGTTCTCACAGAAGATTTGTTCAGCGACATCAGCGAAACAATCGAATTAGCCAAAGAAATAGCGTTTGAAAGCTGCAATAAAGAGCTCGAAAAAGTATTCATAGGTAAAACGGAAAAGTTCCTTTGAGGATTCTTAAAGGATCCTGAGAGGGAGATAAAACTCTTCCTTTAAAAGCACCTGAAAGGATGATGTAAAAAAGCTTTTGAGCATCTTTTTTATAGCTCCAGAGGATCCTTTTTGAATTCTCTCAAATATTTTTAGTTGCTTTCCAGCATCCTTATTGTCAGACGATGTGAAAAAAAGATGCAAAAAAAGTGAAAAGTTATAAAAAAAGATCTTCTGGGGACCCTTGCGAGGTCTTTTTTTGAGAAAAGCTTTTGGGGAGCTTTTCAGTTTTGCCCGAGTTCGAAAAAAAACATAGCATAGAACATTGTGTGATTATTTTCTTTTTTGATTCCTAATTATGAACATTGCATGAAGTTTTATAAGCCTCAGAAACGGAAAACCAACAATCAATGGCCATCCGGTGTTTTGCCAATTGGAGAAAGAGAACGCCGAAATCTCTTGATCAGACTCGCTCGGCTCGTTTTTCATAAACTCCAACAATCGGGAAAATGATCTTTTCAAAGTGGACTCTTTTGGATGCTTTATAGTGACAACTTCAATGGATCCTTCCAGCCTTATCTAAAAAAATGAAAATCGACGATATTTTTAAATTAAACTTGCCTTTGGAGCGTAGCCTTTCTCAACCAAGATGTACAAAGATTTTCGCTGTTTTTGGAAACTTTTCTGAGCGCCATCAACAGCGTTTCGATTCACCGAAAAATCTCCTAAAATTTGGAGTTACAAAAAGAAATCAATTGTCCAGCAAACTTTTTCCAAAAAAGGCGCTTGATCTGATTGCAAAGTTTCTTTGAACTGTTGTGAAATCTGCGAAAGCCGGGTCACCGTTGATGGCTTCTTGGCTGTTTTCACTGTGCTCATCTGAAAAACGATCGTAAATAAATCTCAAAAATTTTTACACCATTCTTGTCAAACTTCGTGATGACCAGCTCTTCAGGGAAGTTCGCACTATCAAACTTTAGACCAGTAGAAAATATTCGGTCTGGAATGTTCTTTGGGGACGAGGCGCTGAGCCGAGAAAAATAGTGAATCTGGGATGTGGACTTGATTTGGTAAACTTTGGAAAATATTCACTTGTGTCTCCGAACTTCTGATGTCTGCGCCGGTCATAACGCTTGATGAAGAGTTATCATCGCTGTTTTTTGATTCTATAGTTTGTTGACTTCCGCCGAAATCCACTGCGGCTCTCAAAGTGTTCGTTGCCCGGTGGGAAGTTACAGCTTTCTGACAAGAAGCTCTGTATTTGAGAATATCACAGTATACAATGACCTTCAATTTCTTGACAACATCTCGAGCTGAGAAGGAGCTACCGCGAATAAGAAGGGATCCGTCGGCACTTGTCCAAGTCACAACTGGTAGCCTTTCCTCAACAAAACCCTAAAAACGAACAAAGTTGTTTGCTAAAAATTTATTTATTTAATTGTGAAGCCAGTTCTTTCAAAATAGACTTTCTCTACAGAAGTATCATATCAGACAAAATTTTCAAAAAATTTTTATTTCTATGAAAAATTGAGATCTCCCTTACTCAAAGAAATGTCTTTGATCAAGTTAATTTTAGCTTGAATTATGCGGAAAAGATCAAAAAAATCTCGCGCCAGCTTTGTTGAGGCCTCAAGGACTACTATTCAGGCATATTGAGTTTTAGCTCAAAGAACTGAATCTTTGTTCGGAATTCTCATATCCGTAAGTATTAAAATTTTTTGCGGGTATAAAGCTCGAAAACTTTTGAGACAACCGCTACAAGGTCGTTAATTGACCAATTAACTGCGAACTTAGTTTTTTCTTTCAACGACAACGAAAAAAAAAATGAAAAACCTTTGCAACTTTGGTCAAACTCGTGTCACAGCATTCTGCGGGTATCACAAAACAAGCAGGATATCTGCGAAAAATAAATTTTTCATCGGATATATCAAATAAACTCGACATACGTCGGACAAATTTTGTAGTTGCTGTTGGCGTAGCTGAGGCGAAGATTAGGGTTGCCACTCAAAAAACCGAGCCTTTCATAGTCCACGGCTGCATATTTCTGATGAACGGCAGTTCCGTGCGTCGCGTTATGGTCAATATCTAAAGGAAAAAGTGCGATTATTTTGAAAATGTCTTGGGAGGTTTCATTCGGCAAACAGAATGAATTTAAAAAAATGCGAATTGACTTCAATTTGTTTTCCCAAATTTCCTTCACCAAAAAAAAATATTTCAAAAAGAAATGAAAAACTTTCAAGCAGCATACAAGCTTTAGTTGATAACAAACCATTCAAATCGTTGTTTACTGAGTAAGATCCCCTGCCGCCGGCAATATCTCGTATCTTCCAAACGTCTTTTTTCTTGAGAACTAAAACTGTGGCTTAAAACAATTTTTAGAAAGATAAAACTTTCAGGACGACGAGATCCACCCAAAGAGCCATATTTGTGATGATTGGTTAGCGTTGAAGTGTTTTCGATAATATGTCGGACCGTGTTATAACCAAATGGCTTCACTTTTTCGTTTTTCAGAACATCCAGCAATTTGTCCACTTCAAATGACCGGACCTGAAAAAAGCCTTTTATACTCCATAACTGGTAAGTTATATTTACAGCAATGGAATACTTGTGAAAATGAGATCTTGAAAGCCGGCATATTGAGCGATTCTATTGGATAAAATAGAAAAATAGTTCGAAAATCACTCTCGGCCAGAATAGATGGAAGAAAGGGCTTGAAGCCAAAAAAAAAACTCGTAGGACTTTTGATTTTTGTTAATAAACTTTCAATGATGTCCAGCCTCACATTTAAGCTGAAAGCAAGTTTCATCGACTGAAAAGTTCGCGAAAAGACGATGACGACCGCATGAACGTTGTCAGCATCCTAAAAGGGGATAAATGTCTGTTTCCCTATTTTTTCCACCTTCAGTCCATTGACTGAACTTTTCTTGGCCGATTCTCGTTTCACTGTATCCACTGCATAAACTGGTAAACTGTACATCAAAATTTCGTTGGAAACTGAAAAAATCAAATATAAATAATAATTGCAAAAAAGATCCAGCGACCGTCAAGGTTAAGAGGTTTCCCCTTGAAAATAAGCCTGTAATTGGTAATGTACAGGTCGCCATAAGCTGGAAGAATGCAGTATGTCGGGTTGACGACCTCGCCGGTGTGGAAAACGGGGAGATCGTGACCCGAAGCCAGGAGGAAACAGGAAATCGGATTGTTGATCAGGAACTCATGAGGAGCAAGAAGATGAGGTCCAGGGATGGTGATCTGGAAAAAAGTTCGAGTTATTGCAATTTCGTTTTCTTACCATAGTCTTTATTTTTTTTTTCGGCTCCTCTCCTATGCCCAAAAATCATTTCACTGTCAGATTTCAACTTTTTTTTTCACGCTTAGAATAGCGAAAAATTGTGAGCCATCAAAAAAGCAACAAAGCCGTGATGTGAAATCAGACTACAAAAAAGTCGCAACTTTTCAAATTTAATAAAAGAAAAATTAGAGCGCAATGAGGATGAAATTTAAGAAACAACGTTCATGTCATCTGCTTCGAAATTTTAGAAAACCATACGAAGGACTATTCATTTTTCCTCTGACCTTGGCAGTTGTAGACAAAGCAGCCGAGTCATTATAAACATCTTGTAGAGTTTCGGCGTGGGCGTCCACGTATTTTTGGATCTCCGAGCTCAGAATGCTGTTCGGTCGGCCGCTAACCGCGAGAATTCGGTCCAAAAAAACACCGATTTCCTTTGTGATGTTCTACAAAACGATGAAAACTGTTGGTCTCCCTCAGTGAAATCCTTTTTACTTGTAGAGTTTCTACTGCAATGTCATTTTCCAATCCACTAGTGTTATTCTAAAATAAATCTGTTAGTTAGAAATACATCTTTCCGTTTTACCTCTTCGTCAGTAGGAAAAAGGGCTTGGCTTTTCAGAACATCCATCGGCACCATCACACAAATCATAAGGTTGATGTAATGTTTAGCTTGAGCTTGTATTATATCGTTCTCCTGGAAACAAGGTTCATTTGACAAGAAAAGTCATTTCACTTTGCGTTTTGGATTTTCTAAAAATTTGACAGAACGCTCCTTGATGTACATACTAAATGAAAATGCTGAAAGTCTTGACCTTTCTAGTTTTGAGAACGGACAGTTCATAGTTCGATAAAACTCTCAAGGCTCATAGAAATAAAATATTTAGGGGTTTTGGGCCTTTATTTACTGAAAACTAGTAAGTTGCAAGTTGAGATTTCCAAGAACTCTTTCAAGTACATTAAGGAGTGGTCTGGCAAATTTTCATAAAGTTATCAACCGCAAAGAAAAATTTCCTTTCTTTTGTGAAAACTCTAAGGGAAACAAAGTTATGAGATAGTTGAAGATTCTCCAGATAATAGAAGAGAAGAAGATAAAGTTTTTAAGAAGTTTCACAACTTTATTAAGTATTCAGAAAAGGCCTGTCTGCTGAACCATGAAAAAAAGTGTTAATCGTCGCGTTGACCAAGAGAAAAATTTGAAAACTTTTGTAAAACAAAGGCAAAACTAATTGAGCTCAAAGTTACAGTTCAGTCCTTGTAATTCCTAACCTGCTGATAGACGTCTTCTGAAAGACTTGGCGACTGTGGACGAGCCTCTTCTGCGGCAATTTCCATTGCACACGGCCGCGTGGCAAGCGCCCATAGGCTTTGCCCCTGAACCAAGTTATACTTCCTTCAAAAAGTATCGAAAAAAATACGAGAATACGATGCGACTCCTTCAAAAAAATTTAGAATTTTTAACACATACAGGAAACTCAGGGAAACATCAGGAAATAGAATATAACAAAATGATTTAATTAGTTTATATATTATTTTTTTCATCTATTTATCTTCCATTTGACTTAAAATTTTTTTGAATCAAAGTGGAACGTTATCGCAGTGGAGAAAAAAATATAACTTTCCTGGTTCTTTTTCCTACCACGCCACAGAATTCTGTCTATGAACGAACAGTAACCATTTCCTTTTTATTCATAACATCAATCTTTTTCTGTAGTTCAACCTTTCTGTAACTTCTTCTGAAATTTGCAAACCTACCAGAGTGTTCAAAATATGAATTTTTCCAAAAAAATTTCGAAAAAGATTAACCTGTATGCAAAAAAATAAGATCGAAGTTTTCTTTTCTATATTTTTCTAACACTGAAGTCTGAAGTTTTCATTAGACATCTCTCAAAAAATCTTCTCATGTTCAGGCTTCCGTTTAATTTTTCTGATTCACCTTATCTTCGTCTTCCGGCCAGTTATTTTCTTGATACCAAGCGCTGTGAACGTCATAATAGAAACAATTTGTCCAAAAGTGAACATTTTTCCAAACTTTATGATGTTGAATGACAGTGTATACGTACTGATAGGTACCACGAGGAAGTTTCTGAAAGTTCTAAATACGGAAAATGATTTATTGTGAAACCGAACCCGACAGAAGATAGTGGACAAGTGGAGGAGCTTAAAAACGACCCCATTCACGTCTCTACGATCTTCATGCTAGAAATAATACTTTTTTGATATTCTAGACCAAGGACAAATATTTAATATGAGAAACTAGAAAAAACATACGGCACCGTCAGAAAGGAAAAATATTTTTGCCCGCCATTTCCTCGTATGGAGCCTAATTTTTTTGGAAATTTTCTAAGCTGCGTTTTTTTTCTGCGCAATAAATTTTGATCAGAGGGTTACAAATAACAGTCCCCACGACTCCAAAACGTTTCAGAGCAATTAAACCCCACACCAGAAAGTTTTGATCAAACAACGTTTTTTTTTCGTATTTTTTCGTGACGGTACTGTACGCACTAATTTCACATCTGGCTCTAGACAAAAATGCTAAATTTTTTTCATGAATTTTTCTGGCCACCAGTTTTATTTTTCTGCCCAGGACCAAGAAACCATTAGACCTTGAAGCATATTCAATTTTTCCCGGAAAAAAATCCTGATAGAAAGAGGTTTGCAAAATTTAAATAGGTAGGGAAAGTATATATATAGTCAAAAGAAATGAAGAGAATTTTCGAAACACTGAACTGAAATTGAAGAAAAGCTATATGTAAATTTTTTTTTCTGATTTTTCAAAAGAAATGAATGACCTCGAGGGTACAATTAACAAGACGAGTGATGATGTCGAATTGGTCACTTCCCATGATGGCCTTGGAAAGATTTCGAGCAAGGTGGCGACAAAACTCGGCACGAACAGGTGCAAACCGCATGGACAACTCTACTGCAGCCATTCGTTTCAGTGCTGCGTTGATTTCTCCGGCAAACAAGTTCTTGATGAATGTCCTCAGAGCCTGAAAAACAGCTACGGTAACTCTTTTTGCTTTTCCTGTATTGTCTTAGAAGTTCTTTTTCATATACTAGAAAAATAAGTTCATTTCCCTAACAAAAAAACGAGAAGAATGTTTTTTTCTCTATTTTTCAAAAAGAAAGAAAAAGAAGTCCTTGCATTCTGACATAAGGAAGCATTTTAGCTTCTCTGGAAAAAGCAACTCGAATAGTGAGAGATAACTTAAACATATTTTTGCAAAGGAAATGAATTCTTTTTATCTATTTACGAAAAAAATCAAAGACAACCAAACTCTTGCTATACAAGTTATTTACGTTCCTTGAAAAAGTCGATCTTTTTCTTTAAACAATCATTTTCAGATTTTTTTTTTGTGTTTAGACTCACTTCCAACCGATGCCTATGTATCGATTCGGAATTTCGATGATATTGATGATGAACTTCTATTTCGGGAACAGGGACGAAAACTTCTTCGCCGTCATTTACAATTTGTTCTTCTGTCTTCACGTTGAAGTTCTCCCAGCTTTGTGTCGCCTATAAATTGAACTTCTCAAGTGATATTCAATGAAACCATACCAAAATTACATTGATTCGACGAATTTTTTTGAGGCACTCGGATTGTGGTAGCGCGTCAACTTGCAGAAAGCGCTCCTATTATAAACGTTTTTTTTTTAGGTAAATTGGATGGAAAACCATTTTCAAAAAGTAATCCGCAATTTCCGTGATCATACCAAGCTGTGTGACGGTGTCCCAAGCATGAGAAGTTCGAATACATTTATCCAGTTCTTCCCAGCAGCAGATCTAAAAAACGTTTTGAAAAAGTTTTGTTTGGCTAACCTTGTCGAAAATGTCAATTTGTCTGTATGGAATTGCCCTGATTGAACAGAATACTTGAAAGTAGGCACTCGTCAAGATGTGAGTTGTGAATTCACAGTCGATTCCTCTAAAATAACCACATCAAATCTTAGAATCAAGTAAGAGCTGAAAACCGGAATCCACAAAAAGCAGCTGCGTGAAAAGTTATCAGAGGACTTCTTCCTTTTGTGAATGACCTCAACCCATGTTTGCGACTGTACAAGATGAAATATTGATATCCAAATAAGATCTCACAGAAATAGATCAAAAAACATGCGCGAAGCTCTTTATCCTGAAGTCTATTATTAGGAAGCTTTTAAAATGAGAATAAACTAAAGTTTGTTTGGGCTTGGATTCTGTAGGTCTCCTCGATCTCAAAGCAACGTCGTCCGTCTCTGCATCCGGAAAGAGTACCTGGAAAAAATGCTTTTATTTTCAGATCCTTTTTTCGGATAAAAGGTTGTGGAGAGGTTCGATGGAGAAAAAGCCTCTAAAAATTAGTGAGTTATCAAACAAAATTTAGAAAAACTTTCTTTTTTTCAAGGCAGCATTTTTTTGTTTCAAAAAAATAAAAAAATAAAAAAATTCTAAGAAAAGAAATGCAAAAACATACTAATTGGAGACGGCAGAAAAAGTCTTTCTGAATACGCGTTTGTCGCTTCGTAAATGACATTTTTCCGCGGAACCCTCACTTCTCCACGATCTAACAACACGAGAACATAATCTTCCTGTTTCTCCTAAAACTCCATTCTGATCAAATGAACCACAAAAAATGTTACCGCAACAAGTTCTGTCAAAACGCCAATCAGATAAGGCGTTGGAGATTCGAGCAGCTCTGCCAGAGACTCGGGAAGTACAGTAACACACGAATGTCTGAATAATTTTCAGCCCGAGTTTTGGAAACGATGAAAAAATTTACAAATAAGAGAAAGGGTAAATAAGAGAGCAAATGGCATTTTGAGCCTCCGAGAGCCGCATCATCGATGAACTGGAAATGACAACCCGAGCGTCGGAGAGAACTGCATGGACAATCGTTGTAACGTTTTGCATTCCTGGAACTCGATGAATCAAGATTTTTCAGATGGAAAATCACCTAAATGACTGAATAATTTGGCGACATCTGTTCCTGTGTAATTCAACTGTGGGAACGATTCGCCGGGAAACGTCAACCGCAGTCGATTCAAATCTACTGTTTTCCATCGTCTGAAAAAAGTAGACCTTCGGAATCAAACTTATTTTAAAGAAAATTCGTTTCACTTGAGTACGTGGATTCCATCAAATTTCCAAAAGCTCTTGAAAACGGGAAACTTCGAAACTTCGGTAATTTGGGAAATCTCGGAAACCGTAAAAGACCCGAGTGAGACGAACAATTTTGTTCAAAATATTCACCCATATTGGACACGTTGAAACAAAATTGTTGAAATGAGCTCCTCTGCAGACAGTTTATTCGGCAAATCTTCCACTCGCATCATCATGGACATTTCGACGAGCAACGCCTGAGAAATCGAATTCAATGAAAACATTGATTCTTTACTCTGAACGCTTCCGGGCAGAAGCATTTTGAAACTGCCACAAAAGAAACGGCAACTGCGCTAGTAGATGAGCTCAAAGGGCCATTGTGCTCCGCGTTGCTTGAACATTCCCAGCTCTCAAGTTGCATAAATTATTAGACGAAAAAAAAAACAGAACTTGGATAAAATGGAATTTCAGAACCGATGTTCTTCGAATACTTATGAACCGGAATTTCCAGAAAAAAATTCTATCTGTCCAAAAATATATGAATTTTTTTGTACACAGAGCCTCTGCTTTAAATGAAAATTCTCAGGAAAGTTTTATAATAGAAAAATGCAAAAATTCAATTTCATTTCAAAGATGTGCGTCTTCTGATTTTCCATCAATTTCTTTTTTTTTCAAAAACTTGACAGGGCATTTTTTTCAGAATCACTAACCAAAAAACTTCATCGAAAAATTTTTTGTTAGTTCTAGAAAAGTACACAGTTCTGCCAAAAAAAAAGTCTTTTCAACAAAAGTTTCCTAATGAGATACATCCTTCAATGTGAATTTGAGAAAAAAAAGTAATGATGAAAGTGATACACTATTACTTATCGAGACGTACAATGAAAATGTATGCGAAGCGACGTTCACCCAGCTCTGTGGTCAGCATCTGATAGAAATATTCTGAAGGCGGAGGGTCCACAACGTTGAACCATCCTCGAGGTCGGGCAAACTTGATTTACATTGAACTTTTGTCGATTCAATAAGTAACAAAGGTACCTTCGAGATTGATTGTACAGGCACTGGATCGGTTACATATTGCGAAGGAAATTCGTAGAGAACTGTAGGGACTGAATCTGAAATCGAAACTGTTTGCAAGCAAATTTATATCAGATTTCTTTCCTTTTTACCGTCGTACATAAAAATTTGATGAGTGAATCTAATATTTTGTTTTTTTCAGTCCCAACTAAACATCAAGGGCAAAGGTATGAAAATCATATTACAAAGGTTTTTGCCTTTTTTTTCGATAAAAAAAGTTCATCTCAAAGCTTTTCGGGGATTTGAACTTTTATCATTATTTTTGAGCTTCTACGAGTTTTCTCGTTTATTAAAAACTTAATAATCTTTTTGTTTGAAATATTTCTGAGACCTTCTCGGGTCTCAATGATGTTTTACGAATTTCAAACTAAGAGGAATCGAATGAAACGCAAAAATCATACGAATGAAACTTTGTACAAAACCTTCACTATTGAGATGCAGAACGCCGATGACTTCTGCGATTGGTCGACTACTCTCGTTTGAGACGTTCATATAGTCCGCCTGCAACACATTTATCTTAGACTGTGAGAAGAAGCGTTCGACAAAAACGAAAAATGATAACGAAATCATTCCGTGCGGAAAAGGGCATGCCATCAGTGCAATCTAAAGATTTCCGTTTTATCGTTTACTAAGATGGTTCTTGCTTAATGGTCTAGCGCTTTGCTCAACAAACCCAAGGATACAAAAAAAGAAACCTCTACTAAAAAAAGTGGTATTCAGTTTTTTTTTCTTGATAATTACGGTTATTTTAAACCTTTGAAAAAAAAAATCTGAACAGTTCGTGTTTCAAAACTTCTCATTTTTAAAAGAAAAAAACAAAAAAGTGAAAAAATCGGATTCGGAGAGTAAAAGGATTGAAATAAGGTAATAGTTGCCAAAAAAAAACTGCGCGCAAGAAGAGTATGCAAACACACCGGCACTGAACCTCACAACGTCAGCTGTCCTTTCTACTTGAGCTTAAACCTCCCAATAAATCAAGTTGTGTTAAAACGTCCATACCTTCTGCTAGGCATTTTCAATTATCAAGATTTAGTAGTCTTGACGGGCGTCTTGTTATTTTAAATTTTTTTTTGTTTGTAATAATAAATTCAGGATACCATATTATCTAATGGCACAAGGAATCCTACATTTGCCCCCAATTTCCAAACATAATCAAAAGTAAGTTGGCTTTTTTTTTGTAAAATTGACATTTACTGATTTTTTTTTTCAGAGCAAGAAAATTCTTTTCAACGCATTATTTGTGGCGTTTTCGTTATGCCACTGTTTTAATTGTGTGTGTCTTTTTTTACATTACTCTAGTGAGTTTTTCTCTTAAATAATGTTTTATACCGTTCATTTTTTAGTATTACTATGCACTCTATTCTCCTGTAATTCTGGATAACGGTTTTGCCGGAAACGTCAACAACTCCTTGGTGGATTCGAAGTTTGTTTCCTTAAAATCTTGAAAGTGAGAGCCTCAGGAGCGGTTTTATTCTCAAAATTAAACAGCTTCAGCATTATCGCATCGTGAAGTTTCTTAGGTTTTCAATCATTTTTACCTAAAATATCTCCCTTCGAAAACAATTTCTGAACACTGCTGTTGCTGATTTTTTGAGGCTGAAAGCGAAGGTAAACTTCACGTTTTGATTTGGAATAATAAGTGAATATATTTCAAAAAATGTACCTGATATCAAATACTTCATAAATTAAAAGAACGTACAGTTAACGATGCGAATATTTTTTTGATAAAACGCGGAAAATTTTGGATTTTCACAGAGCAGGCCACAACTACATGATCATTGCTCACGGTTGCTCTCCGGAAACTGATCGCTGTTATTCCGTGGTTGACCAAATAGTACCAGAAAATGAGAGAAAAAACGAAAAAGCTTTGGAAGAAGTCGTCGAACGCCACATGGTCGTCGATGGATTCGAAGAAACTAGTGATACCATTGTGAGAATTTACTCGCCCCAAGGTTGGTCACGATTTTTGTTTTCGTTCACATATTGTTGCCAGCCCATTAGAAATTCTTCTTGAACTTCCTGCTTCTGAAAAAAAGAATAATCGAATTTTTTGATAATTTACCAAAATTTTCGTGAACTGAAAAATATTACCCTCATGATTGACTCTTGATAACTTGAAATTAGAATTTCCGAAAAAAAAATCTCGCTTTCCTTTCAAGAGTGTTTTTCAGGTTTCAAGTTCTCCGAATCAGATTCTCGAATGTGGACGATCGATCATCGGAGCTTACGCGCTCAATATGTATTTTTTTACGATTAATTCTTTTATTTCTTACCAATCCATAAATCTTTGGAAAGCTATTATTATTTTTCAGATAGCTGCATTAATATCTGCTCCCTTTTTGGTGACTGCTTTATCTCTAGTCGAAACGGAAAATCAAAACAAATCCGTTTTGGAGATTGGCCTAGGAGGAGGAAGTTTCGACATGTTCATCCATGAGTTTTATCCCCAGGTTTTTTTTTTTGAATGAAGAAGATGTTAACTATATCAAAACTTAAGGTGTCCATTACTGCGGTGGAACTGGATCCAATGGTTGCAAAACTAGCAAATCAATGGTTTGGAGTTAAAGAAAACGACAGGAGAAGGACCATTGTGGATGACGGGATGGATTTCATCAGGCAATCTCAAAAAAGGGGTATTTTTTTCGAAAAACTATTATGATAATTTTGAAAACTGATTGCAGGTGATTCATACGACGTAGTTGTTATTGATGCTTGCGATGTTAACATGAACGTCCCGTGCCCGGTAAAGGAGTTCCGCAAACCGGAAAACTTAATGGCAATGAAGAGCATCTTGAAAGAAAATGGTAAATTTGTAAAGTCGTTCTTTTTCACTGTCAAAACTCAGAAAAAAACCGGGACGTTTTTTTGAAGAAAAATAATGAAAATAATCATGATGAAATAATCAACTTTACCAACGAATATAAACTTATTTCATCATTTACAAGAAATATGAACACTTTGATGAAATTCGAAAAAAATTTTTTTGACGTTTTTTTAATAGAAGTTCCTGATTTTCATTTTTTTCTGTTTTTTTCTCTTTTATAGTTTCTAAAAAAACAGTCACCTCAAAGTAATCAAAAACCACCATAACTGATTGGATAGGCTTTGAAACTTCTCCTTTCAAAAACTTTTTCAGTAATGAAATTTTCAAATTTCGTTTATCTGACATTTAAGAGTGATTTGTTCTAGTTTTGACTACCGCAAAAAAAATTCTTCCCTGCCAGCCAATCTTATTTGAAAAATATTCAGGGGCTCTAGTATTCAATTTGCTAACGCTTGAGGAAAATGTCAAGGAGGTCAACAAACAGGTTTGAAATCGACAAAAAAGTTCAACAAAAAAAACTGCTTAATTTAAGATTGTGGAATCAATTTGCGAGCCGTTTTCTTCATGCCTCCGGATCGCTCTCAAAGCAGAGGTAGTCGTGTAAAATGGTCAACTTTTAAATGAAAGTTTTAGGTAAACGAAGTGATTATTTGCATGAAGTATAAAGTTTCCGACGCCGGCGCTCAGTTGTCGTTTTACGAACAAAGGTTCCAAGCAATCGCGAAAAAGTTTGGTTTCAATGATTTTCTTGCAAAAATTCATATGGTTTAATTTTTCATTTTCGTCATTTCACAATTCATCTCCAAGGTGAACATTATTCGTCACATTTATTTCCATTGCATATTACTCTCCCTTCTGTACATACTTCTTGTCAATCAGTTACTGGCCTAGCTCGCAGTAGAACTTCTGGATGGAACATTTCAAAACTGCTCAAGAAGTTTTTGAAAAAAAGTTGCGCTTTAAATTTGAAAAAGAGAGCCAATTTTGACCGAAGCTAGTTCAGTCGACCTTCCAAATACGGAAAAAAAACATAAAATTTGGTTTTCTTATAATTAAGAGCTCATAATTTTCTGCCTTCCGGGGAACACCAGTAATAAAAAATATATGGAAACTGGTTTTATTTTCTCATTAAAAGTTTCGCTGTGCGCTCAGGTCAATTAGTGATCGTTCAAAATACGCTTCCACAAATATCATTTCTGCCAGAATCATGCTTTAGCTTTGATACTCAGGGTAGGATTCCACAGTAACAAATGATGAAATTTGAAAGCGGGTGATATGCCATCCTTTTTTCTAGGAAAATAAGTTTCTTGTTACTCTTTAGCTGCTCATGTCTTGATGTTGTGTCATTGTCTCTTCCGCTGAATATGGATAAAGTTTTGTTCATTTCATCGACAATTTCACAAGATGTTTTTTCAAAGTCTCCATGTGGCTTCCGAATAATGAGTTTGATGCAAAGCGGCTCTGGGGATTGCGATTGGTGGCTCGAGATTCCTTCAATTTTTAAATTCAAAAAAAAGGGTAAGAAGAAGAAACCTTTCAACGACAGTTTGGCGGACTCGAGGAATCGCAGTCGCTTCCATTGCAATCGGACGACCTTGTGAGGGTTCAGGGCTAATAACAGCCGCTCTTAACCAATATGAATCAACTTTTTCTCATCAGTAAAAGTAATGAATGTCACAAGTTTGAGTGAAAAATTTTTTTTTCTGTGCTGAAATTAGTTGAAAGCCAAGGGAAATTTCCAGACGCATGAGGGAACAGAGAGACTCAGACACACGAAAACTGTCAAATCACGGCGGGCGGACTATAGCATATTCAGAAAACCAAATTTTCAGTGTTTTGAAAATTAGGGATCAAAGTAACTTGGAAAAAGCTTTATCAGATAATCACGTAAGATCAGGTAATAATATCCTTCTGAGAGTTAATTTACCTTGATGAAAAAGCTTAAAAAGAGAAGCTCGGATAGAGAGTTTGCTGTGTCGTCATCATTTTTATCTTGAATGTGCTCAAAAATTAAGTTTTTTTCAATGTTTTCTAACTATACTCAGTCAGACATGCAAACTCTCAGAACTGCCCGAAAAAAAAAAATGAAGTCTCACGACAATCTTGGCAGCTGGATTGGTTCAGGAATCGGAAGCGAGGCCATCGACGAGTTTTCAGATGGGGATGATCCCGAAATTCCTATTTTGTATCCCTTTCTGGAAACAATGGGAGTCGAAAAGAAATTTTTTTTTGCAAAAACGATTACCTGAACTTCACAGAAAGGAAAGCAAAGGCGTAACAGTGAACGACGAAAAAAAGCATGCTAGCAATGCACATTACAATGCTTGTATAGCGAGCAACTGGAATAATTCATAAGAAAGTTTTTTTGAGTTTAGAAAAGTTTTTGAAGTGAAAAACCAACTGTTTACGAGTTCCGAGTGTCGACCGTTCTTTTCGATATTTCCGCCATAAGTAGACTTGAGCCAGTTTGTGATGATTTTTGGAACGAAAATCTCAACGAAGAAAAAAATTCCGAGACCAAAGGTTGCCAAAACGTTTATCGCCTAAAAAGAACTTCATTGAAATATCGACTTTTCACTTTTCTCATGAAAATGTTTTCGAACTACAAAGTTTTACGCATTCAAATTAGAAGACGTTCAGTAAATGGGTCGGAACACTAAATAACAGTAGTTTCATTTGAAAAGTCCGGTTTGAGGGTGTCAATGAAAAACTTGACTAAAAAGTCTTTTTTGTGTTTTTGAAAGAGATGCGAAGCTTCTAAAGTTTCGAAAACCAAACGAAACCCACATGAGCAATAAGACAGTACCCCAAAACTTGTCGATGTTTCTTAAAGAGAGCGTAGAACAACGGAATATAATAAATGCCTGAAAAAAGTAGAAATAAATAAGGAAAGTTGCTTTGGCGGACCGTAGGCTAAAGTACCGAAGGCGGCCCAAATTTGCCCGGCTATGAATAAAGAATTGTAAGCAATGAAGCAGACTGCCGAGCCAATGACCGAGATTGTCACTTCTTCTGTGAGAATAGATATCGTTTTCTGAAAAAATCAGAAATTTATGACTTTTTCTTCAAATATACCTAGGCAAGGTGACTACTAACAAAAGAAGTCATTTTGTGGTTTGAAATATACTGAAAGTTTGCTCATACAATCTCTGAAAATTCATGGATTCATCAAAGTCGCAACCTGCGTTAGCTATAAATTTTGGAGCCTAAAGCTCATATTTCGCCACGTTGTAAAAACGTATCTCAAAAACTAAAAGTTTGAGCAGGTAGTGTCTACTATGAGGTATCTTCATTTATACTGTCAGAGAAGGATTGAGCGAACTTGTATAAAATTCTAAACCCCAAAACGAAGTGACCTCCCTTGAAAGGTATTACAGACTAGATAATTAACTCGAAGATTACAATAATGGTTTAACCCAGTACCTCATGAGGTTTCACAAACAAATTTTTCGTTTCGAAAAATCATCGCCAAACATATTAATCATTGGAATATGTTTCAACAAAAAGTGTCCGCACAGTTGCCAAGTAAAAATAAGAGTAGTAAATACTCATTTTCGATTGACATTCGACAAAAATATAAACTGAAATTTTTTCCTATTTTTCCAACATATGAAAACTTATTCTATTCAAAAATTTAACCTCATCCGGTTTCGATCGTTGGGAAGGTGGAGGCGTAGGGTTGCGAGGAGAATATAAATAACTCATCGAAAGTTCGACTAGTCTCTGTTTCAGTTTTTGTTATAGTTATTCCACAGATAGCAATCTAGAGCTTTGCAAAGGGAACTATCAAACGCTGAAAAGACCACGCCAAAATGATAACGAAAAAATGCTTCATTTTATGATGCGGTTTACCCGGTTAGTCACAACTCAATGCTATGGGGGCGACGCTTGATAATAATAAACGAAATGATACTTTCGGATTTTTTGATAGGTGTTGCAAATTGAAAATGCCTTGAAATTGAAGCAGACAAAATATCTATGCGAGGGTTCAATGAACTTCGCTTAAATTCACCAAAGGATTCTAATGTCCTAATTGTTTGAAAAGGTACGTTTTTTGAGTTTCCCTAACTTTGAAAAATTTATTTCTTAAGATGGGATTGAATTTTGAGGTGTCATAGTCTAGTAACTGAAAAAAAACGGCATTTTATAACTAAACTTTGGTCTTTCTCTCTCAAAAACATTTTCTCTGCCATAGAATTTCCGTCTCTTCTGTTAGCCTAAGCGCTTGTCAGCGCACACTTTCATTTTTTAATTGCTTAATCCCGTTAGTTTCTCTTCTGAAAACGGTCGAGAAGATAAGGGGCCCAACCAAATAGTTAATTGCGGTTTTCTCCAACAAACTTGATAGTCTTCCTTTTTTCTCAATTTTCGAATTGAATATCTTAAAAATGTTCCATAATTTTTGTATCAATAGATAAACTTTTACTGTTCAATTAAACATTTTGGACTGTTTTTTTCACGACTTTTGTCAGCTTTAAAATTTTCTTTCGATTGCAAGACCCAAAAAAGGAGGTGTGGAAGAGATCAGTCGCGATAAAGATTGAATAGGTGGCTAATCCAGAAATTGCGTAAAAGACAAGGGCGGCAGGTTTTTGCCCATGCAGTCCATCAGTCGAGAATCTCGAATGCCGATAATATTGTGTGGCGAACCTGTTTTGGATAAGCTGACGGCAGAACTTTCAACAACCTCATTTGTTTGTTAATCTACTCAAGCAAAACGTCACGGAGTTCTTTTTTTCAGTCTTCAAACTTCTTAGTGAGAAATTTTTTTCTTATTCTATTACTTGAAAGTTGAAATTGACAAAAATCGCCTTCTTTACCGCTTTCAGTGCAAATTCGATAACGTAGCTGAAAAAGAAAAAAACATTGAATAAACAGCTGCGCAATATGATGAAAAAGCATCGGAAAAAGCTTTTTACGATTTATCAGTTTTCTAAAACAAGATTTGAAAAACACAGAGACATCGGTTAAATTCTGCGAACTTTAAAAGAAACTAAAGTGCGGAGAAAGTTTGCAAAAGAGAATTACAGTTGACAATTTGAAAAAACCCTTTCTGAACATTTTTTGAGAATATATTCCAGGTTATCATCCTACTGTTGGTTTTGCTCCCATATCCACATTTCTTAAGAAACCATATCACATAGTTACAGCTTATTTTTAAAAAAATCTTCAAATGACAGCTATAGTGGTTATATCTCTCTGAAAAATTGATTATAGAACCAATGGCAATGTTGAAAGATCCAATTTATGGATATTTTGAGTTGTTTCAATTTATGTACAAAATTATTTTTCTGGTTCCCAGGGACTCAGATCAAGAATTCCGAGCAGATAGAAAAACCAAAAGCTCGTCACATCGTAACCCATATAACTAGCCGACGACAACATCATATAATTGCGGTTATTGCGAGTTGACGGTCGGACAATTTTCACGCGCTCATAAAAAAAGCAACGCGAATCGAGACACGCGCAAAGGCTAATTGGCAGCAAGTTCTTCTCGAAAGACCAGACCCGCTATACATTGTTTCATACACGAGCTATTTAGCCGGTTTGCCTTCTTCCGTAGCCCTCTGACTCGGGAGAATCTGCAAATTGAACGCGGCTTTTTGTTGTTCCTTCGGTCAAGTGGAAAAAACAGATCGAAAGTTGAAATGAGATGTGTTTGAACTGGATCTCTCTTTTTTTGCTGGGTGGTGGAGAGAGGCATTTTCGGCAAATTAATAGGGTTTTCCTTTTTAACTGACCGACAGGTGAAGTCTTCGCGATGATGGATTGAAACTTTGTTATAAAGGTTTGAGACAGTGCCCACCAGAATTCAAAAAAGTTTTGGTAAGAAATACTTCTCCGATAATAAAAAAATTCATTTTTAATTTTTTTAGATTGAGGAATATTTTTTTCAAAGTTAGGCAATATTTTCCAAAGTTTTTCGACCTTTAGGAAAGAGAAATCATATTAACTTGTCACAATAAAGTTTTTTTTACACTTCTTCGAGAGAACGCGCCTATGAGGTTCCAAAAAAATGAGGATCATTTGATTAAGAGTCTTAAGAAATGTTTTGATTGGTTATTGTTTTATAATTGTACCTTATCTTCTGACCAAGGCTTCTGAATCTGACAAGTAAGAGTTTGCAAATCCTCAGATTCCACCTTCATCACGCACTCTCTTCCAAGAAAGGAAATAAGAGAGGCGGGAAAGCAATGGTTGTTGGTGAGGACAGCCGAAGCGGGGAAGCACGAGGCTTTCTAGCCTCTGTCCGACCTTCCGCACAGTCATTCTTGATATTATTGCCAGCGCAAGTCTTCACTGTCCTCGCGGCTTCCGCGTTGAATTCTTTTTTCAATCAAGATTTAGAACGAGATTTTGACTTCAAAGATTTTAGCCCGATGTTAGCCAGTCTCTCCTCCTCCCCACGAAGCTCACACTCTCAATTGATCTCCCTCAACTTTTTTTCGTCTAGAAACGAAAACAGGAACTATCTCCAATACTTTGATACCTGCTATCTTTTTGTTTTTATGAGTGCAATCTATTTCAAGATTTTGTCCAACTTTTTTCTTAACACTTATCGCCTTCATTTCTTGATGAAAGTTCAGTTTTTGCAGAACCTGGCAAACGTGGAAGTAATTAACGATCTTTCTCATTTTTGATTGACGGTGATGTTTTTAAGAATATGTTTTTTACTGCTGATAAGTACAGTTCATGTGAGTTGAAACTTATAGAAAGGCGTCAGAAACTTCAAAATTTTGCAGGCAAAAAAGATGATATTGACGAACCAAATTTCGATGAAGTTTGACGGGAAAAACATGGTTAGTGCTTTTGTTTTCCACATCTGATGATTCATCAAAAAAAGAAAAACTTTTTGGGTTGAAATTTAAAATTTTTTTGTGAATTCACCTAATTGCTCTATAAAAGGTCTTTAAAAACGAATTTTTTTATTTTTTTTCTGCGCAAATTTTAATTTATTTAAGATATATGTTTTTCAAAACTGTAGATTTGATTACAAACCTGATTTTTGTGTTAACAGCGAACTGTCTAAAATCATATCACCGTAGTCGCGCTGATATCAAGTATGAAAAAAATATTTTTTTTTAATTTTAAAGCAATAGGAAAAAAATTTATAGGATATTCAGAATTCACTCAGAATTACTTTTAGAACCTTTCAACATTTCAAAAAAAATTGCGAAACCTTTTGAAAACATTTTCAACAATTGTAACTAAATGAATTAGAAATCAACACCGGCCAGTTGGGAAAGTACAGCTGCTTCCAGCGAGGAAGTCTCATACGAACAGACCGATTCTCGCCCTTCTACAAACCAGAAGCCGAGTAAGCGTCAACCAATATTCAAAAATAATGCAGCCTTCGGGCAAGTCATCCAAAAAGACGGGCTTTATCCAGTGTTTACGTACAGGCCGCCGCATTTGAAAGGCAATTAATGATGTCTTCCTTTTTTCTCGATTCCCAGGAAGGGAAGAAGACAAAAATGTGTCAGGAAACAACGTGTTTCATTCAGAAAATTTTTAAAAACAACTTTCTTGCAACTACATCAAAAAATATTTTTTTAAACCGCTTGTTTTAGAATAGTTATTTAATTTTTTTCTGAATACGATTGAATCATCAGTAAAGTCAAGAACCTATAAATGCATTTTTTTACAGCTTCAAGAGATTATTGGGCTGCTTCGAAACCAAAACAAGTGGGCATAGAAGTAACTCCAGCGTCCACACCCGCTGAGGTTTCTCATTTTCGTGGCTTCGTTTATTGTTTTATATTGTCACGATACGATCGGAAAAAAAAATGAAAAAGGCTATTTTTCTGGCTCTGAAAAATGTTCTGAACTTTTGATCTACAGCACAAAGATCATAGCCCGCTTTATGAAGAAAGTCTCTAACTAGCCTCAAATGGAAGTGTACGTCAAACGGACTCTTATAGCGTGCGCTGTGTGTAAACAATCCGTAACTAAAAAGTTTCTGAGACCTCTAACAAGTGCAGTCATTCAACTCGATACTTTGAACTCTCAGAAAATGTCAATCTTTAGAAATTGATTGAAAAACTGGTGCATTCTGTGTTCTCAGGGCTTTTTCTTATCATTTTGTTCAAAGTAACATTTTCAGGAAGATTTCCTTTCCAAATTCCCTAAAACTGCCTGGAGTCACAGTGCTGAAGACGATGAAAATGACGGTATTTTTCGTATCCTTCTTTTTTTATCGATCCACTTCCAGATATTTCTACTACAGTAGCTCCTTCGAGTGAAATCACTGAGAAGGTTCATTTTGAAGAGAACTCAATTTATATACTATCACTCAGAAATTGAAAAGAATTTCGCTAAAAGGATTTGGAGACAAAATAGCTCAACTGGACGAAATTGAAAGAAGGCAACAGATCGCGAGAGCGAAATCTCGATCACAGAAGAAAAAACGAACTCATCGGTCCGTCCTCACCTTTAGACTTTGTCAACCTCAATATATTTGTTTTCAGAAAGTATCAGCTTGGCGACAAGGAAAATCAAGTTCCTAAAACATCAAGTGCAGAACATAAAGTAGAAATGGTAAAGAGTGAAGAGCCGTCAAGATTGAATAAATACACTTCCTCTTCAACAACAACTACAACAACAACCGAGGAGCCCAAAACTACTCCGAAGGTTTTTTAAAATCTTAACATCTGAATCTTTTTTTTTTTGAAGAAAAAATTACGAAGAAAGTTGAAAAAACGAGTTATCGATAGAAAAAGAAAACAGGTAAATTTTTTTTACCTTTGTTCACCTTCCGATTGATTTCAGCACTCGTTTGAGCAAGAATCATATCTTGGTGGATGGAAAGAAGAAGGAATAGTGGTCCAGCCAATTGTCCGGTATATTCTGATTGTTCTTTTTCCAAAATGGATAGACTTTTTAGAGATCGTTCTTCGAGCAAGGAAGAAACCCCAGCTCAACCGAAAACAGTCAAGTTGTACCTTTTTCATTAAAAAAAAACGTGACTGGTTAAGGAAAGAGGGATTGAGAGAAGAAGGTGAAGTAGTGCGACCGGAGCTCACAAAGTTTACAAACTGTGGTTGATCTTTTAATTTTAAATTTTCAGTGTGGAAACTTCGATTGACCAAAAAACTTTGATGGTTCCCGTGGAGCAATCAGTCAACGATACTTACCTTAAAGCATACTATGAAGCGTATTACAAAGAGTGGTACAGGTATTGTTTTTTTTAAAAAAAGGCGTGAAAAAAATACAAAGAAATATATTGAAGGCTTTGTCGCCACAGTTGTAATGTTTTTGATCGGAATATTTTACTTCTTGAAACACTATGAAGTTATTCGATTGACTCAAACTTTTTCTAGAGCTGTATTTTCGGCCGTCCCAGAAAAAAATGGACTTGAATGAAAATTTTTTTTCTCCACGCAAAGTTTGAGCTTTGAGGTAACCGTTATGCTTGGAGTCTTTTTCGTAATACTTTGTCGTTTGAAGTTCCAGGAAATAAGAATCATCATAAAGAAAAAAATTTATTTTTTACTAAATTTTTTGCATTGAAATTACTTTTCAGACTGAACAACAAAGCTCAACTAGAGCAGCAAACTGCGCAGCCGAAGAAAATCACGATTGGCTTAAAAAATAAAAGTAGTGAAGTTCGAACTCCAGCGACTACCGGAACTTCAACAGCCCCCGCAATACCACCACAGCAGGCGCAAGTCGCGGCTGGTCCGCCGCCCAATGCGCCTCCGAACGGATTGCCAGGAAACCCATTTGTAAATATTTCATTCTAAATTCAACACAAAATTTTGGACTTTTCACAAAAAAACTTTAAGTCAACTCTTTTTAATTGGAAAGGTTCTCAAACATGCCTAAAAACACTTTTTTTTTATGAATTTATCTCATATTTAAAGTATTTAAAGGCGCCCTAAGCTTTTCAAAAATATTTGAGCTATTACTGTTTTTTTCCAAACTTTTCTGAATTTTTATTCAATAGATAAAATAACGCAGACTTCTTAAGAAACGGAGGTTTTTCTCAATCAAAATTTTTTCAAGGCTTTCCTGGACCCAGTGCAAACAGGAGCGGTTTCTCCTTCCAAACAGCAGCTCGACACTATCTGCCATTCAATACGAGCTGTTTCAAAGTCTTTTGGCATTCGCGATCCTATTTCTTTTGCCAAAAACAACTGCGGATTTGTCAAGTTGTATTATCCCAACGTGAGTTTTGATAAAAGCCGTAAATTTCGAACTTTTTCTGAAAAATCTCAAGGAATCTCCAGATAAAAAAACAAATAAGTGCTAGCCACTTCTGATTTTCAAAAAAAGATAACTCAAAAAAATTAAGTTTCATATAAATTTTTAAGCAAGCCTTTTTTTGAGTCAATTTCTCTTGAAAAAAAGGGAGGTCCAAGTTCAGATTGGAAATGGAAGTTTTCCGTGGATTTTTTTGAAAAAAATTTAGTTTCGCCTAAAGTAATTTTTTTCCTTACATTAATGAAGTAATATCAAAACTCTGAAGGCAGTATTAGTTTTTCCAGTAAATTACATATTCAATGAAGGAAAAAGCTAATTAAAAAAATGTTTCAGGTAACATGCCTTCAAATTCAACACACAATGGAATACTGTGCGCCAATTCTCTCCTCATGACTTTCAAATACGGATCTCACTACCTCAATCATTGCCTTTTCATTGAAATATGTGGTACAGACAAATGTAATTTATTTTCGCATAATATCGATGTTCATAAAAAAATTTTTTTCATTCAACTTGTTTTTTTAAGGAAAAAAATTAAAAAAACTTATTAAACTGAGAGGCCAGAAATATTTATTTTTTTCATTTTTTTCAAAAATTCATCAATGTTTAAGACTTATAGTTATATGAGGCTTCAGTGATTCTACCTGAAAAAGGTAAAAAAATAATATTCAATATAGTTTTCCATTAAAAAAACAAATTATTTAAAAACCTTTTTAGGGAATTTTTTTTGCAAATTTATTTATGAAGGCATCTCTCTAAAAAAATTTTTTTATGGCAAGACAAAAATGGTTTCTCATCTTGAAACTTTTGATAAAAATTTGTCTATAGTTCTTGAAACAACTCTGGATTGAAAAAAAGACGCCCTCTCATCCAATTCAAATTATAACTTTATTTTATTCGGAGAGTTTCGTGTCTCAAAAAAACTTTTTCTTCAAAAAAAGAAAAAAACCGAAAGCTCTGCAGAGTCATTGAAGGAAACGAAGCGGAAAGGATTTGCGAGGACGACCCGTATGTCATTTTGACGACGTATAGCCAATCTAGATCGATAGAACCTACGCGAAGAGAACCTACTTGCTCTTTTCATTTTCCTTTTTTTTCAGGCCTTTTTTTGTCAACCAATATTTCCGTTATTTTTCTAAAAAACGTATGACTGTTATTCACATAAATTCTGTTAGGGGCTCCATGCATGAGGAAGGAAATGATAATTATGTCTTTTTATTTGAATATGATCCAATTTTTTTAATCGATTTTTTGTTGCCAAAATAAATATATCAAGTTCTGAAAAAGTTGGGAATTAGAACCAATGTAGATGGCATGAGGAGTTTGAGAAAGAGGTAAAAGCAAGTTTGCTCCATTGCGATTCTTGCTCAAAACCTAGGTAAAACTGAGAGATGAGATCTTATTTTGAACAGGCTCAAATTTTTATTTCACTTTGTTTTTATTCATCTTTTATATTTTCTTTCTTGTTTTAAAAGCTTTAATAAGTTGTAAACGAAACGTTCTAGAGTTTTCAGTTTTTTTTTTGTCTTTGGTTCAAACTTTTTTTTTCAGAATGCAAGAAATAGGATGATCTGCAGTGTTAGAGATCGTTTTTGCTTCAGGAAAGCGTTTCGTGGTACAACGCTCACTCTGTTATTTGTTTCCATAGCCGCTTCAGTTTTTTTACATTTTTATAGGTTCGTCGTTTTTTTGTCAAAGTGTGTTATAAAAACTTTGAAAAATGAAAAAGAATTTTTTTATTTGTTTCGAAGAAACATAATGAATTCAAACTTTTCAGCTTATGACGAGTATGAAGAATCAGATTCACGAGAAAGGTTTGCTTCCTTCTTAAAGTGTATAACGAAGTACTCTGGATTTCTAGGGTAATACATCAAAGCTCACATCCAACGGACCAAAATTTACATCGACGTACAAATGAAAAAATTGAAAGATATGGGTTAGTAGCATTCTATTGATTTTGAAAACAGATTTCAATTTGAGGTTCAACATGTCCGGAAAGGATGTTATAGTTTTTCTTCACATCCAAAAAACCGCCGGGACTACATTTGAGAAGTTTTTAGTTCGTTACCTGAACACAACGGAGCCGTGCACTTGTAGAGCCCACAAAAAAAGATGCACCTGTCCCAGGCCAAACTCTTCGAATGAAGTGAATTTTTTTTGTTAATGAAAAAATCGGAAGTTCCCATTCAATTCTGTCTTTTTTCACTTTTTGAAGATCCAAGCTCTTTCGATCTTAGACATGGCTGTTTTCTCGCTATTCAACGGGCTGGGCGTGTGGACTTCATGCAGATTATACCGAGCTATTTGTCAACAGATGCGTTGAACGCTCTCTGAACAAAGTTACAGGTTTTTTTTGTTTTTCTCCTTTTTTTCAAGGGTAGTATTCAGGAAAACCAAAAAATCGGCGATATTTTTACACGACGTTTTTGAGAGATCCCATTGGTCGGTTCATATCCGAATACCGACATGTGAACCGAGGAGCTACCTGGATCGCATCGAGGTTTTTTTGGAGTTTTATTTCATTTTTTTAAATTCAAAATTAATTTTCCAAAAAGCCTTTATTAAGACACGTATGCAATGGAAGAATGCCAACCTTAGACGAACTCCCGCTTTGTTTTGATCCAATAATTGGTTGGGACGGCGTCTCGATTGATGAGTTTTTGAAGTGTCCATACAACTTGGCTTTCAACAGGTTTTTTATTTGTTTTTTGAAGTGTTTTATATTTTTTATAGGCAAACTAGAATGTTAGCCAATTTATCATTGATCGGTTGCTATGAAAACATCGCGTTACCTTCGGAAGAACGAGACCGGTTAATGTTAGCCAGCGCAAAAGAAAATTTGAAGTTTGATTCAATTAGAAAGTTTATTTGAAAAAAAAACATTTAGGAGGCTTTCCTACTTTGGGTTGAAAGAAAGAATGCAAGATAGCCAGTGGATGTTTGAAGAAATGTTTGGCATGCAGTAAGTTGGAAAGAATCTTTCACTCTTCGTGACTTCCTAATCTATTAGCGATAACCATCCTGCATTTATGTGCTTTGGAATCTATAGCTGATTTACGGCCAGTTTGAAACGCGTCGTGTCTGCGCTCTCCATGATCCAGGCGCTATTTTGTGCATTATCGTGTCAGGACCCTTTTTTTTAATAGCTCAAGCCAGCAGTAAATCAGCAATATTCATTTTCCTCATTACTTTTTTTGATATTTTCTCTTTCAGATTTACAAAAAAAATGTCTGTGTGGAGCAAAAGCAAATCAAATGACACGATTCTATCGCCTTCTCAACTAAAAGCCATCCGGCATGTGAATCTCCTTGATTCGGAACTATACGAATACGCTACAACCTTGTTTGAAGAGCGGTATCAATCGCTGAGAAGCGAAAACGTGAGATTTCTTTTTTTTCTCTTTCCATATACTATTTTCAGCTATCCCGAAAAAAACTACTGACCAATCTTTCTTGAGCAGCTTCTCATAATAAAATTAGCTCTATGTACATATGAGATTTTTGTTGACCCGTGCATTTCTCTTGCTTTAAATCTCAACTTCAAATCACTCAATTGGTGCTTAAAAGCCCGGGTTATATTGTTCAACAATTTCTTGCCTTTTTCAACTCGTGCAAATAAATTTTTTTCAAGTGTAATTTTATTTTACAAGAAAAGAAGATAATCATATCGGACATTTGTCGTTTCTCTGGTTACCCGCGAACTTGTAATAAGCTTTCGCGATTTCATCTTTTGTCCTGCTTTGGAAACGCGGTTTGTTAAGGAAGTTACGTTGCTTTGAAGGGCGAACTAACTTTTCGAAATCTGAACAAAATCATCAAAACTGTCGTAAACAATGAAATCAAGTTCACCTCCCAAGTCGGCACAAAGTTTTTTGGAGTCGTGAAGCTGACGGGCTGCGCACAGAAATCCTCGTTTGCATTTTTCGTCGCATTTTTTCAGTCCATCGAAAGAAGTGCGGCGGTAATAATTGCTGAAGAAACAGTTACAATTAGTGTCGATTCCTGGAGAATTCATTTGATTCACATCTAATACCCTCGTTTCAACATTTGTTATACTTTTTCAAACTTTTCGCAAAAATTCAAAAGCAAACTGTATTTTTGAAGTTACTCGTTTTAATTGACATCTCCGTGTTTGATGCGCAAAGTCTGCGTAACTCACTCTCTGTATTTCTCGAAAAGATCATCATCGGTGATCATTCGCGTGATGAGATTGTCCCATTCACTTGCAGCTTGAGATTGCATGCCTGAACTTTTCATAATCATTGATTTATTTCAACAAAAACCGCCTGTCTAGAAGTTAGACACAGGTTTGTAAACAAAACTGACCGTACTCCTGGTTTGCGCTGGCGTAAAGTTTCTGCCATTGCGGATTTGATGGATTTGCATTGTTGGTGGTCAAGTTGAAGTACCATTCTTCGAAATCGATCACTTGCTGAGAATAATTATCCTGACAAAAAATAAAAAATGATTAAATTTACGTGAGTTGATCCTGTGTAGTCTCCGTCGACTGTGTAGATGCGGTAAGCTGGGTAAAACTCTGCATATGGAGTGAGAGAGGGAGCAGAATATACAACACTAAAAATATATCTGCATTTTACATTCATCCACCGGTCTCTTAAAAAGCAGGTTTATCAATTCATTATTTGTTTTCTTCATGATAACTAAAAAAGGTATTGATTTTTCGCAAGGAGGTTGGTAGCTGATTATTTTTTCAGGAAAAAATACTTTGTACATCTAGCTATTTCTGAGTTATAGTGGATCAAACTTTAACGAAAAAGCTCATTTTCAATGGGCTAATCTAATAAATTTTTTCAACAAAGCTAACTGCAGCTAAACCTTGTAGGAGTACTCTTCGGATCGTATGGATCCGCATAAGAAACGTAAAACTCTTCAGAGTGGGTATGTCCAAAGAACTGAGCTTTGATGGTGTTTGCAAATCTGTAACTCGAAATGGAATTTGAATTTCTGAATTCCTATTAACCGATTCAAAACTTTGTAATACATGAGACCCCAGCCTTGAAGACACTCTCCATCGGCTCCAGGTATGTGAGCGACAACGTGAACCTATTAAACGTTGGTTTATTGGCCACAAAAATAAGAACTACATGATCTCCAGCCTTCTCCGCATCGTAGAGCTGATTTATGAACCAAGTCATGGTTCCATCGGGATCGGTTTGATTGATGTACAGCCAGCTGGAAGAAACTTGAATTAAAAAAAGTGCTTCATAATTTTTCGAATCAGATGAACAAAATGATTTAACTTAGAGCCAATGTGATTCATTTTTAGGCTCACTTCTACCGTTTTCTATTTTCATGGCGTTCAACTTGACTTCTTAACTTTAACTTTTTCGAATGTCTTGAACAAAATGTCATGAACGGAGAACGCTATTTATCGAAAAGAAAAGAGGAACACACAAATTGACGCGATCTCCCATCACCGTGTTCAGAGAAACAATTCGAAGTCCCGGGTAGAGTTTTACCATGTAGCAGCCGTTGCTAAAAATTTATCTGTTTTTTATTTTTTTTTTATCTTTTCAAAACTAACTATCGAACGAGTTTATCCTGGTCTTCAGGCACCCAGCCTTTCCAGGAATCCGCCATCGCAGCGTACAACCAATCCATGTGATACTTCTTCGGAGTGAAATGAGGAGTGATGCTGGAAAGAAATTTCATTTTCATTTTTGTCTTATAAGGTACAAACTTGTCAATTGGAACGCCTTCATGATTGCCAACAGTGAAGTAAATGGGAGTGTCCGGAAACCTTCTGAAAGTTTGTTATTAAAAAGATGATCAATATCCTACAAACTTTCACGAAAAAGTTTTCTCATTATTTTTTTATGTTAAAAGTTTCAAAATTTTTATCAATATTAAGCACTTTGGTTTTATGATGTTTGAGAAGGGACTGAAAAAAATCTCAACCGCGCATACAGCCGCTGTTTTTTTCCTTATGAAACCTATTTTACTTGTTTATTCGACGATAGTCTTACAACACTTGAGATAAGACGCCTTAATATCGATTTTATACTGGTTTATAAAAATGAGCTTAAGAAAGAAAAAAAATGTATCCCATAAAAAATTCATTGCAAGCGTAGAGAAAAATCCAACTAACGATCTTAGTTCATCCGAAATGTTGTGAATTTTTGCGATATGCGTCACGTTGTTATAATCCCAATCGGCATGTGACATCAGGTCGCCAGAAACAACTATGTAGTCGAGCTGAAATCAAAAACTTCCATTTGATTTTTGTTTCCTTTCTCCATTACCTTTCCATTATTGGCGACAATATTGTCCAACATGTTGATGTAAAGCCAATAAGGAGCATCGCAATTTCCGACGGCCCCCCAGTAACCGGCTGGATTCTTCACGGCCTCGGCTTCCTTGAGAGCTTCTTTTATTTTCCGAAATTTGCTTTTTTGGAGGCAAATGTACACAATAATAATAATAGGTTTGAAACGACTTCTGTGTTTTTCCAAAAAGTTTTCTTCTCACTCCCCAAAGCTGTATTTTGTTTTCAAAAATGATCCTAACGCTGAATTACAACTGTTAACAAAATCCTTAAACTTCAGACCTTTACTTTTCAACAGCCCTTGTCAATCCAATATTAATTTTGGAAACTAAAAAAAAATTCTAACAGCCATTATATACTGTTCACAACCTTCCATTGAACGTTCTCATTGGCGCGCATGTAAACCTCGTATTTATTTTCGATCCTATTATTTGCATTGTTTACTTTTTTTGTTTGCATTTTGTCGTTTTTCGAGTTTTTTTAACGTTTGAAACACTTTCAATGTTCGAAATGCATTTTTTACAGGTCAAACTGCTCTGGCAGGTGTTTTACCGCCGGCGTCCTTTAACGACTCAAAAACTGGTTGGTTCTTATTTTCATATTTTTTTCAAATACTTTTATGCAAGAAATTTCATGAAAAAAATTATAAAAAAACCTGAATCAATTTTTTTACTTTTTTTAAAAATTTTTTTTTGCTGTTCCATATTTGTTCAACATTAACTTAAATTGAAATAGTTTTTTTGACGTTTTTTTATTCTCAAATTTTTTTTCGAAGTTTTTTTGAAAGAGGCTTGAATCCACAACAAAAAAACTGCTTCAGAATCATTTTTTTGTTAAAAATGCTGACCATTACGAAGCTTTTTTTGAGTTATCGCCGAGTTTCTATTTTATGTCATTTGAATAATGATGAAAAAAAAACAAAAAAAATTGTCCCGAAATTCAAAACAATTGTTGCGATGATTCTGATGAGAGCATGCTGATACACAGAACTCAACAGAAGTGGAAAAGTATCAAATTAAAAATTTTCGCTTGATTTTTTCCCTCCTTCTTTTCAGTGCAGCAATGAGCATTGAAATATTTTGTTGGATTTTTTTTTTTGAGTTATTCATTTTGAATTCCTCTCACGTCAGGGAGGTCTTGAGGACGACAGCACTGTGGAGACCCACAGTCCACTTCAAAACCAGGAGTGTAGTGCATATCCAAGTGAAGATCCGTAAGGTGAAGCACTCGTTTCGTAGGATTTCCAGGCTGAAATTTCGGGGCTTGCACTAATGAAAGTTTATGATATTATCTTCAAGGTTTTTTTAATATCAAAAAATTTTTCACCTTCACTGGCTGCTGAGGTACGAATACCGGTTGGTTTGGCGGCAACGGCAAATTCCAGTTGTCCAAAAGAGGATTCGAGAAGTTTCCACAAGCTTTTTTTCTCATTACTGGTTTGAATTCACAAAAAAAAACTAACTGTTGTGCATCAGAAGGCCACAAATTTCATGTGGAACGACGATGATCTGCTGTATAACATATACAAACTCATCCTGGAATACACTTTGTTACTCAGAGTTATAAACTAAAAGCAACCTTGAAATCAGAAATGATGTATTTACATACGAAATCGTTTTCAATGCGGAAGGTTTCGCAGATAAAAGTTACCAAATCACCTGAAAAATTTGTGGCATCAATTTTTTATATTCACTTTTTTAAAAATTGTTTTCTCACTAACCAACACAATCTGAAGTAGTTTTATCTCCCCAAGCTTCATGTAGAAGATCAACAGCCAGTTCACATTGTTCACAATCCGTCAGAGCTGATACTGTTCCTAAAAGACTTCTTCCTCCTATCTGATAGCACCGTTGGTTTAATGTTGTATTTTTTACTTTTCACATTGTTTTAAGCTGATCTTAAAATCGAATTTTTTATTATGTTTTCATTGTACCTGAAAAAAGCAGCAGCGCGGCAAAAACCTTCAGCAACATGATCAGTGCCAAAGAGAATAAGACAATGCGTTTATCAAATCAAGCCACATGCGTTATCTCCAAACGTCCCACACAATCTGGCCATTGCGATTGCAAGCTCCACGTGTCAGAAAATATGAACTCTACCGCCATAAGATGTTTTTATGGGCAAAGGTTTACAGATTTGATTTTGGTCCATCGGTCCGATAATGCAAGGTTTATTCGACGACGCAACGGAGCCAGATCGTGAACTGAGAGAAGAATCGTGGAACAGGTTTAATGATAAATATAATAAGGAAACTCATCTTTTTGCTGTGTTTTCAGGTTGCGGGAGAAAATTGAGGCTTGCCAGAAAATTAGAAGTGACACAGAAAACGTTCGAGAGTCACTCAATGACTCTTCTCTGATCGACACACTGCTCGCCTTCAACTTGGCTCGTTCTACTTTTCGATATCAATTAATGGGTTTTTCTCAGGACGCAGAAATTCAACATTATGAAATCCGGGTCCGTGTCCTGCGAAAAAAGATTGAAGAAATCAGCCGATTATACTTATACAAAAAACGATGTTTGAGAGACGCAAATGAAGCAATATTTAAAAAGGTTCTTTTTTTCAAAAAAACTTTTTCAAAAATTTTTTTTTCAGCAAGGGACTATCGAAGAAGTTACAAATTCAAATGCTTTGCTCGAGCCGAGGTTGCAGGTTTTGACCAAAAAAATTGAGCAAAAAGAGGTGAAAAACTTTGGAAATTTACACAAAAAGTTTATCAAATTATTCAGAAACTGTTTCAAGATTTTATTCGAACTGTGCAGAACTAGGAAATCCTCATTAATGCAGGAATTGGTCGAATTGTTCGCAATCGAGGTTTGTTCGGAGATTTTTGTTTTCAAAATCAGAAGTGAAATAGTTAGACGGCGGGCCTGCAGCAAGAGGAACCTTTAAAACAAACCAATGCAACTGTGTTCTGATTGACACGATCAGAGGATACCATCTGCCTTATATGCAGTCTATCATAGGTTGGTAGACAATCAGAAATCAGATTCCTACTCATATTTCAGGACATATGGAAATTGAAACACTCGCTGCGATAAGTTACGCTTTACAAGTGTTTCACGTGTTGGCTCGCATAATGGACTACAACTTCCGCTACCCAATCATTGCCTTTGCTGGGATCGCAAAAGTTGAACTTCCTGCAGAAAACAGAACGTTAGTTATACTTTTTCGAACTTTGAAATTTCATTGGTTTTAGAATTCCACTGTTGGGTTGGAAAAAACGAATCGACAAGGAGAAGTTTGAGGAAGCCGTGAGCTTGATCAGCAAAGACATCACTCAGCTCCGCTCGGATACCGGATTCCCCACGCAAGTCATCGACAAAACCTTGTACCTACTTTTCGATTGGGTACGCGCCATCAATGGAGGGTTAGTCCTTTTTGAATTTGTTCATTTGCATTTCAAACATAAGTAAATTTTTCAATCGTTTCATAAACGAAATACCAGAAAGAACAAATATTAAAACAAACCTCAAAGATATCAACGATCTAAGTTAATTATTTTTTTGATCAAAAAAACGGGAAGCAATCAAAGTTTCAATTCGAATTATTTGGTCGCTGTAACTTGGAATTATTGATTTTATCCACTTAAAAAAACGTTCTCTTCAAAAAAATCAGAGTATTAGAAGAAAGCAGAAAAATTTTTGTTTTGAGAACTCGTCCTGTTTGTCGATGAAAATAAGGTAAATTCCTGTCACTAAAGGCAAAAATTCAAACCTATTTTCAACAGTGTAATTTATAAAAAAATTTAATAACAAATAAATAACAAGAAAAACATTTATAAAAAGACCCAATAAGGTCCTAAAGAGGAAGTTTCGTATGATAAAATGCTAAGTACGCAAACACCATGACGACAGTAGCGAGAAATTCCTTCTTGCCGCGGTGTGTTTTTTTGCTCTCTGTTTCTCTTATTTTTTTCAACTTATTTTTTTTATCTTTTTTTCGTTTTTTTGCTTCTTAAATCTTTTTTTAAGGTTGTTGATTGAGAAAAAGTTTTTTTGGTATTAAACTTAAATAAACTGATATTTCTTGAGTTGGGATCAAAAAAATTGTGATTATGGCCAGTTTGATAGTAATTTTTTTGTAAAAATTTACTGCAATCATATAGTATTAGTTCAATGGACACGTTTTTTTGGGTGAGTCGCATTGAAATCGCATTGAAGTTAGTTTCAGTTCTAGTACAGCTCATAGTTTTGGAAACTTGATTTAATTCAGAATCCAAAAGATGACAGTTACAATTTCGCACAGAAAATCGGACAGATGCCGTTTTTAATGTAATTAATAAATATTCTGAAAGTTTAAACTTACTTTTTCTTTCCTTGATACTTTTTGAAAATCAAAAATTAAAAACGGTTCAGTAATTTTTGGTAGCATTGTGCTTTTTTTCTTTTTGAGTAATCAAACTAATATACAGGAATTTCAGGATTTTTGCTTGAATTGAAAATATTTCCTTTTGCAAGCTATAAACCTTTCTTCTCAACAAGTTTGCTTTCAATAAAATAAAATTATTTTGAAAAATAGTGACTTCGAAGCAGCATCAATCTTTTTTTCGGTTTTTTTTTTACAGATCGTTGAAAATGACTCTCTCTTAGGTTTATGATTATATGGTTTCGAAATGAAATTCCGTGTTTTTTCAAAATGATTCTCAACTTCATTTATCTTTTTGTTTTGTGAACATTTGATTTCAGCCCGTATCATCGTATGTATCCGCGGCCTTCGGAGAGCATCAGCAGCCCGGCTTCGCTCATCACCGACGACGTTCAACACGTTTACGTCTCGGCGCCCGTTTCGCATTTCGTTTGTGACTTCCGTCAGACTCCGAACGACGTTGAGGAGGCGCTGGAGTGCCCGTATGAAGAGGATTTCAATTTTTCTAGCCTTTCAAAAAAGAAAAATTCTGTGTAGCACTGCACATCCAATCTGATTTTTTAATCTTTTAAAAAGAGAGTTTTGTTTATCTGTTTATGTTGTTTATTTGTTATTATTTTCGACTGTAAGTTGTCATTAACCGTGGTTTTTTTTTATTTGAATTTGTCAAATTGTTGTTATTTACTCGGTTTCCTTGTATCAGTCATATTTTTTTTATATTCGTGGCCTTTTATTTTGTTATACTTACACTTTAACGGTTAATGCTGGAAATGCCTTATGATGGAAAGTCTGTCAAATATCTTTTTCACTTGATTTTTAACAATAATTGTTCTTCTTGTTTTGTTTTATGTTATTCGACGTGTTTTTATTTTATGTTTGTTTAAGTATGGTCTAAATCGTGTCAAATAAAGCTGTACTATCACCTGAAATTATACTTTTTTTTATTTTTTTGAATCGTCGGTTGAATTTCGTTCGTTCTATTTGAAGAGAAAAAAAGAGTAAATAAAAAAATGTTGATTTGAGCAGGTGGATGCCGAATTGAAAGCACAAATGAGTGACGAATCGAAAAAGGCTCACCGACACTGATGAGCGGCAGCTCGAGGAAATGACTGAAGTTAAATCTCCTATTGTTATCACCGATGTTGATGATGAGGTTTACAATTTTTTTCATGTTAATAAAACAGAAAATGAGTTGAATCAAAAAAATAAAAAGTAAATTATTTTAGCCCCCTCTAGAGCCACGTTTCAAATATGAACGGATGGATGGAGAAAAAAAGCAAAAAGAGGTTTTTCAAGTTTTTTTGCTTCCCAAGGAACCTTTTTTTCAGTTGCTCCAAAAAAGAAATACTCACAGCGATGAGTCTTCACGACAAAATTGTTATCGTTGGAACGCAAAACGGTTCCATCTGGGTCATGGACCACCAAGGCTTCAGCAATTTTGACAATGTACCGGTACGTTTTGAAATTTTATCAGATTGCTCTATTATACAAACTTTTCAGTTTCTTGAAAAAAAAAACTTGAATATTTTGTGCTTCAAAATGTTTTTACTTCTGATTGCCTAACAAATGATTTCCATTTTTTTTTCAGGTTTTCCGTCCTCATCGATGCGCGGTTAGTCGTCTTTCGGTCGAGGCTACTGGTAGTTACATTCTGAGTTGTGCTAATGACTGCCGCGTTGTCGTAACTGGCATTGGAACTGACGAACTCAATTGTGTAGGTTTCATGTCACTAAAAAATTTGATAAATTACCCTTCATTTTGAAAGAAATGAAATAAATTTGATTCCAGACGATCAACGTGCAGTACATGCCAAAGTGCATCGTCATGAGCCCCACTTTTTCTCGAAAAGACTGCACTCCGAGTTTTTTGGTCGGGGAGCGCAGCCTGATCCTCTACGAAAAGAAGTTTCTTGGCTATAAATCCCAGGTCAGAAATCATGAGAAAGCATCAAAAATTCCAATTTTCAGACGTTGTTTGATGGTGGAGAACGTGATGGCTTTATAATGTGTTGCTCTTGGGAAGGACGCTACATTGCGTTCAGTAATGACAGTGGCACTAGGATTTTTAATAGGTTTTTTGAAAGTTTTATTTTCATGATTTTTCAGATTTCAATATTGAAAAGAGGAACAAAAGTTGGTTAGGAAAACATTTTAATTCAAACACAAAAAGCTACTTTTTCTTTTTTAATTTAAATATTTTCCTTTCAGGTTCACACGTAAAATGCTGACTCGCGTGCCGCCGCAACACGACGTCGACCGTATTCGCTCTTTTTGCGCCACTCCGCAACATTGCTGGCTGCCGAACGATTCGTTGGCCATTGGATGGGCAGATACTGTAACTGTTGTTGCCGTGGTCAACGTCGACGGCGTGAGTGCAATTTCAATTACGATTTTCTCTGTGTGACAACACTGAAAAAATGTAGAAATTTTTACTAATCAGATATGTTTTATTATTTTGGTTTGAATTGGCCCTCATTAATTGAAATAGTAATAACAATCATAAAAGTTCACACCTAAAAATCAAGTTGGTAGGATGATCTCTCGATTTTGCAGAAATATTTTAATTTGAGATAAAAAATTGTTTGATTTACTTGATCAAAATTTGAAGAGCCTTAAATCTTGATTATCTTAGGTTAGCTGAGAGTTTGATAAGCTCATCTCGAAAATTCAGCACTTTTTTTTAAGTTTGAACCTTAATATCTATATTATTTTCATGAAAAAGTGTTCTGACCAAATTTTAAGAAAAGTAAAATTGTTCCTAAAAAAAATATTTCCTTTTTTAGCAGTTTTAAAAAATTGGAAAACATTGAGAGTTGCTACATGAAAATGATGAATCTCAAATGCTTCAGCAAGAACGAGGAGAAGTTCATCGCATGTGGCACCTTTCGCTTTTTGTCTCCGGCATTTCCTACACCTTAGACGAAAGGAACAATTGCAACGAATTCTTCATCGTTGGACTACGTTCGGAAAACGACGAATTTGATGACGCTGCGGTCAGTTTCGAATCGCTTGAAAAATATAAAACAAATTTTTTCCAGTCCACCATGTCTTCTTGTACGGCGTGGACGTCTTCGGACAGTACGGTGCCGCCAGTTATACAGACTTGTGTCTTGTCGCCTTTGAGTTTGAAGGAATACGAATTGCTCTCCGAAGACTATCTGTCCAAGTTTGTCTTCTGTATAGAAACATTCTTAAAAGTTTTATTTTCAGCATGAAACTTCGCAAGCATTTGTTTCCCAGCCACGTTCAAATGCTTGGTATACCTTCGTGCAACTCTTATTTTATCATGGGTCCTTATGACCTCGTTGTGGTTGGTTGGAAGCTGATTTTAATATAACTGAACTATGTTGAGGCTACGCCCTACGGTGCTTACGATGGTGTCGCATTCCGGTTGAAGTACAAAATGTGGGATCCAGCCTGGGAAATGGCCATGCGTCATGTAAGTCAAAAATCATCGAGCAAAATATGAATCATTCATTTTTAGGCGGAAGAGTTGGAGAAAACCAATCTGAACACGAAGGCTGTCGGACGGCAAATGATCGAAGGTTTTTTGAATAGCGATCGACCCAAAGCCGCTGCAGCTCGTCTACCACAGGTCTGGAAACTTGATAACAAAAATATTCAGCAAGAATAATGTCCAGGTTGCTGGCGAGAAAAGCTCGGAATGGGAATGGGCTGTTGACTTGTTCGAAAGACATCGTCTTAGCACAATGCTTGCTGAGGTTTTTCAGAAAGCAAGGTTACAGTTAAATAGATCAAGAATTTTCAGGTTTTGCCGACTTCAAATCCTCAACTACAACCTGAGTGTTACGAAAGTGTCCTGAACGCTGCGCTGTACAATGACGCGAAAATGTTCAAGAAGCTCGTTCAAGTCTGGAATGGCGACTTGTACAGAACTGGTTAGTGTTTTACAAAATGTTTCAATACTTTTTTCAGGAAAGCAAAATCAGTTTCTAGTTAAATAATTACTTTTATAAATTTTAAAAAGGTTTAAACTGTTTACTAAGCATCAGGTCTGAAATTTTATTAAAAACTATCCAAACAACTGTTTTCGAAAACTGAGTTTAGTTTCAATCAACTTCAATGAACTTTGCCTGATTTCTTATAAGAAAGATTATCGAAAAATCTATTTCAGGCCACCTTATCGATTTGACACAGTGGCGAATCAAACAAGTCGTGTCTGAAACTTCTGGCGCCGAGTCTCGTGTCGAAGAAGCGTATCTTTGCGAGGTTTGATTTCAACTTTTTGAAACTTCAAATATAAGAAATTTCAGGCTCTTGCTGCCCTGTACATCTACGAAAGAAAGTACAGCCAAGCTTTGAAGATTTACATGTCAACCCGTGATCCTCAAATCTTCAGTATCATCGATAAACATCACCTTTTTCAACTGGTTTGTAGTACACGCGAAACTTCAATATAAAACTGGTTCAGGTGAAAGACGAAATCACCGAGCTGATGAAAATCAATTCGGACCGAGCACTGCGTCTATTATTGGATAACGAGGACAGTGTTCCCGCGTCGTATGTGATGGACAAGATTGCGAGACAACCCAAAGTTCAAATGGCTTATCTCACAAAGCTGCTTGCCCGCAACGAAGGTAGGTTATTTAATAAATGGAGACTCCAAAATAGCTTGAGTCCCTGAAATGTGTAACTGTTCTGAAACAAGAACTCAAGCTTAAAATTTGAAAAAGGTTTTAAGACACAGTGGGCCGAAAATCCACGCTATGCACAAAATGACGTTAAATATCATGAAATTTTACCCCAAGGGCTTCTTCCTGCGCTATGAGTCTTATAAGAAACTATTATTAGAGCAAATTTTTTTTGAATTTTTTTTCGTACGGATTGGGACATGTCATATTTTCCCTAATTCAGTCAGATTTTAATCACCTTTTGCCAGTATTCCATTTAGCAATCATTTTTAGGCAGTGAATTCGCGGACAAGGCCGTTCAACTGTATGCCGAGTACGATCGCAAAAAACTCTTGCCATTTTTGCGGAAGAACGAGCATTACCACATTAACCGCGCTCTTAGCATTTGCAAACAAAAGAACTACGTCGAAGAGGTAACTTAGAAATTTCGAAAGAATGAATGTTAATGATTCCATTTCAGACCATATTGCTCTTGGAAAGAGGCGGTAATCATGTGGACGCGATAAACCTGATGGTAGCAACGTATAAAAACATCGAAAAGGCGGTCGAATATTGCAAGGGTACGCCGAGAAATCAGGTCAAAGTAAATAACTAGCTTTAGAGCAAGAAGATCGTGATCTTTGGATGCATCTGATTGACGCGGTTGTCCGAACGCCTGAGCATTTTGCCAAGCTTCTCATTCAAGCCTCTGGCAGTTTGGATCCTTTGATTATCATTGAAAAGGTGAGTTACCCAATTTAAAATATTAACTTGCTTCTTGGACTTCGAAATAATGAATAAGTTGATATTTTTCTTTTGATTTGCTCTAAATTTTTTTAAGATTGATAAAATTTGTTTTTAAAGTTTTAAGCTTTATCTTATAAACTCAAGCTCATGTGGATGATAATTCTTACAAATTCAGAATTTCGAAAAAAGAAAACTATTTGATCAACTTTTTTTCAGATTCCCCTGGACACGGAGATTCCAGACTTGCGAGATTCGCTCTCACGCGTTCTTGTCGACTACGAAGCGCACGTTGGCCTGCAGAAAGGCTGCAAAGAAGCCATGTTGGGGGACAATCGCGTACTTTTGGACGGCTTTCTTGTCACCAACTCGGCCGCCGTTTACGTCCACGGCAACAAAGTTTGCCATCTTTGCGGGTATGATTTTTTTTTTCAACACCTTATTTCTCCATTAAAAATGACATTTTTAGGGCTCCTGTTCTGAAAATAGATGAAAGAATTCAAACGGGTCTCCGTATGTTCCCTTGCGGACATGTCTTTCACAATTCTTGCAGCACAGAGGTAATCATTTTCATGCATTTTTTAGTTTGACGCTTTTTTGAATTGGAATCGATGGGTATTTCATTAAACTCTTTTTTCAGGCGGAAAGAAGGAACTCGTCGATGAATGACGAATGTATTGCTTGCAGCGAGAAAACGCGCGATTAATTTCTTCATTCCGCTCCTTTCTGTGATATCATTTTTTATCTTGTTGAAATATTAACGGTTATTTTCTCCCAGTTGCTTCTGCGGGTTTCCAAGCTTCACTTACTTTTACAAAAAGTTCATTTTTACCTCAATTTCTCCCGGTTAAATACTCAGATGTTTCTTACATATCTTTATGTTCCCTACTGTCGCAATTTTTCTTCTCTTGTTAGAATACTGGTTCATAAATATTTGTGTTTTTTTTTGTTTGGAAAAAAAAACAATTAGAAAAAAACTTCTGCACACAATAACTTTTTCCAATTCCAAAAAAACAAAACGCCAAAAAGTATAGAAATCTTCTAGAAGCTTCACGCAATTTCACACATCACAATTGATAGGGTAAATACAAAGAAAACATTTGTCAGTATCTTTAAGCTACAGGCAAGAAAATAGAGCCGGTGGAAATCTAAGTAGAAACGAGATGGTTTTTTTTTGAAAAATAGGTTAAATATTTTTTTTCTAACGTTTTAATACATTATATGTATAGCTATGATAAAAAATAAGTATGAACTATGAAGTAAGCCGTAAAAAATCTGGGAAATATTGATTGGATCTCTCGCAATATGCTCAAACGAACAGATGATTTTTTCACTTCCTGTCGTTTGTTTTCGGCTCAAGATGAGCTCGCTGATCTTCGAGACGTCCAGCTTGCATGCGGAGAACCAGCTCAGTGACGTCTTTCTCCTTTTTACGGTTTCTCTCTTCTTCGATTTCTGCAGAAACGTACGAGTAAAAAGAAAGAAGCCCTTGCTCTACTAACCACACTCGCTTTTTGGAGTCGGTAATTCGCTGCGCTGTTCGTCGATACGTTCACTTTGAACACGCATCAGCCATTCCACAAGATGACCATCCAATTCTTCCACAGTTTTACTGGGAGTTCAAAAAAATTTTTCAATGAATCTTTTTAGAAAAAAATTTGAGCGAGACAGCGTTTAATTTTTTTGATTTTAATCGACCAAAAAATATTTTAAGTCTGTTTGAGTTATTTTCTTCTTTCTGCATGTCTAAGCGAAAATTGCAGTTTTTATTTAAACTTGGCGAGAAGTGATGAAACCCTAGGAGTGCCGACGCAAACAAATTTCCATCTTTGGATATGTAGCCTTGAGTTTCCTACCGTTTTTGATACGCCTACTCAAGATGAAAAATTTTACGAATCCGAAAGTTTAATTTTTTTTTAGAATTAGGATAGATTTCAGAATTCGTATGGAAATTCTTTAATGACGATTTTTTTGAGAATTTTGAGGATTTGCCTCAATTTCATATGACTTCTTAATTTTTCATTTCTTGAACAAAAAAGCTGAGCAATCTTTACTGGTTTCTCAAGAATCCGTTTAGTTTCATTTCATAGGAGAAAAACCCACTTGTTCAGTTTCTCCAAGATGCATTGACCGTTTTCGTTGAGTCCGGGTAGAAGTGCAGCTCTTTGTTCATCCATTCTGCGTCCTTGAGCGTTCATAAGAAGATCAATCAAAGCTTCCGGACCGTCTAAAAAAATATAGAAATGTGAGAAGAAGCATTGACGAGAAAAATGAAGAATGGAATGATGAGAAACAGCAATAGCCGTGCAAGAGGCGAACAATTTTCAAGGCGCGAAGTGCTTTTGAAAGGCAATCGTGACCGGAATTAACTGAGGCTCAGGAGCGCCACCGGTCCGGAAGAGCAGAAAAACGCCTCCGATGAGGAACCATCATCTTGCGTTCAAGTTCTTGCTAAGCGTTACTCATTTGGTGTTTTTCAATGGTGTAAAAGTGATTCCAAACTCAAATTAATGGAATACGATGCTTTCACTCAATTTCCTGGTATTACACATCGAGTCTCACGTCAAAATATCCTTAATGTGAGTTTTCCGTTTCTGGTAGCTCATAGGAAGCTGAAAAAAACTGCTTTATCATTCGTTTTATTTTTTGCTTTTTCATAAATCCAAGCACCATCTTCAAGTTGATTTCCAGCTTAAAGTTTGGGTAAGTTGAACATCTAAGCGAGTTTTCTGCTCAGTTTCCAATCAAGTCGGCTACTCCGTTCACTACTAGAGAGTTATTTCCAAAATAGATCCTTCTACTTAATAAAGAAGAGATCAAAAAGCTTTCTTACGAGCCTTGACACGATAAATTGAGATCTTATGAGGAGAGAAATTATTTAAAAATCAGATGCTGGGCTGTGGGACAGAAATACGACAAGTTTCGCTCTCAAAAAAAAAATCCAGCAAGAAACTGAAAATCTCTATCTATATTTATTATTAGCAAGAAAATTGAAAACTGTCTGTTTTACGAAACTTTCTTTTGCGTTTTTCTAGAGGAATACTTTTTCCAGTTTTTTTCCCGGAAACTTCTTGGTTCATACTTGAAGTCAAAGTATACAAACCCGTTGACGAGTCATCTGGTTGGGTGTCAGATTGACGAACGCCTTGAGGCGTGCTGTTGAGCATTGAAATATCTGCGCGCTGATCATCCATACGTTCCGACTGCAGCCGCAAGACAAGCTCGAAAAAGTCGTCTTCTTTGGCTCGCTCCGACTTGTTCTGATCCTTGGTGAGACTCTAGAGAACGAAAAAAAAGGTTGAAAAGCCAAAATATTTTCAACGTTGTAGAAAAGGTTGGAAATATTGAGGTCATGTTTGTCTTGCACTTCGCTTTGAAGCAACGCAACAAACCGACAATTCTTGGCATTGTTGGAAAATAAGGTTAGTGCTTATATTTCTTTCTTGAAATCGACAGAAATGCTTTCAAAAAAAAAAATGTTTAATTGAATTCTTCAATATTCCGGATTTTATCACCAAAAGTTGTACTTCAAAAAAAGGGCATTTTACCCTGTTCCAGAGAAAGAATCTCAAATAGTACAATTTCGAATTTTGTCTGAAAGAAGATGTCTTGAATTGATCAAAATCATATCTCATCGCTTCATGATGTATTTTGGGACTTTTAGCCTTTTGATTTCTTACATCAAGAAACATTTTGAAAAGTTTGTTTAAAGGTCGCTTATTAAAAATTCAAGGTACTGTGAAAAATAGTAGTTTGTTTCAAGGTTGGAAACTCACATTGTTTTCAGTTACTGAAGAGCGTAGACATTCGTCATGCGCATGCGACCCATCAGAAACAAAGTAATCGTCTTCAAAAAAGGAGAGGAAAGTTTGATAGTATTCGACTTGGGAGCCGCTTGGATCCGCGGAATAATCGACGATCAACTGCAAAATGGCCATCACGATGAATTCAGAAAATAAAATCAAAAAAAAAACCTCAGAGCCACCGCTGGTGACAACAACGGTGCGGCCTTCTCTGATAACCTCGTTGAGAAGTTCGTTAACCTCGTTCAGTAGGCCCTTGTCGTGCAGCTGAAATATCCAATTAGTATTCGCAATCTATCCGCCGGCCTGCCAAAAGTTACACTAATCAAATATGGGGAACACATGGATGGAACTAATTAATGAGCCTTACGAATTAGAAGCGCTTTTCTATGCTGGCCTATTTCCGCTTTTTTCATTTGAAGTCCGCCTTTCCGAGTTGATATTCGGCTTTAATTTTAAATAAGGGCAATGGAAAGGGTGAAAGAAAAAATGAATGAAAATTATTTTGTAAGCTGTAAGCTCGGACAACCATTATTTTGGGAGAGGAGAAGTTTTCTTTCTCGTTTCAGATAATTTTTTCTTGAAATCTTGAACAATATTTTTGAAAAGGGATTTTTAATTCCTTAAGTGTATAGACCTTGAAAAAAAGCGGTTTTCCCTATTTTGCTAAAAATATATTACATAACCGAAATTGAAACTTGATGTTGAAATCCATGTTTTTTTCATTATTTTTTTCATGTTTGAAACATTTAGGAAAAGCGAAAAAACAAAATTATAAACTTGGAATTATCAGCTGCAGCGCTTTTTACCGTTAAAAAGTTCAAACTAACAAAATAGTAACTTTACTCTTGATAATTCATTCATAATCTCACAAATCTTGATAAAAACTATTGGAAACGCACTATGAATTTTTCCTAAAAAATTAAAAAAAGTTTTCCAACCAAACATTCCATAATTTAATTACCGTTAGGTTAACTATGAAGCTTTTTGCGCGTTTTGGTTTACTAGTCTCGAAAAATGTCTTTCTTTAATATTATCGAGCCAACAGTGAATAGATTAAAAAATTGAAAACGAAGAGTTTTATCGTTCTATCTATTTCAGATCTTCAATGGAACTCTCCAGCCTTTTTCCATCCGGTTGAGTTCTCCGAAAGAAACTTCCGCCTCTAAAAGATATGAGAGTCGTTTTCAGAAGCTTGAACTTCTCTTCTCATTCACTCGGCAGTTTCAAGCTCGTCAACAAACCTTTAACGCTTCTCTTCGGGCAAGTATGAGAAAGTAAACGGATTTTCGGAAGTCGCGAAGCGTGAAGAATGCCAAGGCAAGGGCAAAATGAGAACGGAATTGGCCCACGTGGTCCTCGAGTCGGCGCGCGAGCTCCAAGTGGCGCAGATAATTTGGAACAGCTGCAAAGTTAGCTGTTTCTTTTCTATTTGTTGTCTTGGTTCGAATAAATTATTTATTCTTTTGGCCGATGGAGCTTTTTAGTTGTCGAGAAGTTTGTAGAGATATAGAAAACTCAGAAAGGAAAAATTTCTATTCATTCGATTTGAAAAAGTTAGCTCTTGTAACACACATTTATAAGTGCGAGGTTATTGGATGAATCTTAACGGATAAAAAAATGAAACATCTGCGCAGCTTTCTATCAAACGCGTTCTCGCACTTTGTTAAATATCATTGCAATTCGAAGCGAAACAAACTTTTAGTTGATCGCAAAAAAAACTTTTTTTTTTTAACTATTGCTTTCAATTTTTTTCAAAACGAAAGCATGCCAATTTTCTGCATTGAAAAAAAAAGATACTCAAAACTTCTTATTTCTAAAGGCTTATAATACAAAAAAAGCTTCGTAACTCGAAGAGCTGAGGACAAAACAAAATTTATCTTCAAAACATTATTAGAGTCTAATGATAAAATTAAAATTTTGAACTGAAATTGTTTCAAAAATATTTCAGAAAAAGAACAAGAATTTCCTGTTTTTCATACTCAAACAGAACACGTGTTGTTTTCCTCTCTCGAGTTTAGCGATGATCAATTTGCTCCCTTCATTCTGTGAGAAGAAAAAAATCAAGAGATTCGCTGATACTCAATTATCCGTTGAACCTGAACATTTGAAAAAACCTCGGAAAAAAACCTAAAAACTGAATAGAGACTAAAAAAAAGCCCTCGCTTGGTTTTTAAGACAAGCGATATGGGAAATGATGCAGGAAAGGCACAAGAAGAGAGAAATCGAACTAGGAAGCTGACGAAATTTCCGAGTCGCATTTGTTGCCCTTCTCTTATTATCAGCATGAAGAAGAAAACGAACATAAAAGGACTCTGGAAAAAAAAAGAAAAAACAGAAGGAAAAAACCGAAACTGCCGGAAGTTGAGGCAGCTATAGGCTGAATGAAATTTGACACATTGTGAGGTTGGGTAGGGCGAAAAAGTTTTTCTTTCTTGGCAAACATATCCCAAAAATGTAATGTGGCAATATGCCGAAACGAAATGAGGAGAAATAAGTTGGTAAATGTTGGATGGAATTATCCTTTGTCATGCTAGGCTGCAATAATAATAACGTCATATTTCTGAAGGGCCATCGAACTTTCTTCTTTGAATTTGAAATTCCAGTTCAGAAAATAACTGAAGAAACTGAGCCTTTGTTTCTATTCGGAAATTCATCAAAGAATTTGATTGAAAAACTTCAATTTTTTTTATAAACAGGATAACAAACAAGCGCTTAAAAAAAAATAACGGAGAGAGGTTGAGTAGAATAATTTTTTTAAGTTATTTTGGAAAAACATCTTGCTCAGACCACTCTAATGGTCGCTCAAGTAGGTGGAACCACTTTTTGATCTCTGAAAGATTTTTTCACATTGTTTTTTCTCCGAAAATAACTGTTAAGCCTTTTTATCGTTCTTTTTTTTGTTGCTTTCAAGGGGAAAGCTCTTCTCTCTTTTGGACAGATCATTCTATGAGTAAGGAAATTGAAATTTCAACGCCTAAACTATAAAAATAAAAAAATTATGTAAAAATGGTTTCTCAAAGTCAACACCCTATCTTTTTTTTTGCAAAAAAATTTTTTCAATTTTTTGATGGCGGAAGTCAAGCCAAAAAGAAGATCTAATTACATGAGAAGAGTCAACAAAACGCGAAAAAAAGAAAAGTTGGAACGACGACATGGCGCCAGTTTAAAATAAAACAGAATTGGTGGAATTCGTGGGTCAGTGCATCATTCCGAATGCGAGAATAACGACGTTCGACAACAACAACACTGCTCGGCTGACAACTCGTCTCAACTCCTTTTTCCTCTCAACAATGACACAATGGGGCCTCGTCAAACATCGGCCCGGCGTTTATTGTTATGAGCTTCGGTGTTAGTCTTCAATTTCTCTTGTGAGCTTTTCGGCTTAATAGAGGACGAATAATCGCCGATCATGCAAGAATACTTCACTTTTGGTTCGGAGAAGAACTCGAAAAAAGAAAACTTCATTTCACTATTTTCTATTTCACAGGATTGTTCAAATAAATCTGAATTTTTATGTCGAAAAAAATTTCACCGATAAAAATAAAAAAACGTATCAAATTATAGGCTAAACTAGTTTTTTTCAACTATCTATCTAAATTTCAAACATTTCAAAAAGTTTTTTTAGAGCTCAAAATTATGCAAACATCATAGTATCTGCAATTATGAGTATTGCTTCTACTCGGAAAGAAAAATATGAATCAGTCCTAAGGAAGTCGAGATAGCAGAATAATTAAAAGAAACGCTGCTTCTTCTCAAAATATTTATCCAGAGTTGAAAATTCTTGTCTTAATTCCAATCTTCTAAGCTTCTGATTTTTTTCTGAAAAACATTTTTCGAAAAAAGATGGAATTTGCAGATTTTGTTCACAAGTAAAGATTAGATAATCAATCCGAAAGGAAGATATAATTTGATAAATAGAAATTTTTAATGTTTCGTATTTAAATTTAAAGCTTTTGAAAAATAGGTTGACTTCCTCATAGTTACGAATATTTCACAACGATGGAAAAAAATATACCATTGGATTTCGTTCTTTTTTTAAAGAATCAAAAAAAGCTTTCAGTGAAATAGTCCTAGTTAATAAATTTAAATTTTTTTAAAAAAACGAATAAAGCCTCTTATCAGATTATCACGTCTTTTTTGCAAGTTGAAAAAAAATTAAACACAACCACATAATCAAACAACTATCAATGCCAGAGGACGCGAGTATATTTTGTCCTTTTTTCTTGATAAAAACCCCATTGATCGGAACGTTATCAAAGAAATTCAAGACCTGAAGCATTCCTCAGAACAAAAAAAAAGCAACGATAAGAAAAGAAATTGACAGGAGATTCGAAGAAAATGACTTTTACGCCCCCCTCCCCTTGTTTTCATGTTCTGAAGTGATTGAGGACAACATAGAAAGAAAGAGAAAAACGAACCTCCGGTTATGTCCTTAGAAATGTAAAGGGCGTTGGCGAGTGAGTACGCCATTTGAGCCTCTTCAGCCGTGTGCCCTAATTCGGAGGCCAGCGAATATGCACATCTATAAAAAATTCTATGGAAAGGCTCAAAAGGCGATTCTTCGTATTTCATCGAAAAAGTCTTGAAGACCTGCCTAATTATAAGAATCCCCAGGATGTTCATTCAAAAACTATAAAAAGAAAAAACACGGTTATTCAAAAACAGTATTTTTATTGGTTGGATTCAGTTCTCATCGCCAAGCTGGTTTAAATCGCAAAATGTAAGCAAATATAACAATTTGCAAATGATTCATTTGTATGGGGTTGCTTCAAAAAGTTAATATTACAAAACATTTTTTTGGGAACAACCAGGCAAAGAAAATATGTCTACAGAGGCTTTTTGAAATGACAAATATTTTGAAAAACCTGCGAGTGAAAGTCTTTTTTTTTACCATTTTTTTGCCTTGAGCTAAAATAAACATGAATCGAAAGGAACGCCCTTTTTTTACAGAATATCCTGCAATCCGTCTTGCGCTTTTTAAATTTCCAGAATCCGTTAAGTTTAGCACGCTTTTTTTGCAAAACCAGAAAATTTTTATTTGAAAGAGAGAAAATCAAAAAAGCTTTTCCTGGAAACTTTCGGATATCGGAAAGCTATAAGAAAAAAACGAGACTTTAAAATGCGATACTGATTGAGTTTTACCTGTAATGCTGGATTGAACTCGGAACGTTAGACATCAAAGCGTGACAATTTGCAATGTTGGCATGAGCTCGACGCATCGAGGGACGGTCACCGTATTGTTGGGATAATTCGAGTCTCTGCAACAAAAAAAGAAATAAGTTTTTAATCGGAAAGTGCTAATAGCTAATAAAAGTGAAAAAAGGTGGTTTCCAACAAAAACAGTTAAAAAACGAGTTCTGAAAACATTTTGAAAAAACAGGTTTCGGTAATCTTTCAAAACTTTTCTTCTCGCCTTTCGCTTGTCAATGTCCTTAGATCTTAAGGAAAGTTTTGAGGAGAAAATCACCTGTTTGTGATACGAGATAGCTGTTTCGTAATTGCCCAGACAATAATGCGCGTTTCCAAGGCTCCCATAAGCTCTTCCCGTAGACAAAGGGTCATTGAGTTTTTGGGCTAATTCCAAGTTTATTCTATAAATTATTCAACTAATTATTTTTTTAATTGAGTCATCAATCTCACTCGAAGTGTTTCACAGAGTTTCGAAAATCTTCAATGGCTTCTTCTTTTTGTTCATCCGTGCTCGATTCCTGGAAATTCATGAAAAATACATAGTTTAAAAAATGGAAACTGACAGTTAACACAAGTTTTCTTTCCCGACCTCGCTCAATATAAATATTCCCCAAGTTATAGTGCGCCCGTGTTTCTAGTACCTGAATGAATATAATTAAGTGCAATTGGACATCCAGATAATAAAAAACCTCGTCATTCAAAGAACTTGCTATCTCCAACTGGCGAAACGTAAAAGTGAGCGCATCATTATAGGATCCCTTGATTTTGAAAACATTTCCTAAGTTGGCACACGATTTGGCTTCTCCTTCTTTGTTGCCTATCAACCTGGAAAAGCGGTCTCTCGGTTAAGTTTTTTTATCAACCATTCAGTTTTGCAAACACGCAATTAAAGTTCTACATTGCCATACTTTGGAAAATGACAAAATCGGAGAATTTGATCAAAATTTGCTGTTAAGAAAATTTGCTCTGTGGAACTCTCCGGTATATACTCGGAAATTGGCGAACCGGACACGAATCGGACCTGTCAGGGTATTTCTAGTGACTACTTCAGTAGCTTTAGCCCTCTTGAGTAATTTATAGAATTGCTCAGAAACGTCCGGAGCACGTCCGGTTTTTGTTACCGAGGTCCGTGTACATAGAAAAAAAAATGGAACAATCCTGTTTTTTAGTTTAGTCATGATGCCCGAAGATTTTAGGCTACAATTACGATGAAGGTCATAAGTTTTTAGAGCTTTTTTGAATAGATTTTTAGCTTTTATTTCTACAGCGTGTGTTTTTTTCTATCTGCTTTCTATGTCAAACTTATTAAGAATTTTCTATTTTCATTTTTTTGCGGTTTTCATCGATAAATCAATAAAAATAAAAAACTGACCTTTCAACCAAAATATCGTATGTATGGTATTGCAGAGCGGTTTCGTACTCTCCAAGCAGTACGTAAGCGTTGCCCAACTGACAATAAATAGCAGAAAGTAAAGAAAAGTCGTCGGTGCCCAATTCCAGAGCTCTTCGTAAATATGCGATTCCTGAAGAGACTTTTCAAGGCGTTTTTTATTCACATTTCACTATCGACTTCTGAAGAGGAGAAACCTAGAGCAAACTTTCCACAATTATTACCCTTACGGCTTTAATTTGCTAAATGGCCGATTGTCATAGAAACCATTAGAGTTGAATGTTCAGCCTTTCTTGCTCCTCCACAACTTTCATTTCCATATTTCGATTCTCACCAAGCTGGTGCTTTACGCCGATTTCTTTTTAAAGTTTTTTTAATATTCTTCAAAAAAATCTGAGTTTACTAAATTTGCTTCTATAGTTTGCTCCCCGAAGTCGTGAGAAAGTAGTTAATGGATTATTCAGAATATTAACAAAAAAAGTTCTCTTGAAGTGAGATTCCAGTATTTTTTTCATAATCTTTTTTTGAGATAGCGGTGAATACAGTATAATGAATTTGTAGAAAAATTTTTTTAAATCACCTTGATCAAATTTTTTTGAGACGGCATAGTCTTTCTCCTTCTTGGGTCAAGTTGTAGACAAAAGAATTAGCAGTTTTACTTGAAGCAATAGTTCCTGAATTAATATTATCATACCATTTTGAGAAAAAAATAATCAACTATTTCTACCTTTGTGGTGATGTTGATGATGTGGCTGTTCATTATTACTATTATTAGGAAGTGAAGAGTTCATTGAAAGCTATGAGGACTTCGACCACAAAAATAAGAAGAAATAGCTTGAATAATTGGAAAAGAGCTATTTTCCGTCTTTTTTATAAAGTCATTAGTAGACAGCTTTTATCTGAAAAAAACTATTTTCATTGAGAGCCAGGTTTAATTGATATGAATTCAGAGAAACGCGGTCCGAAATGGTTCAAGTACTCAGGAAAGAAGCAGAGCAATATAAATCATCCCAGGTTTCAATAGACATGAACGCTTTTTTTCTGCCGATGAAATGAATACCAATCCTGAACTTGATGCATTATTTCAATTCATGTCTATGCTATAAAATAGAGACCGGGAAACATTATATCAATTAGAAGGAAGATAAAAAAACAAAGTTAACAGAATAAATACTTCGTTTGACAAGAGAAATTTAAAATTGAAGCTTACTGCTTTTCATTTTTTTTTTCATCATATAATTTGGAAACAAAACCAGAAGTTGTTAAAAAAGATATTACTTTTTGAAGCCAAAACCACCGAAACCATTCCAATTTGGGCATCAGCGTTGGCGAGAAAAAAGAAGAAGACCATCGACATAATTTCGCCGTCTGCCTCTCTTTCATCCGTTGCCAATTTCGCGCCAGCGCAGTTTAAGTTGTTGACGCACGACGAGTGCAGAGTGCACTGCATTAGGGAAAGCGCCTCGTTGTTCTCGTCAAAGTTGATGAACTTGGCCAAGATTTAGAAAACAGGAGGAAGAAAAGAGTTCAATCGGTATTTCGAGTTGGCCAGTTTGGGGTTTTCCCTGGAGTGAAATATAAGTGAATAAGTGAAATATTTATTTTTTTTTTGTGCTCTTTTAGATCCGAGGGTTTTTTGAGGGAACTTATAGCTCGGCCAGTTAGAAATGAGCGTCATGCTAGTGATTTATCAAAATGCAAAAGCGTTTAAAGAGATGGATTCAAAAAGTATTTTCTTTTCACATCTGAAATATTTACTATGGTCCATGCGGTAGAAGTTCCTTCACAAATTGTTTTCCTTTGATTGGAATTGATTAATGAAATCAACGATAATTTTCACGCGGCAAAACTAATACTCTCGAAAAATTTTGTAATCCTTCTTTACTAAAATCTTGAGCAGAAATCAATTAAAACAGTGAAAACAAACTATATAAAATCCAAGCGAAAAAAGGAGTGCAGAGTCCGAGACTCGTACCAAATGAGGTGAACCTCATTTACCGCCTATTTGAGGGGAACTTTCTTTTCACCACTAGCAAAAAAAAGCGTGTGAAACAATGTCTAGACATTTTTCTAATATTTTTTTATTAAAAATCAAGGAAAATTTTACTTCACTCTTAAAAATTGTTTGAAAACTGATCGGGTAGCCTCTCAATATCCTACTTAAACATTTTGAGAGCTGCTAATTGCATAATTTCCAAGTTATTGAGAAATAGGGGTCTTCACTCTTAGCACGGTCCATTTGAGTGTTCATTGATAATTTCATTCGGTGTTGAGGTTATTCAACGAAAAAAAGTAGGAAATCAGGATGATTTTTTCAGGACCTTCACTGATACATTGGGAACAATCAGAACAGACGATTTCTGAGTTCAAAATAAAATAATTTCACTTTACCTTAATAAAGGAGTCAGACATGAAGTTTTGACAAGGCGGTGAGGCCTTACTGATTTAGAGGTTATTTCTCTAAATTTCGACTTTGTCACAAAAAATTGTTCAGGGTTTCGTTGGTGCCTATCTTGTTATTACTATGGATTATTATCCCCACACCTTTCCACCGCAGAGGCAATATAAGTTTTGAAGAAATCTAGAATGAAAAAAAGAATGCCGAAGAGCAGCTTGAAACGGACTCGAACTTTGAACGAAAACCTCTTAATCAGTATCATCTTATCGCTTTCAAAAATTACCTGGAAACTTTTTTATTTTGAGCAGCATTATTTATTTTATATTTTTTTCTTAATAAAAAAACGCAGAAAAATGGTAAAACTGCAAGCTACGTAGTTTCTAGAAAAAAAAAAACATCAGAACTCCGAGATTTTTGAGCTCATTCATACAATTTTTTTGTCTTGAATGTTTTTGGCCACAAGGGCAAACACCGCTTGTCTGGTTGGAGCAATTAGAAAAAGTGACTTGCACTGGCCCTCCGTGGGATAATCAATCCTATTTGGAGAAACGCAATTGGGCGTAAAAGGTGCAATTTGGTGATTTGTGCTCACAAATGTGGAGTGAGGAGTATGGTTGGAGTTAATTGTAGGGTTAGGCAAAGAAACATAAGAGAACAACGTTGGGCTGAAGTCTATTTATTCGGAACCTACCGTCGATTGGCTCATTGTTTGAGGAAAAAAGTTCCTACGGTAATGATGCGATTCTCTGGCACGACATTTCTGAAGACAATTCTGGATTGTTCAGCTTGGATTATCTTTTCCTCATCTAATCCAGTGACGCACGATGTAACCCTTGCAAAAAAAAAACCGCTGCTCTGATGGGTTTCAGCATTGTTCTTCTACGAAATCGATGGCCTTTTGGTGAGAAGATTAAGATAAAAAAATTGATAAGCTTTCTTGTTTCTTTGAAATCATCATATTTTTATACGGCTTCTTTATACGAAGGTCACGATGAAAGAGAAAAACTGCATTGTTGGCATGGCAACCGGTGACGCTTTTCTTCGCCCTATGCCTTCTAAAGTGTCCCTAACTAAAATCTCCCGTTGAACAATGTCCTCTGAGCTTCTGAACTTCATCGTCCAAAATCTAAACCGTGAACCGTTTGAGCTCAACTACACGCCTCTTCAACTCGATCAGCTACCTAGCAACCAGCTGGTACAGCTGCTCAGCGATGTTCTCAGGTTTTACAAGAAAAAAAAGAATTGGTTCCCAACTATTTTTTTTTGCAGTTGGATATTCAACACTGATAAAATCGACATTCGTCGAGAAACTTCGGAAGACACGGCTATTCGAATTTTGCACTCTTTGAAAATTCTTCGTTTCAAACCGCCTAGCGATATCGAAGAATTGTGATTTATCAATTTCATGAGACTAAAGAAATTTGAAACTTTCTATTTCCTGATTTTTTTTCAAGTTCATTTACTATCTGAACTAAGAAGCTTGTGAAATATTAGCTTTTTAAGCTGAGGATGACCGAAAAAAAGAAATTTCTTCTTCGAAATTGTTGCCCAAGTCCAAAAACTTAATTTCTGATCAGCGTTCGAAATTATTTCGACATTGATGAGTTTGGTTCGGACAAAAACGCCAAAAAGCTGTCTTGGACGCGTAAGGATTTTTTTCACCCTAGAACGACGAGCTTTGTTAGTGCTCCATTCATCCACAAAAAGTTCAAACACTTTGAAAACATCGCGAGCAATCAAATCAATGCACTGAGTCTAAAAGTTAAAAAAGCAAAAGATTGTTTTCTTAAACCTTCATGGAGTTGAGAAACCATCATTTTTAAGAGAAGAGTGGCGAGCTGGAATTGTCGAAGGCGCGAAGAAAAGCGTTTTCCCCGTCCTCCACTACATTTTCGATAACATACAAATGCTCAAAGAAAGAGCGTATCTTGCTACGTTTCTCATGAAGGTATGTGTTTCTGAATGAAAAATGGATTTTTTTTTTGAGCGAGAAACTTTTTTTGCTCAATTTTTTAAGAGTTAAATTTCTCATCCTGTCTCTAAATGTCCAGATGAAATTTTTCAAAAACCTTCCTTACATTTTTTTTTGGGTAATTTCTGCGCATTTACTAGATGTGCAATTAGGATTTTGCAATATACAAAGGTGTAAAAATTTTTGAATTTCTATTACAAAAAGGGAAAAGAAATACACTATCAAAAGTTTTCATCAAGGTTTCCATAGAGTTTTTTGGCGAATTTCTGGAAAAATCTAACAGCATGAGGAAAATGAATTTTCTTCGGAGATTTGTTGAACGAAAAAAAAATTTCGATAAAAATGAGTTGATGCATGAGAGGTCAAATTTCAGACAGATGTTCCCAGTGATGTTCACGATTTTGATACAGCGCAGCTACAAAACGAGATTTCCGTCCTGATGGATCAATTCAAAGTGATTGGTTTAAAAAAGTTCTTTTTGGGAAACGACAGCTCTAACAAAAGAAAATTCCAACGGATACTCGGAGAAAAAGGCGTCTTGGCTTTTTGGGAAGAGCTTCAGAACAATAATGCCACTATGTACGAAAAGATATCGATTCCAGCAACTTCATGCAGCAGTTGTCGAAGTAAACACGGATGTGATTATTTTGGGCGACATAAAACAAGATTTGCGTTCCATGGAACAGGAAAAGGAGACGTTGCAGAGAAAGATTGAGAAAGCTGAACGGAAAATTAAAGAGATTCCTTACTTCGACAGGTTTGACTTTTTTGGCAGTTTTCTTGTTTTTGAAAAAAATTAAGATACTAAAAACATTTTTTACATACAAGTCATCAATTAGTGCTTGTTAACATCAATTGTAAGAAAACTAGGCTGAGCTAATGTCAACACTTGTTATTCAGGCACATGGAGAATGCTGCTCAGCTGCGTATGGAAAGAGAAAGAATCTCCGAATACACATTGATCAAGGGCCAGGAGAGACATAGGGTTTAATAAATGAGAGATCCGCTCTGTTCTCTCTTTAGGCTGTGAATGAGAACTTGCCGTTTCAGGTGATACATGTTAACAATAAAGTGGGCCGTTGGAGCGAACATTTGGACGAATTGCAAGCCGTGGGAGAAAACATTGACCCCAGCGATATGATTGTTCAGTTGGAGGTTCGAAGGATAAGTATTTTTCGGCTGAGTGAGAGAGCTTTTAGAAACTTTTTTTCAGAAGCAAAACAATTGAAAAAAACAACTTTTTTTTTTTAAAAACGGACTTTTTTTCAAAAAATTGAAGCTTTTTACTCTTTAAAACTTTTTGACTGAGTTTTTCAACCGAATAACCCATTATGATTAACGTCCCTCGTGGAGAAGTTAGAGTATTCAGGAAGAATGCGAGACGAATAATTACCTAGTGAGAGAGAAATTGGAAGAAGAGCTGCGGACGCGTACAAAAAGGATCGAGGAGCTGTCGCAAATATCGCAAATGGCCGCAATCGAAGAGGCTGACATCGCGCGGCTCAACGCACAGGTGACGTCCGTCAACGTTTACAGCAGATTATTTGCCTCGATGCTGCAAAGAAAAAGCAGAAAGAATCACTGTTGACATTAATACACAGAAACAGTCAAGAATGAGTATCCACAGGGGGAAAAGAAAAGTATTCGATGAGAAGATCTAGACGTGAACAACTGAAAAAAATAAAAGAAAAATTTTTATTTCTAATGAGAAAATGACCTTTAAAAATGAGACAAGGATCCCCAGTTCCCATTTTTTTTGAAATATTTTTCTAATCTGAAATTGTGCACTACAAGTGCTGACCATACTCAGTTAATCAAGGAGTTTTTTTCGGCGTTTTGATTTTATGAAGAAGATGAAAAAAATTTCTAAGAGAGAAAACCTGAATGTTGCCTCAAAGCTGGTTTTCAGTTTTTAATCGAACATTTTGAAACTCTTTTTCCAAATTTACAAATTTATAAATGCTAAAAATAAGTACCAAGGGTAGTTTCATTCATCGAGCTTCATGGAGTTCCCATTCGATATCTTTAGAGTTTGTTTTTAGATAACCGATCTAACTTCAAAAATAAAAAGACTCGAGAACGAACGTGAAAAAGCGGAAGAGCCAGTTGATGAAAACATGAGGTAAGTCGAGATTCTCTTGTAGGTTTTAATTTTGTTTTCTTTTTCAGTGTGTTCCGTCATCAAGCTGCCGCATTGGATAGGAAGAAATCGGTAACCGCTGAAAAATTGCAGCAAGCTAGGTTAACTATTTTTCTTGTGTAAAAAAATTTTAAAATTTTTTTTCATTTAGACAAGAACTGCAAAAAATGCAAAAAGAAGTAGAGACCCGAAAAGCAGAATTGCAGAACAAAGTTGGAGGAGAAGTCATCTCGGCGGTCCAGGTTGGATTTTCAAAGATTTATTGGTGCTTAAAATTTTTATTACAGTTCCGGAAATATGTTGAGAACTTGAGAGCAAAGACGGTTGAGTATAAAAGAAAAAGAGCAGAAATCGACGAAATGCAGTGTGAAAAAGCGATTTTGAAGCGTACTGTGGACTTGCTCAATCAACGCTTCGACCTACTTCGAACGCAAATTGTGAGATTCTCAGACTTTTAAATTTTACATTCTCTTTTAGTTCTGCGCTTTCCAAACTTAGTTATTCGAGTCAATGTAAAAAAATGTTTCCCTTTAAATTTTTTGTTCCAGTTGTTACAGTTCTGCTGACTTGTAGGAAACGATGGGCGGAGAAGTAGTTCAAGTCTTCGAAGTCCCGCTCCATCAGCAAAGACCTAAAACCGCAGCTCCAAAGAGTGATAACCCAGAGGTGAAAAAAATCTTCAAAATCCCCTCAAGCAAAAACTGCAGGAGCTTCAACATTCGTTGAAATCCCTCATGACCGATATTCACACGAAAAAAGAGTTTATCGAGCAGCTGCGACGGGAAAAGTCTGAGCAGGCCGAAACGGCAAAAGTAGACAATTCATATTTATATTTTCCTTTTTTTTTCACTTCAGGAGGCTGCTCAGCTTGAGAGTTCAATGGAGTCAAATATCGAGCAGAAAAAACACGAGTTTGCCGTCGCCAACGAAAATATTCTTAAGGCAAATTTTTAGTAGTTTTTCGAAACTTGATGAATTTTTCTTAGGAAGTTAGAAGTTTGGAGAAAGAATCAACAGAAGCCGAAGAAATCATCGCTGTTTATGAACAAGAATACGCCGAAGTATTGGAAGACAAAAACAGTATGTCCCAATACAGCAATCAGGACTATGAAAACGAGCTCGAGGTTTGTCCAAAACAACTGTTTGTTGCAAAAAAGATGTACAGTACTGGCCATAAAGGTATTTCAAAGTGGTTATTCGAGCATAACTTCTCTGAAAGTGACTCAAATGACTTGAAACTTCGCACAGATTTTGAATAGCTACGCAGTAACTATTTCTCAGAAGGAGAACTCATTTGTTCAAGTCAGACAGGATTTGAGAGCAAAAAACCGAAAATCGTGAAAATGAAGATTTTTCTTTAGAGATTCGAAAAATCATATCTTCAAAGAAACTTCGATTTTCAATTAGAAACTTTTTTCCCCAGTAAAACAAGTCTTCGACTTTCCAAAAAACCTAATCAGCCCCCTATCAACCCGATAGCAAGAGCGTAGTGACTTTTTCTCCGAAAGGCCTTTGCGTTTTGACGCCTCGTCATTCAAATGGACTATACGAGGTCAATTTTGTTCGAGAACACCCTGTATCATGTTGAAAAACTTCAAAACGTCCTCAAGAATAGTTTCACACTGTTTTCCTCAGCTTTCTCACTTTACCCGCTCTTCAGAACTCACTAACTTCTCTGGGACCGATTTTGAACCTCTGATTTGAAGCGGTTATGCTCGTTTTTCAAAATCAGAACACTCTCGATTTCTCATTTCAGATTCCAAAGCTTTTCCAGAACCTTAATGAATGAAAATAAAAGGAGACTCACTGTGTTTCGCTTACTTATTCAAAAAGATATAGTGAGTTATAATGAGTTCCTCCAAGTTCTCAAAACTCCGTTTAAGCAAGTGTTGCTTAGAAGGCTCCAAATCTTGTGAAAGATGATAAAAAAACCCCTTTTTTTCATATTTTTTTAAATGTTTTTAGATCATTAGATAAATTTGTAACTCCTCTTCCTAGCTCTCAGATAGAAAAATAGGCACTGTAAAATGTTTCTTTAAATCTTATGGAAAAATAAGTTTTTTTGGTCTTGTGAAACTAATGCTTCAGCAAAAAAATTAGCAGTCTTTAGAAAGTAGGAGCCTGCAATTTATTCATTATTTATTTTCGATTTCACGATTGAAAAAGCGACTGATCAGATAAAAAAACTCCTTTGAATGCCCGAAAGTCCAGAAAAAAACTGTTCGAATCAGAGGTTCAAAAATCGGTCCCAGAGAAGTTAGTGAGTTCTGAAGAGCGGGTAAAGTGAGAAAGCTGAGGAAAACAGTGTGAAACTATTCTTGAGGAGGTTTTGAAGTTTTTCAACATGATACAGGGTGTTCTCGAACAAAATTGACCTCGTATAGTCCATTTGAATGACGAGGCGTCAAAACGCAAAGGCCTTTCGAAGAAAAAGTCACTACGCTCTTGCTATCGGGTTGATAGGGGGCTGATTAGGTTTTTTGGAAAGTCGAAGATTTGTTTTACTGGGGAAAAAAGTTTCTAATTGAAAATCGAAGTTTCTTTGAAGATATGATTTTTCGAACCTCTAGAGAAAAATCTTCATTTTCACGATTTTTGGTTTTTTGCTTTCAAATCCTGTTTGACTCAAGCAAGTAAGTTCTTCTTCTGAGAAAATGTTACTGCGTAGCTATTTAAAATCTGTGCGAAGTTTCAAGTCATTTGAGTCACTTTCAGAGAAGTTATGCTCGAATAACCACTTTGAAATACCTTTATGGCCAGTACTGTATTTGCATTTCCTGAGATTAGCAAGTAACTGCTTGTGTTTTCAAAAGTTGTTCAAAATCGTTTATTCTCGTGTATTTTATTTCTCATCCTCTTCAGGCTTCGATCGAGGAAGAAAACGGAATATACTCGGAGATAAATGCCGACGGCTCAGTCTCAAAAGTTGATGAATCACGTCGGCAAGTCGAGCTATGGCAGTCCCTCATCGTTATTTTTGAAGCAAAACTAGAAGCTTTGCAAGAACGTTTGAACACGGGAGCAAGCGATGGCCCGATGGGAGACCATTCCTTTTATTAAAAAAATAAATACATTTTCTTCTTCGATAACAGAGAACTAAGAAAAAGGTTAAATTAAACAACATTCAAAAAAATCGAGTTGAGTTGTCATCAGCCTAAATCCGCTTGCGGTTCCATCGGTGAAAGTGAAGGTCGAGTAACACCTTCAGACGGCTGGAAAGCATTTTTTCAAACATGAATCAACGTTAATTGTGGAAAATATTTCACCAATTTTGACTATTATTCTTTCGTTTCCATGGTTAATGCAATTTTCATCCTATTCAGTTTGAAAAATATAAGGTTTTCCCATCGAAGGCCTATACAGGCGGTTTGAAAAAAACTATTTTGTATAGACATTGGAGAAGAAACCTTTCTTAACATTCTGCTTGTCCTCCTCAGTTTATTGATGTCAACGAGTTGAATTGAAAAACGAGGTCTTCCGGGAGAGCATTCGTCAAGATTTGGTGACGCAATGTACAATATTTGCTTGGAGAAAAGTTGTCGGAACTGGAAAAAAAAAGTTGTTTCAATATTGAAAAAGTTAGAAACCTGTAGTTTAAAGGAAGAGCTCATCCCAAAATATATTGCAAAGTTCAACGGGTAAGTTAGGATTATCAAGAAGTTCCTGTTATTCAAAATGAAAAATTGCCCTTTCCCAAACTTTTTTTTAGAGTCAAGCGCACCTGATTATGAGAAGATTGTTGACTGTTTTATAATCAGTTAGATCGAGTAATCGATAAAAAACGCCCATGAGATGAAGAATGAAAACAAAAGCCACAGGGATTTCAATAATCAAAAATATTGCAATCACGACAACGAGCATTTTGGTTGTAGCGTGCATCAATCGATTCGTTGTTAAACATCCGTTTTTGGTCCTCTTGAAAAAGAAAAAATTACCTTTGACTCAGCATCTTCAAACCTTTCCCGTATTCATCTGATGCGAACTTCTTTTTCTGTCAGCTTCACTGACTGTTTTGAATAACCCCGCAGTGAAAATAATGAGCAAAATGCACGGCAAAATGTGCACGAAAACTGCACGTAAACAAAGAACCGCTGCCTTCCATTGATCCACGCCAAAAACCTCAAGTTTCAGGAAGTTTGTTCGAAAAAAAAGCTCGCATACTCTATCAATGAGCTCCACGTCCTTTCGATAACACGCTGTTCTGTTGTCGGCCTGTTGGATGCTCACACTATATTCTGTCAAAGCAACAGGTGCTTCACTGAAATTGATTTTTTTTTTGCCATTTGCTGAGTTTATATTCAACTAGTTTCAAACTACACCTTTTTTTAAAAAATGAAAGAGGGAGAAGAAGTGAACTAAAAAACTAACTAGGAAAAAGTCTAAGGTTAATATTGCAGATCAAACCAAACTAATGTGGTTATTGGTTATCATACGAAAAAATCATCACAAAAATCCATCCCATTTGGGGTCCCGAGATACCGGGGAATAATTCAATCAAAAACGTGCAAATAAGCATAAACATTTTTTTTTCAAAGTTCGATTCTCGGAAACTATTCTAGTGAAATTGATCAAAAAATCGAAACGCCACTCAGAGCTATTTCTGTATGTTCTGACGATTTTTCTTGAAATCAGTTGTTTCGTTCTCAAGAAATTCGTCCAAAAACTATCAACCACAAAAATTTTGACCAAGCCTACAATTTCCAACACAGAAACTTGTCTTGGACGAAAGTTGTGAAAAAAGATAGATCAGAGATCAGAAATGCTCTCCAACGCCCGAGCGACAAAAAGACGTTGGGAATTTGTAAAAAAAAAACTTACCTTATGAATGCCGCGATACAAACGTAAAAGATTATACGAAGAGTTCTCTTGGGACAACAAACGCTAAAAAAATCCTCTTTTCATAATTCAAGGGAAATTGTTAAAATAGATGAAAATAACACACCTTACTACCAGTGAAGGCATACAGACATAAATGTATCTTTGAATAGCTAGGTACACTGTCAACCAAATGGCGGCAGTATGAAATCTCCAATTTGATGTTGAATTAAAAATAATACCTCTGGAAAAAGGCAAACTCACATAGTTGGTAAATGCACGGCGAAATACGGATGAACCTTGCACCAAAAATCGGATAACCCCTGTTTCTCATCGTCATACATGCCACCGAAAGTGTAGTAGTACAAAAACCACGGACATGAAGATAACCCTGTAAAAAATGTTTTGAATGAACTTAGGCCTGAATTGAACTAATTCCATAGTTATGAATACCACTATGGCTCAAAAACAGGTATTCTTCTGAAAAAACGAGGAAGTTCAAAACTTGAAGTCTCACCGGTCATTAACTCTGTTATAGCCATCGCCAAAAGGATATGATTTGTAGGAGTTCGGAGGTTTTTATGAGACAAAACCACGACAACAAGTGTGTTCGTTACTAAAGTCACTAAGATAATCAGGGGGGCGGCAAATCCGTAAACCGGTCTGGCCAACCACGCAGGTTGACTCTGAAATGATTAGTTTGTCTTTTTTTCTGAATATCATCTTACCATAGAAATATTTACAACATGAACCAAACGGGATCTATAAAATTCTTCTGATTTTTCGTTGCCTTGGAAGTTTTCTCCAAAACCAAACAAGTTGAGAAAATCCATCTTCAACGGTTCTCATTCACTTTGAGCAATCGCTTTTTAAAGTATGATGTTCTAGTTTTGAATCTGAAACTTGAAAAAAAGCTAAAATAAAAAATGAACGATCGAATTATGAGTCGGAAGAACATTAATATCGAGAAAGCAAGTCAGAGACAATTGAAACGGCAAGAACAGTGACAGAAATAACCTCGTAATCTTCTCGCTCAGGGTTCTCAATCTGAATAAGGTATTAAGCCGAAAAGAAGCAAGATTTGTTTCATCGACCAGATTTTCAGAAGAGGAAAAAAATTTGAGCTCCTCAGCATCTAGAATCAGCCTAATGGAAAGAGGAAAAGAAGAACGAAGGGTCAAATTAAGGCAACAGAATCAAATTTGAGCGGAGAAGCATTAGCCCATAAAGCTCAAATTCTTGAAGCTTTTGATGTGAGTCCTGAAAATTTTCAGATGTTTTCTTGTTTTTTCTACTTATCTTCACTGAAAAATAATTATTTTGCTTCTCCGCTTTTCTCATTTTTCATCTGGTGCCTTACAAGCTTTTCAAAATAAAAAATCAGCCAGCCTACTTTTTTACTCAAAAGAAAATTAATGTTTTCTCCAATGTGACTGATTTTTTTTCATTCCACAAAAAGTTTATTATTCGCTTTGGAAACGATTGCATAAGGTTTTGAAATGAAAAAAGTGCTGCGCAACTTTTCCCACGAACGATCTCCATAGCAAAGGGTGAAAACAAAACGAGGCTCAAGTAATTGTGGAGGAAGAAAACAATTGAAAATTCAGGAGTGAACTTTGGGGTAAAGCTCTCGCGTTGTTTGCCAAGCCTCATATTGTGCCACAGACTTTAATGGAAAAGGACGACCTAGCAAGATTTTAAAGACGTTTTGAGGCGGAATTCGATTCAGGGAGGTAAGGCATTTTCATTGTTTAGTATTTCATTTGCCGTAAAACTGATTTGGCCAAGAAACTTCAAAAAAACCATACTCACATTAATTTAAGCTGTTCAAAAACTTCTATTTTTTCGAACTCAATGAGTTTTTATCCCCGAACCTTTGTTCATCGCTGCGTTTTTCTCAAGGGAAACTTCGACTCGAACAGCAATAAACGAATGGAGAACATTTTTACACATTTTCATGATTTTAAATTGTTTGAGAATTTGAATACCTAGGCTGCGAAAATCAAGCCGTGCGTAATTGAATCTTTGAAAATCACGCTTTCATCGAACAAAAATTAAATTTTTCTTCTTTCCTTCCCCAGAAAAGTTCAAAAATTTCAGCCGAGTTTGCAAGCTTTATTGAGCAAAAAAACCAATCTCTTTTTTTGTTATTTATTAAATTTTGTGATACGAGCTTTCAGCCTAATTGAACGGAAAAGATACTATTTGCCTTATACAAATCCGGTGGTATGAAAAAAACAACAGCGAATTTTTTTGAAAGGCGACTTCTCCAATTTTTTTCATATTGCTAGGGGACTTTCCGACGGAAAAGTTACCGACGAATCCCTTTCTACCTTTTTATGGTTTATAAAACATCTATTAACTTTTTTTTTTCCTTTTACTTTGTTTTTCAACCATGAATCAACTACCCAGTTTCTATAGAAAGATTCAAAACGGAGATTTTATCGAAAAAAAAAAGTCGAAAACTTCTCCGCCTGATAGTTCATAGGAATATGAAAAAATAGAAAAAGTCGCGGTTTGAATTTTCGCTAGTCTTTTTTTCATACCACCACAAATTCACCTGGTGTTCGGAAACTGGAGAATCAGAGACTCCCTTATAAGCTTTTCTCCATGAAAAATTATCAAGCACAAAAGGGACCTCGTTGCAAATTATCACTTTAGAAGAGGTTTTCAAACAAAAAACACCGAATGATGTCAGAACAAAAAAAAAGCGAGACAAGAAACTAACCGGCAATTTGAAAGCAGATATTTTTCAGAGCGACATTCTGATTAGAACACTTTTTTGGCAGATTGAAATCTCCCACTTTCATGGGGTTCTGCAAATGTATATACTAAAATTCTGGAAGGGACGGAAAACTTGGACGAATATCTTTGCATCCAAGCCCTCGTTTTGAAATTCTGTTTTCTTATTTTTTGGGCTGCTCGTAAACAACTCAAACTGCTTCGTTAACAACACTTCCGAAACTGAAAAGATTCATATAGCGAATAAAGTTTAGTCACCCTTGATGAAAACAATTTTATGTTTTGCCTTGAACATTTTTCAAAGCTGAAAGTAATTAGAAGCGTATTGACGGTGCAAAAACAAGCGTTGAATAGTGGCTTTAGATGTAAATAAATAAACTTCTTTAATTTTTCACTTTTTTTTTCTGGATATTTCTTGTGCAGTAAGAATGGATAAATCATACCATACTTGAATTTTCATGAAGTAAAAAAAGCCCAAAAATGTTTGAAACAAAAAATGAGATTTTTTTGTCTTCCGAAAAAAACGGCACATTCATCCGAATTGTAATATTCGAAAAAAATTCAATGAAAGAACGTTTTTTTTGTTGAACATTTTTTTCATTCTCAAAGATGAAGCTTTTTTTCGAATACCGCACCGAAGGTTATAAAGAAGAAGTGATTGGACCCTTCTTTGTCGTTCGGCTGTTAATTTCCCGTTGAAAATGGCTAACTCAGTTACCAAAGCCCAATCTCTTCGGAAAAAAATCAAAATTTAAAAAAACCTCTCTGCTCCAGTTATATGCCCAGGAAAGGGAAAAGTTTAGACAAAAAAAACAAGTGAATAACTAGGAAACGTATTTGAGAGGAAATAGGGAAAGCGCCATGTTGAGTGCAAGTCTAACCTAGAATTTAATTTGCGCATCCAAAAGGCATTGGCACACCTATCACTTTTTCATCCCTGTTTAACTCGTTTTCTTCCGATTGTTTACTAATTTTTTGAAAAAGTTCCGGAGTTTCGTTTTGTACAGCTGAGTGACAAGTTTTAGATATGACTTTTCGACTTCTTAAAAAAGCTATGTAGGAAGTTGAGGTTATCAAAAAAAAAACTTCTGGCAGGCATGTTCCTCAACAAAAGGGCATCAAAGGCAGCGAAAGAATAAGTGTACAAGGTTTTTGGAAAACAGAAAATAGGGATTTTTATTTTATTTTTTTTTGACCAGTTTCAACTGTTACATATACTACATCTCTTTCCAAAAAACTTTTGAGACAAAAAAAAATTTTGTTTCTTCTTACTTTTTTGTATGAGAAAGACGTTGACTTTTCGGTCCACTTTGAAGTCACTTTTTCTAATGAGAATCGTTTTTTCAATGTTGTCTACAGATCTGATGAGTTATCACTATTTGATATAAACTGAGACAACACTGGAAGCTGAAAAAAGTGTTTACAGGGAAAGGTTTCAAAATAGACTACTCCCAATAATTTACCTGTGTGCAAAGCGGAACACCAAGTCAATAGAAGAGCTGAGCTTCCGAAATGATTACTATTTTGCGTTAGGAGCAGCAATTTGTAGACGCAGGAGTCTGCCGCAAATGAAGCTCATATTCTCAAAACTTGTCTTCGAGTATTGCTATTTTTCGAAAGTTTGTCCTAACATAATTGACTCGCAGCTCACTTCTTCTCCTTCCGTCTTGTTGGCTGAGAAGCAATCCTTAATGAAAGTAATAACCAAAAAGGAGCCTTTCCGACTCTATGTGCCGTGAAAATACAAAGATTGCTTTTCCCGGCTTCTTAGAACTGTGTCGTCAAAGTCGAGCACTCCAGAGCAATTTGAAAATTGTGAAGATGAGTTGTACTTCTATGACGCATGCGGTCGCTATATAGCCCGGCTGCTCAGTCCAAAAACTTCATCTCAGAAAATGGTTCGTGGTTCGAAGTCGAATCAGACGACTTATCAAATAGAATAAATAAAGCAGACACCCGTTAAAAATATAAGTATCTATCCTAAATACAATACCGGCTGCAAATATACGAAAAAAAGGGGTTTCGGTCACCACTTTCTTGTGAAAATTTCAAACTTCTGAAACTTTCTGGAGTTTTGATGACTGTTATTTTTAAAGATTTGATGAAGTTTCAGTTCACAGAAAAAAAAATCAGCTTTCGAAAATTTCCGGAAAATCGAATTCCTTACAAGAAAGCTGTGACTAAAGTCGCGTTTTTTTTTCGTATTCTTCTCTGACTGAGTATCAGATCAGTTCGAACATTTTGCTGCCAGTAACAAAGAATGGAGCGGTTATAAGAGATATACAATTTTCGGCAAAAAAAGCTTCAGAAAAGTTCAGTGAACATATTTGAATGAAGCTAAGTGACTTGAAAAAGTTGAATATTATCTAAACCTCAACTATTTCCCAAGAAAGTTAAAAATAACGCGCAGATGAAATGAACTTTCATCTGTGAAATGAATGACTTCCCCACACCTGCAGAGGAGTAAATATATAGTTGAACTTTCTCTAGAAAAAAATATGATTAACAATCTTTTTTCCAATCTGAGCTAGGAATGGGCATTCTACAAAAATTACAAAAAAGACATAAGAGGTATACTTCACTCAAAAAAATCGTCCAATTCATTCAAATTTTTTTTTTCAAATAGAAGCTGAACAAGAAATTTTACTGTGAATAGGCGGCACCGTACGACTTTTTCCGAAAATCGCCTTCTCTGATTTCATGCGACTTTAACAGTTTTTTTTTGACATATTGAAAGATTTGAACGAAAAAATTGATTGAAAAAGTGGTCTCAGACAAACTTGTGGAATTTTTTTTTTCAGTTTGCTCTCTGTTTTTCTAGATTTCTTTTTAATTCAAAGTTGACAAGGGTTTCTAGTTTCATCATTTTTCGGAAACAATCGCGTTTTCTCTCCGAAAAAGTTTGAATCATCATCCTCTACTGAATGTACTCACGAAAAGCAGAAAAATATTCTTGTATTTTTTTCATCATGAAACTTCATGATTTTCTTAAAATCAATGAATGGCCTGACTATTCAGAATTTCGATCAGAATAACTTTTTGCATAAAATTACTCTTTTCAATTTAGGCTAAGATTTCACTCGACTCTTTTTTGCTATTTTTTATAAGCCCTACTCCACAAAATTTTTGTACGTAGCGAAAGAAAGCAGTTTATTAGGCATAACTTTATGGCACAAAATTTTTCGATCAGATGAGCAACAAGATACGAATGAACAAATAGATATCGAGAAACACAATGGAACATGAAGAGAAAATAAAGATGAATTGATAACCTTAGTAAAAAGTTACTGATTGGTTCCCGTAAACGAACGGCTACAGGGCGAAGGAGCCGTTTAGTTCATCAAATGGCGCACAAGCTCCATCGGTAGTGGGAATATTATCGTGGAGTTCTTTTCCGCGCTGCAACCACGATATTTCAAATAATTGAACTTTAAAAAAAGTTGTAAAGAAGTTGAGACTGGCGCCTTCTGGAAATTCGGAAATTATAAAAATCTGGTGAATCAAAAAGTTCTTTAATCGAAATACCATAAAATCAGGTATATGGTATTCCATGTTGGAAATATTTTAGGTCTTGCAATACTTGCGCTCTTTTCAAACTTAAGCGAAGATTTCGGAAATGACTATAATTATTGAAATATCTCGAAAATTTTCCGACAACGTAGATTCGAAACATACGCGACGCTGTTAAGCGTTTGAAGATAACGAAGCTGTAGAGCAGCTGGGGATTGCGCAATGACGGAAGCCGCTTCACGCAGTGACCTTGACGCCTTCTGTTCACCTTCTGCCGCGATCACCTCAAATTTCAAACTCAATAAAATGTGTTTTTATTGGGAAATCAATTTTTTTTTTGAATTCGTTATACTCGAGAAAATTTCACTCAATTCACAACCCGACAAACATGACAGAAATAATGGGATCTTATAGAAGGAACTTATCACATTACGCTTGAAATTGAAACCTTGAGGTTTTTTTTTACAGGCAGTTGTTATCCAATGAGCGCGTGACAAAAGTTGACCCTCAAAAGTCTATCATGAGATAGTTTTGGTGAGAAGTCGATGACTCGCAGGAAAGATTCAAAAAAATTCTGCTTTTACTTTCATTAAGTTTTTTTATTTTCTCTTTTCTGATTTTTGATTTTCACTACTAAACATTCCGTTCAATTCTTCATGATCTAACCCTTCTTAGCATTTTTTTTGTGGAATTAAAAAAAGTTTTTTTGGGAATAATTGAAAATTTTAAAGTTCATTGCAAAGTTTAGATGATTCCCAGAGTGCACAGGAGCACAAAATTTTGCGGTAACTCGCCCTTTTTTGAAACATCCTCACTGATTTGAGTAGGACCATTTTGTGATATTTTGAAAAATTTGTTTATTCTGAATCCCTTGTCGCAATCAATGAAATTTGGTGTTTTTCATTCTTTTTGTGACCAGAATTTCTAGTAGGAACCAGACATTTTTTTCATGACTCAAAATTTTTTTCTGAAAATTATTTCTCACTTTGACAATTTTTTTTTGAATTGTTCAGTGCCTTCTAGAGCCTTCTCATTAGTAATTTTGAGTAGGATATACAACTTTGATTTCATGGAATCTTTGAAATAGATATCAAATAAATTATACTTTTGCTCGAGCTTCTCTGGTAGCTTCTGCTTCTGCTGCCATTGCTCTTTGGAGCTGAATGGGCAATCGAACATCTTTTCTGTAATTTAGAACATTGAATACAAAAAGAAGCCCTTTTGCAGACATTTCTACTCGTTCCACTTTGATTCCCCAACTTTCAGTCGCTTCGTCTAATATTGTCTGGAAAACTTCGTTTTCGTGAGTGTTTAATGAAGAAATCTTACCTGCATGGAAGCGGCAAGTGTTTCTCGATCCGATAAAATTTCAGAAAGACTTCTTGTTCCTAACATGTTTCTGAGTGTGGTTTGAGCGAGTAGCCTGAAGATTTTCTATAATTTTCCTGATCAAAACATTGATGACCTTGTAGAATGATGGGCGTTCTCGACGTTCGCTACACTAACAGTGGCGTTGCAAACTCGATAGTACACAACTGCGTCGACGGAAGTTGTCACCGAATCTTTTGTCAAAATCTGTAGGAGATATCGAAATTTGAGATGATGAATAATTTTCAAACCTCTTGAGGAGGGACGCTGAAAGACACTGTACGCAGATCGACCTTTGTGTATGACTCGATACAAGGAAGGACAAAAAATATGCCTGAAAAGAAAATATTTATCTCATTCTACAAGGGAACGTTTTTGCTTTAAATAGCGCTGTTATCATAATTTTCTTATGTTTTCCTCGTTACAGAAGAATAGAGAAACTAACCGGGTCCTTTGGCTCCTCCGCCAATGAGACGACCTAATCGGAATATGACCGCCCGTTCGTATTCTTGCACAACCTTAAAAAGCAAAATGTCAATTTCAAAAAATTCAAAAAAACTAATGAGTTTTTTTGGATTTTATCTAATTACACAGTTAGTGCGTAAAAAGAAGGAACTTAAAAGATTTTCAGACAGACTTGCTGGTTTTTGATTAGCCGATATATCGTTGAACAAGGTGGAAAATGTTTTCGCGGTTTCTGAAGTTTTGATTTTCGCGTGTTTCCAAAATGAGTTTCGTATATCTGTTTGAGATGTAATTTCTAAACTAAATTAGTTAGAATTTGTTTTTTAAGATTGATTTAAGGGAACAATATTTGAACAATATTAGAAAAACCTGTGTCAAAAGTATCTCACAAATTCTAAGAGTGAGCCATGAGAATACCACTGAGTTTTGAACGAGTTGAGAAACAAAACTGTATATTTCATACCTTGATACAAAAGCAAATTGAAACTGGAAAAGTTGCCAGTATGACGATCCATGACAATCCCATTAGAAACCAACCGCAAAACCCAAGACCCGTGTCGTAATGTTCAGCTGCAAAATATTTAACACTTTCGAATCATGAATAATCTTACGATTCATATGCTTTGGGTAATAACTGAGTTTGAGTTGCGCTAACGACTGTCGACGAGCCTCTCTTTCCTCTTTCGCAAAAATTAGTGGGTTCAGGGTGAATCTGAAACAAGATAATCAACATTACAATTTTTTTAATAACTGAAAATCTACGAAAAACTAACACTTTTTACTTTGACATAATATTCGATTTCAGTTTTTCAAAAATTTTCACAAAAACTAAATTTCACAAGCTGGATATTTTCTCTGAAACTAGAGCAATCTGAACGAAATTAGCTATTTTTGTGTGTGCCAAAGAACGTTTTTCATATTATTTTTTTTGTGAGTCATTTAGAGCTATTTTATCGGAGGACGGCACAAAAATTCGAGAAAATGGCATCTTTACTAACTACACGGAGCCGAATTTGCGAATCGAGTTCAATCATTGGTGGTTTGTAGACCTAGGTCAGGATATTTGAAACCAGGACCGATCATCTGCTAAAGTCTGCGTAGTTCCGTAGTTAGTTGAATTTTGAAACGTTATTTGATCGAAGTCGTTTCAGCAAAACTTCAGTTTTTTTTTCCGGTTTTTTAAACAGGAGGATCTTCAGACTTACCCTCATAATTCGTAAACATTTTTTTTTGAATAAAAAAGGCAACTTTTCGGTTGATACAGCCCTGGGACAGTTTTTCTTCGGTAAATATTATCTGAAAAGAAAATTTTAACAGTTCGTATGTTTTCAAAGTTCTACGAACTCACTGAATTGAACTCTTTCTTTTCTATTTGATGAGTTATCTACTAGTCGAGCAATAAATGTCTGAGGTTAGGATTGGAAAAAAACGACGAAAGTCAGAATAAAAAGCTTTTTGAGCCGTTTTTGGAAATCCATCAAATTTAAGACTTGAAATACGAATTTTATCGAATTTAGAGCGCTAAATTCTGCAAAAAAGACCTACTTTCGTCGGACGGTATAAGATAGCATTGAAAAAAGTCACTGAAAATTTTCTGACGACAATGTAAAAGCGAAATTAAAGATTACCATGGTAATTCAATTGAGAAGGAGCGCAGAACAACTTTTTAATGTTTTTTTCCGTTCCCATCGTTACAATGTCGCTCACAAAAGCCAATGGCATTGAGCAATGTTCAAAGAAAGCTTCTTTTTTCTATTGCTTTCTCACGAGCGGAACTCGTAGAAACCGCCGCTGAATCGCTTGGCGCCGATGAACATGGGAGCGGACCCACAGAAACGCCAAGTACTCCAAGGGATCATGTCGTGATGGATCGCAAGGATTACTTGCGCGTCTGCGGCGTATGTATGCACGATACTGCGCTTAAAGTCGCCAAAAACCGACTTGTTCATGGGGATCACTGCAAAACGAAGCGATCCGTCTTCCAGTGACCTGTCTGTGATACCCTTTGAAGCTTTTCGTCTAATCCCATTTTTGCATGTAAACTGGCCTTGAAACTTTTTTCTAATTTCTCAGAAAGACTGAACAACTTTTCTGAAAAAAAATTCAAGATAATTTGTGGAAAACATTAATTTTTTGGTTCAATCTTTTCTAACAGAGAAGATCCTTTCTTTTTCCCTGTTAAATTATGAAACTTTACTCGGATATAAAAAAATGTCGAAATCAAAAAGAATACTAAGAATACTAGTGGAATTTTTATTTATTTATTTAAAAAAATAATAAACTTTTTTTATCTCGAGGATTGAATTTCTGTACGCGTTCCGCTTTTTTTATAACCTTTGTATTCAGTTTTGAGTGAAATTCCAATATTTTCCAGTGTTCAAAGTTCAAAGAATTTCTCGCAAAGCCTGCGAGACTTTCTTGAAATAATATGTGTACATCTACAAAATTTCTTCAAGAAGTGGTAATGAAAAAAAGCTTATATATAAAAAAAACGAACCTTCTGCCCATTCGGCCACGAGTTGGTCCGATTGGCACAGGAATCTGGATATTGCCCTCATCATCGGAATCCATCAGACGGTCGCTCTCGTTTGACGTCGAGTCGCCGTGCTGTCCGCTTTCTAAAAGCCGAAATCTTGGTTTGTTCAGGAAATTAGTCTCATTTTTTCATGGAAAAATGAGCCCCAAAGAAAATGTTTGCTTAAAAACTCTTGAAAAAAAATCAAGGAAGTTTATTCCTCTTATGATTTGAAACTTTCAATTTTAAAAAAGCAGTGCTTTTTGAACAGAAGAGATGAAACTAGGACTTGGATACAAAGTATTCTCAGAGCTTGAGCAGCAAGGCAAAGAAGTTTAAAGCAATAAAAAGACCACAATGAAAAAAAGAAAAAAAAACTTCAGTTCCAGGTGTACGTTATTATCATTTTATGTTTTTGATGCTTAGAAGGGTGTAAAAACACACCACATTCATGTTAATTACTCAAAAAGTTTTGAATGTAAACCATGTAAGTGAACTTCGAGACTACATTAACTTGCCATTACCGAATAAATGTCAAGTAAATCTCTAAGTTTTGATTAGAGAAAGCGATTCAGCAAAGAGAGTAATAAGTTATGGACTTAACGAAAACCGGCAGTTCCGCGCAAAAGGGGCGGAGCTTGGCTTCTGGATCCAAGTGAATTCGACGACTAACAATGGCAGATAAGCCGGCGTTGGGAACCTTTTTTGAAACAATGAAACTCTCTGTTAATGATTGCAGAAGGAAAATCAAAAAATTAATGTATTTCTTTTTGAAAATTACCAATACGAACCAATAAAAATTTAGAAGGGTTTTTAAAAATAAGTCAGTGAAAAGACAAGAAATCTTGAAAAACTATTCTTCCAATTAACTTTTTGCAATCTGTCCTGTTGAAACAGAACAAAAAAAAATGAATTATTTTACAAATTGAAAAATTCGGGATTATTCTGATACAAACTTACAAAAATACACCCTAAAAAAAACTTGGAAATTAAAATTCGATTACAAAGAAGGGGACAAAAACTATTCTCAAAAGCAATCTCCCCAAAGATTTTTGAGCTTCTCGAAAGAAGCTTAAGAAAAAAGTCAAAACTTGTAAATACGCCCAGAAAACTACACACAACTTTTTGATGCTAAACATTGTTTTTGTCAGTTTGTAGTTGTGTAAAGGTAGCTTTAAAATGTCTCAAACGTGTCTCAAAGTTACGTTTTTGAAATATTTTCCGATTGACAAACCGCAAAAAAGCTTGTAATTGGAAAATGGCCGAGAAGTGAGAATCGCAACTTTCACAAAGCGGCGCTGAGAACGGCTCTTCTAGGAATCATAATTGACGCAACACATCTTCGCATAATGCGGCTTCAAGCCTACTTTTTGGTTGTGAGATGAACAAGACTAGAATTTTACTCTCATTACACAGCTTCTTAGAATAAATTGCAGGGAACATCTCTAACGAGCCGCTAGGAAGCTCAATTACTCTATTTATTAGCTTCAGCTGAATCAGTTGTTTTTGCAACTGAATTTCAAATATTTGATGAGGAGAATTATCTCGACTGCCAAAACAGAAGTCTTGCTTCAAGATGAGGATCATAAGAGAGACGAAACGTCAGGAGATGATCGACACTTGGTCCTAATTTACATAAGATTTGGAGATTAAGTGGTCGAAAACTGCGTGAGACTGCATTACTATTAATCTTAGCAAAATGATGAGAAAAAGTGTGAGACAGAGTTTTATGGAAAAATTAAAACTCACGGTCGGCTCCTTGTTCGACTTCCAGAAACTCCATCCCGTCCAGATCTTCAAACAAATGCGCTTGATTCAAAACTTTCAGAACGAATAAGAAGCGAAAAAAAATGAAGAAGTAATGAACTTGAAGATCAAAAAGTTGATTGCGACCTTTTCCAACCAACTCAAAAGTGAGGTCTATTTCCTCAAAATTTGAAACGCTGAAACAAAATAAAAAGATTATCTCGTTTTTTAATAGATTGAAAGGACATCTTGGCATCTACAAATAAATTCTGCAGGATGAAAAAATGCCCTCAAGGTTTGAACGTTTCAGTTGAAAAGCTCAGTTTTTCAGGTGGAAACATGAGCCGAGAAAAATATTTTCAATTGATTGCTTCTGGAGGACAACTGATACTTGAAGCATAAGAATTATCACAGGTGTATTAAAACGCGATATGATTACTTGCCGGAAAAACTGATGTTTTCACCTGTTCGATAAACATTAGAAAGGAAAGAAAGTTGAGATCTTTACGATTGAAACAAATTCTTCGGTGTTGTTTTGAAAGATGAACCGAAAGTGTGAAAAACGAGGAATAATGCGAGTATGAAGCATTGATGCTCTGGCCGTTTGCTGTTTGCTTTCCAAATTTTCAATTTCGCGGCAAGGCAAGCAGATCGAGATAAAGCGCAATAGCAAGCCCAGAAAAAATTTCAGTAGATTGAAAAATAAAACTAGTAGGAAAAAGAGGGAAGCGCATAACTTCTGTTCGAAATGAGCATGGAGGTGTGATAAATAAAATGAGTTGTGAGAAGACTGAATGAAATAAGGAAGAGGAAAACTGAAAATTGAAAAATAGCACACTTCTCGCAATTATCGTCGGAGAAAAGGCCAGTTTGAAAATTAGAAAAAAACGGAATGTTCCTATATTTCTTAAAAAGTTGATCAGACGCCATTTTCTTGCTAGAAAAGAATTTAGTTTGTTTGAGATTGTTTTTTAGACTTTGAAGCTCATTTTACTCAGCGGTTTGAAACTCTTTTAAAAATATACTCAAACAAAATCTGAAGGTTCAAATGAAAATCCCTTCTTTACCTACGTAAACTTCTGATTTTTGAGATAATCATTTTTAATATTTGCGTTCCTCACAGAAAAATGCCCAAAAAGGCGGTCTTTTGTTTTGAACTTTCAATTTTTTTACAAATTAACTCAAGCACAAGGTCAAGTTTAAAATCGCTCATAGTCGCTACCTGGTTCGACTTTTAGTTTTTGAGATAATTATTTTCAAAGCTCGGAAAGTTAGGCTTAAAACCCATATATCGCGAGTTTGAAAAATAATATTCTGAAAACGAGAACTTTGTCCAGATAGCGACTGCAAAGGATTTTCCCCTAGACCTTCAGAAAGTGTGTATGTGATGAATAAAAAAATGAACTTCCCTGTCAAAAGTCACATTTTTTTTTTTATACAAGGCTATTTATTGAAAAAAAGTTGTGATCGGAGTCCTTGGAAGGTCTTAAAACGACATATTCAGAAGAAAATCTGATGACGTTGCTCTAACCGGAAACTTCAAAAACCGAAAAAAAACATTCAGTGTTAGGAACAAGTTTTGTATGCCAGAGTGTCTTCTCGTTTTTCCACCCAAAACAGTTTTCATCCTTATCATTTCATTCCAAAAAGTAACGTTTACCGGAATGAGGCAGTCATGAGAGCCTAAAAATAAATACTGGGATCGCAGAGGCAAAGATCACAGCACAATGACAGAAGAAGGACCGACCAAAAACTTAGGACAAAAGTACGGGGCTGTTAAGGCAGCAAACGCTACTTCTAATTAAAGAAAAACGCATTAGACGGATAATGGTTTGCCCGGCGAAAGTGGGCGCCAACACTCGCTTTTCGTCGGCAAAACGCAATAAAATAGACAACGGAGGAGCCAATCCTCATTTCGGATTTCAAACGAACGTTTCTTGATTGAGTGCAATATTTCTCTGATTTAATTTGCCTTTTTTCTCATGGAAGTTGAGAAATTTTCAGTGAATGAAAAACTGTTTATTTAAAGCATCGAAATGCATTGGGGTGGATTTTGGAAGTATATTTTCACAATACGACGGGAAGGCTGAGCCAATTCGTAATTATTTCAGCGTAAGAGCATTAAAAATTATCAGAGAAAGATCTCGAATTGTAAGTGGGATTTTATTCGTCTTACGACCGTGACCGCTTATTCTCAAGTCGACGCTAATGATATCATAATTTTTAACTTTTTTGCCGTGGAAATCATTTAGGGCAAAAAAAATATGCGCAAAATTCTTAAAAAATGTTTTTTTTCTAATAATAACTTATTCAAAGATCAGTGTGAACCCCAACGAGTTCACTAATGTTATTTTTTATAGTCTTTTAAAAATCTACCACCCTTTTATATTTCATTAATTGCTAGCTTTGGACAACGAACACCCCATATAATTTCAAACTTCTTATCTTCGCAGTATTTTCTGCCAAAAAATTTTAAAATCTCTAAAATCTGTTTTAGGGGAGCTTTTTGTAAACCAAAAAGATGAAATCCTTTCAAACTCTAAGTTATATTTTTAATAGCTTTTGGAATAATCCAAAACCTCTTGAACATTTTCGAGGATGACATACCCTCGGAGTCCGAAGTCAACATTGCGCAGTTGCAACCGAAGAGATTCAGTTGGAAGTGAAATCGAGCACCAAAAAAGAGCTGAGCGCCTGCGTATATCCGTTTTCCACCAGGTAAAATTTACAGCTGTATGTCGGCAGACAAAATTTTGCAACGTAGTGCCAAGATTTATTTATTTTTTCTTTTTTAATTCCAGCCTACACTTCTATCTGTCTCCGCTCCGACCTTTTCTTACGTTACAAAGAAAGAAAATGAAGTCATAGAAAATGAAAAGAGAAAAGGAAAAACGAATGGTTCATTAAGAAAAAAAAAGAATTTTTTAAGAGTGGTAAACGCTGTTTGGAGAAAACAGAAGGTTTTCGGGACAAAAACCTAATTGACATGCAAATCTTCCACACTATAAAGTTTTTTTCCAATCGTTCCAAGCTTAATCAAGTCTGCCTAATCTCTAGAGAAAAACTGAAATCTTCAGCAAACATTCATTACTTGAATGACCACAAAATTCTGTTACAAATCTAATGACCTGTGAAAAACTCTCTCGAGAATTGAGTTTTGCCCAGTTTCAATATATTCATTGAAAGGATTTTCAATCTATAAATCATGCTATTCTGGTTTATTTTCTTCAAAAAAAGTAGTCAACTTAAAAAAAAAAACAATGGAAGACTGAGATTTCAAACATCAAAACGTTTCCTCGTCCTGTGAAAAATAGAGAAAAAAGGTTACAGGACAAAAACGAAGTTAAGTGCTTCACCTGGCTGGTTACACTGGTAGTGTTTCTGTGCCGTGGAAATTGGCGCCGAGGTTCGATTTCCTTCTAGGCTACTTAATTTCGCCAACTTTCTCAAATGAGATATGTCGAACTTTCAAACAAAAAGGCTTTTTTCGGAAAAAAATTTATATTTTTCTATCTTTTTGAAAATTTTTCCGATCTGAATTTGTGGTTTCTTTTCAGTTATGTGAATTAATTTAATTTTATGTTCAGCAAATGTATTTCTCAAAAACAAAAATGGTGCACTGAAGGTATGCCGTCGCGAAACGGTCGCATCGCGCTTTCATTAAGTTCAAAGAAACGCAAACTGTTTCCGCACTAGATTGTCCCGTTTTTTTTTCCCGCAAACATAACATAAGCAATATACAACCAAATTTGACCAAGCATCGCTTCGAAATCTTTTTTTCTCTTTCGCAATTATGTCAAACGCCGACAAAGCTGTATTTGAGGTACATTTGTTTTCCAATGTATTTTTGGAACTTGAAAGTCTTACGGAGAACTCACTACGCCCTCTTTTTCCTGGATTTTTTTAACTTTTCATAATTTCAATTGAACCTGCGTTTTTCTGTCAAAACCTTGAGAATTTGCATCTTTGCAACTCGATCCGTTGAAAGCTCAGGATTCGGGACTCTCTCTGACTCTCAAGGTCAAAAGCGCCGCGCAATAACCTCAAATTATCTGAGATGATTGAGAGTTGAAAATTTAACGGTTCAAAATATTCAGAAGACTATAAAGTGAATTTCTTCAAAATCCCTTTGAGTTTCCTGACAAAATGTTAACACGGGAAATGCTCAGTCATCTACATATTATTTGTTTTTGGTCTCTTTGTTGGTTGAGAAATCACTTAATCTTGCAAGTCAAGTTGCATTTAAACAATTTTTCTGGTGTGCTTGGAAACTTTTTCTTTTTCCCATATAAGGAAACTCTTTTTAGGTTTTTTTCCCTTAAGCTTACACATTTTTTTCACGCAACTTGGCTTGGCTTATTTTCTGTTTTTTTCAAACTCTTTATATTTATTTTTTTCACGTCAAAAATAAATCAGAACTCTGAGAAAGTAGAAATGATTACTTAAGACTTTCTTACTTCCCTAAAATTGAAGTTTCAATTTTTGTTTGTTGTAGTCTGTTTGCTAAGAAAGTTGTACTTTTTCTTTTGTGACTCCGAGAATAAATTGGAAGAGCAGGTGATTTTTTAAATTTCAGTAGCTAGTTTCTGAAAGCCAAAGAAAAAATCAAGTAACCAACTTTGTTACTCGAAATAGCAAAGTATGTACTTAAAAAGTTCAGCTGCTCATGTCGGAAATTGCAATGGAAATTTTCTTCACCGAGCCATGCTTTTTAAGAAGAAAATTAGTTAGTGGCATTGAATCCCATCGCGAAAGCAAACTGAGTTCCGAACTTTTCTCTGCTAAAAAAAGCAATTATTCCACCTTTCATTCCGTTTTATTTCAACGAGATTACTCGTTAATTTTTCACAAAAGATTCCGAAAAATAAAAAAACTCGCAAAAAAATTTTTTTATTTATTGAAAAAAGAATGTCGATTACACTAATTCTTAAGGAAGTTTTGATTCTCTATTTGAATATCGAGAAAAATTTATAGGAGGCTGCTCAAAAAAATTTTTAGTATGTGAGTTGCCACGCGGTGAGCTAATAAAGACATGAGGTGTTGAATAGAGAAGTTCTACTTTTTGATTTACAGGAAAAATTGGAAGAAACATCAAAAAAAATTACGCGGAAAACTGTCCCAGAAAAGGATCTTGAAGTAGCGGTCGTTTTGTTTAGTACATAAAATTTTTCGTAAGGTTGTTTTTTGCGTCTGATCACGATGACGCAAGGCGACGTTGTCCTTTTTAAAAAGCTGTAAGTTAAGCAATGTGATTGAGATACGATAGCAAATTGGGACAGCGACATTCCGAAGCATTTTCTTCACAAGCATGGCGTTTTGGGTTTCGCGGATTCGCTGTCCATCGGAATATGGTTGGTCACACATCACCGGAACCTGCTCTTTTCTCAGAAAGAGTTTCTGGCAAACAAAACAAAGAACTCGGTACCCGAACCAACTAGGGCAGAAGCAAAACCAAGTACATCTTCATGTTTTATTCGGTCTGGATGGCGCTGCGTTTGTTCGTGTGGCGAGCCATACATGCGATTTGCAACAACTCGGCGAGAATGTGCATTGTGTACCCATCTTTCCGCTTTCGCGCATTTTTGGCCCCTTCATCCAACTGCTCAGCTCATTACTTCTTTTTGTGCCGGTTTACTTCTCGTGAAGTACGCCTAGAGCCCCAGGAAAAAAAAGAAGTTTTTTAGGAACCTCCGCTTGAATAAACATGCGGTGAGTTAATATTTTCGTAACTTGAAAACAGGAAATGGTTTTGATGCAATGGCTTGATTCGTACTACTGAAAGTGAAGAGCTGACGATGTTATTCATAATAATGCAGTGGCGTCTTCTTTTTGGTCGGATGGTTCGAAAATAATTTCACTCAAATATGACAAATATTTCATAGTTCAAATTTTTCTTTATTTGAAAAAAATGAGAGGCTTTTTGGTCAAATGGGCACAAAAAAATTAATTTCAAAAAAATTGCAATATTAATGGAATCGAAACTCAGAAATTGTTGCTAATTTATTAAAAATTATTAAAAAAAGAGCAAACCGAGTGGTTTCCAAATCAGTTGAATTTTCCGAAAAGGAATGGGAGAATTATTCAAAAGCAAGATAATTGAAAATTGAACGAAAATAATGTCAATATGGTTTTCAAGAAAAATAATGCGACAAAAAAAGGAATGAAATCCCTATGAATTATTTAAAAGGAAAAGAGCCCCAGAAACAACAACAAAAATAACGGACGGAAACTGGAATTGTATTTTCCTTCATCACTTGATGTATTTCTTTATGGTTCTAACCTAAATTTTGGTTCAGGAAAATTTAGAATAAACAAAAATACAGAGCTTTCTACCTTGAGATAATGAAAAAATCTTGTTATTGCCTCTGGGAAAATAGCAACGAATTCGGAGTTTCGAAAAGAAATTAGTGAGTTCCGTCAAGATCTTGGAAACGTTCAAAAAACTTTCCTTAAGTCTGAGAAAAAAATACAAATGTGAATACCTAGTCCTCAGGGTTTTGAGTTTCGCATATTCTAGTTTTAAAATCTTCCCAGTCAAAACTTTTTATTTTAAGCTTGAAATCCCCAACAAAAATTTTTGAAAAAAACAATACAAAGATGGAAATTTTTTTGGAAGAAGTTAAAAAAATGTGAAGAACGAAAAAAATTTTTCTACTCTTTTGAACTGCGAAAAAAATTTCCACTAGAGTTATTCGATTCCGGTTGCTTGTCAAAAAAATAATGTGAGCAAGTGAACATATTAGGAGTTATTATTATTGTGTAGAAGGAAATAAATGCATTTCTTGCGGCAAAGAAGGCAATGAAAACAATCAGTATAGAAGCCATTCTAACAACTGTTCTGAGTTTCGTTACGAATTCTATCGAAACGCGCAACGATGACGATAATCTTGGAATGCCTATATTTAGTTAAGAACCAGTCCAAAAACGGAGAGAAAGGGCTTTTCGAGCTTTCAATGCCATGAATTAGTTATGCGAAGCGACTAAATGTTTTAGAGAGAGGGAGCAAGAAATTGAGTACAATGTGAGTACTCACCCATCTGATCGGAAAAAGAGATCCGAGGTCCAGAGCTTTGCTTCGGAGGCTCATCCTCAGCTTCATCAAGCAGTCGACGGTTCATTGATTTTGGACGTTTTTGTTAGAATATCAGAACAGAACGCAGTTCGGGCCAGGTCATCGACGACGTCGTTGATTGACAGCAGAATTTCTGGAGTCAACGTAGGGCGACCGGAAGTTGGTGTTTCTTTACTGACAGCGTTCCGACAGGGCGGAGCCGCGCTCTCGAGCTACCCGTCGCGCTCTCCAATCCGCCAACAAATCATCCAGGCTTAGGTCAGCGCAACAATAATTCTCAACAGATAACAACACAAACTTCCTCAAAGCTATTGCATCAAAATGAAAATCTCGGGAAAAGTTTATTGAAAAACAGAGAAAACAGTCTCTTGCTCGTAAGAAAATAAGTCAAAGGTTTCGAACAAGAAAAGAAGATCTCCCAGCCGGCTCACGTAACCAACAAACCCTGTAATTATTGGAACACTAGCTATGCAAAAGTTTCGATTCCCTACAATTATCGAAAGAAAATTCGACCCTTCAAACCTTCAAACAACGATGTAAATTATACGGCCCAAAAATGAACGATGGAAAAAGGCTGATACTGGTAAAAAAAAAATAAAGGCTAGAAGAAGGTATGCATTTTTCATGGTAACATGCGCTTGGAATGACATCTAGTGAGTTGTTGCGATACATGTCCATCGCATTTGCTTTCTACGCAGATTGTCAAAACATTCACTTTCAACCCTGAGAAGAAATAATTTTGCAGGAAAGATATTCAATTTGAAAAAAAGATAGCTATGAAACAAAGCTCTTCAAAAAACTGACAAACAAAAAAAAAAAAGATATTTTCCAGTAAAATTAATTAAAAAAATGTTCCCGAAAAAAATCACATTTTAATTTTAATTTTAGCGAGCTTCAAAAAAATATTCTCATTATTTCTTTTTTTCTTCGGTTGAGAAATTTTGATTTGGAAAGTTATGATTTACCAAACATGAACCTTGACATTTGCGAGATCTCTTCTATCTGTGTTTTGGAAAAAATCGATATCAAGTAGTTCATAAGTTATTGAACATTAACTGGAAAATTTGACACCAAGCGAGACCAGAGAAATATTCAACACTGAGAGCTTCAAGGCTGGCCAGAATTCTCGGATGAGTAATTTTTAAGGCGCCAGCCGTTTAGAAAAAAATTGGTGGTCGTCGTAGCGACACCTTGTCGTCGAGGCGCCAGGCCAAATTTCTGAATTATTTTCTGTTAGAAAGGGTGTCATAAGATCTCTGGTTCCTGGTATTTAGATTCCGTTTCCAGAAAGTGTCTCCAGTTTTCGAAACTCTCATCTGTTGCGCGCAAAAAAGCTTTCAATTCTCGAACCATATTTGAAAATATCCTGAATTTCGCCTTCACGCAATTTTTCTGCTTTTTTCAGTTTTCGAATGAAGCAATTTTAAGACTAGCACGTTCAGGCGGAAAAACAAATTTTGCTCTATTTACGCGATAAAGGCGCCCAAAATTCTAAAGAAAACTGCTTTATCCCAGAGAAACTGAACACCTGAAAGCTATCACGCAAAATTTTCTTGGTAATTGAGATAATTGTTTGCTTGAAATGAAGGCGTTAAGATTCCGTATTACTATAGGAGGTCAAACGAATGCAACAGCTGATTCCCTCGGAACGGCGTCTTTTTGATGGATTCTAGTCATTTATCATCTTACAGTGCTGACTCACTGCCATTGGGTTTTTCGTGTTTCACGGATCCAACAGGAATTTAAAGATTGCAACTAGATTCATATTTTTTTGAAAAGAAAAAGTTCTTACGATAATGGACGTTAATGTGAATCTGCGCTTGAAAATTTTATGAACTTCGATCAAAACAAGCATCTGTGCTGTTGATATCAATTAATTCAAACAGATTTTTTTGAATGGAGCTAATAGTTTTTGAAATGCCCATCGACGCGTTTTTTCAACTTGTGGAAGGCTATTTTTCCAAAAAAAATAATGAGGATTTTAGAGGGCTGACACTTTTTGGGCCAGATTTGACAACTGCAAAATAAAACTATTTTCTAGATGATACTTATTTCTGTGAATTATTCTGCAACCAAATCTTTTGAAAGAAACAAATGAACTGAAAAAAAGAAAGTTCTTTACTTCCTCGTGCACTCTGAACCTTCCATCCGAAAGCGAGAAACCCTTCAAGTACGAAAATAAGACTCAGGGCAACCAAAAAAACGACTTCTTGAGAACTTATTATGCCGTCAAAGCCATGATCGCAATTTGCGGCAAGACACATCCTCTACTGGAACTTTTTTTGACAAACGAACGTCAACTGAAAATGCTACAATGAAGAAAAATAGTTTTATGACACATAGAACATTTTTATCGGGGGCTCTTCATCGATACGTTGCGGAAAAAAAAATCAGAATTTTGAAGTTGGGTTAATAAAGAAAAGTAGAAATCATTCGATAAATTTTCTTGATAGCAAAAAAACTCACAATTTTTTTACGTTGAACCTAGGGTAATAATTTGAAAAAAGAAACGACTATGGAAGAAATGCCTATTTCCTGTTTATGAATTGAATTGAGCTCAAAGGTCTTAGTTTTGTCGGGATGTTTGAATCAGGAGGGCACGACTCCGTTTTTTTCCCGTTCGGCAATTTTGACGAGCTTTCAAATTCGAAACATTTTTATCAAGTTTTTTTTTCTGTTTCCCGTTTCGAAACAGATTTTTTTCTTGACTGAATAAATTAACAAATATGGTTTAGAATATTAATTTTTTCATTATTATTTTACATTCAATTTTGCTACTGTTATACGTAACGCCCTGCTCTGGGCCTTAGTGAAGCTCAACTACACAATTTTTCTGATAAGTGACGAAAAAAAGATAAAACGTTGAAAATTTTTTCTCCACCGGCCTTTTCAAGGTTCGCGTCGTGCAATTTCTGAGGAAAACTCAAAAATTTGTTATTCAACTAGCCAATCTTATAATTTTAATACTTGAACTGCAGCCTATTAAGTTTTCAAATCCATAGGCTTTCAAGCTCTAGGGTGAATATTTGAATAAGTATCTTATAAAGTATCTTAAAATCCGCGCAGGACATCCTGTTGTTGGCAAACGCCGCCACCCGCCAGCCACTTGAAGTGACGGCGTCGTCCTCCAAATTGATAAATAGGGCAGATTCACGGGTATCCGAGCAAAAGTACAAGAAAGCTAATGAGATGAGGCTGCGTCTCATGAGACCATCCAAATCATATTTATTATTGTTGCGCAGCGACATTGCTGTATAAAAGTTGCAATTTACCATAAAATCTTCGGTTCTCGTGCAAACTCAAAGGGAGCTATTCAGAATCTGTAAAAGGAGGTGACATTTTTTTTTTCCGATTGCATGATAGAAAAAGATTTTTAATCAATTAATCATTTATTTTTGTTTCAGTCATAGATTAAATCAACTATTCGGCAAACAAAAACCTTCAAGCTTGCTGCTTTTTGAGGTTGGGTATGATTTGGGTCGTAATTTGACCATAAATTAGTTTACTAACAAGGGAAGTGTTTTTGGTGGCCGGTTGAACTTTCGTTGAAACTTTGCTGGAAGGTACTATAAGACCTCCTCTTTCCAGAACAAAAATAAAATTTCTCGCAATAGATCTCGTTTTCGAGTTATGGAGCTTTAAAGTGTGAACGCTGAATGAGTGCTGCAAGGTAAGAGGGAATGTGGCTCGCGTACGATCCCTCCACTCCAGTTGGCAGCTTGGTATAGTGGCTAGCGTCCTTGCACTGCAGAGTCTATGACCTAGGTTCGCAACTTTTTGAAGAATTTCTTTTTTGCCAAAACTTTCCTAGGAGGAATTTATCGACATTGGGGAAATGGACCAAACATTTCTTTCCAAAAATAACATAGTTTCTCATTTTGATTCGGTATACCGATTAAAATGTTTTCTTCCGCTTATAAAAATTATTAATAGTCCTTTTTGGGGGGAAAAAGTTCTACGTGCCTTTTAACCAGCGTTTCAATCCAGTTGATAATTTAAAAGGAATCAAATAAAAACTCACGCCACAGAAAGATGAGTAAGTCTCCACCAGATTCTTCTTGGAAAAAAAAACAGAAAGCGATCCATTGATCATGCCTATAAGCCGCCGAAGGAAAATGTTTGTCAAAATTCTCGGTAAATCGAGTGAAATGAGAAACTATGTTATTTTGGAAAGAAAGTTTTGGTCGATTTGCCCAATTTCGATAAATTCCTCCTAGGAAAGTTTTGGCAAAAATGAATTTCTTCAAAAAGTTTCGAACTTAGGTCATAGACTCTGCAGTGCAAAGACGCTAGCCACTATACCAAGCTGCCAACTGGAGTGGAGGGATCGTACGCGAGTCACATTCCCTCTTACCTTGCAGCACTCATTCAGCGTGCAAACTTTGAAGCTTCATAACTCGAAAACGAGATCTATTGCGAGAAATTTTATTCGTGTTCTGGAAAGAGGAGGTCTTATAGTACCTTTCAGCAAAGTTTCAACAAAAGTTCAACCGGCCGCCAAAAACACTTCCCTTGTAAGCTTTGAAATGCAGAGGCTGAGTCAAATCATGTTGACTATTCTATTAGAAGCCGTACAATTCCTAGCATCAGCAGTGTTTCTTGCTCAAATGAAAAAATTATGTACTAGTTTAATTTTAATTCAATAAAAACAAACGCGAGTAGTACTGAATTTAGACCAGTTCGTTCATTTTTTCAAAACTTCGTACATTAACAAGTACTTTCTGAGCTTTACGCTGAAAAATAACAAATTTTAAAGATTTTTTTCCCCTTTTTTTCAAACCTTTTCCGAAGCTTCTAGAAACTTACTAAGTTTATTTCTGCCGAAGTGATTGAAATTTACCTGAGTTGCTTTTTATTTGAAGATTTTTTTGCGACAAAAAAATTATTTAAAAACATATAACCTAAAAACGGCTCAGATTGAAACTGGGAACTTTTTTTCGACTTCTTATATCATTTATTGACACTTTCAATTTTTATAATATTAATAATAAGGTCTCACCGCGGACGAACTTGGCGAAACGCAATTCCTTGCCGCTAGCCTTGCTCATCGTCGTTCATGCGCCTGGAAATTGAGTCAATGAGAAACTAGAAATCAGCTTTGGTTTTTTTTGATCCAGAAAATCAATGTGTAACGACTGCTTAAGGATCGTCCGGCTTGAAAGAAATTTATCGTGAGAGCATCAAATCGATGGGATGAGGTGTTCAGGTTCGAGTTGGGTATTTGTGAGGGGTGGAGGGGAAAAGGGGGAGGGGCAGGGGTTGAGAAAAAAATTAGTAGGAAATACTATTAAAAATTATAAAAACACTGGTTCACCCCAAATATACTTCTCTAATCGACCTTCTTTGACGTACTAACAGAATAATTGTCCGTTCAAATTTTGAAAAGAATTCAGAACCCGCCGTCTGCTAAAATAAGACAGAATCGCCTTTTGTTCGCTTCAAGGACAGCAGTTAATAAATTCGAGGGCTAAGATGATGAATGATTCTATTCGCTTGGGATCCGGTGAAAAAAGTCAACAGGGTCAGTCAAAATTGAACTTAATTTTTTTCTTCGGAAAAATCTTAAAAAAATACCAACAAAAAAATTTTTTTGAAGGAAATGTGGAGAAACGTTTTTCGTTATGTTTCTGATATCGGTTTCTTCTTTTTTTTCATGAATTCAAAATCCTTATAAATTTGAAAATTGTTGTTTCCATTCGCAGTCATTGATATTGGATTGAAAACCATTCGGATATGCGTTAGCGGAAATGGGTGAGTATTTTTGGTTTTTTTGCTCAAAAACTTTGTTAAAAAAATTTTTTTTTGACCTGAAATTTTGAACAAGTGTGTTGGTAAAGTGTTTCTTTCAACTTTAAGCTTTAAATAAGCAAATAGAAGAAGTTCGAAAAATAAATTCCGATGAGCTTTTTTTGCGGTTTTAATGTATATTCATTTACGGAATTAATTTTTGAAGTCGATTCATAACATCGTTTAAAATTGTCAATGACATGAGTTTACTTGACTGATTGAAATTTCAGGTCAAAATGATTGTTTTTGACAGAGTCTCGGACAAAAAACAAAAAAAAATACTCTGCCATTTCCGCTACTGCAATAATTAGTACTTATCAGTTCCTGCATTTTGGTTCTTATTTTTTCAAAAATTGAGAGTTGAACTAAAAAAGGATACTTAAGATGATCCTTCCTAAACTTGTGTACTAGCGGAGAGAGACGAAAACAAAAGAGAAACGGATACGATGGTAACTGAATTGAACGCTTGAACGCCTTGATGCAATGACAAAGTATGAAGTAAAAAGGACACGCAATCACAAACATCTTCGCCTCATTCTTTTTCTATTATTACTGATTTCATGAATATAAATGTAGAAAAGGCTTTTTAAAAACTATTAATTTACCTTTGGAAAGAAAAAAAAACTGAATATTCAAATGTTTAGCAAAAACGGTTGTTCTCCAGTCTTTTTTGTAAAAAAAATATAGTGCAAGAGCATCTTGAAATAAGATTCATGATGCTTTCAGTTTGAAACTAGAAAAAATAGAAGGTTTAGAAAAAAGTTGAAAGTCAGAGGCTGACACATTCACCCGGGCTTAATTGAGAAAGCTATCAATAGAACAGTTCATTCAGTTCTAAGTTCTTATCCAATCTTTTTATCCTGAAAGTTCAGTTACTGTTGAAAAAAGAGTATTAATGAAAATAATTATTTAGATACGTTTTTCGCCTCTGAGCAGATGAGCAAAGTAAATCACTTTTAAATTATTCAAGCAAGGCGGGCATGTCTGAAAGTCAAGAAAAATTTCTTCGAAAAAAAAAGATTAAAAATTTTGGAAAACTGGGAGGCTTTGGTGAACGGAGTGAGTTGAAATTGATTGTGGCCAAAAAAGTAACACTGCCATCATTGCAATGCAAATTCTAAAATGTGTCGTATTCGTTCGGTTGACCAATTTGCGCCGAAACGCTGCGAGAAATCGCTCGACACCCTCCTTCGTAACTTCTTTACCGGACGTCCATCAATGTTTACCCGTCTTCAGAATAACTTTTCATATTGAAAAAGGCGTATTCTAATATTCTCGCTCGATATCATATGATCAAATAAATGACTCTGAAAGCTTTCTGGTTTTAATCTCCAAGATATATTAATTGTCCAACATCTGAAAAAAATAATCGCGCCTGAACTTTGAAAAAAAGAACATAGTAAAAAAACCTTCGAAGTATTTTCCTCAATGAGATCTACAATGTGCTATCTTTTGCTAGCTACAAATGACGTTAATTACAGAACGAGAAGACGCAACTTGAAAACAGAAAATGTTCTCCGTAGTAAAGGAAACTTTTTGACAGCTTTTTGAAACTTTGAGGTTTTTCATAATTTAGCTTTCACCTTGAGATCTTTTCAAAGTTTACAACTGGAATGGTCAGCCAATCATACGTTTTCTGACATGAGAACTTTCATCATCATTAATCAACACAGCGTTAATACCCTTGTGGGACTTTCTCAACAATGACTAGCATTTTCAAATGTGAAATCGAAAGATAACCAAAAGAAGTGCTGATAAGAAGCGAGTCTTCGCCGCACTCTGGCAAAATCACCCGGCAGCAGTGTCTTTTTTCACGTAAAATGACCCGTTTTTGGCTGCTCGTGGCTTTTTTGTCGACGGCCGTAGTCGCAAGACATCCGGCCTTACATCCCTTCATCTTTGGCAGACCTGTTGATCGAGGATTTGTTGGGTCCGATTTCTAGATATTTAAATAATTTTGGCTTCCGTTAAATTCCTTAAAATTTAATCCAGCTTCTTGCAATTTCCAAACAAGAATCATGCTAACTAAGACTAAAAAAACTTCGAATTTTTCAGTCATGGGGAGCACGTCGCTGGTATCAGCCACAGTGATTACGAAAATCTTGACGCTCAGGTCCAAAAGTTCAATTTTTCACAGAAAGTTGATAACTTTGACGTTAACAATAATGCTGTCTACAACCAGGTAATTCTGAAAACTATCATCATAATTAAAAAATCTTGCAGAGGTACTGGTACAACCCAACGTACTCTCAGAAGAAAAACATCATTTTCTTGATGATTCAAGGTTTTTATTCCTTGAAACTTTATTGGATAAATTCGTTATAGGCGAGTCACCAGCTACAGATCTTTGGATCACCAACGGAGGTTATCAATACCTCCAGTGGGCCAAAATGTTCGGAGCTGATGCTTTCCAGCTCGAACATCGTTGTTTTGGTTACAGTCGACCTTACCCGTCAGTTATATTCATTTTTCTGACTTTTAGGATGATTTTTTTTATTCTGAAATGAGACTATTCAGAGACACTTCCTTCAAAAACATCAAAGTTTGCACGATGGAGCAAGCTCTTGCAGATATTCACAATTTCATCAATGCCATGAACAAGAAGTACAACTTCCAGAACCCGAAGTGGGTCACGTTCGGAGGATCATATCCAGGTTTGCTTTTAATTTTTTGCGTTTTAACTTTTTCTGAAACTTCAGACACCCGTGATAAAAATCCATTTCTTTGTACTGTTTTCTTTTGATTTTCAAACAGCTTTTTTTCTGATAAAACTGTTAAGCAATAAAAATCAGCTGTAAAGTGCTTTGAAAAATTTATAGTGCTTTAAATTTTAACTAGATGCGAAAAAAAGAAACCGTGCTGAATTTTTCGCAAGGCATCTGATAAAGTTTGCATTCAATTTTTGTAAAGACTGCAATAAAACTTATTAAAACGTAATTAAAAGGTACAGAGAATCATTGAAAATTAAAAACTCGACTTCTAAATTTTTTTCTCAATCTCGGACATTTCAGGCGCACTCTCGGCTCTTTTCCGCGCGACCTACCCGCAGGACACAGTGGGAGCCGTGGCGAGCAGTGCCCCGATGCTTTGGACTCTTGACTTTTTCCGTGAGTCGGAAAAAGAAGTTTTTACAACTACCTTTCTGTTTCAGAATACACTCAAGTCATGGAAGATGTCATCACTCAAACCGATCCAAACTGTCGAGATCAAGTTGCTTTGGCCTTTTCGACAATGCAAACGTTGACTTTGAATGGCCAGATCACGAAGCTCAATAGCTATTTCCAGTCAGCTCAAATGATTTGATTTTGAATCTCACATCAAAACAGACTCGATCCTCCTTTCGTGAACGGAAACTACACGCAGAAGGACATTGACAACTTCTTCTCCAACGTTGTTGGCTACTTCCAAGGTGTCATTCAGTACACATATGACGGCAGAGTGGGTGATGGTTCTGTGTCAGCTTGTGGAGAATGCAATCTTAAGAATGACGCCACAAAAAATGGTTTGAACGTGAAAAACCTTTGCCAAATAATGACCGACAATAAAAAAATCCCCGATGTCGTTTCAAGAGTAAAAGCCGTTATTGACTGGGTGAGGCTTTTTTTTTCCAATTTCCATCAAATTCAAATATTAACAGATCAACAAAATGAACGGAGACCCAGTTGGTCCTTTTGCCAACTCTTATAGCGACATGATCAAGGTAGCAAAACATTAAATTTAGAAGAGTACTCATTGTTCCAGGCGCTCGTTAATGGGACGTATGACGACGAAAATTTCCAACAAAATGGTGATAACTGCCTGCAAAACAGTAATGTATGATAGTTTACTTTCAGCTGCTGCGCGTGGATGGATGTGGCTCTGCTGCAATGAACTAGGAGTTCTCCAGACTACAGACCAGGGACGTAACATTTTCCAACAGACCATCCCTCTCAAGTAAGTTTTGATTTGATAATCTTTCGATGAGATATTTCACTGGAAATCGATATTTTTGCGAGTATTTCATTTCACCCGTTGAAGACGCCATTATTTTAAAACCACCTCATTATTTCTATGATAATTCAAGCACCTGAACGAGTATATTTTTGAAAAAAACATTCCTAAGTTTCCTTCACCAAGAGAATGTCCACATCTTTTTTTTTCTCATGAGTTCATCTTTCTCCCTTTTTCAGCTACTACATCGATATGTGCACCGACATGTTTGATCCAAGCGTTGACATTAAATACATACGAGACCGCAATTTGAGAACTTTGAACACTTTTGGTGGCAACGCAAATTATAAAGTGACAATTCATGAGCATTTTTTCATCAACTTGCGGTTTCAAGGCCACTAACGTCGTTCTTCCGAACGGTTCCTACGATCCTTGGCATGTTTTGGGAACCAACGCGACCGACTCTGTCAACCACGTCACTCCTCTGCTCATCCAAGGTAAATTTAATCATCTTTTCGGATCTCAAAAGGGAATGAGTTTAGGAGCTGCGCATTGTTCCGACATGTATCCGACGTACCCCAATGAGCCAGCTGCTTTAGCATCGAACCGAGCAATTATACAGAACCAGTTGCAGTACTTCTTGGGAAGTGAGTAGTTTGATAAGAAAATTATTTTATTCTAACTATTTCAGTCAACTGAATACGATGAGAAGAAAGTGTCAACCGAGAATCAAAACGCATCTGCTAATAAAATATTTTTTGTTTTTTTTTCACATTAATGCATGTACTCAATCTTGATCTTTCGTTTGCGAATTTTTTTTGCACTCAACGTTTTTTCACAATTTAATACTGAATACGGTTCAAAATGACCTCCCTCACTGGAAAAAAAAACATCAGACAAAAAGTGTTTTTATTGCTGATCAATTTTATCAATTATTAAAAAAATATATATAAATCGGTGCGAGAAAGTTAAGTAGATACAATTCCATGAAAGCTGCGTGCAGGTAGAGAGGATGAATGATGCATTGCTTGCGGCATTGCAAGTGAGTTCACTATAAATAATAAATAATATCGCTCATTAAATGCTCTTTTGAAGGCCTTGTTACACGTAATTACGAAATGATGGCGTTTCGGTTCTGAAAATCTAGAGATTCGTGGTCATTTTTTTCATATCGTTAAGTTTGAGACGACTAGGACGAAGGAATATCAAAATTTGAAAAGAAAGTGCAGTAAAATAATTGGAAAGAGGGAACTTTTGAAGTTAATAGATTGGAGAGCCGACTGGGTTCTCGAGCCACGGGTAGAGGGCTGGACAAGGCGAGCAAGTCAGGAATTGATGCTCAGAACTTCCCAGAGCTGGTGTGTTGTACATGCACTTGTTGGGTTTCTCGCATGTAGCTCGCAACGAAGGATTTTGACTGAAAGTCGTCGGGCATCGCACAGCTTCCGACTGCAAAAACATTTTTCCTGTTATTATTTCAGGAAAAATGTACCTTTGACATCTGACTAATAGGAACTGGTTCTTTCATCCAATCAATGAGTTGTTTGAAAGTCACAACATAAACATCTTGATTGGCCATTGCTTCACCCAAGAAGCTGAAAGTTTGTTGGTAAATTCTCAATTCAACAATTTTTACTTTCGCAGAGCTTTCATTCCTGAGTTTCTGCCATTCAGCTGTAAAAAGTCGGCGTTGAGTGAGAGCACATAAGGAGCTCTGTTAGAAGAATAGCTTCTGTCAAAGTTGGAAATCATCATCGCAGTCTGAATAAGTGACTTTTCTTTTTAGGGGAATTTTTCTCACCAGTTCTTCGACGGTGTTGTTCAAATCGACAGCAGCGCGTATCATACTCGACCGGCGATAACTGTCGATTTGCCTCATGTACGCTCCATAGAACTGATTGAGAGGCACTTCCCAAACTCCAGTGAAAGAGCTGAATTTTGAAAGTATAGGAGCAAATTTATCATTTTGAACCTTTTCGGGCAGCTGTCTTCATAGCAAGGCCACGCAACAGTATAGTCGAGAGTCTGTGGCCAAAAAGGTTCTCCATTTATACCAGGGTTGGCTGACATGGAGTTGTCATAAAGGAAACCAGCGCGGGACATCATCTGAAAGTATTATTAGAAGAGGAAAAGTTCCGGAGTGATTTAGCGAAATTATTTTCTTTTCCAGGAAATGAAAAGGAAAAAAGACTATTTCATTCATTTTCTGCGGATATCTCGACACTCACCTCAAACTGTTCGTCACCTCCCAGGGCGAGTTGAGGAGCTCTCATTCCAAGAATCGATTCTTCTGGAGCTGATGCAAACTTGGATAAAATTCTTCTTTGCCCATCCATTTCGTTCAACCAGCGACTGGCCGGCTCGCCTTCCAATGAAACGTGGCTGAGAATAACTAACTAATCATATTAATGAGATGGAAACATACGAAATGGAGTTTGAAGCTATTTCTTGATTCTTCTGAACAAGCCATTCAACGGCATCGTAGTTGGTCCACTCGTGCGAGATGAAAAAAGAACCTTTTATCGGGCAGCCATTGGGGTTTCTGAAAACAAAAAAGATAGATTCATGATACTTTCCACAAAGAAACCTGTAGAGGACTTGTTCAAATAGGGCTTTGTAGTCAGGGAAGGTTTTTCCATTGACAGCATCATCAAAGGAAAGGACGATGAACTGCGGGGTTTCATGCGGCGGAAGATTTCCTGGTGCTTTTCGGCCTGAAAGAAAAGAAGTAAACATGGCGAGCCTATTCTTGAAACTTTTCTTGCTAATCTTATGTTTTCAGATTTTTTTGATATACAAAAATAGAAGAGACACTTTTTGAAAAACAGATTTTTTTATTTTAATCATGATGAAAAAAAGTCAAATCACATTATTTCATTTGATAAATGACAATTCCTAAAAGTTGGTTTGACTTTTTGCAAAAGATCGATTTGCCAAAAAAATAATGAAATATTAACTTTTTTTCATTCTGAATTTGTTGAGCTTTTTCTAACTTAGAAAGATTATAAATATTTGAAAAAAATATTAAAAACACTTGCTCTGTTCAGAAGAGCTGTATAACTTTTCGCAGAAGTCAATTACATTAAAAATTTCAGACGAGGATCGAATTCGTACCGGTGGAGGTGCAGAAACACGAGGGAAGGCGACAACGTGCCTCGTCGCACGCTGTCGCGCGTGGACGTTCGATCACTGCCTTGGACGAGAAACGCAGCCCCGTGCCGTTGGAAAACTGTATTTCGGAATGTTGCGCCTCTGAAATTTGTAGAAACGTTATTATCGAACCGTAGTTTCATTTTGGAAAAGTTGATTTTTTTTAATTCATTTAACTTTCAAAAAAAGATTCGAAAATTGAATAAAATCTGCGCAACACCTCGTAAAATCATTCTCAGAACTGAGGTGATATGAGTAAAAATTTTGTTTCTCGCCAAATGTCGACTATAGCTCAGAGTTCATATTATGTTAAGTGAACTTTCTTAATTATTCACTTGAAGGCCAGGCGTCTGAAAAGTAAGGAACGCGAAACTTTTATGATGCATAAAATCCTCTCATTTCTCATTTAGACTTCGTAAAACTTGATCAAAATTTCGAAAAAACCATCACAGGGACTTTTGGTACCTTCAAAAACCAAGGTAACCAACCGATAGGACGACAGTAGCCGTCTTGAGCAAAATGGTTCAGGTCACAGGTACAAAGTCCTTGTTCACAGGTAGAGCCTCCGGAGCAACGATCTCCGTTTCTACATGGTTCCCCAGGAGCCGCATACGTTGGAGCGTCTTTAGAAGAAAGCGTTTCTCAAAAAAAATTTTCGTGAAAACTCACTTTTCAACCGACAGATGCCGTGAACTGCGACGTGCTGTGCCGCGCAAATACACTTTTTGGAGTCGCTATCACAAATCGCGCCACCCGAACAAACTTCTCCACCTTCACACGAATCTCCAGTTTGTACAACTCTGTGCTTGTGGTTTCCTTAAAAGAATAAACCACGTTCATGATAGAAAACTGAGTAAAACTGGTAATGTCGTTAGTTCTCGGTTGGTATTTTCATGTATAGATACAGTAGAACAGCATATAAAAAATTTTGGTAGTTAAAATTCAGTTTTTGATGTTTCCATATTATTTGCAAATTTCAAGTTGAATGAACAATATTCAAAAACTGCTTTCTTGCAAGTGGCACAGATGTTAAGGACACCCACTGGTACTTATATTTAGTAATCCAAACATTTCAAATTTGTTTTTTTTTCTCCAAAAACTCACGCCCAATGCAGTAGCCATTCTGTCGAATAGTATTATCTGGGCAAATGCAAACGCCGCGTTTACATTCACCGCCGTTCAAGCAAATATCGTTGATGTCGCATTTTCCTCCGAGAGCCAACGCTTTTGGTGGTCGCACAGTTTTTTTGGACGTCAAAGGGACCACTTTTTTTGGAGATGGAGTATTGGCCGCCATTGATTCAGCATTCGGAGTTGGAAATTGGTTCTCAGGCAAGTTGTTGGACGGTGTAGGGAACTCTGAAAAATTGAATAATTTTGGACATTTAAAAAAAAACATTAAAAATACCTTTTGGAATGATGTAAGGGCCCCTCGTGACCGGTTCAACAATGATTGGAACTTGCGGGAGCTGATTCTGTGCCGTGTTACCGTTCATGGGATTGGGAAGAGATGAAAATGGTCGCTTGTTGTTCGAAATCGCCTGGCAAAGAAACATTCATTGAGGTACAATTTTTTCGGGGAATTGCAGTTTCCTTGAAGGGAGCTGTTATCAAAACTCTCATAAATATGCATTGATTAATGAACCGGAGATCAGTTTTTCTTCCTCTTTCATGTCAAAACGCGTCTTGAAGTTGAGTCTTTCTTTTTTTGAAAATTCAGCTCAATCATTAAGATTTTTTTCGTTCAGTTTCTCAGATCTCCTTCTTCTTCTCTGTTTTCGAATTCCATGTTTTGATCTTTTTTTTTTCTCACAAGAATGAATATTTCTCTAATAATTTTCAGAAATATCTTGTATTCAGTTTACTTTTTCAGCTTTTCGATAATTTCCCGATCTTCATTCAGTAAAATAAGGTGTTCAGACCAACTTACTAAATTTTTTGGAAAATATTTCGAAATTTCGTCTTTGTAGGTATATTTTGGACTTGTATCAAGAGAAACTCACGGCTGCCAAATCGAAAGATTCGCACCATCCCGTGGGGGAAAGGGCAAAGCCAGCAGAGCACTTGCAGACGGCGTCGATGCATTTGGCCCCATTGTTGCAACGGTCTTTGTAGCGATCGCACGGTTGTCCATATTTTAACATTCGGATACGTCCTTCAGGTTTGCTTTTTTAATTTTTTCTCAGAGTAAGAGGAAAACGTTCGTTAATTGAACACGCCACACATTTTTTAAAATTTTATTGGTTTCAAAATATTTCTGTTCATGTAAGCTCACGACAAAGACAACGGATACCAACAATAAGTTAATGGTGTGAGGAAAGACATGGAGGGGAGTAACAATTTCAATATAATATGAATTCAACCTGAAAGGAATTTTTTTCAAAAGCCTTTCAAATATAAAACCGAAATTTCCGTAAGTTTTATTGACTTTCAAGATTGAATATAAATAAAACGAGAAAAATAGAAATCTAGATGAATTTGGAATAAATATCTGGTTAATAATGTCAATCACAAAAAAATTTGATTTAATATGCGTCAACTGTGAAAATGAAAGACACCGTACATGAGAGTTCTGGCCTGTCCACTCATAGAAGCGGGGAAGTTCAGTAATGAAAATACCAAAAAACTGATGAGAGAATTGACTGATTTTTTCAAAGAAAAATCATCTTTGTTTTGTGAAACAGTCTGACTGTGTAAATTTGATCATCCAGCTTCTACGCATCAATGAAATAACATTAAAATAGCTTTAACTTCTATTTGTCAACAAGCCGATGAAAAGTTTTGATAATTTAGGTCCGAACTTTGATTGAGTCTGTTTGTAGAATTTTTGTGGAAATTTGGTGAGATAAAACACATCAAACTATTAATTTTAAACGTTGAGGGAGAATCTACCAAGATTTGCAGCAATTATATTCCTCGGTGGCGAAGCCGCCCGAAGTGATATAACAATAGGAACGAGGAGGACAATTGGGTTCGAGACCGTTGCAGGTGATGAGGCGACCACTGTCGTCTCGCGTCGGATCATTGCCAGGTGGACAGTTGCCGTTACCGGTACCTCCCGTCTTGTAGCTTCCCGAACCACGGTTTCCTGTTGGTGTGCCTCCACCGCTGCCGCCTTTGTTTTTCGGCTTCGGACGTCTGATTGGCGGTCCGACGATCCTTGGCTTTTGCGTTTCTTGCCGTGCTGGAGCTCTTGTCGTAGCTCTCCTCGTGGTCGTCTCTTTTTCTTCTTCCTCCTCTTCTTCTTCTCTGGCGTGGATCCGTTCAGAACTGAGGGTTTCCACTTTGTGCTTGGCATAGGAAACTGGAACGGGCCGTTCGACGGCGTCAATGGCTGAAATGTTAGTGTGTTGAACACGTCACGCAATAATAGTTTGGACAAACTGTGAACATTTTTTTCAGGTATGCGTTCATTCTACAATTTATAGTATTAAAAACTGACTCAGAAAAAAACTGAATTGAGCTTTTCGTATTCAATTCGCTTATCAAAAGCGGAACTGAATGCGAAAACGTTGAGAACTTGGTATGAATTCGAAAACTATTTTAATTATTTCTTTCATTACTGTTTATAAACAATTGTTCACAAAATTTTTTGCCGACTAAACGGGAAAGATAGAAAAAGGTTGCAAAATATCCATAGAATTTCACAAAGTTGGCCGTGAATGTTCTTCACATTTATCTCAAGTTAGTATATTTTCAGATTATTACAGCCGATACTCTTTTTGAAAGCTTTGTATTGCTAGTTGGTTATTCACTTCAAAAGGTTCAACACGTTTGAATTCGTGTGGGAAATCACACACTTGATGTTCAATTCGGATTTCACTCATATTAGATTTTAGGGAGGAAATATACCTTCCAACGGTTCGCATTGGCCATTATTGTCGACGAAGCCGGCTTTGCACTTGCATCTGCCCATCATGCACATTTTGTTATCGCCACAGTTCGCGTCCGTCTCACACTCAGTTGAATCTTAAAATTTGATGTACTCAATGAAAAAACAACTCTAAAATTTTTGACAAGGGATTTTTTACCGGAAAAAAATATTTTTGGCCTAAAGAAAAGAAAAATAACTTTTTATTGATTAACGTTTGCATAATAATCAACTCACAAACAGAAGGAGCTGGAGTGATGACCGGAACTGGAGGATGAGCTCGAGTTGTTGAGGCGGCAGAAGTTTGTGGTTGAGTCGGCGGAGGCATGCATTGGGTGCCGAAGACGACCTGTCCTCGTGGACACATGCAAATTCCCGTGTCGTCGTCGCAGCTGAAGAGAACGTTTTCGTTCAAGTTTATAGAGATTGATTTCCTAGGCACGAATCCAGGAAATCTTATTTTCAATAAAAATCAGGCCGAAAATTGACTTGGAAAAATTTAATAATGAATTTCTGGATTTCCGACTGTTTTTTCCCACTTTAGAATACTCTTCTTTCTGAAGCGAGAAGAAGCCTTTTCAAACAGATTCGTTTAAAATAATTCATAATGAAAACATATAATTACCTGGCGCCCCCTTCGCATATTTCTCCATTGTCACAGCTCTCGAGCGGCTTGGCGTAGACCACCATTTTAGGGGTGGTCGGCATTGGAAGGGTAACACAGCTTCCAGAGATCGCGATATATCCAGGCTGGCAGCGACATTGTCCAGAAACGCAACTGAATTTTTGTTTTTTTTTTTCCAGCAAAGTTCTTTTTAGTCTCACTTGCTTCCTCGTGTGCACGTTTTCGTTTCATCGCAGCTTTCCCCAGGGCCAGCTTCGACTTTTTGAATGGGTGCCGAACACTCTCCATTTCGAAGCTCAGGTTTTTCAGATGGACATTCACAAATCTTGAGATTGATAGAAATTTTCGATTTTCATGTCAATTTTTACCGATCTCTGGCTGCACTGACTTCCCCCTGTGCAAATTTGACCTAAGCTGCAATCTCCCAGCGGTCGAGCAAAGACGGTAGCTCCTTGAGTGACGGCTGAAAGTTTCCCTACGGTTCCCCTACGTAAAACAATATTCTTTGATCAATTAGCTAGTATTCACAGCAAGTTTTTGTAAAGGCAAAAATATTAGAATTCTTCCAGAATTACCTCACGAGTTTGTACTCGACAAGGGATCATTCTTCCCTTGAACTTCTCTTTTTTACAAAAAGATGGCTGAAAATCCATTTAATCACCGGGCAAACCGGGATGTCCTTCGCATTTTTTTCAAATTCTGAAGTTCCGAGAAGAGTTTCATATCTTAAAACACACCTATTTACACACCATCAATTTGTAAAATGGTACAATTGGAGCAAGCCGCAAAATAGCACTTCAAATGCACAGCAGAGCATACATAACGTGATGAGTCATTTCTTTGACAGAGCAAAAATTTGTTCAAAAAGCCGTAACAGTGCAAAAAGTTGTGAAATGTGAAACGTGCTTGTGGGATTTTAAAACATTGATTAATTTTTCAATCCCTAATTGGAAATAGGTGATGGTAGTAAGCCTTTTTCACTGTTTTTTTGTCAATTTTGAAAGAAAGAAGCTTGATAATTTCAAAAGTTCAAACTGCACGATTCGGAAGAAATAAAAAAAGTCGAACCAAAAAAAGCGAAAAAAAGTGGCTTTATTCTGATGCGATCTTTATTTTGCAGTTTCAGTCTTTGGTACAGTAAGGAAAAATCAAATATATAGTTGTGAATGTTTCTCTAACTTTTTATCTCAGAACTGGAAAAGGACAGCTTTGAAAATTCATACAAGCATTTTAACTGGTTTCTGAACATGAACTGTGGAAAATTCACCAGGATAGAGGTTTTATTCTTGCGAATATTCTCTGGGAATTTTCTCCGTTCATCTGTAGTTTGCAGTAATGAAACCGACGAGTGGTTCAACCTTATTTTCACACGAAATCCAATGAACTTTGAAAATCGTACTTTGCACTGCTCTCGCTAGAAAGTCTTGAGAAACAATTTCGCACAGTTTCCCTCAAGACCTTGCTAATGCAAAAATACTTTGTTTTCTACTGTACCAAAGACAAAGAAACAAATGGTTTAAAAAAGACACGACGCAATGAAGAAACGCAAAGCAAGAAAACCTTGATGACGAGCCTTGCCACGAGCTTTCCGACGCTCGGCTTCTTCGGGCGAGACGCAGCCGTCGTGATGCAAGACATGGCCTTCAGGGCACTGACAAGACTTGTTTCGACACACGGTATTGCCTTTGCAAATCAGCCCGATAGCTGCACACTCGTCTTGATTAGGGGTGGTTAGCGGTGCATGCGTTGGCAGTTCGATGAAAGCAGGCGGACGGCGCGACAGCAAATCGGCTGACGAGTACGTCGTGTGTGTGGTCGTCGCCACGGCAAATGTACCTGGCGGTTGTGCGTGCGTCAGCGGACGCGTCGCGGTCGTCGTCGGTTTCTCGCAACGACCGTTCTGAGAAGGAATCGTTCCGGCTGGGCACAGACACAAGCCGTCGATGCATTGGGAGCCTCCAACGCAAACGTCCAGCGGTCCTGAAACACCAGACATCGAAAGTGTTCTTTCTGATAAAAATTGCAAGTTTCACACTAATCAACCTCTGGCTCAATAAAAAAAATGAAATTTCTTCGATTCCTACTACTGTATAATGGCTTCAGTTGACCGTATATTGGCTGATATTGTTGAAGAGTTTACTCTTGTTGATTATATCATATTACGTTTTCTTGATCGTCTGTTTTTTCAGTGTTCTTTTAGAAATTAGGAAAAATTCTGTGCTCCTTTTGTTTAAAAAAGTAGGTTTTGATTTGCAGAGAGCTTTTTTTTCTGTTTCTCTTAAAGCTCTCTTAAAAGATGGGGAAAAAAGCTATTTTTGCGTACCGCACTGCGATCCAGGGACTGTCTTCCTGCCTTGAGTCGATGGGACGATTGGCTTCTGCGGCTGTTGGTAGTTGCTGACTGGGACAGGCTGTTGAAAATCGTACTGTTAAGATGAATGAAAAATATTCGAAATTACCTTGACGGTTGGCCGATAAGTAGGGACGATATTCATTGTAGTAGCGGACTGGTAAATTGGAGCAGAAGTTTGAGGAGCAAAAGTCATTGAGTTCTGCGGAAAACGTGAGAATCAAAAAAATGAGAATAGATTGGAATACTTTCGGTGGCAGAGTTGGCTTCGGGCCAGATTGAACGCAGATTCCTTTGTTGACAATCATTGAAGGGTCGGGGCAAATGCACCATCCTGAAAATCGAGTTTCAAATTCATGAAAATTTTAAAGACACCCTTGAGAAATAACAGGTCTTTGCTTTGAAAAACTTGGAAATTGTTTCATTGCGTATCACATAAACGATCCAGTGAGTCATTGGGTATAAAACGTATAGAGAAAGGCATGTTCAGGCGCAGAAACGGCTAAAAAGGACCTTCTTTGCAGACAGAGCCTCCTGTGCATTCTCGGGCACCAGAGCAAGATCCACCAGGTGGCGACGTCACTGGCTCGTTAGCTGAAATTGTTTTGATTAGATAAGAACATGAATACAACAACTGAAAAGTCAACGTTAAACAACGAAAAAGACATGCAATGTTAGCAACCACCTCAATCCATTCTTTTTCACTCACGATTACAGCTGACATCACCGAACTTGCAGGAACAAACGCCGCCAACGCAGACAAACTGGTCCATGCAACGGTAAGTATTGCTGCAACGGTCGCCAAACCCGATGTTAAAATCCCGAGCCACGCAATGATCTTCTTTGACAATGTCTTCGTAGCTGCAGACGCAGAAGCCTTGATAGCAGATGGCGTCGTGGTCACATCGCCGGACTTCATCGCAACTGCTGCCGGGATTCACACTTCTCACTTCTTCGCATTTTGTCTCGTTATTCCGAGCATATCCTTTACGACAGATACAGACTTTCTCTTCGCAAAAACTGTTCTCGCCACATTCCGCGTCGATTTCACACTCAGGCTCGGTGTCATAGTACATCAGGGACAAACAATCGACCGAATTGCCGTGACAAACACATAATTGGTCGAGGCAGATGAAACTCGTTGGGCAATCCATGTTGTCTCTGCACTGTCCTGTGCTGAATGAAACGTTCGGCTGCTTTCTGGCAACTCTTTTTGAGATAGAAAGACATTCACTACCAATCAGAAGTTTGCCTTTCTGACAAGTACAGATTCCTTCGTAACAATAGCTTCCAGATGAGCAAATGGTACCGTCGTCGCATTCTTGGCCGGGATGTTGAACCATATTTGCGGGAACGCACTTCTTCTCGAAATTCGTGAAGTTCTGAGCGCATTGGCAAATACCATCCATGTTGCAGAAAGAATTATCGGTGCATTTCGCATGACTGCCGCATGCATCTCCAGGAAGCTGTCCTGCAGTCAGCAACATTTCTCTCTCGTCGTTGTGTTTCTCGAGGTCTTCTTCATCGAGACACTTGTCTTTTTTCGCTTTGCTTCCTATAGGGCAAATGCAGACTCTTGCTGGACCTGAGCAAAATGATCCATCCAAACATATTTCTCCAGTGGAGCAATCATCTCCAGGCATCGCCGTTTTGATGCAAATACCCAGTATCAAACGTCTCCCAGCGCCACATTCACAGAGACCCATGTTACAATTACTGCCACCAATGCAGATCGAAGATTCGTCACACTTTTCTCCAATTCCAACAAGCTCTTTGTTCTCTTCCAATTCAACGCATTCGTCTTCGATTAATACTTTTGGATGAAGACATTGACATATCATTCCGAGGCCATCCACGGAAGCGCACTCTGAATCTCCCAAGCAGTGCTCGAAGTTTTGGCAATTTTCCAATGGCAAGGAAAACTGTCTCTCATCCGCGAAATCGGTTTTACCGTGGTTGAGAAGCGAGGGAGCCGAATATCTGATTGAGCTTTCTCCTGATGTACAAATACCGTTCTCAGCAGCGGTACCTTGTGGGCATCGGCAGAAGTGCTTTCTGCATATTGAGTTTCCTAGGCAAATGATACCATTTTGGCAGTATTCCCCAGGCAAAGAGACTTTGACGGCATTATTTATTTCATTATCAGCTTTCAACGCCTTGTCTCCAGAAACGATAGGAGCGCTTTGGGCGATTGGAACGGCGTAATGACCTATTGCTGAAGATTCCACTATCGGTTGCAATAGTTGAGGTTCTGGAGCTGGTAGACTGTTTTCAAAAGAGTGCATTGTGATTTTTTGAATCGGAGGGGAGAAAGGGGTTACAAAATTGTTTTGAAAAATGTTAGCACCAAGCGCTGCAAAATCTTGTTTGAGGCGTTCTTCGATGGGCGGGTTCGGACCGTCGTTGCGATTGGCTGGCATGGGAACAGTTGTTTCGAATGGTTCAATTATTGGTGGAACGAGACAGAAGTTATTTATCAGAGCATAGCCATCTTTGCAGATACAGTAACCATTGTCGCAGTAGCTAAACTTATGACAGTTCCGCGATGTGACGCAAGCATTTCCTGGAGATTCGACGGTTTGTTCACACTTTTTGTTCGTCGTGGCCATTCCAGAAGGACATTCACAGACGCCGCTCATCAAACTGCAGTAACTGTTGTAACTGCAGACGTTGTTTTTCATTGTGCAGTTTTCACCCGGATGCGTCATTGTCAGTTTTTCGCAGCCGTTAGGTTCAGCTCTAGTGCAGGTACAAATGCCAAAAAGGCATACGGCGTGTCCTTCGCATTGGTTGGTGTTAATACAACTTTCTCCGACTTTTATTATGGGCTCGCAAAAACCAGCTCCTGCTCGGAATCCGCTCATACAGTTGCAAAGGTTTTCGAAACAGAATGAATGCAGTGGGCATTGAGAGTTCTCGGTACACGTATGACCTTCGATTTTGCTTGCAGTTATGCCCATACTGCCGCCGTTATAGCTTATCATGTTGTTTTTCAAATCCATTTCTAGTTTTTCCATTTCGTTAATTTTCTCAGGAAAATGGCTATAGTCCACATGAATCATTGGTGGAGCAACTATCATAGAGTTGACGGTTGTAGCTTCCCAAAAATTATTGAATTCTTTGTTTTGAACAGGGACGACTGACGACTTTTTGACGCATTTTTTGTTCACATCAGATACTTCGTTGATGGGACATCTGCAGACGCCGTCAAAGGCGCAGAATGAGCCGCCGCTGCAATGGTCAGAAGGAAGACAACGTTTTCCGGGCTCTACTTTGTTGATATCAGCAATCGTCACGCACTCCTTTCCGTTCGAGAAAAGTGGGTTCATACAAGTACAAACTCCATAGAGACAGAGCGACTCCCCGACGCAATCGTATCCTTTTTTGGGATCGCAGGTTGAGCCAGGCATGATCTTGTTGATTGCTTTGCGGCAAGTGTTGTCCACTATTGTCTCATCTTGTTTGCAGCGGCAGACTCCTTTGACGCACTGAGTCCGGAAAGGGCATTGCATTGTCAAAGTGCAGAGAGAGCCGGGAGAAGTTTCGGCAGAGGACGGACTGAAATCCTCGGAGCAAACTCCTGATGGGAGTATGTAGCCTCGTTCGCAACGGCAGAAACTTTCAATACAAACAGACCCGCCGGTGCAATTGGTTCCTGGTTGACAGGCCTGTCCTGGTGCAGAAATAGCAAGTTTTTCAACAACTTCATCTGCTTCGGCATGACTTCCAACACATCGATTGTTGATAATGACTTCGTACTCATTACAAACGCAAAAGTTGCTCTCACATCTTGAGCCACCTGAGCATACGTCGTTTCCTGAGCAAGGAGAGCCAGGCGTTTTTGATTCTTCAGCAACTTTGATTTTAGATAATTTCACAGGCAAATCCACTTTGACTTCCAACTTTTCTTTTGCTGAAATTACCGACTCTTCGGGTCGGACGCATCGTCCTTTTTGTTTAAAGGTTTTTCCGACACACATGCAGACACCAAAACGGCAAGCACTACCATTTATGCATTTTTGACCTTGTTGACAGCTCTTTCCTGGTTCTGCAGTGCTTATCAAACACTTCCCATTGTCTACGACTTGGGAATGAGAGCATCGGCAATGGCCGAACTCACAGAAGCTGCCGCCGATGCAAACTTCTCCGTTATTGCATTTTCCTCCAGCAATTTGTTGGCACCTTCCTTGATGCTCCGTGCTTCCATCAACACATTGGCAAACGTGGTTGTGACACTTTGATCCGCCAGAACATCTGTCCAAGGAATTGCACTGGCTGTTGATATTTTTGTAAGCTCCGACTTGAGAGAAGCACACGCCGTCCTGAAAATGAATTGTCTGAATTTCGGTTCTGTTGATCGAAAAATTGAACTTTTCCTTAGATTCAATCTGTGGAAAAAGATATTTTGAATAAGTTTGGATGTTTTAATAAATCTTCCCGGAAAATCACAACTTAGGGTTGAGGTTATGAAAAATATGTGACCGATAGCATACAAAATCCGATTTTTAACCCCTATTTTTGAGAATAGCCAAGTCTCCAGTTTCAAGAAAACGGGTTTCTTCTCATTTAATTGAAAGTTAAACACTCTAATCATTGCTAACTTGACAAAAAAAAACTTTAAAATCGTCGAAATTGTTTCTTTTGGCATAATGCTTAGCCAACCGTGTGCGGGTTTTTTTTTCTCAAGCCAGCTGTACTTGAATTTCGAAATAAACTTTCTTCAATCTCAAGCTCTCTCGACAAACCTTATTTTCTGTTCCATTCGGGCAAACGCATCTTCCAGCCTTGCAGGTCTTCCCACCGATACAATGAAAATCCATCGTACAGAGCTTTTCCTCGTCGGTTCTTTTGAAAACAAGGCATCCATCCGGTGAAGTGCAAACACATTTCCCATTGAGGCAGGAAGAGCCGTCGGCACATTGCGGATCGACTCCAGGCTCGCAGAAAGAGTCCAAAGACAGAGCGATTTTCTGACATCGCCTGTTTTTTTCGACGTAGCCCTTCAGACAGTGGCATTTCTCCGCTATGCAAATCCCATGACCACCACTGCACCTTTGGGCTCCAGGCCAACAGTTCATACTCTGTTCGACGTCTCTTATGTTGCGTTTTTTGGAGCATTGGGTGTTAATCGGGCACACGCAGCGGTTGTCAATGCAGACGTAGGGACTGAGACATGCGGGGAAGACTTTAGTCGCGGTCACACCACACGAGTTAGAAGACTCTGCAAACTTCATCAAAATGCGAGGTTAGGCACAACAAACTTTTAAAGGGTAATAAAGATATTATTTTGGTGAATGGGAGAAAAGTAAAGGGTTCAGCGTGCAGCATAGATGAATCTTTGTTTTAGATTTGGCATAATTAAACTTTAGATAATTTTCTGCACGTTTGAAAAGGAGATCCTGCAAAGAAATGAAGCTGATAGTGTTGTTTTGCGTTTTCCAAAATCCAGAAAGTATTTTGAAAACTACAGGTTTGAAGTTGTGAAGAGCATTTTTGATTCTAGTGAGACAAGTTCGGAAAGAAAAAATGATTTTCATTTTCCCATTCTAAATCAAACCATCACACACTAGTCATGGTTCTAAACAGAATGGACGCTCAAAATGGGAGTACAGAAAAAGTAGTTTAAATCAAGAAAACCATTTTGGTTTCTCAATTCACATGCAAACGGAGAAGTGGAAAGTTGAGAATGCTCATGCAAGCACATCGTCATCAGGACGAAGGTGGTTCACCGGATTTTCATCACATTACCTGGCACACACGTCTGATCAACAGCCTTCTTTCCCTCAGGACATACACAAATGCGATCGATGCAGGCGGTTCCGGTGTAGGCGGCCGTGCACTGCATGTCGCTTCGACAGCCGACTTGACCCGGGTACACGACTGCAAGGCAAGAAAAAAAGCGTGCAACAAGCCAAAAGATCTCAAGAGAAGCCCAAAAAACGATCAAAATTTAGCGAATCTAGAGCTAAAGTAATTTTGAAACTGGAATTAGTGGCTGTGATATGAATTATGAGATCGATTATCCGAAAACTGTATCTTAAACCATTGTCTTCCCAGAGTATCTTTACGTTTGACACTATTTCGCCCTAATTGCGTGTACGAAATTCAAGAAGTGATCAAATATGCAATCGGCCTTTCGACAGAAGAGAAGTAGGCACATGGAACGTGCTCGAGCTGAGTGAAAACTCATGAAAAGAGAAAAAAAGACCTTTCTCGCATCTTCCATCAATATTTACGTGAGTGGATAGGCACTGGCAAGACGGAGGATTGGTATTCCCATTACAGTAAGCCCCGATCATACAGTCTGTGTTCAATGAGCAACGGACACCGACTCCAGCCTGCTTGCTCCCACCTGAAATTCATTAAAACTTTCTAAGTGTTTTTGCTTCATCTAATGCAGAAATTACTTTTCAAATCAAACTAATGGGACCTGATTTTATTGAAGCTGTCAACAGGAAGTCTTTTTTTCTATTTCTTTTAAAACTAACCACTATAAGAACTTCTAGAGACATTTAAGGAATGTATCAAAGGTCAAACCGATTCACTCGATTGAAAAAATGGAAGTTTCAAAGTTTGAACCGGTAGAAAAAAATTTTTGTAACATAGATTTAACAAAACTTCCTCATTGCAAACTTTTTTGCGAGAATAACAGAGGTGTTTTCCTGGGATTTCAAACAAATAGAAAAAAAAAACACCAACCAAGAGAAATTTTCATGTGATTCGGCTTGCTAGTCGACGGTTTGCTAGGAGCCCCCGTGTAGATATTTTTGTAGTTGACAACTGGAGCGGGAGTAGTTTCCGGCCGCGACGTAACAAAAACTGGAGGCTGAGGTCTGGGCGTAGTTTTGTATGTAGCTGGCGGCAAAGTGTGTGGAGCTGCCGTTTGAGGGTAGTAGGTGAACGGCGCTTGGGTCTGTATGGAAATAGTTACGACTTGTTTAGAAATTTGTTCTATTTTCTCATACTTGAGCTATCGAGTACATTCATTATTTCTGTAAAGTTCGAACACACCTGAGGTGGCTGCGGCGGCATTGTCATGATTGGAGCAGCAGTCTTCTGAGTCGGAGGAGCTGTGAAAACTGGCTGAGGTGGCTGAGGAGGTCTGTACGGAGCCTGAGTAACTTGCGGCACAACTGAAAACAAAAAAGTCAATTTTGTTGAATGAAGACAGAAGATAAGTGTTGAGCAGAAGTTAATATCTGCAGAGAAATAATATTGATAAATGAAAAAAATTGGGAGTTATGAAACCACAACAAAGTTCAGTTTTAAACACACCACTCTCATTTGGCACTGGCAGATTATTCAATAAACTTGAAAAACGAAGGCAAATTTCATGAAGTTCAAATTTCATAGAAAAGATATTGGTATAAGTTTGAGAAAATAACTGCGTTTTATGAGATTGAAAAAGCCAGATTGATGCTAATAAACATTTAGTGCTAGAAGAAAGCTCGTGAATGGGAAAAGCATAATTAAGATTTACAAGTAGGAAAGGACTTCTAAACAGCTGGAAACAGCTAAAATCAATTTTTTATAGAGTGGTCTCCAATTAGTACAATAGGTGTTGGAAAGCCAAAGCAAGAGAAAGCACCTTGATATCAATTTAGGAAATTTTTTTTGCTTCTCAAAATTTCTTAAATGCCTTATTAACACTTTAGAGCGACATCACAAAAACTTTGAGCTTATAAATTATTTGAGAGGCAAAAGGCGTCAATTTAAAACTGGTGAGTCTGAGAGTAGTATTAGCGAATTCTAAAAACTTCTACTTTTGAAAAAAGGTTATGGTATTCCCCCATAACTTTTTCTCGAGTTTTCAAGAGACGTCGAACTTGAAATGAATGGGCATACGACAAAAACGCTTTTTTTTTGCTCGTGTTTCTGAGAAACAGCAACCAGATGTTGTGAAAAAATGTGATAATAAACAAAAAACAAAGTGTCGGATGAGTGGACTAGTTGGAGATTTTTTACCGGGTGTCGGTTTGGTGGCGCTAGCGATGCGAACGCATTCCCCGTCGTTGAGGTCCGTTTCAGAAGGACAGACGCAGACCGGGATGACGGCGTCGCAAACACTGCCCTTCACGCAGACTTCTCCGTTGTCGCACAGCTCTCCAGGACCTGTCGTCAGATAAAAACGTGTGTTCGGGTGCTTGTGTGTGCGTGCTTTGTTTCAGAGAGCCAGCGCAGTGCTTGCATCTTTTTCGGAAGGTTTTTAAATTTCGTATGTAAATTTTTATAAAAATTAATTTTTTTCTTAAAAAGTTCGGCTTCGAAATTGCGCAAAAAGAGAAAGCATGTTGAAATGCAGCGTTTGCCAGTTTTTTTATATTTTAAACCCGGTCTAATCTCCCTCTCAAAGGCTCTTACTATGTTTCTCTGTCAAAATTATGTTAGGAGCAAAGATAAACATAATTCTTTTGGAAAAATTCTCCCTGAAATTTATATTCGGAAAAGTTCCTTTTTAGCCTTGAAAGTTGGTAAACTTCCAGTTGAAAAAACTTTTTCTTTTAAAGTCACTCGTCTTCTTCTAAATCAGGCAATAGTTTACTTGTCCTTGAATCGACTTCAAAGTATACTTTTCACGCTAAAATCACACATTTTTTCCCAATCAAAAACTTTTTGATGGATTGTAGAAGGGAAAACGGCCTTAATAAACGAAAATGAACTTTGTGCGATTTTCAAAAACGCCAATCATGCGCTTCAATTTCGAGAATGTCGAAGATATTATTAATAATTTCACTTAACAGTAGATTATGTAAAAAAATCGCACAACACACAAATAATTCATGCGTTTTTTGATAGTATAAAAAGGAATGAAAAAGAACTCACCGACTTGCTTTTTGTTGCTGTCTGAGTACGCACTTTCCTTCATGTTGGACGAGTGGCGAAAGACAAGCACATCTGCCCATAACGCAAGAACTGCCGTGGTCACATTCCGCTAGCTCAGAACACAACGCTCCGATTCCAACTAAAGATATTTTTCGTGATTGACTTTCAAGAGGTCAACTATCTATCTTCCACAAAAAATTCATATATTTGATGTTCTGGAGATCGAATTTAAAATTTTACCAGTTTTGAAAACAAACTTTTGAGCATCATGAAGTATTTCACTCTTCGAGGGTTAAGTTTTGAAACTAATCGAGTAATTTCTCTGTGAGAGCTGTTTTTGGTAATTCGACAAACTCGAAAATTTTACGTATTCTTCAATGAACAGGGATCACTCTTAAGATCACTTCATAGATTAAAGGACTACCTGAAACTCCTCCCGATTTCGGGTTTTGTAAGACTCTGGCAGTATATATATATATATATATATACAAATGATAACCAGTGAAAAAAATGTGTTTCAAATGTTTTCAGTTATTCACAGATTACCGCGGTCCTGCTCCCCAAAAGCTTTTCTTTTCTTAATCGTATACCTCCTCCAAATCAAAACCACCAAACGAAAAATCCCGGAAAAAATTTGAAAAACCTTTGGAAATTTTGATAGAAGATGCGGCAGGAAGGACACACTCGCCGTCGCGTTCTTCCAAGTCTCCCGGACAGAGGCACAAACCGATAGGAAGCGTGCAGATCGAGCCACCCACGCAAACTTCGTTGGAGCGGCACGAGTCGCCAGGTCGGGCTATAGCAAGAGAAGATGGAGGAGTACCATGGGTTTCAAAGAAAAAAATAAAATTAAACCGTCTGGAATTACCGAAGCCCCAGGAGTATTTCACAATAATATTTCATGCAACTTCCCAGGAGTAAATATAGCCAGAAAAGCTTATATTTATATTTCCAAATGTTCAAAACCAGGAACTCAACTGGAGTCATAAAAAAATTCTACGTTTAAAAACCTTTTAGGTTTCTTTGAAGGACATTTTGAGATGAGCGCTGTTTTATACTGTTTTTTACTCTCTACTCTTGAGCTAATATTTTTCCAGACAAATTTTGCAAAAAAATTACCAATTTTAAAAATAGCAAATTTTTTTGTGAAAATTATTTTATGTAAAAAAATACCTGGAAAGGGTATACTTGATGTTTTTGAATCAACTGAATCAAACTTTGTGAGAACAGTCTTTATTTTGAACGACCAATTTTCCTCAAGGAAGCCTCTAAATTCAGTTTTTTTACTATACAAAAGTGTTTATTTGCATAAAACTTGTCTTTGCATTCTAAGTTAGCTACGCCGCTCAAAAAAACTCGGTAGATTTCCCCACCAGACAGGTAGTACCAACATTTTGTTTGCATTGCTCACACTCCCAAAATCGTGCAATGACCATCGGCGCAGCAAGAAGAAAACGTGGAAACCTTCCTCGAGACGGCTCGCGTTTCAACATTTCTTTTGAAAAGAAAGAGCGGATCTCTTACAAGCATCCGTGAGCGCGGTCAAAATTTTGACCTCTTATTCACAAAATCGTGCAGCGAAATTCAAAAAAAGGTTGGAAAAAACTAACCCAGAGTAGAAATCTTCTTCTGGACTGAAACCGGCTGAATGTAGGCGTTGTTGTTGTTATTATTGTTGTTATTTGCGTTGAAGACAAATTTCTGCGGCGTGTTTGGTTGGAAAGAATTGAAAGAGCTCTGTCCGTTATTGTTGTTGTTGACCACATTGTTCCAGTTCGGTTTGAAGCTGAACTCGGGCTTCCATTGGAAGTTGTTGTTGCTGTTGCTGTTCATGTTTCCGGTGGCTCCGAAGTTATTGAAGCGGTTGTTGTTATTGTTCGTGTTGGTGTTGAAATTGTTGAACTTGAAGGTTGGGTTTGGTTGGAATCCTCCAGAGTTTTGACTTGGCATATTGAAGTTGTTTGGCATGAATCCCCCATTGTTTGGTGGCTGAAATTTTCAAAATATTTTGTAACTTCGAGGACTAAGGCTTTTGAATCTTTGGAATGTCCTGGTAATTAATTTAAAAACTGTCTAGAAAAAGAATGATAAACAACTTTCATTTGTAACAAACGTTTTTCAAGACGCGAAGTTTCAAAGAAATATTCTGCAGACTGTTTGAACCTTCATCTTCGCTCTCGAAAGATCAAAGATTTAATTCTTAAACAATTTCATTTTTATGAAAAACTATCATGCTAGCAAAAATTAATTCCTTTTTAAAAGATTTAAAAAAAAGAATTTTTTTTAGAGAGTTCGGATATCGATTCGACGGTTTGAAATTTTTTTCGAGCCTAGTTTTTTTGGGTACGTACAATGAAAGTTGTTGAACTTAAAGCTTCAGGTAATATTGAAAACGAAAAAAACCGATTTTTCGACGCTTCCAAAAGAGTTGAAGGAGAAAGTAGGAGCGTCGATAGGAGCGCTGACAAAAGTCGGCTCGTTGGATTCGCAAGAAAGAGTGTCCAGCTGAGGAATGGTACCGTATGGGCACATGCATTTCAGGGAGTCCAAGTCACAAACACTTCCTCCGATGCAAGTTTCTCCATTCGCACAGCTGTTGTTCAAGATTGCTGAAAAAATTGAGTTGGCGAAATAAAACTGTGATTAATTATTGTTAAGCTTCTATGTACATTTCTTGTTATAAAAAATTCAAAAATAGAAATGAACGAGGGTTTTGACCAATTTAGACGTTTTTGGAGCATCGTTTTTTTTTTCCGAAAACAAGAGAGGAATTTTCATTTTGATTATTAGAACAATATGACGCCAGAAGACATCAGAACCTTTTTTCCTTTTTGTAACAGAGTAACTCTCTGAAAACCGCAGTTTTTTTTTGACCGATTTAAAATCAAGATGCCCTTAGCTATCTTTTTCTGAATTTCAACCGGTCTTCTTGTTCACTTTCTCTTAAAATTCGAAACAATACTTCGAAAGTTTAGAAAAAACGTCATATTCGAAACAACGTCTAAGAAACACAAAAACTTAGAAAAAATCTGAAACCGCCGTTTGAACATTCCTGTTTCAAAAAATAGGATAATACCGATGTTGAGAGTTTGCTGCTTCCTAGCCTTCTTTGTTTTAGTTTTACACTGCTGGTTGATGAAGTCAAAGACCATTTCATTTGGGCAAATTTTACGTTCCCAAAAGCCAATATTTCTGAAAAGTGCGAAAATTGAAAAAAAAAATGAATAAATTTGAAGCCAAACTCACCCTACACCGACTCCAACGCAAGACATGAAAGCGCTCTCATTTCCATCCGGGTCGGCAGCCAGTAAACCGTCCAATTCTTTATTGCAAGGCACATTTATACCGACTTCAGAGCCTGCAAGATGTAAAATTAAAGCTTTTTGCATAAAGTACAATGTTTACCGTATGTGCTGTGAAACAGGTACAAAACTGCGAGAAAGACTCGCATCTTCATCAGAGGCTAGTCTTATTCTATTTTCTTATTTGATTTCGCTAAGCCGACGCTGAAAAATGATTATTGACCTTTGAAATTCCGAAGAGAATTGCGAGAGTGTTGAGTAAGATAAATGAAATAATTCAAGATCGGAAAATACACAATAATGAAAGTTGAAATATTTTTTGAACGAAAATTGTTAAGATAAAAAAGAACTGGAAAAAACTGGAGCGACGAAGATATAAAAAATCAAAATACTGGTTATTAAGTTGCACTTGAAGAATAAGCTGAATGAGAAAAAAAAAACTCACGACTGTCCAAAAATTTGAGTTTTATTGGTTATTTTCGTGTAGAAATTATAATGCCAGTCGTTTGTCTGGTGAGAATCTGTTTTAATTTTTAGAAAAATTAACAAGTGAAAAATAATTTTTTAGTTCTCCTAGCTTTTCCATTTGTTTTTGCTAGGAAAAACTGCTCTTCTTGGACATTTTTTTATAACGGACCAAAATTCGAAATCACAGGGGAAAATGAAAAAATTCTGAGACGGAATAGACCTGTGAAACATTGAAATGAGGAACTAAAAGGTGTGTATTCTCGGGCGTTGTCAGAATAATATGAAAGGGGACTTTGAAGTGAGCCCATGAATACCCAACTCAACTGGGAGCACACGACGACGTTCATGGAAGTTTAGGAGTGTACTCGAGTTACCGCGCGGCGGAGTGATGACTCTTCGTTCGTTCGTGTGCAACCGACCCTCGGCGACTCGCCAAGCCAAGGCCCGAATCCGACGCTTTTTCTATTCATACTCGGCCCTTAACTGGCCTCTTCAATGCCTTTTTTGTGTGTGTCTGTTTTTTTTCGTTTCGCCGATGTTGTTGACCGTCTCCACCTACACCCACGAAGACTTGTCCCGTCAGGTAAGTCACTGGCTTGCCGCTTCATTTTCCGGTGAATTTTTCGCCGACCGGTAAATCCCATCGTTTCGTTCCTCGTTTGGAACGTCTCATTGCAAAAAAACGCGGTTCCAGCAGGAAGAAATAAATTTGGATCTACTTGGAAAACTTCTCAACTCATCAATAATCCAAGTGCAGGAACGAAAAAATTATGATTTGATCACAGAACTGGAAAGTGACACCCAAATAAAAAACCCGTAACTTCTTGTCCTGAAACATCAAAATGGATTTTAAAAAAAGAGGCAATTTAAGAGTGTTCAAAGATGCAGATCTAGAAAAAAAACTTCCGTGGTTGTGAATATTTGTCAAAGACAGAGATAAAACCAAAAAGATTGAAGTATTTGAGCCAAAAACTTGCTTCGTTTTCGGTCGAGCTGAACCATAAAAAAAACAGTTTGATGAAAAATTAAGGATGCATGAAGCAGAAGAATGAGCAATGAACAGTAAGAGTAGAGCCTCAAATGGCAAAAGCTCCCGCACGAATCTCGGAAGGAGTGGGTGTGACATTTCTCACAGGTGGTCTGCCAATGCACGGACCAACGCAAACAATAGCCGATCTCTCACCAAAGTGTAGAAAAAGTTGATCAAACGTCTTGCAGCCAGTCTTTCGCGCATTTCTCAAAGCCCGAGCTTTGCGGTTTGCCAAAAAAAGTGGCCCGTCTACCGTTCCACGTCAACGTGCTTTGACGTATTGAAACTGTTTTTTTTGCTCCTTTTCTAAAAATTTGAACTAGAAGTGCCTTTGAAGAAAAGATTGAAAAAAAAATTATGCTTTGAGAATATAACGTGATCTTCAGAAAAAAAGGTAAGAACTCTAAAAAAAATTCAAAAATTCATTATTTCAAATTGAGCGAAAAAAATTTGGCAGTTTTTTTGCTATTGCCAATGACTAACTTGATATTTTAAAAAAATTTGGATCAAAAAGAAAAAAAGATTTGAATTAGCTATTCTAACTAGCTATGTCCTTTTTTTCAGAAAAAAATTTTTTTAATCTTCAAAAGCTCCTTGAAATCTTCCAAACATTTTTTTAACAAATTCAAAAAAAGTTAACTGGAACCCTTTCCAAACTTCATCCTGTTCATCACGTTATCAACTTTGCGCGTTTAATTTGTTGTAATTTGCGTATTTTTTTAAAGATCAAACGCCTCAAAAAAATAAAATAGCAACGACTGAACGTGCCAGGAAAAAGTGAAGCAAACTTTCAGTTTTGCTGAACACTTATAAAATAATCAAAACAATAAATGGGATAAAATGATGATTTTAAGAGTAAAAAATGAGCAAAAAAAGTTAAAAAATAATGGCAAAAAAAGAAAAAAAACCGCCAACTTTCGATTCATCTTCTGAAGCAAGCCTGATTGGGCGGCTACCATTTGAGTTCATCAACAAAGCAGATATGTACACGGAACGTGATGAGATGATGGAGTTCCAAGTGGCGTGTAAGCATAGCGGAGCTCAAGAAAGCAGAAAAGGCCGAGCCGGCGGTCGACAAGGCCTGACCGGCACTTCACCTGACGGACCCTCTTTGCTCGGTGAATATACAAAAGCCTCGGTTCGCGTTGATCTCACTCCAAAACTCAACTTCCGTCGCAACTCTTGTACCGACAACCTTTTTGTTCTTATCTGTTGGGAAGTTGGAAAACTGTCAATATTGCCGCCTACTTAAAAAAGAACAATGCTACTGGCTTACTTAGAAAATTCGCTTGATGCGCTTAGAAAACCATGACCTGCTGCTTTTTTGTGAAAATAAAATAACGATTTTTTCAATCTCCGTTTCATATAAAACTCTGGACAAAAATTGAATGGAGAAACCCATTTTCTTCTATTCTGCTTTTTCCATATTTTTTTCTGTAATTATATATTTGTTGGGACAACCAAATGATTATCTCAACTTGACGGCTCCCTTTTTGAAAAATCGGTGTTTGAGGGAAAGCAAGATAATAAATTCTTTTCTAATTTCCCTTCGCTAGCAAGGTTGAGGGGACTCGAATGAAAAGGAATCAAAGTGAAAATTTTTGATTTTGTTTAAATCAGAATAGCCGTTGAAAAAAAAATAATCAAAAGAGCGTAAGACGTTCTTTTTCGAATACACATTTAAAGAAAAAAAGTTTGTTTTTTTCATTACTGCTTGAAACGTTTTCAAAAGAGGAGATTAGCATAAATAAAAACAAAAAGGCTTCTAGGCTTATATTTAGAATTCGGGAACTTATAGACCTAATCTTATATGCATCAAACAGAAAAAAAGGGATGTAATCATTAAGATATTTTCTGTTTGAAAATCAATCAAAGAACGTTAGCGACTAGCAAGTTTGGGAAAAATGAAGAAAACAACCGAAAAGCGCAAGGAGCGGTACCATAGAAAGATCGTTTTCGTGTGCGTCGCAGCTTCGGTAACCGATCCTTTAGGCACGCAATTCGCTCCTCGGGTTCCTTTTCACGCCGCATCTTTTTCACTCGGTGATTAATCTATCAAAGAAGGAAGACAAACTCCAATCTTGGCCAAACGACGCAATCAGCTTCATTTCGTAGAAAACGAGACCAGGAGTTTTAAATCCATAGCGACTTTTCAATTTACAGTGCTCTCTGTTTCGAACTAACACTGCTTTCAATGATTCCAAAAAAGGGCTTTCAAAAAAGAGAGTACGTCTTCGAAAACTTCCTGATATGATATCATCATCAATATTTGAAAAAGGTAAAAGTAACTAAAAGAGAAGCTAGTGAAAATTAGGAAACTTCTTTTATTGCGGTTCCAGTTTTGAAAGTATTGGTATGTTTTCTTTGAGATATAATTTATGCCCTGGTCGCACGGAAAATAGTTACTACGGTTGTTTGAAAGTTAATCTTTCAAAAATTGAGAATAAAAAAAGTGTATATGAAGATTTTCTTCAATGTGGTGAAGTTTGGTTTATAGCCGGTGCTTTCATTTTTGATAATTTGAACTTGGATCAATTAAGAGCGAAACCGAAAAATTTATTTAAAAAGAAAGGAAGCAAAGCAATTCTGAACGTGTCCAACAGAAACTAGCCTTTTCTGCAAGCCGTTTTGGTTTTATATCTTTCATAGAGTGAATATCTGTTTAATTTCTTGAAATTAATTCCAGATAACAAGTGGGCTCGAATCAAGTACCTACCACAAGAAAATACAGAAAAAACGGTTAGAGTCTGATGAAAGATTTGAACGTTTTATCTCCTCAAAGTAGAAATACACCGCTTAAAAACTGGCTAAAAACTTCAGACCAGTGTTAACTTTTGAATGAAACTTTAATTGCGAGATGAAATGAAAACTGGGGCCAAAAAGAAGCGAATCCAGAATAAAAGGAGAGAACACAGGGTTGGCTGGACCCGCGGCCGCCAAAAGCACACTTGTCCTGTCAGAACCTGGGTCACGGTGCTGCGCCACGCCCACAGGGGATACGCAGGGCCTAGCCGGCCGGCAACACCACAAAAATAACACTGGATGGACGTTTTCTAGGAGATGCATTTGGCTCCCCGTCGAGACCATCTTTCGCAACTCGCGCCGCCCACCTCTCGTACGTACATTGCCCCACAGGAGTCGTGCTCAAGTGCGAGCAAGCTATCGCTCATCGAAAAACTGAAATCACTCCCGTCGGGTTGTTGTTTCTCGATCAGAAATTGCATTCCTGAGAACTTTTTTTTCGATTTCGTAATGTTCCATTTTTGGACACTCTACAAATGACTCGAGCTGTGACTCAGATCAGAACTCAGCCTGAGATCGAGCTATGAACATCTTGGTAAAAAAGGTTGAGAAAATTGAAAAATGACTTTAAGAAGGAGAGAAAAAACAGAAAACTTACTCTTTTCAACCACTCGCACTTTCTAAATATTATGATGTGAAATTATCCTATTCCAAAATGATCAGAGTTTTTTTTTCCGAGTGAGAGCATGTTATACCAATGAGACTTTTTTGATGATATTGTTGAATAAAGTAGTACGGTACAAATTGCTGGTTTTCAAAGTTGGCTTTTTGATTCCTTAGAACATGAAAAAACTAGTGATTAGAAAGTTTTTGTTATAACAACTCGTAAGCAACGAAAAGTGCGTCGAATAATAATTTAATACGAGCCAATCGAACTTAAAGGAATGATTTCTAATTCAGAACATGAAAGCATGTCTTCTGCAAAAAAAAACCATACCGATGAAAAAAAAACCCATTCTATTTCAAACTCGAAGTTTCCTTGACTTTTCACATCCAGTTTCAAACTTAATCGTACTTCTGCAAAAAAAACTGCTCTCATTGAACATATGTTCGTGAAACCGCTCAAAAAATCCAGCATTGAACTTCAATGAGTGATGTCAAGGATTTGTTCAAACAAAAGACCGATGGTCGGACTTCGGAGAAGCCCAAGTGGTCAAGACGCGTGATAAGCTCACAAGAGGGCTTGCAACCCTTCTCTCTACTCGAATCCAACTACAAGCAAGGACCACCCAGCGCGCTGATTCTCGTGTCCTGTTGAATTTGCTCCTGGAGCACTTGTACGCTGTTTTTCGAGTCTCTCGATAGGCTATGATCCACAAACAACAGAAACGTGGTGAAGAAGCTCGAAGACTTTTTCTTCCCACGTCATGAAGCTCCTCTCATATCTGAAGGATCTGAGAACGTACAGTTCATCCGAAGCTGGCTTGGAATAACCTTCACATTGTTGTTACCTGAAAACTATGGAAACAAAATTTATCAATGTTCTCAAAAAAATTTAACAGATCAGATTTGCTTGTTCGTTTAACCAGCGCTGTTGAATCGTCAGAAAGTTTTGACTTTTTTTTCTGATCAATTTTGGATTTGTCTTGCTTGAAGGGATGTATCCTGAAATGCAATGTTAATAATTTGAAAAAAATGGTATTTTGCACAAAAAAAGTTAAAAAAACTTTTACTCAGATTTTTATTCAAAGTGGAGAAATGTTTTTTTATAGGAAATTTTTTTGAGCGATAAGTACAGTTAATTTATTGCTGAATCGAAATGAAAGTTAACAACTATCTATACAAAAACCCACTGAACAGTGTTCAAGGTTGAATGAAATCAGAATTTTCTTCTTTCATTTCATCGATTTTGGAAAAAAAAAACGGCAATTTTTCCTCAAATAAATTTATGAAAAACATTTCGAACAGATTTTTAGGAACGGGTGAAATTTTGAATGCCCCAAGATTCAAATTTTTCGATACTTCTTCCATAAATTTAAAAAATCAACGAAGTTCAAAGAGATTTGACATCACTGATGATTTGATATCAACTCTGTCCTTCTGATTCTTTGTATTTTGTCCACCTCTTTAGGCGAACCAGGAAATGAAAAAGATTCGAAAATTTTCCACGAAAAAACTCAGTTAAAAACAAAGAATTCGAAAAAATCGTCAAAAATTGGACTGTAAGAGGTGAACCAGGAAAAATTGATACTTTTTTTCCCAAAAAAACGAATTTTTTTAAATTTTATCAATTTTTCTTTATGTTTTTTTCTCATAAATAAATAAATACAAATATATTCTGTTTGTAGAATATGAATACTATCTGTTTTACAACCGCAGAAGCACATGGCAACCATGCTGGAGGCCGAGAGGGGCAATGAAATTCGGCGTTTGATAACGTCGACTGTCATAATTACACGCTTATCGTTTGCCGACGGACCTGCGCCACCACGGTTTCCGTGCCACTTTGAAGCCGTTTCTGCCACTGCTTAATGCGGCTTTCGTTAAATTTTGAAAAGATCTTTTCAGAACAAAAATGGTGTTTTATCCTAGAGGAATTTTAAGATTATAACTGGTTTTTTATTCTATATTATTGTAAGGGACAGTTTTAATTTTATTTCATTGTCAAGTCGTTTCCATTTCCTGAAATAACAATTAGAAATGAACGTTTTTTTTTTTGCCTGACTGGAACTTTGTCTGATCTTAACCTATACAATTTCCTAACTTCCAGGCGAAATGCCCCGAGCGAAGGTCGTCTGCGGAGGGCTCTCAATTGCTTCGTTCATCTTGGGAGCCGGCCTTCTCATTGCCGGATTGGTCGTTGTATTGAATGTTTTCCCAAACACAGTGCACAACTCAATAAATAAGGTATCACTTGCTTTTCTATTGACTTTGTGATTACATCGGAATTTTTTCCCAATCCATTTCTCAAGATTCACGAATTACTTCTGAATTCTGATGAACTTCACTTTTTTTTTCGACAACCTCAGTTAGTTTTTCAGCTGGTAATTCAAGAGTTTAAAAGATAATCTATGTGATAACGCAAAAAAAAGCGGAACTCGCCTCGTATCAATTTAAGTAGATCAAAATACGCTAAACTTTTGCACTTCATACAGTCGACGGCAGTTTTCTTGTTCCTTTCCAATTTCTGATGAAATTTCACGAAAAACTTCTTACTGAGCTGTGCAAAAGTTTCAATCATGAAAAGAAGACGGTGATCAAGCAGTGATCTTGAAGATAAGAAAATTATATGTGCCCCGTTTTGCGATATGCCTTTTTTTGCCCATGGTAGTTAAGGACCTAAAAGTGAAAGTTTGAACCCTGCCAAAATGTGATGTTAAGAATTTTTTCGATAAGTGCACTAACTTTTTAGAAAAATCAAAGAAAAACAATTTTCAGCAAAAGTTACTCGGTTTAAACAACGACGGTACTTTGAATGATTTCACTTCACAATGGGCCAACCCAAAATACATTTCCACAATGCAATACTGGATTTACAACTATACAAATCCTATCGGAATATTGAACAGAGCAATTTATCCAGACGTCGCTGAGATAGGACCTTACAGCTACGAGTGAGTTTGAATAGAATCTCACACGAATTTATGCTTTTTCAGTGAAATAATATCAAATGAGATTGTGAACTTCACGGAAAACGGAGAGAAGATGATTTTTAAACAAATTCAAACGTGGGTTTTCAACCCCAACAAGTCCTGCGCAGGTAAAAACCTAAATCAATAACTTCACCGGAGTTCTTTTAAGGCTGCGACCCGAAGAAAGATAAAATTATAATTCCTGACATCGGCTTTCAAGTAGGAATCGAACTTGTTGATCAACAGCTGGAAAACGTCCTTTACTCTGAATTAGCAACCTACGCCTGCCAACAACTTTTCAAAGTCTTAGTTGATTTTTGAAAGCGAATCAAGCTGAACATTCAGAACAAACCAGACCCGAAAGCATACTGCCAAGGAGTAGCCAAAACAATTGAAGGGGAGCTCGGAGTTCTCATCAGTCTCTTCAATACGTCACCGTTTGCCATGATGGCAAGTTTCTCCTTTTTAGTCTGAATTGCCAGAAAATTTCAGACTGTTGACGAACTAATGTTTTCCGGATACAAAACGCCGTTTATGGACAAGTTTGTCAATCAATTCTTGAAGTTTCTTCATGGACTTTTCGGGACGCCTTTCACTCCCCTTCCGAATCCACCAATTGCTTTGAACGTGAGTTCTCACGTTGAACCCGAATCAGACGGCTCAAAACGCGTGAATATCTTGCGAAGATCTGCAAACACGTCCTATTGTTTGCTGCTTACGACGTAAAGATGTCATCTAGAAAAAATCTGTAGGGCAAGGCTAAAAATAGTCATTGTGTACGCAGTGTTTCCAAAAAATGGCGCGAAAAAGAATGACCGGTGCGTTGGACTATCGACACTCCAATCGAGTGTCAGCAAGCACTTTCCGTGTTTTTCTTCGGATTCACAAGAACCTCCCGCCTGGGCAGCTCTTCATGGCTTCCTGTCTTTTGTTTCAAGAGGCTGAGGACCAGTTTATCAATTGAAATGGAGAAAAAAAAATGAAGATCTTTGTGATTTAAATAAATCTAGTCATGAGCATGGGTGCATTCCCTAAAAATTCATACAAAGTTCTTTTTTAGTGTTTTTCCAAGTCACCTGGCTTTTTCTAAAAAAACTCTTTCTTCATGGGCTAGTTTTGAAAAAGCTTCACAAGGTAGAAGTATAGGTGCGTGAAAAGATGCATTAGCCATGATTTTCGGTCGATGATGATGAATGGAGTGTGAACTATGGAAGTCAAATTATCTTTTTTCCGTAATCCGATTGTGTTCTCATAATTGTCTATGAACAAATCATCGTTCGAATCAGGGAGTTCAAGGAATTATCTGCCTCTGATGCTTTCGCTTTCATATGAATTCTTCTTATCGAAAGGAAGAGCTTAGTTTTTTGTTTTCAGGCTTTAAATGGAACTACTGATTTGCTATATACAGTCTGGTCCGGAAAACTGGATCCTCTTAAAACCGGCTACATCATCGATTTCAGCAGTATTAGTGGAAACAGTTCGAGTAGCAACAGTTCAATGCTGCCACCGGAATGGTTCCACAAAACTTTTCTTCGAAAATCAAAAACCTTTAATCTAGGTGGCCTTCTGCAAACATTTCATATTGCAAAGATCCGCTAGCAGCGTTGAGGATTGATGGAACAAGTAATTTTTTTCGAGGAATATCAATTTTAAAAACAATTTTTTTACAGACGCTGATTATTTCAAAAAAATTTTTTTAAAACGAACGGAACCTCTGCCAGTTTACATTTCGGATATTTGCAGGTTTTTGTTAGAAACTTTTATGAAATTTTTAATTCAAAGTTTTCATCCAAATCCGCTTCCAGAACTGCTAACCTCGAGTATGATAGAGATGTCACCGTACAAGGAATAAACGGCTTTAGATTCATCCTACCAGCTTCGCAATTCAATTATAGTTTAGAAGAAAATTGCGGGTAAAAAATATCAATTTTGAAATCAAACAGGTTTTTTTTTCTAGATTTTGCGTCCCTTTACCTTACGGATCCTATGAATACCCACCCGATAGTGCTTGCCTTCCAACTGGTCTTCTGGATATCAGTGGATGTTCACAAGGTTTACAAAACCTGGTTAAGTTTATTGAAACTACCATGATCGCTTTTTAAATCTTTCATCCGAAAAAAATTTTTCAAAAATTTTCAAAACTTTGCATTAGTCGCTTTAGAAATTTTTTTAAAAAGATGAAGTAGGATGTGAGCAGTCATTTTTTTGTCGAAGTAGTCTATTTTGCATCGTTTTTAATCGTGAACAACCGCTGAATAAAAACGTTCAGAAACGGATTTGCTTTTTAAACTTCATTTTTTTCGGAGTATTATAAAAAAACTTTCTCTTTGAAAGTGCTTCACAGATCATGTTTTTGAATTACGGAAACCGTGCCATCTTAATTCATTTTTCTCCAAAAAGATTTCAGTTCATCAAAAAAAGAAAAAAACTTTTTGAGTCTCAATGAGCCAAATCATCTAGCTCTAAGAGGAAAAAGGCAACTTTTTAAACAGTCATATTTCTATTTTTGAGTACCAATAATTATTTTTTTCTCAAAACTTGAAAAAGCCTAACTGGCTGAGGCTATAAAAAAATATTTCTTCAGTACATTGAAAATTCATGAATGACATAGTTTGCTTTTTTCAGGTGCTCCCATTATCATTTCGAAGCCTCATTTCTATCAAGCCGAACGCGTTGTTTCCCGTTTCGTTCCCAGACTAAAACAGACTTATGAGAATGACGAAACGACCATTGATATCGAGCCTGTGAGTATAAACTGAGCAAAGAAAAAATCCAATCCAAAATTCTTCAGAACACGGGTACTGTCTTGCAAGCCAATAAACGTTTGCAAATCAACTTGTTAGTCAACCAATTCAGAAATATTAAGTAAGTTTTTCCGACTGTTCATGTTCCTGATTCGTTATCAATCGCAGGTCTTTATCGGTTATGCGTCCTGGTGCTTATCCGTTAGTATGGTTGAACGAGTCTTACTATATGGACGAAGGTACAAAGAACCAATTGAACTCGCAACTTTTCACACCAACAAAAATCGTCAACATTATTTGTTGGTGCGCCGTTGGCCTTGGAGGTTATTTTTACTTACAACGTTTCATTTTATACGGCTCAAAAGAAGTCTCAGTTTAGCATGTAAACGTGCTCTTCGAAAAATTTTCAACTTTCACGAACTCTCAAATAGCTTTCTCATCATTTATTCCGGAAATCAAACTAGAAAGCAACATGCGGCTCAATAAACATTTACGATCGCAACTCTTACGTTTTTTATCAGCATTCCAATGTGAGCTGATATGTTCTTTGAGACAGCAGTTCAGAAATAATCTTTCGGTTTTAAACTTCGGAAACTTTTCTTATCGAAAAGACAGGGTAGAAAGTACAAAAAGATACAAAATAAAAACAAAGATCTCCTGCTCAATGGAAGGTTTTTGAAAAAGGAAACAAATCCAACATTTGAACTTTCAGGAGCTCTGCTTCTTCTTTCTGTCGCCTTGTCCGTCACAACCTTCTGCTGCTTCAGGGAAGAGCATAAAAAGTTCTCATGAAGTCGGGAATCTTCATTTTTTTGTACGTGTTCTTGCATGCACATTTGTTTGTTTCATATTGTTGTTTTTTTTAATATTTTTTTCTCCACTTTTTTTAATATCAATAAAAATGTTTTATTTGATTGCTTGATAAAAAATTTTTCTAACATTTCACTTCATTTTTTTCCAAAAATATTTTTTTCTGAAATTTTATTTTGAATTCTAAAAAGACGTCTGAAAATTGGAAAAGTTTCTTCTGTGCTGGAGCAAAGATTAATTACCCTCGTTTGGTTTTTGAACTGACGCTGCATTTTTTTGCGGCTGGTTCTTATTCTTTCCGATACCGCGGGACGCAAGTTTTTTTGTTTTCAGAGGCGCTGGAGCAGAAGGAAATTTGAACCAACACAAAAAAATCAACTAGAACAACAAAAGTTTTAAGTTCAAAATGGACTCGTACAATAAGAATTAATGAAGAAAGGTTAAAAAATAGATAATTTTTTTTGAAATTTTTTTCATTGATCCACTTGATCCATTGATTTTTTCATTGACCATATATGAAAATTTTTCAACATAAATTCATACGAAAATGAATTAGGACCCATTCAGAAATGAAATGCGCGGTTGACTTTTGCATTATGATTGGTTAAGTCCTAAAAATCGAAATTTTCCCTCTGTGTAAATAATTCTGGAATTAGTAGTCCCCTATTCAAAGAAGCATTTCCGCGTTTCTCAATGAGAAAAGGTGCCCAAAACAAGTGCATCCGCCAAAAACACAGCGATTGGTCAATGAACAAAGCAGAAAAAAACAATGAAGAAGCGCGCCTGAGGCGACCGCGTGTTTGAGGTCTGGACCGGCTGACCGTGTAACCCGAAGCTCGCCAATTGCGACTCCTTGTTCCAAGGCGCCGTTGACTTGGATTAGGCCGCAAAAACATGCACCTTGTTCGCAATGAGTGACAAAACGGGACTCTGAGCGTTCTGAAAAGCTTAAAAGCGACGGACGACAGTCCTCCGATTCTTCAGGTGTCATTCCCGGATGCCACAAACGTTACAGTTGGGTTTCCTGCAAGCTCTTTTGGCAGTATGCCTAGTTTCGATTACTGATTCTAGAGTTATACAAGTAGGTTACTTTTTTTTTTAACTCGTGATCTTATTAACCAGTCGAATAGGTTTTGAAGTCAAAATTCAACGATAAATTGAAAAACTTTGCAATTCCTACTTTTTTCAGCATTCAGTCCTGCATTGTCAATTTTGTTTTTCCAAGTTTTAGTCATCAATTTTTTTCATCATATCAAGCAAAAATTTTCAGTGTTCAAGGTGGAAAAAGCAAAAAAAGTTTTTTTGTCACAATTTTTTTTTCTTCTTTTTTTAGTCATCAAGTTTCGATTATTTACTGTCTATTTTGAAAAAAATATTCATTGCACGGTTGTCCGATTGAAAAAAATGATCCTTAACATTTTGACACAAATGATTTACAGAGGTGCACTTTTTTTCTATAGTTCTCAATTTTTTTGCTTCATAGTTGAACGTGAATTTTTTTCTTTTTTTATAAATTTGTTCAAAAGATTTATTCCCCATTCTACAGCTTCAGCAAGCATCGGTGAAATTATATTTCCGAATTTTAGTTCTACATCGAGCCAGCACAGAAAACGTTTCCAACCTATGTACAACAATTGGTCGAGGGAGACTTACAACGAATCGAGCAAGTTTGAAAAAAACCTACTAAACACCTTATGGTTATGTCTTTGCCAGGGGATGAAACTGACCGCATCGGTTAGTTTGATTTTCGACGCCGGGTATTACATTATCGTGGATTCCCCTTCGGCAACGGACATTCAGTCTAAGGAATTAATGTTGAAAGGTCTCATTTAAAGCTTCTTTTTGTTTAAAATAGTGTTTTCAGGGGTTTCCTCGAGGAACATAGCGCCTGGAGAAGTTCAAGTTGTCGTCACGACACACGGCCACCCAGATCATTTCGGCCAAGGCAATTTTTTCCCCAATGCGCGCCATTTCTTCGGGAGCTACGAATATTCTGACAAGAATTTCATCACTACAGAATTGCATACTGTATAACAATTATCGAGCCTTTTTTTCACAATTTTCTTCAGAGTGACGTCATGCAGCTGACAAAAAATGTGCAATTGTGGAACACTCCTGGCCATACAGCCCAAGATGTATCCGTCATAGTTCACGGAGTTCCTTGCTGTGGGGTCGTCGCCGTTTCTGGTTGGTTTCAATCAAATATTAAAAAAGCTTCCTACATTTCTATACCATATTTCTTCTTACAATGTCAAGTACTTTTGGTTTCAAGTTATGTATTTTTTTTCAAATTTCGCATCTGGAAAAATTTCCTTTTCGTCATCTGAAGTGATTTCACGAATGTATTTTGTTTTTTGTAGGCTTTCAGTGTTTCCACTTATTGAAAAAAATCTTCAAATTTCTTTTTATTGAAAGAAAAAAAGAACTGAGGAAATTTTAATTGTAGGGAAGCAACTAAAAAAATAAGCTTTCTGATATTAAAAATTTTATCATTAAAAATCTTTGGTTTTTTTCTTTCTCTGTTAAACAAAACTACCAAAAAAAGAAATTCGCATTTCTTCTCAGCAGAAAAAATTCCCTTTTTCGACATTTTCATCCCGATTGAATCTAAATTTTCTAGGAGATTTGTTCTACAATGAGGAAGATGCTATGCAAAGTGCTGGAATTTGGTTCCAAGAAGCTTGGAACCCCATTATTGGTATGTGCCAGATATATGATCTGAGAAAGCAGATTTGTCTCTGAAGGAAAGATGAGCCGAAACAAAGTGATGTGCTACGCCGACTACATCATCCCCGGTCACGGGAATCTTTTTCAAGTCAGTCCTCGATTAAATAAAAAAATGGTGCTCGGAAAAAAATCGGAATAAATTTAATTTTTTTCCTAAAACCTGTAATTTCGAGGAGCGAAAAAGTGGTATTTTTTTCTAGTACATGTTTTATTGAGATAATGACAACCTTCTAGACTTCGAAATATATTTAAAAACCCTGAAAAAGAAAGCGAACCAAAATGAAAGAGAACGATGAAGATTTTGGCAGCCCTAGTTTGCAAAAATTACAGTTGTTGAAAAAAAGCCGAAATATGGAACTGTCTTCAAGGTTTCGTTTTTTTTTAAATGTGTTTGAAATTAATTTTTTGATTAAAGTAATTTTTTCAAAACTAAAAAAAGGAGCAGGGTGGTACCCGCGTTAATTTTGTGAAAAAAGATGAAAAGTGTTCTGAGACAATATCGGAAAACGTCAGGAAAAGGAAGGAAATGACCTTTCTTGTCAGCAAAAGTTGTTCAATATCTTCTACCATTCGAAAAGTTTTCAGAATCACAGCTGCCATGAAAGAAGCGGCCGACTGCAATGTCACCTACCATAACCCGAAAACAGCTAACACAACGGAATACGTTGCTAAAGACTTGCTCGCCAACGTCACTCTGCCCAAAACGGAAACTAATTTACCTGTCCAGACAACAGCTACAACAGCGGTGACAACTTCGCAGCCAACAACGTCAATTACAATTGCCTCGCTCTCTCCGGAAATCTTTGGGATACCTGCGAACAGTTCTGTAGTGGCTTCCAATCTTCAGACTCTTGAACTGGTAGGCTTTTGAGTTCAAATGTATGAATCCCTAGATAGAGAGACAAAAACGAAATTTATATCAGTAACTCAACCTGAGACAAGTTTGGCCGCTGTCGAGTGGACAATTTGAAAAAACAGTTTTTTTATTCCGAAAAAATCATGAGTATTAATAACAGCTTTTTGATCAATTTTAAATTACTCTGTTCCCATTAGAGTTGGAAACATTGCTGTTATAGTGCAGCTCATGTAAACTTAACTATGGCAAGCAATGAACTTGAACATTTTTCCAGCAAACAACGATCAAGCCGAATATCACCACGTCTTTTTTCACTGTTGATCTGGCGGCTGGTTTCATTGGCCTATAAACTTCTGAAAGATCATGTTTTTTTGTCAGAAACACCGTCGCCAAATGAAATTCATATGAACGATGGTAACGAAATTCAAGAGAATTTGCCGCCACTAGGAAACAAAGTGAAAAATCCGATCTTCAGTTCTCGGACAAAAGAACAAGGTTAGCGGAATAAACTTTACTCGGTTGTTTTTGCTAAAACTGTTGAATCAGTTGAATCCGTGGCTCCGGCAGTCGAATCGGCAGCGATGCAGCTGGCGCGTATGTTGAACGTTGGATTGGGAGTCGCGCGGGAAGACGAACCTTTCCCTTACACGAAGTTTTGGCAGGACACATTGAAACGGATTGTTGTGAGTTCTCCTCTTTTTTATGAAAATTTATAAGACTTTCTGAACGAGGGAGGTTTTTCATTTTTAATTTTTTTTAATCAAACCGGAGACTCCAATCACAGTGCGACTTATTTATGATCATGTGGAAAAAAATTTGGATTTTTTTGCAAATTTTAATCCAAAGATTTCAAATAGAAAGTTTTTTCATTCGATTTTTCGGTGTGAGCTCTATTTGCATTGTTTCAAATACAAATTTAGATTCCAGATATGATTACCAAAACTGCTAGCAACCATTGAGCATCTCAGTGAGTTGATTTAAACTGGCTCGAGAAACTATTTTTTTGAAATCGATTGTAAATTTGCGCTCTGTCGAACTTCTTGAAAACTTTAATGATGGAATGAGATACAAATTCTAAAAAAAGTTTAACAAAGAGAAAAACGCTTGATTCAAATAGTTGTGTGCTGTGAGTTGGCACGAATTCTCGATAATATGTACTTCATCGACCTTTTCCTCGGGGAAAAAGTAAAGTGCATGTGAAACATTTTTTTATTCTTTTCTTTGTGATCGTGCAAAAAATCCCGCAAGAATTCTTTCGCCAGGTTTATTTTTACTGTATAAAATGCCACTGCAGTGAACGACAGAAAAAAAGATTTATTCAAGAAAATTGTATTTCAAACCTTTTTTAACACATCAAGAACATTTTTTAAGGAAGACGGTGGACCAAAATTGACTGCCGACCAATTTGAGCGACAAAATCGCCTCCGATCTTATCATCACTACTTGAGCCCTACGACTCGAACGAACACCACCGCCTGAGTAAAAGAATGGAAATAAAGCTATTTATTATAATTTATGCTCTTTTGAAAATAAAGACTTCAATTTTATGCTCCCCGTTTGTCTAATATAAACCGGGAAAACTGTATAGGGCCTTAAGGTTCACTAAGAATTTTAATGAAACTCTGCAATTCACTGAATATTTCGGTTTGAAGAGAATACTTCTCTCATCGGAAAAAAAGTTCTTTCAGCATAATTTTCGCCGAAAAAGAATTTCATTCATTTAAATATTTTTTTGAGCAAAAGTTTGGTTTTGAACTTTTTTTAAGGGTTCTATTCATCAGTTTTGTGATACAATTTGAAAAAAAGCTATTATGTAGCTGCTGTTAGAAAACTACATCTCAAAAACGTTTTCACCACGAGACGTTTCTTTATTCTTCAAAAAATTTCTTAGAACTTCAGGAAGACTAGAAAATGCAGTCATGCGGAAAATCTTCGCAAAAAGTTTTATTGTCACACAAAATTGTAATGAACTATAAAAAGGGAATGGACCATTCAAGGATGTTGCGTGCCTTAGAAATGTTTGAACCTTCCAAGGCGACAACGACATCCTCGGTTGGTCGCATACCAACGCGTCTGTGAGACAAAAGGACGAGGGGGAGGTTGGACCGAAACTGCACCTCAAGGTCGAAATATAGGGCGTTTTGGCGCGTAAGTTCAAAAAATTGACAAACGGGCAGGCGCAGACGACGTGGAAGCAGCAGCGGCTGAATAGGAATGCTGGCCGTGTGGCTTAGCCGAACGCCTTTTCGCCATTCCTCCCTGGGAATCGATATGTTCAGGGCTCTGCTCTCTATGGGCTGTCTTGCCACCTCACAAAGCTCCGCCTACTTTCAGCTTAACGACCTGAAGCTAAAGGGTTATGCGGAGAGAAACGCGAGAAAAAAAGGCAGCCGCGCAACTTTCAGCACCAAAAATCGTTTTCTGAAGGCTGCCAGCTCTTCAGATGTGCTCCCGCTTTGTGCTATCGATTTCGCGCGCGGCTCAATCCGGAGTATGCGCGAACTTATCTTCTTATTAAGCTGCTTCTTGCTTCCCACACAGCTTATGAGGGGATTCACTGTGATCACCAAGACGACAAGAGAGGATTATAAGGGTGCTTCAAAGCATCATATCCCAAGTACGTAACGAAAATTTTCCAGTGTCTCGAAAAATCAGAAATTCTGAACTAGTCGGTTCTGAAACCGAAACAAATCGAGAGAGCTCAGGACATGAAAGAAAGTTGAAAACGATGAATATAAGTAAAATTTCAGAAACTCTTGTCACGATGGCTATATTTCTCCAAAAAAACTTTCTAGAAGAGCTCCGAACATCAGTGTGAAAAAAAAAACTTCAAAAAGAGTATGAATCATAGTTTTTCAACAAACAACGGAAAAACAAATAAGCATCTTAGCGCAATTTTTTTTTAAAAAAAAACCTCTTGCCCCTTTGGGAATTAGCGGTTATTTTTTTCGGTTCAAAATAAATTGTAAAAGACCCACTGATGTCTTTTGTTCCGATTTGTAGCAAAATTATTGCCTTTCAAAAAAGAAAATAGGTCCAATGACGCTTTCATATGCACTGTTGCTCCAGCAAAAACGTCATTGTAACTTCGTTAATTTTTTGAATTTCACTTTTTTGCAGACCTATGTATTGAAATGAAAAAAAGTACCAACTGGGAGAACACGAGAATCGATTTCGAAAGTGAAAAAGCGATGTTAGAGGGAATAGGGAATAGCAGCTGGGAAAGAGGCGCGCTGCTTGACGATACAGCAACGATTTTGTCGAACCATTACGAAAAAGGAGCAGGTGCAGGAGTAGTGTCACGGGCTAGAGAGGTCAGAGAAAGTTCCCGCCAAAAAAATTGAATCTTTTTGTGATTCGCGTGTCTGGTAGATTTTTCATCACTTTTGAATAAAATGATCTACTTATTTTTTTATATTTTTTTATACTTTTATAACCACGAAGGTTGTATTTAACTTTCGGCGCTTTTTAAAAACTGAGCCAGCCTTTTTTTAAACAGACGGCACTTTTTAAAAGGCACATGCGTCTGTTGATCGACTTAAAATTGAACATATTTATCAATTCAAAAATGTCCTAAACGAGAAAAACAACCATGATAATATTTTTTTCAGATTTTCAAATTTTCTGTTGTTTTGTTTGAACATACGAAAAAAACCTGGTTTGAAAAAAGCAAAATTTTACTGCAAAAAGTTCTCTAGTTTGGGTTTCCAGACAATCTTTGTCTTTGCGTCCTGTGAAGAGAACAAAGAGATCACACGGAAGACTTGCCGCTGAATGCTGCGAAATTCAAATCTCTGAGAAAAGAACGGTTTAGGAAATTCTAACATGGTGAAAGAAGTTCGATAAGAATTCAAATAGTTTGAAAAAAGACCGTGGCTTTTAAATATTATCCATGTCAACAATGAGAAACAATTTATTCTTATGGCGGAAATAAAAAAAAACTATTTTTTTTTTTCAAAAATTGGTCTTTGGAATTCATAGTTGGCTTGAAGCGGACACATTTACATGTTTGGTTGAAACACCTTTACAAAATCTAAATATCCTAAAGTTGAAAACTTGAAAACGTGAGAAAATCAATAAACTCCATTCATCAAAGACATGTACATACAAAGAAAAAACTTCGTTTAAAGATATTTTTGAAATGGTTTGTAAAATAATGTTACTGACAATCGGAAATAATGGTTTGAACCCATTTCGAAAAAAAAACTTTGAAACGAGTTTTTTTGAATATTTATTGACATTGCAAAAAAAAATAATAAACAAAAAGAAAATTTGACAAAGCCAGTAAACCGGCATAAAAATACTTTCAATTCGAACAATCAGAAATATATTTTTAATATTTTAAAAGATACTGCGTTTGTTCAGAAACTGCAAAAGCCAAGAAAAATGAACTCTTGGTCGAGGAAAAAGGCATCTAGCCTTCACAGTTATCCGACGGCGGAAGCCGTTGACGGTCGGGTGAAAAAAAAACAAGGGGTATAAAAAGAACGGCGCTTGTAAAGTCAGCGGGGCTCTAGATTGTAAATCAAGTCCGCGTTCCCGTTCCGACGTCCACGTTGAAACCGAGGTTTGGCCCAGAGTGCCGAGCCTAAATTGACCGCTCCTTTTTGAACATTTTTTCAATAACTTTTTTGAAAAATCTCTTGTTTTATTTTTTTCTTGAAACAGTTCACAATAGTAAGAAAAAAACTTTCTTTTCTAGAGGAAGAATTCGGGCAGTAAAAAAATAGGAAAGAAGTTTTTTTATAGTATTGCTATCAAAATGCTAAAAACTAATAAACCGTTAACTTTCAAGAAAAAGGTACTCTAAGAAAAAAACTGTGGGTAAAAAAATCAGCAAACGCTGATCTTCAGCTGAAGGCTCAACCTCCCGAATTACCCGCTACCGTGTTTTTAGCCATTTCCCGCATTTTTGAACCGTTTTCCAAGTGTTTCCCTGTTGATGAACCTGGGGAAAACCGTCCTAAATATTCTTGTGATTTCATAAATTCCACATTGTCCAAATCAAAATTCGTGATAAACCATTCAAAAATCCGGAGAAAAATTCTTCGAACTATTTGTTTGACTTTCACTCAAAAAAACCGTTTTTGAAAACTATACGGCTAATTAAAATTGACAATCTAATATACGGCATGTTTTAGAAAACATACAGTAGCGGAAATCGGTGAGTATCTTTTTTTTTTGTTTATCGTCCGTGAATTTGTCAAAAAAAATCATTTTGATCTAGAATTTAAACCAAGTGAGTAAACTGATGTTATTGGCAAATTGAAATATTGGTTTTATCCGATGCCGAAAAAAGAAATTCAAAAATCTTTTTTTTGGAAAATGTATCAAAATCGCAAAAAACATGATCAACAAATGAAAATTTAACAAAGTCAGCAAACCGTTATAATAGACTTTCAAATGAAACAATAAACTAAAACTTATTTATTACTCTGTAACATAGCCTTTAGATGTGAAAAAAGCCTTGCATCTTTGGGACATGAACTCAATAAGATTGTTTACAAACTCATTGGGAAAAAATACTCATCCATTTTTGTTACTGTATTTTTTTGAATATTACTTGAACCAACTTTATAATTTACTGAAGTTTCAATTTTTTCGGCCTGCGTGGTTCCGCGAAGCTCCATTATAAAAAAAGCTTCTTTATAAATTCTAATCGATTTCTTACTTTTGCAATGGTTTCATTTCATTCTGTTTCTCTGTGGAAAGCAGGATTGTGCGAGGGCTGGCCCATTACCCTCCCCGCCCCCACCATTTCGTAAGCCCGGCCCGGCCCAGCCTTAGCGACGCCTCAAGAAAAAAATAGCCCGCTCGGCCCAAAAACGCGAAATTTTTTTTCTAGTCGGATATCAAATTTTTTTTACGACAAAAAAATTACGTTTTTTTCTCATTTTTTTCATTTCAAGTTTGACAAAAACTTTGATTTCAAAAAAATAAAAGTAACATTTTGGTGAAAAATTTTTTTAAATAAAAAAATTTAAATTTTTTGAAGCCCGGCCCGGCCCGAGCCCACGCGGGCTTTTTTTCTTGAAAAACGAGGCCCACAACCCAGGGCCAGGCCAGCCCGAGCCGGGCCGGGCCGCCCGGCCTGACGCACAAGCCTGGTGGAAAGCAGGTCTCTTTCTTTTTGAACCATTTGGAGCAAACTTGCTCTAACGAAGCGTTTTGGAGATTGAGCGCTCCTTTGCACATCTTGTTTCGCTATTTTTCTTTTTCACAGTAAATTTAAAAATTTTGTACTCAATTTTTATAAGAATTTCCTTTATAAAAAAACTGCATGAAAAACTATCTTCTTAGAAAGGTCGGAGGTAGAAGATATCGGATAATTGTTTCCTTTTTTGAATGAAAGTGAGCTTTTTTCGAATTTCTTTCTTGTTAAAGTTGAACGGCGAAGAGCATAAAAAGAGCGTTTTCATGAGCTGTGAGTACTTTCTTTCCGAGTTTGTTTTCTATTTTGGTTTTCTCGAAACTTTTGTCGTCATTGCATGCACTTGCGTAGTAACTCTATCGCTTGAAATTTCCTTTGATCGATAATTTCTTGTCGTTTCGATACTTTATTTATCTATCTAACTTTGTATCGATTTCATTGTTTTATGAAAAAAATAATAATATTTAAAATGTCAACATAATGAAAGTAAGCTTTATAAGCGATAAGGTTCTTTCTTTACTTTTTTTAAGCGTAAAATTTCTGTTGTGTGTACACTTTATGCGTTTTTGAAATTTTTGAAATTCTCAATCAAGTTTTGCAGGCCTTTTTTTTTGCTCCGATGTTCAGAGATCGGTTTGCAGAGTTCCAGGTAAACTTGTACTGCTCAACTTTTTGAACGAACTAATTGCAGGAACGAGCTGGAATCGAAGCATCTTCCTCCAGTAGAGTGATTCGACGTTATCAAATTGAAGAAAATGGTGAAGTTCAAGCGCCGCTCATCGATGAAGCTGCAGATTTCGAAAATGTATGTCATTATTTATTATTTTTTTCATTTTTTTGCAAAAAAACAAGTTTTGATTTTTTTAGGCCGCAAAAAGTTTTCAAAGAGTTTTAGAATCATAGTTATAAGTTTCTTTTTTTCTAAAAGCACAAAAAAACATGGAAAAAGGTGATAGTTTAAATTTTTCATTTATCAGCCAAAACCAAAGTTTTTTTGTTAATTGTATTGCAGAGATAAATAATTAACTAACTGTATTATTTGTACAGTTCTTGGAGCGCGTGGGCAACATCCGAAAAGAGTTGAGCATTTTGACGGACGACTTCAACAAAATGACTCAACTCCATTTAGTTCTTCTAAGCACTCCCGGGGCTGACTCAGGTAGATGATTTTATAGTATAGACTTCCGGAAACTATTGAAAAAAATCCTTGTAAAATACACATTTCAAATAAATGGAGTTTTCATGTAAAAAGAATGTTTTCAAAAAGAGCAGAAAATGTCAAGATTTACAACTTTTCAGGTTAATTTTTTTGGAATTCACAAAAGAATCTTTTTCTTATTGAAATTTTTTTATAAGCGGTTAAATTGAATTTTATTCACAGAATCAAATTATGAAAAAAAAAATGGGGATGAATTTTCGTAGGAGTTGGTTCATGATCACTCAGATATATAATGAGAAAAAGGGTCGAGTCGGAAAAAAAGTCGTTTATAAAAAAAGACGAATGCTTCAAAATAAATGTGTTTTTTTTTTTTCAGAACAAGTGCAAATTTTGAACGCTTGCGTTGACAGATTCGTTCAAAGATCAAAGCTTCTCAAAGATTCAGTCAAAAGTATGGAATTGATGGAGTTCAAAAAATCATTAATTTTTTCAGTTATGGACGACGAAGTCAAAAATAATCCAGGAACTTGTGGTATTCCAAGAGCCAAGAAGGAGCAGGTTTTGATATTTTGAAACAAGATATCGGTTATCTCTATTATTCGCAGGTTTATGCCATTGAAAAATCCCTAGTAACCTTGCTAGGAAAGTTCAACGCAGAGCAAATTGACTACAAAGAAAAAGCAGTCAAGAAAATTACAGAATATTTGAGAATAAGTGAGTTTCTTTCTTTCGTTATAAAACTTGAAATTTTTTTTCTCAGAAGACATCGAGGTTCCGGATGATGAAATCGCTGAAGCCGTCTCTTCAGGAAACATTTCTGATCTTACTAAAGGCGTCAGTTTTATGTTTTGATGAACAGAGACTTATTTTTACACAAAGTTAAACTTGATTTTCAGGTTATCTTGGGGTACAACGAGAAAAAAGCGCTGTATCAAGATGTTAAATCTCGAGCTGACGAGCTCAAGCAGTTGGAAGCAAGTATTCGAGAGTTGGCGGACATGTTTCATGATCTTCATCTTCTCGTTGTTAGCCAGGTAACTTTTATTTTTTATGGTTTAAAAGCTTTGAGAAGACAATTTATGATATCATTCAGGACTAGAAATATATAAAGACTCTCTTGTTCCGCATCAGAGTGAAGTAACAGAAATTTGTGAAAAACATTGAAAATTTTTTGAGAGTGCTTCGAAGTTCACCCCAACTAATTTTTAAAACTTCACCTAGTTGGGCTGAAAAGGATAATAAGTTTTGAAATTGGAAAACGGTCTATCACCTTTTTGAAAGCCGTTATTTTTTTATTAGAAAAAAATTCCTTCTGAGATATTTTTTTGATAGATATCCAACAATTTCTCTATGAAATTTGAAGGACTTTCCAATTACAATTGAAAAAAAGCCAAGTTTGGTTTTGAGTCTTTCAGTGTTTTCGATGTTCATATATTGCTCTATTGATACACTTTCAATTAATAGAAAATGATCACCAGTTTTTTTTTCCCAATCGTCAAAAGTTCCTGACCATTTTAATTTAGGGAGAGATGTTAGACCGCGTGGAAACGAGCGTTGCAAACGCCACGGACTACGCCGAGCGAGCAAAAGGCAACGTTCAAGAAGCCCGGAAACTGCAGAAAAGGGCTCGAAAAATGAAAGTCATCATGCTCATTGGAGCCATCGTTGCCATAATCCTCTTGCTCATTTTCCTCCAAGGTCTCGTCTGTCATTTCACACCTATTTGTTAATTTTTCTTAAAATTTGTTGCATTATTGTTTTTTTTTTCCAACCTTGTACATGTTTTTAATAATGTTCCAAAGCTGCTGAATGCCTTTTTTTCTGTTATCATGTTTCTTTTCGGTCCTCAAGCGAATCAAAAAACTTTATGTTTTTCCTCCTTTTTTTAATATGTTTTATGGTCAGTAATTTTTTTAGAATTTTGTGATTCTCACATCTCTTTTAACACGAGTCATTTTTCAGGCATGTGCCTTATATTTTCAACTCGCCAGTTCTTTTAAAAGCATTTGTCAATTGTTATGTATTTTTTATTGCTCACTTGGATTCAATAAGCTCAAGACGCTAGCAGTGCGACGTTGTTTTTCCCACTCACTGTTTCCTGTTTTTCGGCTCAATGAAACAATTTATATCATTTCTTGTCCTATTTCTTCAGAATATTTATGAAATCATTTTGAAAAAGCCAACTTTATTTAGCACAGTACCAATAAGCATATTTCAAGCACGCGAAAATGAATTAATGCACGGGAAACATTTTTTTGATCGACCATAAATAGAGGAGAAAGGCAAATTAGAGTAATACTTAAAGAATGCAAAGAAGTAAGTGAAACGCATGCCACAAGCAAAAGTGAATACGCATTTGACTTGGGTTGTACTAAGTGATTAAAAACTACAGTTAGGATTAATAAATTACCGAATAAGTTTAAGAAAAACGATGGCGGAAAAACGGCTTTTCAAAGAATGGAATTGCAAAATTAACTGAAAAAAAGTGTTGCGATCAGCCCGTGTCGACGCTGCAGCGGCTACCCGTCGCTTACTGAAATTAAAATTTTAGTACTTTGCAGATTTCATTGTGATTTTGATCAATATTTTTTACCATAAGCACAAAGCTTTATTGAGAGTGAGAAAGTGGTAACATTACTCAAACCACGACTTGAAACATTGATCTATTGGATGTTCATTTTTATGTTAATATCAACAAAAACTTAGAAAGCTCTTTTTGATGTTCTATCTAAAACAATTGCAAATCTACGGGATAGATTTTGAGCTGCAGCTTTTTATTGACTGTAAAAAATCTTGTGGAAGGCCTCAAAACTCGACAAAAAATATCGGTTTTAGTGAAACGCAGTTAACTCAAGTTTCTAATAGTTGCGAAAGCGCGAAAAAAAAATTCAATGTTTCAGGGCAGTCAGCCTTGTAAAATTATGTGTTCCGTTTGCAAAATATGTTTCTATAAAAGCTTAGCAAATATATTTGTGAAAAATCCTCACCATCACAATTAGTATCCCAGTCCCTCGAGATACTTGGCGACGTACTCAACGGCAGCACGGACGCTGGCCGTAACCTCGTTTTCGCCCTCGTAGATGGCGATAATGATCGCTAGAAACGTTGAAAAAGTTTGTTTAAGAGATGATTTTAATAAGAAATTACAAGATTTTTTTCAATTTTAACAGGCAAACTCAAATTAAAAATATGTCCCTTTTTAAAAATCTTTCTCGTTTGATGTTCATAAATTCAATGCTTTTCAAGACATTTGATTTAATTTTTACGGTTTAATCAACTGAAATTTGTTATTTTATTCATCTTCTCGTATACTTTTTTTTTAATGTGAAGAGGTAGAGTTTTTTGAAACTTTTTTTAGAAAGATAAAAAAATTTGCAACGAAATTCCTAGATTTTATATTTTTTTTACGAAATTTAAATTTGTCTTCTCCTGTTCTAAATTTTTTTTCTCTCATTTTTTTCATTCAAACCGACTCATTCAAACAAGACCTCTCTGATTGAAATAGAGCAAAGCTGAAAAATTCTTTCAACTTGACCATATAGAATTTGAAAAATAACAGACCTTCAGACATTTAGTGCTTTAAAAAAATACGATTTTTGAGTCTCAGATTCTATTTGTCGCAAAACGGAGAAGCTTTTATCATTTTTTCAAAGTATCTCTCTCTCTCAATAAGAGCCGCGTACCAGTCTTGATCTTGGCGGCGAAGAATCCGCTCTTGTCCTTCTTTCCGAAGATGAGGTTCTCCTCAGTACGCGGGACGATGAAGTGCACGTCTTCGAGGTCGGCTCCGGTCGATGGAACGCTGTTGATGTCTTTGAAAAGCGCCGCGAACTTCTTCAGCTCAGCCTCGGAAGCCTGAAAAAATGAGTTATTTCAAGACTAGATCTGAAACCAGCCAAAAAAAAGCTTGTTTAATGATTGGAGTCAAGTGGTCAGTTTGGAAATTTTGATATGATCTGTCATGGTTACAAAAAAAGTTTATTTATTCTCTTTTGTTCACGACAACTTTTTGGGTAGATATGGTTTTAGCTGGTTATTCTGAAAATAATTTTTGTCCATGACAGTTTTTTTTTGAGAAAATGTGATTGGTACAAAGATTTGAGACAATGGAGTGTGTGCGATGTTTGTTCTTCCGATTAGAAAACATGGGGAGTCGGCTTTTCGAGAGAGCGTTCCTTTTCCCAAAATTCGAATCTACTGATCCGATATGGTTTTTATTAAAAAGGGATTTGAAAAGCTAAGGGGAATCTTTTTTTGATGGAGCTCGAACAAATCTAATTTTTTGCCTTTTGATTTTTGAATAGTCCGTTTTTTTAATTAGCAAAGGTTTTTGATTTTTCTTGGCACCTGACTTTGAAATTCAAGCTTATTTTCAAAAATGAACAAGTTGAAGTTTCTATTAGACCTTCTCATCAAGCGATATTTCATGGCATCTTTTATTTGACCGGCTTAAGCTTATTCCAAATGACCGCTGCTTCCAAGAACAACACGCTATTTATACGAGGGCCTAGCCAAGATGCATTGCAACGTTTTCTGAGCGGTCACGCAATCGCGCCGTTCATCTCGCTTTCGCCGCGTTTCCCATCATGCGGTGACGTTATCCGCGGCGCACTGTTGCAAATGCCAAGGTTTCTGTTTTTGGTACGGTCTAGAACATCTACTAGAGATCGATGAAAGTTATTAAATAGGAAAAAAGGAATCTCCTCCATGAGCAGCAAATTCACACGCTCTGTAGAAAAACTTGTTTTAGTTGTAGAATAAACAAAAATTGCATCATTTTTCTCTCTAAATATTTTTTGGTTCTTAAGTTGTTTTTGATCAACATGCAGCTATCAAAAAAACGGGTTTTGAGAAATAACGGGACTTTTTGAATTACTGACAGACAAATACCTGTCTTATTGATTACATCCTTTTTATCTTGAAAAAAAAGATAGACCTCTATAGGCTGTTAAAATAAATATCTTTCCAATTCATGTTGGACATTAGAAGACCCTAGAGCAACTCAGCTACCAAGTCCATTTTTGCTTACGCACTCCTTTTGTGGCAAATCAAACTGGGTTTTTTTACGTTTTCGAAAAAAATTGTCTTACTAGTTGGCTGGATAAGCAAAATCATCATTGAATAAGGCAACCTACAGATCTAAATTAAATTACTGGAGTTTCGCATTCTTCATTTTAAGGTAAACTGACCCGGAAAGCGTTGGCGTCCGCAGTACGAGTCCAGACAGATCCATCGGTTCCGATGATGGCGGCACGCTTGATAGCTGGCGAACGGCCAGTGAGAAGAGCGATGTAAGCGTCCCAGCCAGACATGGTTGAAGGTTCTGGAAAAATGAAAATAAAACTTGAAAAAAAGATTCAAACTAATTCATCTGTTGAATGAATCACGAGAATAAAGTAAAATACGAAAAGAACGAGCAAGCAAAACAGAGGAAACGTTCTGGAAACTTTGCTTTCCAAAACGTTTTGGCCGCTTTCAGCATTGGTAAACAATCGAACAGCGAGAAAAGGCACGCACGCAAAATTATCGATTTATTGGTAGCGACAAAAATGATTATACAGTGATGAGAAAAACGCTGGTTTGTGCCGATAGTGACACGTGTACGCGCAACGAACGCGAGGAGAGCGTTTGATTTGAATGTTTCACGCGTCGCCGAGCAAAGGACAGCGCGTCAAAGAAGAAAAATGACTGAAAAAAGTAGGAAGGAACGGGTGAGTCAAAAAAAAACGGAGACGACCCCTGCCGTCTTCATTCTTCCTTTCACTTTTTTGGTCCGAAAAACGAAAAATTTTTGAATTTAGTCGACTGGTTCAAGTCTTCAGGAAATCCAAATCTGTGTGAGAAGTTCTAGGTTTTGCTTTGAGAATTGACTCTCTTTTTTACAATAAAGCAATTTTTCGAGAAAAAGTTGAAATTTATCACAGCATTTTTTTAAACTCAAAATCTCCAATAATAAGCCTTCTGATATTTCTCTCAAACTTTCGAACCTTTTTTTGCGAAAATTACTGAACTCACTTTATTTGTGTTAAAATTACTTTAGATTCATGTTATTGTCAATTTTGAGTTTTTCAGGGGTCAGGAAATTTCAAGTTTAATGAATAATTTTTTTAAGAAAAGCCATCATTTTTGCAATGAGAACTTTGGAAATTCTAAACGGAGAATGTTCTTATGGAAAGCGGTTGGAAGTAAGAAGACAAAAATGAGAAACAGCCTCTGATGTGGCGTATTTAAACTTTTCCGGAAGAGGCGTGGTCAAAAAAAAAAACGATGGCTTCTGATCTCTTGGATCAAAATAATAACAAATGGTGAGTCATCACACTTTCAAAGCTTTTATCTTTAATAGAATAAAAAGAAATGATTCGAATGAGTCAGTGAAGCCGTGGCGGAAGGAGATTGCGAAATAGGCGTGACGGCAGATGGAAAGAACACTCCCTGTGATGTAGAAACTAAAAACCGCTCTTTAAAAATAAATCAAGAAGAATTTCTCTGGAATAATCCGAGCTATTTGAAAAAAAGTATTGAACTTTCTATAGTTCGTGAATTCAATAGCATCTGAAACGATCTGTAAAAAAATAAATTCGAAATATAATTTAAAAACTAATTCTGGAATACTTTTCAAGTTTGAGTCTATGGAGCGATTTTACAAAAGTTTGTCGAAAAAAATCTACCACTTATTTAAAAATTCTTCAAAAGTTATTCGACAAGAGGAAAAAACCGCGAAATTTGTTTGACTTTCTAGGTTGGTAGCCGAAAAGGGACTGAGTTTCGAAAAATCTAAAGAAGACGGAGAATTGCTGAATGCCAGAAATATAAAGTGAGATTTCTATCATTTTGCATAATTGAAAGCCCAAAAATGAGCCTCACAAAATATTAAGTTGGCCTGCTGAGTGATGAGCGTTAAGTTTATTGGTATATGTCTTATTTCCAATTTTAGAAATCGAAAATGGGAGAAAAAGGGAAAGAAATTTTTTCCTGGGCGTTAATGATAAATTTCACTTTGCATTTGGAAACGCCAATGTTTTTTTGAATAATAATATGTAAGTTCTGAGTTTTAAGATAATTCACAGTTGCGTCGTTTGACCACAACTTTTGTATGGAGATTAATCTCTTTGAATATATCTGGAGTCATGATAAATGACATGGATTACACACTGACACAGCTTCAGATTTTAGAAAAAAAGGTGTACTAGGAAGTTTTAGAAAATTGAGCTTCCAACAAGCAAGTTGGAATCAACTAAAAAAAAATGCTTTTCTTGCAACTGTAAAGAACGTTCCATTCCAATATTCCGTCTTTTGGTGGAATCTCGGCGGATGCTAGTAGGTAATTCTAGAAGACAAGGAAACGGGCCGGCGGCATATGCAGGTGAGACAGAGTCAGATTGTCGCCGTTGACGAGCCGTCCGGTCCACCGACACCACATGGGCTGTGTGTGTGTGTGGACTTAATGAGCCGAAATGTCGTCAGCGGGTTGTCTTTCTCACAGCCCGATAATTATCATTCTCTTCGGCTTAGAAAATGACCAAAGGACTTGTTCCTTCTTTTCACAATAACTAATTACTCACAAACAGAAAGAGACTTCAAAAAAGGTTCAACTCAAACGTTCAACGTTCCTGATTTGTTTCACAACAAATAAATCTCGGAAAACTTTGAGCTTTTCGAAACTTCGATCATAATTCAACGCGTGGGCTGAAATGGTACAAAACGAAGAAAAATATTTTCTTTCCCACAGTCATATGGATAGTGAAAACAACTTTTAATTTTTCATGACATTCCGGAAACACTTTTCATCCTATTTTATTGTCATTGTCCAAAACAATTAGCTGAAAAAAACAACCGTGTATTGTTTACGGCATATAAAACGCTAGGAACCATTTTTTTCAATGGATTTACATGCTTATGATTCGCAAAAAAAGAGACGTAAAGTTGCGTCATCAAAACATGGTGGGAACAATTATTTTTTTTCTAGTTTTCCACTAGCGCTTTGTTCGATTGTCGCTTTTTTTAGAGGAAATTGGAAAGAACCATTGCACGATTAGCAAAAAACTTTGGCCAAAAAGGAGAGGCTTACCCGATTCCTGTATTAATTTTTCTAAGTTTTCTCAATGAAAAAAATCCTCAAATCAGTTGCAAATGAGAAAAAAACAAAAAAAAAAAAATTAAAACCAAGGAAAAACGCAACAAAACAAGAGCTCTTTCTGCGCGCAAAAGGTCTGTTTGCGGGCGAAAAACCGCACAGAGGCGGTTGGTGAGCTGTCGCAAATAGCCTCGCCGCCAGTGTTCCCCCCTCTTTCACTCCGTAAAAGGTTGCGTGTGTGACGGAGAGAGATGAATTCGTATCGATCGGTTTGTATTGTACGCTTCAAAACCTGGTAGGAACTAGAAATTACCGATGAAAATTATAACAATGATGAACTTGGCCTGAGATCATTCATAATAAAGTTTTTATTTCATAAATTTTTTTGAAAAATTCTAACAAAAAAAGTAGATAATAAAAATTCAGCAGTTTGAAGGCGCACAAAAGGAGCGGGAAAAAATATTGATGACACTTCAGAATGCGGCTGTTTGCTTATTATTTACACAAGTTTCTTAATTTTCCTTAAAAATGGCTAAATTGTTTCTAGAAACTTGCTTAGATTGTTTAAAAAGAAAAGTTAAAATTTGGACGACTGTACTAAATGAAAACCAACCTAACAAAAGAAGGGTCTTCAAATGAAAAAAGGGCCAGTCATCGTTTTTGTTCCGATGCGCCCTGCCAATGACTCACGTCTGAGTTTCAAAATAGCAGAGGAATTTATTCGAATCCATTCTTCTTAGTACCAAAACGAAAAAAAGTACTTTTTGCTAATTCATGTGAAAAAAAGACGGACATATCTTACGAAATTCATTTTCAAAAGTTAAAACGTGGTACGGAACTCGAATTTAGTAGACAGCGAGAACAACTGCGTTTTTTAACGAAATAGTGAGATTTTCGTCTTCGGGAACAAAAGATTCAAAACAAACAGCCGAACATCTTCGCTCAGTTTTTTTCCTCTTTTTTTGGTGGAACCCGCGCACTCCAGAGAAAAAAAGAAGGAGGGAACTAGAAATGGTCGTAATTATACAGGTCTGAGGCCTTTCAAAATTCTGAAGAAAATGAGAGGATTAGCAGAACATTCTCTGTGTTTTCTCTACTTTTTTCCTTTTCTGAAACAATTATATGAGCTGTGAAGTATTCAAACTCAAAAACAGAAATCTCATTTCGAACATTTTTAAGGGACGCATGGTTGAAAAAACCACTAAAGCAGCATTTGATCTAAACTTTTCCAGAATTTTAAACGCTCATTTAAGAAACATATCAAGAAACTTTGAAAAAACTATTCAGAGGAGACGAAAAATGGTAAGAAAGCTGTCATATGAACTACTCAATTTGCGGCAACTCTTATGAATCGGAAAAAAACGACGAATGTCATTTTGAAATAGGAAGGCAAGTCATTGGAAAGTGTCCAACGGCCGGCCTATTCAATTGCATTTAAAGCACCCGGCGTCGCCCCATTTTGACCACGTCCAGGCCATCTGCCTCACTCGAATTTTGCAGGCCAACCCAGCTCATTAGCTAGTTTCCTATAGAATTCTCCTCCGTTCCGTTGAATATCTGACGCAAGACCAAACATTTTGCAATATATTCGGGGGGTGAGAACTCACGACAACGATGTTCGCAGAGAGTCTGGTCTTATTTCGAAACACGTAGAATATCCAGTTTACCAGAGCTTCCTGATTTTTTTTAAGGCTCGTAGTAGAAGAAAAATCAAACTTGAAATTAAAAAAACTACTCTTGAAAAAATTTGCATATTCTGTATATCTAAAATCGGCTGAAAGTTTTGTAGAACAATAATAATGAAAACGCTTTTTCGTAACAGAGAGAAAACCATTGGAATATTTTTTTAATATTTTGCAAATTTATGCCCCAAAAAGTCGTTCACTTACGGTTGATTTGAGAGCATTTACAGTGATCAAAAAAATAGTTCTACTCGAAAGATATATTTAACTTGCAGCTCTAAAACTTTTTGACGAGTTTGATAGAAAAATGTCATAAACAAAATACTAGTTGTCAAAATCGATAAAATGATTGGCGGGCTAAATAAAGCTATTGAACTTCATACTTTTTAAACTGAATGTTCGGCTGGGAAGCAACTTTTACTGGGGTTTCAACTAATGTTCAAGCACAATTATCAAATTTTTTAAACCAAAAATACAAAATTCTTACTTCTAAAAATAGATTTTTACTCAGAAAGCGACTTCAAATGGACTTCTGAATTTTATTCGATCAATCAAATCAAAAGTTCCGCGCTCTACTTTAAAAATCATTTATATTACAAATGGCCCCTCAGTATTCTCATAACCTGGCGCTAAATAATTCATATTGTTAAGTTTCAAGAATTTCATGTACAAAGAAAAGGGGGCACCAAAATTCTCAGAACATGAAGTTTCTATGAAAGTGGAATCCGAGGAGTAAGCCAATTATGTGGCGCCTGTTATTTGAGACACGCAACGTAAGAAATGTATGTAAACGGAGGACGCGGGGTGTCAATATCTAGGTTCTCGCAAGAAAGCGCCGGTCGCATGAATTTCAGAACAACAATAATCGCCGATTTGACATTTGTAGAGAAGGGAGAGGTCGTTTTGGGGATACGGATTGTTCCATGAATAACTATCAACCGATTTTCGCAGTGAAACAAATTTTTTTAAGCGTCTGTGAGGTTAAACAACTTATATGAGTTCGCGGGGCCAAAAAAGTCACAATAAAGTTTTTTGAAGAAACGATTTTGCTAGTTGTGCTTTGTATGAAATTCTCATACAACGGTTTAAAACTGAATTTCTAATCTGCGAAAGCCAGACTATTTTGAAACAACAAAAAAAATCAAAAAAGAAAAAAACTACAGCGTTTCAAATTGAGCTGTTTTGCGCCTTTTTCAATGTTTGCGCTGGAGCGCAAATGCTCTTTTCTGCCCTCAAGAAATCACTTCATTTTTTTGAACTTCTATAAATTGAAAAAAACCTCAAAAAAATTTTTTTGTATTCGCCCTTATCTACGTTTATTTCTCTTAACTCTCGCCATTTATTGATATATCTTAAAAAGTAATTATGCGAAATTTATCACCTAGATGAAGTTTATAGAAAAAAACTATGTTAATTTTTCTTTTTTTCTGTTACTCATTTTTTTAGTTGTCGCCAGCCAGAACGTTTCCTAAGATGAGTCATGATTTTTATGCAAAATGACTTTTTGTAAAAGACTATTCAAAATAGACTTTTCTCGAGCGAGATTTCGAGAACTGAACGAAATAGTTCTGCACGATGATAGAATACCTTTGTTGCGCCGTGCCTATCCCGGAAATAACGGAATTTTCACAAGAATGTTTATACCGGATAGAACACAAAGAAAAAAACACATATAGAACAAAGATCTAAGGTTGGCTAACAGTGGTTGAACCGTATAAGGTGACTAAAGATATGTATTTTTGAGAGAAGGAATGTAGTTTTTCTGTCAAAATATCAAAACAAATATAAACCTGGATTATCATGATGAAATGTGAACAAAATAAGAAATAAATTACATGGTAAAGCATATCAGGGGATCGAAATACCATAGGAAAAAGTGAGTCTTTTCTAAACTTTTTCAGACATTTCCATGACGTTCCTCTTTCCAAGAATCTCGAGCAGCTTGGCTGACATGTAATATGGCTTTTCCGGTGTCCCGTCATTTTGTTCGCTGTCTTCTACTGAAAATAAAATTTTTCAGTTTTTCGAGTTTTTCAAATTCCTACAAAAGCAGATGAAAGTTGTGTCGACCGCCATTTCGTAAACATCGAAAAACAAATCAGCCATGCAGTAGCTGCCTGAAAACAGAAAAGTTAATACTCAATTATTCGTTTCAGAAGAAAAAAAGAGAAGTAAATTATTCACCCAAGACGACGATGACAATCGGCCCAAAGTAGTAATAGAGATCAACGTGAGGGATTCCCTCAACGATCCACCGGCCTGAGAAGTAGTAGAAAGCAATAACCCCTGTAAAAAAGTGCTTCTTTATGCTTCTTTATAAATTTTTCAAAGTTGAAGAAATGTGAATTTTATCTTTTCAAAAAAACTTTTTTCATAAACTATTTGTAACACTTCTTAAGGGGCATTGCAATTGTGCTGATTTAACTAATGCAATAAATTTGAAACGTTAAAAATCTCAAAAAATATGAAATTCCTCTAACCTGCGCCAAGAGTAATCATCGCTTTTCCGAGGAATAACAAAATGCCAGCAACTTTATGTATTACAACCGTTCTGACAATGTTCCTGGTGATCAACATGAACGAGTCTTTGGCGGATGAGAAAAAATTATGACCATAAATTGCCATCTATAAATTTATGAGCATTGATAAAGTAGAACCTGCTCACCATAATGTAAGCATTTTTAGTTAAGAACTTGAAAAAGACTTCGAGGCACCAAAAACAACACTTTAACGCCCTGAAAAAGAAAAAGTAAAAAAAAGTATTTCGATTTTTTATCGACTCACATCATAATGTACTTGATGACGCGATTTTCAGTCTTTCCAAATTTGTGATCGATGTATTCCAAAATCACTCTAATCAGTTTAACGATAGCGATCAGAAGAGATCCGAACGCCAAAGATCCGAGGTTGTAACTGAATATTAAGATGAATATTTTTGAAATAAAAATTTAAAACCGAAGGGCGCGTGTCAAAGCTCGGAGCACGGGAAAAGAAGGTAGATCTATATTCTTGTCGCGTGCCCAGTAATGAGAAGCAAAAGCTCCGGCCAGAGAAATATCACCTTGAAAATCTCAATAATCATGAAATATTTCGAGTATCTCATACCTAACGCCGTTACAAAACAAGAAAGCCAGAAGAAGGCGAAAAGATTGTACAGTTGCAGGTAGAAAATCCTGTCTCCTGGCGCTTCAGCTCCGTAAAACTGACAACCTGGTGTCTGAAAACGAAAGATTATACGAAGAACTCAACTCAATCCATACATTGGAATTGCAATCGCATTTGGTGGAAGTATTTCTCAACCGGCCGTCAGGATCCGGCAAACGACAAACTTCTTGGCCAGATGACGATAACCAGATGGCTACGGTTCCCCATAAGGCGAAGACATCAACAAAATTTTGTAAGATTTTGAGAAAACGTGTCAAACCAAAATATGTAGTAGAAATGGGAAGAGCGGGAAGACCAAAGTCGACATCATGCTTCCAACAGCTCTGGAAAGTTTTTCATCAATAAACTGATTTGAAGTTGGATACTGACTTGCTGGATTCTTCGATCAACGCAACTGCTATCGAAATCCGCTTCCTTATGAAAAGAAGAACAATCAGCAGTAAAACTAACACGGAGCTAGAAGCGATGGCTGAAAACTATCAATATAAGTTTAAGAAAATCGATGAAAAATTACCAACTACCAGCCAAGTTGTCGGCATTTCAAAGTAAACGCTGAACATTGGCTGAAAACTGAAGTCGTCGATTGCTCCCGAAACTTTCAGCTGATTCCATTTCATCCAGCTGTACCCAGTGCCTGAAATACAGAAAATAAAACAAGGCGGTATGACAATAAAAACCGAATCCTAAGGCTCCAAGTACCGCAAAAATAGATAACCAAATAAGAAGACTGCCGAAAATTCTCATAATAACAGTCCAGACGAAAGCGCAAACTCCAGAAAAGGCTATCATTGCCAGGACCTGTGAGAATTTCAATGTAGTCTGCTACAATGAAAATTTTAAATTACCTGCCACCAGGTTTGCGACAAATCATGAATTACTTTGTCGAACATAGGTCGTTGCTCGATTATTGAGCTGACAACTCTGAAACTTTATTATTTTCAAGCTTCCCTTTCGTCCGATTTTTGACGCGTATTTTTCCAGTTTTCGAAAACTTTGGATACATTTTTTTGGCGAATAGATTTTCGAAAACTCGGTGATTCGAAGTTTGTCCAACTTAAAGCTGGGAGCTTACTCGTTACTCTGCCCAGCCACTTGTTTATCGTGAGGAATGGTTCCATCATCTCCAAAAGCGTTTTTCAAAGCGTCTAGTGAGCCGTTGTTTACGATAGAGTTTCCTATATCAGCTCCATCAATAATCGCTTGAGGGAAACAACGTTGAAGAACTGAAACTGTGAACTGATTATGGTCATCAGATTGATCAGATTACCGGGGGCCGACTTCACCGTGTACGACACACATTTCCCGGTTTGCACCAAAGTTCTCAAAACGGAAAAAGATGTTATTTTTGTCTTGTCAACGTCATCTGTGCAGTAAAGTGCTTCATTTATCTGAAAGTTAAAAAAATGTACTAATTAGACGTTTCTTGAGACTTACTTGTCTCTGGAAATCAGAAGGTGTAATGGAAGTTTGGAGTTGCAAATAAGAAAAATAACGATTCGGACAGGCAGACACACAAATCTGAGTTAGCCAGATAATTTTTTCCTTTCAATTCAGAATTTTTACCTGGGGAGTTTGGCATCCTCCTAACGCGCTCGCGTACGATATGCATTTTGTGATGTCGAAATACAGAAGATAAGGTCGATCTCTTCAAAATCCAATAAGAACTAGGAATATTTGAAAAACTCACGTCATGTTATAGTAGCCAGGACGAAAAGATCCACATCGACGGTAGTCACTGTCCGTTGGGAAAATCAACCTTTCCGGCTGACCCCACATAAACCCTGAATTTCCAAATGTTTCCAAACTACTAGCATAACGATTTTACCTAAAATTGCCACAAAGGCCCAGCCGATAAGGAAGACGGCAAAAAATAGACAGCAAATCACGTCCGTACATCCTCTGAAATTTATTCTGATTAGAACTTTTTCAGAATTATATCAGGTTCATCAGAAAAAAAGTTGACTGTTTTTTTGTTCTTTTTTTGCCGTCATAAATGAAGCTTTTGGAATAATTTTTTTGCAGTTTCTTTTTTTTTAGCTTTGTTTGAAATTCGAAAAAAAAGAGATGCTTTTTAATATTTCCAGAAGCAAAAAAATTTTTTTTCTTTTTAAGCTTCCGTAAACTTTTTTTTGGAAATAAATGGCTGATAAAAGTTTTGGGGAATTTCCATGGACATCTTTTTTTTTGATCAGATTGTGCCAAAAAAATTTATTTTGCTTTCTGATTTTGTATCAAAGTTTATATGATATGAATCATTTCATCAGAAGAAGCAAGAAAAAAGAAACCTTTTTGTATAAAGTTGTGGATTATGCCTTTTTTGCATCTTTTTCGCGGCGACATTAAACCGCGCAATCTGATTAGATGTATGTCCCGGATTGTGCGGATTGATCATGGGAGCCAGGCGCACAGGCATCAGTGGTCCTGGGGGTACCGGGGAAAGCGGCGGCGCCGTCGGCATAGGCCGAAACGGCATTACGGGCGGCGAATTTTTCTCCGCCACCTTCTGTCTTCCCATTTTCGATGTTTGTTCTAGTGAGGCTCAGTTCGTTCGTTGAAAGCGATCAAATGGTCGCAGTTGAGTCACAGTCGCAGAGTGGGAAATAGGCCGGATTTCAGAAGCTTTGCCTATAACGCAACTATAGAGCACAACGTGTTCGGAAAAACGGAAAAAGTTTTATAGAAAAAAATCAGGAACCACTTGAAAATGAGCAAAATACACAGAAAATTTGTCGTCTAATATGAAAAACGGAAATCGCCATTGAAAGGGCCTGCAGGAAATCAGCTGCAGAGTGTGCTAAATTCATTTTTCTCATAATGAAATTCAAATTGTGAGAGCAAAATTTCAAATTTGAACAATAATTTTTTTTTTCTCATTTTGCTCATCAAAAATATTCCTTAGCGCAAGTTTCTAGAACTGTGAAAGTTGAGAGAGAAAATAAATTGGATATTAGTGAAGTTTATAAAAAAGATCGGAAAATTGAGAAGCAAACAAGCGAAGTAGCGTGAATCGATGGAATAAAGGTCGGCAATCGTGTTTTGGATGCCTCGGACGGTCGTTACCGCGTAGATCTACCTTATTTCCTCTTTGATCTGGGCGCAAATTTTTGACTGGCTTTGCATGTGCCAGGCTCATTATTTTTAGTGAGTTTGTCTTGTAAGATAAAGATCTTATCCGATAAAAGTCTAAAAGGCAGTGAAAATTTAGGATCAAAGGCTTGAACTGCTTGTATGTAGAGTAGCAAAAATGGTTGAGTATTTTTTTCGGTTTTTCAGAAAAAGACTTATAAATGAAACAAATAATTAAAACAGATCTTTCAAACTCCTTCGATTTTCTTTTTCAAAAATTTTAGGTCGAAAAGATCTTTTTGAACCTTTTTATGAACGAGAAACCAGAAAAAAATTATTCACAACTTTCCCTTAATGTATTTTTAGATAAAAAGTTGATGTTTACTTTTTTTCTTTCCAATTTTACGGAATTACTTCAAGGTATTCTATAATTTCCAAAAAAATAAAAACCATATATCCATATTTTAATAATTTTGAAGGTACTGCGTTTGTTCAGAAACCACAAAATCCATGAACTTTTGGTTGAGGAGAAGGGCGTCCAGCCATCGCGGTTATCCGAGGGCGAAAGCCGCTGCCGGTCGAAAGAAGAAATAAAAAAAGGGGGGGGAGGGGGCTTACAAAAAGAATTGTAAAGTCAGAGCGGCTCTGTCCCAGATTGTAAATCGAGTCCGGATCCGACGTGCAGGTTCAAACCGAGGTTTGGCCTGGAGTGCCAAGACTAACTCAACCGCGACTCTTTTTGAACATGTTTTCAATAATTTTTTTGTAAAAAGCTTTGTATTTTTTTCGAAACTGGTCACTATAGTAAAAAAACTTTCATTTTTTTGAGAAAGAAATGGGTAGTTTGGACATTCGTGAAAAATTATGGATTATGTTGTAGATCCGGATCAGTTAATCAAACTTAAATTACAGCATTCTCAACTTTCTAGTCGAAATCTGAATAATTGATATTATTGCTCAAAGAACAAAAAAAGGCATTTTTGCGGCCAAAGTAATTGTTTTTGATCGATAAACTCATGGAATAAATTGTTCGATGCAAGTCAATTTTTTTATAATCATTTTTCATTTGGTGCCAATTTTATGGGGTGCGAATGAGGTTCGCGAAAAAAAGATAGCACTGCTTGGAAGAAGTTGAAGACGACATTTTTTGGGGGAGCTTGAATGATTGAAGAAAAGTCGAAGTCTGATGGACAGGTTGGCAGCGGCTACAGAATGAACCGAAAAGCCGGTAGACCCAAGAATTAAGAGATTTTTCCGGTAGGAGTGGATGAGTCAGAATTGGAGCGTGCGGACGGCGAGCCGCACGAGCCACAACGACAAACAAGGCGCAGGACGACCGTCTAGCCGCAACTTGGAAATCTTCACCGTTCTTTCATTCGTTTTGTTTTTCTACATGTCTCTTTTTCCGGCAAAAGCTGGAATTTTCGAAAAGTTTCCATAACGGCACCGCTTTGAAAAATGTAGTGAAACTTGGAATTTTTAAGTTAGGATGAGTATCTGTTTGTTCGAAATAAAAATAGCTCTGAAAAAACAGTTAGAACTTTTGGTTACATTCAAAATTCATTTAACAGCTCAAGGAGAGAAATTGTTGAAATTCAAGCTTTTATGAAAACAGAAAAAAATAATAATAAGTTTTTTTGAGCTTGGTGTAAAAAAATTTGCACAGCGTTGAAAAGTATAGTAAGACCCTCAAACGATCGCTTGAAAAAAACCTGAAGCTTCTTCCTTCGAACAAGTAGTTTGTATAATCTATCAAAATCTAACTCAGTTCTGACAAATAATTGAGTTAAACATTTTAAATTTTTTTTAAGCATTTATAATTGTGAAATCAGACAAAATGGTACGCATTTCAAGAAGAAGAGTATGTTGAACTCGTAACTTTAAGCGGGAAACTTCAGTTGACACAAAAAATAGTGCCAAACCGGGTAATTGCACCTGCGAGTAGTCGTCGTACTCAAATACGAACTCAGGTTGGGTAAATATTTGAGCGGCCTTCCAAAAAAATGACCACTCTTCGGAATTCACAGCTTTGTCCTGTGAGAGTCAAAAAAAGCTATATTATTTTTTTAAATTGAGAAAAAAATAAGTGAAAAAAAGGTTTAAAATTTGAAAACGAGCTAACTAAGTGATACTTTACTCGGCAACTGACGCATATCAAGACTGATTGGAAAACAATAAGAACTTGAAAGATCCTGCAAGAAAGTGAGGTTATGCCAACTGGAGCTCAGGTTAACTTAAAAAGCGAGATATCAATCTCGGCGAAAAAAGAAAAGCATCAAAACTCCTTGTCTCATCAAGTAATGATTCACCAACCAGCTTTCTGTGCTTTCACTTCTTTATAAGGTTAATCGTGATTGTTCCAGGGAACTGGAAGTCCTGAGTGGCCTATTGTGTTTATCCTTTGTCGAGGTACACACATGATGTAGTTTTGAAACTGGTTTTTTGAACAAAACGTTTCTCTGAACCTATTAATTTGTGAGGTGTTCGTTAAAAATGCGGAGGATTGGTAATAAACAAAAGGCGTCAGAGATTATTCAATTAGTAAAGTTTAGTACTAAGAAAAGAATTAATAAACAAACGAAATTGAGTTTTTTTCAAGTGTTTTCCGTTCTGAATGTCCTCAAGAACTCGGAATAACAAAGTTCAGAGGCGGGAACTCAGAACTGTTGCAAATTGGAGGTTGCTGAAAGGGACGCTGGAAACATGAGTGCGCTAAAACCCACATTCAAGGCTGCGGTATTGTGCGCGAGAGAAAATGGCCAGGAGACTTGTCTGGGCAGGTTTGATTAGGATTACCCTGAAACTCTGAGAAAAAATGACGCAATTTAGTTTGGTAAAGAATGTGTCATAATTAACACACGGCAAAAATTCAAAAAAAAAACACCTCAACTTTTTTTGTTATTTGATATAAAAAAAGTTTCTCACATTGAAGATTTTTTTCATTGGAAACTTGCATTTTTTTGGACTTGGAACCAGCCTATTTTTTTATTTTTTTTCAACAGGTGTTTCTTTAGAGGTAACTCTCCTGAAGAGTGTAAAAAAATCCAAATAAAAAAATCTGAAAGTCCAGTTAAATATTTTAAAAAAACCGGTTAAAATGTTTTTTTGAGAACAAAAAAATTCGGGGAGTTGCAGGAAAAGGATTTTTTTTTCGCGATTGAAAAAAACTAACTGCTGATCGGCATTGTTCATGTTTTAGCATATTAGAACGAATTTTGATGAGGACTCACGTAAATAATACGTTGAGCCGAATGGAAGCCAATAAACGGAAGCATAAATGAAAATAAAAGCAAAAAGCCGAAGTAGCGCAAAAGTGAAATCCAATCCGACGCGTTTCTCGCGTGACGTTCTAGTTCGCTTCCGACCACCATCGGAGGGAACGCTGATATTGAGGTACCGGTTTAGTAACACCTGCTGATGACCGGAAGTTCCAAAAACTCCTTTAAGAGCCTTTGTCCTCGTGTATCTTTGAAGAAATTTCGGTGTGAATCTCGAATTCTCATATCCAGCTGTGTTGCATGACCTTCCTCAAGGTCGTTTGCACGTACTCTGCATTCCGAAAATGCAAAAATCGGAGCAAATGATTACGAAATCACACGTGAGCTTGAGGTGTACTTTGGAGTGGTTTGAACTTATTAAGAGAGCTAGAATTTTATTTTTAAAAAATGAGGAGGAAAAAAACAATAGAAAAACGAAAAATTAATTTGAAAGGCAGAACTTTTTCATTTCCTAGTTGAAGTCTCCTGACTCGGATAGCAATTTTTAAAATTTTTCATTCAACATCTAACCTTTATGCAACCTTTGACCCCATTTCGATGAAACCGAATTCTGAGATTCGTTGTAGAGATCTGTCAAAATTCAGAATTTCTTGGTGAATAACAACAAAACAGCATCAGATGTTTTCAAAAAGTGTACCGTTATTGCAGACACGAAAACGCTTGGGAAACGCGTTGACCGTGGCGGAGAGGTAGTCGTCGACGATTTTGATCCATTCTCGCTCAAGGAAAGTCTTCAGAGGCTCGTTCTTTGGATGTGGTGAAGTACAGGACTCTAGAACGTTCTAAACGGAGTATTCCAGCGGATTGAGATCCGGTAAAAACGGCGGCCATTCTGAATTGTCAACGTAGCCAAAAAGCTCTTTCTTGCACCACTTTTGAACGACTTTGGCCTCTTATTCTTGTTATAAAATCCAGGACTGCTTTCCAAAGTGTTAGCTGGCTCATGGGATCAGTGCCTTCTCAAAACGTCTCTTTTATAATTGTACGCATTGATCTTGACTTTTTGCGGCACAAAAACCAAAGGGATCTTTCCCGTAGCAGCGATGGAAGCCCAAACCATGGCTGAAAATGGATGGTTTGTGCGACTGACAGTTTTGCCACTTGAATCAGAAGCTCGGACGTTGGGGGATATATCCTAATCGTTTCTTTGGTTCGCGGCTTCTTCAACCGTAAAAGTTTTTTCATCACTAAAGACGATGCCGCAAAGCTCCGCCAGCGAAAAGCAACAAAACAACTCTCGACTTTCATCGACCCTTGCGGTTTTATTTCGGATCGGTCAGGATGTGTACTTTCTGTATCTTGATTGACTTCATACTTCGTTTATCCTTGACAAATTTCAGGACGCTTGTCGAATTTATCTTCTCTTCTCAGCGAATTTCCTCAGGAGCCTTCTCAAATGTGGACTGATGTAGTCGCGGCCCTTTTTTCTAATTTTCTGCAGATGCAGCATTGCCTGGTTTTGCACTCCGTGAAAGGTTTACAGTTGTGCCAAGCTCATTGAATCCAGAAAAAAAACAGGGCGCATGACCATTCGACGCGTCATCCTGTATAATTGTAATAACTTTTCAATACTTTGACCAAAACATGTATAGCGGTTCAACGATTCGAACAAACAAAAACGAATGAAAACAGGGATGTCTTACATCCGGGCGCTTCAAGATTCAAATTCGTAATTTCCGGGCACCCTGTATGATAATTCGAACTTTCCGATTGTAAAGCCATTTTTTGTTTTCAACGCTATCACTTCTTGAACCCTTGGACGGGACCCAGCGCGGTCCTTGTGACCCTTTCGACTTCGAATAAGACCAAAACTTACTGCGCACCATCGCGCAAATTGAAAAATTTAACAAAGTGTGAAAACAAAAATTAATTATAACAACAAGAAGAACTGAAAAAAAAAATCGAACCTTTTGGCGAGGTTGCCTTCACTCATTGGATTGTTGTCCGAACGAGAGCCTGCAAAGAAATTATCAAAAAAATGGCAGATGATTTTATTTTTCAGGAAATGTAGACACATGATATTTTCATGTTATAATTTCCGATTTTTTTCAGGTTTTCAACCTTCTGTTCAAAAAAAAAAAAACCTTGCGAGGACGGCTTTGCCCATTGAGACATTTTTCGTTTTCTCGAAGATACCTTCTAATGATCCGCTGAATAAAAACACTGTTAACTTTGAAAGCAAGACATTTGAAGCGAAATTCCTTTCAAACAAAAAAAGTTAGAAAAAGAAAGCCTGGTCGTTTTGAATATGTGTTTTTTTGTTTTAATCATTATAATGACTGTTTTTTATAATCAGGCTAGCGACGTCGTCTTATTATTTTGTGTTTGCTCTATGATTCATTTCAAAGAAAGACTTATTTTGAAGTTATAGAAAAGACAGGTGAAAACGAAGCTCGAATACACCTGCATTTGCGAGAGCTAAAATATGCTTTATTCGAAACCTAACGCTCTGTTTAACAGACAAAACTTAAAAAGAAGAAGATTGGAGCAGGAAACACATAGAACAAAAATTTCAAGCTTATTATCAAGCTCGTGCGACGCTACGAATCTCTATAGTAACATGGGACAGCAGCACATTTTCCCATTTAATCACTACCTGATTTGCCGTAAATTGCTTATGCTTCAATTTTTTTCTTTCGTGTCAAAAAGGTTTTCCCAAAGGCGCAAATTACGAGTGCTTGTGATTCTCCTTCCGCCTTTTTACCTTTCTCTATCTTTTCAGAAGTGTACGACGTATCCATGAGTACGCAACCTTCTTTTGAATGGGGGCTTGATGAAGTGCTACAGTATGCAGGTTTTTTTTTCAATTCAGGATTCTTACTTGTTTGAGAGTCAACAATAGTTTGTTCCAGGAAGCTTGATTCGAAGATTGCGAAAGTCAAAAATTGTTCAAGAAGAACGCTGAAAACGCCACCAAGCGATGCAACGTTGATGGAAAATAAAACTATAGAAACACAAAACAAAACATTTTCGTAACACTATAAATGAACTTGCAAGTTTCAATGATTACTTTTCGAAATAGTGTTCTAAATTATTTTTTTTTCAATTCAAATTTTGACTTCGCGATTAACTCGCACTGTCTCGTTGCTTCTGAGAGTCTACTTTCAGCATTTTTTAGCTAATTTTTTTCAAAAGTTATCGTCATTAAAATTCTTCTATGCCCACGTTTTGGCATAACGAATTTCGTGACATTTCAAATTTTTATTGAACAAGTGGAAGGCATTCGGTTGCCTGGCTGATAACACGTACCACCGTTATCATTACCATCAATTTCATTTTCATTGAATACAGCGAATGGCCTCGTTTTTTTTCAAGCAGTTTTTGCAAAGCTTTCTGTTTTTGCTTCAAAGTAAAATCTTATTTTTTTGTTTCAAGATGCTGCACAGCTGGTATCCTGTGCAAAATTTCACGGTTGACGAGATCGCGGTCGAAAGAGATTCACGCTTTCTCCAACCTGCTTGGGAATTCATCAAGGTGACTCCGCAGAATTTTTTATTCAAACCTGAAAAAAAAAACTTTTTCAGAACGGTAATGAGCACATTTTGGCCTCACCGCTTTTTCCTCCATTTTACGCGCTCTCGATCGATTACATTTGGGTTGCAGTCTTCACTTGTATATTCGTCAAAAATTGATATTTCACGATTCTGATTTCAGTTATCGATCTAGTCTTATGTGACGTTACAATTTTCAAGAATGCCAAAATCCAAAAAGACCGTAAAGTTACGTGGAGTTTAATGAAGAAGTCGTTCCATCTGCAGATTTGGAATCAACTTTTATGGTTTGTTTTCAACCGCATTCATACTATCTAGGTTATTGAAACATGTTTAATGTTTCAATAACCTAGATAAAGAAAGGAAAAAAATTTTGCGAGGTATTCGAATGATCGTATGGACTCTTTTTTTCTGGCTAGTGCTTCATATCTCAAGTAGGATTGCTTTCCTGAAGAACGTTTGTTAACTATTAGCTTTGATGTTTCAAAGTTTTTTTTTTAATTTTTACTTCGTTTTGTCAACCTTGCCAACTTCAGGATCTATCCTATGGCGCTGGTGCAACTGATTTGGGTACCCGACACCGAACTTCCAGTTTTGGCTCCGACGGTCTTCGAGTTCTGCTCACAAATCGTCATTTTTTTTGTGGCGTTCGATTTTAGTTATTTCTGGTTTCACTATTTCAACCACAGAGTATTCCACACCTTGTTTCTTATTAAAATTGCAGCATTCAGATAAAGTTTTTGTACCGTTGGTGTCACTCAGTTCACCACATGTACTCTTCTCCGTTCGCTGCGTCTGCGCAACATCTCCATCCTTTTGAGGTTTGTTTTTGATATTTCACTATTTGATCAAATTTTTCAGCTTTTCTTTGTTGCAACCTTTATCACGGCGTTCCCCTGGGTGTTTCCTACGCACTGTCTGACGTACTGGGTTTGGTTCCTCATTGCTCAGAGTGTTTCCTATGAGGTTTCAAATGAAATTTTTTTGGAATCCCTTTTTTGAAGGTTCACATCGGATACGACTTTCCATTTGCATTGCACCGCATCTTCTGGTTCTATTCGGGAGCTCCAGCTCATGATATGCATCACCTGCGTCCATTGACTTGCTTCCAACCTTGGTTGAATTATCTCGATCGAATCATGGGTGAGAAATATTTTTATCTTCGATTTACAATTTTTGAGCCATATAATCTGAAATCGGAAAGAAACTTGACCCTGATATGGAAAATCCATAAAAAAATTTACTTCATCTTTGTTAAAAACGGATACAGAACAAACTCTTTTTGCTCAAATTTTACGAATAATTTGGAACGTTTGCTTTTCTATTGCAAACAAAGAAATTATGAAAATATGTCAGTGACCATGACACTGAAAAGCTAACAAGAGTTCAATTTAAGTTTTAGAAAAAAACTGGGGCGTTATTATACGTTTCTGTGTTTGTCACAGGTAAAAAAAGAAACACAGCCCGCAAAGTTTTTTGAAAAATTTGACATGAATTGTCAATCACTTGCCAACAATGTAAAATATTGCTTTTTTGATTTTCATAACCTTTTAGGATACCACATCACATACGAAGATCTGAAACGGATGTCTGCCGAGAAGTTCAAGCGTTTTGGCCTATACGACAAAAATGACGTCGCCGATTTGGAAAAAATAAACTAAACCAAACATTTTCCGCTCATTACTTGACGAGGATCAAATAATATGAAAAAAATATGTTCTTCTTTTTTTCTGCCCCATTTTCTTCCTCAAAAAAACAAAGGTTTTTTATTATAGTGACCTGTTTCGAGAAAAAAACCAAAGATTTTTACAGAAAAGTTATTGAAAAAAATGTTCAAAAAAAGTCGCGGTCAACTTAGGCTTGAGAATCCAGGCCAAACCTCGGTGAAAAGACTTAGACGTCGGAACCGCACTCGATTTACAATCTGGGGCGTCAATCTTTTTATACCCCTCTGTTTTTTTTTCACCCGACCGGCAGCGGCTTTCGCCCTTCTCCTCAACCAAAAGTTCATTTTTCTTGGCTTTTGCAGTTTCTGAACAAACGCAGTACCTTTAAAAATTATTAAAAATATGCATATATGGTTTTATTTTTTTGGAAATTACAGAATAACTTGAAGTAATTCCGTAAAATTGGAAGGAGGCTGTTATAAAATCTACAAAGTATTAAATATTTTTTTAATTGATTTTTTTATTTGAAAGTCTTTTTATACCAGTTTACTAGTTTCTTTTTAACATTCGTTTGTTGATCATGTTTTTGCAACTTTGTTTAAAGTTCAAAAAGTCTCTTTTGGTTTAAACCATTACTTCAACTTGTTAATAACATAATTTTGCTTGAATGGTTGGAGCTTCAGGTCAAAAATAATTGTTTTTGATAAAGTTAAAGATGAAAAAAATCAAAAAAATACTTACCCATTTTTTTGCTAATCTATATACAAACATCTTAAGCCCTAGTTCTAAATTGCAAGGTTCTCCAGGCCAAACGTCGGTTTGAACCTGGAATGTCGGATCCGGACCGCGCCTCTTTTTCTTGAGTTCTGGCGGGAGCAGAGCTCCGTAGGGTTACCAAGCGTCATTCTTTTTGCATTTCGCGGTTTTCAAACTCTTCTGCGAGGAGATCTTTAAATTTATTTCAAATTTTTGAATGAAAAGAATTGAATAGATGCCTTTCGAAAAACGGCATCACCTCTAAGAAACTAAACCAGAAATTTGGATTTTTCAACTCACTATTTCTGAGATTTTTTTTCGCATTTTTTTTTCGAAATTCTAAGAAAACCCTTCTTCGATTTATTTATTATTCAAATAACTCCATGAAAAAAATCTTTGAAAAAAATTCGAACTCATTTCTTATAATATTTCCGTTCTGGGAGTAATAGTACTTCATGAAGAATTTATCAAAGGTGTTTGGAGAATTTTTTAATGTTTTGAGACTGAGGAAAACATTTTTCGATGAAATACAAGCCCAACGTTCAACCGGAATTCGTAATTTCGTGAAGCTAAAGGGCAAAAGCGAGTGTCTGAGGACGACGTGCAGTTGAGCGAGACAGCTCCATGAGAGTCGAAACAGATCAATACGGGCTCGTTTGGTTCCAAAGCGCTCGAGTCTCAACACCCTTCTGCTCCAGACGCAGTGGCGCATTTACGCGTCACGCCGTTCCTTCACATTTTCGGCCTTTCTGCTTCCCAAGGATCGCGCGAAAATTTCATCGCTTAGTTATTGTTTCGTCTCTATTTTAATTCTTTTTATACTGTTATTGTGCTTGAAATGGATCATACTTGTTTCCAGTCACGGCTTCGAGGTTGGTTTCAATTATTTTTAACTTCTTTCTATACATTACCATGAGCTATTCAGAAATTGGAGTGTTTTTCACACAATTATGTTTTACTCCATGTAATAAATTATTTTTTTACTACCTTTAGTCACGTATGAATTATAGGCTTTCAGAGAATTCAGCAAAGATTCTTGAACTGGATAAGACGTATTTTTCAGAATCCCACATAAAAATTGGATTACTGATGACTTTAGTCTCAGGTTCCAGCTATGATAATCGAAAAAAGCTTGAGATTTCTAAAAGTTAACTTTTGAGTTTTTTGGTTTCAATATCCTTTTTCTAACTGTGAAATGGGTGTTTTTTCCCCTAAACCTTCCTACTTACTTTATTCTATCAGAATTGGAGAGATAGAAAAAGAAAAAAAAAGTTAATAGTTCGTGAGGGACTGGGTCACTGCAAACAAAACCATGTACAGATAACAATCTTTGATATTGATTATTTTCCTCCTGTCATTTGAAAAATGTCTTTTATCATCATAAACCCGTATAAAGTAGGAACTTGTCTTTCAAATCGTTCCAAAAGTTAATTTTTTTGGACCCGAGTTAAACTTAAATGGTGAAAAGGGAAAATCGCCAACCGGTCTTCAATCAACGCCGCGTGACCTGTGAATGACAGCCAAGAGCGGAAATGTCGCTTCTTTTTATTGTCAAGGCCTCCCCCGTCTTTTCGTTTTTTTTTTTTTCAACATTTAGATTGTTAAGAAACGCTTTGAATATGTATAAATCAATTTGGATTTCTTCAAATCTTTAGAAAACTTTTATCTGAAGAAAACACCATCTTTTTTTTTTACCGACAGTCATTTTTCAAAAAAACAAAAACTCAAAATTTTTTTTCCTTTTTTATCGATAAGATAAAATGTTTAACGTTGATTCATTGGAGATTTTTCTGTTCACGCCAGTCAGTTACAGAGTTAGAAAATCGTATTCGCAAATGGAAACTGCTCAAACTTGGCTTCGTAGAGACAAGATTGCGCGAACGACGGGACAGACGGTCAAGTTCAACGGGTCGTTGTGAGTAAAAAATTTTCTTCGAGTTTATTTCTCCATTCCAGCTGTTCGAAACGTAGAAGAAGAGCCTAGCACAAAAGAAGTTCGCAGCAAAATATCGCCTTTGGCGTTAGGTAAACTCCCGGATGGGATCGGTTTAAGCAGCACAAGCAACGGCTCGAGCCAACTTTCAACAATGCACAATCGACCTCTGCGACCAACTCACATCGGAAGCATGACTACTCCGATCGAGAGAAAAAGACGTGAGTTTCATTTCTGAACGGTTTTGCCTGTACAAAGTTCAAGAAAATTATCAATTTCTCATCAAAAACTACAAGTTGCCGAAATCGCTATTCTGTCATTGCTCCATTTTTGATTCAAAAAAAATTGAAATACTTTATAATAGTTTTATTTGAAAATTCTCGCACTAAACGAGTTTTGTAGCTTCTTTGGGTTTATCGATGCAACCTTCGCCTTCAAGAAGAGATCCTGAACTAGAAGCGGTCGAAAGAAGATTTCAAGACGCTAAATTAGAGTCAGGAAGGCTACGATTGCTAGGTATACACTAAAGTGTGCAATGTTGTAAGATATTTAATAAATAACAGATAAGGAAATCAATATTTCAATGGAAGACATCAACTACGATGAATACAGAGATCGAATAGGCCATGGAACGTGTGGAACTGTTTACCGGGTCACTTATGATACTCACATAATGGCTATGAAGGTCTGTGTTTTTGTTGATTTTCAGTGCACAAAATCTTTCAGAAAAAAAGATCTTTTTGTAATTACTGGCAGCCAGAATGAAATTTTTTTGATATATGACTTTTTGAATATTTTCTCAGATGTTTTGCTTAAACTTGAATGAATTTCCAGACGATGCAAAAAACACCCGACAAAAACGTGATTAAACGAATTCTGCAAGATCTCGCCGTAACTATCCGTCAAATGAACTCTCCTTTTATTGTCTCTCACTATGGATATATTATAGATGAGGTAAAGCTTTTTTTTCAATAGAAAGAAGGAACATATCAATTTCAGACATCTGTGCGAATATTCATGGAGATGATGGTGAAATGCTGCGACCGATTGCTGCGTCGATTAGTGCCCGAGAAACGTTCATTTCCAGAGAGAGTGGCTGGCAGAGTCGCTTACTCAATGATTCACGCCCTGGACTATTTGAAAGAGAAGCATGTGAGAAAAACTTAATGAAATTTTAGAAGTCTTATGAAATCAATCATTTGTAGAAAGTTAAAGTCGAATTGCGCAAAGAAAAAAAGTCAACAATTTTTTTAATAATTTAGGAAAAATTCAAAATTATTTTAAAAGAAAAGATTCTCAACAAGATCACAAGAGCGTTCGAAGAAAATAAAAATATAGTTTGCCATGTACAGTATATGGGTTTTCTGGGGTCAGCTTTCTAAGAAAAAAATAGCGGCATGATCCAATTTTTGATTTTTTTAAAACGAAGATAATTACACCTCGATACGATTTTTTTAAGAAAAATGAACTATCTGGTTTCTATCAAAAATTTTTACCAGAAATTTTTTTAAAATATTCAAAATTTTAAAATTTTTACCAGAAACTTTGGTAAATGGTTTTTTTCAAAATTGAAAGTGTGAAAAATTTCCTTCCATTTAAAAAAATTTAAAAAAATTATGAAATATCTCCAGGAAATGATTCATCGTGACATCAAACCATCAAACATTCTCTTCGACTGGGACGGTCGAGTGAAACTTTGCGACTTTGGAATAAGTGGATATCTCATCAACTCGATTGCGCGCACCGGCACAGCAGGATGTCCGCCTTACATGGCTCCAGAACGCCTTGACCCCGAAGTAATTTCTCTCAAAGTTCTATTCTTCTAATACTAAAAGCTTCAACAAAATATATTTGTTCTCTTATATAGCTCGGTTCTTTTGTATATGAATGCTCATAAAAGCCTTATAAAAAGCGTAAAATTGATCAAATAATTGTTCCAGCATAGCTCAAATTACGACGTCCGAAGTGATGTTTGGTCCCTAGGTATTTCAATAATCCAGATGGTCACAGGAAGGTTTGATTGTTAAATGCGTTTTCCCTCTATAATACATTTAAAGATATCCCTATGACTACGATCCATCAAAAGAAATAAACACTCTTCTTCGCATCAGCGACATGCAAGAACCTCCTCCAAAGTTGGACACAGAAGTAAAACAAGTTCTGATTGTATGGTACTAATTAAAGGCTACAGGACGGCTTCTCTGAAAACTTCGTAAATTTCGTCGATTCCTGTTTGGTGAAAGATTTTCAATTGAGACCAAAATATCAAAAACTCAAGGTAAATCAAACTATCATCATTGCTCAATAAAAGTTTTTTTTAGTATGATCCCTTCATTCTGGAACACGATCCGACTTCGGAAACCTATAAAATTTCTGAGGTTTGTGAATTTCCGAGAAAGCTGAAAGCTTTCAATTGAAGGAGGAACCAGATGTGGACGAGGTTGCTCATTGGCTCAGGATGGTGGTCAAAACAACGTCACCGGAAAACGAGAAAATCATGCTCCCACACACGCCAAATCCAGTTTCTTGAAGTCCTGAAATCAGGGGACAAGCTTCCTTCAAAAGTTTTATCAAAATTCCCACTTTTTTGGTCCCACCTAGCAATCCCTTTCTTATCATTCGTCTACCTCTGACTCAGTTTTTTTTTGGCCCAGCCCGTACAGTGATAAATTTGCCTCAGGCTTTTTTGATATTCATTTTAACAGTTTTCTGCTCCACAAAACTTCAGCTTCATTTTAAATTTTTTAAGTTGATTTGTTTGGCATGAATGATCTTTCGATAATCTGTGGTGCTTTGAAGCTCTCAGTTTTTTGTTGTAATAAAATCCATTTTTCATCAGCGCATATTCGTCATTTCTTAGAAAAGGAATAATTGATTCGATACTTTTGAATTTGCATCTCCAAAGTTGCCCTTTCATCTTTTTTTTTAGAGCACTATGGTTAAGAAGCGTAAGTTACAAAGAATTTTTTGTTTGGCGTTCAGTCTGGCGTTCAGTTTTCGAACTGAAGATCAAAAATGATGTTGTTCCGGACGAAAAGGACGAAAATGTTTTCAAAAACTCTGGGAAACTGACTATTGCAGGTATACCTGGAAATTATCCGGAAAGTTTTAATTTTTTTCTGTAAAAATAAATTTTTTTATACTTTTTGAAAGAATCAATATTGACTGGAAAAAAATTTTTCTCAATACGCTTGTATCAGAATGTTTTTTTGCACATTTTTTTATTGAACCGTTCAGATGTGACCTATGAATCTGTAAGCATTGATCAATTGAAAAGTGAGCTGTGCGGATTCCTTGGAAGTGGTGTCAGCGGAAAGGTAGAAACAAGGTCGTTCAATGGCTATAAAATGGCCGTCAAAGTAAGTTCTGAATCGAAAAAGTCAAAAACTGATATACTCAGAAATTTTCAAGTTTTTACAGTAAAATACAGATTATGAATTCGACAAGTGTGCCAGAAGAGGAGAAGAAAAGAATGATTCGAGAACTCGAAGCTCTACCAATCTGTAAGGAGCCATTCGTTGTGACTTACTACGGATACATCATCACCAGAAATCTCGATGTAACCTTTCAAATAATTGTATTTGAATATGAGAGTTTTTTTCAGCAAAACACAATCTACATATGCATGGAAATGATGGCATATTCGTGTCAGAAACTCGTTGAATTGGCGAAAAGTTTGGAAATTACTATACCGGAAATTGTTCTCGGGCGAATAGCATGTTCAGTTGTCCGAGCGCTCAGTACATTGAGAGCAAAACACGTGGGGACTAATTGAAATTTTTCCTTACCTTTTCTGCCGCAGGCGATCATTCATAGAGACATCAAACCTTCTAACATTTTGCTTGATAACGACGGCCGAGTCAAAATTTGCGATTTCGGGCTTTCTGGAAATTTGACTGCTTCTAAGAAAGCCTATTCAAGGGACGCTGGGTGTCCTTCTTACATGGCTCCCGAGAGACTTCAGTTCGGTTCGGCTGCTCCTTCGAGCTCCAAGAAACCTGGAGTCAGTTTGAAGCTTTTTTTTTCACGCAAACAGCATGAATTATAGTAGAATTTTATACGGTTCTGACTCAGGATCAGTTGACATAGACAGATTCTAGGAGGAAAAAAAATTGTAGGCTATGAAAATTCATCAAAAATTGCTTTTCAACAATCTTCAATCTGACAGACGACGAAGTCCTCGCAAATAATAAGCCATCTATTTCCACTTCAAACGTTGAAATTTTTTGCTTTTCATGTAAGAAGAGGTTGCAGCAAATCAAATTAAAAATAAAATCTGTAATCTTTGTTTTTATTACCACGCGCATGGGATAACAGGAGCAAACATAAAAAAAAATCTCAAAAACTGAACTCAGGGTAAGTTCTCCTTTTGAACCCCAATGTTCAAATTCAATATGCTAGTTTTTATTCTAATATTTTTGAGATGTATGATGATAACGCTTACGACGAACGAAGTGATATTTGGTCTTTGGGTATTTCTCTACACGAAGCAGCTAGTTTGAAGTTTTTTTTTCTCATTTCCCGAAAATCACAATACTAGAAATCTTTAAGGCTACCATTCGACAATTCGTTTTTTGGTGTGGCTCAAAAAGCTCCTGAACCCTTAGCCTTGGTTTTCAAAGCAATCTGAGAAAGCACGAATCATTATTTAGGATCGATTCTCTACGAACTTGAGCAGTTTTGTTCAGATGTGCACAATACCAGAAATGGAGAATCGCGCAAAATATGCAGATTTGGAGGTCCCTCTCTCTGCGAATGCAGCAACATTTCAGCGATTTTCAGAAACACGACTTTTTCCTGGAGCATGATCGTCCGATTGAAAATATTGGTCACGAGTACGATGCAGTTGGGCGTTGGCTAGATGAATTGCAAGAGCGTCAGTCAAAACGCAATTTTCGTAGCTTTCCGAACACAAAATTCTAATAAAAAAGTTTTCAAAACAATTAAACCCAGAAAATCTTCATTTTCTGGGTTTTTTTTTGTTTCGAGGTGTTTTAGACTCATCTTTTTCATCTCAGTTCTTTTTGGGTAAAATGTGAAATATTTTTTTCAATGAAGTTCAAAGCTATTCAATAAATAATTTTTTTAATCTCTGTGAGACTAAACGCCTTTAATGTATGTCTAAAATTCACTTTTTATGGAGCCTTCTCCTTGTTGAAACGCTTTTTCTTAATTTTTTTAGCTTTCATTTTGAAAAAAAGTTTTTCTGTTTTTCTGATTGATAGCTTTTTTTCATTGAAAAAAATGCCAGTTATGAAATTTTCCGCTCACAGACAAGTATATAGCCAGGAAAGTTATATTTGCCTACACGTCGATAAAGTTCCACTTCAATTTATGAATATTTTGGGTCGGATCGAAGAAAATCAAAAAAGAAATCTATAAACGAGTTAAATCATTCTATGATATTTGCAGCTTCCGTATCAAAAACTGATTTTTCAAAAAACTTCCAACTTTTCTTTGGTCATCATCAAAACCATCCCTTTTTTTAAGCCCAGTATTTTTTTACACGTAGTAAAATTAAAATGAACATGGTGGATTGGTGTTGGCTCGAGTTTAAGGCCGTTGCCTCTCAGCTGATTCCGTCAGTTTGATATCACTTAATCATTGAAACCATCTGGCCCATGGAAGCTGAGCGACAGTGGTTTTCTACTAGAAACTTGAGTGGCGCTAAGAAATTAATACGCTTGTGACTGAAACATAAAATTCAAAATCTGTAAAAAATGTGGAAAAAATAATATAATCGAAAATGTTTTTTTTTTCTCAGAAGAACAATGTGCGAAATAGGTATAGGGTGGCCATTGTATTTTTGTTTTTGAACCGTGTAAATGAATCTTGAAAGTTGAGGTCTGTTATACGTCTTACTTTTCATGGATTAACACTATTTTCCCTCGAAACTGTGCTTTATGTTGTTTTTGCCTTCCCAAAAGGCTCCCCGTTCTTGACAACTTATAACAACTTTCTGGACTTTAAGCTTGTTTTTGGCATAGCTTAATTTTAAAATTCTGAATAATATATTCTCAAACGACGCGTAGTCGATAGCAGTAAATTGAACAGCTTACCTGGTTTTAAAAGTTCACCAAAAAAAGATAAGTTAGAAAGATTCTTTGCCAGATTGATTCAATTAGTATTTTCAAAAAAAAAAACGTTTATTCAATTAAGCGCACTTATCTTCAAAAGTCAATAGGATATCATATGGCAAAGCTTGTGACTCTAGTGTTTCATCGAAAAATTTTGAATGAGCCGTCTACCGTTTGCCTTGAAATGGAAAAAAAAATTAATTGTAGATTGCCAAAATCGTGTCGTTTGTAGCTTTCGTGACAATCTCAGCCCCCATAATTTATTCTTCCCATTGCTTGGTTTTCTATGGGTGCCACCGTAGTCTTTAATGGGAAGAAAACGAGTTCATGGAAAGATGCGAACATTTTCTTGACACGCGCATCTTACCTTCAAAAAAATAGGTTCGTCGTCTTAGCAACGGATGAGACGTTACGTCAGAAACAATGTAGAAGGGACATGAATGAGCGCCAAAAACGACTTTCCATGTCCTCTCTTCTTTTATCCATCTCTTCTTCATTTTTCCCGTCTTCTCTGCTTCAGAAATCATTTGAATAAAACTAAAGCGGCAGATTCAATTTCAGCGTTTATCCAAAAAAAAGTGTTCTTGTCTGATTTCCCTTTAAGAATTTGTTGTTATGTTAATGCTTGCAATTGAGTTGAAAACCTTTCTGAACATTTTCAATTAGATCCCTAATTGGAAACGATAATAAGATAATTGATAGCAATTTAAACAAAAATCTAGGAACAAAAATAAACCTTGAAAAGGGTCCTATTTTTATTCTGTGGAAATTAATGGATATCCCCATTTAAAACCGGAAAAAAACATATTGTTTTTTTGGTGCTAAATAATATAAATTCAGTCATTCACAGATCAGTTGCTCCTCAACGAGTTCTCATTCTTCATCTCATCTCTACTCCAGTCAGTAATAAGATCGTTTTTTTTTAATTTTCTTGAGCTTCTTAGGTTCTTTTTCTCAAAGACAAGTACATAAATGTATCTAAGCATCCGTGAAGCAAATGAAACAAGATTTATAACCTTCTTTGTTTTTTAGAGCTGATTCAGAATTGTAAACGTCTTATTTGCTGTTTTGGATGCTCAGAGTCTTTTTTTCGGATTTTTTCGCCTTGGTTTTCGATTCCAAACATATTTTTCTGGAAAGCTTCATACTGCCGGCAAAATGAAAATTCGCCACTTAACATCATTTCAAAACCAGAGAGGAAGCATATTAAACAAAAAAAACTGTTTGAACGCTGTGAGGGCTTGAGCTGCGTTAAATCCTCGATTTGAACATTATTACATGTCATAAGCGCCTCATTGCAACTGAAAAAAGAGCATAAAAGCAAACGGTTTTAGCTCCGAAAGTTCATTTGGACCTGTGCGTATAAATAGTAAGAATCATTTCTCAAACAAAATTCGGAGGTTCGATGGCTCAAAAAACCAATCATTTGCCGCATCACTTCAAGCTTCTCTAATCATTATGTTTTTTTTTCTCAAGTTCCTTGCTGTCGTGATGTGCAATCTCCAGCCAGCAAGCCATACATTTGCTCTTTTCCGGCCATTCCTTTCCGTTAATTTGTCTTTTCTTCCATTCGAGAGAGCAAAGAAGTTATTACCTATCTTCTTTCTGATTTGAGCCTTTTCTGGGTGTAAACTTCAACTACGATTATCAGCACTTTCTTGTAGTCAAGATTTGTATAACTTCTGAGTATGTGTTTTCCAGACTAGGCGAAACGTTTTTTTTTGCTACTGTATTGTCATGACTACAAAGCATGAAATCCATTTCAGCTTTGTACCCGAAACGCACACATTGCGTCTGAAAAATCAGCGTCGAGGTGCAGGCTCCTTGCTTAACAATGCAAATGACTGAGGTTGGCTATTTTTTCTCAAATCCTTCTGTTTTCTCATTTTCCCGTCTAGCAGCGGGACATACTTTCAGGTGAACTTATATTTAAGAAAAACATGCGTGATGAATTTTTCGCGTTATATATTTTCTATTCCTATTCAAATCAAAGAAGAGAGCTTTTTTCAAGTTTTGCAGCTTCTCAAAAATCTTGATGAAAATCTTGTTAAGTTTGATAAAAACCTGAAAAGAGAGAATGGATCATTGAAAAAAATAAATAAAATTGCATATGTGAGAAAATGTTCTCGTGAGTCATATAAAACTTGAAAAGACATTATAACTTTGTATCTATTGATGATGATTACAAACAAGTGTTCTCTTGCGCAAGAATATAATGTAAACGGACACCTATCCAATCCGAAAACCTTTTACTTCTCCAAACAGCAACATATGCAATTCAGTCTGAATTGTTTAGTGAAGTTGCTGTATTTGCTCAAAGGACACGTGGAGAAGCCGTTCTCAATACTGAAAGAAATAAATACAAATTGACGAGCTTTTTTTTATGTTACTTTGCATTTTTCTCCTTCTGAAATTATAAAAATAACTCAAATAGCAGACGTCTCTCTGGCGGAAACGAAATCCGCTGTAATCCTCTGTAGATGTGGAGCAGCCGAATTTTTTTTTTTTTTGCTTTATTGTGCTCAAAAAACGCATACCTTCATCAAAAAATCGAAAATTTCGCAGTTCTTCGGGAGCTTTGTCGAAGATATTTTTAGAGATATTTCCACCGAACTCGATCATAGAATTGAGCGGCTGAGAAAAATAATAAAAGCAAGCTCTCACTTTGCGTTCGCATCGCGTAGTACATAAGGAATCGTCTTTCATCACATTCCAATCACATAAAAATGTTTTTGTGAGATCGGGCTTCAAAATAAGTTCTCCTGTCCCGTTTCTCCTCAAAAGCTTTTTATAACTCAGACAAACCTCAAAAAACCTGGAAAACTCAGTAATTTGCATGACGTCAGCCAAATTTTTGGCTGAAGCTCAAACTTCGCTTCAGCTTTTTTGTTCGTGCTTTCGATACATTTTGGAGCATGTATCTTTGAAACACAGAAATTTTAAACTCTGTAACAGTCTATTTTGAAGTATGCCGCTTAGTGTTTTTAGACATTGAAAAATCCCATTCTGTTCGGGGTTATTCATTACTTTTTGAGATTTGTCAGACTTCGCCCTATGAGCGTGAGAACTTTTTTACGGCAAATTTACTCACGGGCAAATGTTGCGTTTTTCTCTTTTTTTTCCGGCTTTCTCAAAAAAAAGCTTATCTTGCTATCTAAATATTTTCAACGGCTTCACTTAAAATTCACTGGAATATTTTGAACAGGAAGAAAACTTAGAAGATTTTCCAGGTCTCCATAAGAAAGCAACGACCCCTCCCAACGGAGTGTTGCGATCTTTGATAGAGAGAATCTTCCAAAGTTCTGTAAACAGGGGTTTTTTCAAGTTTCTTGACATGGGCTAGTTGAAAGTTCTTATTTCGGAAGCGCGTACGGCTTTTCGGAATTTATTTTTTCTGAATAAGAAAAAAGTTTGTAGGATCTCCTGACATTCGAAATTTTCAAATCTCAGAAGTAGGTTTCTGTTTTCGTCTGCTTTTTCTATCCCAGTTTGATATCAAAAGGAAACGTTTTGTTTTTCTTTGCTCTGAGTCGAAAGAGAGTGCGCGAAATTGCATAGCGACACCAGATTAGCAGGTGATAACAGGGCGCTAAAGTTTTGGAAGTGCTTTGATTTTGCTCAAGACAAGGCTCAAAATTTTTCTAATTATTGAAATTATTTTATAAATTTTCCCTTTTGAGAGCCTTTCCCATAATTATTATATTAGGAAGGGAAAACTCGCTATCTTTTTACAGCGTGATAAAAAGAGAAACTGTTTATCAAGTTTCAAACATAAGGTTACCAACTTTAACTCAGTTGCCAGCTTTTCCAATTTCATGAAAATCGTAAAATTTTAAGCACAAACTTAAATTTCAAGTTTATATGCCCTAAACGTTTCCTACTCGTAAAACTCAAAACTAATATCCGTGGCGACAGGAAAAAATCTTACGATGACGAAGCTTTTCTGCGAAAGGAATGGATTAGCTTCAGAGCACAAATAGAAGAAAAAATTGTAAGGATTTGCATCCATCGCTGTATCAGCTAATCAGCTCTTTTTGACAAGCGAAAGCTTAATCTTTTGTTCGCTAAAAGGTCACTTTTACTAATGCATGGGGGATATTCTCGTCACTTTTTTCCGTCTCTTTCCTTTCCGAAATAGAAAGTCTCGAGGGATTCTGTGAAATAATTCTGACTTCCACTGTCGAAAATATTTTATTAAGTTAAAGAGGGAGTTTTAGAAAAAAATCAGAATTACCCACATCAATTTTTGGAAAGTATAAATACCTTGGTCAATCTTTACTACTGTAACGAGTTCTAGTTGAGAAATTGAAAATCAAAACCTAATATAAAAAACATCAACTTTTCAGGCTTCCGTAGTGTTTCAATGATCAAAAATTATATTTTTCTCTTGTGAGGTCTTCCATTTAGCTGCAAGCCTCCTAGAAGCCCTAAATGAGTATTGAAACCGCATTTTCCATTGAAGACAAAAGTCGATATATATTTGGCAAATTGGTTCTCGTAGTGTGGCGGCGGCGCGATTAGCGGTGACGTATGTGCGCTGCAAGTCTTACTTTGTTCATTTATTTCCTTGAAACAATGAAATTGCGTTTTGAAAGGCTCGACACTGCATTTGCTTCTTCAAGCTCTTCCGAACACTAAATACCAAAAACAGAAAAAAAGTTTTTCAGCTATTTTCTCTTTCCTTTTTTTCGACCAATTCATGTATTGATAAAAAAATGCTTGTTTTTTTGTTCAGATAATGAACCAAAAACAAAAACTAATGAAAAAGAAAATGAAGGGACACGAGATTATCGGCAAAAAAATTTACACCGCTCGTTCTCATTTCCGGGCTATTTTCCATGATATTCCTCGTTTTCACCCTATCAGATCATAGTTTCAAAATTTTTTTGCGTTCAACTTTTCAAAAGTATTACATGAATCCAATTTCTAGTACGTATTGTTGCAAGTTCTTTTTGAAAAATCTTCATCTTTTAAACTTTAGTTAAATAACTTTTATGGTTAAATCCCAATACCTGAACTTTGATTAAAAAAGCATTAGATAAATAAAAGTGTTGAGAAGATTTCCCACGCCTACAGAGAATTTTGTTTTGACACGTTCAAATGGCCACAAACAGAAAAAGGCATGAATTTTTTTACTTAGTCAAATTTTTTTCCTAAATATCTATTTTCCAAGTCGGATTTGATAACTTCAGGGATAATTCACCCTTTCAGAGCAGTCACAGCTAGAAATCTCTGACAGAACCTGGAACATTTTAAAAAGTTTGAAGGATATACATCTCTATCTTCAACCAATAGCCAACGTTTGGAAACAAAAAAAGTTTTTCATCTGGATAATTTTAATCAGTCACGTATCACGAAAAGCCCTACTGTACAAAACAATCAAAATACGTTTATTTCTCCAACGAAACTGTGCATTGATTTTTTTCCAAATTTTCACGTTTTGATGATCAGAACATCATTTGGAAGCTCATTCCATACATCAAACTTTGTAATACTCACAAGTGAATTAATATTTTCGTTAGAGGCTGCAGGAAATTGCCTGGAAAAAAAGAGTTACTCAGTTCCCTTACGTTTTTGAAGTTTATTATTAGTTTTTTTTCTGTGAAATTCTAACCCTGTTGAGAGACACACGTATCTCTTTTGAAATTCACATCATTTCAAAATGATTTCACTATTTCAGGCTCTCTTTCTCTCAAAGTTCGTGGAATTACGAAACTTATTTTCAAAGTCTTTTGAAGTTGCAAACAACTCGACTTTTCTTGAACCTTAAGCGCCTTGATGAGTGCGCCATGTGGGCCTCGCTAGACGGCAATGGCCTATTAAAAAAAAGTGATGAGCGTAGAACGACATTTCTACTCGTTTTTTTTCAGCAAACTTTACCTATCTATTCTCTGGAGAAAAATTTTCACCTTATTGTTTGACACTATTTTTTGATATATTGAACGTCTGAAACTGAGAAAATCACAGAGGCCTGCCTAAAGAAAAAAGCCGGCTGGAAGTTGAAATGCTTCACTGACGAGGCCCATTTTCGGTGCCCGGTTGAACTTTTGATCAAACTTGGCTGATATGAACTTGCAGGGTCACCAAGTTCCAGAACAAGAATAATAGTTCTCGCATTCGATTTTGTTAACGAGCTATGTAGTTTTAAGCCTCACAAACGTGTTTTATCTATTATTTGAATAATTTCCAATTTTTAATGTCTATCCCTCGAAAACAAAACTTATTGCAAAAAATTTTTTCTTGCTCTGAAATCAGTAGGTCTTAAAATGCAGTTTCGTCAAGTTTTATCAGAACTTCTACCGGGGGTCAAAAAACGTTCCCTAACGAGGTGAATGTTCTTATCCACTTTTGAACACGGACTTTTGTATCTGTCGTTCATCAGTTTTCTGTCAACTAATCCACATTTTCTCAGGGAATCACTGATGTTGAAAAAAACAAAGAACAGATGAAAGGCCTTTTCAATATACTTCGATTCAGAGCCAGAAATAAAAAGATCTGCGCTTTCAGAAGCAGTCTTACCAGACAATATCCTCATGAATTGAGAGAAGGAAAATTGAGAGTTCATAAATCGGAAAGCTTTGAGTGTTATTGGGCAAGGGTTATCCACTTATTCCGATACGGGGATTATGCTTCTCGGTTCCTGAGTTTTTTTCCACATTGCTTAATCCGGCGCCTCGCAAGTGAGTGTGTATCTCTGTTTGGGGGACATTTGTACCAAATCAAATTTCTTCCTCTTGAAGATGAAAAATTGCGAGCTCATATATCTTTCAGGGCGAGCTCTTCGTTTTCGATCCTTTCTTTGTTTCATTCATTTATTTTCACTTCTAAAAAGGAAACTTCAAAGAAAATTCAAAGGCATTGGATCATGGTTTTGTTTTTTTGAACTTCAACCTTTTATTGGTTGAAACATTTTTAAAATGGTCCGAGTTCGAATATTTCGACTCAGAAATCCTTCAACCAAAAAGTTCTTTCACATTGATGGATTTTTTTTTGAAAAAGGTCTCGCGGGTTCAATCTGCTATCTGCCGCAAAATGCTCGAGTGTCATTTCGAACAAACTACATATAATTTACTCGTTTGAGAAAAAAGAAATGCAAAGTTATAAAATGTTTTTTTCGTATACTAATCCATTTTTTGTCTTGATTAACTTATCGAACATCTTTTCAAGTCAGCAATCAAGAAAGACCGGGGTCGCAAAACTTTTAACAACCTAAACTCTCTTCATTTCTGAAAAAAGCGAACCATTTTCTTGACAGCAAAACAAAGTACAGAAAAGTATTTTTTTAGCTTTGCGGCTCGACGAGTGCTCTCGACAAGCTGAGAAGCGACGGTTTTGCCACGGAGGTTGAACGTCGTCGTGCGCACAGTTTCGGTGCCGCGATGGAACGTGAGAGACCAGCGACGGACCGTTTTCACTGCGTCGATAGAGCGCACTGTTCCGCCGTTCATGCTCACTTTTCTCTTCATGCGTCGTCACCCTCGCCCAGCAGACAGCGACCTTCTCTAGGAGGTTTCGTCTAAATTCTTTTCGGATAAAGCTCACATCGCCCCTACCGTACTCCTTAGAATTGATCAATCCTGGCGCCCGGCGACAATCCTTGATTAACGCTTCATTTTTTTCGTCCATCAGCTAAAATCCAAAAAAAAATGTTAATTTTCTGAAAACCAGCCAAAACTCAACATTTCAACCTGCACAACTTTCCAGTTTTCAAGAAGAAACATACTAAAATCCATAATAAATATTTATCATAATTTTTTTGGAAAAAGGTTATTTTGGGATCCTTTAGTTCTTGTAAAGAACCTTTAGTTCTTGTAAATTAAAAAGTTGTTAAGGATAAAAACTGTATTTCTACTTTCAAGTACATCAAGGAATCTTTTCGCCGATGCTAGAAAAATCTCAATTTCAGAGTAAAATGACCTGTTCTGGGAAAGTAGACATGCCTTAATCTTTTTTAAGTTCTGCCCTTCAGATGGCTCATTTATATCAAATCAAAATTTTTTGGGGTTTTTTCACTGGCAATTCAAACAAAAAAAAGTTTTCAATGAAGATTTATAACGTAAAATTTATTTGAGATGGGTTCATGAAGAAAAAAAACACAAGAAACGTGTCGAATTAGAAATTCCTATCCAGGAAACTACTCTCATTCATTCAATTCCGTCACAAAAAGATGAATTAGAAGGAGGTTGAGAGAATACTAAATAAGATTGATTCTGACAGCATCTTTTGTTCATTAGACGCAGTTTTCCAGCAAATTCTTTTGAGTTCGATGTTTTTTCTCTTATTTTTATATTCCTCTGTTAAGCTCTGAGAGAGTTATGAGATTTTTTCATAGCAAATACGGAACTGTGAAATGCTGAATACGACATGATAAGTATTTCTTCTCAGGACAATCACTGGACGCTGCTAATATCCGTCGATTTCTTAGCGACAAACGTCGCCGCTATCACAACCGTAGTTTGGTAAGAACATGTTAATTATCAAGATCAGAAAATAAATTCAGGGACCTACAATTGCATCTGCCCCTTCTGTCGAGCAGGAAGATTACCGTACACCGAAGCCGTCTTTCGATAAGAATGGAGGCAAAAGTTTCGACTTTTGTGGTGTCCCGTCCGGTTCGATAGCCAGCGACTCAAATGGGCTTGTTAAAGTTAGTTTTTGAGACCTTACCACCAAGAAAAGTTTGGAAATTGGCTTGAAACCATTTCGATTTACAATTGAAGCATCTATCAGCCGCAAGTTTCAAAAACTTCAAATTTTAGAGAATAGACGTTTCGTAGCGCGAGTTTCTCTCCTAATTTCCAGAAAAGCCGTCTTTTAAATATTCAATCATTTTTTATGGAGTATGACAGTTAAGTAAACTAAGACTTTCAGGCTCTATCTGCTATTTTAAAGTGCATTTGAACAAATTTGAAAAAATGCGAGAATTCAAAATAAATTTTTTCCTATCACACATTGATCATGGAGTCTACGAAAAGAAAAGCAAATCTTATACATAGCTCACTCATATCCCCAACATCATTGTTGGTTGCTTTTGACGCTGGTTTCCCTCTTGTTCTTCTTCAGTTTCCTAAACGCGGCGAGAGCGAAGGAAGGTCGCCAGAACTCTTTGTTTGTCGCCATGAAGAGCCCACACTCTGAATAATTAAGAACTCATCAAAGCTATCAGAATGATGTAAATTATTGGCCACTTCCCATTTGCAGGGTGAGAGGAAAAATGATGAATTTTTTCAACTGAACCACAGCTCACCTTTGCTTTCTGTATTTGAATTTCGTGTTGAAACATTGGTTTTGAAAAGTGAAGGAAGCAATTTTCAAGCGAGAACAATGAGGAGGAAGGAACTGGTAGTCATCTGCGCCGACATGATCCTCTACACGGAAGGAAAGACCTTCCTGAGTAATTGCCATCAGGAGAAATCTCTTCCGCACAATGTGTGGCAGGAAACGGGCCATGTCTGTTGTTTTCCGTTAAGATTCTCTCTTCCAGTTCCCAAAAGCCAAGGTCTTGTTAATTTTTTCTATTTGAAATTTTTAACAAATTCCAATTTCACTTTCTTCAACTTCTTCATACATGCGAAAAAATTATGTTTCTGTCCATCTTCGAATCTCAAAAAAATAAAAGTCTTGTCTTCCCAACGTCTTCCTCAGGAAAATCGTTTCTATCCATCTTCTTTTAATTGTTCACCAGTTTGCTGCAAGTTCGACTCCCAGAGGGATTAATTCATTCGAATCTACTGTTATCTGCAACTTGTACTCTTGCTAGAAGTTTTTTTCAGCAATAAATTTCGAGAACTCGATTTCTCACGCTTTTTACCCTGAAACTTTCCCTAATTTTTCTTCCGAATAATCCTTTTGCCACCGACCGCATCAAAACTTATTTTTTTGGCACAAATCTTTTTTCTCAGAAAGCTTCCTGGGATTTCAGAAGAGCCAAGACTTTTAGAATCAAAAACTGTTCTTAGTGTTTGAACTACGATCAAATATTAGGAAATGCGGTTTTTGTTGCAATTATCAACCTGAAAAACATTGAAAGTCTTAGCAAACGTTCGTATCTGACTTTCGAAACACATCCTGTTCACAAACTGTCCAATATTTTGATTACCTCGTTCCTTAAAAGCTTGAATTTTGATAGTCGTTGCATTAGCGCAGTGAGCTATGAACAATCCGAAAAATGAATTCCAAAGAATCAAATCATATCAAACCAAATTACTAGATGAAATCAGGTTTTTCGCTGTCTTTTCTACTTGAAAAATTTATTCGTTTGTTATAGCTATTCATTCAACTTTTTTCCGCGACAAAAAAGGAAACTTCAGGTTTCTTAGAAATTTTAAAAATGATGTCTATAAAACCACTCCATGTTTTATGAAATCGATATGATACAAACCAAACGAGCACATCACTAGTTAATATGCCGGATGAAAGGTCTCTGCAACTCTTTGGTTCTGCTCTCTCTGAATATTGGATGCAAAACGAGACCGAATAGTTGCGCTCAGTTGTGGGAGAACTCCTTCGGTCTCTTCTTCCCTTTTTTATAGACTTGATTACTTTTTCTACATAATGAACTTAGAAAACCAAACTAAGAATGAAATGTGAATAAAAAAAACTTAGTCACAACTGTTCGATCTCTCTTTATTCTCGAGTTCAAAAATGTGACATCTCCGTTAGACTATATTTCTCCCGTGAGTCATTAGTAACTGTAAAACTTCCGAAAATGAAAATTAAATTTTTTTGTTGAAATGCGAACTTTCGAAGTTAAATTCAAAAAGTATATAATTTCTCACTAAAAGCTGAATATTCTCTCATAATGAAAAAAAAAAACGCTCATAACTTTTAATATTCGCCTATGCCAGCCACCGCTGTCCTGACATTGTAACGTGCAAAAAGAAATGCCGTAAATCCCCCTCAATATTGTCGTTTCGGAGCATTTGATGAGTAGGACCTTTACTTTTTTTTCTTTTCCGCTGTTGTTTTGGGTTCTTTTTAAGTTTGCCGACGATCTTGCATTTTCAAATTACTCTGCACCTGTTCAAAAATGAAATCATAAACTGGAAAAGATTTCATTTTTTTCTCTCGATTTTTACGAGTAGTTTGGTTGTTTGTGGCTTCGAACTCATGACCAAAGACATAAATTTTTTGAGAATTCATTGCTAAAAATGACGCTTGGACATCTCCTGACGTCGTTATCTTTTCGGATATGCACCAAAAGTTGAGAAATTTTCCACTCCGAACGCTTTAAGATGAAACCCGATTCTAGAGAAATGCGCAATAGTCTGAGAAGGCTCACGTCGTCTAGCCCCTGAAAATCCCAGAAATGCTGATTTATCTCTCGGCCCCTTCATCCATTTTCCGGCAGAAATTCAGGCTTTTATTTTTAGTGACGCTTCAATTAACAAGTTGATTCTCATTTTTGCTTCCAATTTTTTTCTAAGTTTTCTCTTTGGAGTCGTGGCTGTGAAATTATATGAAACGTTTTTTTCCAAATCATGTACTTCAATCCCTGCTACTGGAAAACGTTCCCATGCATAATTTCTAACAAGCAACGCTTCTGAAACCTAATACGCAATGGAATCTAATAGTAGAATTTGATGAGGCTCACTAAAACAAATGCTCGTTTCATATGAACTTCGTTTGGCTTTTTATTTCCGTTTCAACTTTTAAAGCTTGTTCATGTCGATATCGTGAAACCGCTCTTTTGCAGATCAACTGGCGAGAAATTAAAGAATAAAAACAAGAGGCTTCTCAGAGTTTGGTCTACCTTTTGTAAATGCTCAAGCCGGTGGAGCTAAAATTGCGTAATTCAAATAACAGTAGAAGGAGAGACTCGAGCTTACAAGAGGTAACAGAGTTACTTGAAATTTGAACTGGTTGAAATGTTTTATAACGTGCGATGGGGAAATGTTTTTCAAAAAAATGGAGAAAATACTTTTCAGAGTCTCAAATTTTCAGGTGTCGGCGGATTTTCTACGTCTGAATGGCAGCCGACAGCAGTTCAAAAATCTACTTTCTGCTCGTAAAAAATTGGGCTCATTGCCACCTGCCTACACGCGAATTGACTACAGCCGAGAGTCGCTCGACTCAGGTAATCGGAATCGTATCGAAACTTTCAAGACGGAAATTTTGGATAAAAGTTTTGTTTCATTTGGCTCAAAAAAGAACCCAATTTACGTGAATCGCGCTCGAAAAGAGAATTTTGAACGATATAATTACAAAGCCACAGGTTTTCTAGCACTTGAGATTTTTTTTGAAATGAAATCAAAATCAAGCAACGGAAACGTGAAGGAACGTTTTTTGAAACTGTTGAAAACAAATTGAAAAAAACTGACCATTGGGACTTGAATTTTATTCAGAATTTCTGATAAATTTTTTTTTCTTGCAATAGATCATTCTGATGTTTCCCGGAAACTACTCCTTCGGTGTTTTCAGCAAAACCGGAAAGATTTCAGCTCGCGGAACGCCGAATCATGGTCCGGTAATCACAGTCGAAGACACCGGCTCTCAGTTGCGTATCAATCACGTGAAGTCAAGCCTGACTCAGAGTTTGCTCGAGTCGCAACATGGATCATTCGACAAGATCCCACCGCAAGGCTTGGGCAAGCTCACCAACTCGAAAATTGCTGATAAGACCCTTTGCAGCTATAACTTTCTGTGAGAGCAATGGGTCGGCAACTTCTCATCATACGGCGAGCGCGTTTCGACGCAATAATAGCCGGTAGGATCCCTGCTGAAATGAACTCTGAAACACCTCATTTCTTTGACATTTAACCCGGGTTTATTCAGTCTGCAGTCAAAATTAGAAGTGAATTGAAAGTACATTCATTTTGAAGGCGACAAAAGTTTTGGATTAGGACCAGGTACTAAAATGAATCTCCACAATTTTCAGCAGACCAGTTTTATATTCGAATTGAATTCTTTGAGAATGGACTGTGAAAGGATTGCAAAAGAAAAAAATTTTCCTAGTTGAATATACTTTCAGTTATGGCGTTCCGATCGACAGCAGCGCCGTCAAACTCGTTTACAGAGTTCGATCTGAGAGGCTGAACAACAGGTTTTTTACTTTTTTTTCCCGAAAGCTTATAAACACTTTCCAGAGTTCGTATAACTGACCGATCGTTGTTCTTCGCCTTACTTGGAATTTTGCTAATGTTTGTCGAGTCTGAATTGACAGCCCAACAAATTTTTGGAATAGACAAGGTTTTTCAGAAAAATGCTGAATTCTTGAAGATGATCTTGATTTTTCAGTCCAGCTTAGCGTCTATTTTCCTGCGTTCTTCCGTCGTTCTGAGCACGATTGCTCTACTGTATCACATTGTCCTCTATCATATCAATGACATTGTTGTTAGTTCTTTATCTCCAAAATAGGCATATAATCAAAGTCTAGTGCAAAATGAAATGTTTAAGCTCGAACTAGTCGACTGTGGAGCAGATGATTGGAGAGTGGTTGTTACAATGGAACGAGCCGTTCAGTTCTTGGTCGAGTTTGTTTTCTGCGCGATTTGCCCGTTTCCAGGTGATTGAAAAATAATTTTTTTGCAAAAAAATATTCGAATATAAATTTTTTTCTCGTGTAATTTTTTTATCCGAGAAGTTGGAAAAAAATCAAAAAAAGTTCAAAAAGAGGACATAATTTTTTTTTGACTCAAAGGTGAATAATTTAAACGATTCGTTGTCTTTTAGAAACTCAGACGTTTGTTTCGGTTCTTAGTTTGTCCTTGAAAAATCTGGATCAATATTCATAGGCAAGAAAACTATGGGGATTTTCTGTCCGACCAGTGGAATTCGAATCCAGGGGAATGAGATAAAACAGGAAAAAAACACGGATCTTTTTATAGAAGGATTGAAATGACCAAAAGCTTTACAGGCACCGGTACCATGCAATGGTCATTCATAACCTCATCCCTTCATGTTCCTCACGACAACATGAGTCCAGCTTTTCAAACTCGCGAGGTTATTCAGATTGAATAGCAAACATGGAACAGCATTTTCAAAGTTTTGATAAGAATAAGTTTTCAACTCAAACGTGTATCGGAATTCTATTGAAATGACTATTTTTAACGTGGAAGCTTGATTGAGAGACAAATCCACCTTCTGAGGCTCCCATTATAGAAATATTTTGGCAGGTTCCGGTTGATGTCATTCTTTCTTGTGCGATGCTTCTACGTTGCTACCTTTTTGCAAGATTTATGGTGCTCCACAGCAAGCAATTCCAGGTAATTTCGGCATGGAAAATTTAACTACTGTTACTCACGAACTTTGCTTCTCTAGGACGCTTCGACACGAACTCTTGCGGCTTTGAATCGTATTCAAGTCAACTTTTCGTTCGTTCTCAAAACATTCCTCGACCAACAGCCTGTCCTTTTCCTCACAATGTTCACTTTCGTGTTTTGGATCACCATGTCATGGATATTTGTTCAATGCGAAAGGTAACTGCCCCAACCATGTTGAAATGTATTCAAAATTCAGATACGGCTTTCCGAATAAAGACGCGAACGTTATAATGTACTCTAATGCGCTTTGGTTCATAGGTTTAGATTTTCAAATTTTTGGGATGAACTGGACATTTAGCTATAACATTCATGCTGAACGGTTATGGAGACATTGTGCCGCAGACACATTTGGGAAGAATCATTGCAATATTTGTCGGAGTTGTGGTGAGTTCAATTTTTCAAATAAAAAACAAAGGAAGGTGTTAGGACCTAATAAAAAAAATGAGGCGACGTCAAGCTAACTTCCATTAGATTTGCCCAGTCAGAGAACGGCTTGCGCGTGATGACGTGAAAGAGCGGCTTTAAGCGGATAAAAGGAAAATATCACACATTAGTTGTTTCATAAAAAGTTGGTATATTCTTTAGAGGCGTGTCTGACTCCATTTACTAAAGTTTTCTAAAATCTGAACCTTCTCATTGTGGGCAGTTAGGATCAGAAGACATTCAACTGGTAGAACTACCTAGTTTCAAACACAGATGCCTCAAAGTTTTGGTTTCTAGCAAAGAGCCTGAAGGACCACAAAGGCGAAACATTCCGGTTGTGGCTTGCAGCCCGTTCAAAATTAACTTTCTTTTGGAATTCGAAGTTTTCCAGAAAACCTGCTCTTACTGAGGAGCCTGGAAAAGATTTTCGGAAAAAGTAATCATGTGATAGAGTTTCTAGCTACCCAAGCGCTTTCGAAACAATGAAAATCCATGAGCCTAGTCTTGAATAACGCATTAAATATAAAAAAGACCTTTTTTAGGGAGCTATAATTTCGTCTATCCTAATTGCGGTCATTTCGCGCAACATTCTATTGTCCCAAGGCCAACGAAACGTCAACAATTTCATGCACGACAGCAAATTAACGAGGGAGCACAAGAACGCCGCAGCAAGGGTAAAATGGAACGGCCGAAAAAAAGATCAAATTTTCCTTTTTAGGTTCTCCAATATACTTGGAGGATACACAAGTGCTTGGCGGGATCCGAGAATGGCGATCGGAAACTGAGAACCTATCAGCGCAAGTTCTTGCGTGCTATCCATGCGTATGTTTTGATTTTTCTTTGACTTAACACTTGATTCAACTGACTTAGACATTTTTTTGCAGATTCCGCTCGATAAAAAACGAAATGCGTGTATTTGGAGAGAACAACTCGGCCAGCACCCAACAAGTCACCAGGGTATGATTAAAGTTTCCACCAATTCACGCTCAATTTTTTTCAGCTTGTTGCTGAGATGCATAGCTCGATGCAGAAGCTTGTAAATGCCCAAGAAGAAATGCGGGCTCAGATCGATGTAACTGAAAAAAAGATGATTTCAAAAACATGTAGCTGATTCAGGTTCTCCAAAGAGCCGTTCGAAATCACTACCCGCCGACAGCTCCTTACACCAGAGACAGCCCGAAAAGGTGACAAAAATCGAGATTAGAGTGTACTCAGTTTACCGCTGACTTTAAATTGAAAAAACAGCAAAGAACTCTTTATTTTGTTTCGTTTGTACACTGTTGCATTGTTAAATCTAATCTAATTTTACAGACAATCTTCGAGAGGAAACTCTTCTCCATTGGCTTATGAAAACTATCACTACTGTCCCAATGACCAATTCGACTCAAATTAATCATGTCGTAAAATTAATCATCACCTCGTTTCGTCTTTTTTTTTTAAAGTCATTTTTTCATCAAAGTAGATTGTCGTTTTTTGGGTTGACGCTTGTATCTATGCACTACACGGATTGTGATAAGAATATACATGCTTAAACTGCACCCGAGTGTTTCTTTTCCCGTATAATATTTTTCTAAATATGTTTGTTTCCAAGCCGCGGAGTCTCGCATCATTTTAGTTTGACTACCAAAACAATCTCATCAAAAGTCAACATTCATTCACAAGTTAACGGAAATAAATTTTAAAAAAATTCGTTCATTTTATTCTATTATTTACAAACAACATCGAAAAAATCACAACGGCACTCGATTTCGGTTGAGCTGCTCCACTGTAAACTTCCGTTCCATTTTCTGGGTTTTCTTGGCAACATGGAAAAAGGTGACGGTCGCCAGAATTGAAGACACCAAAAGAATGCAGGTGTAGTGATAAATTGTCATCTTTGAACTCAAAAACAGCAGAACTGATCCTCCAAGAGCCTGCAAAATTATTTGATTCGAAGCAACCATATTTCTTTTAACGCTAATTTGAAACGAAAATGCAATGTTTGCGTTTGAATCTATACTTTTTTAACAATCTTTCGCTGATTATATCGCACTTCTCATAAATTATTTCGAAGAAAACCTAGGGGAGTATCTCCGAAAATTCAAAGGTGAAAACGGACTTGATAGAACTTTGAGATGGAAAACGTCTGAGCTCTGCGATCAGGCATTACTATTGCGCAAATCACAGTTCTGACGTTGTTTAGAGCCGAATCAGCTAAGCCGATCATCAAGGCGATCAGGAAGACAATAATTCGGCTGGAAGAAATTTCAATCCCAGAGTAACCATTGATTTTTGAACTTTGGTTGAAACAAAAGAGGAAGCTGTGCAGTGGGCCTCATCGGAGAGTCGACGGGAGTTGAAACGGTGATCAGTAATATCGTTAAACACGCCAAACTGCATCCGATGGTCATGGTCGGTTGAAGTCCAAAGTCCTTCTTACGCTTGCTCATTGAAGCGATGAAAAATCCCACTGGAAAATTGAACAACTTGTCAGAAAATAGAAATGAAACTCACTAATAATCTCTCCCGTTCCAACGCCTACACTATATATGGCAGGAAGATAAATTTTCTCCGAAAGATTAATATTGAAAGTGAGAGTGGTAGGGTAAACGGAAAGCCAGAAAGATGTCCATAAACCAAGGTTCACAAAAACAGCAGAGAGTAGCATGGTTTTCCTAGAGGAAAATGCCGAGTACATTCTGTCTATAACTTCTTTGTGTTATACAGTTTCACCTTTTTAAAACTAACGCATTTGTTCAATGAAAGTCGTTTTATTCTTGTTTCTTCCTTCGATGCAATTGTCCACTTCCTTTGAAGGCATCACTAAGAAAGTGATGTTTGCGAAAATTGTCACCGCAGCGAATGCGGCATACATAAGGAGTCTGAAAGTCGTACATAATTAATTTTCGTGGAAAAGGTCCCACATTTCTTTATCGCTGAAACTTCTTTCTTTCTCTTCGGTGAATGGAATCGTTGAGTTGAAATTCAACGTATCGTTCAAATAAATTCCATGGTTACTTCCACTAGCAGAGGTTAGAGCGAAAACGAGGGCCAAGATGCCACCTCCGAGCAGCATACTGCAGGATGCATTGCTTTTTTTTGAACATTTGATAGAAAGATCAACCATAAACAGCCGATGCTCCAAGCAATGGATGAATTAGCTTCAATTGTATTTCGTGATGAATGTGAAGTCAAATACCCTCCGTGACCGGTATAAAACACTGAATTAATTAACATTTTCAGAGAATTTCTGGTCAATAAACTTTTTTTCTTTTGAAAAATATTTGAGAAACGGCTTCGAAATCCCCTTTTCAAATAAAAAGCTTACATGCGAACCCGACGCCCATCAAAGCGCTAGTGATGTAGTAATAATAAGAATTCAGAAAGAAAAATCCAATCTGAAATAACGTGTAGCACAGGGATCCCAGGAACAAAGTCATTTTTGGGCTGAGATAGTTCAGAAGAGATGGCGTAAAAATGGTTGCGATCATGTAGGTTCCCCAGCAGACGGCTTGCCTGAAAATGACCAACCTGTCAGGAAATGACTTTCAAAGCAAACCCATAATAGCCTGCATATTTGCTGATAAGTCCAGGATATCTTTCATTGACGGAATGAATTACCGATTCCAAAATGAAGGACTGAAACAACGATATTTCTAAATTCATTCTCTTAGAATGGAGTTAATTTTGTTTTTGGTGAAGGAATAATTAATTGGAAAGAATAAAATCTTTTTGAAAAAATTTCTGTAATCGATTTACGTGAGGGTACCTCGAAAAGTTCTTTCAGTAATAAAATTCATTTCGTTCTTTGGAATGTTTGAAAGTGTACAGCCTTCCCGTCAAATCTCAAAAGAAAACTTTGGAAATGATCTTGAACTTGAAGAAAGCTTATATTGAAACATTAAAAAAGGAATCTGCAGCGGCTTGGAAGACACTTGGTAAGTAAGAGAAAAACTCAATCTATGTTGAAAATGACTACAGTAGACTACCTGAGTATCGTATCCGGTCATGATGCACATCTGTCCGACGCCCAGGAGCACGATACAAAGTAGCTCAAATCTTGACGAAGCCATTTTTCGTCCACTCAAATGGCTAGGATCAACATTTTGAAGTCTTTTCGTTCTTTTATAAAAGAGTAAAAAAGATTTGCATTTTGATGGTTCCGAAAAAAAAGTTGTACTGAATCGTGAAAACTAATGCAAATTTTGAACTGAGTGCAAATTCGATCCGGTTTCCAGAATTGGGATGGACCAAAGTTTGCCGGTTTTTTTTGTTTTTTTTTGTCCCATAGGGTTTACGGATTGAATGTTGAAAGTTGCCCAAAAAATTCACAAAACGCATGTTAATTTTCAACAAAATGCAAATTCGATCTGGTTTTGTGGGCGCTCTTTTTGCAATTCTTTTCTTCATAAAGTGCAAAGAACAACTTTATTGAGCAAGAAATAAGGCAAAACTGTAGTAGGGCGTATTACACATTATGCTAAATTACAACCGCTAGCTTTGAGATTGTAGAAGGGAAATGAGAGAAAAGGTTATCACAAAAATGATAAAAACCAGTTGAAAAATCACAAAACAGAAAAATAAAATGAAGAAATTCTGAATTTTCTGGAAGCATTTTTGATGGAGCAACATTTAAACGACATAGCTGAAGACAGGTGATGTATCAATGACAGGGGCGTTGCAGAGGAAAAGTAGTCTGAAACAAGCGAATTTACCGAAAATCAGTCACTAAAAGCGGGAAACATACAGTAGCTCACACGTACTTTTCGTACCATTTCTTCGGCTTGGCCCGGAAGAATTTCTAAAAATTTGCGTCTCTTTCTCCCTGTTTTGAATTAAAAAACCTCATCGATGAACTGACACAAGCAGAGTTGACTTTTGCAGTGTTTTGGGGTATAGTCGGAAGTTCCATGGGTCGGTTTTGTGGGGAAAACGTTTCTATGCTGGAAATCAGTAATTGATTTTAACCAACGTCAGTTTTATTTACCTTAACCGTAGACTTCACGAAATCTTGGGCGTATTTCAACACAAGTTCGTAAGCTTCCTTGTCAGCCTAAAGTGGAGGTTTAAAAAACATTTTCTTTTTTAAATGACCTCCTCTGTTGATATTTGGTCTGGTGAACTGCCAAAAATACACCCGCCAGTTCTGTTGATTCTAACTTGTCGAGCTACATCAGCCATACATTCCACGATGTTGAACCGCATGAAATGAAGCTGAATAATAATTTTTTAGACATATAAAAAAGATTTTCGCACAGTGACTTTGTGACAGCTTAACTGGCCTTTATCCTCAACGCCGATCAGCAAATGATGTCGAAGAAGGACCTTATTAGCGCCTTCCACGCAATGCCTCACGCCAACTCTTATCTGGAACCAGTTTTAACAATTTTTTTTATTTCCTATTTGAGTCACAAGCTTAAAATTTTGTAAATTTGCCTAAAAAAATTCTTTGATGGTTGAGATTGAGAATTCTCACGAGGAAAGCCATTTTTATTTGTAGTTGAAAATTTCCTGAAATTTTGGCCAGAACACTCTTTAATATGAAGTATCGAGATTCTGAAAGTCTCAACCTGCACAGTTTCGAAGATATAAAAGTTCAACGCCCCGAACTAGCTTGTTTCAATAAATTTCAAAAGGTTTGTTTGACTTTGGAGTGCCCTCGTTCAAAAATTAGGAAGCTGTGTAGGTTGGGTTTTTCAAGAGCTTTAATTTTAATTTATTTCCAGACAACTGGATAATAGATTTTTTACGAAATGCGAAACAAAATGCTTTAGTTAAAACTGCAAACCTTTTTGCGAAGCACTGCACAAACATAGATTCCGACAAACAAAACCACCGTCCAAACGAGACAAAATATCATTACAGGCCAACCTCCGCGCGACTGAGATAAAAGCACAGCTATAAGAATTAAAATCGACACCGCCATCCAAATTCCAATCATTCGAGAGTAAATGGTGCAGTACCTTCAATTAAAAACGTAATGATGCTTTTAATCATTTCTACTCACATTTTGAAACGAATATCCTCAATGATCGCCTTCATCGCTGAGATGAAGTCCTCTGGAGGTAACTGAAACATAGTTGAATTTTTATCGAGCTGTTGTGACAAACCGTGGGTTCGTCTATAGCCAATATGGATGGCATACTATGAGAATCATAGTTCGGTGGCGTTACCCAGTCACACGTCAAATTTTCTGGGTAAACCGTTGCCAGTATTTTTCCGTTCACTGAAAACGTGGTTCATTTTTAATTTTTCAAATCTTCTCATGCTCTCAGAGAAAAGTGCTCCCTGTTCGCTCAGGTGTTTTTTTTTTCAATAATTTCTTTTGTTTTTTCTCACAAGGAAAGCGTGTGAGGTAATCATCGCAGATCTGATAAAATTTTCTTTGTTAGACATTCTTAGGTATGAGTACTCAAAAAAATCAAAAATAAATATTTGCACAGAGCAATTTTTGTTTTCAGATAATTATTTTTTTGTTTTCGAATAATCATACCTGGGACTAGCTACCATAGAAGTTTTGACCATACCTGCAATGCTTATCTCACACACTTCCCTCGTCAAAATTATGTGATCGAAATGTGTAAAAGTTTACCTCATTCCTTATTTCAGAGCTCTCAAAAATACGTTCAATTGCTCTTTGAAAAGCCAGTTAAAAATCCAGATGACCTCAATCCGCAGTTTTCCTATTTTTTGATGAAAATTTAATTCTCAAAAAAAAGCTTCAAGAAATTTTAATATTTTCTGTGAACCGGATTTTTTTGTAATTTTTCATTGAAAAGTGAAAAAAAAATGGTGCCAGTTGCAAGTTTAACATTTTTCGTTTGCTTTATGTAAAATGACCATCTATGCCAACCAAATTCGCCATTTTTTTTCCAAAATAAGTTGGACTTACCATTTATAGGACACGCGATGATGCTTGGTGGACTGATTAATGAAGCAGCACGTTGTAAATGTGAAGGATCTGAAGAAAACGTCAAAAAAAAATTATGGAAAGTCATCCCACCCAGTAGAATTTTTGCGCTTTCTCTTATTTTTGTAGAATCGTCCCTAGCAACTTTAATACTGTTGTGTATTGAAATACTTTCCACGGCAGGAACAATTGTAGAACTGCAGAAGAATTTATTGAAAGAAAAGAAAATTGGAAAAATCTCACACAGGCTTCTCGTTCAAAGGATCATGAAGAGGTAGCTCGTCAAACTTCTCCCAGTCTTTCGGATCTAAATTATTCTTTATATATGACTTCCCAGCTTTTTTTCACTTACCCGGTTCATTTGGAGGAGGATCAGCTTTTTTTGGTCCATCCTGGAAGATTTTTCTCTCAGTTAAGAGGGTAATAAATAAAAAAATAGTTCATACGTAGATAAACTTTGAACAAATAAAAAAATCACTATTCATCAAAAATTTATTAATAAAAACAAAAATAACAAAGAAAGAAAAACAATAAAAAATTATTGAGTAGAAAAGTTTTTGGGGAAAAAGTTCACACAAGCCTTTACAAATAAAAACTGAACTGAAAAAAACAGTTGAAAAATTCTGATATAAAATTGATAGAAACAATCAAAAATTGAAAAACAGGATGTTAGAAGGTAGTATATTCAGCAGGTGGCTCTTTTTAAAAGATGGACTATTGAATCATTGAATAACCAGCACTTATGAAACTAATGAAGAATTAAAACGAAATCTTTCTAATGAAAAGTAGCCTGCAGCTAGTCTTTTTTCTGGGGTAATTATTGCAGAGAGAAGCTCCAACGCCTTTCGTCAATCAAATGGTTCTCAATTTCTTCAACAAAAAAAATTCACTAGCACAGAAACTGGTTCGAAGGATGAAGTCTGCAAAAAAAAACTGATGCGGGATTTTTTTCATAGTTTTCTGCATTACTTTGTCTCGATCTGGGTCATGAACCCCAGAAGGTTTTTTTCGTAAAGTAACAGTAAGGTTGGGAAAAAGTGCGCCTTGTGTCTTTCCTGATCGGTGATGAAATTTTGTATTAGTACATCCAAACATCTTTTTTTTTTAGCAAAACGGCCGAATTTCTAATAAACAGTGTAGAGCCAAAAAGATGTACCTCACACTTTTATAAGCAAGCTGAAGAGAAATTCCGTCAAAATCACTGGAAGAAAATCAAACATTCCCAGTTGAATCGCGCAATCCAAAAATTTGAAAGAGAGTCGCAATTGAACCATTCACGCTATGATTATCTCATAGTTAAAATTCGACCTGAATAAAAAAATTTGAAAAACTAACTTCAAAACGTTTAGTTTTTTTCAAAAATATAATTCTGACTTTCCTCAATTTAGCATTGCTGAATGACTTAATAATCAAAAATCAATATAGTTCTAAGTTGATCTCTGCTCATTTTTTTGTTGTTTTTCTTATTCGAAATCTCAATTTTTTTCAAGTTAAAAAAATGAGATCTTTCTAAGAATTTAAAAAAACAGTGGCAAAGTGGCGAAAAATGAGTTGTTATTTGTTAATTGTTCTCTATTTTTGATGAATATTCAAAATGATAAAAAGTTTTGAATTTTTTTGGATGTGGTTCAAAACATTGTTTAAAAATTGTCAATAACACCAGTTTACTTATTTGGTTAATACTTCAGCTCAATATAATTATTTTTTTGACAAATTCATAGACGAAAACCGAAAAAAACATTACTCCGCCGTATTTGCTACTGTATAAGAAACATTTTCATTGAGAGTTTTACTATTGAACAATAGAAAAAAAAATGGTAGAATGGCAAGAAACAAAGAAAATAAAAAAATAGCAACATACAATGTCCGATTGTTTGATTGCAACGAAGTCGACCATTTCCTTCGTTCTAATCAATCTTCCGCAATGTTTTTTTCTAACCCGTCCGTGACCGCTGAAAAAAATTCAATTGTTTTAGAGTCCAAATACCAAAGATGAATCTTTATAGCAAGTTTCAACCAAGAGCTGCTTTTAAAAACCACCAAAACAAAAAAAGTTAAAAAAATGGAATAGCCTACATTCGTTTTTTTAATCTCTGATTTAAATATATTTTTTTGTAATAAAATATTGTTTAAAGTTATATGAGGAAGTAATTTTTTTAAAGGTAAACAAAACCCACCCTCCCAAACAGTAAATATAGTGACCTTGTCTCACTCGTTTTGCAGCAAAAAAAACTTGATTCGAAAATATCCCTCGTGTAGCAACTTTTTTTAAACAGAACATCAACACGGAAATTGACAGGATTATTCATTCCATTTTAACTGAAAACATCAAAAAGTAACTAGATTGAAATGGATTCCAGAGAAAGACCCTCAAAACACGATAACCGCGACAATGTTGAAACTTTGAGAAGAAAGACAGGAATGAAGTTGATAAAGCTCAAAAATAAAAGATCACATTTCATATATCAAAGTCATGGAGACGTACCCGTCTATTTAAAAAAATATATATAAAAAAATAAAATTTTTTTAAATATCCGTTTTTTTCAAGATTTGGAGCTTCCCTGATTCATCGTACTTCACTTGAAAAAAATGCGTCCATGTCCTGAAAGTTGACAATTTTTCTTTTTCTTTTCAATGATAAAACTTGTCCAAAAACTGAATCCTACTCACCCGGAACAATGAAATCGGCACGATCAAGTACAGCTTCCCTTAAAACGTTATAATTGGCGGGATTTACAGGCATCGGGACATCTCCTCCCAAATCTTCATTTTCGAACAAGTCTCCTAAAATCATTGAATGAAGATTGAGCTCCTATGCTCGATATAGAAACCTGCTACTATTAGAACACCATCTTTAGTATTCACATAGAACATTAGATCTTCGGCGGAATGAGCTGTAGTGAAGAGAAAATACGCTCCGGGAATTTCTTCAAAGGCAGACATCCAAATGAGTTCGGGCACAATCTGTAGAGTTCATTTCTCTTCAACTCGGGACAACACTGAAGTATTTCAAAATATTAGAATAGTGTATGCAATTCAGGACTGGTTTGAGTCATTATTGGGTATCTGAATAAAAGGCGGAGAAGTGAACCTTCACAAATAATTTCTTTTTTGATGGATTATTTCAAAATTTGTTACTTGTTACAATTCCGCTCTGAAAAAAATATTTTTTTATTTCTCCTCAAAGTTTCATATGCTTTTCAAGATTATGAAAAAAATTTTTTTGAGACGACAAAATTTTTCAGATACTTATATCATTTTTAAAGAACGTAGAAATAAGTACTAATATAAAAAAATTGCATTGACGATCGCGGGGACTTTTTTTCTCAAGAAAAACCTCGAATTGACTCTAAAGGAATAAAAAATAATTATTTCAGTCGTCTCTCTAGATTTATTTACGAAATCATTTTTTGAACAGTTCACGTATGATGAAAAAAATTGGTGGATTGAAAATGAATGAAGAGCGAAAGAAACCGTAAAAAGGGGTCGGTCTTCATCTTGATCAGCTTCATTGTATTCTGGTACGCCATTGGGCAACCTTTGACCTCTGTCTCGGCTCATAATGAAAGTGGCGTTCGGGAATAAATGCAAGTTCCCGATATGGTCGATATGGCCATGCGTTATTGCAACATGAGTCACCTGAAAAAAAAACCCTCAGTTTGACAGAAAACAATCATCAAATTTCACACGTAAATGCTTATTTAAAAATAATGGAACCACCTCCTCAGCTGAAACGCCTCTTTTCTGCAGGTTTGCCAGAATTTCCGGCCCATTCCAGGGATCTCCACAATCGATCAACAGTTTGACGTCCTTATAAAGAATTAGAGTCACCTAGAAACTTTAGAATTATCATAGAAAAAATCGGAAAAAACCGATCCGGTAGTTCCACGCACGTGCTCTTCTCCCCGTCCAACTACAATTGACACAACTTCGACTTCAACTTTTTCTCGTCTCCTTTCAACTAACGCCTGAAAAACATGAGATAGAAAATGTGGACAGATTGAAAAGAAAGAAAAAACCTACAGCTCTTGATCGTTGTCCGCTCATGTCAACCACGCCAAAACCTTCTTCGCTACTGAACCCGTTCATTGTCACTGAAAAATCAAAAAATCATGAGATCGATCGGGGAGTGTGGAACAAGAATTCCACGGAGAGGTAGATAAATAAAATAAAATAAATCCAATAAAAATCTAAAAAGTACATTCCATAGATCGATTTCAAAACTTTCAACAGTATTAGCGTTAAAATGAATAAAAAAAATTTAGGAAAATTTATGTTTAAGCTATTGATAAAAAGAGTATATAAAGATTTCCATTCACTGCTCTCCACAAAAATTTAAATTCTTTTTCAAAAAGAAAAAAAGTGGATCTGACAAAAAAATATTTTTTTGAAAAAAAGTTGAAAAACGTTTGATTGAAAAGGTTTTTCTTACCTCTTGCACTTAGTTTTTCTTGTTACTATGCTTATTGATAAAAAAATGTAACTTCATCAAGGAACGTTTTTTTCATCAACTACTCTAAGATTCGTAACGCAAAAATAGGTTTGGCGGGAGGTGTTTTGCAACACAGAAAGGGTGCGCGAAAAGATCGATGAAGCGATTCTAATCAACGTGAGGGACAGGTGAACACTAAACGTATTTCTATACACAAAGAGGTTGTACATTCTAAAGGGAAAAAGAAAACAAGGAATTTGTCATGTGAGGCCCTTTTTCACAACTGAAAATTGTTTATCACTGCTCGAAAGGTGGTGAGATGTAAAGTCGAAGGCTCTATAGAAGGAATTCTATTGATCGTAAAAAGCTTTTTTCTGACCAAAAAAAAAGAAAATTTAAATGATGTGAATAAAAAAGTAAGCGTACCGTAAAGATTAAGTTGAGCCTTCAAGAGACAAAAATAATAAAGAAATAAGGAAAAATACGAGGGCAAGATTGCCATGGAGCGCAGAAAGTTGTCCAGTATCTATTACGTGCTCTTCATTGTGATGCAGGAGTTTGCGAGCCTAATTTCTCTTGCTCTCGGTCAAATTTTATTTATATTTTTTCATGGCTAGGAAGAAACGAAAGTGTATAAATCATAGTTGTAAATTCATGTGAGACTTAAGTTAGACTAGGAGAGTGACCTTTTGTGAATATGGGAAATGTATTAGTTTTGATCTTTCGGAAATTTCAACTTCATTACCAGAATACTCTTGGTAATTGTGATATCTCCCGATGAGATTGACTGGTTTCCTTTAAACGTAAGCAACTTTTTTTTTTCAGGAAATATTTTGTGAACTTATCACGGAAACTAACTCAAAACTACGTTTTTGGCTTCAAATGTGTGCCAAAATTTGAAAAGCTTCTACAATCAAAGCAGGAAGGCGAACCACTAAAAGTAAACTGAGAGAGTTTCAAATTTTAGTGTCAACAATTGTTTTTTTTGCTCGATTTTTTTAGCATAGCGCGAAAAAAATTTGATGTAGTTTTACAAAAACAATTTTGAACAAATTCATTTAAAAAAAGAAATTAACAAATCGATCAATTATTCCTTAAGATCTCTCAATCGACGAATAGTTGAGCGGACGGTGGCCGCAGTAACTGTTCCGTAAACGTAGGCGCCTCCGGCAACGGTCTGGAAATCGAATTATCATATTTTCTGAACAAAAATTCTTGATGAGGTCAAATCAAAGTTTTTTGATAACTTTTCAAGAAAACACCGTGCACAGAATTAAAAGTATAGAACTGAAAAAAAGTGCAACTTCCACTGAATTTGATGTTAACTTCATTATTAATCTTAATCTTAATTTTTTGTTTAATTATTTACACCTAGAATTTATGTGAGTTCATTGAGTATTTTTTTTAAATAACTTATTAAAAACTTTGAAACGGCGCAAAGTTAGTTCATTTCTTAAATGTTTGAGTAAGGTAAAATAATTGCGAATTTCCTGAACCTTGTGGCATTTGGAGCAATCCCAGATGCCGGCAGCCTTGCGTTTCATGGCCTCTTTGCCGCAGAATGAGCAAGTGTATCGCGAGTGCTGCGTCACTTCCATTTTCTTGACCATCTTACGCAGCGAAGCACCGTAGCGGGTACCATACTTTCCGACGATACCGACCTTCTTGGTGCGCTTGGCCATGTTTCCCCTGTAAAATTCTTAAATTTTTCAAAAAACTTTTTTTTTTCTCGAAACCGATTCGAAGGATCATTTTTAATGTTTTTACTTCTTTTTTTTTTTGCAGTTCTGATGATCTTATACTGAAAAATTCATCGAGTTTACGGCGATTCTTTTTGTTTTTTTAGTCAAATTATTAACTTCCAGAGGTAGAAGTTTACCTTTACTATGCACGAAGACTGAGTTGTCAACGTATTTGAGACTCCATGACTTGGTAAAAAAAAGAAAAAAAAAAGTAAATGTGATTTTATGTTCAATTGAATGAACTTCAAAATCAATTAAACTTTATGACTTTTAATATTTGTTTGTTGTCTTCGTGAGTTTTTTTTTCTGCTAGCAAGCGACAATGGGTTAGTTAACAAAACTCTGTGTTTTTCCTTCTAAATTTCGAATCTGCTAAATAAAAATATGACATGCATTGTAGCATTAGAACAAACGTAACAAACGAAAAACATCCCAACGACTTCATTTTTTGATATGACGAATCAATAGATTAAAAACAACGTAAAAAACGTAACAATAAGGTTTTTGCATGAACGGGAGTGGAAGGCGACAGCACACGAAAGAGTAGTAGTAGCAGGGTTTCAAACCCAAAGATGGTTAGAAATTGAAATTGTGTTATTTAAAGAAAGCTTTTAGTTCTTTTCGGCGATGATTCCCTCCTTGATGAGCATGAGGGTCGGAACCTCCTGGCCATCAACATCGCGGTATTCGATGATGGCGACTTGTCCTTCACCGTTTCCGTCAGCCATGCGCTCTCCTAAAAAGTTATTTTATGAAGAATCAAAAATCAAATTTTTCTCAATAAAGTTTTCGAATGACGAACCAATGAAGAAAGCGAGATTCTTGAAGCGGGATTTGTCGAGGAGTCCGACGACCCATCCTTGAATCTTCTTCTTGAAGGCGTCGACGTCTTCCTTGGGACGACCTTCCTTTTCCATATGGTCAACGACTTTCTTCATGAAACCCTTGATATACGATTTGAAGGTGGAAGCGTCTTCGTAACAGTTCATCTCCTAAAAAAAGTCATAATTTTTTTACATTATATGTGAAAATGACGAACCACAAGCTTGTGGTTAAGAACGATGTCAATGCCACGCTCGACGTGTTCATCAGATCCTTCATCTTCACCTTCTTCGGCCGATGGGTTTGATCCAGCAAGGACGATATCTCCTTCCTTTCGGACGACGTGACGTCCCTTGAACTCGTAGATGAGATCATCCACCAACTTCATTGGGAACGAGTCAGAGGCCAGCTCGTCATCTGAAAAAGCTAATGAAATTGTGCCAATGACGCATTTCTCACCGGTGAAAACGTCTTTGAAGATCAGCATTTTACCTATAAATTTCTAAACATTAAGCAACGAACAGAAAAAATAAATTAGCAAATAGAAGCACGGATTAAACCAATGTCAAAAAAAAATGTGAACAGCACCGTTTTGAGAGATAACATTTACTTCAACAATAACAAGAACGGAACCAAAATTAATCAAAAAGACCGAAGCCCAAGTCTTCGTCCTCAGATTCCTCCTTGACTTCCTCCTTCTTGGCTGGAGCAGCGTCAGCAGCGGGAGCAGCAGCCGAAGCGGCAGGAGCAGCAGCGGCAAACTTGCTCGGGTCGGCGAGGTAAGCCTTGATCTGGTCAGCCTCCTTGAACGACACGTCGGTGGCGGCAGCAATGCCGAGCATGTTCTGAAGTCCAGCGGCAAGAGAGTGAGCCACAGACACGACGGTCGGATAGTGGATGGCGAGAGAGACGGCGGCGACGTTGCGGACGCCAGACAAGAATCTCTTGCGCAGTTCTTCGGTGGTCATGTCGAGCACGTCCGGAGTGTAGAGAGTGCCGTCATCATAGACCTGGCGAACGACCAGACCGTACGAGAAGGGAGTCACTCCCAACATGTTGAGCAGCGCCGACTCGGAAGCTCCGACCTTGTCGCCCTCCTTGATCAGGTGCACCTCGTTCAAGATTTCGATGGTACCACGAGCGATCTTGGTTGGAATCTGCAGAGCTTGGAAGAACGAGGTCTTTTCAGGACCCATTCCAGTGTTCTGCGCTGGCAGCTTGACGTCGCAAGGAGCGATGGCTCCGGCCTTAGCTGGTGCTCCCTGAAATTTGTGCTTTCCATTTTAAAGGAAAATGATGAAAAAAAAGTTTAACTGAAAAAAGACTTACACGACGGTTTTCCAAGAGCTTGGAGCGGATTTCTCCGAGGTCTTCCTTGGTGAAAACGAAGCCAACATTTTCAACAATGTGTGGCAGAAGTTTCTCGAGTTGAGGGTTCTTTCCAAGATGTCCGCGGATGGCCTTGCGGATCATGGTGTTTTTGCCCATCAGGATTATAGCGTGTCCTGAAATAATGTATTGAGAAGGTTCATTCTGAAAAGCTTTTGAAATTTTCCCAAAAAAAAATTCAAGTAAACTCCTGAAATTTTGGATTTTAAAATGACTCAAATTAATTATATTGAAATGAAAAAAGTACCTCGCATAGCCTGACGAATTTCCTGCATCTGCTTGGATCCGACGTTATCAACACCGACGAGCAAGCATTTCGGGTATTCCTCAAAAAGCTCAACGAGCTTGAGGAAATAGTTAGCCTTCCAAGTGGAGCGATCTTCCCTAACCATCGTGGTGGATTAAGGATCGTTTGAGAACGTTTTAAAGACCTGCAAAAAATTTTTTTCTTTTTCTCAATATAAACGGTATCAAAGCCGTGGCAAAACGACAAAAAAATCAAAAAAATTGATAAACAAAACCCTCCAAATGATTGTTTTCATGTATTTTGTTAAGAGAAAAACTTTGATAAACTTTATCGAATCATTGTACAAACCAAAAAAATACTCATCTAATTAAAAATAAAAAAATGAAAAAAAGCAGAGAAATAGGTGAACAAGGTTTAGGTGAGGGCTAAATTGCAGTCTGAGACTACAACGTGTTCTCTGTGTATCCACGGGTGTATAAAACAGTTGATGCGCAGCCAATATGCGATGGAGCGCGCTCCGTTTTTCACTGTATTTCAAAGTGTTATAAACTAACTTAATTTTTACAAAAGTTTCAAGTACCTCTTGTAAATTATTTTTATACATTAAAATTTTTCAGGATGCAAGCCCGCTGGCAAATTAGCTTCTTTTAAGATAAAGTTCTGGATAACTCGAAAAACTTGCATTTTGTTTTTGTATGTTGTTTGAGGTTTAGAAATTGGCCAAGTAAACGCCTGTCAATCTTGATCGGTTTTTTTAATTACAAGCGATAAAATACACAAGATTATCAAACGTCAATTTTCATATTTCATCGAAAAAGTTATAATTTGTTGTTAGAGAACGTCGAAGTTATAATTTTTTTCTTGTAATCTTTATTAGTAAAAAAGAGAACAAAAATTACCACGGATAATATCGACTATTGTTCATCAAGTTTGCATTGATAAATGGGAAATGAAATTTGAGGGAATGTAGACGGATTTTTTGTAAATCTATTCAATATGAATCATTCCCCATTTGCCGGGGACGAAAAGTTCAATGAAGTAACCAATTTCAAAGAACAAAATCACAGTTTCTCGTTAGGATGGCTTTCTGGTCTAGGAATGTTTAAAACTTCGCTCATGGGGTCGATGGGGGCCAAGTGCTGACCATAGGAAACGGAAGTGTCATCTTTATCTGTAATTTTCATGATGATCTTCATTGCTATCCGAAGAAAAAAAATTTTCGCTGTAAAACCGACCAAAGTGAATATTTCCAGAGACAGGTAGACGATAGGCAATGTCTTTAGAAAGAGGGATAGGCAAATCCAACTCCCCTTCAAAGCCGTCTTCAACCTTGTAGTTGGCCTCTACCTGAACATTTTCTTCAGAGATGAATTTTCAAGTTTTCATTTTACTCCAACTCCAATAGAAGCTTGATATGGGTTACACATAGGGGGCTTGCAAGAAACTGGAACGTAGTCTCTTGGAATCGCGGCAATCGGAAGACGAGGATGCAATTCTGCAATAACAGATGTAGCAATTGAAGACATAAAGCTGTTACCAGAATCTTTAAAAAAATAAAAAAACGGAGTTCTGGAGAATATTTGTTGAATATTGATCGAACAAATTGATCCAATAATTTTATAAATGTGTTTCAAAAATCGTGTCTTGTACCCAGCACTACGCAGCACGCTCTGGCCACTGTTTACAGAGATCGACTGTGAAGTCTTTTGCTGTTCAAAAGATTTTTCGAAGCCAGACAAATAAGTAGGATTTTTTCTGTGTAGCGTAAAAAGTTTCTGATAATTGAAACGAGATTTTGCTTACTATGATGATATTTTTTCCTAGTGTCCTTACGTTTGTTCCAATGAAGTGCCGGGTCAGACATCAGTTGCTTCAGCTGCTCAGGTCGAAGTCCCATCATGTTCACCGGTGAATTGACGTATCCAACTTTTACCCAGTAATCCTGAAATCAAACAAATTTCGAAGAGAAAAAGGATGATCTCAAACTTGAACTCGTTCGATGTAGTGTCCACTCATGTCCAAAAAGTTGTTCCAGAAAGGAACTGGAATTAGAAGATCACCACCGACGTGCTAAAACTTTTTTGATGACCTTTTTCAATTTCTTTAACTAGAAGTGATAAAAAGATACCCTTGAACGGGATGGATCGTACGTTGCAGCAGCGTGATATTGGTTGACGAAAGGCATGAGCGGCCAATAATCTCCGTAGGTTGTTCGACCCGGTAAGGGAAAATAACCTCCTTAATTTTTGAGAATGGTGAGTTCACTGCTTTTTCATAACCGCGTTGAAAAAGGAAATGAAGACAAAAATATGTCTGTTCAAAATGTAAATTTTGATAGAAGAAGTTCGAAACATCAATAAAGATTTAATAAAAAACAAGAGCAAACTTTGTTCGATTGGAAATCCAGTTGTGTGAAGATGAATAAAGTTTCATTTTTTGAGCCTGTTTTCATTGGAAATTTCCAGCTTTTCGAGAGAAAGAGACAAGTAAGAATCATTATTGTAAGCAAGAAAAGGTTGAAAAAATGCAAATATGGTTGAAAAATGCGAATATGGTTGAAAAAATGCGAATATCCAAATAGAGTCACCTGGTAGTTGTACGCTATCTTCTAATTTCACTGGGGATCCAACAACTTTGTTTCGCTGCAGCGGCAGTAGCTTTGGCGCTCTTCTTATTTCGTCATTTATCTGAATTTTCATGAACTGCTGCGAATTTTCGAGATTCATTTTCAAAAATCATTAAAAAAAATCATAAGGTTTTCAAAAAGACCAACAAAAATGATCCCTCCAAAGTTCATACATAATCTCAGTATATGTCCCTTTTTTTCCCAATTTTGACACACTTAAAGGCGTAGGGGCAGTAAAAACGGTGTTTCAGTTCAAATCAGTATTTTGTAAAGCTTTTCATTGCAAATCGAATGGTGAACATGGAAACGTACAGAAGTTCCTAGTTTTGAAAAAAAAAACTTTTGCTTTTTCGCTTTTTTCTTCGTTTCTTTCAATTTTTAATTTTTTCTGTTGTCATCAAAGTTATTTTTGTTACAAAAGCTTTCTATTCATGTATAATTTGCAAACTTTGATCGCAAAAAATCTTTTCTGGTGAAAAATGATGATTTAACACAGGTTTCGATTGGGATTGCGATTATTTGTTCTTTAATATCGGTGTGTGTTTTTTATTTGACTAATTGTTTTTTCAGAGAAGAAACCCTTGATGTGAAGCAGATATCCGGTTGTTTCTCACAAAATGCGAGTCTAAGGAGACGTCCGCAACATCGCGTGCACGGCTACTGTAAACAGTTGTCTGCATACCAATCCAAAGCATTTTTCAAAATTAAAAGCGGGAAAGTAAAATTGCGTTTTTCTTCTAAAGTAGTCACATCTGTAATTTTTTTGAGTACACCATTCGATTCGCAAAGAAAAACTATATAAGATGCTGCTTTCACCTGAAACCCCGTTTTTTTTACTGCCCCTATGTCTTTAATATAGAACGAACTTTCATGGAGTCGTACAGGAATTTGTAGTAATCTTTGTCGTCGTCGTCATTCTCCACATCTTCGGCCTTTGCGAAATGGACGAATAGGAGATTGAGCAGTAAATAGCCACCGATTTTGAACGCTAACATTGATTAAGTGACAAGAAGCCGGTTTAGGCGTCCGATCGCCGTCGTGACCCACTCACCTAGATGAAAGTGCATCTGAACAAGCGAAAATTCAAACGATTATGTCTTTTCGGGAGAAAGCTGCAAAAAACTCCCTCTGGGAGAAGTTTGAAAATCAAAAAACATTATTTGATAAAAAAAATTCTGCCTTTCAAGAATCATCTTCGGTGGTATTTCAAAAGTCTCTAAATTTTAAAGGCAAAATTTATTGTCTTAACAGACTCAATGAGGTGCTCGGAAAATTATCCTTCCGTTGAATTCTTTCTGAATGTTCTATAAGATCATCGAAAGGTAGGGGGACATTTTTTATTCAATCCAATAGGTTAAATAAGGTTTGGCTTCAAAATCATGTAAACTGTACAAAGAGAATGGACAATTACCAACAGAACAATCTGTAACTTGAAATAAAAACAAATGAATGAACCGTTTTCACGAGAATTTCATCAAATTCACAGAAGAAAAGTTTGACCCATGAAACATGATTATGAAAAAGACGGTAAAGCCAATTTGACGTCGATGCCCAGTAAGAAACAGGCCACTGTGCTTTTTGCCATTCTGAAAAGAAAGTAAATTAAGCTTGAAAGTAGGAGAAATCCACCTTTTCTGAAGAATAGCTTTGCCGAAAGCGGACAGGAACGAAGTTTTGGATGATGGAGGTTCGAGGTCCATCAAATACACTGTGATGAACATTGAAATCTGAAAATCCATTCAAATGTTTTTGAAGTTCAATAAAACAAAAGAAGACGATGAGAGAAAACTTACTGGTCGTTTTTCCAAAATATTTGTCTGAATTTCCGGCGGAATGTAATCCTTCACGTCATCAATTTCAGGTGTACATTGCTCCGTTTCAATGTCGTACAAGCCTGGGGCCATCTCATCGCATCTAAAAATAATTTTTTTTGGAGATAATCAGATATCAACCCACTTGCAATCTTCTTCGATGTTTTTGTGAGTGGAAAGATGAGAGCGAGCTGACGTGATTTTCGCTGACTGTGACTTGAGTTGCTTGCAGAAATCACAGAAAACACTGAAAAGTGATAATGAAGCCGATGAATCGAAATGAATTCCAACAAGAAATTGATTAATCAAAAGACCAACTGAAAAATTGTGGATTTTGAAGAGAACCCTCAGAAAGAATCTATACTAGATTCATGCAAAGTTTTCCATGTAACCTTTGAAAAAAAAGTCTCACCAAGTTCCTTCAAGCTTTGCGCAAGGACATTGATTGACCTTATCGTCAATTTTTTTGGAGCACGGCAGCGATGGATTATTGGGATCTGGTGTACCTCCGATTCGCATTTCAATTTCCGCAACCAGGTTTTTTTCACAGGTTCCAGAATTTCCACTAAAAAATTTATTAAAAATGTGACATTGATCAATAAAAAAACGAAATGACAAACCTTGGGCTCTGATTTTGATGCATCCAGGAATCACAGGATTTTTTGGAATCAGCTCAATTTTGTCCGGATTGAAACGTATGCTCGGCCGGTATTTACTGACATCTATTCCCTTTCGAGAGAGGTAGACTGAAAAAATTCGGTCACATTTATTGTTTAGTCTGAAGAATTAAACTAATTTTTTTTCTACTTTTATTTTTATTATGAGAAAAACGATCATTTTTTCGAGAATAGTCTGGAAAGATCTAAAATCCAGAAACTTGCTGAGTAACGAGATGAAACTTGTTTCAAGAACAAGTCTCGACCAAGATCATAGTCAGATGTTCACAGCAGAAAATGAGAAAAATTCGCAAAGATCTCCTTTCCTCGCAATCTATCCGTCAGAATCAGGTTTTGAACGCCAGGACGTGTCTTGACAGAATTTCTTTTCCGAATAAATCGAAAAATTAAAAGAAAAGTCCTACTCGGGGAGCAGGCGCCAGAGACTCTGATGTCGACCTCGGCTTTTTCTTGACCAGTGACGGTTGGAAGCAACGGCGCAGCAAGGACAAATCCGAGGACTACGATAGACAACCAGGGCCTCATTTTGGTCGGGATAACGACTGCGGCCGCGCGGACGCTGCGATTCACCATTTTCAGTCATAGCGAACCGCCCAAATATTGGCTGCGGCTGGCCGGCAACTTTCGCTTTATCTGGGTCCTCGCAAGCACCGTGGACATTTAGAAGCGATTAACGGCCTGGTTAGAATCTGAGGTGTCTGGATGCTGCCCTTTTTTAAAAGTTTCTGGAATGTCCAACATAAATAATAATTGTAATTTCGACCTCAATAAAAAAAATGATTGAAATGTATACACGCGATTTTCAAAACTTTTTGATAGGTAATAACTGAAAAAAAAAATTTTTTCTGAGCGCTCGAGAGACTCAAAATAAACATGTCGCAAGTGTGCGGAAAAATCTATAACATCAAATTTAGTCAAAGTTATCGGTTAAAAGGTGTTTTTCTTTTTTGCTTCAGAATAACGACCATTAAAAAATTATTCTCAATCAAAAATTTCGACAAAAAAAGTTCTTAAATTTGATAACTACATTTGTTTCATGTTTTTCTCAAAATCCTGTAACTCTTAGGAGTGAAATTTTTTCTTGCAGCGACTGTTTCCTAAAAACTACCTAGCATAGTAGTTACTCAACTCTACAAGGATGGAAAAATTAAAAATGATTTCAATTCAATTTATTCAGTCTTCAGAGTAAGTTGAAGAAAATCTCTGCTGAATCATGGTATAATCGAAGAGTTAGTCGTCGGCGCGGGTTACGGTCCACAATCGTTGTCCAATAAGTCCCGGCGTGACAGCTAGCGTTGGGAGATAATGATGGGCCGTTGGTAGTACCAGCGAGTAAACTGCTTCCCCATGTTGGAACAGTACGGCGCCCAGCTTGTCCAGGGCTGACGGGCGTCGGAATATTATCCCATGAGAGAGCGGCAATAAGACCGACTAGTCGACGTGATGAAATGAGATAAATGAGATAAGAAAAATGATTGTTTGAAAAAAATATTTCAAAAAAATGGCATATTTCGATATGAGAAGAAAGGATCGCGCTTTTTTTCACTCATGAAATTTCGAGCCGACCAAAATGATAGGTACACTAGGCAACTAACTTGGATTTATGAGCACTTCTTGTTTATATTCTCAAGTCTTTTGATAACTGGCGAGTTCGACTGTTGATTGTGGCTTATAAAAGTTTTTTTCTTTTTTCTTTGTAAAGTCAAAGAAAGAATTTCCAGATCAATGTTTTTATTACATCGAGCCCAAATTGACTTGACGAGTTTACACGTACTAAGCGGAAGGAGCAAATCGAGAGGTTTGGGAATCGCTGCACTTCTTCTACGAGCTGTACAAAGGGATAAGATGGAATTGAAAGTGTGTGGTTTAATATCCAGGGGCAGTGCGTGGTGGTGGGCAGTGGTCGCAGCTTCCAGAGCCACCGGACTCTCCATCTTGTCCAGGCTCTCCTGGAGCTCCGGGGCTTCCTGGGGCTCCTGGCGCACCGGCGTCTCCGGCTGGTCCTGGAGCTCCTGGGGAGGAGTTTCCTGGTGCTCCTGGCTGTCCTGGGGCTCCAGCTGGTCCGGCTGGTCCTGGTGGTCCGGCTGGTCCTGGAGTGCCAGGAACATCGACGACTTGTCCTGGAGCTCCTGGAGCTCCTGGAGCTCCTGGCTGTCCGTCGTTTCCTGGAGCTCCGGCTGGTCCAGCTGGTCCTGGTGGTCCTGGTCGAGCAGCGCCGCCTCCAGATCCTGGAGCTCCTGGGGCTCCTGGAGCACCTTTAGCTCCTGGTCGTCCGGCTGGTCCAGCAGGGCCTGAAGTAGTTATGGTAAAATTAAAAGAAAACGTATTGAAAAAAACCTGGTGGGCAGTCAAAGCAGAATTCTGGAGCATTGCGAGAGCTGTCATCTCCAGAGTCTGGGCCAGGTGCTCCTGGAGATCCAGGCTGTCCATCGTTTCCTGGGTTTCCGTCCTGTCCTGGAGCTCCTGGGGGTCCAGCGGATCCAACTCCGCACGAGCAGCAGCTGCCTTCGGTTTGTCTACGAGCAACGGCGCGGCGAGCATGTCCAGTGACTCCGGCTCCGCGTTGGTAGGTCGATCTCTTGATGCGTCCTTCGACTCCAGTCACTCCTTCGAACTGAAACCACTTGCTCAGTATTTTCTAGTGTTTCTTCAAATTCTTACGTTGTGGTACTCATTCCACAAGCTGTCGGTGCGGTGTCTGCAGAAATCGACCTGAAAAAGAAAATAAACGGTTTGAGGAAAATTTTCTTGTGATTTGCCTCAGACTGAAGAGAGGATTGCACATGCTGCATGTAGTTGTACAGCATAGGAACGGCAACGATGGCCGTCAAAGTTGCAATCGTCGAAACGACGATTCCTGAGATGAATTTAGCGGTTGAAACTGAGGAAACGAATGAGTTGAAGTACCTCGGAAGGCGAGCCGACGGAAGTTCTCGGTCTCCTCCGCGACCTTCTTTGGATCGTCGTACGACATTCCCCTACAAAATGTTTGGTTGATTAAAAGTTAAAGAAACGAAGTTGAGAAGAAAAAGGAGAAGGAAGCTGATTGCGTGGTTTCCTTCAGTTAGCCGCACCTTTTATACGAAGTCGCTACTGCAGTTTTCGGTTCGCCGGTAAAAAGTTTATTACATCGTTGGACAGTTTCGGCAGACAATTTTGCGTTCTCTATTGCCAATGCGGTGTCTCGCCGCTTATTGGAGAAGCGCACTAGCAAAAACATGTTGCGTCTCGTTGGGTTCTGCCCGTTTTTCGGTTTCTTTGTGTCCTCTTCAATATGTGATCACCCTTATCTAAATGAGTTTCCTTTCTCTCAGGAAATGAGGAAGTCAGACTGTCTCGTAGTATTTCTGTGTAAAGTGCTGATGTTTTGCTTCGAAAAATTCTCTTTCATGGTCAAACTGATAGTAAAAAACTTCCCTTGATAATTGAGAAGATGGGAGTGGGAAATGAAAATTGGTAGAAAAACCTGCACACAAAGAATCTTTGGGAGACCTCCGCTAATCGAAATTGATTGAGTTTCTCAGGAAACCGATTTTCTCCAAACGGCTTAATTAAAAATGAAAAAATCTCCAACACAAGAAAAAAAATTCAAGTTTTCGGTTCAGATTTTTCGAAACAGGTAGTTATCGATATCGATTCAAAAAAAGAAACATCATGTTAGTTTGTTAGTTTTTTTTTTAATTTTTTCAATAATTAAAAACTTCAGCCATCTCTGAAAATTTTTGAATGTGACATACTTTTCTTACAATTTACTATCTACTGATTTTTTTCAATTGTTTTCGTTCACACAATTTCCAAAGTAGGCTTTCTCAGAAAAAAAGTTATCTCACAAATTTTTCATGGTAAATTCGAAAAAAATCTGAAATTATTTCCAAACAAAAAAAGCCGGGGGATGCGCCGGTAATACTGAATTAGCAAAAGTTCGAAACTTATTCAATTTTATTGAAGTTCAAAACACATCTCTTTATTGATATCGAAAAATTATATAAAAATATGCATTTCTTATTAGTCAAGATTGGTTTTTTTCAATGTTGAACTTTGGAAAAATATTGCAGAAAAAAAGAATTTCGATGTGCTGAACAGAATTCGCAAAATGGAACATGTACAAATTTCTAACTTTCGGTTTTTAAAATTCAAAAAATGTCCAAAAGAAAGATTCAACTTATGATTTTTTAGCGCTAGAATCAATTTCAATGTACTATAGTTCGAACGGCAGTACATTTTTTCTGGCATCAGACTTCGATTCTCACCGGCTGTTGAAACCAAGTTACACTTGCTCATCCATCAAAATTAGATTGGTTCAGCCCGGGGGCACTGACCCAAATGTTTCTATGAAAAGACTGGAAGAGCAGAAAGGACAAAAGTCGGACGAGGTGGCGTGATATATCGTTGCAACCAACCGTTTGTAGATTGCTATTTACCTTTCTCATCGTCTAGATTGCATTTGATTCTGCTCGGCAATTCTTTATTCTGGAACATCTCAATCGCTTTTTGTGATGTATCGACGAAAAAACTGTTAGGCAGTAAATTATCCAGTACAGAGTGAAATTGAGTTTCAAAAATTGGCACGGGCGTGGTCGATTCAAAATGTTCTCGGCGTTGTGCAAATAATCATTTTTTTCGGCTTTTCACGGCCGTCCGTGTACCTCGTATTGCTTTTGAAAATTCTCGTTGGCGATTTCCATTTGTTTACTTTCTTGGAATGTCTTCCCGATGTTGTTCGAAAATATTTTTTTGTGCATAAAATGTTTTTCCATTTTTCTGGAAAAAAAGTTCTTTGTGTTTTTTTATTCAAATGTTGCCAAGTGTATGAGTTTTTTTGTCTGTCTCCTAAACAAAAAAATTTTTCTTAATGTTTTTTTAAATGTGCAAAACTTGAAATTTCATCAAATCTTCGTTCAGTTTTTGTTTTTTTACATCATTAATTCCTGTTTGCATCATTTCTTTTTCTTTATTTCTAATTCGGAACGAGTGACCAAATTACAGAAAAATTACTCAAAACCTTCACTTTTCCAGCAATCACCGTGTTTAACTTCAGTGGCCACTCAAGAGGTTCCTCAAGAGCTACTAAGACGCTATGATTTTTGTACTTGTTAAATATTTTTTTCTTTTGATGGAGACTCAATTTTTTGTTAAAATAAAACAAATAGTAATTCATGTTACATTCAGCAAAGTTCTCTTGAATTCATCTTTTAAATGAATTTAAGACGAAAAAGATGAAAAAGCTCAAGAAATTTGTTATAAACTTTCAACCACGCCTCTCTGCTTTATTGCTGCCACCATGAACAAAACTTTTTCATCACCTTATCTTGGCTCATCGGTTCTTTTGCAAAACTGTCCTTTGACTAGACTAGACTTCCCAAAGAAGTGAGATTTTCAAGTGGTTTCACTGGCAATTGACCACAGAATGAATACGTTTCAAATCGCAAACTTTTCTCTACTGGCCATTTTAATTGCAAAAAACGTTCTAGTTTGCAAAAGACGAAGTAGTCTTAAAACGTTATCCTTGAGTATTATTCCGTCAATTCAAAAAAATGTTGAAAGCTCTAAACTTTTGGAGCTCAGCAGAAAACCCAAAAATCCATTTTGTCAGTTCATTTTATTTGTTTAGGCAGCTTTTTATCATGATATCCACGTGTCCCAATGGGTTTACCCGTATAACCTGTGTTTTCTGAGAATTTCAAAAGCGTGAACCCAACTATGCTGAAACAATACTGCGGCTGTGGTAAAATTCCCAAAGTTCAAGCATCTGTGCCCATACGGACTGAATAGGGGAAAGCCCGTTGAGACCCCGTGTTTGAGGGGGTTGGTTAACCCTATCAGCATGAGAGTACGCAATTTTGATCAGCGGTATGTCATTGCGGCGCGTAACCTGCCGGAGCCAACTGTTGTGGCGCGTGACCTTTCACGCTGTTTTTCTGCATGCAACGAGTGTCGTTGCAGAACTCATCTCGTTGCGTAAACAGCCTTCATCACGCCGAAATTTTCTTTTTTTGTGTGTGTCTTTTTGGTTTCTTTCCCAGAGGACTTCCATCAGAAGCAAATTTACTTGGAACTACCAGCTTCTCCGAAAACTTGTGCAAAAGCTCACGACAGATGACGGATGGCTTTTTTTTTTTCAATTTCGCCCTTTGATATGTATCCTCACTTAATTAAAACATCTAAATTGTTCTCTCAACTAATTGAAAAAAAAGCTTTATATACATCTTCTTTTTTCGAACAGCAGTAAACTTATAAGAGTTATTTTGAGCACGTTTTTTTGAGTTATTTTTCACTCTATGAATTGCAAAAAATGATATCTCAATAACCCATCGATTCCAAATTTTTTTCTTGAAATTTGTTTTCCTTCCAAACTTTTAACAATTCACTGTAATTTGAAAAAAACTTCTCGACTTCTTATGAAAAAAACTCACTTAAAAAAATTTTTAATTATTTTCGTTGTTTTTTTAAAAAAATTGCTTTTGATCTCGGTGGAGCAAATTTGGTTTGAATTTATTAAAGAAACTTTTTAGAATGCCTGGCGTTCACACATTTTACGATGGTTCAACCATTCTGGAGCCGTTTTCAGTCATCACTGGCGTTGAAGTTGATCGGGTTCGTTTTTTCAATGTCATCAGAAACTTTGGAACATACGAAAAGTTTTTCAGATCAACTTTGTATCATGCATGTTTGCAAATTTGGGATGCGCCTACCTCTACCGCAAATATTGTGCCGCTGGAAAAGTTTCTCGGTTCACTCGGACAATTGTTCCTCCAATGATTGGTCTCTCCTTTATTTTATTCTGCTTTGGGAGGTAAAATAATCAAAATGTCTGAATTTAATTTTTTTTCAGAGCTGCGAAACATTTATTAGCAAACTCCTTGGTGAGCTATGGGATCATGTGTTTTGCTCCACCTAAATTAGTTCATAAGTAGGTTTTCTGCCCTAATCATTCTGAGAAATTTGTTTTCAGGCTAGTTTTTGCATTTTCGATGGGTTATTTGTTATTTATTCATTCTTATCGATGGGCCATTTTGAATTCCTATACTCTTGATATCACAGGACCCATAATGGTTGCTGTCGAAAAGGTTTTTTTATACATTTCCAATTTTCACGACTAACATGAATCATGATTAAAGGAATATTTTTTTGAAAAAAAAACTTTTGCTTTTCATTATAACAAAATATTTGCAGGTTATTATGATGGCTTTCAATTTGAACGATGGTAAGATGAAAGACAAGAAAAAACTAACTGAAGAACAAGAAAAGGAGGCTATTACGTAAGTTAAATTTTTCTGCCAACAAAAAAGTTTAATGAAAGATTACAGGGAAGTTCCTACGCTTGTCGAATTTGTTTCTTACATGTTCAATTTCCAAGTGAGTAATGCAGTACCGCATTTCTAGCTGTATGTAGACACTTTAAGACGGTTTTGACTGGACCAGTCAACAATTTCTCTGACTACAGCAAGTTTTTGGACGGTTCTCACGTTTCAAAAAACTCGAATGGCAATGTGAGATTTTTTGAACGACAAATAATTGAATATAAAAGTTCAGGAGCCATCTCCCACTTTCGTGGCCTTGAGAAAGTCAGCCGAAGCTTTGGTTTACTTATTCATTGTCGCGACGTTTGGTTCATGGTGGAAAGTAGAAGATGTCGCCGGCGAAGAGTTAGTTTCCGAGGTTTTTCAAAGAAATTATGACTTAGTTTCAAAAACTACATTAGAATACAGGTACTAGCCTTTGGATAATTCTCCATTTTCACAGTTTTTTATCACAAACAATTAAGCTCTTTGTTGTTTTCTTGTAGAAAACTTTGCTTTCAGGATAGTTATCCAGAATGCACTATCAACTTGTTTATTCAAAATCAAAAAAATATTTTATTAATATTGTTGTGAATTTATTCTCTCCATTTTTCTCCATTTCAAGTGAGAAATATCAAATGAAAAAAACCCCTGCCGACATTAAAAGTTCAGTCTATGTGCTCGAAACGTAGGGAGCATAGGGAGCAGAACTTCTTCTTGAGTTTTAAAAACATTTTCAAAAAAATAAAAAAATGAAGACAAAGTAAAAATAAAATTCTCCTCTTATTTTTCAGATACACTAAGCTTCCCTACTACCGCTGGTTCTTCTGGTGGTTCTTCACAATTGCGGTTGTTCGGTGCGGATATTACTTCGCCTGGGTTTTCGGTGAGATATCGGCATATTTTCAATCATTTATATCTCAAAACATGATAGCTGATGCTGTGTGCAACATGTCTGGATTCGGATTCAGTGGATATGACAAAGAGGGCGAAGCCAAATGGGAACTTTGCACCAACGTTCGCACTGTACAAGTTGAAGTTAGTTTCTTTCCGAGTTTCCTAACTTTCGCAGCACAAACAATTTTGAGGATCTACTCATTTTCAAATTAAAATGTAAAAAGTCAACCGAATGCATGAGAGCTAGAACTCAGGAGTGGAATTTAATTTGATTTGAGACTCTCTTCAAAAAAGAGAGTGTAAGAAGGTTTAGTGATTTTTTTTCTGCGCTTTGAAATTAATAAAGTAGATACAAAAAAGCTGTGCTCAAGCTTTTTAAATGTTCGGAGGCGTTTGAAATGAACTCGTGCCAAAAACCACGTACGCCACTCCTCCGCCTCACTCGTCTTTCAAGTCGGAAAGGATTTAATATATCTGCTGGTTCAGATGGCTCAAAGCTTCAAGGAAACTCTTGATGGTTGGAATATCCTGACTGGTCAATGGCTACGCAAAGTTGCTTACGAAAGAGCACCAAAAAAGTTTCCAGAAATCAAAGTATCAGTTTATCTCAATTTATTTCAGTGTCCGAACAATTGCTACTTACGTCCTTTCCGCTGTTTGGCATGGCGTTTCTTTCGGATATTACTTCGCTTTCTTCACCGCTGCTCTTTTCACCATGTCGGCCCTTACGGTAAGTTTTTTGAATACTTTATTTTTGTGACGGCTAAAATCGAGCTTTTAAAAAACGGGGGCGATGGAGTTGGCAATTTTTCAATCAAAGAAAATGATAATGGAGAGAACCAAAAAATAATTTGACAAAAAATGGGAACTTTTGTCTACTTTTTTTGTTTAAATATCAACGCACAGTTCAATACGCAAGTTTTCAATTTTGAAAACATTGTCGGCCTCTCAGTTTTAAGTTTTTCCTTCACAGAAAATCGACCTTCTTAAAGTTGATTTTTCAGTTCCGTCGAAGCATGAGATGGAGATTCCTGGACGACCCCAGCAAGAAATTGGCCTACGACGTTTTCTCCTTTTTTATCACCAAAATTGCTCTGGCCTACGCGACTTTCTGGTTTGTCACAATGAAAATCCACCCGGCGCTTGGTGTCTACACGTACGTTTTTTTTTCTTACGTTTCTGAACTTTCCATCGATTACAGAAGAGTTTATTTCATTCCGCACTTCGTAGCCGCCGCCGTTCTGTTTGGTCTTCCAAAAATTTTCCCTCCTCAGAAAAAAGTTCCTCAACCAGTTGCTTCGGAGAACGTCGAACAGAAAAAAGAGCTTTAAATTGGAATTGAATTTTTGTTCATTTTCAAATATTCCTTGTTAATGTTATTTCCCGGTTATTTTGGGGAGTACATTAAATATAACTGCCACGTCTGAGGCGAGAAAATTACGAGGTCGCATTTCTCTCGCAGTTTGTGAATTTTCAAAATGCGGGGTTACGACTAGAAAGAAGCGACACTTTTGCAAGTTTGTTAGTGTATCGCTAGAGTCTTGCGTTTATCTCGGCAGTTATTTTTTTATTGTACGTTTCTTCAACTATTGGAGTGCTGTTTTCCCGATGTTTCAAACATTTATTCGATCAAATTGAAGCTTCTCTGTCTGATGACTTTTTTTATATTATAGTTAGTTCTTATCTAACAACACATTTTTCCTTGTTTTCTCAGGCTTCTTTCACGTTGTCTCATCTATTTCGCTTTTTGAATCATTCACTTTTGAGTTATTGTTACTTATTTCGTTATATGTTGTTTCGAATTGGACGAAACAACGTTTGGGAATTCCTGTTTGATTTTATAAAATTTGAATGCAACATGACTACATTCACGAATAAGACAAAAACCAATCAAAATAGTGATAGAACGATTAAAAAAAACATCCCGGAAGCGTTTAGGAAGATGTTTAAAGCAATTTTCTTCATGAATTTTTTATGAGTAGCAAAGCGGGTCGAAAAACAAAAACTCGAGAAAAGTTGCTTATTTCCTTCTGAGAACTAACTAAATTCAGATGAGCTTGTTTGCGTCGTCTGGGAGCTCCTGTGGGACGTTTGGCTCTACTTGTCACTAATTTTTTCTGACAAGATTCTACGGGGCATTTTTTTTGTTTCTGACTTTAAATTATTTTCATAAAAATCTTTCTGAGCTTTTTATTGGCCGGTGATCACAATAATGTTTATCATGTGTTTTCTAAAAATATACAATCAAAATTCAAAAGTGCGCTTTGTTTTTCAAAAAATTTCACAGAAAATGAGTGTGCATGAAAATTTTATTACATTTTCTTAGGCATGTATTTCGAAAGATTGAGTCATTCCTAAAAACCAATTTATTTTTGGATTCTTGTTACAGTAGCTTTGTAGAAAATTTGTCACCGATTTGATGTTGATTCAAAAAGAAGCAGGCGGCGCTAGACTGTTGACTGACTTTCAATTTTTCCTCAAATACTGGAAGGCTCTGCCTAGTTGTCATTTCTTACCTTTGCTCTGGCCAGAACAGTCTTTGATTTTTTTTTTATTTCAAACAGCTCGAAAAAAAACCTTCCTTTGCTGTGAGCCCTAAAAGATTTGAAAGCTTCAATTCAGCTTTTTCGCACTTGTTCGAGGCTTCGAATTTCTATGAAACCTTAATTACGGGCGCAAATCCGTTTCTTGGAAAAGCCACGTTGCTCTCCAAGGGTGGATATGTCCTAAGAGAAATGACGTGAGGAAAAATTATGGTTCCATAAATTTTTGAAATATTGGTTTTTGCGTTGACTGGTAAGCCAGTTTTCAGCAGGTTTTTCGGAAAGTGTAATAGCAGGCTTTTTTTCTTCTGAGGAACAAAAGATGCGAATTTTTGGTTTGCAGAAGAAATTTCCAGAAAATATCGCTTTTTGCCATCATAATTCACAGCTCTCTATACTTGACTCCTATCTTTTCCGGTTATTGTTTAAAAAGGTGAAATTTCACAAAAATGGCTATGCATCTTAGCTGTCAGTCAAAACAGACAGGCTCGGAAAAATGACGAAGTCGAGCACCGGTTTACGTTTTCACTAGAAAGAATCACCGAGCTTAAAAATCAAATAACTATCATTTAGTTTTGATCAAGATCATCTCAGATCTTATTTTTAAAAAAAATATTCCAAATGAGCAAAGCAAACTTGAAATTGAATTCTGTGCCAAGAACAAATTGTCTTTTCTCTAAAATAATCCACTGAAAGGTATTATAAAACTTTGAAATAATGATTTTTGCATTGTCCAGTTATTTTTCAGAACAATTTTTCAAATGATACATTTGTGGGTTTTTGTTTTTTTAAAAACTACCAATGCTGATTGAAGATTTTCCTAAAAATGTTTGATTGGCAAGTTTGCAATTTTTTTTTTGAAAATCGCGACTTCGAAAAATCATTCCAAGTTGCTCCAAGAAAAGAACTTGAAAAGTGTAACTGACAGAGTTTTCAGATGCAATTATATCCTATCTGCGATTTCAAACTTCCTAGCAGTTTATTTTCGAAAGAACCAAACTTGTGGTGTTGAGAACGTGGGATAGACTGTGGGATGAATGGGTCTTAGCGCGGTTGCCTCACACAACAAAAAATGGATCCACACGTAAACAGTCTGCTCTGAGGCACTCACCCCCACAAAAAACAGAAAAAAATGTCTGAGTTCAGCCATTTATATTTCACGCCTTTCATACTGCCATTTTGTTATTATTGTTTTTATTAACTTTTTTTACTTTCCAAATGCTATTTTATTGTAAATTTGAAATTTTTCATAAAAAAAAGTATTGAACTTTCAAAATAATCACTAAAATCTGGTTTCTACACAGTAGTCGCCAAGTACTTTTTGCGTCTTCCGCGAGTCGAAGAACGATCAACTTTTTTAATAGTAGTCGTCGTTTTAAAATAACTTTTTTATGGCAAGAATAGAATAGAGTTGCAATAAATATTATGATGTATAATTTTAATTTTGAAAAAAAGATGCATCCATATCTAACAACTTGATTCAAAAACTTGATTATATTCAAAAACCTTGCTTATTACAAAAAAGATGAGATATTTTCGGTTTCCTACCAAGAGTTATGAAATTCAGTTTTTTCGAAACAGTTAAAAAAAGAATAACCTCTTGCATTTCAAAAGAGGGGTTTTTCAAAATTTCGTGCTCCTTTCAGAAAAAATGTATGAATCATCAAGTCATTTGAAAGAATTCTCACAGACACAATAGATTCAATTCGAATTTCGTTGCAGGTATACGTCTAACACCGCATGAAGCATGTAAAGTACGATTCACGGCAGTTTCTCTCGTACCTTTAAATTTTTATATAGCAGAAGCTTTTTTCACATGGAGCACAATCAAATAGCTGTCTCACTGCGAAAACAGTTTGTAAGGCTAGAATGACTTTTTCGGTTTCTTTTCATTTATTTTCACCTCAATTTTTGAACGATGAGGGGAAATATCCTGAATGACGTTCCTTTTTCCCGCGGATGCTCTCAATTTCGAAGCGGATGCTCAGCTCTGGCCTCTGCTCACTCAACGCGCCGTTGACGAAGAGGCCGGTTGTTGTTGTTGTTTTGGCTCCGCCCACTTTCCATGCCAGATGCCCTTCGGACGTCGCGTCAATCCAATCCTCTCTTCTCGTCGTTCCGTTTCTGCGCTCCCTTCGCCTTGTTTTATTCCTTCCACTGGCCCCCCAACAACCTTAAGAAAAATTATTTTCGAGTTGACTTTGAATTAAAAAAAGGTCTCCGGAGCGGCTTGTTTTGAAAAATCAAAATATCATTTTAATTAGGGGTGAAATTGATTTTCAACCCTAAATAACAGCTAGAAAAGTTATCTGGCTCGTATTTCGAGAATTTTATTGGCGGTAATGAATAAGAAATGCTCATTTTTCCAAAATTCAAAAAAAAGCTTGGATTCCACAATAAAACAAGATTTCAGACCAAGAAGTAGAAACTTTTTGCAGTTGAAATCAAAGATATTTTCAAAAAGTCATGTAAAACTACTTTACGGCTCAATACTCTTCCATATTAAATATTCTCTTTTGACAGTCCCCAACTTTATTGTTTTATCCACTTTATCTAATGTATTAATCAATCCTAGTAAATCATACAAATTTTTTGAAAAAAAATCACAAAAAAAGTAAAAAAATTGAACGGCGCGAACTGAGAACACAAAAAAACTACCATCGATTGGTTACAGCGTTGGCCGTGCAAAAAAAAATTCACTTTTCTTGCCTCTTTAGCGCGAACAAATGTAACAAACAAACTTGTGGCTCACTAAATTACCTTTTGCAAAATCAATAAAAAAATAATTCACAAAATATCCTCTTTTTCTGCGAGCTGTCTCCTCGAATTACGTTTTAAGTGAAGAAAAAAATAATTTTTTTCCAGATCATCTAACTTCAAAATGGCCCTGACTCTTTCCGACCTTCCCAAGTTCATCTGCGCTGTTATTCTCCCGGTAAGTACCACTTGAAAAACTTCTTTTGAGTGAAAATTAGTGCGATGTGTAACGTGAAATAGAAGAATAAAGCTTCGATTTGAATGGATATTATTCTGCATAATGAAAAAAATGAACTGTTTTTCTTACACTATATACACTAGTTGATACATAACTCAGTTTATCATAAGTTTTCAGCCGATTGGAGTTTTCCTGGAAAAAGGCTGTAGCTACCACCTGGCCATCAATATCCTGCTGACGCTTCTCGGCTTCATCCCTGGAATCATTCACGCCTGCTACGTCATTTTGGCCTATTGAATTTTTCCCGAATTATTTTTCGAATTGAGACATAAAAACTGTCTTGTTCACTTGTCTGACGAGCAAGGTTAGTGTACCCAAATATCGCTGTCCGATAAAAATCAAACGTTTTTTATTTCTGTGCATTTTATTCGACATTGCAATCCTTGAATCATTGTTATTAAAGCATACTGAATTTATATCAAGCTACTTTCTATACAGCGAGAATTTACAAAGTTAAACAAAAAAAATAAGACAAAATATATTCAATACGAAAGCTCAAAAAATATTTATTGTGGAAGAAAAAGTTATCTACGGAAAAATTATTTAAAACGTGTAATCCTTTTTCAAAAAAAAAATCTCAAGATGTGATAACATTCGAGGGATGAACGGAGTTGGCTTTGGTTGGTCTTGATATCCGACGAGCCCTAAAACCAGTTGTCAATTTCATTTTGCTTTTTTTTAATTGAGGGAAGGAATTAATCGATTATCTACTTTATTCACGTTTTTCTATTTCAGCGAAACGATCAATTTTTGTGCAATTTTTTTGAACTCGTGACGATGAATTAATCGTATGGAAACAGGAGTTGACGGAAATTAGAAATGCCTGCTCACCATCGTGCACACGGAAAGAAAGAGAAGATTTTGTGTCGGAAATGAGGGTTCGTTGCAATCATACAGATCGTTGCGGTCAGTCCATGCGTCGACATGATGATGAATGTTACCACCGACAAAGCTGCAAAAGAGTTTTTCAATCAACTCGAAGACGACGAAACCTTCATGAAATCTCTATTATTATTGTTCAGCGTTAAAGAACTCCGTCTTTTTTTCGAAAAGTTTAAGACTGATAGTGAGTCAATCATCCTTCAAAATTTCGATTTTGTTTTGCAGACTTTTGAAATTCTGTGAGAACAGCTGACACACTTTTCAATTTTTGAACGAAGTTTTTCTGAGAACACCTCATACTTATTTTTTTCAGTGTTTTCAAGGGGAAAGAAGAACTAACAATGGAGCGCAAATATTTCAAAGAAGATGATAATTGAGTTGATAAAAAATGGCATCACTGTGAAAACCACTGGCACAATGACCTGAAATATCAATATTTTCAGTTATTTCACACATGTGAACCTGGCAGTATAAGCTGAGGAGCGCGGTTCTCTGGATTTGATACGTTCGGATTGAGATTATGTTTTTGTAGGTATTCAGCAAATACACGGTGTATATGCCTATGAACCCCCCGGAAACGACACTTATAACCAGGACAACATAAATGAATATTGTCAAGGTTAGCAGATTGTAGTTTAGGGAGCAACTGTATATTTCAAAAAACTGGTAGCTTAGTAGACGGGGTGCGCAGGTTTCGTAGTGCTGAAATTATTTCTCAATCAAGTTTACTGAAAGTGAATTGTAACCTTGACTAAGAATGCTTCTTTTTGATTCGCAGTCAGTTGGGACTTATGCATCAGTGCCGCCAAGACAAAAGGTATCGTGTGATATACAAGAAGGCTGAATCGAGTGGTGTACTTGTTGAATGGCGCATCTCGGAACTGAAACTTTATTTTGCATTTTTTTTCGGAGCAAGAATTCGACTTGTCCAATTTCGGCAACTGTGTTACAGCGATACAGAAAACAAGACATGACTGCCGGAGGGAAAAATCCTGCCACAAAAACCCAAAATGTCTGAATTTGGTTTTTTAAATATCTAAAAAAAAAACTTTGAACTTTACTATTAGAGTGTGAGCTGTGATCCCAACAGCTGTGTAAATATCCGAAAGAAAACTCTCCATGACACCTCCCATTATTGGAAAAACAGGGTAGGGAATGTTGAAAAGGGACATAAGACATTCGGCCAAAGCGCAGACGATCTGAATGTTTGTAGCGTACTCGAGCTTTTCAAATCATAATTTTCAATTATAATATTCATTCACTCTAACAGTGTTTCAAAAAATTTTTTAAGAAAGAACAAACGAACAGAGAAAAAAAGTGAGCCGTACAGTACTGTCAGAAAAGACGGAAAAACGCGACTTTGGACACAACTTTTTTGTAAGGAATTCAAGCTTCTTGAAAGTTTCTGAATTTGGGTTTTTTTTTCTATGAACTGCCATTTTATCAGAATGTTAAAAATATGAGTCATTAAAACTACAGAAAGTTTCCGAAGAATTGAATTTTTTGCAAGAAAGTTGTGAACGGAGCCCCGTTTTTTCTTAATTTTTCTGACGGCAGTTTATGTTAACAACGCCAAAAAAATTGCGTTAGAGCAGAAGTCATTGCCAGTCGGGTGGACGACTAAACAAAAAAATACAAAAAAACTGTGCTGATCAGGTTAGAGAGGCTTTCACCCTGTGGATAATTCGAATCCGGACAAGTTTAAATCGAATAGCCTCAATGGTCCGAATCCGACTTTCAAGTTCGCTTTGAACACGTTTTTCATAAGTTTGTCAGATTATAAAAGTTTATTGCTATGTTTAACAGAATGTAGAAAAATCTTTTTGAGCGATTTCGCTTTACGAAACTGCAAAACTAAGAACTTAAAGCGATTCTTTGGTGAGGATTTATTCTATTCTTTCGCAAACCGACAAAAAAGCAGACTTTCATACCAACACGCTTCCAAGTGCAGGAAAAAACCTGATTTGTCAAATTAACCAACCTGAACGTAGAGCAGAGTATAACGATAAGCGGTCCTAGTACGACTTTTGAAAACTAGGAAGTAGAGTCCCAAAGAATTCACAAAGAAGGAAATGCATCCGATAGAGCTAAGAGTTGTCGAGTACCATTTCGGGATTTGCAGAGGACAAGCGACTTCGATTCGGGAGCTCATCTCTGCGCAAATGAATTTTCCCGGGTATCCCCCTTTTATTTCCGCCAAAAGAGCTATCACATCGTACATTTTAATTTCCTTTTCATCGGTGGCAATCCCCGAGTCGCCGTTTTTTTGACCTCATTCGTCATCTCTTTTAGTCAAGTCATCTCCTACTAAAAATTTATCTTTTCAGTTCCATCATTTGTTTGAAAAGGTTAATCAGAACGGTCACGGAAAGCAAAAATTTTTATGAAAAAAATTAGATTCAAAAAAACCGGATAAGATAAAGCTGACGAAAGAAAGGTTTGAAAATTCGGGAAAGCTCAGTGGCAGTGGAATAAAGAGAACGTCATGTTACGAAAGCTCCAAAAAACGAGTGAAGTTCCGAGAATAAACGTTGAAGCAAAAATCACAGGCAAAAAAATCTTCTTTTTTAATGTTGATGAAAGAAAAAAGTTTGAGAATCGAAAATCTACGTTCTAGATATTTTAAACAGGGAGAAGTTCCGTGCACATACGAGTTTGAATAGCTTCAATACGATTTCTCATGACAATCCAAATGTCTTCGGAAAGTTCTTCAACGTTGCTATAACGAACTTTTTGCGTATTGAAGATGTCTAGAGCAAATTGCAAAATCTGGTCCTGAAAAAAAAACATGAAGATAATCCTAAATTTTCTTTGGCTCCATTTTTCGAAATATTTAAAAATTGAAAGAATCTTTTTAGAGATTCGCATTGAATAACTTCAAAAATTCTTTCATATCTAAAAAAAAATCTGTGATAAAAAAGGTTACTCACTTTGAAATAATGGCAGAGTTCGCCGAGGCGATCATCAGTGCCTAAAAATCCAAGGATGATAGCAGGCATCAGGGCTTCAGAGATATTGTAGAAATGTGCGATGAACCCATGAGCAACCTGAAAACCAGCTGGTCTTCTTACCTCAAAATCAATAAAAAACCTTCAGACGCTGCCTTTTTGCTTTGAGCATGGACCAAATGACAGTGTTCAGCGTAGAATATTTCATCGATTGCGAGAGAAACACGTTTCTTGTTACTGAATTATTTTTCAATTAGATTTTCGACGAAAAAATATGAATCCGCTAACCTGAATAAATTGCAGAAGGCGGTGAGCGCAAATCTTCAAACGAATCGAAGAGAATAAAGTCGAGGACCACGTCATAAAAACTTGTGCTTTCGACCTGAAGAATGTTTGAGTAGCATATTCATTCTCTTATCCAGTGATATACCCCTCGAGAAAAAACTTCATCTTTGAAAACGTCGAAGTGCAGTGGGTCTTTAAACCATTCCTGCATTCCTTCGAATGCACGGATAAATGGCAAAGGATCCTGAAATAAAATTCCCAAAAAAAACCAGAAGATGTGAAATAACCTGCTTGGTGTGCCGAATGTAGTCCGCCAACATAGTTCTGCCACAGTTCCACAACCAAAGTCTTTTGTGTTCGTCTTCGAAAGTGCGCTGTAAGGAAGAAGATTTCTGTGTTTTTAGGCTTTTTTTACCTCCATCGCCAATCGAATGCCGAATAGTTTGGCAGCAAACTCGGTTTCTGTTTCGCATTGGCACGTTTCTGCGCGTGACTTGCGATATTTGACCTGGAAATAAAAAGTACAGTTTATGACAAAAAAGTTAGTTTAAACGTCTCCGTTTGCAGCAGCTTGATAGCCTTCTTTCAGTAACACAAGTTGTTCGTTGTCCAAAAAGCTTGCGTCTGTTTCAAATTCAACATCATCGATCCCAGGAGGCTAGAAAAAAGCTGTATGGTGTTTTAGGAATAATTGAACCCACAAAATCTTCGAAAGCCGACATGAAAGATCCATCAGAAAGTACGGAAAGAGTTCTCGTCGGCAGAGTATGAAAACTATCGCTTGGTTTCATTGCGAAAACTGAAGAAAAAAGAGTTCATGGCAACCAAATTGTACGAAAGCACCTTCTTCAGCAATATCACCTGAATGCTGAAGACCGGCGAAATCTTCTTCAATATCTTTTAGTTTCTGAATTATGGCCTCCGTCTTGAGTGCCCTTAAGCCAAAAATATAGACCTCAAAAAATTCATTACCTGCTCATATCTTTGTCGCTGCGATTTTTGACCATTTCCATGTTTTCCAAAACTCTTTCCAATGTGCGTCGCAATTCCAAACAAGCTCCATATCCTGAAAAAAATTTTCTACCAAATCATTGAATTCCAATATGGATAACCATTAAAAATATCAGCTTCAATCGGATTGAATGATGTGCTTTTTTGACGAAGGCTTAATCTAGTCGATCTATCGTCTGAAGAAGCACGAGTACGAACACTTTGCGAACGCCCTTCTAAATTATTTTATGGTTGTAAAAAAACAAAAAAATTGAGACTTCATAAAAAAAGTGGAAATCAACTACCGCTTTCATAAATAAAAAGTTCAAATTTTTTTACTTGTGAGAAGGAAGATTCAATTTTTCTCGAACAAAGAAAAATTCTTTGTTTAATCAAATTTCTAGAAAAAAATGTAATTGTACAAATTTTTGTGTGAAAGAAACCTTGACGAGGAGTTTGAATAAAAGGTGTTGAAGGCTCGGCTTCCAAATAAGAAGGTTCAATAAAACTCTTCTCAAGACTCTTCTCCTCTCGAATGAAATAACTAAAATAAATGTTTAAAATAGTCTTCAAAAAGTGTAAAGAGACCTTCGAAAAGCATAGGCGATCGTGAGGCCAATCCCTATGCCCGAAGTTACTGCAAGCATCGTTCTTTTGTTGAAAACCGCCAGCCAAACATTTGAACCACCGCTCTGAAATTTTTCTAATTTTTGAGAAGTAAATTGGGTTTGAAAAGGATTTATAAAAAAATTGGTATAATTCAGAAAAAAATTTAAATCTTTAATATATATATTTAACTGTAAAGTAGAAACTGTGTGGTTTTTGTACAATTTTCAGTCCTTTTTATGACCAATAGAAGCTAAATAAAACTTGTTTGCTTTGCAGCTCATTTTCAGAAAATATCGAAAATTGAACACAAATGAAAAAAAAAACATAATAAAATTGTTAAGTTGATCTCAAAACTCACGGAAGCCCCAGCTATCAAATGAGATGTCATGTGAAGTAATTATCTGAAAAAAAAACTTTGAGAGTTGTAAAAGTAGAGATAGAGTACACGAAAAATGTAATCATGATAAACATAGACAAAACTAAAGAAAAATAAGATGTTGTGTCTTCGAAGAAAGAAAAAAAGCGATTTTTACCCATGAATGGGATTCACCAAAACAATTCTGCTGTTTTGAATGAATTGACATTTACTGGAAAAAAAAATCAATATAGGAAAAAAACAGAAATACGGAACAAAGTACGAATGAGAAAAAAACACAAAGATTGGAGAAAAAAAGGTAAACAAACAACTGCGCGCCAAGAAGAAAAATTGGAAAAAAAGCGAAGGTGGTCAAAAAGCGCTCTGTTGCAATGCGTCCTCTGGAATCTCGTCCGCAGAAGTTTGAAAAAAACCGTCAGATTTTGTCATAATTTTATTAAGAAAAACAAGAAAAAAAGTACCTTTTTTTGCTGGTTTCCTAATCAGAAAGATTAAATTTCGGTGAATGAGTTAAATTCGGACACTTTTCGAATTTCTCCATAAAACTTTTATAATCAGTCTAGAAATTTGAATGTTTAAATTTGCTTTTATAAATGAGTTTTCGACATTAAAAATGTTTGAAAAACTTGTTTTTTTCTTCTGGTTATTAGTTACTCGATAAGTTTCAATAAACAAAGTTGTCTTGCAAAAGATTTAAAAATGAATAACAGGCAAAATGGGCAAATACTGGGGTTGAGACAACTGAATTGAACCTCTTACTGTTTCAAAGCTTGAGTACCAGTGCAAATCTATTATCGCAAAAACAATTTGTAGTCAAATTGTCCGATTGAAGAAGTTAGTCAAAAAAAAAATGAAAAAAAAAATCGAAAGACACGATTTCAAAAAAAATTTTCAGAAAAAGTTTTTTGAGTTTTTATGCTTATTAGTATGATCAAAAATTTTTTTCAGACTTTGAAAAATTTTTGGTGAGAGTCCAAATCCCGCTGAAGAAAAAAACATAGCAAGTTAGCCAAATACAACAAAGCAAAAAAAGTCCCTGCCAGACGGGTGAAAAAAATCAGAAAAAAGATCTTTTTTTCTGTTGAAAAAAATAACCAAATGATTTATTTGTAAACTCGAGATTTCAGTAGATTTTCTCAGATTGATTAGTTCAAAGACACAAATTGCGCACATGTTCCAAAGTTTGAGGTTAGTGATCTTAGAATTCCGGTTTGTGAACAAAAGAACCTGCTCACGGCCATTTAAAATCAAACAGGAAACTGTTTAAAATTAACAGAAAAAAGCCTAGTAACAGACCTGGCCAAAACAAATTTTAGCTGCAATAACTTCCATGTTACCTCAGATTCTTTTCAGGCAAAAGACGTTTTGTTCACAATTGCAAACAATGCTCTAGCTGCTTCGAAGTCGTGAAATGATAAAAATTTAGTTCAGAAAATGTTTCTGAACAGAATTTCTCCTTCATTTTTTCTTATCTTTTTTTTCACCCAGTCACTATTTTAGCGATGAAGCTTTCCCGAGTTGTATCGCAAAGTCTGAGCTCTGTGTTTGGATAGGAAAATCTTCACCTGGAATCACTGAAATTAAAAGCTCTACTTTTTTTCGAAGAAAAATAATTATTTGAAGGTTGAGCCAGATTGTGGACAACACAATTAATTCGTAAACCTTTTGCATGGCCATTTCTAAGTGATACAAATACTAGATTTTTCTGAACAAATTTATTCACTGAATTGATTTCGATTTTTTTTCGTTAATCAACGCCCTGAAGCAGCCAGGAAGTTTGTCTGTACATCGATAAAATTGGAATCTCCTGTTCAAACTATTGGAAATATGGAAGCCTAACTGATTGTGCAATAAAGTTTGTCATAATGCTATTTTTCAGATGTCAATATCTTTTAACTACTAAAGATTGAAAAGCTTCAACTTTTCATTGCTTTTTTTCGAAGCAAAAAATGATTCAAGGTTGAGCTAGGTCGTGGATTCGTACAGCACGTACACACGGAGAAAGTGCTGCACACCGCGTGGAACGGGCAGCTGTCGGCTCGCGGCGTTGCTGGATCGTCTTCCCGTTTACTTTCCCGCATCCGTTTCTTTTGAGTTATAACCTGTGTGCTGATCGCGGCAAAAGCGTATTGAAATATTGTTGTGTCCCACCTCGTCAGGTGTAACACGTGTACAAGTGCCGGCAGATGCTTTGCAACATATTTTCCCTGCTTCAAAGTTGTGTTTTTGATAGGCAGATGTATTACTCACTTGAAAACATTAGAAAAAGAAAAGTCGACTTCGAGCAAAACATGGTTTTAGTGTTTTTGACTGATATAGTTGTTAAAATATCACGAAACAATCAAATAAAGGTTTTGAGATACAAGAGACATTCATTTTGAGAATAATCGTTTCCCGATTTATCAACTTTTAGCTCTTCATTCGAGCTTTTCGGTTAAAAAAGAAACTTTGAACCATATCATTTTTCCCTACAAAAAACATTTGATTGTTTAATTGCCAGTTTAGAAGCTGCAGTAAATCTTTTTGGTTCGAAAGTTATTTTTTTCATTATATAAACTTGACCAGTGAGCCGGCTTTATTGCCAGCTGACGCAGGATTAGCTTGTTTCTTATGACGTAATAAATTTTTTTCCCTGCAATATGCCAAAAAACTTGAGTCCTTTTCTTGTATAAAAAATCAAAAAGTTCAAACGATTTATGGAAACCTCAAACACACCCTTTCCCAAAAAAACCTTCTTAATAACGAGAAAAAAAAAAATCATGAATTTATTTTTCTTGATTTATTTAAACATTTACAGGAGGTCAGGATTTTGAAGATCCGCCAAAACGCACAGAATTCATCTATTTTTAATGGTTGTTGAAAAATTTCTTCAAAAAAAAAAGAAAAAATTTGGCCCAATCTTTTTTTATATTGAGTGTTTGCAAAATACAGGTATATTCTTAATAGTCGCTCAAAAATATTTCTCACTCTTTTTCCGGCGGTTTTAACATTTTTTAAATTGGCCACGCCTTCGAAACAAGGCTTAGCAGGAGCGTGAGCGTGAGCTCGTGTTTTTGAGCTAATTTTCGTAGAAGCCCTCGGATCTATTGGAGTCACTGCCTCTCTAGCTGCCAGCCTCCCTCGTTGAATGGCAACGTGCGAAGCCACCAAAATTCGCGTTAGAGAGAACTCTCGGACTAATGACCTCCGCTCGGCTTTTGAACTATTCAAATCATAATTTACGATAATTTTTTTGACAGGAAACCAAATAAAAAAATATCTTTTTGTTTGGAAAAAAATGCTGAGGTGTCATTTTAGTGCCTCAAGTTTGTCATAAGCTTTTCGTGGCATACAAACTCGTTGTCTGTTTTTTTGAATGCGGATTTTTTTGCAAAAAAATTGCGAAAGTTTTTTTCCTCTTCTCGGTCAACATGCCTGCTTACATCAAAAGAAATACCTTGTATCTAAAATGTTTCATTTTTTTGAAGGTCAAAAATTTTTCCGAAAGTTTGCCTATTGCCGCGTTCCGATTTTTCCTGGCTGTTCCTGCTTTGCCTTTTTGCGAGTCCCTGGAAAACCACAACTAGCTAAATTTTGGATGCACGAACCACCAATTCAGTGCCAATGCTTTGCGCGAAACGTAAAAAACATATATGGCGCACGAAAACCAAAAATCGATGAATTCCGTTTATCTTTCTTGTTTTTCTTCGGCATAAATTTTTTTCGTATGATCCATTACCAAATTTTTCTTTCTCTCAAGTTTAATTTCCAAAAAAACTTGATGAACTCAAAGTTTGCGAAACAGATAAGAAATTTTTGGTTTCAATTGGTGAGTTTATATTGTTTTTTTGGTTTTGCAATATTGTCATTATCGTCGTTTAAAAAAACTTTAGATGACGTAATTAAATGAAGATTAAAACCGTTTCCAAATAGAAAAATCGAAAAATTTTTTTTTAGAAGTAGCAAAAATTAACGATTTTTTTAAACTTTTTTTTCGACAATTTTAATTTTTGGGAAAAATTTCAATGAAAAACCGATCTTTGGTAGAAAAAATAGCAGATCCTTCTAAGGAAATAAACGCTTTTTCCTCTCAACACACACCAGCTGCGCGTCGTCGCACTATACATTTCACGCCGTTTCGCGACCGTTTCCCGGCAGGAGCTCGTCTTGTCTTGTCAACTAGTTTTCCACTTTCATGTCAACCTGTTGATCTCTTTTTCTCTTGCTCTGCTCAGTGTTGGCTTTCAAAAAAATATGCTGAAAAAAATTTCCACAAGAGCGTTTTTTTCACTTTTTAAAAAAATAATAAGAAATATTTTGAAAAACAATTTATATTCAGAATAAACTAAAAAAATTTCAGTAATTTTATCATGAAAAATAACAGAAAAAGCTCTCATTTGAAATAAACTTTCAAAAAAAGAATTTCAGAAAAACTTTCACACTTTTTTTGAAAAATTTTTTTGTACGAGTAGCTATTTTTCCCAAATAACCGTTGGAAAAAAATGAAGAAAAAAACTGTTTTTATTTTTTTTGAACTGTGGGAAATTTTTTTCAGTATCACGTTTCAATTTGATTACTTCAATGCCTAATTTTATTGTTTCAATTATTTTCGAATGGAAATGAACTATTTTTTGTTTTCTTGCTGGTTGGCAGATCTAAAAACCAGTCAGGGATTTTCCCTCCTCTAGCCCGCCTGGGGACATGAAAACTATTTTCTCTTCATTCACTACTCCTTTTTGAGCGTTTCTCTACCATTTCCACATTTTTTTCCCTTTTCATTCATTAATGGATTTACTTCTGTCGCTAAATTTGAGAATTTCATAAAATGCGAATAACTTTTTCTACAATTTGTTCAAGTCTGGAATTACACAAAAAACATTAAAAATTTATTTGACTACAGACTGAATGAAAAATGGCTACGTTATAATCTTCCCAATGAACTCTTCTTGCACAAAAAAACCAGAACAACTTCTAGAATGAAGCTTCGAACATTTTATTGGTGATCTGTTTTATGTGCCACCCACTTGATCGTTTTTTTTTCTCTCTCAACTTGCAGTGGGGAACCAGAGAAACGATTTGTGTGAAGTGTGCGATTCATCTTCTAGTTTATTTCCTCTTTTTCACAATGCAGAGTAGTGTTCCTCCGATAATTTTATTCAAAATATCACAATGAAATTTTTAGCTGACTGATCAAAAAATAACTTGAAGCTAATTATGTTCTGAAATACTCATTCAAAAAAAAGTAAATAAAAATTTCAGCTGATCAAAAAAATAGCTCAAAAAAATATTTTTGTTTCGTAAATGACAACCTGAAAGCCCAGCATGATCGGAAGTATCACTGAAAACGGTTTTTCGGTCTTGGCAACTTTTTAAACTTTCTTGTTAAGATTATGAAATTTCGATGAATTTTTAACTTTTTGTGAAGTTGATGAGAAGTTTTTCTGAATAGGGAATATTTTTTAATTTCCCGATTGAAACTTTGATGAAATTTTGCTGAAGTGAACTTCAAGACCTCCTGATTGCAGAACAAGAAAAACATTTCCCGCATTCGAATAACCACATAATTTCTAGCTTCTTTTTTGGACGATGCTGCAAAGCTTTCCGTGACTTCGCATCGTAACGAAGCTTTTTGTTGTGGAACATGCGGAAAATATTACGCTTTGAGAAGCTGGCCGTTTCCCACAGAAAGAGATACATCAAGATGCGGCCTTTCCATGCCGTTTGCCGCGTGTTCCAGTGGCCGTTTGTTGAACAAACTATTACACAAATGGACTCGAGGCGTCTCAATTTCACATTTACGATGTCTTAACCAAAATGAGGAGTCCTCGATCGAATTTTTGAGAATTTTTCAAGCTGAAAAAGCGCGAAAAACGGTAAAAACTTTTTCTTGCGGCATCCCGGACGAAAGTTAGCGATTTTTATATTTCTTTTTCCGAAAAACATTCAAAAGCCAACAAAAAGCGACCCGTTTTTTTGTTGTCATGCATTTCCCAACGGCTGTTCAAATATGAAAGAAAATGGCAATAAATGTACTATTTCTTGTTTTTTTAAACACTTTCTCTCAAAAAATATTTTCGCCACAAGCCGTTTTCATTAATTTTTTCCTTTCTCTGAAGTTCTCGAAAACTCCGTAATTCGAAACTTTTGCTTATCATTTGCTTTTGGCTGCAAAAAAGATAAGGAATAATTGAATTTTTTCGACGGTTCCCTCGTTAGTTTTTCTCAATACTTTTTTTCTTTTTCATTTTTCGTGGCTTTATCATTATTTTTTTCTTAATATTATATTTGCACAAAGCAATATTTCAGTTCAATCGGAATGTTACGGGAAGAGACTTTGACATCACAAGATGATGAAATGCCATCTACAAGGTTTGATTGAAACCAGGACATTCCTTTATACAATAAATGTTTTTAAAGCGCCAGCCAAACCGGAGAGGTGACACCTAAAAAAGGTATTTTGAAAAGGCCATCGTTGAAAAATGAAAGCGAAAAAAGAGATTTGGTAAGTTTCGAGAAGAAGAAACTTTTCTTTAAGAAAATTTTTCAGTTATTTCCACTTCCTGGCTTCCGTGCATCGCCGGATAGGTTCCCCGAAAAACCTGGAACTCGAATACCAAAGCTGCAAGTCACGTGGTGGGAAAAAAACGCCGGTCAGTTTATCAATTCGAATGAAACTAATTCATTTTATTTAAGTGGCCTTTATTGGAGAGACCAGCGACGAAAATAATACAGACTCGGAACAATTGATGAAAGATCTTGGCGGAGGTCCGAGGGAAATTGTTCGAGAAGTTCAACAGCAGCCAGACAGGTGGAGTTTCATGTTTTTTTTTGTAGCTATTCTCCTCTCTGACCTTTTTATTAAATGTTTTTCAAGAGAACCAGCATAATGGAACTCATTATTTTCCAGACAAACAGCAATATTAGATTCGGAAGATTCAGAAGACTTAAGTGAAGTGCGAGAAGAAATGCATTTAGAAAACAGTCAAGGTGATAAAATTCAAAAAGAACGTCTTAAACTAAATTTGATTAGCAGATAAGTTAGAAAGAGATTTTGACGAAACGATGAGTGTTGCAAGTTCAACTGGTAGCGCATCTTCTGCCGTCGTCGGCCGATGGTGGACCGGCAAAGATACAAGGTTTTGGATCGAAAATTAATCAGAGGACTCAATTTTTCACAGATATGTTCCTCATTGTCACAAAAAGGGCTGCAACCATGCCAGTCATAGCGACGTCGGAGAATATATCACTCCAACACAAAGAAGGAATAAAGAACTCTCGCAACTCAAAAAAGTTGGGTTTCTCCCTTGAATGTTTCACGATTGGTTTAGGAACTCCGGCAAGTAATAGCGGAACGAGATGAAAGAGACCAGCATCTAACAGCTCTGAGAGATAAAGTCAAAGAGGTTCAGAATTCGAATATTCGGATTTAGATGTTTTTCTTGAAGATCGAGATTTTGAACGAAGCTCAAGGAGCTCTTACTGAAGGCCAAAGGATCGCTAGGAAAGAGCAACAGGCTCGAGAAGCTCTGGAGAAAGACAAAAAGATGATGGAGAAGAAACACGCCGTACGTGTGAGCCAACTGGTACAAGAAACAATGGCGGCGAGGTCTTTCCCAAAAGATAATTTTTTATCAGCAATATTCTTCAGAGAAGAATCCATCAAATTAACAAGTCGTATTAACGAGCTCGAAAACTTATTGAATAAGCCGACACACGAGTCTTCAACTCAAACGGATTTTGCGCAGGTGAGGCTTAATTTTTTTTTAGCTTACGTTCGGTATTTTTAGCCCGAGCCTGTTATAACCGTTTTGACACCAATGAGCCCACCGGATCCTAGTGATCCTAATCAGATACCTGTACAAGGTTCAATTTCTTTTTTTAAGGAAACCGCCTAATTTCAGCATCACCAAAAGTTCCACTTGTCAATGCCCAAACGTCAGTTCCGGAAAATGTTAAAATTTACTCTTTTTCTTTGAATTTCAACGATTTTTAGTTGAATATTGTGGCTACAAGTCCCGCGCTCATCTCTCCGTTGAATATAACTATTGACTCACAAGGAAAGACGCAAATGTTCTGCAATCAGGAAGCTTTGAGCCATCATATTCAGGTTTGTATCCGTTATTTTTTTTGAAATTTTTCAATAATTTTCTAGGCGTGTCAAAACGAAGCCTTCATCTGGAGAACCAAAGCGGCCCAGCTGGAAATTGTTGCAAAAGATCAACTTTTAAAAATCGCGAGCCTCGAAGCTCAACTCGCCTTGCACCCACGTCCACAGAACGATTTTATCTCTCCAAAGGTTGAAGTTTCCAGTTTTTTTTTCCAAGTCCATTCTTTGTAGAATTTACTTTCGCCGAGCGTTTCCCAAACCCTGATCCCCAGATTGGAAATGAAAGAAAATGGCGTAGGCTCCACGGATATCCTAGCAGATACCATGGTCTATCATTTCCCTCAATGATGAATTCTTTTTTTTTTGTATTTAAGTCGCCTCTGCCCTTCTCTTTTGGGAATGAAGAATGCAGTTCTGTCTCTTGTGCCGAGAAAAAATCAGTTTTAGCGCAGGACATTTCTGGATTGAATGAAACGGTAATCCTCTCTGAGCAGACGCTGACAAGAAGTATATTTTTAGATCGAAGAAGCCAAAATACGTGTCAGGGAACTTGAAGATGACGTCAGCGTTTTGAGAAAAGAAATCGAGAAAATTGAAGATGAAAAGTAAAAAAAATTATCGGGTTTCACAATAATTCAGTTTTTCAGGGGGAGAATGGAGGGTAGCTTGCAACAGGCAAAGTTGGACAACGACTCGAAATCTGCAGAAATCGCTGCGTCTCTCACAACAGCTCATAGATTGCAGGTTCAAAAACTTATTGGCTCAGGAAGTTGAATGATAACTGTAGAATGAACGGGATACAATGCAAAAAGCCATCGATTACATGGAAAACAGGATGCAAGTGTACAGAAACACGTTGATGGAACACGACTTGGTAGTGAGCGACGAAGCTCCAACAGATTGGCGCAAAACAACCATTGATCCCAGGTCGAAAAGTTATTTTTTGGATCGAATAATTGTTTATTTTAGATACAATATCATGTTGAGCAAGAAAATTCAAACAACGCTCACTTCACAACAAATGTCTGAGCACGAGTCCGAGTTTCATAGCACTCAGCAAAAGCTTCATGTTAGTTTTTTGATATATAAAATAAGAATTCCTCCGTCCGTTAGCTTGAGCCAAAAAGAAACAGAAATGATCATGTTTTAACATCGTTTCAAGGCTCTCAAAAAATATTATCTCAAGACGAAGAAAGACTATTTTGGGCTTCGTAAAAACTGGGAAAATGAGCCATTCAAACTTGAGAAAAAGATCAATTAGCCAAAAAGTGGAGTCATATACGCTGTATAAAGACGTCTCATCCAACAAATTAATATCCAAATTTCATGTCTACAGGAGCTCAGTCAAGAGTTCTCGGCCAAGAAATCGACGCTGGCTAGTCGTTTCGAAGAAGTCGAACAGATTCTTCTCGCCAAAACGGAACTTGTCGAGGCTCTATCTAAACAACTTGAGGACACGCGACGGCAGCAACGAACCGACATGGAGTCCCACCAGCGAGAACGCGAAAACTACAAAAAGTAAGTATAAATGTGTAGAGTCTTGGGATTTCTCAGAGAATATTCGCAACTGTTTGACATCACCAAAATGATGACAATTATTCTACATTTTGATTTTTAGAACGCTCGAAGAAACATCGGCTGTTGCTGAAAAAGTTCCTGTTCTGGAAAGGCAAATGGCGCAACTTGTTAAGGTAAATTTTTGACATTCTTCTTTCTCAAGGTTTTTGATTCGAACACAGGAGAAAAACGAGTTCGAGTTAAAATTCAAAGAACAAAAAGAAGAATTCGAAGACGGACTGGCAAGATCTTTGGAAGAATCACTTTCAAATTACAAAGAGCAAGCCAATTACTGGAGTGACAAGCTCGCGACCCAAGAATCTCAAATGGAACGGCTGAAAGTGAGAATTTTTTCCAATTTTTGTTCTCATTCAGCTTCTGGCAGTTCAAAAAAATAAGAATATTCAACAAAAAAGTTAACATTTCAGAAAGAAAACGCCGGCTTGACCAAAGAGTTAGAAGAACAGAAGATGCAGAATCATCTACAAAAAGCCGAACTTCAAAGAAAACTTGTTAGTAGTATCGAGCACGTGGAACAACTGCAAAGCAAGGTTTCAAAGTTCAAAAAACTTGATTAAAAAAAATGTTTTAATTTAGATTCACAAATCCCGAAGAGACGTGGAATGCCAAGCCAAACCAAGATTTGTTAACAAATACGTCGCTTGTCGACCAAATTCCAAACATCGTTCCACCGGCATAGAGAAGGTTCAAATTCCGCCTATAAAACGCAAAAAAAAAGAAAGTTCAGGGTGATTTGTTTGATGAGACAGATGAAAGATTGAGGATTTGCCAGACCGAACTGGCCACAACACGACGACAGGTGACAGTGCTGCAGCAAAAGCTCATTACGGTTATTCAGCAACAGGTACTGGAGATTTTCGAGCTAATTCAATTGAAACAAAAATTCAGCATGTCGATCAAGCTGTCAGGAAAAGATCTGTAGTGGCGGAAATTGTTCCTCCACTTTCTCCAGAGCATGGGAACAGTACGAGCGACAGACTAAGAACTCTCGATTTGAAGAACAAAGAACTTTCCGCTAAGGTTATTTATCCCTGGTGGTAAATGAAAGCTGGGTCTAAGCTTAATGTAGATGAGCTCAGTCCAAGTCAGCTTTTCGGAGCGCTCACTCTGTTGATGTGCCAGACGGAGGATTAATTTTTTGGTCATCGTAAGAATAAGGGTCGCTCGAAGTTGAGAGCGGCTCTAAACTCAATATCCCTAATTTCATGGTTTTTCCAAAAACAAAAACATGGTTTTCAAGAACATTTTTTTGCGGTTCTATGGAATTCGATCACTGAAAAAAATGAACAATAAACACGAAGATTTAATCTTCAAGGATATTGCTTAATATATTTCAGGTTTGTACGTTGGAAGTCGAAAAATCGCTCATGGCTACCCAAGAAAAGTCACGGATACAAAAACTTGTCACGGAATTTGACAACGTTCGGAAAAAGCTTGATGAGGTTTTTTTTAAATTTTTTCACTGCATATCGGATTCAGGACATGAATATGTATAGCAAAGAAAAACAATGGCTGCAATGGAGAATATCGAACCTGGAGAAAGACAACACTGAAATGCAGAGCAATGTGGAGAAATTGCAGCAAAAACTCGCAGATCAGTCTCCATTCACAGCCGATCGGATTTCTCTTTCTTCTTTGAGGTATTTTCCAGAGAACACTTCAATATTCTGAAATTTCCGCAATCTTCTTCATATGTTGTTAAATAGAACAAAACGGTACATTTTATAGAAAGACAAACTCGGAGCCAGAAATTGGAAGAGAAACGAGTTGCAGCGATGAGATGAGCTCGCAAAATGTCACTTTCGGGTTGGAAAATATTGAATCGTGTAGAAAGATGAAATTTATTTAATACAGAGATCTTGGGGTAAAAATGACGGTTAGACAGAGTGTGGCAGAATCTGAAGATGAGCCCAAAATTGAACCTCCTTGCTTCGTCACTCCGGCCGTGGCTCCTTTTTCCAACTTGGCTGACGTTTTAAATTTGGTTTGTTCTGGTCTATTTTTCAATCTGAGCATGGTTTTTTGGATGCGATTCCTTTTTCCCAATTGTCTTCTCATTTTGAGGTCCGATCGGATTTGGAACAAGTTTTGACGCAAATTGAGGAGCCTGAAAGTGCACAAATTCTTATGGAAGACCGATTAAACGAAGCTGCAAGTGCTTCTTTTGAAACAGTGAGTTTATTTAATTTGACCCTCTGTTCAATTTTCCTTTTTCTTTTTTGAAAAGAAACATTTACAGAATAAACAGACCGATCTCTGAATAAACTTTAAAATGTAAGCAAAGCTTGGCGAAGTGTCCTTTTGAACTAATTGATTTTGTTTTTTTTTTGTTGAATCGATCAAATGACGGCATGTTTTTTGAAAATTTAGTTAGGCGTTTTATTTTTTTTCTAACCACTGCCGTGTACCAAGTTGAAATTTACGTATTTTGAGGTAATGCCGTCCAACGTTGAGTAGAATAATTTTCCATAGTTTATTTTTATTGATTTTTATTTTTGGTTTTTGGAACAAATCAATTTTTGAAATTTTTTGAATACTTTTCAGTCAATGTTGGACGATGTTATGACAGAATGGGCTCAAGATGAGCTGAAAAGTATGGGAAATCAGCTGAGAAGGTCTAAAGAAGAGCGAAATATATTGCAGGTTCGGTTTTCTAAAACGAATTTGATAGCCAATAATTTTTTAAGAAAACAAACGATCGACTGTCAAAAGAACTACAAGTGGCTAATGCTGAATTGGAAGTTTTCAAGAGAGAAAAACCAACGAGTACTTCTAAACCGAATATGTTCCGACTGGTCAAATCTTCGAGTGCAACTGATTTATATAGCAAAACCGATGCTCAAGATGTCGTGAGGTAAAATTTTTTTCTGAAAAAGCTTTTTTTATTAAAAGGATGCTCATATGGGAGTTTTGAAACCCTTTTTGAAAAAAATACACATTCTGAGCCCAAAACTTTTTGAGCTTTCGTAAAATAAAAATTTATTTTTTTCAGGTGGAAACAGCAGTCAGGAACAATGTTTCGAGAGCTCAACCGAATTCGAAAAGATTTGGCAAAAGCTCTGGATCAAAACCGTGAACTACGGTATCAGCTTGCAATCACCCGAGGCGACCTCGAAATGAACAGTTGCGGCGGAGAATGGTACTTTTCAAAAAAACTTCGAGACTAATTAACAATTTTAAGGGCATCTTCGTGCCCATTGTCGCCTTCACTAAGCTATCACACGGCGGTGGATGTACCACGAGCAAACGAAACTGTGTAAGCACATTATAGTCTGTGTGCCATAACTTGAAATTCAACGGAACGACATTCCGCTGTTCCGCTGCGTGCGTTCGCGAAGCGTCTTTCGAATCTAGGTCACGCTTTCAATTGATTTTTATTGCTGTGGGTGCACATGGAAGTAGAGCACCTTAATAAAAAAAAGCGCAACCACGGTTCGCAAAGGCGCGCAGCGGCACAGCAGAATGTCGTTTGGTAAAATTCCAAGTCGTGGTAAGCAGGCTACATCAAGATTCTGAATTATTGAAAAAAAGATGGGAATCTCAAAAAAATTTTTTTACATTGAACTTTTCAAAGCCCAGTGAAAAAAATTAACTGACAATTAGTAAAAAAATGCAGTTAAGACAGAAAAATTCCGCTTGATGGAGTTTCAAAAAAATATACGAAATAAGATCAAAAAGTAATTAAGACTTTCATCTTGAAAAATAACTTGACTTTCATCAAAGATAAGAAATTATATATTTCTCTTCAACTTTTTTTCAAGCGTTTTTTTCTTGCGTTTAGCGATGCTTCAGTTCTATTAAACCGATTTATGGAAGTTTTCTCGCAGAAAAAAATATTTATTTCTATAAAAAAACATTTTTCAGAAGAGCTGACGAACTGGTTGTCCACGACAGCGGAGAACGTTTTGAGAGAGGTTCCAACCGAGCTAGCGTCGCTTGTAGCGTCATCGTGAGAAGTGAAAGCGCCGATCGATTGAAGAGCAAAAGTGTGAGCCGCGAACGTGTCGACATGGGAAAGGAGCGCGAAAGGGCGCGAAGTCGCAGTGCATCGCGTAGAAACCCCGCAACGAAAGACGTGATGGCCCGGCGCGAACAACGTAGGCAACTCAGAGTAAGTTTGCTCGAGCTTCAAAAATCTGTTTATGTTGATAACAGTGTTCTAAGTTTTTTTTTACTTTTTTCTCAACTTTTGAAGAAAAACAAATTCATCGATTCATAGTATAATATTAAACAGGCCATACAAGTCAAAGTTCTTTCATAACAGCATTCTCTGATTTTCAAAGAAACATCAGATGAAACTTTTGACAAAACACTTTTTTCTCTCTTCAGACAGCCCAGAAAAAATGCTCTTTTCTTCTGAAAATGATTATTCTTAGAGAAAAAAATAATGTTTTCAGCTTCCGAAAAACGATTCGATGTCCTCATCAATGACCTCTGTGTACATCACTTCTCGAGAAAACCAGCCGTAAGTCCAATTTTCATTTTCAATACGTTTTGTTGAATCAGGAAACTACCGCCGATGATGTCACAATCATGGCACGAGAAGACTTTGGAAAACGCTGAACGGCCAACAAACAACGATGCTCGGCCGACCAGAGTTGAAAATCCCTATTTTTCACCCTTTACGGCGTTTTAAGGTTGTGTCGCTGAGAGAAAAAGTTGGACGGCTGACGAGGGAAAACAGGGAACTGCACGACTACGTGGAATTTTTGAGGGTACTTTTTAATCTTTTTTCACAGAAACCATCTCAAAGTAATTCGGTCTAAATGTTGTGATTTTTTTCCAGCTCCGAGCAAACGGTCAAGCAAACAGTCATGTTTTGGAACTTGAAAGGGAGACTGAAGATTTGAGAAAAACCATTGAGCAGCTGGTCACCAAAGTCTCTTCGGTATGTATAACTGTGACGCCTGAAAAAACTTTTTCAGGGAGCTATGACCACATCTGGTCCTTCACAGAAACAATACCAGTTGCTACAAGACGAGGTTGAAATAAGACGGAAAGAAAGTGCGATGTACGAGAAGAAGATTTCCGATCTTGAACAAGAGAGGTATGTGATTATTTTCACAGGAAGAAAGTTTCAGCTATTTCTCCTTTTTCTCTTTTCTTACTGTAGCACTTTCTTTTTGCTTTTTGTTCTAGGATAACTTTTTGAACGCTCAGAAGTTATTGCCAGATTTTGATTTGAAGTTGAAAAATGTTTCGAAGGTTTCCAACTTTTTTTTGGTACACCAAAACAATCGAGACTTCATTCATCTATACAAAGTCAGTGAAATTATTTTTTGGATCCAAACAAAGGCCTTCTCAAACAGCTTCAGGCTAAAAATCGATGCAAATTTTTTTAGGAGGGAAATGTACGTTGTCATGTTCAAAAAAGGTCAACAAGCAGCCAATATCGAGTTGGAAGAGGTGAACGATTTCTTCTCGGTCCTTTGGAATGTCAACTTTTTTCCAGGCGCGCAACTTGGACGTTATGACACAAGATCGGATAACGTTGAAATTTTTACATGACGCTTTTTATTACTTCTTGTTGAACAAAGGCGACTCCAAAGAGCACCTAGCGGTAAATAATCATTTGTATATTAATAATATCGGTTTTTTGTAGGCTATGATGACAATGCTCGACTTCACAGCGTCACAAAAAGACGAGGTTCACCGCCGACGTGGTCGATCTACTTGAAAATTTTCTTTTCTCATTCTGGAGGAACTTCAAAGTTCTTTGACTTTTTTCTGCTATTTTTGTCTTTTCTTGCACCTTCAACAGTTGTTTCCCCGGTTGTGTTTTTTTTTCTTCAATTTCTGTAATGATCGCCTCAATTTTGCATATTTAAACTGTGATACGGTTTCTCTCATTCCGGGATATTGAGCTTTCTTATGCCTTTCTTATGCTTTTACAAAATTTATTGCTGTTTCAGAAATAAAATTTTTACTGAGTCACTCAATTATGATAAGGCTAAAGTTTGAATGAAATGAAACAAGTTTGGGGGAATAAAGAATTTGAGGAGAAAGACTGCGGCGAGATGAAAGACAAAAAAAGTTTGAATCGAAATATGTGCCTCACCCGCTTATTGAGAAGGCGCAGCGTTGTTAAATTGTATAAACCACCAGAATAATCCCTTGATGAAAACCAAAAAAAAATTTGAGGATATTGCAAAGCAAATAATTGAGGAAAGAGAAAAATGAGTAAGATCAAGCAAAGGCACGTCGAGGATTTTTGATGTTCGTCGAGTTTGTAATGATTGTCTGGGGCACTATAGTGGTTCCAAACATTTGGGCAACCGCGTCGTCAATGTGAGCGCAGAAGCCTCGAGTTGAAAACTCGCGCTCCAATCTGGCGCGCTGAAAATCAAGACGGATGTCAAAAAAATATTAAGTAACTTACCTGTTTCAGGTAACCCTTATCACAGTCGAGTTCGGGCCAATCACTACGATTCATGTGCTGAAGCATGGCATCGGCTAGAAGCTCTCCATTCGGCGTGGCTATCTGAACTTTTTTCCTGAGAATTTTTTGATCATTTTTTTCTTTTACTTTTGTGCCGGTGACGCCTTCAAGAACAGTTTCAGCTGGACCGCCACTGTCACATACAATGACTGGACGACGTTGATCAAGAGCCTGAATTTTTTTCATTCTGGCTGTTCTTTTAAAAATCATCGGGCATTCGATTTTCAGGATTTTCTATGCCTAAATCATTTTATTTCAATCACAAGCAATAGTTTCCAGAAGGCGCGAAAATCGCCCGAGGAAGCCTTATATTTCATCCTAGAAACTTTATATGAAACTTTATATTTTGAATTACCTCAATGGGCACGATCCCAAAGTGTTCGTTTGGCGGCGTGTAGAGTGCCGTGTCGCATTGATGGTAAAGGTCGAATTTTTCTTTGTCAGAAGGAGACGGAATGAAAGTCACGACGTCAGAAACGTCAAGATCCTGAAAACTTTTTTTTCTCGGTATAAGTAATTAAAGTCGCACTTGAGTCATTTTCTGCAAGATTTCGTAATAGATTCGGCTTTCTGGAATGTGAGGCATAACTGATCCAGCCAACTGAACTGACAACTTGTGACCGCGACGTTTGAGAATTGCTGAAAGAAAAAGATAAATTAATTATTTCTTTAACTATTTTACAAGCTGCTTCGACGATGATGTCCAATCGCTTTTCTGGCCAGAATCTGTTGATTGAGAGGAAAGTGTACAGCTCATTTTGCTTGCGGTCTTTTCGGCTAACGGCCCGTGCGGACTGCAAAATTGGAAAGTTTGAGACTTTAAAAAAAGTTAGAAAAAATCTTACGTCGCTCACGATCCAATCGATGTCACATGGAGGGTATACCACTCGAATTTTGCTTTTTTCGATTGCTGGCATAACTTTGGAAAAAGTTTTTGCTAAAAAAAACGACTAATTTTAATGAAGAAGATGTGAGATTTACCTGTGAAGTTACTGTTGACCATTATTGTGTCAATTCGAGCAAAAAGTTCTTCTTCAATTAAGCCAATCATGTTGGCGTACCAACTGAAATGCGGATATTAGCATATTGTCTCTCTTCCGGGATTTCAAACCGATACAAAAAGAAACGCGAAGGGGTGACGAGCTGTTGAGGAAAATGGCAGTAAAAGAGAATCTTGCATGACGGGAAGCGCCATTTGATCATTGGCACACAACTATAAGTTCAACCTTCATGAAAAAATTTGGAATTTCGAAAGACCTGGCCGAATGGTCAACAACGACCATGTCTGGCTGCAAGTTGCTGAAAATCAGGTGCCATCCTAAAGCGACGTTTTGGCTCCACCAATCACCGGGATGAAGTTTCAACCCAATGTCTCGAATTTCTGAACCAAGCTTTTCAAGAAGAAAATTTTGACGTTACTCACCAACACCCTCGAACTTATGGTCCTTCCAATATTCATCAATCATTGTTGTTAGCCAAACGACCTGTAAACCATTTATTATTTTCAAAATCAAATATAACATTTTCAAGTTTACCTGATGGCCTTGTGAAACGAAATGGCGCATTAGAGCAACAGTGCAGCGGTCGGAACCGCCGTTCCATTGCTCGGGGTGAATGATGACCACTTGCATCTGGAGAAAGGATATGTTAAAGGAAGCAGGAAGTTGAGAATGAAAAAAAAAGAAGAAATTCAAAAAATTTCTAAATGAAATCTTGACTCAAACAAATTTTTCAAGAAAAATTGAATTGTCAAAGCCAAATGAAAGTGCGAGCCTAATGCAAAAGTGCAGTGGCCGTATAAAAGGGGCGGGGCTAATCGGAAGAAAAGAACATTCTTAACTGAAATGTAGAGAGACGGAGGGGTTGTGGAGACCTCAAGGAGGTGGGAAAGTGAAAATGCGGGAGCGAGTCTTGAGCTCGATAGGGATCTCTCCGATCGAGTACGTTCCACCAAACTGGCTAGCGAAAAGAAATGAAATTCGGAACGGAACAAGATCCACCTACAGATCGGTGAGACTGATACCTCAAAGTTTCCTTTATCCAGAATTTCAAATCGAATGAGGCAGGAACAAAAAAGACTCGAAAATTCCTCCTATTAACAAATTTTACCAAAAGAATTTACAATGATTTCTTCAGGTTAAAACTGTAAGTTCATTTTCATGGTCAATTAGATTTTTCAACGTTGAAAAAAATCGATTTCACACCTAAAAAAATCGATTCATTCTTGGGGATTTTTTTAAAAGATTTTTTTGTTGATAGATCTTCGAACTCTGAGCAGCAAAAATTTTTTTCAAAGCAGGGCTCTCAAAAAAATTATCAAAGCTAATTGAGCGATTTAATGATCTTTTTGAAAATATCGAAATTAATCAGTTTCGGGAAAAGGTTAATAACATTAGATTAAAAACAAATAATGAAAAAAAAATTTCAACTTAATTTTCGAAATTTTTCTGAGCGTATATTGGTTAAAAAAACCTATTTGAACCTGTTCCTAAAAAAACGGAGAAATTTATAAAAAAATCGTCTCCGCTAAAAAAATTCAGGAAAAAAATAAGGTTTACTCCAAAAATTTCGTGAGAGCCAATCGGATCAATGAGGCAGTTGGATTCATGATCTTTCAATTTCAAAAATCAATAATAAATTTAATCTTGTCTCAAAATCTTCCTCCCTAGTGGCTTATTGAGGTTAGTCGCGCAGACTCTCTGCAGATAAAAAAAACTAACATTCAGAGAAGGACGGACCCATTGAAAAATAACATAGTGAAGATTCAAAATAAGACCTTAATGGTCGACGCGGAGCTGGAAGGACGTGCTGAGAGCTGGGACTGTCGAGTTTACTTCTTTTTCTTCTTTTTTTATCACACGCAAGGCCACCAAGCTGTAAAAAATGTGTTGATTTGAAACGAATATAGGCGCAAAATAAGAACTTTCAAAATAATAATAATACCCAAATTCATAAAGTTTTATGGCAAAACGACTTAAAAGGAGCGTTTTTAAACGCCTTTGTTGAGGTGTAGGAAAGCCAGGAAAACCTCAATGAACGATAAAACTTTTCTTTCTGTCAGATCTTTAAAAATACACGTGGGATATTTTACACTCTACACGAAAATTTTCTAGCTGACTGTACAAAATATTTTCAACTCGTGGTCAATTATTTTCTCCGCCTGAGGGCTTCCAATAGAAATAAATTTCTACCATCACTTTTTCCCCGATATAATGGAGTCACGTTAATCTTTCAAATTTACACTGATATAGCAAAAATTTAGGCAAAAAAATTAAATTTTCTGAAGTCAAAAAAGTTTCACCACCGTAGTTCAAAATGTGAGAAATTCTAAAAAGATCTCTGGCTCGAGCCACACGGAAAAGAACCTTTTTATGAGAGTATTAAAAGAAGTGAAGTCATTCTCAACAATATCAAGCTAATGGCCGAATATGTGAACAAATTTTTTGTTGTAACTTTTCTAATTCATTACAAGGAAAACCAGAATTAAAGTACCTGGTTGCCGCCGGCGACAGAAGTTTCCTTGATGAACTCGCGACGGACGTACCAGACGAACAACGACAGAGGGACGGAAAAGAAAAGCGCGCTGGTGTACAGGATAAACAGGAGGAAGCGCTTAAGCTCGACGTACATAGGGTACACTGGACAGCCGATCTCGCTCTTCGATAGTGAAGAGGATATTCGTCAGTCTCCCGTTCGGTCAGCGCTTTCTGTCGATGGACGTCGGTCGGCCCGCCCAAAACCCTCCTCTTTTTCCTCGACGATGCTTCGAAGGCCGCCTTGTTCTGGAAAAAAGTGAAAGCGACAGTCCAAGACCTAAACCAATAAAAAAAATGTTACCCAAAGGGCAAACGTCGAAGTTGTGATGCGTACTAATAGCCGATATTTTCGATCCCTCTTTTGCAAAACTGTCTCTAGATTTGAAATTTCCAATTATTAGGAGCCCAAACTGTGAACTCAAATTATTCTTGTTAAATAAATAAGTTCAAGAGATTTTCAAACCAAATGAATATACTGGATATGTATATTCAAAAAAAAATCCAAAAAGAGATCATTCGCCCTATCCCAAAAAGACACTCGCAGGTTCCTCCTTCATCAATTTTTATTGAAAACTATGGCCAACTTTCCCGGAATATTCTTTCAATTATCTGAATGCACTCAAAAAATGTTAAAAATGTTCTGAAGACCCTCTATTCAGCAGGGTTTCAAAAACCCCGAATAAAGTTTGTCTAGTGGCTCTTTGAACTTTGATCTTTACGAGCAACTCAACTATTGTGATGTTTCAAATTCCCTTCAAACATGCTTCTTTCGATAGGTTTCTTTACAAAACCTCGACGGTCACTTTCAATCCCGAAGAAAAACTTTGTTCGTCTGAATTATGGAGAGCCGATCGACAAAGGAATCGAAAGCAAATTAGACGAAACTTTGCGATAACCATCAAACTTAAAGCCCGACGGCGAAAGAGAGCGAAAGCCAGCCGCCGGACCTCATCCGCATACCGAAACGCTTATGGACATGTTTCAATAATCGAACATTGTTTCGGAATAAATGTAGTTCTTTTGAAACATTGCTGCGACGTCTACTTAAACAAACTCATTTGAAATGACCTCGCATAAACTTCAAACTCACGAATACAAAAAATTTTCTCATTTTCAAAACTTTCTCATACTTGTATTTTTATGGGAACGACCTAGAAGAAAAAACTTGGTTGAATATAGTGATTGCTGAACATTATCTAATGACTAAATAGCACTAAACATGACTTTTTTATGACAAATTTGATGCTATCAAACTTCGTGAAGCATCTCCAATTTTGTTTCTATGACAAAATGATCTACTACTTTAATCCTTGTAAAATTTTATGGAGTAAAATAATTTTTTTTACAAACTTCAAAAATTCAAAAAAAAAAAAAAATTTGAACGGTTTCTAATCATATTAATAGGATATTCTCAGCTTTCCTTCTCATTTTTTGATGAAGTTAGGATGACGATCTGTTTGTTTTTAGGATAGATTCAAAATGAACATCATGTGATTTTCTCTTGAAGACCATGATTTTTTCCAAATTTTATCTTAAAGGACCATCTTTCCTGTGAGTCTGACACGGGAAGATGCGTCACAATGGAAAGTCGCACTTTTCCGAGTTTCAGCCCAAGAAGTCGAGATCCTTTGAGATACATGGGCCGGTTACAATTAACATGCGGCGTAGGCACAAGCCCCGTCGTGTTAGAAGATTGTAATCTCAGCCTCCTGGTCAGCCGAAAAAGGAGACATTCCTCTATCTTGAATTATTCTAGGGATTGGAGTTGTGGGAAAATGTTTCGAAATCTACAAAAAACAACTTGATTTGTAAAAGTTTTAATCGAATCTTTATAACGAAGATTTTTCAGATCTTCGAGGGAAAAACGGTTAGAAGGAATCAGAGCCTTAAAAATTATGGAAAAGCTGTTTTACGACAAGAGTGGACCACACCCTTTGCAAATGTCAAGTAAATTTCTAACTGTAGTTTATAAAAAAACGCTGTGAAGTCAGTCGAAAAACCAACTCTCTACTTTGAGAAAACCTTGATAAAAATATTGATAAGGAATTTATTTTCCAAACATAATGATAGAAACTGTAGAAAAGGAAGCTGAAACTCCATAAGCATGGTGTTTTTTTTTTTGGTAGATTTATTCCATTCCGTTACTTCTTAAGAGTATAAAGACAGTAAAAAAATGGGATTGGAGACAAATATATTATTTCATGAAGCTTTTTCTCGCCTGTCGAACAATGAACTTGGAAACGTACAGAACTTCCTAGTTTTGGAGAAAAAACAATTCAAAGTCGTGAAGAGAAAAACTCGAATTTCCCCGCAAAGCGCCTTTTGCACTAAAGTTGCTCTATGGACGACAGGCATAGCCATTTTTTGGTTTCTCGCTATTCTCTTAGTTTCTTTCAACTTTGAATATTTTTTCTGTTGTCCCCAAAGTTCTTTTCGCCGCAAAAACTCTCTATTTATATATAATCTGCAAGCTTTGATCGCAAAATGCTTTTATAGTGAAGATTATGATTTACTTAGATTTTTATTGGAAGTTCGATATTAAGGGTTTTTTTTTTATCGCTGTACGTTTTTGTTTGATCAAATGTTTTGCAGAGAAGAAACCTACGATTTGAAGCAGATATCCAGTTATTTCTCACAAAAATCTAATGAAACTTCCGCAATTTCGCCTGAACGGTTACTGTAATCCGTCTGTACACCAATCCAAAACATAGCCCAAAATTGAAATGCTGGAAAATAAAATTACAGTACTGGCCATAAAGGTATTTCAAAGTGGTTATTCGAGCATAACTTCTCTGAAAGTGGCTCAAATGACTTGAAACTTTGAAAACATTTTAAATAACTACGCAGTAATTTTTTCCCAAAAGAAGAACTCATTTGCTCAAGTAAGACCGGATTTGAGAGCAAAAAAACCAAAAATCGTGAAAATGAAGATTTTTCTCCTGAGATTTGAAAAATCATATCTTCGAAGAAACTTCGATTTGAAATCAGAAACTTTTTTTCTCGGTGAAACAAGTTTTCGACTTTCCAAAAAACCTAATCAGCTCCCTATGAAGCCGATAGCAAGAGCGTAGTGACTTTTTCTTTGGAAGCTTTTGCGTTTTGACGCATCGTCATTCAGATGGACTATACGAGGTCATTTTTGTTTAAGAACACCATTTTTCATGTTGAAAAACTTCAAAACACCCTCAAAAAAAGTTTTATACTGTTTTCTTCAGCTTTGTCACTATTCCTCTCCCCAGAACTCGCTTACTTCATTAGGTCTGATTTTGAAACCTCTGATTTGGAGCGGTTCTGCGCGTTTTTCAAAATCAGAACATTTTCAATTTCTTTTTTCAGATTTTGAAGCTTTTTCAGAACCTTTATGAATAAAAATAAAAAAGACTCACTGTGTTTTGCTTACCTATTTAAAAGATATAGTGAGTTATACTGAGTTTCTTAAAGTTCTCAAAACTTCGTTTCAGCAAGTGTTGCTTAGAAGGCTCTAAATCTTGTGAAAGATGATAAAAAAACCCCTTTTTTTAATTTTTTTAAACGTTTAAGATCATTAGATAAATTTGTAACTCCTCTTTCTAGCTCTCAGGTCAAAAATAGGCACTGTACAACGTTTTTTCAAACTTTATGGGAAAATAAGTTTTTGATCTTGTGAAACTAATGCTTCAGCAAAAAAATTAGCAGTATTCAGGAAGTGGGAGGCTGCAATTTGGCCATTATTTTTTCTCGAATTCACGATTGAAAAGCGATTGATCAGACAAAAACTGCTTTAAATGCCCGTAAGTCCAGAAAAACTGTTTGAATCCGAGCTTTCAAAATCAGACCTAATGAAGTAAGCGAGTTCTGGAGAGAGGATATAGTGACAAAGCTCAAGAAAACGGTGTGAAACTATTCTTGAGGGCGTTTCGAAGTTTTTCAACAGGAAACATGGTGTTCTCAAACAAAAATGACCTCGTTGGACTTGTTTGGTTGGGAAGATGTCAAAAAATGAATTCAAATTGCTGAGAGATCTTTCTAAAATCTGTCGAAAATGTTTTCAGATCTTTAGTTACAAAGAACCTAAATATTTGGAAGTTTTCAGAAATTTAGCAAAATGCATGGTTAAGTTAGGTTCGGCATCCCAACAGAAGTCGGATTCGTACCATGCCTAGGTGTGAACGGTGCAGAAGCGTGCGTGAACGGAAATAAAGTTTTACGAGAACAGAGCACCGCTGAACCAATTGACGCAATTCTTTTTATACCCCCTCTCTTACTGTCCACCCGACTGGCAGCGACTTTCGCCGCTTCGCAGGCCTACTCCCACGTTAATAGCTTCCTAGCTTTTTTCTTGTCGGAAAAACGCGGGCTTTTTCTCCCCTGATTTTTCTTTCCGACTTTCCAAAATTTTAAGTAACTCAAATTTAGCAGTAAGAAAGATATATTTTGACAGAAAATTTTCCACAAAGATCTTCGAAAAAAATTCTTCATTCATAACTCTCTCAAAAATTGTCGGAAAGATGAATTTCCGATCCTTTTTTTTAATTTTTCTCTTCAAATGTAAAGCTGGTAATAGAAATATCATTTTAACAGTTAATAATAATTTACCTATTTTTTTAATTTTTTTAATACTCTTCCTGTTTCAAAGATGAAAAAAACTTTTTGTAAAAAGCCACAGACAAATCAATTAGTGAAAAGTTTCTTGAAGAAGTAACATTTTTTTTCTCTTTATATTTCCCTGTACACATGTTTTTCTAAGCTGTTAAAATTCTTAAAATTCAAAAATCTCAGAAATTTTTAAAAACGTTTTTGGAAGGGATAAATGGTGAAGATTTGGTTGATAAATAAATGTTTCCGGAAGATTAAAATGTATGCTTCAAAATCATTAGAAAATATTTCCCATTCATGGCCTTGGTTTCTTAAAAAAATTCATTGAACTTGCCTCTTTTTGGCAAGAAGAGCTCTGCAAACATGACGGTATTTTTCTTCCTCACGTCTCTAACCACTCTCCGCGTGCGCCACGCTCTCTAATGAAGAGCGAGACCCCAACCGCGACTGCCAAGGCCTCACATAGGAACGCCAGGAAAAAGCTCTCCCTCAAGAAGACAGAATAGTTTTTTTAGAAGGGTAACATTTTGGAGGTCAAAGGTCTGACCCCTAATCACCTAAAGATTAAGTGCCTCCTACTGTAGTCTTTCAATTTTTATATAGGTTCGAAATTAAAATGACCTTTCGAATAGAACTTGATCTAAATTCATATTTTTCTCTACAAATAACGTAATTTATCAAGTTTTCGCATGAAAATGATTATTTTCATAGTACAAATTTTCCTCTACGGTGACCAATTTTGCAAATTTTAGCGCCTTTTATGAGAGAAAGTACGGCGTTCACTAGAAGGGGATCTTCAGGTGTCACTAAGGTTGCACCTCGTGGGACCACTCTGACGTTTTTGAACGTAGCCAAAGTTTTCAATGAACTTTTGTAAAAAAATGAAAATTTTTTTTCCGAAAACCTAATGTACATTGATTAAACACGAAAAGCGGTCTAAATTCTCAAATTGGTTAGCAGCTCAAGCGCTAGACAAAACGATCAGTCTTACTATAGCGGCCATGAATATATGGCTGTTTGGTTTGCCCAAAACAGTCTCAAAACAGTCTATTGGAGAAAATTGAGATTTTTGTAAATATCGTAGTATACTAAAAAAAAAATTCATAACATATTTTCACTTAATTTCGATGTGTAAAATGAAGTAAACTTCTTCGTGAGCTACCCCGTTAAACTCAATAAAGAGAAGTTTAGGACAGAGTACCATCCGGAAAGATATATTCGATCCTCCCCGACTAGAGAGGCGAGGGAGGCGGATGTGCGGAACACGTAGCGTACGCGGTTTTTGGCGCGAGTTCAATTCAAGCGTCATCGACTACGTGAAAAGCTTGGTTAACGTTCTTTTTGTATCTATTTCACTATTTTCAATGCATAAATGAAAAAAAGGCCAATGGAGACTTGAAAAAAAAGTGAACAGAGCGATAAAAAAAGCTCTCCAAACAGTCGCCGGCGATGGATTGGATGTGTGCGAACGCGCACGCTACGCGTCTCGCCTCCCTCGCCTTTCAAGTCGGGAAAGCTGACTATACAAAGGAAATTTTGGTGGAAAATAGAAAGTCAGAATGAGTCGAGAAGTTTTTGCGAGGATCAGAAAAAGTGTCATTTATTACTGCGCCGTGTACGCAAATATCAGATTTGACGAATGATAGAAATAAATCCTCAGAAATCGGGTTCTTCAAACCATTTATGAATCTATGGTTCCGTTCAGTTTCAATGTTCGTTTTCGATTTTGATGGAGAAAAAACTTCGAGTCATTCAGCACCCCAAATTGAATTTTTTTCTCCATTTTTCTTTTTGCTTTCAGGCTTAAGAAAATGAAAACAACTTTTTTTACACTTATGTGCCATAACAGTTTTTTTCTTTGAGGTTTCCATTGAAAAGGTTCGAATACAGACTGCAAAAACCGAAAAATCAAAATTGATTTATAATACGAATTATTTAGGATTGGGAATTGATACATGGGAATCTATTTCCTCCGTTTTTCCCACCGCTTTACGTTGTTCGTGCACCCTCCGCCAAAATCGGCAATAATTGTATTTCCACGCAAAAACTATTTTCTCATTTTGTCTCAGTTCTCCAAGACCGTTTTGATTTTCGTTCGGACGACTCTTCAAGACACAGTCCAGCTCCAGATGTGCTTGCCGCACGATAGCGACACCGTCTTTCGCCGAAAATGCACATGTCGTCAACTGAGTCTTTTTTGTCTCAATGTTTTGTTTAGGTCTGGAGCGACGGGGAGGACCGCCGTTCCTCCTGTCCGATTTCCTGCGCGCGCTGCCTCCGATTGGCATTTCGAATCGCGGTGAGTAAGGCACATTCTATCGCACACGTCATTGTGTTGCGAGTTCTCGTGTCCGTGCTCCTGCGCGCTTTTAGTCATCCTTATCCAAACTCGCGAACTCTCGAAACGATTCAGAGGTAACGTCAACTTCACAACAGTGATTTTGACCAAAAAGCAGGCTTTTTTAAGAGCTGGCTCATTAGCCCACTGGCTGCCCGCCTGTTTTTTAGCCCGAGCTGGCCCGGCCTGAGCGAGAAATCAATCGAAAACGGCCGGCCTGTCCGAAGCGTAAAAATCAAATTTTTCGACGATAAAATTACGTTTTCAATTTTTTTTTTCCACTCGAAAGTCAACGGAACCAGGGTTAAACTAATAAAAAATTTCGTGGTTATATCTTTTAAAAAAATTATCATTTTTTTCGATATTCATTGAATTTATTCGAACGGTTGCTTTGCGAAAAAAAAAAGTATTATGGCCCGTGCCGCGTCGGGCTGTCTTAGGGCGCCTCACACACAATCCTGCACGGAAGTCAATGAAAATACAAGCTTCTCCAAAAAAGTTTTTTTTTTTGAAGGGGAAGGAATTTCGTTTCGAAAAAAAAACAAACTCTATTTCAATCATAAAACTTGGCCGGCGGGTCTCCGAGTGGTAATTTCGACCAATTTTCCTATTTGTTTCTAATCAAAATTTATTTATCGTTTTCAAGCTTAAAGGGCTCTTGTCAGTTCCAGTTTGTTTGTAAGCCCAAAACTTTTTGTTTTCATTTCTCTTTTTGAACGAAAAAAGGCTATGTTGGTCTTTGACCCCTGGTTTTGTTGTCAAGCACAACAACGCCGCTTCTCTGGCCGCAGGAATTGAGACAGACAGGGATACAGAAGCCCCGCCTTTGCCGAAGCTCACTCACATTATGCGCAAACGGCTCATGTTTTTCTCAGTTTCTCTACATTTTCAGTTGCTTTTTTCATAAATGAAATGTAATAGAAATCAACAGTAATCTCATAAAAAATGTTGCAATGTTCTTTGATATTCATTTTTCCTCGAAATTAATTTTTAAAAATTAAATTCTGCATATTTTTCATTAAAATGGCAAAAGGAAAAAAATTGTCGCTTTCTTTATTGACTTATAGTGTACCTTGATAACTAATTCAATATTATGAAACTGATAAAAGTCGTAGCTTTCGAATATGAATTTTCCATCATTTTTTCCGTGAAAGTGTAGCAATTTTACAGTGAAAATGCCGCTAGACCCGCTGAGTTATCTAACGGATATGAATCAAACCATTTACGTGGAGAGTGAAGATGAAGGCGAAGAGGATGGTGAGCTATGATCTTTTTTAGAAGTCCGCGCTTTTCAAATTTTCCAGAAGTGTAATATTTTTACAGTTTTAAGCTAACCTTATAATTTCGAGAAAACGATAATCTCGGAAGCCTTTTCGATGACGTGGGACAAACCGAAGCGATTGTGAAGCTTTCGAGTCCATCTCAAAATGAGGACGAGCATCAGCCTCAGTCTTCGCTCCAGTCTCAGCATGCGCTTCGGCCTCAGTCCGAACCTGGCTACGTTATGGTGGAGCCAGAGCGCTCCGAAAACTCGAAAATTTTGAGAACCGAAGGTAGATTAATTGATATCTTTTTCCAGGACAGATTTTTTTTAGCTAAATGTGAAATTTAAGATGACGGAAAGCTCGATTATGATTGGGTCGAAATCGAAGAAGAAACCATGACTGTCTTCAAAAAATCAAACGGCACCACATTGCTCATCAATCCATTGGAGCCTGAACCAGCCGGAACTCAGAAAAGTGAGTTCGCGGTCGATTAGTTCATTTTTACAGTAATATGGGATATTTTTATTTTTATATCATTATTGAAAAACGTTTTTCAGTTGTTTTCCTGAGCCCTGAGAAGCCGGAGCCGATTTGCCGCTCCTATCGAACCGTGTACGTCAAACGCAACAAAACGGTGGTGGTTATGGATGTAAATTAGTTTTTTTAATACAGCTCAGTCAACGAGTTTTTTTGCAGAAAGAAATCGTCACCGACTATGTCGAACACAGCGAAAAATTTTTTGAACAAGAGAAGAGAGCCTATTTCCAAAACTTTTGGGTAAGATTTCGTTTGCAATTCAAAAAGCGTCATCAAAGCTGAAACAACAGAAATCTCACAAATTTTTTCAAAATTTGCATTCCAGAAGGAGAAAAAATCGATCCAAAACGTGCGGTTCAAACTCCACTATCCAGAGGATTAATGATCCACCAAGAACGAGAAAAATCAATAATATCGAACTGCCTTTTTTTCTCATCTTTTTTGATTGATTGTTTGATACCCTGTTGTTTTCTATCCCCAGATACCACTCTTTTCGGGCTGAACATTGCCATTCCAATAAAAATTCAAAAAAAAAACTGCATTTCATCTGAAGGCGTATTCATACTGTATTAAAATTGCTGAAAATCGCATTCTCAACGTTTTGAAAATCTAATTGATTTTCAATTAACGTGAGGAATAGCGAGTTTTGAACAATAAGAATTTTTTTGGTTTCGGGGAGTAAATATCAGAAAAAACTTACAATATTAATTTTTTTGCAGCCATTCTTTTATTTAGGTGATGTAAAAATAATAATATTTCGCTTTTTTATTCCCTCGAAATAATGTGAACGAGTTGCCACTTGTTGGTGGAAGCTCCTCAGACGGGACGGTAGTTCTCATTTTCTGCATCTATAACCACTCTCCACGGGCGCTCCACTCTCTCTGCCGAAAGGTGACCCCATCCGCAGCGTCCGAGGCGCCATAGCCGATGATTCTTTTTTGCCTCTTTTTGATTCAAACAAGAGCGAAAAAATCGCCAGAAGCAGGTGAAGAGCAAATCTGACAAAAATAAGTCCAACAAACAATTTTTCTTTTATTCGATGATCCACCAAAAAGTTTTCTTCAGTTTACATATTTATTCAAAACTGAATAAATATGTAAACTTGCCAGAGACACATCAATTGATCGATCTTATCGAATAAAAGTGAATCTATAGCAACCACGGCTCCACATTCCCCACCGTCACACACAAGGACGGATATGTCTTTAGAGCCAGTCCGCTGATTCTTATTGATGTCAGGATAGGACCTCCCCTCATTGACTTGGTGCGCCGCTTAAGCAGTAAAAAGGCGTGAAAAAAAAAACTTTATCTGACATGACTGTTCAAAAAGCAGCTTGCACAATTTATATTTTTTGTTCTTTTTTGAGTCTATGGCACGTTTTTAAATGAAGGGATCCTGGAATGGATGTGTTTCAGATAGTTTTTTTAAATTTATCTATAATTGCTTGCCTCTGCTGTAAATTAAAATAAAAAAAACCAAATCGGCTTATTATTTTCAAGTCGCTGACGATTAATTATATAAAAACCAATTCCCACTCGTTGGCTTTGAGCGGTTTTATGAGTTAAATTTTGCGATTGGTTCATATCAAGTTCATTTCAAATTGTCTGTTTTTTGAGACACTCCTAATTTTATATTTGAAATATTGACTGTCTCAGCTAAAGCGTCTTTTTCTAAGAAACACGTGTTCCATTCTTAGAGGCGCTTTTCTTTTCATAATGTTTTGTTTATCTGCAGCGTGAATGGGAAGATCGTGTCGCCGCCTGTCCGAAACGTCTCACGTGCTGCTTTTTGCCCTGGCACCCGGCTCGCGATGCGAGTAAGACGACGCGCTCACGCGGGAAACGCACAAGATTGAAAATTGCCATGGTTTCGAAACGTCTTGCGGGGCACTACTCTTAATTTTAGTAGATAAGATGAGTCAGGAAAGGCCGGCTTGCGACCTTTTCTTCGGAACGAAAAATCCACAAGGAACTCACTCAAGTTGAAAAATTCCTGTTTCATTTGGACTTGTTCATCCAATCTTCCGAACTACTGGATTTGAATCTTCATAATAGTAGAGACTACGATAAGGCTTGAAACTTTTTATTTTCAAAAATAAAATTTGAGCTCAGGCACAGTCCAAACAGCCTCAAAAAAGATGTAGTGCTACTTTTCGAATTTTCAAAGGTGCCAAAGGTTTTTCTGAATTTCTGTTCATCACATTTTTCCACTTTTTTTTTCCTAGAAAGGAGACCTTTAGAGAAAGATCTGCGGAGAAAAGAATCCTCTGGGGCTTTTTTCCAAAAACTTCTTTTTAGGTCCTTTTAGAGCGGATCTTTCAGAGTTGCAATAAACTGAAGAATTAATGTTCAAGACTGTGACTGAAATAATAACTTGATTATTTTTTCCGTATGAGGTCGAATAAAGTGTTTTTCTCCGGAAAAAAATGACATGCGGCGCCGTCCCTCTGCCTGAGGGCAGACACCCAGAGGATACAGAAGCACGCCCATCGATTCTTAAGATCCGTACTTCGCTGTGCGCAATCATTCGCCTTTTTCTCATTTTAATGTATTTGTATCTATAATTCAGATCGAAAAAAAACAAAAGCCTTTTTTCATTAGCCTGTTGAAAAATTGTGATAAAAAACTTGGAAAATCTCATGTTTGATAATTTTCAATATACTTCTCATCGTAAAGGTTCCAAAAGCGTTTTCTTCTGACTTTCCCTTTTTTTCCTATCAAGAAACAAGCTCCCATTGAAAGGAGAACATATGAATTTGATTCGATATCAAAATTTTGAAATATTCTTTTTCTACGAAAAAGTTTCACTGCGAAACATTGCAAACTTTTTCTAAAGCATAATTTTTTTCATTGAATTTTTTTATTCAGTGAAGTTTTAAATTTGTTCCTTTCGCCGATTTAAACATTATATTTTGAAACTTTCTTCTTTTTCAATCGTACTTTCTGGAATGAACATTTTTGATTCCATAATTTTGTTGAAGTCTTGATGGCATCGGAACAAGTCCTTGAAGAAGTGGAAAACTTCATGTATGATGTGATCGTGTTTGTCGAAGAGTACGTCGGATGCCAATATGGTACGTTTCGGAATGTTTTGATATAACATTCATAAATAACGTTTTGAGAGCTAAATAAAGTTTGGGATTTTCAGATGAAAACCACGTCGATTACATGGGTAGTTTGATTCGGCGAGACACTCTTCGTCAGTTTTACCACGAGTTTGCGCAAGCTCTGCACAACATGTTGTTCTATCGGAACTCCCTGGGACAGCGCACGGATCGCGCAGAAGCAGCGCAGGTCGGCCAGCCGAACAATGGTCAGTAGTTGATATTTGAGGAGAATTTCTGAAACCGAAGTTTTCTCAATTTTTTTATGTGAAAAATCAAAACGGAGCGATTCACTGCTTGACCTCAAAAAGGAGACTTTTTTGCAATTTTGTAACAGTTCAAACATAGTTTCAATGACGAAAAAAAATTTTTTTTTAGTTCAAGGAGGTCAGGGGGTTGCAAATGTCGCTCAGCAAGACCAAGACGACGATGCAGAGCTGCCGGACATAATTGTTACCGCAGCAAGTAAGTATTTTACTGAATCTCGCTTTGATTAGCTTTAAGTTGCTTGAAATGTTCATATACTACAGATGGCGGTCGCGATACTGCGCAGAATTGAGGGGCGGAGTGATGTTGAAAATCTTCAATCGAAGCTATTCCATCGACAATTCTCAAACTCTTTCCATTTTCTTAACTGAATTTTTTGTACTCGTTTTGCTCTCAGTTGTATAGTCTGTTTGAATATAGTGGGCGAGTGTTCGGAGGCGTATTAACTACATTATAAGTGTTTCCCAGGCAAAAAAAAAGCAATCTTAGTCTCATATTGAATCTTGCGAAACTTCTGCGCCACAAACAATCCAGTCAAAATTTTCGAACACAGTTAAACTCGAAACAAAGAAACACGTTCAAAAAATCTCTTAACCCCTCTCTTCTATAAGTCTGCTTCATTTTGCATTTTTTTTCGTATGAACCATTTTGCCTGATTTTTTGTATGTTTGGTTTAATTTATCTTGTTTTTTTTTCAACTTTATTTTTGATGTTGATGAAAATTTTTCTCCCGTGCATTTTTGAGCTATTCACGATATCAGTCTAGGAAAGTGAGAATTCAAAACTAACCTCTCAATATAAGTAGCTAAGAAGGCTTCTTCTTTTTAAAGAAATTCGGTTTTTCTCATGGCTTCATGGACAAAGGTCTATTTTTTACTAGGTCCTTGGTATTTCAAAAGGAAATCACGTTAGTGCGACAGCTTCACCAAAGTGCTTTTTGTTGATGTTTTGATGTAATCGCAACTAACTTGAAAGTTACGATAGTTTTGTTCTTTAAAAATATTGATTGAATTATCGCGAGGATTGAATCATATGACGTGTTCCTCTGAGAAACTCGCACAAAAACTATAAATGGAATCAATATTTATTGATGAAGAAAGCCTGTGGGACGCACCTCCCATCCCGACGTATGATCTCTCGACCTGCATATCCTGAATTTGCTTGGAGCAAGCGTCCTTCTTGCTTTTTTCTTGTTGTCCTCGTCAGTCTTCCATTTTTCTATCGAAGGATTCGACTTTCCGACGATATTTTGAATCATTTCCATTTTAAGTTTTTGTTTTTATTGAACTCCTGGAAACGTTTGTGTTTGTTCGCTTTCAAAAATTTTTCGGCATTTGAACATTCAAAAAAATTACTGGAAACGTTTTCTTGAATTTACAAGTTATACAAAAGTTGAAACTTTGACTTCTTTTTTTTCATTATTAACTTATCGCTAAAAAAAGAAAAAGCCTATCAACCGGGAAAAAAATGTTACGCCTTGTGGGACAGAAGTTTCTTTCTATCTTCCACATTTATGGTGATCTTAAGAGTAGCTATGAGAAATCCCATCATGCGCAAAAAAATGAGACAAAAATTCGTTTATTTGATTTTTTTCTCTTTCACTTGAATGTCCCACTTGAAAAAAATCAGATTTTTTTCATCACAAATAACTTTCTGAATATTTTCATTCATTTTAAAAAAATGAAATCTTTAAAAAAAAAGGTGAGTTTTTTTCATTGACCTCCTATTTTTTTAAGATCCTCATGGCGTCGGACGAGGAGTGGGAGATTTATTTGCAAAATATACGAAACAACTTGTTCAATCTGATTTCTCAGATTGAGAACGTGCTCGGACGCGTATTTGGTAAATTTTGGTTGTTTGATGTAATTTCTAACAAAAAAAAAGCTGTCGAGAGAAGTCGAAACTTATTCCTGAACTGAAATAAATTTTTCACCACAAGAATTCATAGTTTTGTGTATATCAACAAAAAGAGATGTGGTTTTCACCTTTTACAAATACAATAAGGTCGAAAATGGAAAATTTTTATTGGTCGCGAATTTTGATTACAGAAATTTCCAGATCCGGTTCATGTCGAAATTCTGAGAAGTTTCGTGGAGCGTGATACCCTGCCGGAATTTTTTATACAATTAAGAATCGCTCTGTCCAATATAGCTCAGTTTGGAAATTCTCTTGAAGAAGAGCCGGAACACAGGGAAGAGGAAATGCATCCTGATCTGCCAATAGATGGTTTGTTCTTTATTATAAAACTTTTTTGTACATCCCGTGATTTCGAATTTTTGCTTTTTGATGAATGAACGTTTTAAAAATTGTCGCGTGTAAAGTCCCTGCCTGAAAACTAAGAAAAAAAAACTTCATAACGTGATTTCTCCAAAATTTCAGTTCATCGGGCTGAAAAAAATTGAAAAGGTCTTTTCCAATCATCTTTTTCTTAGAAGACGATGAAAGTGGCAGTCGCGAAGATCAAAGCGACGCTGGAAATGAGGAGCCGCCAGCTGGCGACAATTTCATCCTGCGATTCTACTCGTACATGTACTATCAATGAATACTTTTTGAATTCGGATCAATTTTTTTCAATTGTTTCATATCCCCTTGTTGATTCTATGAACAAATAAAAAATCAAAAAATGAAAGTTTTCGGAACATATCTGAATCAAAAATCGGAAATCGATTCAAAAACTTTTCAAAAGTATGCTCGCGGTTTTCAGAAAACCGAATGAGCTCTCTCAACATTGAGAACCGAAAAACCAAAAAATTTATTTTCCATGGAGCATTTTGAAAAGTATGAATGACATTTATCAAAATGCGGTTTGAAAAAAATCTTTGCAAGAGAATAAGGAAAGTGAGTAGAATGAAGATGATCTCGAGTCTTAGAATCTTCAGTCATTCGGGAGTCTTTGTTTTGAGAACAACTAAGAAACTCACATGATGCGCTCATTATAAGAACGAATTCTCTCAAATGAAATACTTCATGTGATGCTTTCTAAAAACAAACTTTTGAGTTGAGTTCTCACGGACCCTCATCTCAATGTTTCTTGAAATTTTTTCAAAGAGAAATTTGGCAAGGAAAATATTTGATATCACTGAGTCATCTAGCCTGGAAAGCTCCAGAATCTTTTATTTCTTTAGAAGGGTTCAAAAAAGCCGAACAAAGTTCCTTTGGAAAAAAAGGGACGCCGTTACTCTGCCTTAGGATAGACACTCAGAGGATACAAAAGCCCGCCCATCGATTAATCCGGTCCGTTGCTCTGCTATGCGCAATCTTTTCTCATTCTGAAGTTTCTCTGTCCTCCTATGATAACATTTACTTTTTTTAAAAAACCTTTTGATGATGTTCAAAAAGTGACGTGCTCAACTCGACTAAGTTGAAAACTCGCGTTTCCATGTATTTCTCGATAAACTTCCTTTTCTGGTGCTTTTTTATCTAGAAATGTTGAAAACTGTCTCTTTTTTATCTCGAAATTTTTTTATTTAACAATGTTCTGTCTTTTCATCAAATGGAAGAACATAATCAAGTGAGTAATGCAAAATTTTCGAGATCTTAAGTCTTTCATGGATGAGCCGGTTAATGAGTTCGAACAACTGGACGAAGTCGCAATCGACATGGTTGTTTGGGTGAGAAACCTGTTCGAAGTCGACTATGGTGAGCTTGAGATTTATGATTAGAAAGGAAAAAATAACCGCAAGCCATTATTTCATAACCATTAAAATAATATTTTCCGTATACTATTCAATAGAGGGTACTGTCAAGAACTGTAATACCTTTAGTTTTTGAATAAGAATCCGCTAAGAAAAAAAATGTAGCCCATAAGTAGCACGTGCCCCGTTCAACTGGAGGCTTGAGCTCAACGTTTATCCGCTTCCGCACGCTTTTTTTTCAAATTCATTTCGCGGATTTCTGAATAGAGTTCATTTTCTGATGCACAGCGTAAAGTAGACTGAGGTAAATATAATTGCAAACTACATAATTTTTATAAATTTCGCATAAGATCAATTCAAAAAAAGTAATATAAATGTTAGAAACTTCTGAAAATATCTTATTTCAAAAATTAATTATTACAAAATGTTTCAATAAGTCTCCCATAACTACGTGGACGAGAAAAAATGACTACATTGTATTTGGAAAAAGAAAAAAAAAGCGATTTAACCCGTTTTCAGGTGTAAAAATATTAGAAAGCATTCTGGAACTCTCGTTAAACTTTTGAAGAGGCGGCTTTACCACAAATGCGTTCAATGTCTTGTAAACCTTTTTCGTTGATTTACTAAATAATAACTAAGAAAGAGCTCTCAATAAATTCCCAAAAAAAAACGTGAAAAATTGAGAATAATCGAAACTTATCAAAGCTTAGATCATTTTAATATACAAAATGAAATCGAAGTTTTTTTTTATCATGAACGCCTGAAAAAGATTTTCATGTGATTGGAGTTACACAAAGTTTGAAATTTTCAGACGAGGCTCAGTTTGACAATCTGAGAGACTTGATCCGCCAAGGAGATCTTCTGGAGTTCTTTCGCCATTTTACAATTGGCTTGTACAATCTCGTTCATTTTGGAAACTCTCACGGTAACGAGGAAGCCAACAGGCAGATCGAGCTGCCTATCAATGGTTAGTTGGAAACTTTCGAGCCTTTTGGCCTTTTTTTTGTTCTGAGGGGCTTCAAAAAAACGGAGCGATGTATTATAAAACTTGGACTTTTTTGGAAGGTTAGCCACACAAAAACTGCGCTTGAAAAATTGCAAAAAAATTGAATAATACGTTTTGGAAAAAAAGAATCTTACCAGGCTGATGAATACCAAACAAATTTTGAATAAAAAAAGGTGGAAGTTTCATTTTTTTCCATTTTCAGCTAGGCCACTCTTCTAAAAATTCAAAAAAATTTTTAAAAAGCCTTAATACGCAGAACCCTTCAGCTTCCAAGTCGATCAAATTTTTAGAATATTTTTTTGACTACAGTCTAAAAATAAATTTGATCGTGAGAAGGCTTTCGTCGTCACTTTGACCAATTTTTTTTCAAGTCAAATAATTTTCAACTGTAAAAACCCATAAAAAAACATTTTTTTATTTCAAGAAGGTCAGGAGGTCGCAAATGTTGTTCACCAAAACCCAGTTGAAGATACAGAGCTGCCAGATGTTACCGAAGAAAGTGAGTCAATCACTAAATACCATATTCGATACAAGGTTCTTAAAATGTTTATAAATTTCAGATGCCGGCTTGTAGACTCCACAGAAATAAAAGGATTTAAAGATCATCGGATTTTGAAACTTTGAAGTTGTACTTTTCGAAATATTTCTTGTTAACTCCTTTTCTGATGTTATTTTTTTGATAGTTTTAATTTTTTTTATTGGAAAAAAACTTAATCTAATAGAAATCATTTTTTTATGACAATTTCTTTGTTATTTTTTTTATGAAAGGTTCAGTAAAATTTCCTTTCCTCTTGTTTTGAACTTCTTTTTGAGACCCAGTGAGAAATGTGGAAAAAAATGGCAAGCCTACGTTATTGTCTTGAGAAACAACACAATTTGACCTCTTCTGAGAGTTTTTAGCCCGCGAAAATTTCCGACAAGGTTTGGCGATTCCGCGGTCTCAGCGGTCTCAGCGGTCTCAGTTTTTCTTCATTATTTTTTTATTGTTCGAGGTTTATCAATAAATGTAAATTCTTATTTTCATTTTTTTTTTAAATTATTCAAATGTTAATGACCATTTCCTACTGACGATTTTGTCCATGTTTTTCTTTCATTTGAGATATATTTCCTAAATTTCAACCTCAGAAATAAATTTAAATTCTTTGCGAGCAAATTCGTCGTCAAAGTACAATGTTGTTATTATCTTTACCAAAAAAATAATTTTTCTTCACGGTTCGTGGTTTTCTTAAAACCATTCGAAAAAAGTTGCACTTTTTAGTGAAGATATGACTCTGCAGGTGTGACGGTAATTCTTTTGAGCTGCGTCTCTAACCGTTTCCGCTTGTCTCACACTCTGTAAATGAGGCGATACTCCAGCAAAGACGGCGAAAGTGCCATTGCAGGGGCTCGAAGTTTTTCAAACTTCTAAAAAGTTTTATATATTTTTTTCAATAAGGAAACAAAAAATTGTTGTTTTCAGCTATTGTTATACTGTAGATAGCTCAAATGGTTTTTTTTAAATAGTACAAAGCAAGTTCATGAAGACAGCGTCATTTTCTCTAATGCAAAGTAAAGTTTTATTCTTTGCAAAAAAATAAAAGAGTATTCGACAAATTACTCGAACTTTCGGAGTTTTCAAAAGGCTCTACGGGTCTATTGCGGCACCTTTAATTTCACCTTGATTGTTATAAAGTGAATAAGGTTAAATGTTTCCTACTCATCCAGAAATATTCTTCTCCAGCGCAATGTGGTCTTTTTCAAACTATTCTTTGAGACATTCTGTGGCAGCAGATGTTGGTTATTCAGTCCTTTACCGACATTCTCTAAACAAGCACATGTTTTTGTACGCGTCCACCTAGCATTCGTTTTGTTTAGATGCAATGCGATTGACCCATCAACTTGGCCCTCATCCCTGTTTGTCTCAACAGTCCGTTTGACAACTTTCAGCCAAAAATTGAAGTGAATCTGGATTGCTTGGCCGTGACTCTGCGTTTTATAAATTATATAAGTCTGTATGAGACGATCTGAACACTTAGTTTTTTTTTGGTTTCTTTTCTCTGCTTCTTGGAGATATTAGATCTGAAGATTTAAAGCAGTTTTGTAAAACACTTTTTTTTAATTTTTCGCATTGGTTTGGTTCTGTAAACGTCTCAAAATATTTTCATAATTCAAATGAATCAGAATGATTTCTAAAGAAGCAGGCCTCTTTTTTCTATTGTTTGGCGGAAGAGGGCGATTTTTTTCTGACTTTTTTCTGACCTCTATACTCTTTTTGCAGTAATTCGAATTTTTTCGTCACATTTCAAGTTTTACGCAACATCCAATTTCATTTTTGCGTCATTTTTTGTTGAGCCTTTTTCGAGAAACTTATAAAACTTTTCTTTCACAGATACTTATCGAATGTCACAAGACGATATTGAACGTTTCACTAACCTCATGCAGTCCGTCACTCTCCGAGAAGATGGGGATAGGCAAGGTGAGCCTGGTTTCTATTCGGAACTTTCGAATTTCTTTTCACGAAGTCTTTTCTTTCAAATTTTTGAACTTCCGGATTTCTCAACATTCTTACTATTTTTCAAGTTGACAATCGTAACACTTTCTCTGAGCCGATTTCTGGTGCTGCGCGTCTCGCGAACCAAGCTCTCATAACAAGTAAGTAGATGAAGCAATACTTCCTAGTCTTGCTCTTTCGGATATGTATCGAAAATTGTTTTAAAAGTCATTTCCGAGTGCGGTCCGCGGCCGACGTCCTTCGTTATCAGCGATGTAACTATTTCCACGAAAGCAGATGGCCTGACTTATCAGGTCGAGGTATGGACCTAATAGTCAAAAAGAGTAAGCAGATAATTTACCAGAAGAAGTACCAAGTCATTTATAACAAGGAATCCTATTCGACCTTAGACGACGATGTTCTGCACATCCGCTACTTTTGGGTGCGTTTTTTAGATTTCAAGACAATTTTTTTCGAGCACAAGAATTGTTTCGATGCGTAGCGGTTATTTTATAAAAGAGACAAAAAAACTTGAAGGAAACAGAAGTTAAAAAACCGGCAAAGTTAATTTTTCAACTGCAATATTTTAACTATCCAACTTAAAATGTAAAGCTCTGAGATTTCCCTTTGAATGTGATCAGAGTAGTGAAGATTTAATTACAAGTTTACATCGCACTTCAAAAATTTGAGCTCCAAAAGTTTCAGCCTCACAAAACAGCCCTGGATATTTTAGTCTTGGGATTTTAGTCTATCCGTGTGGTTAAGCCTTTTTTGATTTCAGTACTTTTGACATTACTCGCAACAAAGAGGCGCATGAAGGCGGAATTTTACATAGCAAAACATTTCAATATAAATCTCTGCGCTTGGTTTTTCTAGAGTTTTCTCAAGGAGAACTGATTGTTTCAAGACTGAGAATTCTTCTGGTTCTGAGCTGAATTTCTTTTGCCAAACCTCTTTTGCTAACGAAATTCAAGTTGACTTTCAAGTGTCCTTCAAATTATGAACGTTTTGATTTCAGAAGCCGGAATACGCGCTCGTGAGCTTGGAAGAGAAGATTTGCTCTCAATAATGACGATAGTACAGGTCGAGCTCTCGCAACTCTCGCAATCTAAAACCTTGTTGATATTTGCACCCATTTATTGGAGTACGCTGTTTAAATGCACCAATTTATTTTCCGATTCTCTGTTTGTACAATTTCTAGGAATCGATCGTTGTTTTCTTCGAAATAAAAGTTTTGTACGATAGTTCATTTGCCTTTTTTTTCAAAGTTCCTTTCTTTTGAATGCTCATTAAGCTATCAATTGAATGAGTTCTGGCAATTGTTTGATATTTATTTCAATTTACTGAATTCTATCAACAGAAAGCGGTACATTTTAAAGAAAAAAATAAACAGAAATCGATGATAATAGTTATTCAGACACATTCATATTGGAGCTGTGGGATAGTTGACAATGGTTATGTAAGTAGTATCACAAAAATGTCACAATTGATAGTAAGTGAATGATGAGCCACAAAAGAGCTGAATAACTATGAGCTACGAAATATCCTGAACATCTTCTAAACTTTAAGTTTTTATTATTCATGTAGTTATTCAGTCCAATGAGTTAAATTTAAAAAAATTGTATAAAAGCTTATTGAAAGTTGGCAGTGATGATTGCGTCTACAAGAAAATCCAACAGTTATTACAGAATTTTTCCCTTAAAAAAGACGAAAGTTATTTTGCAGAAAGTTTGAACAGGTTTCATCAATAATTGCAGTTTTTCTCATTGAAGCTAGCCATTGTGATAAAAGATAATTTCATATACGTAGTAGTTCCCAGATAAAAAAAAACATTACAAATGAGAAAAAAAAGCGGTAGACATCAATGAGCATGACAAACTTGAAATGAACAATTTTCATCAGATGGAGGTTGAGTCAGCTATCAGTTTTTATTTAGGCACCCAAATGACAGATTGCGATTCTTTAGCAATAAGTGAGTGAACGCGGTTGATGATTTCGGCGGCCGAGTGGGCGTTGGAGATTTCGTCTGAAATTTTCCACTTGAAAGTTTATAAATACAATCCTCAATGTATGTATACATTTACAGGCCAACACATCAAACTGTCAATTGATCATGATTGATTTATCTTACCACATGGAAATGACTTCAAAAAAAGGTACAACTTTTTTTCCTACCACAAAAATCTGTTTATCAATTATAAAAAAAGCTGAAGTAAATGAATTGAAGTTTTCAACTTGAAAAAAATTTCATTTTTTTCGGAAAAAAACGCCTCTGAGGCATATCTATGTAAACATCAGTTGGAGATGTGAATTTTTGAAAACAGAAAAGTTTTTTTATATGTTCATCTAAGACATCAAAAATAAGAGCTTATTGAAAAAAAAATTGCGAACGTTGATAACAAAAGCTAGGAAAACGAACGAGTGAACAAGTCGCCGAATGTCTGCTCGATGCGTTGACAACGCTGATATTGTTGATGAGCTTCATCCTCGGTCAGCGGACGATCGTTTGACCGACTTCCAGCCGTGAACTGTCGGTCCCAGTCTCTGAAAAATATAATTTCAGTAACCCGAAGACTTGTGAAGAATGATGTTCTTACAATATCTGGTGGGCAGCGCTCGGTTTGACAAACAGGGCGATTGGATGGATGTTGGCGACGCTCTGAAGTCTTCGGATCGCGTGTCCGCTGACGTCAAGGATGCAATGGCGTCCCTGGAATTTTGACAATCAACATAGTTTGTGTATAGTCTGTTCAGATTTTGAATGTCAAGCAGCTAACTCCACCCCCAAGGCTACAATATCTTTCGCGTCGATGTTTTATCTACATGTGCCAATGGCCCTTTAATAAGGCTGCTTTTTTGACCTCTTTTTCTATCTTTTAGATCGAAAAAGATCAAAATTAGTCCCGCGCGATGAAACATCGACGCGAAAAGGAACCGTCTCAGCAGGGGCGGAGTGAGCTTCTTGACATTCAAAATCTGAACAGACTATAATAAACATTCTTTTGCACAAATTTTTTTCTGAAAAAAAGGGCAGAATGTTGCTTTCTCGATTGTCAATTTCGTGTAACTGCTGGTAAAGTCCGAGACTCTGCTTTCTAGATAACTTCAACCAACCTGATTTGCAACCTCTCGGACGCTTTGAATGCTGGTTCCATAAAGATTGTTTTGGAACTGGCCAGCTTCAATGAACAAGTTGTTCTTCACATCGTCTTCCATCTTGTCCTTTCGAACAAAATGATAATCTCGTCCGTCGACTTCGTCCTCTCTGGGTGGTCTCGAAGTGTCTGAAACACTCATTTTGTAAGAGAAGTTTGAAGAAAAAAAAACTCACGAGGCACACAACTGCTGAAACGGTTGGGATCGCGAGTAACGAGCTCGTCGTTAATTCTGTCTTTGACAGCTCCCAGAATGATAACCGGCCGCACATAATTAACTAAAGTATATACACCAGATCATTCTCCACTTTTTTTCTCAGCTTACTTTGTTGTTGTTCAACGGGCTGGTAGGAGAACACCGGCTCATCTGCGGTCGCCACTGAAAAAGAGCTCTAAATCTCTTAAAAAATTGCAGTCAAGGTAGAAGAAAAACAGGCAAATAATTAGTATTGTTACTCGAATTCCATTGTTAAGGAACAGAAATGAGGAGATTTGAAAAATGAAGAGTGAAACTTTGAATTGAAAGCACTATACTCACTAAATTCGCTCGCGCTAGTATAATCGGTGTTGGTTGTTGCCATTTCTATAAAGGAGGGTTCGATTCATAAAGGGTTTCTGGGATGGTCAGATTGGAAAATTTTGAGAGCTAGCAGTCTGCAAAAAAATTTCCTGGGAGATTTCAAGAAGCACACCAGCTTTTAAGAAAACCCTGTTTTGAAAGAAATTTGAATATTTTCCCAACTCTAGACACGTCATCAAGTGCCTGGACAATGGATTCCATTATTATATTAAAGAAGTCTAAACAGGAAACATACGCTCTTGGTCAGTGAACTCATTGAGACGATCGGTACTCTTCACGAAGGGGAACTTCCTAGAGAAAGAAAGCTGACTACGGCTTCCACGTCGATTTTCCAGGCCAGTAGGATTGCTGTTTCGTCCCAAAGACATTGAGCCTGAGTTGAAGTTCACCTGAAGGATTATGAAAATGGAGAAACAAAAATAATAATTGAACCTGTTTTCTACGTAGACGTTCACGTTTCTCTACTCGTTTCTTAGACGGAATCACGCCTTCCTGACTTTCTTCGTTGTTGTCCAAAACCTTGAAAATGAGCTTGAGATGAAACTTCCAATCATTTTTTACCTTTCTAGCAGTCCACCATTCGTCATCTGATGTGTTGATAATGTGCAAGATATCTCCATAGTGGAAAGTCATCGTGCGATGTGGTGGGACTGCACTCACTTGACTTGGGTCGAAATCGAAAAGAGCTCTGAATGTTTGCGATTTAATTGAGAACAATTCATTTTTAGCTCACCTAACGTATTGTTCCTGTTTAGGAACCGCCACGCCTCCCATTCTCGATTGGGCAATGACATCATTCCGAAGACGTTCGATTTTGGTTTCGAAGAGTTGATATTCTGAAGTATTTTCTACTAGAAAAAAAAGCTATTTTTCAATTTGACTATTTTGAGTTCACTTTTCAGAAAAGATTCCTCGATTCATCAACCGAAATTTTTTTGCACTTGTCTATCAAGATTCTAGCGTATTTCCGAAAACGATTCGAGAACAAGGCGCTTTTTCAATATTTCAGGACGCCGTTGAAGTTTGAGATTGACTCACCGTGTGGACGGTACTGCAGAAGCATGTTAACAGGATTCTGAACGTGTCTCAATGCATCTGCGGCTTCTTTGTGCGAAGCATGACGTAGATTCGTGTTGTTAACTTCGAGCAGAACGTCTCCCTGTGAAAATTACACGGGTATAACTCAGAAAATCAACAGAATATTTACAGTTTTCACATTTCCGCTCAAATCGGCCACACCACCTGGCAAGACGTAGCTGATATATATTGGTTCGCCATCTTCTCCTCCAACGATGTTGAAACCGAGGCCCTGAAAATAAACAAAAAAGATTTTAATACAGAGGAATAGTCTAAGATCAAACAATTATGAAACTCTGTGCCGTGAACTTACACTAGGTCCTTTATAAAGGTGAACCAGACGTGGGTCAGCCGTCGGGATCAAAGTCACAGGAGTGGTTGGAGCTCCAGTTCCGACAGGCAAACCGTAAGCCAAAGCCGTTTGCGAATCAACTGATCGATTTTGGAAGCCTTGAACAGAGCTTGCTGAAAAAGCAGGTTTTTTTAAGCATTCAGGGCATCAAAATTACGTCTCAAAATGGGAGTGATAGCGGTAAACTGTTGACTAGCGGAATCAACAAAAGGAACGCCTTGGTTCTTTTGAATCAGTAGTCGAACTCTGGTCCCCGTGTTTTTCAGAACATCGACCGCAAACTCGTGCGTGACATTTTCCAAAGAAATGTTATCCACCTGATGAATAGAAACCTTTATTTGAGGCAAGGAAACGTTCAAACTGACCGCAAGAATTTTGTCGCCAACTCGTAGTCGACCATCATGATCTGCAGCTCCATCATCGATAATTTTGGTGACGAAAATGTCCGTGTCGCCAGGAACATGCTCATTTCCAGCACCGCCAGCAATAGAGAATCCGAGGCCTTTGCTTCCCTGTATAACTTTTCTTTTATTCATGAGATCTTTAGGGTTTTTTGACCTTGTAAAGTTCGAGGACTTGGGAGTTGGCACGAACTGGTCTGTATGGGTTGGACAGTTGGCTGAGTGACCCATGATGGACAGGCGGCAGAGGCGGCGGATGGAGTGGAGCCGCTGGCGAGTGAACGTCAAGATTTCCGGCACTCATGGAAGGTGTCAGGCCATTTCTGAACGGCGTTCCCAATGCTCCTATAGATGTTTCCTCGCGCCTTCGCTTCAGAGTCTGAACCAGAGAATTTTAAAAGTTTGATATTTCAAAAACTTGAATGATGTCCTCACCAAAGACACAACATTTCCAGCATGTTTCAAAGCGTTCACCGCCACCTCATGAAGAACATTTTCGCAGTTGGTACCATTGACGTTGACGATGATATCGCTCCGTCTGAAATTTTTAACTTCGTTGTTTGAGTCCCGCTATGAAATGCTGGTTATAAATGGATTGGTAGTGGAAAAAAAAATATATACATAGAGCTCAATTTCGTGTTGGTCTATTCTAAGGAGAGAGCTGGAAAGCGGCTATTTCAGAATATTCAGTGGAGATTTGGTTATGTCTAATGAGAGCTGCGATTTTGAAATATTTCACTGAGAGCGGCAAAGTTCTAACAAAAAAAGGTTGAAAAATCTTTTTGGAAATTTGATAAGAAACTCTTGAGTCTTTCTTTTTTTATTCAAAAGTCTGCCTAAAATAAATAAAAAAATTTCAAATGATTTTTTTACAGTACGTGAAAATCCTTGATATTTTGTTTGACAAAAAATTTTCAGTTGTCAAATTTCGTTGTCCGATAGATACCTCATCCGACCATCAGCCAAAGCGGCACCTCCCGGGATGATATTAGTAACGTAGATGGCGGTGTCACCATCCTCGGTCGGCTGATCAGTTCCTGCAACAGAAATCTCCAATTATAGGTGATAATCTGGCGAGATTAGCCGTTTTATTGCGTCGCCGCAAGAACCTCACCTCCGGTAATTGAGAACCCAAGGCCGGTGTGGCCTTTTTCAAGGACGATGTCCTCGATTTCCCACTTGCGGCCGCGCTCATCAATAATGCCGTTGTGCTGGAAAAAATTCCTTTTCAGGTGAACGCTCTTCTTTTGGAAGACAAATAGTAAAAAAATCTTCTTTTCAAATCGATAACTTTGAATTTATTTTGAGAATGTAAGTTTTTGATATTTTTGGAGCATTTTTTTATATCTACCTTCAAATTTAAGTTTAAAAAAATCATAACAGAAGTCTGAATGAAAAAAACTCACAGTAACGGTCTGCTTCTGAACACCTCCAGGAGTGTCAACCATTTTGGTGGTCACCTCACGCCAAGTTCCATCATGACTCTAAAAACAAAAAAATAACGTTAAAGAGAAATTTTTACGGCTTTCTCGAAGCGAAAACACAAAATAATTCAAGTTTTTGTTTTCTTCTTTTATTGAAATTAGACAGACTTTGTAAATACTTTTCTCTCGGATTCATTGGATTACCAGGAACGCTCTCTACAGGTTGACTTTCGTAACAAAACACTTACAGTGTGTCTAGATCTCTCATGAAGCAGATGGCTGGACTGAGAGAACGAAGTGTTGGCTGTTGGTAGAGCTCCATTGGTCACTGAGTCGAGGTATGTGAACCCACGATCCTGGAATGCCTATCAAATTTTGCCGGGCCAAATCGACCAAGAAATACCTCCGAAGCCAAAGGAGCACTGGTGTAGTTCGGAATAGCCGAAGTTCCGACAATATTCGAGCGAATGCCGAAAGGCGGGTGGACATCCCATCGCTCCACGATTCTTCGGACCTCCGAGTTCTTCTGCAGGTAGGACTTGCGCTCGTTCAGCAAGGTGTCTTCGTACAGCTCTTGCAGATCTTAAAAAACTTTCTGATCAAATTCTTAGAAAGAAAGGAAAAAAAATCTAATAAAGGTTTCGACTTACCAATCAAGGTCTGAAACAGGCCGGATTTGAAGCCGTTGATGAGTCTTTCGATGTTGGATCGGAGCTCGTCATCGGTTTGGCGAGTGAGCTGCGCGTGATAATCTTCTATCAGCTCGAGTGCTCGATGCGCTTCTGGAATACATTTCGATGAGTATTGAAAAAAGTCAGGTGATTCACTTTGCGGTTGAATTTTTTTGGAAATGGACCAGTCTTCTTGCCTCAATCTGCACATCCCCAGCCTTTGAAAAAAGTTTCCACAAGTCATAGAACAACTTATTAATTAGTACAGAACGCCGTTATGAAAATTTTTGCTCTTTCTTGAAGATTTGTAGGTACAGACTTTCTGTATCTACATTTTTTTTAGATGAAATTATATTTGGACGATACATCAAAAAAAATAATAATCCAATCGCAGAGCAAGATGAATTTCGTACGACTTTTTTTATAGTGAGAACAAAGTGTTTCTCCACATTTTCAAACAATGTTTTTCCTTTCAGTTTTTTTCGAATTTGAATTTGAATATCTGACAAAAAGCTTCTATTCAAAGCTATTCTCTATAAACTGTTTTTCGTGAGTTCTCGTTTCCAAATAGGTTCTCGCTCTCTCAATTTATCCCCTTTGTGTTATTTCTGACGGAAAATGGACCACACGTGATGCGTCACTGTTGAAAAAAATTTCCCGCTCCCAACCTTGGAGTCAGCTTTTGAAGTGACTCACCCGGAGCGAAACAAAACTTCTATAGAATATATATTGCTTTTTCTGATCGAAAAGCGCCCTGAAGCGTGATGCGCATGGTACGTGTATGGTATGCAGTTCTCGCCGCGTTCCAAGCCCATGAATCATTACTAGTCCTGAGTTTCAAGAAAAAAAGCAAAAAAATTTATAGTTATATAATAGATGGACTCTAAATTAAAAATTAAATGTTGGCCCTTTCTACTAAAAAAAAATGAAAACTTCGAGGCGAGTTTCAAAAAGCGACTTTCCGGTTTCAAGTTCGGAATATATCAGCTCTAAAATCTCCCATTTAAACAACGGCTCGTTGCCCTTTTTTGATCTGCTATTGGCCGTGACGATAATTATTCATGCGCGAAACGGCTCAGGCCAAGCGTGGCATTCAACCCGTTCCGGTTTGAGTTGAAAAAAGTGGCGACGGCTTTGATTCCAGTTCCAGGAAAATAGTTTTTCTCCTTTTCTGATCTTGAATTACCTATCAATTTAAGCTTTCCTTTCAGTTGACAATCAAAACAACATTTTTTCTTTTTGTTTTGACTTTTTGAGCTCTCATCGACCAGTAGAGCGTCATCAGACGAAAGAAAGCGTCCCAAGGACATTTGAAAAATAGAAGAACCCTGGCAGAAGAAAGAAAGACATTAGTTGCAATTAACTCACCGCTTGTGCGCACCGGTGGCATTGTCCAAACGCCCTTCGATTTCGATGTCGCGCGTTTCGCTGCAATAAAAAAAATGAGTTTAAAACTGTGAAGGCAATGAAACAAGCAAAAATCGATGAAATCGAGAACAAACACTTCTGGTGACGATTCGATCATACCAAAATGGAACAAAACCCGTATTTTGAAAGTGAATTTTTTTTTGAAACAAAAGAGTAAAAAGGTCAATGAACAGAGAGAGGGAATCTTAACTATTTTGGGTGCAACTTCAGTCGGCAAGTACTAGCACGAAGGTAAACAAGGACAATTTTGCGAGAAAAATATTTGCTTCCAGGAAAAGCCACGAGCGACAAAGACCGTTTTTAACACTTTCTACAGTTTCAAATTCAAAAGTAAAAGCAATAATTCTGCTGTGAAGCGAAACCTAGAAATAATATTCTCAGTGAGCGAAATAGTACGAATATTGAAAAATTGGGAAAAGTTTTTCTGAGCGCTATCGTTCAGAATCGTATAAACCGTGGGAAAAACAGATGAGTTTTTGCGCCAAGAAACGTTTTTTTATGCAAAATAGCGGCGCGAAAGGCGATAGATCGAAAAGACGGGAATCGAAGTTGAAATCACCAAAAATAGTCAACAAACACAGGCGATAAGAAAGACAGCGAAAAACGTCGCCGCCAAGTCAGGAATTGATAGTTTTTCTTCGCATTCTTATTTGGAGGGTGGTCTGTGCTCTTCCAACCAACTCAAAAAAAAAGAATGGCAAATGGTTTCGTACCCCTAAGATAACCGGTTTTTGAGAATTGAAACTGAATTAGACTCCCTATCTGATCCTACACTCTGACAACGGAAAGTTGTTTTTTTTTTCCCTAGAATAAGAGGAACTGTAAATTTTCAGACGCTTGAAAATATTGGGCTGGAGAAAAAAACAATTTCAAATGAGATAAATATTAGAGCCTTAACTCAGACTTTGAAAATTAAAAAAAAAACATGAATTCAAAACCTAAAGTTGAAAGAAATGATCTAGAAACTCTGGCAAGCCAAGCTTCAGAAAAAAAAATGAGGAGAATCAAGCGCAACGTTCAAAAAAAAAATAGCGGTGAGGTGGAACATGGGACAAACGAGGCGGACGCGGGGCCAGGTAGCGTAGAGGTCGACCAAATGCCGATTTGCAGATCAAATGGAGGTCGAACGTTCTTGACATCCCATTGGAGCTCACCTTGGATGCGACGGCGGCGGGTCGGCTATTTACAAGTATCTCGCGATGGCATCTTCGATCTTGAGACGCCGATAAAGCATTTACGACGATTTCGGGTATCGCGCCCATTTCCTATGTTCAACACTTGGGTCAGATGAATGAACTGTTTCAAATTATTGATTTATTCGTAGTTTCTTACTTTCAACTCCAAAATAAAAAGTCAGAGGTTACTCCTTTACCGGATTAGTTCAAAAAATGTACATATTTTTCTGTTGAGTGTACTGTTTTTTTCATACGCACACTACATTTGTCAGGTCTTTTTCCAGAAACCTCACGAGCCAATAGAAATCAACTGACATGAAAAATAGATGAAAAGAAAGTCATAAAACTTTTGAGAAACCATCAAGGATACCAGGTTTTTTTGTATTCTCTCAACTCCGTTCCCAATAAAATATATTCGCGAGTTTTCCAGATAAAAGAGTTCAATACACAAAAAACCTTTTCAACAAAGGTTTATTTTTTGAAAAGTCGATAGAATTCTTCGAAAGTTTTGAGGATTCCGTCAAGTTTCACTATAGCATTTCACAAACACGGTAGGGCGCGAAAATATTGAAATAAGGCGGCGGCTGTACGGCAAACAGGAAAGATAAGAGCTGGTGATAGGCAACGGAGCTCGCCGGAGCTCAACTTGACCCGCAAGTATGGGGTCTCCCTTGTAAACATAGAAATATATAGGTCTATTTGATGACCCGTGATGAATTCAAAAAAAAAAAGCGGCGTTTTGAAGTAAGGTAAAAATGCGTCTGAAAAAATGAAAAGGTATTTTTTGAAATTGCGGTTTTCAATGAGGAAAGTAGAGATAAAAGGTTTCAAAGTAGAGTACAGACTATTCTGAACAATCTACAGAAAAATGACCGCATTCTGAAAATGCAAACAAGTCACGACGACGTGGAATTTCCGACGCGAGTAATGCGGGAAAGGTGTGCGCACGTAGCGTCGCGATGACTCATCAACACGCGCGTCTCGCAGCAAAACTTGTACAATGACGGCGACTGTCAGAAGCGAGAAAAGAAGACGTTAGTCGCCACAGAAAATGTACGATTCGCGCTTGCAACTTCCTCCAAACGGGGCCTAATTACGGAGGAATTATCGCAATTACATAATATAATGGGGAGATTTTCCGAGACAGGTATAAACAAAAAACTATGAAGCCGAGAATCCCATCTCCAAATTGTCTTTTTATCCGACAGACATGACGGTTAAGAACATAATAAGTTTCGTTAGGTCGAGCGATTTTAAGATAAAATTTTTCTGAAAAAAGTATGTTAATGACGAACTTTAAAAAGACTCAAAGTTAGAGTTTTACTCAATTAAAAAGATTGAAAATTGCATGCGGAACTAAAAGAGAAGAATTCCGAGCTAAATATAGGGTAGAGAGCAGATGCAAGGAGCTCAGAATCCGATAAAATGAAAACTGCTGATGTTACTGTAAATATGTTTCCCAAAAAGAACTTTCTTTTTTTCATTCAACTCAATTTTTACATTTCACAAACTCTGAAAACTTTTAAAAAAATTTTTTTTTTCAACCAATCCAAGATAGTCGCGTCTGGTTTTTGAAAAAAGTTATTTTGAAACTTTTTATTTTGTGAAGTTACAGTAAGAAGAACAGAGAATTGTGTGAAAAAAAAGCTTTTTGAGAATCGTATTTGGTACACATTAAACAATAAAACGAACGGAAACCGATTGATGTGAAACTAAAAAAACGAATTTTCAAGACATTAAAATGCATGAGAATGGGCCGTAAAGGGTCATAATTTCCAAGAGAAATTTTCGTATAAACGGAGAAAAGACCACCCTTCGGCGGCTTCTTCTGCTGCCCGCTGGCTGTTTGTGCGCCTACAGGACAGGCTCGTAAAGCCTTTCGCTTCGACGCACACTTTCGTAACACCGAGAATAAACCCCTGACAGTCTTGGATACCGCCAAAAATTAAACTAAGTAGATGGTTGAAAAAAATCTTCAAAAAAATTAAGACAAAAATTAAGACAAATATCGAATAAAAAAACTTCCGAAAAATTTTTCCATCCTGAGAATAAAACTTTTCAAAAAAAGATATGTCTTTCGGAAAAAGAGTTTTTTTTGCAAAAATCAAGCTTGAAAGAAATTCTGAAAATTGTACTAATAGAACCACAACTGGATTGGTTCCAGGAGAGAGAAAAATTTCAAATAGAGTAAAATTAGAAACATAAAAAAACCAACAGTTTCAGAGTTCTTTTCTTTGAAAAAAAGTTAGGTTATTTTTCTCAAATTTTTTTCTTTTCATACGGCCTCATATGCATGAATATTCAGTAAAAAAACAAATAAAAAAAGAGAAAAAAAGCAGGAAAAACAGTGGTCAGGTTTTGGACGCAGAATCGAATACTAGAGCACTATAGGTAAGTGTGGCAGGGGACCACTTGAACCTGAGGCTCTTTCTGCGCGGCGGGTCGCCGTGCGAGAGAATGCGGCGAGACCTCAATGAAAACAAACTCGCAGGAAATTTGATACACGTCAGTTATGAATATCCAGAAGGCCTGCCCTTATTCCGGAATCCAACGTCGCAAACATTTTCATCCTCAAGTCATAGTTTCAAAAACGATACTGACCGGTTTTTTTTCAAGCTATTTGGGCGGGGCAAGTAAAAATTACAGCAACAAGATTTTTAAATCTTAGAAAAAATGTTTTTGTTTTGACTAATTTTGGTTAAATAAAATTTCGTTGAAAAAAGGTATAGAGTACAGTAAAGCTGACTGGCGAGAAAAACAAATGATACAAAAGGAATAATTAGAAAAAATTATCAAAATGCAGATTTTTTTTTGGTTTGAAGCTGAAAAAATTTTAAAAAAACTTTAAAGATCTCCTCAAGAAAACTTCACGTTTTTTCTTGCTGTTTTTTTGTGTCAAAGTTTGAAAATACTTTGCTTTCTTTTTTTAACATTTACTGAAACTCTGAATACAAAGTTTGTCAAAGCAAGAAAAGCAAGTTCAATTCGGACTTCGAAATTCAGCCGAATGCTGAAAATTTGAAAACAAAATATAAGAGTGCAATAGAGGTGAGCGTCAAAGAAAAGGCTGGGAACTTGGACCGGAGAAGAATAGAGCAAATACCGGTGACAAGCGGAGCCTTAAAGCAGATGGGAAACAAGCTTATGATGCACCAAACATAAAACGACTTGCACGAAAAATACGGAGCTCTTCTCCGAGTGCCCCTGCCGGTGTGTAGCCAAAAGCATGGCTTCTGCACTGTCTTCTTCTTTCTGCAAACACATGCAAAATTTTCCTCACGTTTTTCTTGAGGGTTTTCACTCATTTATCTAATAAAACTTACAAAAGAGGGTCATTTGAATCTTCTAAAAAAATGTTTCATTTACGAGAGACGAAAAATTGACCAACTTCTCCCTTTCTGAAAGCGGCAACCCTTCAGTTTCTCAAGTCTGTGTAGGGAGTTAAAGTGTTCTGAAGTTCGATTGAAGATTGACTGGAATGTTTGAGGTGAAATACAGGAAATTAAAAAAATGATTTAATTTAATTTCAGGAATTAGAAAAAAAGGCTTTTTTTATTATTATGTGTTTGTTTTTGTTTAGTTTTAAAAAAATTCAACATTTTTTTCATTTGAAATATTCGATCATAAACTTACAAAATGGATCATACAGTGAACAATTAAAACCGATTTAGAAAACTGAAGTTATTTTCACTCACAAAAAAGTCAACGGAGCCCTGCATGAAAAGCAAATATACTCCAAAAAATAATGAATATGAAAAGAATAAGGAAAAAGAGGGTACATATACTTTTTCCATTTTATCATTCAACGTTCAATATTCAACGAAGAAACAGTTTTTACCTCGGAAATCGAGAATTTCATTAAAAAAATTGCTCCAACTACAAGGATCCGCCCCGACCGCTCGTAAAAAAAGTGTTGACTCTTGCGCCAGGTCCGTCACTTGTTTCAAAACGAGTAGAAAAAAAGGAGACAACATTTTTTTACAAATTCCGATATTTTATTCTTATTTGAAGTGAATACAGAAAAGCGGGATTTCCGAGGTTTCACCGAAAAAGATCTAAACATTTTGAGCCCAAAAGACTTAGCGGGTTTCTTGAGCGATTATGACAGAAATAAAAGCAAACACTGCAACGCGTCCAATCGTAAAACGCTATCGGGGCTCAGTCGCACTCAACTGATAAATTAGCAATGTAGAGTGAATTATTGCGAATAGTTTGGTGTGATCAAAACTGTAATACCCTTGAGCTTTTTTCTAATCAACCTTCTAATAATTAAAAAGATTCTCGTTCTCAAAAAACCATTTTATTTTTTCAAACCTCAAACTTCTTCAATTTTTTGAAACTTTGCCCCGCGGAATGCGGATTATCCTCGGATGGCGCTTTCAAATCATCCAACAGTAAAGAGGATCTTGAGAAACTTGATATTATTCTCAATCTAAGATGAAAATTTGGAAGACTCAGATGAAGTAGAAATATAAGCTCTGAATGATAAGACAAAAAAATTAATTGAAATACATTTCACAATTTCGTTATCGTTTTAGAAGGAGAATCATAGAAAAAACACCTGTTTAATATTTTTTTGAATGTTACAGATTTTTTTTCCCATAAAAGAAGCTTGGATTAAACTATAAAAATGAAAAAAAAATTGTGAAAGGGTGACAACAAAAAAGATTCAACCCAAAGGCAGCAGGTTTTGAGAGGAGTGCGTACAATAACATCCAAAATGTCACCGTATCGACCTTCAAAAACTTTACTTTCTTCGACCAAATCCGTTTCTATCCTTAAGTTGTTGCTGAATTCAAAACTGTGAAAAGAATTCAAGAGAGAAAGAAAAATTGGTTATTTTTCTGAAATTCGTTCTCAAATATGTTCTTTTATAGAGATTGAAATCAGTGGGATGAGAGTGATTTGAACATTTCATCAGTTTCCAAATCTACCTTTTAACAGAGAAAACTTTCAGACCGGCTTATCGTGATTTTCGCTTTTCTTTCTCATTAACTTCAAAGTTGCATAATTTATCTCAACACAGCTTCATATTTTCACCAGCACACTAATATAAGGTGTGCAACGTGGGAAAAGTTTGATCAGAGAAAAAAGCCCGCGAGGAGCAAAAAATGCACATTCCCCTCAATTTTCCTTTATATTCCAGCTCAATTGTGCCTCAAATGCACTTCGCGGCACGAGTCTTTCGTGACCAACCCGCCAGGTGACAATATTGATTTCACTGTTTGCCATCGCGTATTTCGCACCTTTGAACTGGAAACAAATAAAGGAAATCAATTTTGATGCCATTATTGAGATTTTAGAAGTGTTGGAAATATCGAAGATATCTTTCCAAATAGAACTTTTTTCGAATAATCGCTTGTTTTTAAATGAAAAATAGGTTATTGCGATTCGATAAATTTTTGAGAGAAAGAAGATATTCGGTTATGCTTTTTTTGGTTATGCTGAGAAAGAAGATATTCGGTTATGCTGAATAAATATAAAAAAGCGGTTTTTTTTCGAGCTATACTTTATAACAAGAAAAAAAAGAACTTTTCTATCCGTGAATTTTATATTCGAAGCGTTACTAAACTGAACTTTCCAGAAAAATGGATTCAGGACTTCTCAACTGAAATTCAAAGGTAAATCGGGAAAGATGGAAGAAAAACAGGGTAGGATGAAATAAATCAGCTCTGAGAGCGGATTTGCAACAATGTGAAGGCCTGGGGGTGCTACAACCGGGGTCGCTGTTACATCGGCATCCTCGATGAGTTTTCGTTCGTTTTGCCGTTGTCCACTCCAATATTTAGGTTCACTAACAAGAATATAGTCCATTTAAAAAAATTTAGCCCGGCTTATTTAAAAAAACAGAAAGCAAATGGATATGAAAGTGTTATGTTTTTTTGAGTTTCATTGTAAGTTCACAATACAAAAATAAGATGGATTAAAATGAAAAAAATTGAACGAAACAGAATAAAAAAAGAACAAGAATGAGAAGAACACCAAACTGACGCAAAATACCTTGCGCTGAAATGACCTTCTTCTGATCTGTAATTAGAGGCGTAGGAGCGATGCGAGGTGGTCATTATTTCCTGTAGTAAAAAACTGGATAAATGATTTTACAGCTTTCTGCAGGCAATTTATTCATTTTTTTTTGAGTTGTCGAATTCAATTCGATTTTTTTATAAATTCACTTTTTAATCCTTTCAGGAGATAACGGACAAGTAGACAGAACCTGACCTCAGATTTACTGAAAACGTTCACACATTGAGAAAAAAAAATGTGGAGAAGTGTGGATATCAACGTTTAACACGTGTCGTGCCACTGTTGTCCCTTGAGTCATAAATCATTCGAGGAAACGAGGAAAAAATGTATTCTTTTGAATTCCATGAAGTATTCAGAATTTCTGGAAATAATGAAAAAAAAAATTTTAATCGATTTGATTATGTTCTTGACATTCTAGAGAATAGCAATCGAAAATATGCAAGCTATTTGATATCAAACAAGGATTAGGATTACGTAGCCAATATTTCTAGCACATTTTTTTCGGATAATGTTCAGCTTCTGAAAGGCTCTCATCGCTGAGAACAGAAATCGAATAAAAAAAGTAGCAAAAAAAGGATTTTTCTGCTGATTTGAACAAAAAACCATGTTCATTTTCTTTTCGTTGTCTGCAGAAACTAATCTCCTGATCAAAAAAAAATCTTTAAACGGAGCGCGGAAAAAAATTTAAAAAAATTAAGCCTCCTGAGTGTTAACAATATTAACACCATGAAGAAAGAACTAATCACTTCTGCGAGAAAAAAAAAACAGAAGAAAGGCGAGAACGACGCCGTCATGGAAGATGCCAAGCCAAACACCAAAAAAGGTCGCCGAGGCGACTGACCTGACCTACAGGGAGGTCAAACGGCCTTTTCTGCCAGTCGAGGTCGTTGCGCACCGGCGGACGTCAATACAAAATACACAAGAACCGAGGCCGCATTTGGGGCTTCTCGGAGCCGATCGATTTATCGATTGATGATGGAGCGTCTCAAGCAAGCTGACAACTTGAAGGTTTTCTGAATTTATACAAAAATTACAGTAATGTGTTGACCTCTTACACGCTGATTTTTCGCTACCACTGAATCATGAAAAGTAGTAGTTTTTTGCAATCATTTTAAATTCGCCATTGTAGAGTTGACTTGGGTCAAAATTAATTTCTGAGAAAGGCCTAAAAAGTTTATTTTTGAATAGGTCTACTGTCAAGTCGTCAATGTTGATATCACAAACTTAGCAAAATCAGCGAAGGGTTGATCTCTGCCACCAACCTTTGAAAAGCCGACACCGTACTTCTTCATACGACCTCTTTGGTGCCTGATGCGAAATTCACAATTTCTCTGCTCAAGCCACAGCTCCTGCCGCCGTTCAAGCACAGTTAAATTAATGAAAGTCGATTGCACTTCTGTTCTTACTTTGAAGATGCAACAAACATTTTTTTAACAGCAAAAATAAAAAATTTTGCGTTTTATTATTTATTCCACAAAATGATCTAAAAATCATGCATTTACAAACAAAAAAAGACAAGAAAGGCTCAAAAAGATAACTAACAATTTGTATGGGTTGAGAGAACTAGGAAACTGAGAAATGGGAAGTATCCACAATTCCCAGAGTTTCAAGTGCGGTTTTTAAATTTTTTTCTCTTGGTTTTTTTTTGTCTCATAAGTGCAGAAGTGAAAAAAATTTCAGAGCATGTGAGTAGATTGAAAAAAAAAGAGAAGAAGACGGACAGTGTTCCAAGTACAGGAGAAAATGTTAAAAGAGCCAAAAATATCCCAAAAACAGAAATTGCAACAAGAAAACATTTTGAGAACTTCTCAGTTTACTGCATTCCTCCAAGTGTGTGGTCGAGGATGACTTTTCCGCGCTGGTCGACTTTGACAACCATCGGAGTACCCGGCTCGATGTCAGGAACGACGCCGCGCTTCGGCGCCTTCCAAGGACCCTTACGCGGCACCATTTGGATGCACTCCGGGATCGGGCACACACTGAATTCAATGAAAGTAAAAAAAAAAAATGAAAAACTGCCGTATGCTACGCAGGAGTCCGATCAAATAAGTCAATAACAATCTCTAAAGTTATTTTTCATTTGATATATAATGGAAAAATCGTTCCCAAGTATTATTCAATATAAAATCGCTGCAGATTTCATCTTTAGAAAATTTTACAGAATTCATCGATCACGTCGAATTTGATGAAAACACTTTCGAAGTGAACTTTTACTGATCTTTTGCTTCTTCTTGAGAGCAGAAAGCAAAAACAAGAGTATTTCTTAGTTGGAACTATGATAAAAAAGACGACAGGTCCCACACTCTTTGAATTGATTTTACAGTTTCATAGTTTAAATTCTTTGTTTATCAAAAAGCAATATACAGAAAAAGAAACTTGAAATAATCTGGACATACCTGTAGCACAATGTGCATCCAGTACAGTCGTCCTCCTTGACGTGTGGTTGATGAGTGGTTGGATCAAACGTTATAGCCTAAAGAAAAGCAGATCTCGAAAATTTGTCTTCAAAATTGTTAACCTGATAACCAGAGTCATTGCAGGTCATGTAGCATTTTCCGCAGTTGATGCACATATCCTAAATTTAAAAGTTCATAAACTATCTTCTGGGATAGAAACTGACGTCATCAATAATGGCGACCTTCTGTTGTTTGTTATTCAGAGTAACATATGGCCCAATTTTCGGCAAAGCTTTGCCAATAACTTCCTGAACCAAGAGATTTTGGGAAATTTTCCCGGATTTACCTACCTGAACTGTTGGGACACTAGTAACTTTCGTGTCCGGACGGCTGGAATAATGAATTCCTTCAGTACTGAGGAGATTGGCTTTGTCCAGAGCCTCTCTCTCACGCGCCTCGCGTTCTTTACGGTATTTTCCGAGGAAAGGTAGCTTCTAGAAGATAAAAAGTTCGTTCACAGCATAGTTATCTGGATTCGTTGGTACTACCAACGCACCCACGTTATTCTTCGGGACTTACTGGACAACTATAGTGAACAAGTTGAATTGAATAGACTTGAAAAAAAAGAATGACAAAGAAAAACCTCCTGGTTAGGAAGCAAGATTGGTTTGCCTTTTTGATGCTTCGTGATTGGTGGAGATTGTCCGTCCCACTCTTTCAAAGACTCAGCTCCCTAAAAATAAAAAAACTTCTGATATAAAAAAAGTATTAAAAAAACCATGAGGTAAAGAAGAGCGCGAAGGCCAGTACAATAATCTTCGATAACGGAGAATTCTTGGTTTTGTACGGCAGAGCATACCTTAAAAGCAAATTAATTGTTTTTAGTGAGTATTTTAGTAATAGATTTCGAGACAAAATTTATTACACCTGAAGGACAGACGCTCCAGAGTTCAGGAAAGCCAAGCCAGTCTCAGCGCTTTCGATTCCTCCTGTGGCCATAATGGGAAATCCGTCAAGGTCGTTGGCAATAGCAGAAACGGCTTTTAAGGCGATTGGTCGGATCGCAGAACCCGACATTCCACCGTAAGTAGTTCTGAGAAAAAAAAACCAAAGTCTCAAAAATATTTTGTAGAGTTGAAAGGTTGTTTTTTTCAGAATTAAATATTGTTCTGAAACGTTTCTCATGAGTTTTTCAACTTGGGAATATAAAAAGAGCCCTGAACAAGTTTTTCAAAAAATTAAGTCGTAAATGGTTCGAAGATAATCGAGTTGAAACCTCTTCAAATACCTCATGGACTGAGAAAAGGTAACCTCTTGTCGTCTCCGACAGCTGGCCAAGAAGTTCCTTCCGCACGCATGTGCATCATGCCGGAGACTGTGTTCGTCGCTGTGACCCCACTAGCGCCACCTTCTCTCGCCGCGCGCGCGATTTCGCGCACATCGGTGATATTAGGCGTCATTTTTGGGAAGAATGGGATCTGTAAAAGTTCTTCTCGTTTAAGCGTTTTTTTTCTAAAGCCTTTTCTCTGTTTTATTTTTTTTTATAGAAAATCGGCCTTTCGACGATTTTGACTATCTGATTGTGTAATCATCATAGATTGGGGAGAATTAGCCAGTTCCTTCGACAATTTCAAAAGTTTTTTCCGAGTTACCATGAACTTAAAATCCCTTTTCTTTTCATCGGCGGAAGTTTTCAGAAATCTTCAAAAATTTTGAAGAAGGCCAAAAACGAACCTTGACAGCCTTGCGAACCCATTTGCAGATTTCGCGAACAATCGCTGGATTTTGGCCACAAGCCAGTCCCATTCCTTTGAATCTATTGATATAAAAATTTCAAAATAATCCACTCGGACCTTTCTCTCCCATTCCATGAGGGCAAGACAAGTTGAGCTCCAAAATATCTGCTCCAGCTTCTTCACTGCGCGTCGCCAACTCGACCCAATCTTCCTGATTATTTATCAATGAACCGATGGTTTTGAAGCTTGTAGATCACCTGGTTATAAGTGCACATGATGGAGGCGACCACGATCTTGGTAGGATGATCTTTCTTGAGCTCTCGGATACACTGGAGCCAGTAATTCGCAGATTTCTCGGAAATCAACTCGATGTTCAGGAATGAGCCCTGGAAGACTCAAAAAAGTATTAAAGTCGGAAAAGATTGCTTACAGGAAATTGTTACAAATAAAAAATGAAGTAACCTGGTTAGGTCCATAAACAGGTCCGCTCGTCGATCCTCGTACGATACGAGGAGAAACGTTTGTTACCAAATCCTATATTCAGTATTTCATTTCAGAATTTTCAAAATCCAAGTACCTTATCAAGGCCGAAGGTCTTGGTCAGAATGAAGCCCCATCCCTGCTCAAAAGCACGTCGGCACATGGGTCCTGATGTCGTTGGCGGAGCAGAGGCCAAGCCGAACGGATTTTCGAATTTTACACCGCACATCTCGACAGAAATGTCCACCTAGGTAATATAATCTTTAAAAATTTTTTTATCACAGAATATTTGATCGAATGAAAACGAAGATAACTAATACATATTTTCTTAATTTTTTCGTGACTCTTTTTCTTTTTTTGAAATATGAAGAAGCTGATTTTAGAATATTTTCAGAGCAAGTTATTATTATCTCATTTCATCACGTTGACTAGTCGGTCTCATTGTCGTTCTTTCATAAGATAATATTCCGACGCCCGTCGGCCTTGGACAAGCTGGGCGCTGTACTGTTCCAACATGGTGAAGCAGTTTATTCGCTGGTACTACCAATGGGCCCACATCATTTCCCAACGCTAGCTTTCACGCCGGGACTTATTAGACAACGATTGTGGACCGTAACCCGACGACTAAGTTTTCGATTATACCATGATTCAGCAGAGATTATTTCCATCTTACTCACAAGAATGAATAAATTGAATTGAATTGAATTGAAGCTGTGTTCCCAAGTTATTTTTCTCTACCTCGTCGATTGGAGTGAAGAAAAGTGGCAATTTGGGCTCTTTGGGGACTTCAACGCCATGAAGCGACTGAATGTAGCGATGGATGGACCAAGCAGCCATCTGAAAATATAAACACGTTTTTGCAAGAAGTAGAGGGAATATTGAGAGCGTGTTGGTTGAAATTTGCTCGAAACTAGCGCTAAGAGCATGCAAATTGCCGCGCGTCATTGTGCAAGGTGAAGAGTCCTGGAGCGAAGAATTTCTCCTCTCCAGGTCAGAAATAATCAAAAAGCTCCCATTTTTGACCTTTCTCACATTTTTTGACTTTTTCGATTGTGAAAATGCTTTGGTAAATTGTAAATCAGGTCGAGAAGAAGCTTTACCTTTCCGTCGTTCACAGATTCGACGGTCGTTTCGGCCACGCCAGCAACGTCACCCCCAGCGAAAACCCACGGCTCGGAAGTTTGTTGGGTGTTTCCGTCGACTTCTGGAGATCCCCATCTGTTCATTTTCAATGGCTCCAGTGCTTTCAAAACTGAAAATGAAAATTTCTTCAGAAAAATTAATTTTTTTGATAGTACCTTCGCAATCCTTCAAAGTGGATCCAAAGGCAGAAATGACGTAATCAGCTTTGATTGTAAGAGATTGTTCTTCGTCGACGTACCTGAAAAACGTTTTTTTTTCAGTCTATTTGCACCACTGACCATTCGCCATTGTCGTCTTGCTCCGTTTTGAAAAATTCGACCGAAACAATACGTCCATCTTTCTGATTAATTCTTTTTGGAGCGCAGAATGGCAAGAACTCGCATTTTTCTTCTTTGGCAGCTTCCATCTAAACAACCACGGAAAACTATTTGCTTGATTTTGAAATTAAAGTTTAATAAACCTCTTCCGGAACTGCTCGGATTCCAGTGAAACCTTTCCGGAAGACTACAGTAACTCGAGAGGCCCCGCATCTCAATGCGGATGTGGCACAGTCGAAAGCAGTATCTCCTGAAAAATATCAAGTTTATAAAAAATCACAGCCCAGTCAAACCTGCTCCAAGGACAATCACACGACCTTTCATCGAAGGCAGCGGTGTCCTCTTGCAACCACACATTCCTAAACTTTCGGGATTAATTTTCCTACCCGAAAAAGTATACCTGGTTTACTAGCGGCAGCCACCAAAGGCAGGTAGTTCTTACTAGTGTAAAAACCATTCTCAACAGTAAGTCCTTCGAAAACAGGATCAAGTTTGGGCTCCGGGTTTCCAATGCCGAGAAAAACAGCCTTGACACCTTCTTCCTGCAAAAAACAAATATTTCAAATGAAATAGCGGTTTTATTTGTTGAAAAACATGAACTTTTGAAGAATTCAGAATAAGAAAATTGGAGTCAACCAAATACTTTCTGGAAATACTGCCTAAATTATTTTTGATTTTTCTTTTATAACTTCTTTGATTTAATTCCAAAAGATCGCAGAAGAGATTTTCAATTTAAAACTTTGATTCCTTTTCTCACGTCAAAGTACCTTCAGTTTTCCGAGAGTTATATCGCTCGTGTGCAAACTTCTGTCAGTTTCAATCCTGACTCCAATGTCACGAGCGAGCTGAATTTCAAAATCGACAACGTCGTAGGGAAGGCGAAACTGAGGGATTTCGGAAGAGCTGAAAAAAATTTCTTCGATCTTGAAGACTTATAAGTTACTAGAAAACCTGAGTCCACCAATAAACTGGCGTTTTTCGTAGATGGTGAGGTCAGTGTAACCAAGACGAGCCAGGAAACTAGCGCAAGAAATACTTGCAGGTCCGCAGCCTAGAATTGTTTGTTTTTGATAATTAAAAAGTGAAATGTGACCAAGAAAAGCGATGGGCTCTTTGTGAGCTGCAGTACGGCTTTCTCGGATTTCTTTTGAAACAATCTGGCGGATGTTCATTTGTTTGAAAATCTGAAACAAAATTGTTTCTGATAACAGCTGATAAATAAGAGAACCTCGCAGGCGAATTGTTGGAGGCCGCCGATATTAATGGCACCTTCTTCGCTGGCTTGAAGGTTACAGGAACCAACACACAAATCCGAAGTCGGACAAATCATACCGCAAGTCAAACCGAGCGGGTTATCGGAGAGGATTTGTTTCGCAGCTCCATAGTAGTTCTGAAAACTTCCCTCTAATTGATTACTTTGCAAAGCCTCAGAGAGTTTGACTTGCTAGCAGCTGACGAATGAGGTTATACTGTTTTTATCTGCAATTTTACAGATTTAACGTTTTGAAAATTCTGTAGTTACTCGAAAAAAAATGTAGTGCGGGGTTGCTGAAAACGTGGAGCGGGATCGCTGCAACCACAGCTATCTACTAAAAAATCGCAAGCGGGCGAAGAGGCGGTGAAAAAGCCTACAGGGCGGCGAAAGTCGCTGCCAGTCGGGTGAACAGCTAGAGAGGGGTATAAAAATGATCGCGTCAAATGGTGCAGCGGGGCTCTGCCCCAGTGGAACTTTGCTTCCGCTCACCTACAATTCTGCACCTTTCTCACCTAGGCATGGTCCGAATCCGACTTCCAAGTTCTTCTTGGAATGTCGAGCCTAACTTGACCATGCCTTTTGGAATTTTTTTTTCCAACTTTCTTTCCGAATTTTTGAGTTGAAAGTTTTTTTGAAAAATACAGAGCGACAAAATGAAAAATTATTCTTTCAAAGTTATGTATAAACACTTCAAACTTTCAGAAAGAATTTTTTTAGGAATAATCTCATGAAACCGATATTGGATAGTTTTGTCGATAGTTAGCTCTCCACACTAAGAATGAATTATACTTTCAAATTATTTTTTTGTGAATCGAAAGTTTATTGTCTATTTTTTTGAAGAACTCTTCAGAAAAAAATAAACAATTAATATAAATATTGATCAACTTTTTTTCCAAGTAATCTTTCAATATTGAAAAATTGTGAAAATGTCGCAATTGAATTGATCATCGAAAAATGATACTACCGATTACGATTGAAATTCAAAGAACCTTATTGGAAATGCTGGTGATGAAAGCTTTCACATCGAGTTGAGTGGGACAACTTTTCTGGCATGGAGCATCGGCGCATTTCAAACACCTGAAGGAAAAGGAAATTAGAAGCAAATCCAGGGAAAAATCAAAAAAAAAAAGACATACCGCATGGCTTCCTTCAAAGCGCCGCGTTCACTGAGAGTCGTGTGCTTGATGTCGCGAAAGTCGTTGTTCAACTTTTTCGGCGCAAGCCTCAAATGAGAAAAAAACATTAAAAAAATAACTTAATTTCTATGAAGAGAAAAACTCCACTCACCCCAGTTCCACATCCCTTATCGGAGTTTCGTTTCCAATTGTGTTTTTTTCTCGTTTGGTAATGTAGCTAGGGACGGCATTAGCCTTGTCGTGAACTCTTGGGTTCAAAGCCAAAAGACCCTGAAAGAATCAAAATAAACTCTTTTATTTAGAAAGCGAATAATTTTCTTGATGATTTGATATTTGATCTTTTTGCCCTTTGCCCCGCCGGCGCGACATTCACCACGTGATACTTTTTTGCAACTGTTAACTACGGAGAAACCAAACTTCTCGATAAGATAAGAATAGAATGATCAAGGGAGAGATCATCGAATTTAAATTTTTGTTGAGTGAGAGGAATTATTAAAATATTTTTTTCAAAGATCTGCCTTTTTCTTTCTTTCAATAGAGCGCATTCAAAAAGCCAAATTAAAAAAAGCACAGTTTGAGAATATTTGAAACATATTGAATTTTCTCAAAGTTCTTTTCTTTTTTTCCCTGTTTTTTTAACAAATTCAAACTTCTTTTTGAGTTTTTCCAGTTCGTTCTTAAAATTTTTTTAAACTATCCCCTCACCTCAATATCAGGAGTATCTTTACTCAAAAGTCCATGAGTTGCGGAATGACCGTTCTGCGGCTGCTCGTTGGGTCCAGGAGGCGCCATTTATTTCTTCCGAATCTATCTTTTTATAGAAAAAAAGTAGTACCGTTGGTTTTTACGTAAATTCAAAAAAAGCGATTATCAAATGAAACTTCAGGTCCATGCCAAAAGACAGTTTTATTAAAATAATAGTGAAAGTTTACTATTTTTTTAGACATTGATACTTTAAAAACCAAAAAAAGTTGCTTTGACTGATATTTAGAATTTTAAAAAAACCCGGCTATACCTATTTCAAATTTACAAAGGTGTTTTTTTCAAAAAAATTTCTAAATTTGTTTTATTTGAATATTTTGTCACTCTGAGAGCCTTCAATAAGTTTGATTCTAAAATCAGAAATCCAGCAACATTGTATCCAATTCGACAATAAAAAATTGAAAAAATTTCAAACGAAAAATCGTTGAGTGGCATTTCTTAAATGAAAACTCGATCAATTCACTGTAAAACAAATTTTTCAGAGATCTTCCTAAATGGAGCATCTACATGCGTTTGAGCTGTAGTGATATAAGGCTTTACGAAACAAACTGGGAAATTTCGATGGTTCCAGGACCTTTCTAATAAGTTATAAGTAGTCATGGGAAAAATCACGCAAAAGGTTGGACAGAAATTGAGAAGCAAGACGAGTTGAGAACAAGAGCGTGATGAGCGGCATGCGGCAAGTGATAGTGGATGGAGCGCCATTGATAAGGTGCCGTCGATGATAAAACGGTTTGGACGCAAAAGGCCGAGTCAACGAAAAAGGAGGTGGGTTGTCTTGATCAACCTTTCCTTTTTGCTTTCGATTTTTCTATCTTTTTTGTGAGGAAAAAGTCTGATAACTGTCTGGGAGGAAGAGACGTGAGTCTGAGTGCATTACATCAATTTCTCGATTTCTTCCTTGAGCTTTTTATAGAATCCAATAAAAATCAGGGGTTCAAGAAAGTTCGAATTGGTGTTAAAAAAACTTTCCTATAATCAATTTTTTTCTAAAAAAATGGTTTATTTTTCCCAATTTCGAAGGATAATTACAAGAAAAAAAGATTTGGATCGTTTCAACTGAGTTTGGAAGAGAAAAAAATTTGTCAGGCTGCCTCAAAAAAACTTTCTCTAAAAAAACTAATCATTCCAATCTTTCCGAGCTTTTTATGAAGTTTAAAATTGAAAGTGTTTAACATAGTTTTGAATGATTTTAAAGTCATGTGGTATTTTAATTAATCAGAAACAGATTCTGAGCTCGTTCTATCAAGAAAAAAAAATTGAAACAGATATTTCTGATCGCTGAAAAGAATACGAATCGGATCGAGAATAAAGTGTTTTTGAACAAGCAGCACTAATAGAAAGAGCTCGATAAGGACGTCTGATGATAAAGTTTATCATTTTACTGATATAAAAATAAACTTGCCACGTGGCGAAATGATTTTTGCAATCATCATGATGTTCTCACCAGCAAATAATGTGTAAGACGAATTAAATAAAATGGTGGTTGGGAAATCAATAAATAATTTATTGGGAACGCGAACAACGTCTGCAAAAAGGAAAATTTTACACGTAGTTTCATACAAGCTAACGAGGTAGCATATGCGTGGAGAAAAGAAGCGAATAAAGAGTCATTGCAAAATTCTCTCAAGCCATTGATTTTTTCAGAGCTCCTGAAAATACCATCACGGTTATGAAGAGCTTAAAATGAATGAGATTGTGCTGAAAAAAGTTTTTAAAGTAATGAGAAAGAAATACATTTTTTGAAGAGCCACGCTGTTATCTCTCTGGAGGAAAAGTTAAACTTTTATATATACTTTAACGTCTTTGATGAATGGTTGAACCATTGGAAAAACGAAACGCACACGCCAAAAAGTATATTTAATATAATGTACAACTCTCTGACCGATATGTTACACAAAAGGTCTGGTCTGACGGAATTGAAAGCGCTGTTCAAAAAAAAACTAAGAAAAGAAAAGAAAATTTAATTTAAAAAGTAAGAAAAGGGTAGAATTATGATGAGCGAGAAGAAGAGATGCACCGTGATATTGCATAAAAATTGGGCCGGTCCGAAGGAAGAGCCGAGAAACATGACGTCATCACCTCGACCACTTGGGGGGCAAGCGTCTCTGGGAAACGCAGAGCCACCTGAAATCCTCCAACTTAATACAAACAAGATCATTTTTCAAAATTTTAGGAACATAGGAGCCGATCATTCTTTGCCTACTGAAGCCTAGAAAAACACGACGAAATATGAATCAACGCCTAGACTTATTTTAATGCGCAATGTCCGGAGTGATGTTAGTTAATTTAAAAGAGCCAGCAAGCGTTGGGTAAATAGAAATTAGAAATAGGAAGTTGGAAAGAACTGAAAAACTGAAGGAAATAATTTAAAAGCGGGAGAATTTTTATTTTCAGGAGTTTTCTTGCAAAAAATCCGTTTTCAGTTTGAATATAAAATTTTCTGAAAGAGTAGGTTATTTACTTCAAAACTGCAGGATGCAAGATATTCTTTAAATAGACGATAGTATTTATATACCAATCTTTCAGCAAATTTATTTGACACATTTCAAGAATTGACGCTCGAAGTATTGTCTTTATTTTCTGCTCATCGAGCTCAAAAAAATATCATCGAAAACGGTCAATACTCACAGCATCTTCGCGATTCTCCATCACCGCTGCAGCATTATCAACCAACTGAGCGTTAGAAAGCCGTTCGAACGGAATCAAACGACACCCGTTTGCCAAGTCCCAAACACAAACGGCAAAGGCCCAAACGTCCGACCTCGACGAAAATTCATTCTTAACAAATAATATTCCAATATCCTTGTGAATATTCAAAAAAAAACCGCTAATATGCTTTCGGGAGCCGAATATCTCAACTGAGCGTGATGAGCGGGACCTCGAGGAGATGAAACCTGGAGTTTTGTTTTTTGAAACGGGATTTTTATTTTGAAAATAACCTTGGCTCTCAAGTTTTCATCAAGTAAAATGTTGTGAGGTGTGAGATGACCGTGGACCAATCCCAAATTCTCCAAATGAGACATGCCGCTGCAGACATCCAGCCAAATGGAAACTATTGTACTCATACTGCAATAAACTTCTATTTCATGATATTTCAGTAATGTCCTCACTCTATCACTTCAGGAGTTGTTTTCAAAAAGTTTTTCACGTCTCCTAGTTCCATGTACTCCAAAATTGGGTTTGAATTTTCATCAACGGCCAAAAGTTCGACAATCCTTGGATGACGACCGCACACTGCCAAGGTTCGAATTTCATCCATCAAAGCGTGTCTGGAATTTTCAATTTGAAAAATGATCGTTAAAATCAAAAAACCTTCCATGGGCCGATGAAGGATCTTTCACAGATTTGTGAGCTGAGCGATATCCGCCGGGCATGATACACTCCTTGACGACAGTGAATTTTCCCTCGCCAATATCATCTCCAACCAGGAGAGATCCACGAGTGAACTTGGCGACTCGCTCGAGGCTGAAAAGTTCAACTGTTAATTGAAATGAATATAAAACCATTTGAGAAGTTATGACGCTTTAAAAAAATGGTCCAAGTTTAAAAAAAAAAAGTCAAGGAAAAGGCTGTTCTCAAATCTTTATCGTAAAGTTCCAACACGCGTAACTCTCGCAATATTTGTTTTGACTAATCAACTTTTTTCCAGCCAAATATCGAGAAAACCAAAAATGTCCAACCTGTCCTCAGCACTCATTGGCCCGTTGATTTTGCCTTGTTCTTTTTTCGGCTTTGCCGACAAAGTTTTTGATTTTGTTGGAGTATTATTTAGTGGAGGTTTCCTATGAGGCGGAAGAAGAGGCAATGTAACGCAAGGATCAGCATAAATGCGGTCCTCTATTGCTGAAAATTTCAAGTTCCAGAAGTTGAAAATCCTTGTGAAAACCAGAGAAATCAGCTGGCGGAGGTGGTGGGAAATTGAAATCGTTCCATGTTGGCGGCGAGTGCTTTTGGGATAATGAACTTTTGGAGGAAATGCTGAACTTTTTATATTAATCAGAATCTTTATAAAAAATGTCAAACCTTGTAGAGGTAGTTTTCTGTGAAGAATACATGTTGCCCATCAACGACTTGTTCTGATCTAACGTCAAATGGCTTGAAGGGAATACATGACACGAGGGTTTGTTGCCGATATGAGTGATGATCAAATCCCGTTTCATTACCTAGAGAACCGCGTATTTTTCAAATTTCTGCTTAGCTCTTCAAACTTCTTCGCGAAGCTCTTTTTTCTCATCCTTTCCCTTTTGCCGCAAACAGAAGGTGATGCAGAGCACCAGTGCAAGAAACAGAATGATAAGAGCAATTCCTCAAGTTTTTCAATTTCATCAAAGATAAAAATCGAACGGTCTACCTGCCAAAAGAAGAATTCTTTGACGATCATCTTGTCCAATTTCATTGATTCGTAGCACTTCTAATGAGGCGTTGCTGGGAGTCACTGTGGAAACGAACTAGTTAAATGGAACTTTGAATATATTTACTTGTAATGAAGTCGATCTCAGTCAGGAAAAACCATTCGGATGAGAATCGGAGAGTCATACGAATTTTTTTCCAGCTCTTTTGTGCAAAGGAACTCGAAAATCGTATCTGAAAAATAACTAATAAATATGTAAAAACATTCATTTCCAACCTTCGCTCTGTCGAGTTTACAACTCTCTCACTTGACGAAATTTGAGAAGACAACGGGAAATTCTTACCGTCTTGGCTGCAACGATAAATCCTTCGTATTTAATGTTCTTTTGACGTACCTGAATATGACGTCGATTTGGTCGATTCGCTGCCCAAATGCGGCTAGAACAACGTCCGAAAAGTTGTGAACTCTGTCAAATTCGAAAAGCAGATTGATGACTCCGTCTGAAATAAAATTTGAATTATAAAAAACAAAAACATTCCTACCGGTGTGATGTTTGTTCCATCCTATCCAGCTAGCAACAGCTTTTTCTTCTGAGAAAGGCGATTCTGCTTCTGCATAGCCATCTGAGAGAAGTCCGAGCCCTCTGCAATCCAAAATATTTCACCTAACTTTCTTTCCTGTGCCACCTCCTGGTTCCCGTCTCCGTGTACAAATCGCTGTCCTCAAAAATAGGGTCTTTGAAGTCGAGTTGGTCTTGACGCGAACCTTCAGGGACTGTTGTATAGTACATTAAACCATCTTAATCCGATCATTTCCCCAATAACTCCTATAATCAACCAACCAGAATAAAAACAGCCATGCACTTCAGCTCGGAGGCAAACTGTTCGTGTTTGTTTGGAGTGCGGGACGATTCTTATTCTAGAAGCTACTATAGGAGGGTCCAGCTTCCGAAGTACGGCAGTAGTTGTGTCAGAATTTCCAGTCATCATCTTAAAATGTGAAAGTTGGAAAATCTCAAAGCAAAAAGGAGAATCCACAACTACTTCTACGAAAGAAATGTTACTCACCGTATGGCCGGTTCTGTTCTTATACCGAATCCACTGACTATCTGGTCTTAAATAATCAATCATGTATTCGCTGGCATATTCTCTTCCGGTCCCATTGCCATATCTGCCTTGAGTCTCTACAGCCGTTATCAAAAAGGTGTGATTCAAGTTGACCTCAAATGATTTCTATTGTAAAAAAAACTGAAAAATTAAGTGAACCTGAAGAAATTCGTAGCTCTTGGAATTGATTTGAGGTTTAGGACACCAGGCGCCAGACGCCATCTCAGCGTTCAATCTGTAAATCTATTCCATGACGTTGACATTTCAATTATAATTGTTTGATTTTTGGGACTCTCCCCGTCCTAAGAAAATTAGTACCAGCCGCAGGTATAGAGGCGAGGGGCGCATTGAAAATGTGCATAATCGCCTTTTCGGCGTCGCTGGCTTATTTTCCGTCAGTGGCTATTTGAGTAGCTTCAATTTGCAATCATTACCCCATACTGCTGAGGATACAATGATTTTCAGAAAAAAGCTAAACAAAAAGGGAAAATAAATCTAACCTTGCATTTTGCGGCCCGACACTTTGACGATCAAAACTGCTACTGGCGGTGATTTGAAAGTCGTCGATATCTCCAGAAGCCATCCCCAGAGGTCCGGTCTCGCATTCTTCTGAAATAAATCTTTTTTTTGTTGTTTTTGAAAAAAAAAAGAAGATAAAAGCTTCAATGATTCTTATCAAAAACCAACTTTTCTCAGTCTTCAAGATCTTTCCTAAAACCTTCATTGACACATAATTCCCTCATTCCCCTGTATTATATGGGTCAACGCAATCAATCAACGTCTCTATTTATGTTTCCGCGCATATTTGTACTTTTTTGGCCGATGGGACTTATCCGCAAACGGCTGGCTGCTGATTTGTCTACCCAACGCCACTTACGGTCGTCTGATGCCAGACGGAGATAATCAGTTTAGGGGTCATTTTTTTTCTCTGGCCGAGTAGATTCATAATCACGTTCTTGCGATGACACACTTGACCACAAATCCAACAACGGCATTTTTCAACTTTCTCTAACATTGGTGATCGAAGAGATTGTAAAAAAAAAAGTCTAAGTCGTCACTCAACAACAAAAAAAACATCAAATATTTCTCCATTGGGATTTAAAATTGAAAAATTAGCGATCGGAAAATAACTTCTGAAAAAACCATCATGTTGATGTTCTGGCAACAGAAAACGTCAGCTTGACCTTGTACAACGTTCATTAACGCAGCACTTCTGCGGCAGATGTATTTCCATGTTCAGACTCACTAGATGCATCAAAAATTGAGCACACTTGAGCCATGGCAGAACGAAATTAATGAGCAATAAACAGATGTGTCGGATTTACCGATTCGCCTAATTCACAATTTTTTTTCCAATCAAGAAATTTTATAGCATTAGAAATATCGAAAAATGGAAGTTTTAAGGTTTAAAAAGCAGTTTTCCGCAGCTCGCTTATTTTTTCTTATTTGCTTGGCCATCGAAAACCGGTATAAGTAAAACACACATAATAATGTGTACATTCAGTCATTAGGAAACCTTTTTACCCCCCGGTTGAACTTTCGAGGAAACTTTGCTGGAAACAGATGTGTATTTTAGGACAAGTGTGTATTTAAGGACCTGCTGATTATAAATAAAAAAAATTTCTCGCAATAGGCCTGTTTTTCGAGTTAGGACACTTCAAAAGCTTGAAATAGCGCTTTTTTTTTCATAATTTACGTATTTTGCGGACTTCAAAGCTTCATAACTCGAAAACTGGATCTATTGCGAAAAAATTTTTCTTGTTCTGCAAAGGTCCTAAAAAACGCTTCAGCAAATTTTCATCAAAAGTTCAACCGGAGGGGGAAGGGGGCTAAAATTATTCGCTAGTCAGTAGTTTTGAGAAAAGTTCTATTTTGAAAAACCACTGAAAAGTTTTACACCCAGGCAATCAAGGGCTTAGATGTCGTAAATGGCCGAGTGTCTGGCGTTCCTCGGCATCTGCTACCGATTGGGAAAAACAGTTGCATCTAGCCCTTTTGTTCTACCACACCCGGCGTCCGCGCTGTTGCGCAACAATAAATTGCGCAAAAATACATACCATGATTTAAATTTTCCAGGTTTCAGCTGATATATTTTAATCAAATTTTGTCAAATATATGAAATGGGAGGAAATTTCAGATTGATATGCTTTATTTGTTTCTTGTCGAGTTTTCTAAGAAAATATTCAAAAGAAACCCTAGTTAGAACAATATTGCAGTCATGCCTCCCTATCCTTTTTTTTTGAGATTTAAACATTTTTTCAACTTCTTCGACACTTTCCTTCGTTCACCACTCATTTTAACGCCTAATTGCTCTAGCCCTTCACACATAGCCATGTCGAGAAACGAACGGGAGCTCAGTGTGTCCAGATGAAAAATTAGTTATGAATGCAAATCCAGCGACGAGGCCAACGCAGTCCCACAACATATGCCGGCGGTTGCTCAGAAAATGAGGAAATCAGGCACGTTAACAACTTTGTTCACAGAGGAAGACGTTCCCGGCTTCGCATTACCCATTCAATTCCGGCTCCAAATGGGTTTTCGTTGTCTTTGCGGCTCCTCGTCGTTCGTTGCAAAGTGAAAAATGGGATTTGACGCGCAATGATCCGGTCAACAGTTTTTTGAGTGATTTCATTGGGTTGAGAGATTTTCTGGGACCTGATAGTTCAGCTTCTCAAGAGAATGCGGTCAAAAACACAATTTTTCAAAATGATCAACCTTTCAGTGTTTGGATAAAATAATCAATTTTTCAAATTACGAAAAAAAATGGTTGTAAGTCTTGCTATCAGTTTTTTTTTCAAACAATGCCCTGTAAGTGATTTTTCGAGCATCAGTTCCAAAAAAACGAGGAACCTCTGCGGGTCTAATTTCAAGCTGTTATTCTGTATAAAAAAATCAAGCTATTAAAAATCAAGCAAACTCCTCATATTGCTTTTTTTAAAGGCTGTGTAAATTTTTTTAGTGCTGAAAAAAACTATCAGGAAAAATATTCAAATTACTTGAAAAAAATCAAAAAAAGCTCACGTAAATTAGAATTTCTTGTCATTTCATCTTAGTACAGCGATTTCAGTTTTTTTCTTTGTGAAGAGGCAATGGATGGACAATGAATATCCATAAAAATTTCGTAGGACAACATGTGTTTTGAAGCACTTCTCGTATCCCTAGATTATTGCATTATTGCGGGAAAAATCTGAAAAATATCACGGGAAAGCATTCTGCTCGTTTTTTATCGATAATTAGCCTTATACTCTAAAATCGACGGAATTGAAAACAAAAAAATTTTATCTCAAGATTGGCCTTCTACTTAATTAACTACCCAAAGATTGAATTTGTCGCCGAAATTTGGGAATAAAAGGCCAAAATGGCTTGTTGACGGGTTGTTGCCTTTTTAACATTATGCAAATTTATCGCACCGACATTCATGCGGCGGCTCGTCAACAACAAATCGAGTGAATCCTTTGACAGAAACAAATGGTCCGTGTTCACTTCTTCTGTTTCTCGTTTGTCTTCAGTTGTCTTCAAAAATGAATGAAACTCCCGTTCCTCGTGCACTGACTCAATCAAAACCCCACAACTTTCTGGACGACCAGAAGTTTTGTTGACTTGACCTGACCCACCTACATGCAGTCAATTTCTTCACGATATAATTGCGTCTTGTTTTGGGAAATTAGGGAGGCCGAAACCTTCAGCAACTTGCAAACTAATTGCTTTTCAAACGTCTCGACGAGCAAGCCTATTTCGCCCCTCTATTTTGCGAGGGAACAGTCAAAAGAGTCGCGTAATATGTGTGCCGTTTCGACTCGTTTGAGTATTTGAGTATAGATTTAGGCACCGCTTTGGCTTGTACACACCCTCTAGAAGCTCCTGGTCTACCAGTTTTCATATTTTTTTTTTCCAAAATTGGTTAAATCTTTCGAAACTGAAAAAGCTCTAGAAGTTTGAATCCAAAATGACCAGCATACGTGTTTGCTTTCGGCTTAAGATGTTTGATACAAAGGTCCAGTCTGTTTATCAACAAAATATCTAAAAATTAAGGAGTCGCTTGATAAATTTTCAACGAGACTGAAAAAAAGATAACGCTGAAGCAAAAAAATCAAGTTACAAAGCAGAGAAGTTCTAGAAAAAGCGGTTTTTTTAAAATTCTATAGACATTCTGTCAATTTTTTTATAGTCCTTAATTGCTGTCATAAATAAAAAAATCATAAAATCAGAAAATTTATTTCTAAAAAGAAGACTATTGAGTTTCAATAGAACTTTTTCAGAGCTATAAAGAATGAATAGCTCTTACGCGTTTCTCACTTCAGATTTCATTTTCTTGAGGCCTTCCAAGAAGAATAAACAAACTGGAACTCAAATTTGAACGTTTGCAGAAAAAGCAACATGAGAAATGTGGTGTGAACGGGTGCAGAGGGCGTTGGTTGACAATCTCTTAAGTGACGGCCAAATGGAACGGCCACAAAAGTCATTTATTACCAATTCACTCAGTCGGAGAAGTTCCAAAAATTTACGGGTTTTGTTAGAAATCGCCTCAGTAACACTTCTTATTCAGTCGTAAAGTGTGAAAAAATCAAATCCCATACGACATCTGACACCGATAATTCGCAAGAGTCTCAGATTTCTAGAAAAACAAGCTCACTTTGAGGCGTGAGAAGCGAGGAAAAACAATTGTGGAAAGAAAAAGAAAAACCAACCCAGTCGTAAAGTTTCCGTTGTCCTCCATAGTAGGAACGTCTGCAACAGGCCTGGCCACACGATTAGCCGCATGGCATCTGAAACCGGCTGATTTGATGAATCAATTTGTGTTTAAACAAAGTTTGAACAAGTTCACACGGGTAAGACAAAACAATAAGTTAAAGAAGAATTAGATAAAAAGAAAAAAAATTTGATTTTCTGTAATTTTCTGAAAAAAACAAAAGAAGAAAAAGCAAATTAAAAAAAAGACAATGTTGGAAGGCTGACATTTTTCTCATCTATAGACACCGTCGCATTTTCTGGAACTGAGATAAGGACAATTTTCATAAAAAGTAGAAAAATTTCAGAATGATTCATTGAATACATGTTAGGGCTTATAACTTTCCAACATAAAACGACCAAAAGTATTAATTTGAGAGTTTTTTTCAACCTAGGTTCAAATTTTGATAAAAAAATTAAACTGAAAGTAGCAACTCTACAATAATCAAAATGTTTATTTTGTCAACGACAGTTTTTTTCTCAGCGGAACAGAAGTCAATTTAAAAACAAGAAAGCCCAAGTCAGTTTTGAACAAAATTAGAACGGGAAATTCGAAAACTATAAATATATATATGTTCTAATTTTTTTGATCAATAAAGATTCTCACTGAAAGTATTTTTGATTACAGACTCAACAAAAATAAAGTCAAAAATCGTTTCAAACAATGAACGACAAAAAAACCGTGAACTCTGAATGTTTCTAAAAAAATGAACCTTGAAAAAAAGAGTTTTTATTGAACTTGGTTGAGCAGGCAGGAAAAAGAGATGCAAACTGTCGGAAGAGCTCCAAAAAAAAAGAAACAAGGTGCAATCGCTTGCAACTTGCCACCCGGTCAAGACCACTTAACTGAAGAATATTTTGATTTGAAATGAAATTAAAAAGTCGAATAAAAAAATTTCAAATTTTTGATAGCATTCATGACAGCTGCTTTGATAATAAGGAAGGATCAGACAAAAATCAGAAAACATGAAAATGTTTGAGCAGATTCAGATCTTGTTGAAAAGGGTTATATCACAAAGTTTTGAAGTCAGTGCCTATAACAAAAATAAAATGAGATGCAAATCGTCGGAAAACGTTGCAAAATGCGATTCGAATGGTTGACAAGGCGATTCACAGTCCGGATTACCGGCGGTGCCGACAGGTGGCGGTAGCCTCACACCTGTTTGAATTGAGCAACTTTCAGGTGGCCGTTGAGCGGGGGTTCAAAAAAGGATACTGTGCAACGGACGACTACCGACGATTGAGGATTAGTCGGACTGTCGGAACAGAAATGTGAAACGAGATGGCGGCAGACCTCTACGCTGCCACACAAACCGCGGGGCAGATTGCGCATCAACGGCAACTGCAGCGAGGCAAGCTCCGCCTCTTTTCGTGCCTTTTTTACTGAATAGTAAAAAGAAACCCAGGTGTTTCTTGGTCTCCAATATTTTTAAAAATTCATTAAAAAGCCTTTTCGAAATATTTTTGAATAAAAAGGTTTGAGAGCGCTTGTGTGGCGTTTGGAATAGTGTCTAACGTGTTTGGAGACTGTTCCAGGTTGGGCATTTGTCATGAAAGGTGAAGCAGGTGAATACTCTTCGGGAAAAGAAAATATATTTTTTGTTCTTTTCTGATTGAGAACTTAGAAAAAAAAATGACCGATTGAACTTTTTTTTAAAAAAAAAAACCACATAAAGCCTGGAAAATAAGATAACCGTTTTTCTTCAACGCATAAATTGAAAAAAATGAAACGTTTCAGCGTTTAGAGAATAGAAAGAAAAACGGATAAGTTGTCTTTCAATATTTTTCTAAACAATGAATATTGCTCAAATTTTTCTCGAGCGTTTCGGAATCGGCTACTTGAAGCACTAGCTTGAAGATGAAGATGTCTCTGAAGCATCAAAAGCACTGAGAAAATGTTCCTCCATCGAGTTTGAGAAAGAAAAAAAGCGAGGACAAAAGCATATGAACTTTTGAAATGAAGGTTAAGAGGAAAATGTGTGCTTTTGGTAAAGTCCTTCAGAGTGATTCGATTCTCAGACATTGGTGCTAATAATGGAGGAGGGTCACGAAACCAAAAACTTGGCGTGTCCACTCTCTTCCTCCTCTTTTCCACTACTCCGTTTTGTGTTGTTGCTTCTGATCCGCGTTGAGGATAATAGCGGTCCGAGCAGTCAGAAAAGCGCGCGGCCGGCGAGAGAATGATTAGTAGCGCGCTGGGCCCTTTTTGTCCATTTTTATTCATAGTATAACGAGTGCTACTTGTCTTGATTTTCTTTTGCAACTTTTCGGCTGAATTTCAGTCTAGCTTCCTGAAAAAGAAGTTTCTTGCAGGGTAATAGACAACAAAAAAAAAGACCGTCCAAAATTGAAAGTGACATATATTGATGAGTAGAAGATGAAAAATGCATGCAGATATTTTGTAGCCAAAAAAGGTTTCAGCATTGAGATTGATATCGGAATGCTTTGAAACATCGAAAGAAAAACAGAAATGAATTTTAATCAGTTTTCAGAAATTTCTACTGAAGCTGGTAACACCAAATTCGTCAGCTGATGCTTCATAAGTTGAAATGTCAACTAGCACGCAAACAATAGGAGAAGCAAATGATAAATTTTCCTGCTGTTCTCTAGTTTTTTTTTTTGAAAATTTGAGCAAAAAAATGCAAGCACGTGAAAAAAAAACATGTCAGTTTGATAAACAGTTGCGATCAAAATTTTACGAGCTCATCAAAAAAGAGGCGAAAAATGATGATGAAGAGCCAAGACGTCCATCACTTGAATGAAATGCATCGGCGCGCAATGCATACATACACATGTTGGCGGAGAACGGCATCGGTATGTCAGAACCGACGGAAAATAATCAACTACACTGCCTGCTAGCAATTTTTTGATCTTTATAGTATGTTCGGAATGAGTCTAGAGGGACAAGTTCTATAAATTTACTCAAAATTTGAAAAAGTACGATAAACCATTTTTACAAGCTCAAAAACTATTGCGCTCACAAGAAAGGTATGTTTTCAAGGATTGGCCATTGAAAAAATGATCAAATCCTTTTTGAAGTGCACTAGATTAAAAATTCTACAATTTTTCAATCTTTTTAGGCTAACTTTGTGAGAAAGAAAGACTTGAAAAAAACTTCTGAAGACCCAATAAATTAAGCCTTACAAACCCCTTCTCTTTTAAATTGGTAGGGATTCACAAAACCTTTTAAAAATACAATCAACAGTAAAAAGAGTCAGTTATGAAAAAAATTATCTTGTAGTGACCTCAAATGTAAGGTTTAGCGCCTTTCCTTTTTCGCAGTTAAAATTTTTCGAAAACTTTTTAAAAGTTTTCGACAAGTCTCAAAGCTAAAAAAAAAAGTTACTTATAAATCACTTTTTGAATTCTCTGCTTTTTGATAGAAAATGAACTTTCGGAAAGAAAAGAAAACAACCAAACTCTTAACCTAAAATAAGAAGAAAGACGTTTTTTTTTCATACTCCAGGGCAGATACAAGCGTTCGCATAAATAACTCATCTCGGGGCGTTTAATGCCGCTTTCAAAAAATGGAATGCCACGACAGGAACAAGGATATTCGTATAGTTAAAGTGAAGGCCCATTCACAGCTTTTAGTGTTTTTTTTTCGTTTGTTTATGATAGCTTGCCATGCAAAACAACAATAATTGTTCAGTTACTCGTCAATTTTTGCTTGACTCTGTTATTCTAAGAACTCGCTCTAAAAAGCTCAGAATTTCTATGAGCAAAATGTTCGATCTGAAGAGTTCCAGATTTTGTACGATTTCCCGCACCATGCAATCCACTCGTATCGATGTATACAATCTCAACGACGTGCAAAACCACGAGCGGCTCGAATTTCACTCTTCACAAATACAAACTGTCCTTGATCTAATTCATAAGCATTCGAAAACGTATGCAAGTTCTCGATTTTGAATCGAACAGCGCGGAATTTTGTTCATCAGAACTGTTTTCAAGACGATTTTGTGAGAATAAAAAGCATGCATAAACTCTACAGAACTATTCGTACCATAAAAATGCTTGGACAATCAGAAAAAGCATAAAATTTAAAGACCTCGACGATAATAACAACCGCATGACGTTTAACGGCAGTTCGCCTCCAGTTATCCAATTTGAGTAGAGTCTTCTTTGAAAAAAATATCCTGAAGCTTGAATTACTTCGTTCGATTTATGCAAAGTCATCAGATAAAATCATTGCTTCTCCGGCCACAGGAATATTTATAATACTCATTGAAAAACATCTAGATATACAAAACATTTTTAGGTTTGTTTCAAGATAATCAATATAGGTTTTTATTAAAAAAAATACATCCACAAACCGATTTCATTCTTTATTCTTTAGACTAAAATTTTTATAGATAACAACTTTTCTCATTCTGCTCCTCAGTGAGAAATTTTATGAAAAATTGAATCTAAACTCGGTATTCAAGGACCCCAAAAAAAGAGGTAAACAGCGCAATAAACAGAATCTCGTGAAAAAAAGGCGCTCAATTGAGAAGAGGAACAGATTTCAAACTGTGCGTGTGTGGAAGAAATGAGGTCAAAAGGTGTGAGGTAACGATCTGCCAGGTGCTCGGTCTGGCATTTTTTTTTTCGTGGAATTGAACAGAAGGTTAGCGAATAAAGTTCGAAAAATGATGTTCGGCAAAAGTAGCTGAATTGTGTATTAAAGAAAGAAAATACCAAATATTGATAAATCATCAAACATATTGAAAGGAATGGACAAAGTGGATACGGCTGCAAAGAATGAATTCAACTGACCAATTTTTTGAGCTTTTTGCAATATTTTTGATACAAATTCTCACAAAAATTGATTTGAACGATTAGAAAGAAACTGAGATTGAAAAAATCATTTTTTTGAAGTTTCATAACTTGAAACTTTCCAAAAAAAGGTTAAATAAAGAAAGATATCTCCCATCTTCAAGTAGGACCGGAAAAAAAAAACAGAAAAACAAACAATCCGTGTACAGGACATCGACACCAGTGGAAGAAAAAGAGCCCATATCGCGTTGCAGAACAACAGGTGAAGCGAAGGTAACACGGATGGGTTGTCGGTAAAACGACAAAGGATCGGATGGGGTGTCTGGCGTTCGGGTGCTTTGTGGTTCTGACAGAGCCCCGGCATATAACATAAAAGCTGCTCCGTAGGTTAATGCCTGGCCGCAGAGTTTTTTGTTTTTATTTCCTTCAAAGAATACTCAAAACGCTTTTTGCCTTGTTGTGAAATGCTTTGAAAAACATGATGGGTCGGAAAACCTAAGAACAAACTTCAAAAAAAACATCGCAATCTACACAATTTCCTAGTTATGAAAAAAAGTCTTCAGAGACCAAAAAAGCTTTTTTAACTTTTTTTTTTTTGATTTTATTTCTACTCTTCAGAAAAATTACTAAAAAGGTTGAAGGAGTCAACAACTTATAATTTGCAAGTTGAATATGATTAATAACTTTTTAAAAAAATATTTTTTTAGATTCTAAAAAAACTTATAATCCATTAATCAAACTTGATGCGTCAGAATATATTGAGAGGGTATGGAATATTAAAACGAGAAGATGGGCGATGTGCGATTATGAATGACAGGGGCAAAAGACCCTGTCAAGATACGGATCATCTTTTCAATTCGAAGCTTTTGAGAAAAGCGACAACTTTTTTCATCTCGATAAATCAGAGTCATGTCAATTCGTATTTTTGTTGATGAAGAATATACTAAGCTTTGAACAAGCGCAAAATTAAATTTATTTTTTAATCTTTGTCTTCCTTCATATTATAGGTTTGAAAAATTATTGTTTTCTCAGTTGAATATTTTTTTTGAAATTTGTCAAATTTTTCCAAAAAAATCACAGTTGGCAGATTTTAGAGGAAAAAAACTTCTTCAAAAAAAGTCAGGAAAGTTGTTGATACAAGAATTTGATTCAAGAAGATCTTTGCACTCTCAAAAAATATAATACTTGAGACAAAACGCAGAAGTGTGAATTAAGAGAAGAAGACAGAATAGTGGGAATTCGCAACATTTTACGAGCGCCGGCAGTCGGTCACTCGGGAAACAAACAGGGCAAAGGGCCAAACGGTCTTATCCGTCCAGGCAAATAAGGTGAACATGCTCCATGATAACGACATGCTCCGCATCTGGATCACTCATCCGTTTATACAAAAGTAATAAAGTCTTCCATGTTTTCTGGTTTAAAAATTAAAAAAAAGCATTTCTAGCATTGAAACCCACCTCAACTTTCTGAAATGTTTTGCTACTTTTCAGAAATGACTTATATATGTGGAGCGCTGCGTACTCGACGCGGCTTTTCGGCGGGAATTTTGAGTTCAAATGCAAGCCACTCGTGTTTTCGATTTTCTCCATTTTTCACAGTTGCTCAATAGCTTTCACATATTTATGAGTGAAAAAAACTACCCTTCTTCCTTTTCAAGTTAGGATAAATTGACTATACAAGCGGAATATTTTGTCCATAGAATGAAAAAAGTTTAAAAATCGTATTTTTGATCTTTCCTTGAAACAAAGATCTTCTTTCAAAAAAATAAAAGAATCACATTTACAACT